TACGGGCAAGACTGTCCTACAGAATCAAGCCGCAGATGTTCTGGAGCTATCGACTCGCGGAGATTACACCCACTGCCGCGGGTCAATCCAACGGCGGACCAGCTTGGTTGGAGTGCAGTATTGAATCCATGCAGCCATGAGCAAAGTACATTAGGCATGGGCTTTTAGTACATACATATTTACCGGCCTTTTCTCCTGTCCATCCTGTCCATCCTGTCTTGCCCTGCTGCCCCATACATTTGCACTAGACAGTGGTAATTCCCTCCCCGTCAGGTCTACGGATACATTCACCGGCCACACACCTTGACAGGGACCCAATCATCCCTGACACATTTTCTAGAACGGCACCCCTTATTTTTGTGTAGGTACTTTTCTTTCTTTTTTTCCCTCGTCCCGCACCCGGTCTGGATATGACCAATCCACTTTCTCATTTCTCGATACGACACCACAGAGGAAAATTTTTCTAATCCCAAATATTTCATTTCGCTCCCTTCATTGCGAGACATGCGAAAAAAAGAGACAGGATGGGGATGGCCAAGATGGATACTCTCTGATACCATCGCCCTACCATAAACTGTGACTCATACGAGTTGGATGTGATGTATGTTCATGTCCTGATGCCCTGCGCGTAAAAATCGCTGGCTGCAATGATGTCCAATATCTGTAAGCTGAAGGCACTCTGCGAATTGTTTGGTCAATGGGACCCAGCGTAGGGCCACACTTCATGCATCTGTGCATATCCCGATTGGAGCAAGCAGGGGTATAGAGAGGTCAACTCCCCGATTAAGCCACCTAGTGTTTATTTTATCGTGATATTCTTTTTCTAATTCCGTACCCAACAGCCAATATCTTGGCCACATTGTTGAATAGCGGTCCTTCTCCACCGAAGCTTTCAACAAAACAAAAACAACGGTCGACTTAGACAGGAGACCTCACCAGACGACTCTGGCACGATAACGAAGTAGATCCTCCTCCGTCTTCTACCACTCACCGACTCTTGCCAGCCAGACAGCATGGCGCTGCAGCATTATTCGGAACCTTTTCTGTTCATGCCTTACATGCAGATTGCAGGTACCGTCCCTGGTCGTGTTGGTTCTGTGACTCTGTGACGTAGCGACGGCGCACAAAAAAAAAAGGGAAATTGAAAAAAATAATTTTGGAATTGGCATTGGAGAGAATACCCCTCCGCCCCTCTCCCGCACCCCTCCGGAAGAGACGAAAAGGGGAATACGTGTATCAGCGTCCTTCGAGACCATGATTACGTAGTTGATGGCTTTGAGGTCTGTGTTCTCTATTCCCTTGAGTCTACCATACAAACCTGATGCGATACAAGCCAGAGACGCCGTCGAGGCGGTCCTTGGAGGTACAGCGGTTGAGCCTATCAGAACTATCGCGACACCACCACCAAGGTAGGAGAAGATGCTTGCTCCAACTGTAAGTAGGACCCTAGGCGCACGTGTTTGGTATGTGACGAAAACGGGCGGCTGTCAATTTCCCTAACTAGAAGGGTCGTGATAAGAAGCCTTGCTGTCTATCCCTCTGCGTTGTTCAATCCAGACACTCCCATCCCTGTTCTCGCTCACCTGGCCCCCCTTTTCGTCATTGTCTCGCGGGGCTCCGAGATCTTGATTCGACATTGTCTCGCACATCGAGATTATAAGAATGCCGTTATAATCGGCCAAATGACAAGATGCCTTTCCAAACTTTGGGTATGCTGCGGCCTCCGCCTCGTCTCCCTTCGTTCACCGTAGCCAATGCTATGTTTGGGAACTCGAATACATCCCACGCGTGCGCAGCGCGAGGACACTTATCCTACGAAGCCCATACGGGCGGTGATACATCGGGTAGCTGAATAACCGGGACGGCGCGTCGGATCCGAGTCTCTTATTTGCTACGGGCTCGCGCACTGCCCGGAATCGCATACTACCTACATACATACTGCTATCTTTGAATATTGCACAGCACAGTCGTACGTCAAGCAGGCCACAGGGCCACAGGTGCATTGCTGGAAGGCCACTTCGTAACCCTACGGCATTCCAGTAGGATATTTAGAAACTCGCGACCCAGAAGCCTGGGTATGCCGTATGCGATTGACGTGTCACCCCTAAGAGCCAGACGAATGCATTAGAGCCGTTGCGCGCTTCTGCTGTGGCTGTGTTCGCTACATTCTATGGTATATTGCCCTATTATCTCTCCTGCCTCTATCGAGTCTAGGCCCTAGCATGTGACGATATGGAGCCAAGTTGGCCCTATATGCACGAGTAACCAGGGCATATCGCCACTCCACTTTGTTCCGGAACATTACCCTTTTCGACTCTTTACCCCTCTGCCTCATTTTCCATCATCCTGACAAATGCCCAACTCTCCCTATCACCGACCTCCATCGAACCTGATCAACCGTCCCTCTCTGGGCCTAGACGGCATCGCCGGCACCACTGAGTCTGCTGCTATGATAGCAGATGACACATACTTGGTTGTTGGGTTCGCTAGGAAGGGAGGACAGCTGGGGCGGACGAATCAGAAGCCCGCAACAGGTACGGAGGGACTAACAAGCCGCGGGCGAAAAAAACCCCTTCCAAAGTGACGCTTCCAGGGTTTTGTGGGAATATTGTGATGACAAGCATCCAATCTTGGTATGTAATTGATGACGATAACTACACGCCTCTCTTCACTTATGTTGCGAGGTAGTCCCCTCCGTTTCCCGCAAATCCGACATCTGCTCGCCCAGAGGTTGTTCCTCGATAGCTGGTCTCCGCTGGGACGAAATATCAATAATACGACGCATCGGATATATTGACTGGATACCACGAGGGCGCTAGCCTTGTTCCTTGCTTGTCCATCGAGTTTCACCGCTGTGGGCGGTGACTCACCGCAGGCGGTTTCGATTCGCTCGATATCCCACGGATCCGGGGCTCGGATGCTTTTCGCTTCGAGGGTTTACCGAATCAAGTAAACAGCCCTAGGATCTCACACAAAATCGCCACTACTGTGTATGTACTGCTGACTCTTTTTGGGGTAAAACTAGACCTGGCTAGATATCCAGACGATGGCGAAGATAGGAATCATTTCGATGACGACGACCGATAGGTAAGTGATGCCAAAGCATCCGCCGAGTCGAGTTTGTGAATTTAGCCATACAAATTCGCGCGGCTCAGTTCACGACGGCGCTGAACAGGCAGCAGCCTCGCAATATCACACCTTATCGACCAACCGCTACGACGCCAGAGAGGCGCAGGTGGGGGCGAAATGCGACACAAGATATGAGATTCGATCTGGCATTTCGGTAAGCATTCTGACTACAGCATATGGCCCAGTACGGCATCGACGCGACATCTTATTACGCGCTTAGGTTAAACCTATCGAATCCCGTAGCCTCGTCCGTCGCATCCGCGCCGCGTCACGCGCGTCAGCCTATTGTGCGCCCCATCCCGGCCGTCTAGATTTCCGCGAGGCTGTGGAATAGCATTTACTGGCTTCGACGTCGCACCGTCGCAAACCCCCCACGCACCACGGCGACTCATCTTCCCTTCGGACGCTTGCACATAGGATCTTTTTGCGTGATACGGGGTATGTCAGCTGGGCTTGTATAACCCACCGACAATGACTTGCTCGTCTTGTGAGTCACATGAGTCACTTCTACGTCCACACCCGAAGCCATCTCGGTATACTAAGGTGGATGATATCAGATTGGGCTGCTGTGAAGGTCAGACAAGACTAACAGTGCCGGCATACTGTGCCATACATCTTGGGACGGGTGTGAGATTCGTGGAGGTGGCTGTGCAATATTATTCCGGCATATAAATCTCGTATATCAAGTGACTTGCCGACGTGAACGTCAATGATAGGAGCTTTTTTTTACTCTGATCCTATAGATACGAGTCATTGATATTACAGGCTCTGCCACACGTATAATTCTACGCGTACCGTATATCATCGGCGGCCTCAGATGTAATGCGACTCTAGTTCAAGTGGTGATATCGGATGAGTAGTAATTCCCACGTAAGGGATAGGAATTGGCCCTTGTGGCGAACGGCGTGCTAGATGGTCCAGGCGTACCTTGAGTATCGCGCCTGGCTAAACGTGGTCCCCTATACCTGTTGCAGTTTGGCTGCCGATCGGTTTGCTGTCGAAGGCTTCCTCTGGGAATGTCACGAGGGATGGCGATCGGATTCACTATCAAACTTAGAAAGGGTCGGAATAGGCTCCCTCATTCCCCATGTATACTAAATAGCATCGGAAAGAGAATTATACATATTTTATTGTCGAAATCAGCAGATATCGCTTCTGACCCCGACGAATTCCGGCTGCTCACTGGGCAGCTTTCCTACCTCCACCTGCAGTTCAGACAGTTGTACGAATCATTTACTAGCGCGACTTCTGTACCGGGTTTGCTCTTCGCCTGCCCCTTTCAGTAGGTTCAGAAGAGTTCGATCTTGGGTTCGCGTTTCTTGGCGTACCAATGCACAGGGTGATGGTGTTCTGATATGTCTTCAGTAAGACCATCTGCTATAGGGTTAAGGGGCACATGCAAATCTCTTATTGCAAGTGTCTCCATATTGGGATTTACCTGCACAACCTGAATGCTTTGGGCTATTCCAGCATTTGGAGACATTCGATATTGATTATTACTAGACGAATGCTACCTATGTATTCCACATCCTTTAGTATCCAAAGTGATATGTCATATACAAACTTCAAGGTACAAACGAAGTATCGTAGTGATAGGAGGTACATAGTGGAAGAAGAACGATATCATAAGTGTAATGTATAGGTGGAGAAAAGGGACGAATAGCTCTATTGCTATGTTCTACAACAACTTGATGCTGGAGACAACACCTTTACTTACTACCTACATGACGATGACTCTTTTTGTGCACCTGGGCAGATTCCACTAGTCTCTGAACTGCATCATTGATTAGGTGTAAGAACATTCGTTTTCCTATTGCCTCTAGTTCACATCAAATGCGCCCGCTTCATCTTGTGAAATGTAGCCCCTATCATTACATAATCCCATGATTCGTGTATTAGCTAGTATCTAGATCTACATTCTCCTGAGTGTCGCGAATAGGTAAGCCCGAGTTCGCTCTATCTATATGAAAAACAATAGAGAACTCAGAATTGTCATAGAAATCCAAGTAGGAATAACTATATACCTCAGCCCTAAATGAACGTTATACAAGAGCTAAAACGGTTTTAACTATCCCTAATCCATCAAATGTAAAACCCCAGGCAATCATAGTGAATTACTATACCCTTAGGCCGCCATCTTAAGAATCTCAATGATCTTATCCTTGTCAAGCTTGACAGAATTCACAAGCACACACGGATCCCTCATAGAGTTTTCCGCCAGGTTCTCGTACTTGTCGCTCCCGATGCCGAACTGGCTCATGCTACTCGGCAGTCCAAGAGCGCTGACAAACGCGGCGACCAAATCTCCCGGATCTTTCGAGTCCCTGTCCGCCTCCTTCAGCCCAAGAGCCTCGACCACTACCGGCTCGTCCCAGAACGCGGACGTAACCTGGCGGAGCGACTCGTGCATCTTCTCGTCCCCGTGGGCCCAGTTATACTTCATCACAGCCGGGAGGATAATACAGCTCGTCTCGCCGTGTCCGACGCCCATGGGCCCAAGCTGATGCCCGATGCCGTGGCTCGCGCCCATACCATTATACAGCGCCCTGACCGCGACCCTGACCGAGAGCTGCGTCTGCAAGCGTGCGTCGAGATCATCCCACTTCTTCTTCGTCTTCAGCAAGCCGACGAGCAGGCCCCTTAGCGCCTTGGCCAGCTCGGCGCTCGTCTCCGGGCTCGCGCCGGGCAGGTTCGCGTACAGGCCCTCGACGCAGTGGTCGACGCCGCGCATGCCGGTCGACAGCCAGAAGCGGGCGGGCGTGCCGACCGTCAGCGCCGGGTCGAACACGACGAGGTCCGCCACCATCGACGCGTGCATCAGGTTGCGCTTCTCGAACGTGCGCATGTTCGTCGCCGCCCCGGCCGGCGTGAACTCTCCTCCGGACAGCGTCGTCGGCACGAAGATCACCGGCGCCTTGGCCGCCTTCACCTCCGGCGACGCGTTGTCCAGGTTCCTCAGGTCGGCGGGGCATTTGGCGTAGAGCGCGTCGGCGCCTTGCTGGTCCGATACGTCGTTTGCGGCCAGGAGCCGCGCGACTGGGCGACGGGTTAGTGATTACGTATTCCAATGTTTGATGAGCTTCCGCCGGCAAACCCTGATTTTACGAAAAAAAGGGGTTCGGTTCCGGGGTCACGTACGCTTAACGCCATCGGAGATCGAACCGGCTCCGAGTGTGATGATGAGATCCGGGTTTTTGGTCTTCAGATCGTTCGCGAGTTCTAGCACGTCCTCCCACGGAGTGTGGGGGAGAATGCCATATCGAACGCCGACGATCTTGTCGCCGAGGGCGTTTTGGAGGGTGGTGAAGGCCTCGGTCTTGCTGATTGACTTCGACACAACGACATAGATGCGCGAAGCATGAAAGGTGTTCTCGGCGTGGTGAGCACAGGCCTTATCGAAGGTCAACCCGTATGAGATGTAAGGTTTAGGCTTTGACGGGAAAGCCGCGACGTAGGTTTCACCTGGTGCTGCCATGACGTTTCTAGCCTTTAATACTGTTTCAGGATGTCAGTATGATACTATTTGCGAAGTTTGGGAACGATAAGCTTCAACTTAAGCCACAGAGACAGAAGTGTCTAGGTAGACTTTCTCAAGAATGGACTTACCTTCGGAGAATGACGACAAATAATCTATGTATTATCTAGTGATATTGCACATGTAAAATGCAGCTTGTAGCGTTTATTCGTCATTTTCCAAGATATCTCGAAGCGGTTTTATGTTGCGAGGCTCGCCGGTTCTCATGATAGGACGGAGCCGAGACGGTCAATACGTCTTTTGCATAATCGAATCCTTTCCATGTAACTGTACCTACGTAGGTACGCTTACCTATTTGACACTCCCATTTTCTCCACGTCCTAGGTATGCTACCGACGCCTATTCCCGTAGTCCCGATAAGTCCGTGTAACTGGGTAACTGCGATGTAACCCGTCATCATCAGTGGCGTCCTACCAACGCCCTAAGGTGGGATATCTAGGTAAAGTTTAGGTAAGGGAGCGTAGGTAGGGGCAAGGACTGTCAATTGCCTAAAATTCTACTGGGCGCAATGGTATGCGCTCGGCTATTAACATCGTTTAAGTGGACTGTCAGGGCTAGGTCCGTCCCCGTCACTCTTAATCGGTTTATTCACCTGGTACTTACAAGATGAATAATTTGCAAATCGAGCAAGATTATGAAGAAATGCGGCATGATTCTATCAATCATTATGATATGCATTGCCTCGATTTTATCTTGACCTTTGAAAGCTTTACAGCAGTGAGACAATGGAAGGAACCATTGGGAATTACCAAATTCGGACGACTAACCTCATAAAGAACCAATCAGAGCTCGCTCTTAGCTGGTCCGGGAGTCAAGCTCGTCTGTTTTAAGTTCCGGTAGTTAAGTATAACGTAGTACAGATGTTACACAAGCCTCGTTTTCCACATGTATGTTTTTTGGATGACGATCTTATGATCATCGATCAATGAATACGTCGGAACCGATTCGGCCAAAAGTATCGCCTACCATTGACCATAATCTACTTAATCGATAGCCCGTTTTTGCCCACTTCTGGATTCGTCGTTCGAAGTTGCAAACATGCCACCCTGGACCGCAGGGAAATGAGTTAAATATCTAGGTCAGGTTCCGGGTTAAGAAAATACCTGGAGTTAAGAAATTAGTCCACAGATCTCCTGTTCCAGTATGAGGTCAATCCGCACACCACTAGCGGATATCCCCAGAGCTATCCCTCAAGCATGTTTGAAAGATGGTTAGCTTCAAAGCCCGGACGTATTGGGTATATATCGCTATGTCGCGTATTCCCGCGTATGTGCGCCCTATGTTGCCATTATGCGGTTGATTCTCACAACGGCGAGTCCAACCCAAGCCAGTGATGTCGTTCACCGACTCGCTTTTCAGGAACTCGTTCTGGAGCTACGACACACAGGACATCGTGCTTCGTCGGCTGAGTGAGATCCACACACCTGACGATACCCCAGCGGCTAATCAACCGGAGCGCCAGTCTCGGTTCTCCATTAGTAGCGAGGATAACCAACCGGCGAGCTCAAGGTCTTCTGACCCGGTCGGTTCGCCGCTGTCGCAGGGTCCACGATGGATAGCACAACTCGACAAGGCTCTGCCGCCTATTCCACGGGCTTACCGTCTCACGAGGAAGCGGAAACATGTAAGCGTTAGGAACTCAGAGCTGAATGCCATCGACGAGATATCTTGGCCAATGCCGCCCGGGATGAAGCCTCCACCACCGCCGTCCGGAGATCCAGTCTACATGGCCGATAAGATGTCGAGATTTCAAGTATGCCTGTTTGTCGCAACAATCGGTATGGCCCAATTATGCGCTCGTAGGTAAAATGACACCATGATTCCTATGCCATCTTGTTGTTTGCCGATTAACACGAATTCTAGAAGTAGGTATCGGCCAGACGCTAGCAAATTTTCGAGACATTGGAGTTAGCTACGGCATCAAAAATGCTGGTAATTTGATCTGGTTTCTTTCCGGTTATAGTCTGGCAATTGGTACCTTTGTTCTGATAGCAGGCAGGCTTGGTGACATCTATGGACACAAGACGATGTTCCTTGCTGGATTTGTCTGGTCCGCCACCTGGTCTGCTATCTCTGGAACAGCTGTCTACTCGGGCTATATCCTTTTTATCGTATCTCGAGTGTTCCATGGTCTAGGCGCGGCCCTTTCCCTCCCAAATGGACTTGCTCTTCTAGGGGTCACGTATCCTCCCGGAAAGCAAAAAGCCGCGGCCTTCACTTTTACCGCGACGATGGGACCTGTTGGCATCATATTTGGGTCGGCGAGCGCGAGTTTATTCGCGTTGGTTTGGTGGCCTGTAACATACTGGGTTTTTGCGGGAGCACTACTTGTTATTGCTGGAGTAGGATACTTCACCATCCCTAAAGTCACTCGGAAGAACAAGACCCCTAAGAATATTAATGCTTTGATAACAGAGCTCGATGTACCAGGCGCGGTCACAGGAATCTCGGCCCTGGTGCTAATAAGCTTTGCTTGGAATCAGGCGCCGCTCGTGGGGTGGCAAGAGCCGTACCTCTGGGTTGCACTCATCCTCGGCACTTTACTTGCCATATTATTCCTGTTGATTGAGATCTACTACGCCCCTAAACCGCTTATCCCTTTTTATACCCTTTCGTCTGATGTGTCTCTTATCCTTATTGCCGACGCCTGTGGTTGGTCATGCTTCGGAATCTGGGCTTTTTATACCTGGCAGTTTGTTGAAAACATTCGCGGTGCCTCTCCGCTTCTGGTATGTCTGGGGATATTCTACATTGACTCGTATGGCTAACTTGAGTCCGAATCATAGGCCGCTGCGTATGTTAGCCCATGTATAGTCGTCGGAATTTTGGCCACACTATCGACGGGTCTTATCCTCCAGCGGTTAGGAACACTCATCGTTGTGTCCATCTCTCTCCTAGGATTTACATTGGGATCCGCACTTGTTGCGACAATGCCCGCTATTCAGAGCTACTGGTCCCAGCTCTTCATATCTGTGTTGGTGGTATCTTGGGCAATGGATACGGGTTTCCCAGCCACAGCATTAGCCCTATCCAATGCTGCCGAAAGAAAACACCAAGGGACAGCGGCGAGTCTGGTGAGCACCGTTATGAACTACAGCATATCGATTGGGCTCGGTGTCGCTAGGACCGTGCAGTCTCGTGTGGACATAGGCGGAAAGTCCATCGGGAATAAATTGACCGGGTACAGAGCTGCACTTTATTCTGCGCTCGGCTTAGCAGGACTGGGTGCACTTATCTGTACCATGTATCTTTTAAAGACGCTCTGGCGGAAGCGAGGACAATACTATAACTTTCATGGATCTGTAGAAGGGAATCAGATCTAGTTATGAATGGGCATTGGGCCTACTAATGAGCGTATGATCATGTCTCGCGTCACTATCAAGAGCGCTAATGGCGCTGGTGATACGAAAATTCAGGTGAGAATACTGCCACAGCTAGATAGCCAAGTGACTTGAATGTGCTAATATAGGGAATTCTAGAAAGTCATTAATTGTTGAATATTTTGTACATAGAGTGGTGAAAAATAGGTAGGACGTGACAGACCCAGGCAACTAATACGAGAAGAACTAGTAGCAAAGCCACTGTCCGTTACGTGGTATCCTAGGTAGTTGGTCGTCAGGGAAGCAGAAAATGAGAAGCGGTCTCATATATTAAGTCTTTTCAAGTTGATTAGCGAGTTATTTGATCCGAGGATGCCGATACGGTATGAAATGGTGTCATTTCAATGGCCCCTAACTATTCTAGTGAGATCTTAGTATCTTAGAGCCTTGTTCAACCTCAGCTAGGAGTCATTTTATTACCACGCTCGCCCACGGTGGTTAACTTGGGACGTTATGGCAGAAGCAATCGTAACACAAAGTCTCGTCTGCAGTGCGATATAAATTACCGCTTTTACTGGAGAGAATCGATGATGGCTAAACGGAAGATGGACTGTATCAGGTGGTCAGTTAACCATGGAACTGATTTGATTGCAACGCTCAAGAAGACGGGAGAGAGACTGAAACCTGATACATTGTACTGAATGTTGCCTGATTCTTGTAAGACCTCAATAAAATTGTCAACTCCAGCATGCCTGACGACACATACGTATGCCATTTTTGGTGGGTATATATTTGCATATACCCCGGAATATGCATTAATACCGCAGTACACATGTGAAAGTACCATACCGGCAAAATGGGGGTTTGACAAACGGTTATCGGACGTAAAAACGATGATCGCCATATGTATGATTCAGTTGGAGGCAAATGGGTTTTGACCCAAGGACGGTTTTTGATTTGCCAACGCAAATCTTCCTCGCTTTGATTGGCTAGAATAAGTGGGGTTGGTCCAAAAATTGAAAAGATTTGAAAACGGCGGGAATCGAACTGGTATTCTCTTGTAAGAGCTTTTATTAAGACGATATTTACTAAGAGAGTTTAATTTGTTTACAAGGTAATTCTTTACTGTTTTACTACATATCAAAGGCTATATTCTAGTCACTTCTCGAGAATATTATCATAATGAAGTTTACAAGCTTTACGGTTGAGCTAAGTGGTCTAACCATACTACTGAAGGCTTAGTTGTAAACTTATTTATAAAGCTAAAAAAGTTCAACCAATTAAAAGAATTTACAGCAAGATGTCTCCACTTTATAAGCATCTCAAAAACGATTTTCTACCAATGCAAATGATTATTGCCCTGCAAATGGTTTTTAGCTGCGAAGAACGGTAATTAGCTTGCAACAACGGTTTTTAACCATTAAATAACCGTTTGTGAAAACCACACATTCCCGGTATGGTATCCATATGGATCTTTGCCCCACCTTCGCCATCAAGCTGTCACAAACAGGAGGAGCTATGACCAAATGACGTGTATATTGCCCCTCGCTCCTTCACTAGAGGCTTGTGATGGGCAAGGGGTTGGAATCAGGTGTTGAAGAACGAGAAGCCGCGTGTTAACGAGGCCTCCAAAACCCGGCAGCTTCTAGTCTCGATTCTTCAACAATTTCATATTTTAGGATCTTCAACTTCTACATCCTTCTGAACTAGAACTTCTCAACGCTGAGTTAACTTCTTTACTCAATCACCCATCTGCACGCCGAGATACAATACATTATCTGCATTCGCATCCAGCATTAGACTACCCCTCAGTTACTTACCTACTAGGTACCTACACCAGCATCATGGCCGCCAACCTTACCGTTCTGGTGAAGAACATCAACGCTGAGACGGATGACAAGGAAGTCAAAGACTTCTTCAGTTTCTGGTATGTCACATATATCTATTTCACCATCTTGTGTCTACATACTTATTTCTTCTCAACAGCGGTAAGATTACTGAAATCAAGATCACGCCGGGCGAGGGCAACACCAAGGATGCTAGCGTCACATTCGAGAAGGAGACTGCTGCTAAGACCGCGCAGCTCCTGAATAACACGCAGCTCAAGGGCTCGCAAATCTCGGTAACCCCCGCTGATGGCAAATCTGATGACGGCGCTCCTCATACCACTAATACCGACCGCGACACCGACGAGATCACCCAAGAAGAGAAGCCCAGAAGCCGTATCCTAGCAGAGTACCTTGCTCACGGATATGTTGTTGGCGATGCTGCACTCCAGCGCGCGATTGAACTTGACACCAAGCACGGCGTCACTAACCGCTTCATGAATACCTTGATGAACCTTGACCAGAAATACCACGCCACCGAACGTGCTAAGGCGACCGACCAGTCGTACGGCATCACTAACCGAGCTAACAGCCTCTTCAGCGGCCTCAGCTCGTACTTCGAGAAGGCAACGAGCTCTCCTACAGGCAAGAAGTTGGTTAAATTCTACACTGATGGCCAGCGCCAAGTCCAAGACATCCATGCCGAAGCGCGTCGTCTAGCCGACCTCAAGAAAGAGGAGCACGGTGGCAGCGCATACAAAGCTTCGGGACTTGAGAGAGTCTTTGGCAAAGAGAAGGAACATGCTGCTCAATCAACTACTACTGGCGGCGCTACCTGTAAGTACTTCCTTTATTACCGTATAACAAGCCTGCTGGTATTGGTAAATGATAACAAGTGTTATAAAAACCGGAGATGTAATGTCAAGTGCCTCTGAAACACAGAAAATCGCTCATATCGGACAAGATTAGATGTTGCATTAGAACATTCACTGACAATTTTTAATTAGCTTCGGTTCCCGCACCTGGCCCTCAAGCTGGTACAACGGAATCTGCCCCGCTAGCCTCTACCGAAGCTATTCCCGCTAAAGCGCCCGAAACTGAGAAATCGTGAGGAATGAAAGGAATATTAGTGCTGTTACGACTTCATGACTCGGGACAGGTTTTTCTATAGCTTTATATTATTAGGCTAATGCAATTCGATTGTGCCTTTGATGATACTTCCATCTCTTGAAATGAAATTATTGTGATATGAGGCCCTGCTCTTAGGGGCGATCTGCGACAACAGTGAACGGATTTTAGGCATCGATATTGACCGTTACGACAAGGCTAAAAATGTCGTCAAGTACGTCAGCGTCGACGTTGTTGCATGGGCGATATGACATTGTTTCTACTACACAATATGATCCCTACAACCATTTATAACTTTCACGAAGCGCGAATAATAATATCAAAATAAAATACCTAGACACAAAAGCTAGAGTAGTGGTGCCTGATAACAATAATTGCTCAGGATGAATTTATCTGTCTAATCGCGAGTTGGCTAGACATAGACGCCTGATTGTATCGTACCTAACCCTTTGCTTCCTTGAAAATAAATATGTTGCTTTTCTAATAACCCTCTAACCATACATACAGCAACACCAATTGTTTACGATGACGGTTTCGCAGATTTGGTGAATTTCTCTTCCACCGAATCTTCGAGGGGTCCTCTAGGGTTCGAAGTCAAGTTCTACAATTAAACCAATATTAGTTACATGTTGATTTGAGTTATGGAGATTGACAATTAGGGCTGACCTTAAGTTGATCCTGCATAGATTCTTTCTTGTTGGGTGCTTCATCAGTACCTTGGCCAGAGGCAGGTGTATCTTTGAGCTGAGCGCCAGACTGGCGCTCAGGGGGAGGTGATTGACGGCCTTCGTTTGATGCAGATGACATTTTGATGGATAGGACTAGTTATTATGAGGTTTTGGAGATTTGATAGGTATTTTGGACTGTTGGATGATGAGGGTTGAAGTTTGAGGTTTAATGTTTTGAGCGACTTATGTTTAGGTAGGTAGTGTCTTAGTTGACTTAAATACACTTGTCGGACCTCTTTTGATATGCAAGAGATCGGTAATCACATAAGCAAACAACACAGGATCCTATGAGAGTTTGTTACGACCGGACATTGAAACGTAGTTTGACATCAGAGCAATTATCTATGCCGTCATCTTCACATATTCGGATGTTTGACAGAGAAGCTACCCTACGTCATTGGACTCTCTTATCGATAATTGACGAAGTGTATCACGGAGCTACTAGGCCAAAAAGAGCTTAGGTGAGAAGCTTTGAAGTATTTATGTACCGATGGTGCCTGCCCTGTGTCTGATAGCATGAATCAACTGCAGAATTCAAGCCACGGCCCAGAAACGGCTATCGATAAGGCTGACCGGACCCCGCATGTGCATGCGGAATGAAGCTCTAAATTTAAGCACTGACCGAAATGGGTGAAATGGGTGGAAGAGTGGAACCAGACAACTTTCCGATTTGGCGGAAAGCAAAGGCGACCACTCAACGCGACCACTTTCACCAACCATCTTCTAGTTATTGCTTGCCTAAACAAATAACAACGCCCTTTGATATTTCCTCGTGGTCATCTCTTACAGGGAAAGGCAATGTGACCTTACTGACAGAAGATTACTATCTGTTCGGCTCTGATGCTCCTCCTAGGAGCTCACTTTTAAATCAACCTTCGGTTGACGAGCGACAAACATACACCGAACAAGCCTTAAGGACATCAAACCCACTTGACCAGGTGATTTAGATAAACATGCCCGACCTCAATTCCGTCCCACCCTCTCCCCATATTCTTGCCGCCTCTCGTCAAACTTCCAACCAGAACGGCCAGTCTCAAGTCTCGCCCCCTCCTCAAACGCCCATCTCGCCCTCTCTTAACATTTTACCCTCGAATCAGCATGCTGTCAACCGAGCATCTTTGACTTCTCTCCCATCACCATCACTATCCGGAGTTTCTGCAATGCCTCCGCATCCCGCCCCAGGACAAGACAACACCGGCGTTGGTGCTGGTCCAGGTCCCTTGAGACATCCACGTCCCCTGACAGCTGCTGAGTTACATTCGCAGCTAGAGCAGGAGCAGGAGCTATTGGTATGATATCATGGGAACGTCTGGCGATATATGTGGTCATACTGACTACTAGTCTAGGTGAACCGCTTAACGCGTGATTTGACTATGCTTCGAGCGGCGCAGAACTCGTCAGTGGCCTCGAATACTTCATCAACGAGCGCATCGACCTCTGCTGATCAGACCCACCCATCGTCCTTCACCGACACCCATCTCCTATCTGGCCCTGGATTTCCCCTTCCCACGACTAGTGCTGATCGTCGACATCACCGAACGGGATCGAGTGCTAGTACGCGTAGTCTGAACCAGTCTATTACTGCCTCACAAGGCTCTACACCTGCTCCTATACCGATCCCTCATTCAGGAAACGCTGCTTCGGTTCTAGAAGCGGCAAGGAATCCTCGAGGTGCTCCAGGCATGAGCCGACAGAATAGCACCGCTTCTCAGAGAAGCGGAAGTCGAACTCATTCACCGCATCCGTACCACATTAGCACTAGCCTTGGCTCCTCTTACACGCAACCACACGGATTTTCTTATGATTATGGATCGAATTACTTCCCTCGTGGCTCAGCATCCTCCAGTACCAGTGTTGCCGCTACTCCCGGAGGGGAGCTCTCTCCGGGCCTCTTACCGGCGACTCTGCGGTACGAGGAGACGGCTCACTACCGACAAGAGTTAGACTTAGCTAAGCGCGAGAACGAATCTCTCAAGAGACGTATCAAGGATTTGGAGCGAGCTCTACGTGACCGTCGGCAGAGCGATGCTAGCCGCACTAGCGCTGGAAGGGACCGGAGCGAGAGTAGCAGCACTGCGGCAAGTGCTAACGTCAATGCCGGCGGTGCTGCTAGGGTCGGAAGCGTCATCGGAGGTGGTACGACTATAGCCGGAGACCGCAGAGGAGAACGTAGAGCCATGGAGCGAGGAATTAGCAACCTGAGTATCTCTGGTAGCGTTGGGGCTGGCGTGCCTGAGGAGGAACTGAAAGTGGGCGAGAGTGCTGCGAGCGCTGGTCTACCACCAGTCGGCGACCAGAGTCGGGATACGAAGTAGGGATATGGACATCGAGTCTCAGACGGGTATTGGACCGCGGTGCGGATTTCTCAAAATATCAATACCGATGTCTATGTGGACGGAGATCACTGTTGGACGGATGAATAAAATGATTGCACGAGGTACTGCACCTCTTGGTTGTGTTAGGCCAGTTAAGAGTCTTTCCCCTAGCTTTGGTCAAGGACGGTTCCTGAAGACATGCTCAATCTCACTAGGTAGCTGCTTAACTGAGTACCTAGCAATCTTGCTATCAACGTACGGTAGACCACACTGATTAATAAACACCGTATGTTAGGAGGTTCGATGTTTCAGTTGGTGCTCATTCTATCGTTTATGCTGAATACTGCCTGAGTCTTTTAAGACTCATATTAAGCCATCTAAATGTGCTAATAATAGTCTTCATTAAGACACTACCTCTTAACATTACACTGAGACTCAGAATTGGCCTATTATATTGTAACCTACTAAATCCGACCTGATACTCGGATTTTAGGTAATAATTCGGGCAGTACCCCGGATTCAGCAGATGCAGCAGCAGTTGCTTCCGTGAGTTGGCGCTCCTTTAATAACTTCGTTTCAATGGCGCCATTTCACCAAGAGTTTCGTTTACTCATTACACCGAAACTATGCCGCATACAGGGCAATCCCTGTACTATCCTGCCTGGCTAGACGCGGCTCTTAACTCTATTACCTACTGTAATTCCAGGTTTACGTTGTGCAATATCCGCTTGCTAACATGTCTCAGCTATAGCTTTGCCTCTCTTACTCCTAGTTACTTATATCATGTTCCAACGTCAACTTCATATTCCAGAGGCTCAATAGTCTCAAAAATCTACTTCTATTTGAAGACTTTGACCAACTGACTCGGATAGTAAGAAGATACAATGAAAACGATCGTAAAATTATCTGCGGCCCATCCCGGTGGTGTAGGCTAGTCAGCATACCGGCGCCTACCAACTTGTCACGCTACTAGCGAGAAAAGCCTGCATCCAGGCGATCACGCAATTGGGTCCACACGAAAATTTCGACCTTTGTCAGTTCGACGTCGCGACAACCATGCATGTATATAATGCGTGCTCGTAAGCCTATAAGGCGTGGGCGCAATGGCACTCCGGAAGAAGACTAAGAGTTTCTTTCGAGTCCGTTGCGCCCATAGTGACTCTACTCCTACCTGGTCGATACGGACCACTTAGTGATAGCATAGAGTAGCGACGGGAATATTGTCAAGAAAAAGAGAAAATGGCGAATTCAGCTTCGGATCATACCGAATCCTCCGAGGAGGTTATTGCTTCTGCAGCCTCCGCGCCGCTTAAGCACTCCATCTTTCGATCCGTCCCCTTCCAGATCGCCGTCGCATGTGGCGTCTCCTTCACTGCGCCGGGTATGTGGGATGCGCTGGGCGGTCTCGGAGCCGGCGGCGCAGCTGAGCCCTATGCCGTATCGGCGGCCAACGCTCTGGTCTACGGTCTCTTTTCCATCGTCTGCGTGGCGGCCGGCGCGATCAACAACCGCATCGGCCTGCGCTACGGCCTCGCTCTCGGTGCGATCGGCTACCCGCTCTACGGCGCCGGGTTATACACCAACAACGTCAACGCAACCACCTGGTTCATGCTGTTCGGAAGCGCGCTTTGCGGTATCTCTGCCGGCTTCTTCTGGGCCGCCGAGGCTGCGATTATTATCGGTTATCCGAGCCCCCAGGACCGCGCGTTTTACCTCGCCGTCTGGCAAACTGCGAAGGCGGCCGGCCCTATCGTCGGAGGTGCTATCAACCTCGGTCTCAACGCGAATCGCTCGACTTCCGGTTCCGTGGGCTCTGCCACGTACATTGTGTTCATTGTGATTATGTGCTTGGGGCTACCAATTGCTCTCTGCCTTAGCCCTGCGAGCAGGGTGTGGCGACGGGATGGCACGCTTGTCGTTGTGCGCAAGGAGCCGACATGGCGCGCTGAATTTCGCGCTGTAGGATCCCTATTGGTTTCTCGGCGCGTACTGTTACTACTACCCGCGTTCTTCATCAGCTACTTCTATAATGGCTTCGTCAGCACGTGGTTGACCAAGTACTTCACGGTTCGCTCGCGCGCCTTTTCGTCTTTCTTCACCAATTTCGCCGGTATCTTCAGCTCTTTCTTAGTCGCCGCCCTGCTCGACCGCCAACGCATCCACATCCGGACGCGGGGCCGCATGGCTTTCATCGCTATCGTCACCATACTCATCGGTACCTGGATCTGGGCTATTATTCTACAGAAGCGGTTTTACGATGCGCCTGAAGCTCCCGTGTTTGATTGGTTTAAGGGCGGTTTTGGTTCGGCGTACGCGCTCGTGTTCTTCTGGACTTTCGCGGGCCAGGCTTTCCAGCAGTTCCTCTATTGGCTTGTAGGCCAGTACGCAACGGATCTGTCGTCGCTGTCTCATCACACCGGTATCTTGCGAGGCGTGGAGGCGTTAGGACAGACGGTAGCCTGGGCGTAAGTCATCCTTTACCTACCTACCTTTTTCCTTAATCCGGGCGCTTCATTATATGCTAACTCAATTTTAGTATGCAATCTGAAGGTGGCGCCAACCACTTCGTCAGTATCGGGCTTAACTTCGGCATCACCGTCCTCTGCATCCCGTTCACCTGGATCGTGCTCTCGGAGCTCGACCACAGCCACGAAGTCAAGGTGACGGAAGCCCAGGTCACGACAGAAAACGCGCTTAATAAACGGGACGATGTCGATGCCGCTGCTGTTTAATATTTCGTGCTTATGGGCGTGTATGATACGACTTTTTGGGTTTACTAAAGTGTTCGGACATATGTATTGGGTGTGCCATATATCACGATAATAGACGGGATTGGGAGCTTTGGATGATACCCTAAGTACTGAATAGACGATTGATTGGCGATATACGAGGTTCAAAGGCGGGCTGGTAGGGACCTATGCAGCAAGCCACTTGATTGTTGCATGCGCACTACTAAAGACCTAACCTACAGGGAGCTAGCATGCACCTGGAGGCGCTTAATAAGTTAGGGCTCTAACAGAGAGCGCTAGATTTCGGAACTTTCCTGCTAGAACAGTTGCGACTCGCGGACGGTATATTCGTCATTTCTCCTATTCTTATGGCTAGGCGACTAAATGGCATATACTTTCTTTTTGCTTCGGTTCGATCTCAATTGTGCCGAAAGCGCGAAAAAATTGAATCAGATCATTCTGTGTTAAGATGGTACCACGTGTGACGGTTTAGCGACAAAAGTCTTAGTTGATATGCGACTTGGAGTGTAGTGGGAAGATGACTTGTAGTGATACCACTCGACTTTGGTATATTCACTAGCACAAAGGCTTTGATATGATTACATAGGTTTGGACTACCTATTATGCTGAGTTGAACTAGGTAGGCAGTAAATAGTGGTTATTCATCAACTGGAGGACCTATCTAACAAACAAAGGACTAGGTCCACCGTACCAGGGCTATTTTCTCGCAATGCAACATCTTTCCGGTCTCATTATTTCCCCTGTCGATCGGCGTTTGGGCTAAATCCGACGGAGACCAACGTTATTCAGTCAGCATGCATCAAAGCGGTGACCTTTCTTTCGGCGTGACTCCCAACTGACTTAGACGTTGCTCATATATGTCGCACAGCCTACCTCGCTCGGTTTCATCAGGCCAGGTAGTAGGTTGACCATATCGCAAATTCAAGGCAGTCAACTCCCTTTAGTGGGCAAGCGCATGATGGGTAGCGAAAACTCTCCGAAAGGTCACAGCCAAGGGCTTACGAGTGCTCTTGAGCGACTCACCTGGACGCCGCCATGGGTTAAATGGAACCCTGAAGCAAATCATGATCTTAGCTGGACGATGAACATTCTGTTTGGACTAGTAAGTTGTACCCAGGGTGTTTGACACAGCTTGATAACTCTGCGCGACCTACCGCTGATTCGGATCAGACTGCTGCTTTCAGTGTCGCGAACCTATACTATACCCATCCTATCTTAAATATCCTTGCGGATGACTTCGATGTGTCAGATCAACGTTCTTCTCTGGTCCCGACTCTCACTCAAGCTGGGTATGCCGTCGGGCTTCTCCTTATTGTTCCGATCGGAGATATAGTTCGACGGCGACCTATGATCCTCAGTCTGATATTCATGGCTGCACTGATAGTATGTATAGATCTATAGCAGAAGAAAACCCCGTTAACCCCTTATAGTGGCTTGGATGCACTCTGACGCAATCCTTCTCTGTTTTCTTGGGACTCTCCTTTTTGGTCGGGCTCTTAACCGTGACTCCGCAGTTTATGTTTCCGCTTGCGGTTCAGTATGCACCTCAGCGACATCGGGCCACCATGATTTCTATAGTCATGTCTGGTCTTGTTTTTGGCGTCCTAGTTGCTCGTCTTCTCAGCGGCATTGTCACTCAATACACGTCATGGAGAAACGTGTATTGGGTTTCTTTTGGCCTCCAGGTGCTTGCCTGGATCTTCCTCTTCTTCGTGATGCCCGATTATCCCATCTTGAGCCCTGGGACATCCTACCCAAGGATTCTGTTGAAGATCATTACATTGCCTTTTCTCAAGCCTGAACTTACCCAGAACTCGCTCATTGCTTTCTTGACGATGGGCATGTTCACCTCTTTCTGGACTACCTTGACGTTCCAGCTTGCCGACGTCTTCCACCTGTCCACCTTGGCCATCGGCCTCTTTGCGCTTATCGGAATCTCGCCGGTGTTTCTAAACCCGATCATATCGCGAGTCCTGATAGCACGCCTACATCCTCATGGTTCACTCATAATCGCACATCTTGTAACTATCGCCGCGATTTGCGTGGGCACGTTCGTGGGGACCTTCTCACTGGCGGGTCCTGTTATCTGGGCATTCTTCGGAGATCTCGGGATGAACACGATCATCGTTGCGAACCGTGTTGCCATAGCACATGTCGACTCCAAAGCTCAGAATGCCGTGAACTCCGTCTACATGGTCCACACCTTCTGCGGACAACTCTTCGGCACAGCTGTTGGCAATGCCTTATATGCGAAAGGAGGCTGGACGTATTCTGGTGCATTCAATATCGCCCAGATCATAGCGGGTCTGCTAGTCCTTGTTGTGAGAGGACCGCATGAGAAACATTGGGTGGGTTGGCGGGGTGGGTGGAATTTGAGGAAGTCGAAGACCGAGGAAAAGGCCCAATCTCCCAACGCGCAAACTGATGTTGAGGCGAATACTGAAGAAACCACGACGGAAGCGCCTACTGAAATACCGACGGAGGATGAGGCTTCTAAAGAAAAGTTTGAAGACCGTGTTGAAAAAGGGGGTGGGTCTGGAAATATCATGTCTTAGGCAGTACCTACCCCTATGTAGTATGACAAATATTAGGTACTTAGGTACCTTGTATATCAGCGGCTATTTGAAGAGAAAGACGCCACAACTCAGTCGCCATCGGTTCTTCTTCCAGGTCTGGTCTCGTAAGTAAAGTTTGATTTATGTGTGGTGTTGATTTGAGTTCACGTCAAAAGGTTACTGCCACCTCATTTCCTTCAGAGATAAAGTGTGCATCTAGGGGAAGGTGCAACGAACACGGCGGATGTAACTTGCTCAAAAGCGTTCTCGTTAGATTCAGACTTAAACATACAACATAAACGCTAATCGACTCGCTTCAGTTTACATTAATGATGTGATAATTCTCAGGCGATCTATCGAGGACCACGTTGGGCACTGCATCTATAACTTGGCCTAATGTGTGTGTCATACTTTTGATATTCCCCAACGCAGGATAGGTAATCACACTACGAGGGACTGGGAGTCTCCCTCTTCTAGATCATGTACGGCTACTCCCTATCTGGGATTTCGAACTCGTTCATCCGCCTGAAGACACCCGATCGCTCCTCACGGCCATGTGCTCACCAGATTGCGCCTCCTCGACCGATAAAGCCTTCATAAGCCTCATTGTTGACCATGTAACCCGCATAGAAAGTTGCCAAAAATCGGGTTCAGGGATACTGGAAACTTGTTGATGCAACTAGACCCAGCTACATTCTGGAAGAGAGCCTCATATGTCAAAGGATATATCTAAATATATTCTGTCAAAAGGGAAAGACACCATAGCTACGCGAAAAATGGACCGGACCGTACATCGTTGGGCTGCGAACTGGTTGGTCGTCATTCCAGTTACTGCAGTTAGGGGGCTCGCCTAGATTGAAACCAGGTGTACAGCGATGCAAGCCATTTTTTCCCTATTATTCTTGTTCCTACTTTTACCCGGACTAACTCTCCCCTGATGTGCTGATCTTCGTATGGATTAGAAGATTACGCCGACCGTACGGAACTCGCTCTTTAAGGCTATTTACCTTCTGGGTTCAACGCATATAGTTTTTCAGAGAACAAGTTTTCAAAATTACCGCTGATCGTGTTGGGACAACATAACTGGGATAGGCGAAGGTGGGCATTGGCATTTCACGGTAAACGGCTAACGTGTTGTTGGGGAATACCAAAAGTAATGATGTCGGATCGTGATCCTCTATGGCTTGGAGAATCCTGGGAAACATATGGCAGAAATTGGGAATCGAGCTTTTGTACTCCACGGCCTACCACGCACAATCAGCGGACAGATAGAAAGGGTAATTTTACGGGCCAAATCGGCATGTAGACACCTTTGCTACGCTTTAAATATGTAGACGAATTAGCCTCGAAACAGTCCAACATACAGCAATAGCCACCAAGCTATTACAGCAAGCATGATGAATCCGTGGAAACCGATGCTGAAATACGATACGATGCTTGACGCAACTAAATGATGATATATACACCAATGGCTCATAATACAATTCTATGATGGCAAGCCGAGGACAATGCTACTTGTACTATGAGGAATACATAAGATCATTCTTCGATTTCGTCGATTTCTAAGAAAACCTAACCAACCTACCTTATAACATTCCTGCCTCTTCTAAATCTATTTCGTGAGATGGTCTAGTGGGATTTAAGTTCGGCCCACGGGAGACCTCTTAGTGATTAGACCTAGAATAAAGCAAAGGAAGGGCTTCTCCTGGGTATGGTATTCCATTGGCACCTAGGCAAGGACAGTTTAGAGCTCCTCACGCAACCAAGTTATTATTTCCTCGCTATCTAGTTCTCTGTCGTGATAGGATACAATATACCGGTATTAACGTTGGACAGTTTATAGGTAGTTTTAAAGTTGGTCAGACATGAATATCTCATCAAGATCTAATGCAACTGTAATCATATCGCGCTTCCCGACGATCTAAAATGAACGGGGAAATTGTGCACACACATACATCCTGGTGTGAGATCCTCCTATGGGAATACTTGGTCTATACTGAAGGCATAGAATAATGAGTAGTTATTTCGTACACTTCATAAATTGCCTGGATGCCCTTTGCCCCTATTTCCGATGTCAACGTTAAATGGCTGGCGGATCAAACTCTAAAATAATGCTTCTATAAGCCACAATGTAACTACGCTGGGAAATATATACAATTTGTTTATGTTTACAAACGATCTCAATCATCTCCGAAAACGCTTTAGATTTACTAGTACCATGATCGAACCTACATATTAGAATCGGAGATACATATCTTTTGCGTATATCTTTCCTACTATATCCCTACAAACTTCCTTCCACTCCATGATCAACAACCTTGTCACTTTTCCACTACAACATAAGTCCCATCGAATTATCCTAGGATTCCCAGCTTTATAAGCTCTAAAATGGAGGTACGCAGAGTGCGGTATTTGCTATTTATTGATATTCCTTCTCGGGGAATGATCTTCCAAAAGCTTCGTACCATTTTCAATAACATTGAGCTGTCCCAAACAGCCTACGTTCTATCTAAAGTCAAGTTTCCTTATTTACTGCTGGATCGGATGCACTGACAATATATCAGCATCTGGAAGCCGAAATGCGTCGTCTCCCACCACGGAATGCGTATTTCAATGTCGTCTACTATGATACGCCGAATCCAAATCCTACGCTTCGAGAGTTGGCTTCTTTGACTCCAAAGTTAGCTTTTAAAACTCCAGATTCAGCTCCTATGATTCGAGCTTCAGCTTCAACGACTCCAGATTCAAACTTCACGACTTCAGGTTTAAGTTCCACGACCCCAAAAATTAAACTGCCTTCGATCGATAGATTTGGATACCCATATTTCGCCGTCACAGTCTCGTATAAAAGGGATATAGTGCAACAGAAGTTGCCGAATATCAGACATCCTCTCCCTAGTGGACCATATTCACGCAAACCGCAGGAGCCTAACCAACCGTGCCACAATTCCCGGCCATGCAACCGTGGCACTATCTCGCAGAAGACGGTCTCGGAGAAGACTTCGAGAGAGAAGAAGAGAGGAGAGGCATTGTTCAAAGACGGCATAGGACAGAAAGCACGCGTTCCTTGCACACATTGTACTAACAATCCCGATGGATGCTGGGTACCGACCAGTGACCATGTCAAACAGTACAACTCGCTCAAATGTGCGAAGTGCATTTCGCAAAAGTCGAAGTGCAGTTTCAACATCAACAATCCCGGTATCGATTACCCGCCCGGGGTGTTGGCGGAGATAAGTCAGAAGGAGGAGAACAAGCGGGCGAGCAGGGAGAAAGCCTTGGCGACCAACTGCAAGAAACGGAAGGAACCTCTTTGGGGACGCCCCGTAAGCCAGGAATCACAGGCCTCCAGTAGCTCGGGTACACTGGAAGGCCCCGTTGCTCCTTCGATTTGGAAGGAGCCACCCGCCAAAGAAACTATCGGAGCGCCACCGCCCGAGAACGGGCAGGAAGAGCCATCGACGGAGAAGAGATGAATGGAAAAGGACTAGGTTTTGAATTTTTGAAATACGACGGTGTTGGCAAATTTGTTTCTTGTTATGCTTGAAAGTTAAAAGTTTTGAAAATGCAGGCTAGGGCTTGGACTTGAAGGTTGTCAACGACCTCGTCTTGGAGAACTTACTGCGGCAAAATCATTTGTTTGGGGTTATTCACGTTTAACGGAGCTGTGGAAGCAGTTGATATATCCTGCATCACGGCATTTCGGCCCAGGAATTGGCCTGGATATCTAGGTATTGAGGTGGAGATATAGTACTACTTCATGCTATTTCTTAACCTCTACCTAAGACAGTTATGAATTGATTATTTTTATGCGAAACCCAGGCTACTGTATCTTGCATGGGCCATAATGTAGGTATCAGCTAAATATTTCAAGCGACAATCGTTTAGGCCGAGTCTGAACCCCTATCTCTGTCGACAGTCGTAGCCCCTATTCCACTAGCCACCACAGCCACATATCTTCGCCAGTATCGATATTATCAATTCATACTGTAAAATCATTCGATCTCCAACTAGAGTGTCTCTTATCTACAGCTACTCCGATCACGCTCAAATACGAGTGATTATATGCCGATACGTAGTAATTCGATGGTCTTATCTCATTAGGAATAGAGAACACTAGAGACATCTAGTCTATTTGGTACCTAGAAGACTATGTATTTAAGCCGCCATACGTAACTTGCTATTTTAATCAGATCGCTTATTCCACTAAGGCGTCACGAAATGGATATCGTGCCCTCTTGTCTATCCGCGCCTTTGCCTTCAACATATTGAATCAAATCATTTCTCACCTCGTAAACATGGACAAACGCGCCGCGATTCCCGTCGCCCTGCCAAGGGAAAACCCTACCCAGAGTTACTGGCAGCTTGAACCCGACGAGATCGCCGACTTGCGCTTGACCAACTCGCTGCCTGATAAAGCCGACGTCGTCATCATCGGAAGTGGAATTACCGGAGCTGCCGTAGCTTTCAACCTCTTGAGCAGCGGCGCCCGCGATGTTGTCATGCTGGAAGCTCGGCAAGCGTGCTCAGGCGCTACCGGACGAAACGGTACATCTCTCCCGCCCGAACCCCTCTCCGGCTAACTGTAGCTTACTCCATGTCTCATAGGCGGGCATACCAAGGCGGCGTCCTACCGCTCATTCTTAGCCCATCAGAAAGAATATGGAACAGCTATGGCGGCGAAGATTGCTCGCATGGAATTGGCGAACGTGCGCGCCGTCCATGCCTTCGCAAGGGAACACGGGATCGAATGCGACAGCACTCAACTCGACACCGTAGACGTCGTCTACGAAGCGGCGCAGTGGGAGCTCGACCAGATAGCTGTAAAGGCCATGCAGGACGCGATGCCGGGCGACGACGCGTCGAATTACAAACTCCACAGCCCCGAAGACATGCGGAACAAATTCTTCTGCGGCCGAGGGGGTGATGAGGGGGTGAGTGGTGGCGTGTCATACGAGGCGGGTAGCTTGAGCGCGTATAAATTCGGCATCGGCGTGTTGAAGCTGTGCTTGGCGAAAGGCCTCAACTTGCAGACGAATACGCCCGCGCTGAACCTGGAGAAGCTCGAGGGCGGCGGCGGCTGGAAGGTCGAAACGCCTCGGGGCGCGATCCGCGCGGGGAAGGTCGTCCTCGCTACGAATGCTTACACCGCGAGAGTCTGGAATAGGTTCCAAGGCGTCATTGTTCCGCTTCGCGGAAACGTGACTGCGCAGAGGCCCGGATTGAATATGCCGAAGGACGGGTTGCCGGCGACGTACAGTTTCGTCTACGAAGGTGGTTATGATTACATGATCCAGCGACCTAAGGGCTCTAAGTTCGAAGGTGACATCGTGATTGGCGGGGCCCTGGCTAAGGCCCCCGAGGAGGGGCTCGGGGAATATGGGACCACGGATGATAGTGCGGTTAATGACGTTATCATGAAGTGCCTTAATGAAACCTTACCAAAGTATTTCGGCGATAATTGGGGCGCCGACGACCCGGAGGGACGTATTCGCAAGGCGTGGTCAGGTATTATGGGGTTTAGTCCTGATGGCTTCCCCTTCGTTGGTGAGGTACCTGGGGAGAAGGACCTCTGGATCTCGAGTAGTTTTCAGGGGCATGGTATGGTCCTATGTTGGATGTGTGCTCGCGCGCTTGTAGCGATGATGGAGGGTGGTGACGAGAAAGAGCTTGATGTCTGGTTTCCCGAAATATTCAAGATCAATGAGGAGAGGTTGAAGTTAACTTTTAAGGGACGGCTATCCTGATCAGGGAATCAGCTGAATTGGTAAGGCTCGTTCAAGAGGTTGCAATCGCCTTTCTTGTATATAAGCTGCCCTACGACTATAAGTTTGAGTAAAGAGGTTTGGCGTGAAGTTCATCTAATTATCTATGTTATGGGCCCTGGGAGGGCAAGGAGAAAGCGTCATTTTTGAGGCCGGTTAGGTATGTTGCCTAACGTCGGTGCATGGTAGAATGACGTTGCATAATGATTTAGGTCGCCAACAAGGTGAGGTGACTCAGGACTCGTTGCTCCTTTCTCGAGACAAGGGCGGTCTAAGGCATTAAAACACAACGTAATTAGGATCTAGATCTGATAGTTGATAGAAAAAGGAGCGTCGTATGATCTCAGCCAGTAATCTCGAGAATGAAGTGCATCTTGTTTCACTCGTTACGACGCTACCGCAGTCTTATCACCTCGTTCATGCGCTGTATATCTACCCGGCACCGAAAACGAGATGCATATATTTCGGGAGCGAAGGACCTTCAGCTTCGGCTGGTCGGACGATCGGCCAACGCAGCATTAGTCAATCTTACTTTACTGATCGATACTATCCCCATCTGCCGGATCGGAAATAACTTAATAATTATAGGGCTGAACAAAACGGTAAGTGAGTTTAAAGTCAGAGGAATACTGTCGTATCTAGGATGACTTCGCGAATTGAACGTGTCCGTTATTGCCCCTGAAAAATTATCGTGCTACGTAAACGCATCGATGATACCATGTATTACAACTCGACGACGAGTGACTCATGATTTATCCTCGAAAACATGAATTGAAATGAAAACTGGAAATATAGTAAAGGATTTGATTGATTGGTAGTTACCTACTAGTTTGGAAATATTATACCTTTTAAAGTAGGCAGAAATTCATGCCTCTGTCGATTCTGAGGCGGCCTAACTCGCACTTTACGATAATAATATTGTCCGAGAGACAAGCGTGGTCCTTCTGATATGTTACATCATGCTGCGGAAAGCTGCTACAATATCGCGCTAATATTACACTACGAAATAAAAGGAGTGACGCGTCCACTAATAGGTAGGTAGTTAGTCCAATTGACTGAGCATAGTCTCGGACACCCCGTGCAAGGCATCTAGGTAGTCTCTTAGCTTCTTAGTTATAATCTTTGATTGTATGAAGCCTCCAGCTACTATGCTGATGCAAAACGGTAACAGGATTGCCTTAGGCGGAGGCTCGGAGGTGGAGAACTCACGTATTTTCCGCTCGCAAATGAGCTCGCGCCTTTCGTCGTTTCGGGTATGTCTCCTACGGTTTTCTTCTCGCGCAAGGATACACTAATGCGGAAGTCTTCCGCCGCCCGAGCTGAGGCGAGAATGACTCAACAGGATCTAGCACGCCCTGGTTATGGAAGCCTGAACCGTGCGTACGTCCGTCGGTCTTCACGGGCGCTTCTCGGATGATCGATTCACGAGAAGACGGCCGCCGAGGTGGGCTAGCTTCAGAGCTGAAATAGGAATGGAGTTGTATTATGTAACGACCTGTACGTTTCGTATAACCTCTAGGGCTATGTAGGATAAATAAGTTCCTTTATTATATAACTTCTGCCTCTTCCTACTCGAAATATATCTTCTTTCACTATGAAGTCTTCACAGATCAAACATCTTTTCAACCCTTGTAATCTTAATTTTCTTCCTCATCCTAGTTAGCACTCATACCACTAAAATGCCTCTTAAAGTCCTAATAGTAGGCGCCGGCATTTGCGGTCCCGCCATGGCTCTTCTCCTGCGCCGCACCGACCCGGAAAATAGCGTGACGGTAGTAGAACGCTACCCGGGGATCCGGCACAACGGGCTTCAGATCGACCTCCGATCCTGGGGCGTGCCCCTAATGAAGCGTCTCGGCCTTATGGACGTCGTGCGCGAGAAAGTCGTGCACGAGGCCGGCTTCGCCTTCGTCGACGGCAAGGGCAAGAGACACGGCGTCTTCGGCACCAGCGGCACCGACAGCGGCGCCCAGTCCTTCACGAGCGAGTTCGAGATCATGCGCGGCGACCTCGCGCAGCTGCTCTACGAGGCCAGCCTCAAAGACCCGCAGACCGGGGTCATGGACCCCCAGCCTACGCCCGAGCAGATCGACGCCGAGGCGGAGAACAAGCCCGGCGTGCGATATCGATTCGGCATCACGCCCAAGACGCTGGTCCAAGATGACGACGGCGTGGACGTCACGTTCTCGGACGGCACGGAGCGGCGGTACGACCTCGTCATCGGCGCGGACGGCCAGTGGTCGCGCACGCGGCGCATGCTCTTCGGCGAGGAAGCCGGGCTGGCCATGCTGAAGCGGCTGAACATGTACACGGCGTACTACACGATCCCGCAGCAGCCGTCGGACGGCGAGCACGCGCTCTACTACCACGCGGGCGCGGGGCGCGGCGCCGCACTCCGCGCGGCCCACCCGCCCAGGACCCAGGTGTACCTCGTGGTGCGCACGGCGTCGGACGAGGTGCGGCGCGGCGTCGAGCGCCAGAGCGCGGCGGCGCAGATGGACACGTTCGGCAAGGTCTTCGCGGGCTGCGGCTGGCAGACGGAGCGCTTCCTCGACGGCATGCGCAAGGCGACCGACTTCTACGCCGACTCGATCGGCCAGGTGAAGGCGCCGCACGTGGCGCGGGGCCGCGTCGCGCTGCTCGGCGACGCCGGCTACTGCGCCGCCCCCATCACCGGCATGGGCACCACGGTCTCGCTGATCGGCGCCTGGACGCTGGCGGGCGAGCTGGCGCGGCACAAGGGCGACGTGAAGACCGCGCTCGAGGCGTACGATGTTAATGTGCGCCCGTACGTCGACGAGGCGCAGAAGCTGCCCCCCGGGTCGCCGTGGATGATGACGCTCCAGTCGAGCTGGGGCATTCGGCTGCTCCATTTCATCGCGTCGTTGGTCACGTTTTTCAAGATCGATAAGATACTCTTTGCTATCGTGCCTGAGAACAAGGGTGGCTTGGCGCTTCCGGAGTATCCTGAGATGGGCATCCCTGCTGCTCCTTAAAGTAGGCATCGTGGATAAAGGGATGAAGAGGGTCTAGGAGGGAAGAGGGAGACGGTTTGGTTAAGGCTCAAATACCCGCTCGAGAATCTACTCCGGCTGTTAGGAGGCCGGGATAAGCTGTGGAATAATGTGGTGTCGGGCGCAATTATGGTGCTTTGTAAATTTGTAAAATACCCAACTCTAGTATTTATACCGCTCAATTAGGTAAACTTGTATTGAACTCGAATTCTATAATGGTCAGTTGCTGTGACTTGGTATGTTCCTGACCGAGATGGTGGAGTGTGGCCTCCCATCATATGTCGCGTATAAGCTGAATATTGAGTAAATGTTTCATTCTGAGTAGATTACCTATATTACCTACTTATTCTCAAGCTATGGTAGATGGTCATCTCATCATTAGTAGCACATCACTGGCGCACTATGCTTTTGGAAGATAGGAGGCTTCAAACCTGCAATTAATCGACAATTATCTCAGTTCAGTAGATGGCTATTGGCGCTCGCACCCTCAGGCTTCTTCCAATGGACTTGAACGCCGCCCCAGCTTTCTTCGTTGTAGCCTTCCTGCACCTTCTTGCACATCTTGAGGCCCCATTCTGTTACGCCAACCATTAAAGAGCTCTCGAACATAAAGGCACAACTACCTTTCCCGACCAATGCTGGCTTAAGCTCAGCGTTACTAGCCCCCTCGAAACTCTTTGCGTCCGGGCCATGTCCACTCATGACATTATGTAAGCTGGCACCGCCGGGCATAAAACCACCCTGGCCTCCCTTCTTCGCGTCATACTCGCCCGCGATGAGGCCCATGAACTCTGACATAGTATTGCGGTGGTACCACGGCGGCCTGAATGTGTTCTCAGCGACCAGCCAGCGGGGAGGAAAGATGACAAAGTCGGCGACGGCGGTGCCGGGTTGGTCTGAGAGCGCCGAAAGCACGGTGAAGATTGAGGGGTCAGGGTGGTCGTACGAAATACTCCCGATGGTGTTGAAACGACCTAGGTCGTATTTGTACGGGTAATAAGTGCCGTGCCAAGCTACAACATCGAAGGGCGTGTGGGCTTGTTTGGTCTGGAAGAGCGAGTTGTTGAACTTGACCGTAATCGCGTAGGTGCTAGGGCCGTCAGAAGCTGTAGCGCCAAAGTCCTCGCTAAAGCTAGCGACGGGAGCCTGAAAGTCGCGGGCGTTGGCAAGGCAGTTTGATCCAATTGGGCCCAACTCTGGAAGAGTAAAATGACCCTGGTAAAGCTCGAGGGCATATCCACGGACTGGACCGGAGGGGAGATGGACTTGGTACTTAACTCCTCTTGGAATGACGCATATCTCCATCGGCCTGACTAGAAGCCAACCTAGCTCTGTCCTAATGTCTAGTACCCCGTCCTGAGCTACGATTAAGAGGTCGCCATCTGCTGAGTAGAAAGCAGACTTCTCGTCCATCGATTTCCCGGCTGCATATATGTACATGCCGATGCCTTGTTTCAGTGTCGCGTCGCCGGCCCCAGCCACCAAACGTAGACCGGATACGAAATCTGTCTGTTCATCGTGGTCGAAGGGATCCCATCGTAGTTGATTTGGTATATACTCCAGTTTCGCCGATTCTGCGAGCTTGTCTGACTTGAAGGAGCTATCGGTTGCAGGAGCAAAGGGGGGATGTGCACACGACGGAAGTATTCGATAGAGCCACGATTGTTGATTCTCATGCCGCGGTGCCGTGAAGGCAGTCCCTGATAGCTTTTCGGCATACAAACCGTAGGGGGGTTTTTGGGGAGAATTCTGGCCTATTGGCAGAGCGCCCGAAATCGCCTCGGTCCTATGTGACACATCTTAAGGTAAGTTGGCCATTACACGATATACCTCGTCAACTTACTCATGATAAGACCCAAAGCCATTTTGATATCTATATTTCTCGTCGAATGAAAATGTTGTGATAGGCATTGTGAGCAGTTCAACTTAATTTATCCGAATAATCAAGTTGGGTCAATATTGTAGTTTTGGAGAGTTCTGTTACAAAATGGGCCGAACATTGAATCAGACAACATTGTCATCTTCGAGGTAGTACGGACGATGAGGGGAGACTTGAGTTACATAAAAGGTAAAAAAAGCACGGTCGGCTACTGAAGGTAAATAATGGAGCGGAATGCAGACCGAGTACAGCAGAGAGTTCACAAAAGAATTCCGATGCAGGTGGTGGAAATAATGAAGACATACTGGACACAATGACGGCAAGATTTGGAGAAGTGCGGAGATTGGGGTAAACATAATGCCGATAATATCCACTAATAGCCGCTTCTCCAGCCAGTTCATTGTGGCTTGATGCTTTTAGTTTACTTCAGCCTTAAGTATATGGCGTCAAACCGCATGGCAATTTTAATTATCAATAAAAGCTTCTAACAGCCTAACAAGCGAAGCTTGGGACATGATCAAATCTGATCCAATTAAAGTGCTATCTGGGGGTAGTTGGCGCACCTCCACCTCCACCTCACCTGCTGAAATTTGCTTGTGCGTTAAGCATACGGTTAAATGCCTTTTTCTCGAGAATCGAATTAGCAGTAAGTTACAAATGTCAACGATGTTAATCTTGATATTTGGTGGACTCACTTTGCTCAAATCCAAAGAATGTTCCCCTCTCAACTGGAAGTCATTTAAAGGGGGGTTCGCTTATGTAATATTCTTGCCAGGGCTTTTCAAATCTCAATCACTGAGGCATAATCCTTTGTGATTATTCTCTAAAAATATTTAAGACACCTCTGATACTTGCATGGAAATAATAGAAAATAACTTCTTTATTTAACTAGCGTATCGCGTAAGCACTCTCCTTTTACTATTGTTTCCGCTCACTTCGCATTGTCTCTAGAAACTCCGATCTATCTTATCGACGATCTTCTCATAACGGCAATTTGTCGGTTCCCTGAAGGCTCCTTGTTTTCGATATATGTTTCATCCGCTGATACACCAAGAAACCCTTTCCGCCATGTGAAAAATCCCACTGCCAAGAAGAGTGCAAAGTAGAGTATTCCGCAGAATAGACTCACGCCGAGGTAACCCGATGATGTTTCTAAGATTGCTCCGGCGATGGGAGGGCCTATTAGAAAGCCTACTCCCTGAAAAGCTTCGACGAAGCCCAACCGGGCCCCAAGGACATCCGGGTCTGGGCAGATGTGTCGCACACAAGATGGGATCAAGACGATCAAGCCCCCTACGTGAAATCCGTATAGGATAACAAATGTGATCATCCCCGCGAGGCTCTCTACCGAGGACCAGCAAAATAAGAGTATGCAGGCTCCCAGGATTGTGGATTGCCAAATCTTGATAGGTTTCAGATATTTTGCCAAGTACGCAAGAGCCAAGCGACCAACTAGCGATGATCCATTCATGCCGGCTAGTAAGCTGTCTCCTGCTCCAGCAGATTGGTGAAGCCTCTCTTGAACGAATGTTGAGATGTAGTAGTAGGGCACATCTACTCCCGCGTTTAGTAAGAGAACGCAGATGCCGAGTAACCACAAATCCCGGTTCCATAACGATCGCCAGTCGAATGAGCCCACTTTCGATGATTCATCTGCTCTCCCTCTCGGCTTGATGAGAAGACAAGAGATCACCAAAAGAACAGCATTAATTAGAGCTAATGTGCGACAAGTCCCTGGAAATCCAATGCTTTGTTCTAGTTGTCGAAAGATGATCGGATATATAATTCCGCCAAAACTCGAACCAGCCATAGAAATTCCATTGGCGAGAGAGGCCCTTGTGGTGAAGTAGGTCTGTATTGTTGCTTGTGCTGGCACGTAAAGGGCACCGCATCCAAGACCTAATGCTACACCGTACGAGAGAAAGATCAAGCTATAATTTTCCGAATAGCTAGTTCCTAGTAGGCCGATGACGTTCAAAATCGATCCGGCGTACATTAAATGTCTGATATAACCTCTGTCGTATAGAGGGCCGCTGATGATTCCGATGATGCTGAGCAGGAACCCTTGCGTAGTTCCAATCCATGAGATATGAGAGGATGAATAAGAGTTGAGGGTGTTATGTTCGTAGTAGGATTGGAAAACACCAAAGGAGTTACTCAAGCCGAGTGTGCATACATTGGCGAGAAATGAAGCGGTAACTTGGCTCCACCCCAGCCAGCCACCATTTGGCGGCTCGAATTGTGACATTTTCTTTCGGATAGTACTGGCTAGACTGTATCAGAAGGGACCTTAAATAGGTATAATGGGCAACATACCTCTAGTACAAGTAACTGAGGATTTGAAATGCAAACAATCTCTTGCTATTAGCAAACAAAGTGTTCCATATCATTTAATGCTGTTCTGAACACTCTTGGAAAGCACACAAAACGCTTTTGTGCAGGAGCTAAGACTGTTCTGAGTCTGAGCTCAGCTTTGTGAGAAATTCTAGTATTCCACCTAGAAATTACATGAAAAACCTTAAGGAAGCTATTCGAAACTTGGAAACCCAATAAGCTGCCTGGGTGTTATTACTGGCGATTTGATCATGTCAACCCTAGGGCATCCAAAACATACTTATAAGTTAGCATTGTCGCTTAATTTGAAGCGTCTGGCGAATTTCGAACGCTCAATCATAGATTCATCTCCTGCACGGCCACTATACAACTATCCCTTTAGTTGATATAAGACTACAGTCTCCACAAAACTGGTAACTGTACATTGGTGACAGCGCAGGCCCTTTAAGCCTGTAAGCGTTGCGGCTCTCACAGTGATCTTCAGAGGCATTCAACCATCTAGAAGTAAGGTTTTGTGGGTGCCAATGGAGCTCAGGGGCTGCTTAAAGTATAGTTACTAATCGTGGCGGAGCTGTAGTCTTATGCCAACTAAAGGGATAGGAGGCCACTTTTAAGACCGTAACCAATAAGTTAATTATACTAAATAAGAACTGAACCCCTGGATTATTAGTGTAAGCGCAAGTATTTAAATTTAACTTTTCAACGCATGGCTTGGGATGAGTGGCTTCAGCAAGGGGAACGAACTTAAAAAAAGAAGTGTATGATAATAGGTAATACTTACCTGATACGTGGGAGTTATTTTGAAATCCATTCGCAGTCACGATTTCGACAGTGGTTCCAGTTGAGTACAAGATTCTTTTATAGATATAGCATGCATTTGATGATTTTTATTGTTCATTAAGCTGTGTTCTTCGTCAAGTTACTCTTTGGGTATTTATACAATCGTGATTGGTTGGGCCTCGCATATGTTCTCTGGGAATGCATCTGTTGCTAACAAGTGCTGACATAACTGTCGAAATTCATTACAAGCTCGGTAGGCTTCAACCATTCCAGAGTCGCCATTCTAGACTGAACTTTAATGTAGAAAGTTTAGGTCCCAAGATTAAGTAGAGGATCCTGGGGGAGTGGTTACGTAATCAAAGGGTTTAAGTAGAAACTTGCTCACGTTTTAGACGAGAGTTTAAACTTAAGAAATCCAACATCATTTACTCCCCTTACAATCCCGAGAACAGATCTCCGAAGTTTGAGTCTCTTTACTAAAAGCCGTGTATAACTTCCCGAGCTTAATGCGCTCAGCCGAACTTAGCTCTTCCCCCTGTGACCTTACCTCCTGAAGATCCGCCCCGGGAATACAGTAAGTGAATAGGCTTAAATAATGTTCTATGTGCTGAGTGAGCATCATAGTTAATCCATCTAGTGCCGATACTAAGAATGGAAAAGTCGCGCAATATTCTGGAAGGTCATGCCTTGAAGAGGCCTGAGGGTTTACGTTGTGTTCATAGAGGTGCGAAAATGTCATCGAGTCGCCGATCATAATTGCAGCTTCATTTATTTGGTACTTTCGGTTGCTTTAAGGCTTCTTGCGATTCGATTCGATTCGATTCCTCAATTGAATCCATGCGCATTTCAATGACATCGATAAATTTCTAGGTCGCAGGTTGAGACTAGAATTTGAGCACCTCTGCTAACACATTGCATATGCTGATTTGTTCTTGGGCGTAGACGACTCCATGTAAAGTTGTTCTCTAAGTCGACATCATATTCCAGATTGGGGACGAAGAGACCCCCATTTCAGCCGCGAGGGGCTCTGTTGCTCCCTTAATTTGTGAGTCGTTTAACTTCACGCTTTAATAGTCTTTGAGACATGATATAAACTTCTTAGGTTCGCTTTCGTGTAAGGCATCTAAAATTTGAATGAATGGCTTATGAAAGCCATAGAACGCACAGAGGGAACTGTTCAAGGAGATGATACGATGATAATTTGATTCTACATCTGTATTACACACTAATATCCGGTAGGAATTTTCTACTAGCTCGTAACTGGTTACAGTGCTGCGAAAACCCCGATCAAGCCAGCTGCTGCGGCAGCGAGCGCGTATCCTGTCTCTCGTGGCGATGCGGCCCCAGCATCAGAGGCAGAAGATGACGGAGCAGAAGAGGTTGCAGATGAACTAGAGCTCTCCGTAGTTGTGGATCCCGTCTCAGACCCGGAAGTCACAGAGACGGTAGTACCGCTGGTCACGGTGTCCGTTTGGATGGACAGCACTCCAGTTGTAGTCTGGTCTGTTGCGGAGGATATTGATTGGACAGGTCCTCCGGGGTTCGATGTCTGTCCCGATGCTAGACCGTGGCTGAGCAAGGCGATGGTAAGAGCAAGTTTTGCGTGCATGATGATTCGCGTTGGCTCGATTATCGAGTGTTCTAGATTCCGAAATATCTGCGTGGCGCAATCTCGATGATAGACAGTTGAAATCAAGAGAGCTGACAGATGCGTGAACCCGAAAATAATTGCAAATAATTGCAAATAATATTCCAATTGATTGGTATGATCGATATTAGCTCTGATTGCAATAGGGATTGAAATCTCAGTTTGCGAGGGGCGATTGTGGGGAAGATATATCTGGGGGGCGACAAGGGTCAAAATGATCTACGCCTGGTGTTAGAACATGACGTCGCTACGTCGCCGTAGCTTGGGGACCCCTCGATTCCCCCATGCTGTCCATGATGCACGATCGAGACGATATTGAGGATATGATAGGAGATAAATCCAGGGCGTCACACGAGAGACTCGTCAGCTATGCAATTCTGGCAGTTGAAAGGCTGCCTCGGCCCGTGTTCAGGTTGCATCGATTTAAGGAACTGCCGTCAATGGTCTAGGCTGTGCTCATGGCAGCCAATGCGGCATGGTATTGACGTAAGCATAACAAAACCCGGCTACTCGGATGTTTCACCTATAGTTTATCTCGAGATACGACGCTCGTGACTAAAGAGACGAGCAGAATTGCAATGAGTTTAAAGTACTGTCAAGCTGCTTGATTATCTAATATAAGGGGTAAAAGAGAAGGGTTTGTAGATGGGGGCTTATGGTTAGGGTTGCTAACACATTTTCCAATAAGCTTCTAACCCTAACCCTAACCCCCGCCTCCAGTACTGACCTCAATAACACGTTCAAAGATATTACGAAGAAACTAACTGATTCATGAAACTTCATTCAATTCCTGATATGAAGCTTGATTTTTTTATGTGAACAGACCTAGGCCAGAAAAGCCAGGTATACATTACAGACTCATGCCTAGGTAGGTGCCGAGCATCGCATTCCATGGCAACAACAAATTACGCCGGCTCAGCAGAATCGATATTCAGAGCAACAGGTGTCCCAAAGTTTAGAGATCCATCAGCGTTGGTATTCAGAAGCTGAACCATCGTGTAACGGCTGTCGTCGCAAGCACCGGCGCTGTTCGAGGTAGCGTGGTAGACGTTCCAAGTCTGAGAACCATCAGGGCTCTGGAAGAAGGCGTTATGACCGGTGCCGTAGTGGCCATTGACACCGCCCTTGAAGAGACAACCGTCGGATTTGGTCCATGCTGAAGCAGACAGCGGATCTGTCGTGCCGTCCCACTCGAGCGTCGCGATACAGTAGTCGGGCGTCCAGCAGTAGTTGGCCGAGTAGGCGACGTACGTTTTTCCATTGATGTACAGCGCTGCCGGTCCCTCATTCACGGGGGTGCCACTTTGCTCCCATGAGTTCGTCGGCTGCGAGATAACTCCAATGCTTCCCGTCACTGAGACGTTGTCGTCCCCTAGTTTCTGGAAACATATTGACTGGTTCGCTACTCCGTGGAAGCACGAGGTCGCAAGATAATTTCCCCATCCGTTGAACCGGACGATAGTTCCATCGATAGACCACTCGCTGGTGAGCTGTGCAACATATGTGTAATCATCCCAGGGTGTGGCACCACCTACCAACATGTTAGCTATACTTGGCTTTTCACACATAGTTTTTCCGACGCGTTCCTCTACACGGTAGGTTTTGAAGTGTCAAGAGGAAACAAAGTATCAGAAATCAGACTTACCCTTTAGAACGTGCACGTTCTGTCCGTCTAGGTTATTAGCGTTTCCTGCCGAAAAGTAGATATACCACGCGCCGCCAAGGTAGTGCGTCTCGGGAGCCCAGACATTGCAACAGCGGCTTGCTTCACTTGAGCTGTACACGGTCTTCCGCGTGGCCGTCTTGAGGCCCTCAATCGTAGTTGCCCGCGCGATCTGCACGTTCGACCATGTCGTGGACATGAGGTAGTAATATCCATCTGTATAAACGATTTGCGGGTCACTGCCCCCTGGGTTGCGAATCGAATTGGTGAAAGCCGCGACGGGGCTAATAGCGCCGAGCAGGGCTGTAAGGAGCCTCCTTGGAGTGAAGAACATGATAGACTGCCAATGAATATCTGCTGGAATCTTCAACTTGAGCTTGCACTGATGATCGCGTCCAGGCCTAACTCGACCAAACTGAGGAATGTCCGGTTAAAAATGATTGTCATGCTGGAAGAGATTAATACCTTTATATCAACTATTTTATACACTCTATACTACCTACTGTCGTATAATACGAGGCCTTGTAGTGTGTTTTCTCGCATTGAAGCCATGGCAGTCGCATGGCCAAGAACCGTATCGGAAGGGGAGGGTTCCGTTCAATTGGAGCGCGTATAGATCGCCCAGCCCTACAATCATGAATTGAAACGTATTTTTGGGGTAAAGCTATCTCGAAAACGATGGATTTCCTTTTTTGAACAGCGATGAATAGTTTGGCGGCACCTGATTCGCGGAAATGGTGAGGGCTATATTTCCTATGAATCCCCACAGAGGGTCCCAGGACGACTACGAGATATCCGCTTCTCCAGTTTGCCAAGGCTCTAAGAAACATTCAGTTGAAGAAGCAAGGATAATGGGACGGTCATTGCGTGTCTTGTAGGGCATCAATAAAGGAAGTTAATGACATGTTTTATAGGTAGGCCTATGGTCTTAATAGGCACCAACCAAATTTAAGGGGTTCTCAGGTGATTGACATAGAATGACTTTTTTACTTATTTTATGCTAAGATCTTTCTTCACCAGGGTTGATCTGAACTCTACATACCCGCCTATTATATTTATGATTAGCTTAAGGCAACTTGAACCCTCCAGGTACAAGTTTCTGAAAAACCTCTGATGGGTCATATTTCTGCTGGACTTCTCTAAGCCGCTTGACATTATCCTCACCGTAATGCTTGATGACTTGTTGGTCTAAGCTAGCGTCATTCATGAAGAGATAAGGGAGATAGCTGTCTTCAGACTTCGCTGCTGCTTCAACTTCGTCGGTTAATGACCGGATAGCTTCATGTGCTGCCACATCATCGTCCGAAAACCACCAACCAAGGTCAGTATGAAACCAACTTTGGGGTACTGGCTTCAGACCCAAAGCGTTACCTCCCCTTTGGTTACCTTCACAACAACGTAAGTAATTGCTCAATCTAGTAGGTGTTTCGCGTAGAAAATTGAAGTTCATCTTACCTTCATGAACAGCTCGCGCAGATACACCTTGGAGTGTAAATATTCCCGTTCCAGCAGTGATCTCTTTCATTTTGTTTACAGAAGACGAACTTGCGAAAATCTTTCTTATTGCACTATACATCGATGAACTAGGGACGAAGCTTGTTGTAGTCCACTCAACTCTTCAAAGCGATTAGCATTGTCTTTTGGAAAGAGCAACAATAGTCTCACCGTGGAATGCTTGGGATAGGATATTCGCTCATTAAATTATGCAACGTTCTGAGACTGGTTGTATCCATGGTTGTGGCCCAAGAGCTTTCAATGCGATAAAATGGATCAAATGCTGCGGGTTTTACATCTGGCTTCAAATATACTAGACTTAGAACAACACCGAAAGTTGTATTGGTAACATAGGCATTCATATTGAATTGGGCGTAAGGGTCTTTTTCTGGGTTTGTTTGGAATTCTGCCAATGCGTCAAGCACGTCTGGCAAAGCCTCAAAGGGGTAGCCTTTTGTACCACCCCAGACGTCAAAGATAGGAAACGTTCGAAGTTTGAAGTTCGTAATGATACCTTATGGAGGTCAGAAGGTTTTGAGTGATGGGATGGATGGGTATTCATACCGAAATTGTTGCTTCCACCTTTCAAAGCCCAAAATAAATCTGAATTAGAATCTGCATTTGCATTGACAACAGATCCATCTGCGAGAACCACCTAGTAGAAAGTCAGTCATAAGCTAGGAATCTTGAGGATGCATATTACCTCGAAGTTGACCACGTTGTCGCATACAAGGCCGTACAAATCGGAGAGATATGAGAGACCACCTATCGATGTCAATAACAATCTAGGTTGAGGAGTGAATCTCCAAGTAGCAACCGGACTTACAACCAAGTATGAGGCCACCTACACCGGCAGACATAACTCTGCCACCTGCAATGGTAACCCCTAAAGGATCAAGTGCAGTGTAAACGTCGCCCCATCTTTGCCCTGCCCCGACGTTAATCACTGCATTCTCAGCATCGTACTGGGTTCCTCCGAACTTCGACATATCAATTAATACACCTTTGTCGATATTTGCAGCTTTTGACACCGGCATGTGGCCCCCAGAGCGAACTGCAAAACTTGAATTGGCTTCAACAAGAATCGGAAGAGCTGTTTGAAGCTCTCCCACAGTAGTGGGTTGAAAGATACAAGTCGGAGATCCCCATGCTGTTTGTGACCTATAATGTGGTAAGACAGTGCTATAATGTCCTAAGATCACTTTTGAAACTCACCAGTTTTCGGTCGCTAGTGCGTCGTACCTAGTGTCGGTTGGATAAATCGTCACATTATTGAAGATGCTACCAAGTGCTTGGCAGGCGGTTACATCGGATCCCATCATAGAATTGGGGGAGAAAAAATCCAAGAAACCTTGGAGAAACCCAAATTGCGACATTCTAGGATGCCTTGCTGGATATGAATGAACTAGCTATGACCTTCGCGCTGCTGATAGACTGACCAAAATCGTCTTAGTTGATATTGTGTAGAACTTGGATGGCCCTGAGAAGGTGAAAGAGAATAGGATAGGAAATGGATATGCGTTTGTCCCCAAGGGATTATCAGGTACCTATGTACCTACCTAAGCAGCCAAGACATTCGTTGGTACACACACCGGGAAACGTAATTGATGATTGGTTTGTTCTCGAAGGGATGGACGCATCCTCCGAGGCAACCGTATTGCCCCTTTATCTGTCAGTCTCTGCCACTCGACTGCATTGTGTAACTCGAATGATGCAACCTTCTCCCTTTTTGCCAAGAACCAGAATACGGTTGGATGGGGAAATGGATTGCGATATGTAACATTTATGTTCTTCAACTTGTTTAGGTACCTATGTGACTATTGGTACTACTTAGGTAGGTAAGTAAGCGAAGACGATACTCTACAAATGCATCTCAGCCTACAGATAGGCGCATATTTTCATGCTGGGATAATGCAACTTTCTTTGGACATATGGAGCTACCTGGAAAGGTTGGCTACCTATTCGCTGATATCTCCTACTACTGGCGCTGACGTGACACGTACTCACGGACTGCAGCCGACGATTGTTTATCAACGCAATCTTTGGGCATCTCATTACGAGATATGAGACTCTGGCACATAGACGTCAATTTATACTTCATCAACGAAAGTTGGTTTATATAGACCACCCACCATAACTACGTGAACATACGTGAATTTCTTTTCTTCATTGGCTCGAAAGATTCATTACAATAATCTAGCTGGAAACCAAGCAACAAATAAAGTCAATATGAGTGACACACAAGGAAACCAGCGAAGGTGGTACGACTGTCTTCCATCTTCCTGGGTCCCCTATATGGAAATGTGCCATATCAGTACACCAGCACCCATATTTCTCATATACTTCCCTCATATTTACGGTGCTATCTGTGCGGCAGCCATCGAGTATCAGCCCCTATCTAAGACGCTATACACATGTGCTGTTCTTCTTGGGGGCACAGTATTCTTTTCCAACGCAGCCCATGCTTGGAACGATATCATCGACGCTCCAATAGACAGATTGATACCTCGCACGGCAAATCGACCAATTCCTCGTGGAGCAATACGGCCTCGGGATGCATTTACCTTTGCAGGGATAAATGCAGTTGGTGCAGCGGCCTTCTTGTTACTCCTGCCGAGAGAAACGGCTTTATGTACGGTGCCTACGATCGTGGGAACCTTATACTATCCCTGGGCAAAGCGCCATACATACTTTGCCCAAGTGGTGTTGGGATACTGTCTGTCTTGGGGATGCATGGTTGGTGCATCTGCTATGGATATGAGTAAGCCTTGGACTGATAATTCTGTCTTGTGTATATTTCTGGCCTGCATTCTTTGGACAGTCATATACGATACGATATACAGTCACATGGATCTTCAAGAGGATATTAGGGTGGGAGTCAAAAGTATGGCAGTCCTCTTACAAAATGGGACTAAAGCGGTTTTATGGATTCTACTCGGCTGTATGCTAGTATTGCTTGTCGTCGCTGGCGTTTCGTCGGATATGAGCATCCAATATGTTGCAATCGCAGTGGGTGGATGCCTGACCTCTCAAGCACTTATGATATATATGGTCGATCTTACGGTTCCGGAAAGTTGTTGGTGGTGGTTTGCAAACGGCTTTTGGATTACTGGGACGTCCGTCGCATTCAGCCTGCTCTACGAGTATCTGCTTCGATTATCTCAAGGATGAGGTGACGCAGTAATGAGTTTATCAAGCCTGTATTTGTAGATAAACTAGCATGCGCTATCAACTAAATCATGATCAATGAGGCTGGCTCTGTGGAAGTAGTGGGAGCTACGGCTAAGGTATCATCCGCTCTACAATTTCTTAGTATCCGCCCAACGCCTCTGAAAAATCGACGCCTTCATTTTTCTGCAGGCTAATTCCCAATCTGATGACCAAGCGGGATAGAATGGCGGATAGCCCAACAACCCTCCTAGCCACCTCCCAACTACAATGCCTAAGGTGACTGATATCGTCCTACCAAACGGCATCCAGTCCGGAAAGGAGAGATAAGATCCACCGGCATCGAAAGTCTATAATGTTAGTTTCAGCTTGGCATCATGGGCGAGATTACACAGTCTTACACTCAAAACCTGTATTATATTGGGGTTTTGGCCGTTCAGGATCAGTTTTTGTTGATATAGGTACCAATTTTCAAAGAACAATAGATCTAGACTGAAGACTTCCGAAGTCTTCTCTCCCGATATGAGGAACTTGAGCGTTTTGGATGTTGAGGGATCCTCTGCTGGTACAGGATACGAGCGATGGTTGACTCCAGGACGTACGCCAAACTCGCCCTCGCTTGGAACCATGAACCATGATTTTCCTGCATGTTCAAATCCCAGTCGGCCCTCAAGAACCTGAATGTATTCCACTTGATGTTGGTGGAAATGCATTGGCGGCTTTCTTGAAATGAGCGTTGGGAACATTGGATGGTCTAAGTGAAAGGTTGCTTCTAGGGCAAAGGCCCGCAAGGGATGGCTGATTACCCGCGTCGAAAGAGCTCCATCGAAGCTTGGACGCACATATAATGGTGAGCAAGGGATTACCGAGGCAAATCCGGGGCTTTCTCGTAACATACACTGTAATGACTTGGTCTGAATCTGTATACACCATAGATCCGGCCATCTTGACAAGTTGGGCCTTCTCTTCACCCTCAAACTCAGAAGGGAGAGGGACGGGGTAGTTCCGAGTCAGATGGGAGGCAAGAAACTAGCTTGGGGGATGAACAAACCTCGGGAACGATCCGGAGCTGATTTGTACCTTACATGTAGGCTAGAGGCACAGCATCATGTGAAGTTACACAAGATGTGATAGAAATATATTTGTCATGTGCGTGTTGATCCTTGTGTTGTATCTATGTGACGATTGAGGAAGCTCTGAAAACGGAGGTATATTTGAGGCTGTGGTGAAAATACCGGATACTCTTACCCAAATTTTGATACGCAGTGAATACGACATCCCGACTTGGCACTGATGCGTTACATTCTAATAAACCTTTCTGTAGGCCAGGTACATATCTAATGTCGGCCCATCATGCAACCCTACGCTATCCAATTGAATTGTCTAGACTCGCATCGAATTTAGTACGACCTCACATTCCGAGTGAAACATGCGGCAGGCTGAGAAGTAGCATCCATCCGCATCCGAAGAACATCTGAAAAGACGTAAAGTCGGTCTGAGGCGTAGATATGATGCTAGAGACGGGCTACGCAATGATACGGACCACGCGCCATGAAGTCATGCATTTTACAAGGATGTATTGCGAAAAATGAAGTGGCCAGTAGGTTGTAAGATTGACAAGCTGATAGTTGCTACATCTTCAAGAATTCTATTACAGAGCTTCTAGGTTAAGCTAATCACATACAGAGGCACCCATATTATCATGGAAAGTATTTTATATAGTACCCAACTCCATACGACTTAGCCAAGTACGGTCGCAGCCATATACCTAAATAGGTAAATAGCCACATCCAGCGTGGAGAAAGTCCTACGCGGCGGCAGCGCGAAGTTCGATATCGGAATCGTTAATGCTGTAAAATCCATGGCCTTGACCCCCCGATCCGCTGGTGAAATAAGTCTTCTTCTGCTTACTATCCCCCGACATCTGGCTGTTCTCATGCGAACCCCGAATTGACGATAACTTCTGGGAAGTCTTTATTCGTAGTTGCTGAAGAGCTGGAAGTGATGTCCCAATCAGTGCGACCGTTGGCTCGACTACAGAAGGGACCCAGAACGTAACTCCATAAGACTCGAATTGCGTGGGGACGAATCTAGACATCAAATAATTGAACCCTGAGAAAGAATATTAGCAGCGTAAACCCGAGACATGATTCAAACCTACATTCTAGATGCTGTGGGACGTGGTGCCAAGTTTCTTTGACTTGTACAGCCAATTTGTATGCTGCTGCGATACTCGCGCTTGAAAAGGGGTATCAGCATTGGAAACTTACAGTCTGATAGAATCATCTTACCCTGCGCCCAAAACAAATATGATAACTAGACCAATTCGCTTCTTTAGGGGAAGCTGGAGTTTGGTGACCCAGAATATCGGGATCACGAGTAGAATGGTATCAAAAGCTAGACTAGCACTGAATAGTGCTGTCTGCATATTCGCATAGTATACATCGTGGCAAAACTGGGTATGTTGTAGTGGATACTGAGCGTTCTGAATCGGTGTGCAGACGAAACCAGGCATTATTGAGAAGATAATTACATAGACTCCTTGAAAGCCTAGTAATACATCGAGTAGAATGTCTCGGTATCTGCTGCTTTTCGAGAACACGCGCCTATACAGCAAGATGATAGACACGCGCACTGATGCTGACATGGCTGGATAGAGAAACAGCGCGGCAATGATGCACTACCAAGTAATGGATTGATTAGTAACTCCAGAAGTCTTATATGCATCGTTCTGAAAGCAGATAGTCCAGGTGAGAATAGGATAACATACCTGGTACCATTTTCCATATTCAGCAACTGTGATTTCCCATAATGGCTTTCCAATTCCTGTATCTAAATTGGAATATGCAGCTAAGGCAATCCATGCTATGTATAATATCTGTAGGTAGTGAATTGAGCAAACGGATATCGTGGTAGTTGGAGGCGCATTACGTACTATTGCTGGGATGATGGCGTAGTCATCAGGCCCCAACGTCCGAGAAGAAAAGCGCGTGGTAAGGCGTACTAAAGCGACGAGAGTGGTAAGAATTCCCATTACTATAGACGCAATAGCAATTGAGTATTTTTTATGGGCATTGTTAATCTCCGTTGGAGGAGGAATCAAATCCTCCAAAGGTGTACTGAGATTCAAGCCGTAGAACGAAGACATGATAGGACTGCGTGTGCGAAGGGGGACGCGCAACCCTGGGAGAAGAGTTGAAAGAACTCAGTATATGTCAATCAGCTCAAAAGATTTTAAGCCTCTAGAATGCATCTGAGAAGAGATAAATGAACAATGCCTACGCGCATGTTTCACTTGAGACATCTGGATGGCGATATCGACTGGCTTCTTGAATCACGAGCATGAACCAGGCAGTAGGTAGGGCTCACATAAAGATGTTCAGCCCGAATGCGACCTATATTCTACGGCAAATTCTTGGCTCGTCATACATTGGCTTCTTGGAAACTTGACTGGCTGTAACTCGCAGACTTGGGGTAGGATAGTGAGTGGTGGCAACAAATTGGGGGCGGTATGCCCTGATGCTCGAGTTGTATTTCCTGTGGCAGTGCTTATCCTTGTAGCCTTGGTAGGCTTACTGAAAATCCTGACAGCCAACAGGACTTCCGGCGTAGGTGGTAAGACGCATATTAGGTGGTCAGCTTTGCACCTACCTGGAAAGCTTGGCGACTGGTTCTTATAGCAGCGAGGCGTACGGGTCGGCCCGTTGATGCATGCATGATAGTTCTCATGTCTCCGCACTTGAAAGTGACATTGCTGTTTAAAAAGTTTCTATTTTTCTTTCTCGATCTTTAAGTGCTACAGCATGGAAGTAGTATTTTCTTCTAAAGCTCACTTGGTGTTGCGTATAGGGGCTCAGTGGTCCCATTGCGGTGATCACCTCAGGTTCTACATACTACCTAGGTGCATAGTAGCTGTAATTATTCAGAAGTAGATTGAATGCAACCACCTTTCGAGTCTTGTTTGTGTTGGTAATCAATGAACGATGGAGGGTACTTTTGAATCAAATAGCCCTATGTCTAAATTTATCATTTTCGTTGGTTGATTTCAATCTGCTAGGTTTATTCCATTCGGTACCCAATCACTAATACTACTCTAACAGGTGTTTTCTCCATGCGCCAGTGGATCACTCTTCTGTTGGTGCGATGATAGTACCTTACCTGCCTCCCTTATCAGTTTCTGATATCTTTTATGATATCCTCAGCTCCGGCAAACGAAAATTCAGCCATGGTTTCCTTCCAGAGCTGGTCCCTTATACGCTCCCCTTCGGCGGTGTAGATGATTGGTGCCATCCTAAAAGAATTCCCTGTTAGATATTCGAAACTAAGATCGTCGGGAGTTTCGTATTACTCACGGTTTCACTTTCTGGAAGTTTAGGTACTGTCCATGTGTCTCCTCACCATGCTTTACCGCCGCATCTGTGATCATTCGGGCGCCCACAGTAGATGTGTACCCTATTCGTCGTCTGAAAACCTCTGCAAGTTTTCCCGAGAACGTTTGGGCAGTATCCCGACTGATTTGCGAGTCATGTACCATACCCGGCGTTGATGCATTGATAATAGCTACAGTTGGTGGTACACGCTTTGCTAATTCAACCAGGAAAAACTGACCAAGAAGTTTCGACACAAATGTGCGTTCTACCATGTCCATCTTTCCAGGCCGGTCGAAAGAAGGGAGCAAGGGAACCTCGTTTCGCTCCTTGAACTTAGCCCAAGCAGAGGCATCAGAAGACACGATGGTGATTCGGCTCGGCCCTTGTTGTTCGGGTAGTTTGGATTTGATAACGGGAAGCAGGAGAATAGCCAAGAGTGCCATGGATAGATAGTTAACCTATTAAAATGCATCAGCTTTGCATACAATCAGTAGACCTTCCATACCTGTATTGTCTCTTCATGGCCGGTGTTTGGGTTTGGCTTTGGACTTGTGGTCATGATCCCGATGTTGAGTATCACAATATCCAGACGGTCGAGTGTCTTTGTCTTCTCCACAAAGGAGAGAACAGAATCATATGACGAATGGTCTAAATGCCAGACCACAATTGCGCCTTCCTTTAAATTCCTCCCTTTTGATAGATCGGCGAGTGCAGTTTGACCTTTGGCTTCGCTGCGGACTGCGAGAACGAGTTTGCTCAAGCCCAGGTCCAAGAGCCGACGACTACATTCTAAGCCAACTCCAACGTTAGAGCCAGTGACAATCGCTGTTTTACCTTCGAGGTTGACCCCTTGAACAACTTCCGGAGTTTGAGTAAGCTGGCGTTGAAAGAAGTTCAGCATGCTGCCCTCCTTCTCGGGGGAGACATCAAATGACTTTGCCATTTTTGTTGCGGAGATATGTTGGAGCGATGATGGAAGCTAGAGAATTCCAGGGTCTTCAAACCGTAAGGCGATGAATTGTGGTGCTGCGACAAAGGAGCGAGATATCAATGCACGATCGAATTTGAACCAATTAGTACACTAACCGCGCGCCCGTCCTCATGAGAAATTGTCTTACTAATCTAGCAACGCGTTTTTGGGGATTTAATATATTCAAATGCCCGAGAGATTGAGCCGTAAGCATGTATGCACATATGCACATATGATTGGTCGTTGTTGATGTAGTTGGTTGTAGATGAAAACGCAACCTCCTCGGCAGTGTAACATGCCAAGGTGCATGTAGCCTACCAGCCCACCTCCTACGTACCTCTACCTACGTAGGTACATTTGATCCAAGTCCTTGCTTTCGCATCAAACAGAAGACCGAGATGATTCTTTCACGATCCCTGGATATTGTAGTAATGTTGGAAACACCACGGCAAAACATGAGGTTGAAGGCAATATTAATTTTAAATCCCCTTAATAAACCCAGTCTTCAATCACCAACATTAATGTCATTTATCCAAACTTCCATGTGCCCCTATATTACACAATCATGAAACTCTACCATTATATCATTGTAGTAGCAATCTCGTCCTATGCTATTGCTGAAGCAGTTCATAAAGCTCACCAGAGAAATATTTGGAACGCCAATGACACTTCCTCTCTTGAGTCATTATACCATACACTTGGTCTTTCAGATGCCGAGACGCAAGATGTTCGAGACAGATTCACTCGAGCTACACCTGCCGACGGAAATATCAACGTCGCCTGCGTCATTGCTCAATGTGTTATGGGAGAAGGGATTGTAGATACTTCCCCGTTGAATCAGACAGTGGTGGACGAAAATTGGTGAATCGAGATCCAGCCCGTCGATTCTGCTCTCGAATTAACTGGCTTCTTAGGTCTTTATCTTGTGTTGCGGAGCCACACTGTATCATCCAACCGGCGGAAGCAACCGATGTGTCGAAATCGATTCAAATTATAAACTTCTTTCAAGTAAAATTTGCCATCCGCAGCGGAGGTCATTCACCTAATCTAGGATGGTCAAGCGTTGGAAATGATGGGATTCTCCTTGATTTATCAAAGATGAACCAAATAAGTCTATCTAACGATGGCAAGTCAGTGAAAGTTGGGGCGGGTGCCCGTTGGGGTGAGGTTGTGGCGGCGTTAGATCCTCACGGTACGACAGTTGTTGCAGGTCGAGACCCGAGTGTAGGAGTATCCGGCCTCATCCTTGGTGGTATTAATTATCTCCCATACCCCGTATAAAGCTATCTCCTAAACTTTCTCAGGTGGTTACTCTCATATATCACCAGAATTCGGTCTGGCAGCAGATAATGTGAAAAACTTTGAGGTAAGATCTCTCGCGACAAGCGCATTGCTTATATGGTTTGGCTCTAATGTGGTTGTAGATTGTTCTAGCTAATGGAACCATCGCTAATGCTAATGCTGACCTTAACTGCGATCTCTTTTGGGCGCTTAAAGGCGGAGGACCAAATTTTGGCATAGTAACTCATCTCGTTCTCTTTACATTGCCCGTGTATGAGATTTGGCTCCAGTTGGCATTATACTCGCCTAACCAATCTTTCGACATTCTAGACGCTTTTGCTCGATGGCAAAGTGATCCATCTATTGATCCTAAGTCTAGCGTGGGTCTTGAAATAGGTCTAGACAGCGTTCTTCTTGGATTGGTATATTCAGGCCCCTCAGACCAACCGGATGCCTTCGCTCCGTTCTATGGCTTGACTCCATTGCAAGTCATAGTCCCACCTATTAACACTACATTTAAATATCTCAATGACATATTGTCCAATGATACTTCGAAGGCGCCAGCACGGTATTTGAACCATTCGAGGACCCACTCAGAATATACCGCTTATGCTTCTACAGGCACGATTATAGAGCTGTTAGTTCAAGGATCGATGCTCAGCTTTATAAAGATGTTTATAAATTCTGGCGTGAAAAGGCGCTGGCGGTTCGCAACGATATAGGCGCTAATCAAACATTTGTGCTTCAACACGTGCCCAAAACTTTGGTAGAAGCTGGCATAGCAAAAGGCGGAAATTCCCTCGGTCTTCCTCAGGAGAGCCATCAGTGTGAGCGCAGATTAACATACATGATACTACATCCCGTAGGTTTACTGACCAAAATCCCATAGGGTGGACAACTATAGTTGATTGGGAACGCGAAGAAGACGATGACTTGGCACGTTCTGTCTCAATTGAAACAACACACCAATGGAATAAGCTCGGTGAAGAACGCGACCTAGATTTGCAATTCGTATACATGAACGATGCATCTCGAGATCAAAATCCAATTTCATCATATGGAGCCAAGAATGTAGGAAGGTTGAAACAGATCTCTCAGAAGTACGACGAAGGACAAATTTTCCAGACTCTGCAGAATGGCGGGTTCTTATTGTCACATATCATGTGATTGTGTTATTTCTGTCGACGGACTAAAGAGTGGGAAAAGACACAGACGTTTTATTAAGAAAAAGGGGGTTGCGGAGGGTACCTCTTAGGCGAGCATCAAGAGCTCGCCTGTAAGTCGCTCAACAAACATTAATGATAATATTTACAGCTATTTTCTTAGTTAATTGTTTATAAAGAATGACCTATGCGGCAAAAGCGACGAAGTTAAGGATAGGATGTGTGAGCGACAGTGCCTAGCGAAATCAATTTGGGTACTAGGTAGTCGATGAACCCCTATTTTGACTGACTGCACAGTCAAATACAGTGTTGTTATTACATGTCTCATTTCTTAGGTAGGCGGGGTAATGCACGGATTGCTTACCTCTTATACATTTCTTCATCCGCCGTCCGCCATCCGTTCTCCTTTCCTCAACCCTAATGTTGTCTACTGTGGAGAGTACAGCAGCATTGAATGTCGGGAGACCTTCCTGAGGCTTGCTATACTTTGTATAAGGTTGTTGGTTACTTGGAGAGATCATCTAGGCTTGCCATTGATCATACTCCGTGGAGGGCGGGACCTTGTTACGCACATTTTTACAGTTAAAAAACCTCGCCCCCTTCGATACTAATCAAATATCGATATAATCTCCTTATGTTGGAAAATCTGGTTATATGTGGTGGCATCTTTCGCACACCAACTAAGCGCATCCTGGGCTTCTTCAGATGGCCAGGCTCTCGCGAGGCTTATACGCCTTTTATTGAAGAGCTCTACTGCTACCCCATGCTCTAAATTATCAAATTCTTTCGTTTCTTCTCGACTATCAACTACCTCCTTAACGCTGCTTGGTAGCTTTCTACGTAAAGCACCAATGCCAATTCTCTATGTATTAGGAGAACTCGTTTACATCACTTTAATTGCTTGATCGATTAGTTGTTTAACAGCCTATGGCTTGCAGTGGCTTCCTCCTGCTAAGCTTGTCAAGAACTAAGGGCGACTATACCGAGGAAATAGACAGCAACTCATAAAACATAGAACGCAATAACATGACAGTTGACTAGTAAGGTAAATCTGAAGGAGCTGTAACTTACCTAAGTACCTTGTCATGGATTTTTGCACCTGAATTCTACCTAACTAGGTACATACGTGCATGTGATGTAAGGGCCTTTTGGTTACGCCTAGATTGGTTCCTTTGTATTCTGGGCATATTGAAAGCCAGAACAACAAATCAACGAGTAAATCATAGACCTTGCAAGATCCACAATATTTTTTTAGCTCAGGTTTTCGTACATTTACTATCTACCTATTCCCTGGTATTATTATCAAGCAAGTTCAGTAATCCGTTCTTCATTTAAGCGCGTTGGTGGCACAGAAACTAGGTCAGGAAATCACCACGTGTCTCCCACTATGTATATATGTCTCTATAATTCCGGTCTTAGCTAGAATATTTTCTTTCACAATAATCATTGATAGAGGATTAATCTGATATTACCAAAAAATCACCATCAGGTAAGTAGGTACCTACTATTCACACCAACATCCTCCATCACTTTCGTTGAAATTGACCTTGATCCCTACCCCTATCGTGCACAGATCTCTAATGCTTCTCATAGGCATCAAACTCAACAGCCATCATGTCTTCTACACCCGAGGCCGTCATCGCACAAATACAAGCTGCTAGCGCCGCTTATGCCGAGAAGAAACCCGGTGCACGCGAGCAACTCTTGAATCTCGGCTACGCCTTGGTTTCGAGTGTAGAACTTCCAAGTGAAGCGATCCAGCGAATGGGATGGGCCGAGGTCAGTTTAACTGGAGATATCAATTTATTGTCTATGCACGACTGCTAATGACGATGGTTTTTCGCAGCCTGCTAAAGCAGCCCACTGCCGGATCGCAGTCGAACTAAAACTTTTTGAACTTTTGAAAGAAAGCGGTGAACAAGGCATGACCGCAAAAGATTTGGCTACAAAGACAGGGGCTGATGAGGTTCTGCTAAGTAAGTTTCAAACACCTCTCGTGGACAAATTTCTCGTTATTGATGGTTACATAAGCACGCACTTTGAAGCACCTTGCGGCCACAAACGTCGTTGCCGAGACTGGCGATGATAAGTACATTGCGACACGCTTGAGCAACGCCTTTACCGAGCCTCGGTTTAGAGATGGTATCATATACACGTAAGTTCCGATTAGATCATCCCAATATATATAAGACTAACAGCTCATTAGATATGATGTGGCTGGTCCGTCGTTCCGTGGCTTGCCCGAGTACCTAAAGAAGATCAAGTACGCATTACCAACGATGCTAACTGACGGACCATTCCAAGCTGCCCATAAAACCGAGCTTCCCTTCTTCGCTTGGCTGGACCAAAACCCACCCTATCTTGAAGCATTCAACAGCTACATGGCTGCGTACCGTGCGGGAAAACCTTCATGGGTTGATCCGGGATTCTACCCAATATCCGAACGTTTAATAGAAGGGTTCGACGCTGGCTCTGGCGACGGTGTTATTCTTGTCGACGTAGGCGGTGGATTAGGACATGACCTACAGGAGCTCAAGGAGAAGCACCCTTCACTTCCTGGTAAACTCATACTGCAAGACCGATCTGAAGTCATCTCGACTGTCTCGGCCGGCGCGTTCCAAGCTACGGCCCATGACTTTTTCACACCTCAGCCAGTAAAAGATGCCCGCGCGTACTACCTTCACTCGGTGCTACATGATTGGGGTGATGATGACTGCGTCAAGATCCTGGAGCAGTTGAAGCCAGCGTTAAAGCCCGGCTACTCGAGGCTTCTTATCAACGAGATAATCGTCCCAGATCGAAACCCTACTTGGCCAGTTACCTCGATGGATCAGCTAGTTTTCGTCCTGGGCGCAATGGGGGAGCGCACGGAGAAACATTGGGAGAGTATACTGAAGCGGGCTGGCTTCAAGATTTCCCGGATCTATAATTATGAGATGGGATCAGAAAGCCTTATCGAAGCAGATTTAGCATAGATTGACTATAAATATTTGCGGCATTCGTAGTCCAGTCTATTGGAAATATCAAGGCTGGGGCCAAGAGTCACGCCATAGGTAGCATGAAACACGAATGCAACTCTACTATGCCATAATTATTTGTTAGCTGACACCGTCTTTCTTATTCATCGATGTTGATAAACTCCAGAAGGAAATCGATCCTAAATTCTACAGTTGACTAGAAAAGTTCTTGCTTGGAGCCATTCTTTTGAGATCTCTCCTAGCCTCTGATCACCTTGCCCACCACGTCATCAATGCTCTCTCGAGGCACTCCCAAGACATTATTCCAGAGCTTCTCTTCTTCTGCGAAGTTGTTTCCGTATCCTGGAATAAGGTTCGCAGCCAATAGCAATTTGTGTGATTTCATGAACTCCCCTTTTGCTAGCATTTCTTTGCCATATGTAACTTCTTCCTCTGTCGTGGTATAACAAACTGCGTACTTGACACCTTGACCCTTCTCGAGTCCGGATAGGATCTCATTCATCGATGTTTCCAGCGACGATACAAACACGTGCTGATTGCTGGTAATTTCAGGATTCCTGAGAACTCTGGTGACCGCTTTTGCGACATTTCCTTTCGTAGAAACGGAGAACGTAGCATTACCATCGTCCCAGATCGTAGCAGTGTGCTCCTTCAGGTCATAGCCCAAGAATCCCGTCATCAGCCCGCTATCGTCATCCCGTCAGAATTCTCCTTGACTAGGGCCGAATTTACTTACACGTCTAGGAAGATGCCAGTGTGAATTGCTGTCCAAGTTAGTCCAGTGCCTTCTTTGGCCTGGAGTTCGCTGTTCACTCTAGCTTTACCTCCCATCATGGGGAACATGGCTAGGGTTTTTGCGTTTCTTGTGTTGCTGCCAAAATCGGAAGATATAAATCTCTTGACGCCAGCCTTGACTGCCGCATTGATGAACTTGTCTTCCTGCCCGAATATCTGGAAGTTGGTAGTCATCACCACGGCATCTTGGCCTGTAAATGCCTTCTCCAAATCATCCTCGGGAAAGCTATCGTCCACCTTGACCAGATTGACGCCTTCTGTTGCTGTGGGGGAGGACTTGCGAGACACTACTGTGATCTCAAAATTCCCGTCTGCCTTGAGCTCTTCAACAACAGACGCTCCTAGGTTGGCCATTCCGCTCGTGGAAACCTTCGATTCTTAGGTTAGATAATACAATTGATAGAATGTAATCTGCAAGTCTTGTACTGACCCCAACTACAACAACTTTCTTCAGAGCCGCCATGATGATTTTTGGACTGCGATTGATACACAAATTAGGCAATTCAATTATCCAGCAACAATACTTTATAAAACTCAGGACGACGTGGTTAGCTAATTATACAAGAACAGTAGAAGTATTGCGGTGAATGATCGGAGGTCCGATACAGAAGCCAGTCAAACTTCCCCGGCTAGCCCGGCTTACCCTAGGGGTCTATGTACCTAAGCAGATCCGGAGAACCAATAGGCGCCGTGCATCCTGCGCCTCGTCACACTCTCGTCTTTACTGTCCAGTTAAATTGCCTAGATGTGCTCTCATGTGGCGGGCAACATACCTACTAAATATGGACATATCTTTCCAATCACACCGAACTTTTAAATGTGATCTCGTACCATGAACCCGATCATGATAGATGATTTGGCACCGGCCGTGCACCTTTGCTTCTTCAAAACCGTGGCATTATCAAATTAATGGGCATACATGTATGATACCTAATTTGTCATGCTTTTTCTCTTAATAAATTTTCGTGGATATGGGGGTTAGTCAAATCCAATAGTACCTCAGTACTCACTCAGGGGTTCAGGGGCTCAGGGGTATTTTTAGCGCTCAAGTTGATTACTAAGACAGATATGTCAATGATAGCGTCTATTTATAAGCACCTAGGTATTCAATGGGAACTTCCAAATTCTGTTCACTGTAATTATCTTGTAATTGTTTCTAGTCAAAGGAGCTATGGTTCATAGGTTTCAAAAGTTCGAAAACATGATTTCACTACGAAATGTATATCATGTGGTGTACCTATCGGATCATCATTCTACGAGCCTTCGACTAAAAGTGCGTTGTTGAGAAGTCCAAAAGAGGATTTAATCTAATAATATGTGAGAAGTAGTCTGATTAGGAGAGAAAGCCGGAAAGAATTTAGGATGGCACGTATAACCCGTTAAGATTCTGAGTCATAAAATATTAATCCTCACCAACGTATACTCCTATACACTCTCTTAACATGATAGACTTCAGCCACTTTATGGTAAAGTATATCCTCCATCAATAATCAAGTCCGCTCCTAAGTCAAATATTAGATTTGATACCAAATAGTCGGGGTACGACACTGACCAGTCATGTAGCTACTTGCGTCGCTAGCTACGAAAACGTATATCCCTTTTAATTCGGCTGGTTTGCAGAATCTACGTCCAGGAATCATCTCGTTCCACACACTTCTCCACTCTTGGGGGTGAACATCAAGCACTGTGAATCGGTTAGGAACATCACTACATCTCATATACGAGAGACGACCGTAGACTTACTTTCCGTGTCGATGAAACCCTAAAGTAATTCGAAGTTAGCATCAGAAGATATTGCAAGACACTTGAAATGATCAAAGCTAACGCACCGGTGAAATACTGTTAACTCTCGCAAAGTCAACCCACTCCACAGCCAACGACTTGCTGAGATGCACAAGCGCGGCTTTACTCGAGTTATAGGCCGCCTGCTTTTGAGGAATGTTGACAAGCGTTGCCGACACTGACGCGGTAAATATGATCGAACCTCGAAACGGCGCCCCATCAGCCTTCGACTGCTTCTCAAACACATGCGCCGCGGCCTGCGCGGCCCAGAATGCGCCGTTGACGTTTATGTCGAACATCTCTCGGAACTTGTCTTCGGGATAGTCTATCGCCGGCATGTTTTTAGATATGCCGGCGTTCGCCACCATGATGTCCAGGCGACCATCACCTAGCTCCTTGATGACCGTGTCTACGGTGGCCTCTATATCTGCAACGGAGCGCACGTTGCACTTGTACGCTTTCACTAGGCGGCCGTCATTGGCAGATGATATCTTCGCGGCGATCTCGTTGGCTTCCTCTGGCGGCGTACTCGAGTACGTTATCGCCACCTTCGCGCCGGCTTCACACAGTCCCCGCGCGACTTCAAGTCCAATACCTCGACACCCGCCAGTGATTATGGCGGTCTTGCCCGCGAGACTGAAGTGCGACAGCACCGGCGCTTCTGGATTAGGATGAGATGCAAGAACCATGATGACGTTTATTTGAATTGTACTAAAAGAGCAAGGAAGAAAGAAGGAAAAGGAAAAGAAAGATATTAAGGAAGTAAAAGGTCGATTTACACTTTGATTTAGAAGTGGTTGTGTAAAGAAGTCGTAACCGTCTTAGGGGGGATGGTGACGAGATAGAGTCTTGGCATGATAGAAGCGCTCGGTTTGCATTCGTGCGGAGACTTGGGATACATCAGACCGAGTGCTACACCGTTAAAGCTGTTCACATGCCTAGTTTTTTAGATCCTCTCCAATCAGGCGTCGTTAAACTTGCTAGCAAGTAGTGGGCATAGTGGAACTAGTTTGACTGATTTGGGGTTTCTCCTCATTGAGGTGGGTTTTTTTAATGGGCCGTGGATTACTTCATGGTCCCTATTTAAAGGGGGAATATTCTCGCGTGTGATCTAAAACTCAGTTCATGAGGAGACGAAGTGAACTCTAGCGTGTTATTTAAAAAGCTGCTTGTTTCTCCTGGTCCCTCATTCTATAGGCTGGTAGTTGCCTAGCTAGTATTAGTTCCCTCTAACCAACCTTAGGTATACAGCAGATTTATGATTGACAAAATCTGGGGAGCAACGGATATAGCCATAAGGTAGATAGGTGTCTACGGCGGTAAAATTTTGCTGCACAAGTTACACGATGTTCTTTTGTAAAGCCTCACGTAGCTGCTATTGATTATAAAGAAAGTGTTCCTGGTTGCTAGTCCAAGACATGTAAGGTAGGTACCTACCCTAGGTACCCTATTCCCTCATAGTACCCCCTGAATCATAATCTTCATAGTATTCGGCAGGCTTTTCCCGGCTAATTCGTAAGCTTCTGTCGCTTGTTCGAATTTGAATCGGTGAGTGATTAGACTACGAGCGTCAATCTTCCCGGAAGCAAGTAGATCTATGGCGGCGGGGAAGCACCCCGTCGTATAACAAATAGACCCCTTGACTTTCAAGCCTCTTAGGCAAGTCGACGAAATTGGGAATACGACGTTCTAGTAGTCGCTATTAGCATGAAAAAGAACATCACACGGCTGACTAGCGTACAACTTACATCTTTACCTAGCCCTGCTTGAACAAATGTCCCCCCTTGTCGAGTTGCAAAAACTCCAGCTTGAATACAAGGCTCGGCTCCGGTACACTCTAAGACAACATCTGCGCCGTCTCCAAGGGAAAATTCATCAACAATGTGCTGTGCTAGCTTTCGAGATGCGTCGACGGGGTTACTGGGGGGCACGGATGGCCGCTCAGGGATGAATACATGATCTGCCCCGAACGACTTCGCGCATGCTGCGCGCGATTCGGAGCTGTCAACTGCAACAACCTTCTTAGCTCCCTGTGCTTTCGCCACCGCCTGAGCCAGCAATCCAATGGGGCCGCAACCAAAAACCAGAACAGTCTGCCCGAGTCTCAACTCGGCGACCCTGCAGATCTCAACCGCCACGGCTGTCGGCTCAATAAGAGCGCCATCCTCAGCATTCATGTGGGTTGGGAGCGGGTAGCATAAGTCACCGGCGGTGACAAAATATTTCTGAAGAAGACCATCCCGACCAAGTACTCCTGCGAGGGAGGTGTGGGTGCACAGGTTGTAAGCACCAGACCGGCAGGAGTCACATCTATAGAAGCAGATTAATATATTGATATATCCCTTCGAGCTGTTTCCAAGAAAGATACTTATAAACCTCACCTTCTACACGACTCTCCCGGTTCAACTGCGACCAGGTCTCCGACCTTGACATTCTTCACTTTCTTACCCACTTCAACAACTCGTCCTGCGCCCTCGTGCCCGAGTACAACAGGACTGTTGCCACCCCAGTCGCCGAGGTGCCCCTCATGCCAGAGATGAATGTCGCTCCCACATATTCCAGTCTGTTCTACGTGTATCTTCACATCGTACTCGTCTCGAAGCTGTGGAGTCTTCCGGCTCTCAAATGAGGCATTCCGAGCAGACTGGAGCACGAAGGCTGGGGTCTGGGTTCATTAGTTATGACTCAACTAGATGACGGGTTGGCTACCACTTACTGCTTCGGCCATCTTTTTGATATTAAAATCCGTGGAGCTTGATATATTGATGATTAGGTTCCTTGATGGAAGCCTCTGCGGCACGGAGGATTTAAAAGGGAGGGGATGGGCTCTCTGCCTTAGGATGCGGGGGAATTTGCGCCGCAGTATAGTGCAGATCGAAAATTGGTGACACCCAATAGGAATATCAAAGCCATCCTTAATGTGAGGAGTATCACCAAGTGTCCCGAGGTCTGCATGTGCTGTGAATCGGGCAAAAGGGAGCTCGAGTCGCTAAGCTCTTGAATAGAAGATCGGGATTATCGGATGAACTGGCATAACTCTCAAGAGTCGCTACAGCCAACAAGTAAGGAACCATGATATATTAGAGACCGGAGACTAGTATTACACAGGACGTTAAATACTAAGGTAACGACTAGACTATTTTTATACTATATAGGGGGTGGTATGATGGTATTTTAGGCGCTAGGCACCTTTTTAGATAGTTAATACGTGATGATAGCCAAACAGCTCTATTCCGAGACGCCGAGCCCACAATCTCTTCCGTCTCCCCATTACATCGTACTACATCACATTCTATATGCCTTGTAGCTGTTGTCGCCAGGCTTGTGGTACTCGGACAAGCCCTTGTTCCAACGGACGAGCTTCTCGGTAGATTCCATTGGCGTAGGCTTGCCCGCCTCGTACATGGAGTCGAGCCGCTCCAATGCTTCGTCATTTCCGTTGCGCCTCTTGCGCCATACTCTTCGGAGGGTAAATATGGTAGCAGCGATGAGGATTAGCCCACCACCGCCTCCGGCAATACCAGCCACGGCGACGGTTGGAAGGGGGCCAATCATCCCGCTGTTTGATGATGATGATGTCTGAGCTTGAGCGATAGTGCTCCCACTAGTATCCGCTGCTGCGCTCGGAGTGGAGGCGGCGGCGGCAGCGGCGTCTTGCTGGGAGAGCTGCGTCGGCTGGGCTGCTGCGGTGGAGGAGAGTGCGTTGTCAGTGCTAAGCACACTGCTAGTAGATGCCGGGAGATTGAGACTTGTAGCGATGGCGTCGGTAAGAGAGCTGGATGATTTGACAGATGTCGCGAGGGTGGTAGGGACTGAGGCGGGTGGTGTTGCGGTCGATGCGGCGGAAGTTGTTGTTGCGCCGCCGACTACGAACGTCGTGCTTGGCGTAGAGTTGGCAGTTGTCTCCGGTAAGGCAGGAGATGCGACAGTTGTACTGTCCGTAACGGCAGGGTTCAGTGCAACAGCCGTAGTCTGAGGCGCCGCCTGGGTTGCGGATGCTTTAGTTGCGGATGCTGCCGCAGCCGTAGTAGTAGAGGAGTCGCCATTCGAATTATTATTATCGTTCGAATTGTTGTTGTCGTTGTTTGAATTGCCATTATCCTTCGAACCGTTCGAATCGGCCGTTGCTGTTGCTTTAGCGGTTGAGGTTGAAGAAGCCCCAGCGTCGCCTGCGTTCGTCTCCTTCCCAGTTTCTGCTGCGGATGTCGTCGCTTGTGTCCCGTCGTTTGCATCATCGTTCGCATTATTAGTCCCGCCTAAAAGGCCACCAACCCCTCCCAAAGTATTGCCCAAGTCATTCAGAAGGCCAGCCATCGTGAAATAATAATATGAAAGAGGAGAACACCAGGTTCGAAGAAGGGTATATAGTGAAAGGAATGATGCTATCTCCGGGACTCTTACATCGACGGTTGTTTTTATTCAGGATTCCGGATGAGATTGAGAATACCTGAAGAAGTTTCTTTCCCGGTATCTGGAGAACGGGAACCCCATCATGGAAGTAGGAAATCCCAGGAACGCCGTGCGCCACCTGGCAACGGATAACCCGTCTGAGGGAGCTTGGACGAGGTTATTGATTCGGCATTTTGGCACAATCGCAGTTTCATCTTCGCAGACAAAACCACCCCTGACGTGATGTTCCGTGCCGAGAAGGGATTGATCTTCAACAGATCCGAAGAATTGATAACTAGCCATAGCTTAGGCCGCCGCTTGGCATTTGGGCGCCTGGGCGTCTTTGGTCCCTGCATAACCACCGCTAGGCGATCAAACGTAAGCAGCTATTTCCAGGGCCAATCGGTTACCTCCGAAGCGCCTGAATGGCTACAGAGATCTACCTGCTTCTCCAATGTGAAGCGCGACCCCTGGTGATCATGGGCATGCAACAAACAGTGACAAGATAATCGTCACCGTCCGATAATTGTTGTCGCGAAGTTCTCAATCGAACACAAACGTCGCGAGTTCAGCTGTCCTCGTAAGCCTTCATCAACATTGCTTGTATTCCTAGTTTCAGTATCATTATTTACGTTTGTGACCGCCACCGAATTCAATCAATCATTGTTAATGCTCATGGGTATCGATATCTTATTGTAATAGATGAGTTACAGTGACCATTTTAGAAAGATGAGACTGCTTTAAGCAGCATTCCCAACACTCGTTCTTCATGCTCTGCTGTTAATAAGCACGCGCTGTGAACCTACATGTCTTTCTTCTATGCGTGCAAGTGGTTCAGAACTCAGACACAAGAATAGAAACGAGAATGTCGGTCGACCGGGTCGTTGGACTATACCGATTACCACGTTTATGATGGAAAATGCGTAAATTACCAGGACGCCGGTTGCATTGATTCACCCTCAGATCAACCTAAGGCATGAGGGCAATCAACTAAACTGGAAAGGCTGGAAATTAAGCATTCTGGTTTGGCGATCCCAAGGATTGCTTGCGAGGGAGGGCTTAGCTCAGCGGCCTCAACTGTGCGCCGAGGGAGGGATCGGCCGGATGGAAGCTTCTAATTGAGATTTCTCATAGATTGATTCTCTGTTCTACTATGCAGATTCGTTGAGCTAGTGAAGCCGGCCATGCGTACATCACGCACTGGGGAATTCAGCATCTCGTCAGCTGTACTTTAAAGACACACTGGTAGTTAATATAGACTAACTAGGAAATCCTATTAACATATCCATCGACCTGCACACTCTTCATGCCTAACTCAACCAGCCTCCGCCATCGTGTTGCTTCGCCATTGTCCCATTAATGCGATACCGAGCTATTTCCCGATGAGTCGATGACTGCCTCCTTATCAAATGAAAGTCGCCGCCAAGACACCAACGTGTCTCAGCCTCCAGCAGATGGTAGGTAAACAAAGTTGTTGTTTCAACTGACCTCATAACTACCAGGTAAGAAATTCAGACAAGTCAAACGCCCTTGAGATGATCCGAAAGAAATCACCCATTTTTCATCGTTAAGGGGGTTGTCTCTAGAGTAAGACAAGACGGATATTCATAGCAAAGACCCAAAGCGATTAGAAGTCCGAGCGGCTTCAAACAATGTTTTCAATCGCCCCTCTGTACCATCCTGGTCACGATCAGCCATCATCCCATCAGGACTCTAATTCCCTTGGAGTCGAGTCTCGGTGACGTCATGAAGGCAGCGTGTCTAATTTCGACATCGTCAAGCTGGGTTTCGTACAGCTTCATCCGTGGACCGAGACGCCGGAAGATCAAGCCCGTTGCCATGAAGAGCTCCGCATATGCAAGGCTATCGTACTTAGTTTGATATAACTAGATGCATATGCAAGGTGGGTGTTCATGAAAGGAGTGACTCACTTTATACCAACGCACTGTCTACTTCCCTTAGAAAAGATTAACATATATTTTTCTAGCGTCCGATCAACCTTGCCCTCGGCGTCCAACCACCGATTAGGATCGAACTGCTCCGAGTTCGGAAATATTTTGGAATTGCGGTGGACCATCACAGAAGTCATGCCGACAGGAGTGCCCTGAGGAATAACATATTCCGACTTGGAGGCGGTCACAAAATCCGAAGGCTGATACAGCATAGGTCCATCTGGTGATATTCGTTGAAGGCGTGAGCTCAGCCCATATGAAAGGCGTAATCCTTCATTTATACAAGCACTGTAAAGTACTTATTAGTGTAGACTAATGGGGGAGACACAGGATAGGTAACTTATCAGGTAAGGAAGCTTCTCTAGGTCATTCCATGATGGCTGAGATGTTGGATTAGGAATAGCATTCTCAAGTTCCGACATCAAGGTCTTGTATACAGTACGATCATTCAAGAGGTAGAAAAATAGTACAGATAGGCCTTTGCATGTCCGTTAGTCATTGCGTATTAAAGGCGTAGGAGTTGAACTTACTCCAAGAAACCGTGTCGGTGCCTGCTCCAATGATGGATTGCAATTCTTGCCAAAGCCTAGTTAGAGTCTTTTCTTGATCTGGTAACTTGCTATCCAATATTCCGTCAAAGACTGTAGCTTGAGGACTATCTTTGGCCATTGGTTTGCCAACGTCTTTCTGGCTTATTATGTCACAGATCCGGGCCCGGACTTCCTGTCAATAGAATTAGACAGAACATATAGGTATTTATCCTATCGGGGTTTTTGGAGATATTTACATGTTGCCACTGCATATAGTGGCCAACAGCCGGGTTTAAAATCGTTATCCACGAACTTGGTAGGTATCAACTTAGCCAGGTTTCTCGACGAGAGATGGTACAAACAACTTACTTAGGAAGCGAAATCCCAAGAACAATTATGTAGGGGCAATATTTCGCATATTCCCCAACGAAAGACATCTCTCTCAGGGCGGCGCTATGGTCGCATCTAAATAAGCGGTTCTCGAGGAAGTTTTCGCTTTTCCCAAAACAATACGCTGTAATCACACTATAGCATATGGCGTAACGTTAGTATTTCTTTTTACCTAAGATTCCTAACTTATTTTGCAGCTCATCGCCACGAATATAGAAACAATGAGGGGGTCCTCTAATGCCCCGCCATGAAGGGAAATTAAGTGTGATGATGATTGTTGTTAGGTCGTTTGAAGGATCGGATGATAATGGATTATTCTTACTCCATAGAGAAGCAGTTGAATGCCTGGACAAGATCCAAAGGATTCTTATCTTCAACATAAGTGCATAGCTGTCGACCAAGCAACTCAACTTTCTCATGAATCATAGGTTCAATCTTCGATACGGATGTCTTGGAGAAGAACCGGTTTATCGTGCTGCGACGAAGACGGTGGAGGTCGTGATCTGTAGTACCAAAGCTGCTCTTTTCAGATCATTAGCAAAGTATCTACTATTTTATGAATAAGGTAGCGAATTAGTTACCATCCAAAGGCTATGCGAACTTGTTAACAATCATAATTCACTTAGAAACGAAAACATATATATTGTAACTCACCAGATTTGATTGGTATAGTGTTTATACTTGTCTCGACGAACAGATCCACCAGTATATAATGTAGCGATAAAGGCCGGGTCGTTACAGTGCAACTCTTCTGGGGAAATTCGTACAATGGGTCCGTATTTCCCATGCATTTCTTGAATCTGGAATGTGTACTGGCCTTTTTTGATGGCATCGTAGTAAAATTCATACAGCACTGTCGCAGCGGCGAGTTTAGGACCGGGAAATCCCGCAAGTGGGTGTAGAAGTAGACGGTATAGAACTAGAGTGATGAGATATACTACGACTACCACTCCTGCATATGCTAACATCGATGTCGATGACATGGCTGAAGATATATCGTAGAAAATTTACTAATCGGTGAGATCTTAGAAGTAGAATGAATGCAAGGTAGAAGAAGGAGGAGAAAGAGGAGGTACGAATAAAATGATGGAAGTGGCATTTTCGTGTGTAACTGATTAGATCAGGTCATTATGAGTGAATTGGACGACGCCTCCGACGTTGTAGGTGTAACTGACTAATACGATGCCCCTATACGCAGCTTACTTAATCAATCGCTCTTGTACACAACCCCCTATTATCCCCGGTTATGACCACCGGGTTTAGCACAATTATCTTAGAACCTTTGAAATATATCATCTCTATGGCGATAAAAGCTGATTTATTGTACAGGTTGATAACTTCCAGCGCTACAATTATACCTTGTATGTCTTAGTGCTGGTTGTACTCCATAGGATTTTTGGCTCTGCAAATGTTACTTTAATATGCTCGCAACTACGGGCGCATCCAACGATACTTCGATCATGTAACGACCGTCTCTAAGTACGCTATCGTGACTACAATTTCTTTATTGTCGGTTCATCATTAGAAATGAGACTACGAAGGAGTCGTGTCGCTTGCTTAGTCAGCATACCACTAAAGTCACCGCCTGAGGCAGTTAGCTGCGAGACCAATGAGGTGGTACCCAAATTAAATATAGGAAAAGTGATCTATAATAGGCAAGTATTTAAATAGGTAGATATCCAGTATATTATCAACTCTTGACATCAACTATTGACTCCATCTTATCTACTTACTTACTTAATGCCCATAGGAGCTATGTAGGTATTCTACAGGATCTGATAAGCGTGTGTGGGTTATGGAGTTGGTGTGAGAATATGCAAGCTGTTGACTGGGGGTAAGATGATTCATAATGATTCATACGGAATTACTTGTGACGATACTGCCTGGGTATCTATATGTTCTCAGAGGGGTTAGGAGCTATATTGCATAAGTAGTCCTTTGTTTCGTAGCTCTTTCTATTTCCTTGATATCGATGAATACCTTAGCCTATTCATGTCACTTGAACCATCGTACTTCTTTGTTCTCTGTGGGATCTGATCTACTAATCCGCTCCGCGATATGAAATACTAGAGATGAACAAGGACCGAACATTAACCTAGTTGGCCTCCAGTAGCAGTGCAACCTTGTCTCCACTCGAATCCATGGATAGCAGCGGTGCGCAAAAAGGGGCTTAGCGTGTTTGAAAGGAGAACGACGTCAAACAAGATCATTGTTTCCATTTAACGCGATGACCCAGCTACCATATCTCATAAAACAAAGGAAGAGGATCTTTCCGACGAGAGCTCCACAGCAAGCTACGACTACGAAATTGTCGATTCTTGATGCTTCAGTTGCGCGATTCGCACCATGCAGCGCAATCTGGCTTTATGACAGGACCGAAAAGGCCAATGCGCACGATCCTATCGTCTTCGAACGCCTAGAAACGGCGCTGAGCCGGACACTGGACGATTACTCACACTTTTCGGGCCAACTCCGATGGGCTTCCAAGGAGCACGTGGAGAATGATGTCAATCCACGCTATGGTCGTCCGATTGTCACATACGGCACACCAGACGATCCTGGGGTTGAGTTAGTCATCGCTGAGGACGCCCGGGACCTTAGCTCCATCGTGCCGAGTCCAAATGAAAGGTTGACGACGAAACAGATCTGGAATGCAACAAACTTTCCTCAGAATGATTTCCAGCCCGAAACAGAGCTTGCGCTCTCCGACTCGACACGCTTTGAGGGCCTGCCAGGCGTCGCTGTCCAGTTAACCGTCTTCAAATGCGGAGGATACGCTGTGAGCGTCAAGCTTGCGCACTGCCTCTCCGATGCTATGTGTCTCATGCAGTTTGCTCATGCATGGGCGGCGCAGTCACGACTCCTTTTCGAAGATGGCTGGGATACTACTAAAATCAACGGCGAAGAGCGTATAGTGCCATTATTCGACCCCAGGCAGTTAGACCAGTATGCCGACCTAACGACTGAACCAGATCCCGAAAAGATCAAGAAAGCAAGAGCCTTACCAATGCATCGATACGACTGGTGGGCTAAAGATGCTCCCGGCTATCCTTCCTGGGCCGAAGCATCGACGAATGGCACAAAGCCGCCAGCGGAGGAACTGGCCCACCTAGAACTAAGCCCTTCCACATTTCCCCCTTGGCCAACGTGGAATATGGCAGCTCCAGTAGAGCACGTACAGATCCGTTTCAAAGCTGAAGCTGTCGCCAATATGAAAAGAGCCGCCGAAACAAGCCTCCCCGAGCCTCTGAAGGGACAGCGCATCTCGCGCCTCGATTCTGCCTTGGCACATGTATGGATTTTAATCAACCGTGCACGTCAGCATGAAAATACGCAGGACGATGTGTACATGGATATTACTCTTGGGGTCCGTAGTCGAGTTGATCCGCTATTGCCAGATACTTTCGCAGGCTCTCCGATCCTATTAGGCTACATCGCTAAACCGGGCTTCGAGGCGAGTACTACGACTATCGGTGCAGTTGCTGGCTCGATACGAGAGATTATGTCTCGATTTACTCCCGATGCCGTGTCCGCTTATATCCACGATGCTGCTCATGAGGTTAGCCCTCAACGTTTATGGCAGGCTTTCCTTGGCTCAAGGCACACGCTCGTGACGTCTTGGGTTCGGGCTCGTGCTTACGAAGTTGACTTTTGCGCGACGCAAAAACTGGCTCGGTATGTGCAAGGAGTAATGCCCCGGATGGACGGATTAGTCCAAGTCATGGATATTGCGGACACTGGAGATTTCGACATTAGTATATGTCTGGAGAGGAAAACGATGCAGCGATTTCTTCAAGATCCTATGTTGAGTGTCTACGGAATCTGAGAGACAGATACTTGTAGGTATCTACCCCACCAATGGAATAGGAGTAGGTATTCCACCTATGAATATTAAGAGTAGAATTAGAAAAAGAAGTAGAAGGGAGAGGAACGATCGTATATATCAGTATTCTATAAGGCGCATAAACGATTAATATAGCGATCATGTTTGAATTTAGTTGATGTCTACCTAGGTAAGGTGACTTAGAACATACAGGTGATCCAATTTACGCTACCCCCTTTTCCCATTTCCTCATTGCCGGTATCGGACTTACCATATCCCCTATTATTTACGCCTGATCTACTCTAGCAAGCAGAACAGAGGGCTTTTAATCGCTTCTGGAGGCCCCATCGATGGACACAAAGCTAGGATCACCAGTCTTTATCATGTTCAAAATCCCCTCTAGCGTTGGACGCAAGCTCATCGTCCAGAAGTACCTGCATTACTAACATTGCCATTCCCTTAGCGCACTGAAGACAAACCTCGTGAGCTTCGTCTGTGCTCGCTGCTGCGGCGAAGCGAGGGTTGTGAAGTGCAACGTCCGGGGCCGTCGGGATGCCGAATGCGCCGTGGAAACTAGGCACGACTTGAGAAACGTTGCCCATATCAGTCGACGCCGTTACAGGTTTTTCTCTCCATAGAAGTACTTTCTCTCCTATTGCTGACATCTCACTCACGTATGTATTGCATAGAGATTTGTTTGCAATCATGTTCGAGTACGTCGGCGCACTGTGCATGTCAGATGAGAAAGGCTGAACGCCAAAATCATAGTTGTGTTACTTACGTGATGTAGTTTAACTCGCATCCCGTCGCCGTCGCAGCGGCTTCTATATTAGCCTTGACACGAGAAAGTAACTTGTCGGCCCCAGCGATAGTAGGACTCCGAACGTTCCAGTTCATACGCGTGTAGTCCGGAATGACGTTGGGTACTGTACCGCCGACCTCAATAACGGCATGGATTCGCTCATCTGGTTTGATTTGCTGTCGAAGTAGCCCGATACTGCTATATGCCGCCACGGCAGCGTCTAGAGCGTTGACGCCATTCCACGGCTCGTTGGCGGCGTGTGCGGTCTTGCCACGAAACTCAGTGTGGAATTTGTGACTTGCAATCATTTTCATTGCCGCCAAACCAGACCAGCCATTAGACTCATTGGAAAGTTGGTTTTTCGGCATTGGATGAGCCACTTGGATAATAAAAATTAGCAATTGCTCCTTTAAATAACTTAGGGGGTATGAGAAACTCGGCGTGCTCCGGTCGCAGGGTCTCCTTAACCAACCTGACTACCCAGGGAACCCGAATTGGAAAGACAAGGGGACAAAAAAAGAGGAAACTTTTGTGACACATACTGATAGCGGCGGAGGCATCATTGAACGCGCCGGCATCAATCAGTTTCGCTTTGCCGCCCCCACCCTCTTCGGCCGGGGTTCCGAGTAAGCGAAGCCGTCCGGAAGCACCACTCTGTTTCAAGGCTGCCGCAGCTCCGAGAAAAGTAGCAATGGACGAGGTGGCGATTAGATTATGCCCGCATGCGTGTCCGATCTGTGGCAAGGCATCATACTCAGCGCAGATAACGACGAGACGTCCGGAAGAGCCGGTTTCGGCTTCAAAACTTGTTGCCAAGCCGTAGGTGCTGCGCTTCACGTTGAATCCTCGGTCTTCAAGAAACTTGGTGATCGTAGTATGTGCGAACTCTTCTTCATATGCAGTCTCCGGGTGTTCGTGTAATGCTTGGTTGATGCCTTTCCTTAAATCTTGATTGGCATTGTCGATCGTTGATTTAACAGCTGATCGCAGTCTTTCCACATCAATAGTCCCCATGTTTCTTTATAAACCTTCACTTGGTGTATTAAGATTGAAACGAACTTGACACCGAACTGGAAATCACATTAATCTGTTGATCTAATTACCTGTTTGTACATCGTTCATTACGGCTTTGATCCGGCATGCGACGCTAACGATGGCAGACGATAGCATGAGGCCGATTGCTCAAAAACTGGCAGTGCGGGGTACTATAAGTGAGGTACGCTCTGGGAAAGATTGGCCGTTGCACAAGGAGAAAGGGGAGCGCCCCTCGAGACTTGTTTAGCTGCTAGTGTAGTACAGCCTTTATTGTGAATTGCTTCATATTTCGGATAATATGCCTACCTTCATATCGATTTCTCATAACAAAGGAAACGAACTCCAATTGTTGCGTAGGTAATCATTCGCCATGGGTCCACAATGATGGAAGCAATGATATGGCAGGATTAGATGCGGAGTAGGTAGCATAATCCATCGGCAGTATGTTCCTCTCGGTCCGTGAGTTCCTAGTTATGGCGATGGGAGGGGTGTTTCGAAGGATCATCGAAAGTTTCAGCATCAAAACATAAGGCAACTCTGGAAAACACGATTTAACGAGATCGAAAATGGCGCCCCCTTTCAGAGCTGATCATATTGGATCGTTGCTAAGGCCCCAGTCACTTCTCGAGGCTCGAAAATGTCTTTCATCTCCTTCTCAGATGTATTCACTGGAGATCCCACAATCAGTCAAGGATGCGGAGTTGCAAGCAATTAGAGACGTAGTTCAGGTACAGCTGGTGAAAGGCATCCGACCCATCACAGACGGTGAATATGCTCGCCATATCTACTACGGCGGATTCTTTGAAAAACTCTCTGGCTTCGAAGCCAGACCGGATCTCCCGATTCCGGATGCATTCCGGACTGACTTTCCAACAACCACGGGCCTTGCAAGGATGGGAGCAAAGACCCGGGCCGCAGTTATGTGCACCGGCAAAATTGAGTATAAGGAGTCTCCTTACCTTTCGGAATGGCTCGAACTCCGCGACAACCTAGCTAAAGAGCTATGGTCCCAGGCCAAATTCACCATTCCGGCACCAAATTATCAGCATATCCAACTCAAACCCGGGACTGCGTGGACGAAAGATTCGGGCTATACTTCAGACCAAGAGTACTTTGATGACCTCGCCAAATGCTATGCTGCTGAACTTCGAACGCTTTACGATGCTGGTCTCCGCAATATCCAAGTTGACGATCCACATCTCACATACTTCTGTTCTTCTCAATTCCTCGAAGGGTGCAAAAAGGACGGTACAGACACAGATGAACTCTTGGACCTCTATACGCGAACCCACAACCAACTTCTGGCAAACAAGCCGGCAGATTTACATGCTGGAATGCACCTTTGCCGAGGTAATATGTCTGGGTCTACGCATTGGGTGTCCGGCTCTTACGAGAAGATCGCCTACAAACTCTTCAACGAAACCGACTATCAGACCTACTATCTCGAGTTTGATGACCTGGAGCGGGCTGGTGGGTTTGAACCTCTGAGGTTCCTTCCTAAAGGCAAGAATGTGGTGCTAGGTCTTGTCTCTACTAAGACTCCAGAGCTAGAGGACCCGAGCACAATGAAAGAAAGGATCTACGCAGCAGCATCAGTGATTGCTAATGCTCAGGGGGTAAGTAAGGAGGAAGCGATGGAATATCTTGCAATCAGCCCTCAATGTGGATTTAGTAGCAGCAGCTTGGCTGGAGGCGTAGGAATGACCATAGAGACGATGTGGGCAAAACTACAACTGGTTCGAGATGTAGCACGGGATATCTGGGGTTGATTATGTCTCTATCCACATAGTTACGTGGCGATTACTTTGAATTTATTCATGGTACATTAATACCCGATGTCAAGAAAAGGAGTGCTCCGTGATGGATATCATACATAGAGTGAATGTTAGGTAGTAGTGTAGTATTAGTGAAGTATTAACGCTTGCCCTTCGAAGCACCCTATATATAATCTACCCTAATCTCACACTGTACCTAATCGGGGATAATCCACATTATCCCCTGACACCTGATTACCACACGGGAATGACCCTGAGGCGCAGTTGCACTAACGCCTGACTGCTGACTGCATTTTGGGCCTAGGTTGGTTGTCAACAAGGAAAGTGCTTTGTTTTGTGTAACCAACTGAAATATAGGTAAGCAAGGTTTGTTGGTCTTCCTCAAGCTCAATTACTCATCCTTTCATCTTCGACCGACTGCGCAGGATATTCTCACAAGTCTACGATAGCAATTGCGTCAGCTCGGCGGAGTAGGAAAAGGTCATTATATCTCTAAACTTTATATGGACCACACATAGCAGATGTTCAAACTTTTCCTGGCTGCGGCCGGCACGCTGTTGGTCACGTATCTCTACATGCGACTGAGATACGTGCGCGACAAGCAGTATGCACATATCCCACAGTTGCCAAATCACATCCTCTGGGGTCATCTCAAGGTTTTTGGTGAATTCATGAGTCGTGGAATACACGACCGACATCCAGGTATGCCACGGGACGAGTTTACTGGTAGCAACCTCGCTCGCAATGCTTTCCACTTTCAGCTATCACGGGATTAACAGCCAGATAGATAAAATCTTCGAAGAGATATGGGCATCTATAGGTCGTCCTCCTATCATGCTTGTAGACCTCCGGCCAATTAATCCTCCCATGGTCCTTGTGCCTGGCCACAGCATCGCCGAACAGATCTCCAAACCATCTAAGCTTTTCCCTCTCAGCACACCAAAATCTCCGACTTGGACTCATATGATTCCTATCATAGGAAAGTCATCAATTCTAGGTAGAGAGGTAAGCGTGAATGCTCTGTCGCTTATAGGCCTCACTAACAGCTGGTATTCCTAGGGCCAAGACTGGAAGGATCTCCGTAAAGTATATAATCCAGGCTTCACGACTCAACATTTGTGGAGTTTATTGCCCCTTATTCTCGAGAAGATGGAACCATTCTGGAATTACTTAGATCAGTTTGCTACTTCGGGAGAAGAGTTTTCTCTGGAAAAACTCATCTCTAATCTGACTTTTGATGTTATCGGTGCTGCCGTGATGGAAGTTCAGCTTAATGCACAACAACTAGACCGCTCAAAACAGGGCGAATTAATCCGATTGTTCGGGGAGCTTGTCCAGACATACAACGACGATAAGAACAACCTTCCATGGTGGATCGTCCCCTGGACTACAATGAAGCGAAATCAACTGGCTAGGCGTATTGATGTGCTAATAAAAGACATGATTCAGCAAAAGTATACACAGCTAAAAGAGGAAGCAGAAGGGAATAGATCGCGGAGCATTGTCGCGCTCAGTTTCCAGGATACAGAAGCACTAACGCCGCAGCTTCTATCAGAGACTTCAGACCAAGTAAGGAGTTTCTTGTTCGCGGGACACGACACAAATACCAGCATGTTGCAATGGGCGTTCTACGAGCTAAGCCGTACGCCCCGCGCCCTCAAGGCTGTGCGCGACGAACTCGACGAGGTTCTTGGGCCTCAAACTGATCCTCGTACGATATGCACTACACTGGCGCAGGAGGGCGAGCATCTTATGTCGCGCATGCACTACATCAATGCTGTCATTAAGGAGACGCTCCGCCTACATCCACCTGCCAGCACTGTTCGCATGGCGGATCCTGGAACAGGCTTTACGGTTCGCGCACCCACCGGCGAGGAGTACAATCTCGACGGGCTGATCATGTACTCGTGCCAGAGCATTATCCAGCGGGACCCAACTGTCTATGGGGACACGGCGGATGATTGGATACCGGAGCGATGGCTCGGCGAGGCGGCAAAAAACATTCCCGTGAGTGCGTGGCGGCCCTTCGAGAGGGGTCCAAGAAGTTGCATCGGGCTAGAGCTCGCGAATCTCGAATCGCGCATTATCATCGCCATCGTGGCTCGCAAGTACGACTTTATCAAGACGGGTTTAGGAGAAAGCGCTCTCGATAAGGAGGGCTTTCCTGTGTTGAATGACAAAGGGCAATATAAGGCCAAGTCAGAATTATATAATGTGAGTCAGGTTTGCACTTCCTCCACAATGCATAAGTGATTTTGTAAAGAACCCTGGCTGACACTTTAATTCAATTCGCATTGCTGCAGACTCGCAGGATGACGTCCAAGCCGGTAGATGGAACAATCATGAAGATTAAACTAGCGGCTTAGACAGGAACTAATCCGGTCGTGGCATGGTACAGCACAGATCGTCGTCGGAATTAGGAGAGGTAGGTATTGTCCTCCAATTGTAGCAGATATAACGACGCTAAAGTGTACGCATCCATTGGTAGTGAGAGCTATTAACTAGTAGTAGCATACCTATTCGAGTGTGCTTCCTAGCTTTATGAATGCCAAAATGTGCAGCCCCTATTATCTCAGGCGACCTGATAGGAGGTAGTGTCCCAGTAAGGTTGAAAGAAGGTTTGCAGGCCCGCGAGTCACGTCCAAGTTCACGGTATAGCAGAGAAAAGAGGAATGTTGGGATAATGGATTTTGTTATAGTGTGGAAAAAGACCTAGGAATTGAATTTCAGAGTGGGGTGTATGGTGGGGGTAGTGAAGGTCTCTGCGGCGCATAATCACTGGGAATCTAGAGCTATCATTGCGCTAAGGCGCTTCTTCCATTGGAGTGTAAGGGTCCCATGGTTCTGTAAAGTCGTCGATTGGGCTTAGATCTCAGCCGCAGCCCCCTCACCTTACGGCATGTAAATTTTCGGTGTGCACCAAGTTGATAAGAATTTACCTTCTTTTCATTCTAGCTATATTTCAAGGCAACTGCTTTTATATTGACAAGCAAATCATGGAAATGATCAATTCTTCGAGACAGCCTAACATCTCTTGCTCAATTTATGAAGAGATTAAGATGCATATTTGCCTTTATCAATCTGTTCATGATATACGGATATATGTTTAGTAAAAATGACTATTCAGCTGTGGGCAACAATATGGTAAAGATTCATACAAAACACAGGTTTACCCCTTATGTACTAGGTGATGATGAGGCTTGCTAAGGACTAAGGACCCTACGTCATTATTCGTACGCTGCCAAGTTTCTGCTTACCCGTTTCTAATGTTGAACCAAGACACTCGAGCAAACAATTGATCGTAATAATCACATATATAAAGTCGATTGGGTCTCATTACCTGGGCATACTTCAGAAATTTAAGGCTTTGGATGAAATACTGAATAAGTCACGACTGCAATAATGCCAGATTCCCTACAAGTAGCCCTTAAGAATACCAGCGATTCGGACCAAATCTACGCATATGTTACCGGGATAGCCCTCCAACATGGTGGCCAGCGATGCATCCTTAAGGCCGACGGACAAAGCCTCTATTTTCCGGAGAACCCGCCCGCCATCGGCTCGCCCCTGACGGAGGACTGCGCCATTCCCCTCGGGCCGCCGGGAAACACCGTTACGGCGACCATACCGCAGATGGCCGGTGGCAGGATATGGTTCTCGCGAGACGGCAAGCTCACGTTCCTGCTCAACCCCGGGCCGGCCCTGGTGGAGCCCAGCGTGCTGAACCCGAGCGACCCCAACGCGGACGTCGACTTCGGCTTCTGCGAGTTCACGCTCAACGACGCGCAGCTGTACGCGAACATCAGCTACGTGGACTTCGTGCCGCGCCTGCCGATTGCCATGTCCCTGGAGCAGGCGAGCGGCGAGACGCAAGCCGTCGCCGGCATGGCCCCGGACGGCGCGGACCGCCTCGCGGACGCGCTGCGCCGGCAAGCTGGCACGGACGGCCGGCCTTGGGACAAGCTCGTTGTCGAGCGCGGGGGCCGGGTCCTGCGGATCCTCAACGCGACGCACGGCGGCGCCGTCGGCGCCAGCTTCGACGGGTATTTCGAAGCGTACGTGGACCTAGTATGGGAGCACTTTCTCGCGAAGCAGGAGCGGGGCGAAGTCCTAAGGATCGACACGCAGGCCGCTCCCGGCATCCTAGAAGCCGAGTTCGATCGCGATTCCGGGGTCCGGATCGGGGAGGAGAAGTTCGGAAAGCCGACGACGGCGGATATCCTAGGGTGCAATAGCGGGCCGTTCGCGACGGGGCCGTCGCCGACGCGGAACGCGATCATCCCGCGCCTGGCGGCGGCGTTCGTGAGGTCGACGCTGCTGGAGACGGATGAGCATCCGTCGCATCCGCGTACGCTTTACCAGGTCGATCCGACGAACCACTATGCCCGCCTCGTGCATGAGCATAATGTTGATGGGAAGGGGTACGCATTCGCTTATGATGATGTGCAGCCGGATGGTGGCGATGACCAGTCGGGGAAGGTGAATGCTGGGGACCCGGTCCTTTTCACGGTAGCGGTTGGGGGCGCAGAGGCTCGATAGGGAACCGCTTTGAAATTTCTCTAGGAAGGGTATTTATAAGTGTTATTTGGTGTCTTGGTGGTGTATTGGACGTGGCGGGACAAGGAAGACCTCCTAGTTGAGTTGGCTCGTTGATTCTTTCTAGGGCATAATACCTAGCTTAATAGAATTACCTATATCTACCCAGGCACCTAGGTAACTACGTGCCATTAACACTTCATCGTTTCTGCCAAATAACGAACCTTTTGAAATGGGCAACGTTTACCAATTAAATGAAAGGATCCAAGTTGATTGCATACGAGGTCACTAAAGATTCTTACTTACCTACCTAAATAAACGTCTTAAATGGTACGTAGAGGGGATTTAGGAAACTGGATAAGAGAAGATTGGGAGACAATTGAGTAAGATGTTTAGAAAGATGGAAAACTAGGTACCAGACTGAGGAATCGAACGAAGAGATTTATGCTCTCGGCTTAACTCGGGGATTTTGTGCCACCAAGGGCGCCATGATTAGGTAGTATTTTAATCCTATCATACTATTTGCTTTCTTATGAATTTATCTCCCATCAAATATTTGTGTTCAAACTATTTTACATTCAGCGATGGATAGTATGACTGTGCTTTCGTCACTTAACCCTTACTGGCTGGTAGCTATCGCAGCGCTAGTCATCCTCCCAATGGCTATTGTCTATCACCAGAGGTCGAACTCACCTTGTAAGAGTTTTGTTACGAAACACCATGGTGTTTCCATCCATGAGACGCAAATTATCAAGAGCACTGTCTCTCACTATCGCCTTTTCCCAAAGAAACACGGATTCCTTTACCCCTACTTGGCTGTCGGCGTGCCTATACGATCCCCGAGCTCAAATTGGATATTCTCTGTTGATACCACTACATGGTGGAAACGGGGCTGGCTTCATGTGTCAGCCAAAGATCATTTACATAGAGGAAGTAATTACGAGACCCTATCTGAAAAGTTGGATTGCTATTTGAGACAGCAGGTAATTCAGCACATCAATTTTCCACCACTTGCCATATTCACCAGCCAACTTCATCAATAGGGATTGAACCCAGTGGCATTTCCTCACGTCTATCTACTTACCACGCCGTGCTTCCTTGCTTATCGGTTCAGTCCGGTATCATTTTGGTATCTCTATACACCAGATCTCCAGCTTCAATATGTCGTTGCCGAGGTCAACAATACCTTCGACGAGAGACGAATGTATTTGTTTCCAGCGCGCGACCACTCCGACGTATTCAAGCAGACCCTTGCCAAAGATTTTCACGTGTCTCCTTTCAATTCAAGAAAAGGGTCATATGCGCTCTGCACCTCTAATCCGGCCAACGAAGAAGACATATCAGTCTCTATTACCTTGCGGTCTTCAAAAGGACACCCCAAACTTATTGCTCGCTGGTGGTCTACGGCCTATGTGATAAACCCGTCTAATTATCCGACCAGACTTGCTCTATGGTTCCTCGCGCGCTGGTGCTGGACTGTGTTAATTACATGTGAGAATTCGCCTCCATTATGCTGATAAGTCTACTAAATAGAACGTACAGACCCTAGGATCGTATTCCAGGCAATGCTGCTGGCTCAGGTTCATAAGTTAAGCATATGGTATCGTCCAGAGCCACAGGGATCAACCATTCCACGACACGCAAATTCGTCCGAGTTATTACTAGAAACCATATTCAAGCAATATCTGGGACGGCTACTTCGATATTCGCCGAAGGAATTTAGTCCAGACTTATATTATTATGAGTCCATTCAACCCCCCTCTCCTACTTGCGGCAAGGATCACTCTCAAAAGCTGAACCTGCGTCACGTACAGTTGAAAATTCACACACCACAATTTTACCGCCAAATGACAACCTACGAAAAGTTGACAGATTACCTGTCATACACTTTACTTCATCCATATGAAGAAAATCGCACCGCTTGGTCTAATGACGCAATGCGATTAATTAAATCCTTACAGGAACTGGAATCCATAGAAGTGAACCAAAAACGCATGTCCCATGAACTTCTATCTATGAACCTACCCCTCAGAATTACGTGGAGGATATATAGGCATCTACGTACCACTACACCTTTGAAGGGGTCTTATCCCGAATTTGGCTTACCGAAAGCCCGTGATAATGGTCATTCCACCTTACGAACTAAACCCGTGTTGTCTGCTTCGGAGAGTTGGACTTGCTTTTTGGACGATTTCGTCTGCATTCATTGTACCAGGACGCTGCAGGTGCGATATATGATAGCTATACTGGGTCTTCAATGCAGAACAAAAGTAATGGGTATTATAGGAGGCGAGTAAAATGATAACTGAAGAAGGCTTTTATTCGAGCGAAGAATGCTCATGAGATAGTTACTATTCACATGCACGATGGCTAGATTAGTAGGATAATTGAGTCAATGCTGGTCTACGTGATAATGTTCCAAAGTATAGCCGTATCTGTAGGTTACCTAGAGGTGTGATCCCGTCTTACCTACCTACCTATGTACTTACATGTAAGCTAGCATGGTGTGGAGTGGATAGGTTGGTAGGTAGTTTAAAATTTCACTTAGGTTAATATTGTAGTCCTGGCAGCCTGGATATGAATATCCCGGAAGCCTTGCAGGCGCGGCAGTCTCGGTCAATAATAAACAGAAATGTAAGAACTAATTGGTGTGAATACAAACATGACGTATCGTGCTTTAATTAAAGAAAGGACAATATAATATGGCACTAGTACACTCTCTTGACAACTTACGTTTGTCACAGCCTCATATACTTAGGTAGGTAAATCATACGAAGGTTGTGGATTTGGACCATAGGGTAGAAGTGTCGATGGGCCAAGACCGTGCAAACCGAGGAATATCTCACACTGTATGCTGTTATCTTTAGGTAGTTACGTTCCCTGGGTTGTAGTCGATATCCACTAAAATAGAGTGAATAGATCACTGGTATTATGTCTTAGCCTTAGCTTATTGATTACGCACTGTGGCTGGAGGTGCGGCTCATCGTCCGCCGTCCATGCTCCAAACTTTTGGCCGGAACCTTTGTACCTGCCTAATAGTCAAGTTCTTCACGAAGGTCTAAGTTGTGAAACATAGGTACCTACGTAAGTTTCTTACCTGCATTAAGTAAATATATTAATTAGATTCTAAAGATAGGTTTAATATTCGACTCATGGCTTGAGGTATGTAGGTTTCACCTAATCGGCATATATGTAGGACCTAGCTATTATTACCAAGTACCTACGAAGTAGTGGGTACTGCTTCATGTTGATCCACGCCCTTGCTTTGTTTATATGCGGCTTTCACGGTCCCGATACCTTTTATTTTTAACGGTGTGTTTCACAAGAAGGTCTAGCATGTGATGTCGGATTCCGGTCAGGTCGATCGAATTATAGGTACATCTTATCCTTCGTTGTTACACAGGGCAACTTTTTGCGTCAGCTTAAGGGATGTGTAAAGACTTTTCGTACTAATATACTTGGATAGGTAAATACGCCAAAGAAACTGTGAAGTATGGGTAATAATATATACCAATCATCTTAGCCAATCAAGCGTTTCCTCCAGCTTATGCTTTCCTACGTAAGTGAATGATTGGATATATCGTCAATATTGCAGCCCCCATCATGAAGACTCCAGCAAAAACTTGCAGGCGCCACCAATCCCTCGAGCCAGACCTTAGGTCATAAATTCCCCCTGCGATCGGGCTGCCAATCAACATTCCTAAGCCAACCCAAATCCAATACATACCCGACCGAGCACCGATCACAGCCAAAGAAGGGCAGAAAAGAGGTAGGAACGCGCCCGGTAGTGCTACTAGAAACCCGGATACCATACCCCAGAAAATGGACCAGACGATAGTTCCCGCGATTGTATCGACCGCGATCCAGCAGAGTAGCAAGATAGAGCCAAGGACAAGTGAGACGGCGATGGTTTCGGTGGGCCCGAAGACTGCACCAGCTATACCTGCTATAATTCGACCAACTGCAGATGCCCCATTCACTATAGCAAGAAGGTTAAGGGCTAAGTTCGAACTGATGGAAGGGATCCTGATCTCGGTTAATAACGGCAAGTATAGCAGCGGAATGTAATACGCCGTAGCACTAAGCAACGATGCCACGCAAAGCATCATGTAAGGCAAGTCGGTGAACGCGGACACATCAAACAAGCGCCGGACTGTAGTCGGCTTTTGCTGGTGGCCGACTAGGATGAGATACGAGATCAAATATAGTGCTAGCATAACAAAACCGATGGTTCGAATAGTCCAGGCGAATCCTATCTGGGGTACAAGGTAGCGGAACATGATAGGGTAAATAATGCCGCCTGAAGTTATTTAGCAGTGAATTGAGTCAGTACCTATCTTTGGATATCTCTTACCAATGCTGCTGCCACATGCCATGAGGCCCATGGCCCTAGCTCTTGAGGCAAGATTTGGTAAGCATGCTGATGCTGCTGCTACGCTCGGCGTGAACGCAATACCAGCGCCAAGGCCAACGCAAATGGCCTGGGACAAGAAAAGCTGATAGTATTTGGTGGAGAGGCTTAGCATCATAAGGCCGAAGACCTGCAAGAGACTACCAGACAACACCAGCAACCGATACAGTCCATAATCGTAGAGCGGACCTGTGATGATTCCCCCAGACAGGGTAATGAAGGCACAGGTTGTCGAGATCCAAGATATGGTTGAGCTAGGCTGGCCTTGGAGAAGGGATTGCTCGTAATACGTTTGAAAGACACCGCAGGTAAGAAGGAGTCCCCTTGTATAAAATGTTTCATTAGACTGTGGACTCACACGATAAAACAACCGAATAGGCTTACCAAGTATTGAAAAAAATTATAAATGTACTCAATATCTGAAGCCATTGCCGAATAGTAAGTCGTGAAGCTGGGGCTTTTGGTCCGGATATTTCGGTAAGTAATGGACGATCATAAAAGCTTGACCTGCCCATGGAGGTTGATATTTTATTTTCAGAATGGTTGGAACTTGAGGTTAACATGATGTCGTCTGGAGCCATACTGAATAACGACGTTATAGTATATTATGGCTAATATGGCTTTATTGCAGTTTTGTCAAGCAAGGGGTGAGAGGATAAAGTTGAAGTTGAGACATGAATAGGTAGGTAGAGACAAGGGAGTGAGTATGGTATTTCTACTGGATTTGGGAAAAGTGAATATGGACGTACCTACCAAAATGTTAGTTACATATTCATGGATTTAGTGATATTGCCTAATCGGAACTAGTTGCGAGGTGCATAATATATATAAATTATACACTGCCCTCCCCCTTATGTACATCATAAGCCCTCTAATTCCGAGGTCGATAGGTAGGTAGGTACCTAGGTAGTATAATATTTCTGTAACCTCGGTTCCTTTTGCCTCCAGGAACTCTCTTTCTCTTTGTATTCAATGTTTACTTGCTAAGACACCCTATCCTCCTGTTCGAAAATCCAAAAGCACTTCGTTACCCGTGTTTCAGCCATGGCTTCCGCAAAAAGGTTTGAGGGTATCCCTCGTTTTCCAGACGATGTACCTATTGTACCCATACAAACTATCCCACTATCAGGTCTGCGTTCGGGCGAGGAGACCACGGCGAAGAAGATGCTAATGGCATGTCAAGAGCTCGGTTTCTTCATGCTTGACCTACAAGGAGATATGCTAGGTGCCTCGATCATTGAAGGGATTGACCAGCTATTTGATGTGAGCAAAGATATTTTAAACCTCCCTGAAGAGGTGAAGGCTCAGTATCTCCATGATATTCCTAAGAGCTTCCTTGGGTAATATAACCCCTGAAATTATCACGCCGATTTCATTTTAATGCCCACCCAGCTTTAAACCGCGTGGTGACGCCAGAACCGAGACGAACGAACCCGATCGATTCGAATGGTTTAACATTGGCCAAGACAGCCTGGTGGGAAATACAACACCGCAACCACTTCCGCACCTTGTACAATCTCACCTTGCCCTACTGAGATCTTTTCTGGAGCACGGTCAGAGTATCATTGGTATGATAAGCTCCATACTCGCGACCGAGCTTGGCCTCCCGCCTGATGCTTTCACGTCCATGCAAAGATCTTCTAAGCCCTCCGGTACGGTTGTACGGTTTATCAAAGCATTCGCGAGTTTAGATCTTGGAGATCTCCGCACAAGCATGATCCACCATACAGACTTTGGCACCGTCACCTTACTCGCCAATGTACTAGGCGGGCTGCAGATTCTCTCCCCGGGAAGAGACGCGGCGGACGAGACTGCCTGGCTTTGGGTACACCCGCGACCGGGTTGCTTAATTGTCAATCTAGGCGATGCGATGGTTCAATGGACAGGTGGACTACTACGTAGTAATGTGCATCGTATCAACCATGCACCTGGGTTGCAGCGTTTCGTTGATAGGTACAGTTTAGCCATCTTGGTAAGGCCAGAACGCGATGCAAGCATGAAAAGATTGATTGGTGAGGGCGAGAATAGTGACTTGACCGCCTGGGAATGGGAAGTTCGGAAGGCAATGGCCTTGAAGAGGGACAACGGTACCGAAGAGAGTAAGAAGAGCGCCTAGTCTTGCTACAAGGAAATATACCTAGATAGGCATTTCAATAAATAGGAACTTTCTTTCCAAGCATTTTAGCCCGGCTTCTTTTATCATGTCCAAGATTAAGTAGGCACCTAATGCAGTTTTGGAGAAATTCTTAACTGAAATAAGAGGAAGGAATACAACATATCTCCTCGCTGTCTTCTATTCTAAACCTGAAAATAAACCTCAATACAATATTACATGTAGGCAATTGCCCCGAAGACCCTCCAACCCTGTTAGATGTATTCATCTGACCCACCTTCCTCAAGATGAGTCAACTGGCCACTTTTTCCGTAGACGGAGAGGTCGTTGAGCTTAATGGCCTGCCGAGGCCGCGTCTCGGCGGACCCGATAGTGACAATTGCGCGCTGACTGTCGTTGCAGGGGTCGATAGTATGATTGTCACCAGTGCCGGTATGCATCTTAGACCTGCTGCTACCGTATTTCATGAATCCTGTTACCTTTCCATGGATGTGGCGAAACAGAGGATAGTTTGCAGGGAGATCCGCAACGAGCTGTGCTAAGTTACGTTCTATAATTGTACAAACGTAAACCCTGGGTAAAGCCCAGGTGAAGTCCGGGTCAAGGAATTCCTTGACAAAGGCAACCCTGACGATAGAAGCCGCAAAAACCCTGTTTGATATTTGTAAGTCCCGAGGCGAGGTAATATAGTGTTCGAACGATACCACGTACGACAGACCAGATCCAGTCAAGCCGAGAATAATGAGTTTCTTGCGAAGCTCCATCTGTAACCTACCAAAGAAATAAATAGGTGACAGAGCGTAGAAAATATCAGTGAAACTGAAAAGGGCTATATATCAGATGTGAGCTAATGACTCAGAGTCTGTGCCTGATAACTGTGACAAGTAAAGACTGACCGGTGCAGGTAATGATCATGACCACCAGTGTTTTCGGACTGGCCGTCGTTCCGGGTATGCCAGGTTTCCACAGTCTTTCGAGTGGACGTGCCTGGAGACCCCAAATCATTCCCTGAACGAAGCTCGCAATGGTCGTTAATGCCATCAGTCCGTAGATAACCCATTTTGAGCGTCGATAACTATCCCGGATAAGCGAAAGGATGAAGAAACAGATCGAAATCTTAACAGCCCAGATGTCGATAACTGCGAATAGAATTGTATACTCGCTTATTCTTTTGACATTTTCCTTTTGCTCGTCGGTGAGAAATTGTAGATGGCGACCAAAGCCCTCTTGAACCGAGACATACTCAAGTGCATTAGTAGTGAGATTCAACACCTTCGCCACCTGTCAGCATGGCGGTTGAACATATAATTGTATGACTAGAAATAAACGCACTAGAGCAAGAAGAATCAAGTAATTTTCGATTCCAAACTGGGCTCTCTTATTCCGTAGCCTATTAGCAATCCGCGTTCCCGTAGAAAGAACAATTAGGACGGTGAATACTGTGTCGGTGATTAACATCATCCGACCTCTGTTCTCGTCAACTAAGCTAGGGTCAAAATCGGCGCCTTCACTTGCCATGGTAGAAGTTGAGGTTGACACCTAGGGATTCAATGCAGGGTTAACGCAGATAGGGCCAACGAGCCGCTATAGCGTTATCGAGTAAGGCTGTAGGAGGATTTGGGGATAGGATTCGCTTAACCGACTGGCTTACGTCCAGTGGGCCTCAGGATGACCTAGAATCTGAGGCAAACCACCATCCCCTAATCCATTAGAAGGCGTCGAAGCCATGATATTTGGAGATGAGAGAAGTGGTGGCGGTGGTTACTTTCTCGTGTAGCTGCGGTGGTACGAATGAGAGCAGCTTCGGTGTATCGACTTGTAACTATAGGTACCTAGAGTCCTAGACACACATATTGATGACTGATTAGCCATGCCTGGGTTATTCGCCCAGTTTCGAGTTCACCGATGAGGATCTGCGCGGCGCTGAAGCACTGCATTGTTGTGTTACTCATCCTTCGGATAGATACCTAGCCAATCTTATTGAGTTAAAGCTGTCGCATAATACTGCCTCACTTGCTCAGTATTTAGGTAGGTCCCTAGGTAGGTAAGTAAGGGAGTAAGGTTGCGTACGAGACATGCCGAGGTAAGAGAGACCTTAGCCTAGGAGATATCTCAGGTAACACAGCCTTGGGAGTGACACAAGGCCACGGTTACACAGCAGCTACCTGAATAAGTACCTGCTACCTGCTACCTAGCTATCTGATACCTACCTGATACCTAGATACCTACTAGTGTTGATATCGGGACCTTCACGTGATTAGAATCTTTGTTGCTTCGCCATTTCCCCACCATTCTACTTCCTGACAACATCCGGATTGAATTCATTTACCTGCCACCGTAGAACGCTCACTCTCTCACATCTCGTCATCTTCAAGGCCAATCAAAGTAAATCCTATTATTATCATGGCTAGCAAGGCGGGTACGCACCACAAGCGATCCAGGCTTGCTGAGTCCGCGTACAGCTCACCCTACTCACACGTCGGTGCCCCGACCCCCCATCCTAACACAGATCCTTACTCACAACTCCGCACCCGTGCGCTCTCTACTCTTGAGGCTATGGGATATGACCCGAAGACCATGGTGGAACGTGGTGTGGTCTGGGCCGAAGATCAAGACCCTTTCGGCCATGTCATGCAGTCGCAGTATATGCACTTCTTTGGCACTTGCTTTCATCGCGTCATGGAAAGTTACGACGAATTCCTTAGCGAACAGGAGTACGACGACATGATCAGTGCCAAAACCGTCGTCCCCGCCCTTCGAAAATATAATGTTGACATCAAAAGACAGGTCAAGTACCCTGATTCAGTTCGTGCAGCCATAGTCACACTTCATCTATACCGCCATTACTGAGTCATGTATAGCTTATCGCAGCCTACCGGGAGGAGCATATAGAGCCAACGCGCAACGGTGGGACTACCTCCCTGTTTTCTTTGAAGCAGCAAGCCATCGTTGCAGAAGTCAAGGGCACCGTTACTTTCATGGACGCTAAAACCGGCCGTCCCGTCGACATCCGTACCCTTGGCGGAGGATGGCCGGCTCTGTATGACGGTTTTAGTGAGAAGTGTAAACACGGGATCAGCCTTAAAGAGCAGTGGGAAAACAACCACCGTAAATCAAATATGTAAAGGAAAGGAAAAATTCCTCGTGTTCATGTATGTAGCTCGCCACAATCTATATAAAACCTTTCGAGCCAAGGCCCTCGCCCCGAAGTAAAAGGAAAGAACGGCGAGCTAAAACTAATACTGCTCTAAGAAGTGATTCTCCAGGCCCGAACTTTCTCCTTTGACTATCACTGCGACTAGCTACGAGGTCTAGGTAGCCCGCCTTCTCCCGGCCGTCCACTAGCATGCACGCCACGTGTGCACCGGATGCGAAACCGTCCTCGTGAAATCCAAACCCCATCCAAGCTCCCGCAAAGCTGATGCCGGATACCCCGTTGATCCTATGGATGTAGCCCGACATGAGGATACTTTCTGAACTGATGAGCGGATGATGGTACACTTGAATGCTTTGCAGCGTCTTGGGGATGCGTGTGGGATTCATGGAAACCAGGACCCGACCCACACTGTTCGGGTCTCCAGGGAAGGGAATCCCTTGGAGCTTGTTCATATCAAATGTGATAGATATCTTAGAGCCTTGCTCGTGGGGAGGAGTTCCGTCAATGGCTTCGTCGGTGCGACCAAGGAAACAATTCCATGCGGCACGGGCTGATGGGCGTTTAGGCAAGAACTGAGACATATTAATGAAGGCATACTTATATTCGGGCCTCACACAGCACGGAGAGTAGCCATGTACTTACTGACGTATCCGAATGTAGGTAGCATGTATTACGGCTTGTCTGAAAGCTGCTAAGGATTCTCCTCTCTAGATCGGTAGCGCCATTTCCGAGAATATCAAGCGCTTGTCTTGCGTGAACCGCAAGCGCCACGTGGTCATAGATTCGAGACGATCCGTCTCCAAATGTAAGCATCACCCCTTGCTTCAGCCGTACTGCTTTCTGTACGGGCGTTTTCAAATGCACCTGATGGTGCGCTGGAAGACTGCTTAGAAACGCATCGACGTAAGTTTTCGATCCATTCTGAAAAGACCGCCACCTAAGTGTTCTTGTTACTGTGTCCAGGAGACGGTGGTCCATCCTTCACTATTGGTTAGTATACCGGCCTATTTGGATAGTTGAAGTTATAAGGCTTCGACTTACATGAATCGGATAAGTGGCCTTGCTGGAAACGTCTCTTTGAATTCGTTTGTGTCAATACACCATGGAGAGGCCACCATAGGGATCAAGAAATAGTTTATGAATTCATCGGAATACTTCTTTTCTTTCAAATAATCGCCGATGGTCTGAAATTGGTCCAACGACTTCAAGTCCTTCTCTATAGCGTCGATTTCGTTCTCACACGAGGTAAGTAGACTGGTATCCTCATCTTCTCTAACGATAGTAGGCTCCTCGTAAAGAATCTCATGGGCGAATAGGCTAAACCACAAGATTTCAAATACCAGGCGCCAGAACCAGAAGGTAAACAAATATGACAACTCGCCAAGAAAACTCCAGATCGAAGAGCTGCTCCATTCGAAATCCCCATCGGAAACGGAGACCCCGAATGACATATCCGTAGGAATTGTCCTTATACCCAATTCCTTCAAGAAATCATTGAATTGTGCTATACGATTTCATATTAGTGGTAGCTCGCTTTGTAGAGAATTAATAATATCAACCTACGATATGTAGCTTCATCCAGGGCGATGAAACCAGTATCAACATCTACAACTCTCCCCTTTCCCTTGAACGCCACGGAGTTGGCATGTCCACCAAGCTTGCTATCGGACTCGTAGATATCCACTAAGTAACCATGCTTTCTCAACTTCCAAGAGCATGCTATACCCGATATTCCTCCGCCAACAATAGCAATGTGCCGCGGACGAGTAGATGATTCCTTGCCTGATGGCATGATAGATGGAAGAATTCTACGGTCAGATAACTGGAGTTGGGGCGAGAGATAGAGTGAGGATGCCAGTGATCATGAAAAAAACGTGATGTCTTAAGATATAGGAATATAATTAACATGCTCTTTTTCCCTTTGCTCAGCTTTTATGTAGCACCATACAATCATCGTGATGTGTCCTACCCAGCAATACTGGCAGTTAGGAACATAGTACTCGAAAGCTCATTACACTAGGTACCTAGTATGGTAAGTACCCGTACCTATGAAGTACATTAGATGCCTGAATGATGATTTGATTAACACGGGTTGTAAGCTGGACGCCGAACAACGCCGCTTCTTCGAAAGAGGCTTCAATTCCAAGACAGGGTGAGTAGTAGCTGAGCCTGTATATACCACATGCATCGTGACACAGCAGCGGTTGGCTGTATTTATATGTAATGCCTGTTTATAGTAAGAGACTATTGGAGTGTTTTAAATGGCTCACATCAGCCCTAAAGTATGTGAAACATGTTCGTATTTTGCACCAGAGATAGCTTTATGATAGTAAACTATGGCACATGATTCCTCTGGTTGCAACAAAAATATGGGGATAGCAAGAAGCGACAATACACCGCCTGATGAGGTTGTACACACGCGCATATACACAATGCATACTGACTGATAAGAGCAACTCATCGTTCAAGTTAGGTAAGGACTAGATGGAGGGGAGAACTGCATGGCTTAATGTGTATGATTGATGCAACAGACATCGGTCAGACAGTGGCGTAAAATCCGCTCAACCGCACTTTTGTAATAGGAGTTTTTCACAGTTTTTGATTGGCCATTTTATGGAATTAATTCCACACAATAGCTCATGATGTCATTAGAAAGCATGAATGTTCTGAAGCATGGTTGATTCTGTTATTGTTCCTTCGACCGGACGTTGTCCTATGGTGAGAGGATTAATATATTAATATTAGATCCTTGTTATAAACATATTAGAAAATGTTGTCAAGCAAGGCTGGTTCATCCCATACTACCCACACCTATCTGGACCATGGCCTACTTGGTTCTCATTGTTGAAGTTGCCGTCTTCACGGTAGTGTGCACCATCCTAGTTGTAAGTTCCCGTGAGCATCTGTCAACATTTTACTACGTGCTCTCTAGCCCTTTCTAACTATCATACTAGTGTACGTATGTTGCAATCCGGAGAATTCTTTTCCACCCATATAGCAAAATCCCCGGTCCATTCTTCGCCAAAGTCACCAATGTCTATTCAGCTTATCACTCTTGGAGGGGAACTATGCATCTTGATGTGCAAATTTGCCATCAAAAATACGGTTAGCCGCGTTCCAACGTAGACTTGCTAGCTATACTCAGTATGGGCAGGGGACTTGATACGGTACGGTCCGAACCAGATTTTAACGTTATATCCTCCAGATATGAACGGTAGGTCTTCCTTTCTAGCTGCTTTAGTTAGATTGATGTACAGATGGTTTGAAACTCACATGATACCAGCAATATATGGCCATGGAAAACCGTTCCGAAAGTCGAAAGGTTATGAGACTATGATACCGATCCCGGATGGATGGAGCACGATGACATCAATCGACAAAACTTTGCATCACAACCTGCGGAGAGTCTTGAGATCTGGACTCACTACGGAGTCGCTAGCGCGCTATGAGCCGGCAATCCTTCGTAACTTGAAGATATATTTCTCTCAGCTTACTCAGGAGAGAGATGGAGAGGGCTGGAGCTCCACCGGTGATATGAGGAAGTGGAGTATGTCACTGAACCATACTACGCGATCTATAAGTTACTAACGGGCATACTGCAGACTTATGCCTAGGTTTTGATACTATGGCAGAGTTCGGCCTGGGGTTGAAGACTAACTTGCTGAGCGGACCCGCGAGAGATTTCGTGTTTCCTGCTCTGCATGTACACGAGAAAAAGATGGGTCTCTGGGAACAGTTGCCAATTCTCAATGACTTAGGCATTGGCAACCTGGTCAGCATCACCTTCCTCCTTTTTTCACCCCGAGCGAAATTGTTTGCAAACTGGTACCAGACGTTCTTGGAGGAAGCTATTGCTACAAATACTGCCAAAAGCAGCGGGATCTTCGGTCCCCCAATCCAAAGCGGGCAGGGACTTCTGGAGAAACCGGGCCACAATTATGCACAGATGATCGGAGAAGGTTCTTTCAGCACCTTTTCGTCCGCGGACGCCTACGGTATAATGATTTCTGGCTTTCTCCATTACCTCACCCAGTACCCACATGTGTACGAGAAGCTCGCTGTCGAGTTGAGGAGTAAGTTCAGGCCGGGCGAAGAAATAACTTGGGGTCCTAAGCTTGAATCAAGCGCGTACCTACGCGCAGTAATCGATGAAGTCATGCGATTACTGCCGCCAGCTTGCGGCGTTCACTGGCGAGAGTGCGAGCGTTCCGGAGTTACTATCGGCCCTGACGAACTGTCGATGCCCGTCGGGAGCGATGTTGGTATGAGCCTCTTTGCATTGTTCAGAGATGGTAGAATATTCCGCAAGCCGGTTTTGTTCTGGCCTGAACGATGGATTCCAGGCACATTGCCGGAAGCTGAATATAGCCTAGCCAAGAAGATGTTTACGCCTTTTTCAGTTGGGCCAAGGAACTGTGCCGGAGGCCATGTTGCAATTATGATGACCAGCATCGCATATACCTACATTCTAGTCAATTATGAGTTCCGATACGATCCAGAACAAGAAAAGGCTACCTCAAGTCTTTGGCCTAACAGCTCTAAGGAACCTGGAACGCAATCAGAGCTAAGGTTTGAAAGTCATTATTCGATTGCTGGATGGGAAAGCGGCCCTTTCATTCAATTTCAAGAACGGAAGTGACTTAGATTACTGTTCATGGCTTATGCTAGGGAAAATAGGATAGTGGGTCTCCGGAGCTACTGAATTTTAATAGTTGATGATTTTCGAGAATATGAGGGAAGCTTTTTGCTGAAATATTGCAACATCCATTCACTTAGTGGAAAGTGATAGGTAGTCACTTATGCTGGTACGGTACTAAGCATCTCGGTATTCAAGTCTTCGTTCAAATAATCACACTGCATGGATGACGATCCTGGGAAATACATTTATATGCAGTTCTAATAACTATCATCAAATTGATCCTTCCTACCTGTGTAGGTACCCAGGTAGCTTGCCACCGATTTTACCAAACCAATCTAACCTCTATATCGAAACGGTCCAATAGCATCGTGGGTATAAACGCCAAAACTTTCTGGGGAGACCCATGGATTCCAAGTTCTATGCTCATGTCTATATGATTGTATAATTATATTCGAGGTATTTACTGTAATAATATTAGCAGCCTGTCGACGAGTGCATGCCGTGTGGACTCAAAGACTTACACAAGAGAGATCATAGAGCTGCGAAACCGTGTTAAGGTCACCAGCCGGGAAGATGCCGAAGTCAGGGTCAGCAGTACCATACTGGGACTCCTGCAGGTCGTACCACCATAGGTTGACGCCTTTTGCGATCAGGCTGCAGGCAATGTCTTGCCAGTAGATGCGAGCGTTCTCGGTGCTAGGCACAGCCTGGTTGACAGTCTTTCCGGATGTAGGCCACCCGGTCTCGGTGACGTAGACGGGCTTGTTGCCGGCAAGGGCCAGGGTCTTGTTGAACCCGTCGTAGAACCTCTCGGGGGCGTCGCCGATGCTGTTGGGCTTGGTCTCCTCCCAGTAAGGGTAACCGTCGAAGCCCAACCAATCGATGTTGTCGATGACGGCGCTGTTCGTGGCGTTCAGGAATGAGTCGTAGGTGTCGACGTGGCCGACGGGCACGCCTGCGAGTGCGGTGCCGGCGATGGCGCTGCGGACTTGGGAAATGTAGTTGATGAGCGTCGCGCCGCTGACACCGACCTCGCCGCTAGCGTCGCGGTATAGATCTTCGCTTCCGACAGAGATACCCAAGACTAGATCCGTGAATGAAGTTCCGTACTGGTTGATGGCAGCCTTGAGGGCGGCAATCTCGTTCGCGATGGCCTGGTCGCCACCGGACACCCAGAGACCTAACAATAAGGTGGTCTTGGTGCTGATGGCTGCAGGAATCGCGCTAATAACGTCGCTGGTAGTTCCCCATTGGACTGTTGGAGTCGGGTTAGTGGCCAATGACATGTCTCGAATACGAATTTCAGCTTACCCATAGAGTACAGGCGAGCACTGGTCCAACCGCTGGTACCCGACAAGCTCTTGGCGCGGTTGAATTCATATTCAAAGTCGGCTTGCTGCTTAGCTGCCTGGTTAAGGAAAAAGGCACCGTAGTTAAAGCCCTTGATTCCGGAGTTGGCGGCACTAACGGCAGCGGCAGCAGTGCCGGCGGTGGCCGCGAGACCGATGACCGAGGAAGCAAAACGCATATTGTATTAGTGTATTATTGGGTATTAAGCGAGGGTGATGGTAAGCGAGTGACAGCTACAATATGCAGCGATGAGGCGTTGTGATAACGAATGAACGACCGTGAAGGACAAGTTATTAGTCTACAATAGAATGCGAAACGGGAAGAGAGGGAAGAAATAGAAAAGAAAGGGATCAGCAGTTCTAGAAGCAGAACAAAAGCTCATTCGGAAAAGGGATCGAAAATCGGATCGCATCAACATCCCTCATACCGACAGGGCGGTTTAATTCGTCCCAGAAGGACTTGGAACTCCACAGTCAGTGGGATGTGCCGGCGCTATCCCCCTGAATTCGTATTCCTGGCCCACTTGCCGCTCAGCCTCAAATCTCAACCGAGAACAGCAAATCAAAGATGCAGGCATCTGCAGCTAGAGTCGGAACGATTGCGCGGACAGTACGCTACCCAAGTGATTTGCACGTATCACAAGCCGTTGAGCCGGTGAGTCGACTGTTGTCGTCTTACTACTCCTGTCCGACTAAGTTATCAAAATATCGCGTTCTTCCACAGCTGCCCGACAGGCCAAGATGTAGTCGAATGCATAGTGAATACGAGTCTATTGCCTTTAATACGCCATTGGTTTAACTTCCATCCAACTCGGCTCTCAGTTCGCCCGTCAGCTTCCCAGCTTCCTAAGTATGTTTTCCAAATTTAAACATGATTGATCCACTTCACCTAGCAGCTAATGTGTGGATGTTTACTTTAAAATTACTACTTCAGGGCGACCGGCTTCGAATTATCTCAGGAGAAAGTGGGGCCCTCCAAGACTCGGTAAAATCTTGATTTCTAGCGCAACTACTAGGTAAATATGCCGCCGGCTTGCTTCACACAGTGCCGTGGAAAGCTATCGAATTTCACTAAAAATCAAATTACGCATTGCGCGTCATATGAATCTAGCTGATGGGAATCTACCTAATTAAGTTACCTCTTACCATTCTTGCCTGCCGGTAACAAATCTTCTAAGTAATTGACATCCAAGGAGATGTGGTTAAGATGCAAGTGTACCTAAGGTAACAGATGATTAACCTTTACTAAGCGAAGTGTTTGCTTAAACCCCCTATCTACCGAACCTTAACGCCTATATTAACACGATCCGCGTAAACTTTAAATGAGCCGCACTATATTGTAACGTTCAATATTTAGATGCATAAAAAATAACCTAGCCTTCTGCTTCGTGTGGAAAAGAAGGACGCATTTCCACTCCTAGTCATTGTGACTTTTAAAGACTCAAGATTGGCGTCACGTAATCTTTCGTTAGAATTAGCATCGTTAGTCATTCCTGACATAGGTGGATAAAAGTAGTACAAGATGAGTAGAATTGCTAGGTGTGCTATCCACGTCGGATTTGACAGGAAGAGGGCTTCTAGGTTACCAGATGTATATTTGGTACAAGGTATTGTAAGACGAGATCTTGCCGTTGACGCATCACGTTCGAAACTTTCGAGTCAGAATCGTGGTCATCATTTACATCATGAGCTGTAGTTATGTGACTAGGCACCTAGACCACAGTTAAGAATACCTACCCATAGACTCCGACGTATTGAGGCCCCTCGATGAATCTTCAGTAGGTACTAAGATTAATTCCCAATATCCAACAATAATTCAAGTACATCAGAGAAGTGGGCAAGCCCGCACCGGAACCAGATTGCCGATAATAATATACAACATCGAATCTGAAGACAATAAAATCCCTACGCCATGTGTTATTATACGATATGGCTGGTCTGGTGTCCAGTTGGTCGCCATGAAGTACAGCGATATACCGTCGATTGGGTCTTCTGCGATCGACCGAGCAATTGCATTCCAGCATCAAGAGGCACACTTGTTGCCCACTCTACCTGCTATCAACATTGGCCGCAAGTTCCTAATGGAAATCATTGACCGAGAAATCCTGAACGGACTTAAGCAAGGTTCAGAACATACCTAGGTTGGAGCCTTCTCCTCCCCTTGTCTACACATAACCACTAGAGTTTCTTGTTTTCACGTTGGTCGGTAAGCAGGATGTCCGGAATTGGTGAGGATGGGAACTGTCATCGGGTATGTCGTCTATCCCTCGAATCAAGTCACTTGAATTTTGAACTTCTATGGGGAGGTGGTCACAAGATAGGCATTTATCTTTGGTTCGATCGGTTCAGGAGTAATAATTCAGTATAGTGGTAGAGAACTTTTAATACGATATGGAATTCATTAAGCAGCCAAGACATGATCACTTTGTCAATATTGAAATATAGGTAGTTTTCATAAATATAGATGAAATCGTTAAATACCTGCCTATGAGTAATTCTCTCAAACCTCAGGAGGGCCAAGAATTAGCACAATCACCTAGGTACCTAGTTAGCTAGGTACCTATATACATCCATAACTCGGTTGTGTTCCTTCCCCTATGCTTTCATTGCTCAGATTTCCCTGACGATGGTTACCTGGACATGTACGAGCAATGGTGTCGCCCGCTCAGTTTGTTACTAAGTTGATGACAAGGTACCTATCTGGGCAATACAGCCACGTAAATGCAGTTGAGAGGAGATGGCATGTTCTTAACTCTGGTTAACTACAACGAATGTGAAGTATTCCTCATATATTTCCCTCAGAAACCATACATTCAATCAAGAGATGCGTGGGACCGAATCGTGAAAGCAAACCAACAATAACAACTTAATACAGTCTCCATGTGTACTTACATTTTAAGATACGTCTATTGCTGCGTCTGCTACGGCCTTTTGAGACGAGAGCGTATCCGATGGACGCCTTGTCCTTGGGCACTTACCCTTTTTTGCAGGCTAGTATGTACGTCTGTTGAATACAAATACACAGTATGCGAGCCTTGCACCTAGTGCCTGAGTAGCGGAAGAAGGGGAAGAAGAGAAAAGCAGACTTCCTTTCTCTGCGAGAAGGATCCTCTCCTCAACTCCTATCCACGAATCTGACCGACGATGCCATCTACATAATCAATACAGAGATTATCTCAGTACGTTAGAGGATCCTGGGATAGGACGACTGCAATATGATGTTTATAAAGGCTCATAGAAATATTGAGCTTGTGTTTGGATTATTAGTCTGCAGCGGGAAACCATACAGAAAAGGGGCTACAACTGCATGTATTGCTCATTCTTGATCTTTGGCATATCACTAGGAAAATATTGAATATGTAGTCACGCATTCTCCGCTTGTTCCCAAAGATAAAATATTATGAGCTCCTACGGCATCTCAAACCCCTAAGTCCATATCCACCCACTTCACCCAAGAAACAACCCCCTATCTCCCTCATCAAGCAGCAGCAACCTCCGCCTCCCTCGCCTTCAGCAACTGCCTATACGTATCCATAACCGTATCCCTCAAGCTGCCATACTTCAACCCCAGAACCCTCGTCGCCAACGACCCATCGATATGGTACGCGGGGATCCACTCGCCCATCTTCCCCACCGGCATCCTCCTCGCCAACTCGGGCTCCTCCTCCCTCGCGATGTCGACCGCGGCCTGGTACCTGAAGTCCTGACCAACGACGAACCTCTTCCCCTCGGCCTCCGGCACCTGCAGCGCGCGCACGTGCGCGGCCGCGACCTCGCGCGAGTCCGCGTAGCCGCCGAAGTCGAACGCGGGAATCGCGTCGCCGTCGATAATGCCATTAAGCAGCTGCACGCTCTCGCTCAGCCCCTTCGTGTCGCGCAGCTCGTGCGCGTACGGGCCGAACACCCACGGCGGACAGATCGTCGCGAGCCCAAAACTAACCTCGTCCTTGTGCTCCTCCATCCAATCCCACATCGCCCTCTCCGCAAGCGCCTTGCTAGCACAATACGCGACGACGCCCGGCGCCACCGCAGCCTCGTCCCACGTCACCGGATTCCAATCCTTCTCATCGTACGAGTAGCCCTCCCTAAGGCCCTTACTTAGATCAATAACAGCAGCGAACGAGCTCGTAGCCACGACCCTCTTAACTTTGCCCCCGCCGTACCGTAGCGCGGCCTCGAGGACCGAGGTCGCGCCCCGGACGGCCGGGTCGAGCAGGTCGCGCACGTTGTCGCGGGGCGCGAGGTTGAACGGCGAAGCCGCGTGCACGACGTGCGTGATGGCCGCGCCGTCCGCGAACGCGGACTCGTACGCCTCCGGCGCCGTCATGTCCGGCACGATGGCCGTGGAGAGTGCTGACGCGAAGGCCGGGAAGCGGGCGACGGTGCGCGCGGCCGAGGAGGCGGAGCGCGCGGTCAGGCGCACCGAAAACCCGGATTCGAGCGCCTCGCGGATGATTTGTCCGCCGACGAAGCCGCCGCCGCCGGTGATGAGGATGGTGCCTTTGTTTTGGGCGGCCATTGCTGAGCTGTGAGTTTGTGGGTTGCGTAGGTATTTAAGGGGTGGTGAGTTGTTGTGAACCGGGTGGTATATTCCAATATATAGAGGCAAGAGCTGTCCCGTTTCTCAAGGATCTGAGAGGTAGGATTGAGAGGCAGTGATGATTTGTGGTCGAGACGGTACTCTTTATACGTGATCTGGTCAGGAGATACCCACCAGATGAGGTCGAATAGCTGGGTAGACTCGCAGATTGTTACCCGGCTTTAAGCTGCTTATGCGTACAGCCTATCAAGTCTCTATTATCGATGCTTTTGTCTAACCAAACATCTTCCTCAACGACGACGGCTCCCGCGGACCCTATATACTCGCAACATAACCTCATATGTGGAGAAGAACGGCGTTGAAACTGACGCAACGTGCGGTCCGCGATCTGCAATCAAGTCGGCGATAGAATGATTTTGGAGCAAGCTAGTGTCCCTCTGGCAAGGATTAGGCGAGTAATTAGGATCATTGGACCAATCTCCACAGCCGCGTGATATGGAGGACATCCCTATCGCTTGTCTTTCGCCGGGGCCCATCGGCCGCGAGAATTTTTCTAGAGTGGATCGAAATGGAGCCTCCGAACACAACACGTTTTATTATCGGCGTTTGAGATAGCTGGCGCCATGATAGTCAGTGCGGCCGGGAATAGCAGGGCATCGGCGGCGGAGTTTCGCTTGACTTACATAGAAATTAGGTATGAGGGGTCCTTTGTTTTCTCCCTGAGAGACGCCCGGTGCATCAACGTCTCTAGAGGACATAGCACACTTCGATGCACCGCCGGGCTAAAATATGACCGCATATGCAATAGTAAAGTGGGTGAATAAGAGACTAGCTACTATAACTTTTTCTTTTTTTAAAAATCGGATAGGAGACTGATGTGTCTTTTCGGCGATTCGGTGCTATAACCGAATAATCTGATGGTAGTTCCTTACCCCTGTCTCCGATAACCACCTATGTCTACCTAGATCTTCAGTTAATTCAAGCACTTAGATAGTTTCTCTTAAAAGATAATGCTTTGAAAATAGCTTTAACATTTCGCTTCAATCATCAAGACTTAGTAAACAGGGTTAACGCCAATTCCGTGGATGTTTTCGAACAGCCAATACAGGTACCCGTACACGCTTATACATTATATACACCGTATCCAAGTTCCCAAATTGATCTTGCATGTGCATCTATCCTCTGTGTTCTATTCAAGTTAGTACTGACAAATCTTCAAGACGGTAGAGAGCGAGCGTTTTGCAACGAAGTGTTAACTTACCTGCAAGAATAGCATTAACTCCGTGACCCCCCAAAACCTCAAGGCATCACGAGCCTCTGTTATCTGGAAGACCCTTATTTCCATTAAGTCCTACCTGCCCTAACGCCCATGTTCATCAATCAACCTCGGGCCTCCAGGTATACCACCTCTGCCGCTGTTACTTCCGTATATCATCTCGATGAGCTTGGTTTTCTGCCTTGAGCGCACACCCTCGAGGTATACGCCGACATCTTCGAGGCCCTTGATCTGCTCCTCGAGCGTGAGCGTGCTAGAATTGACACTTCTTACCAGCGGCGAGACGAGCTTTCTTCTCAAAATCTCGAGGTTCGCCTTCAGGCTGAGTAGCTTGCCGTTGTGTTCTAGCAGGACTCCCTTGTTGCGCACCGTCCTCTCGCGCACGTCCTGAAGCAGATCACGGTTTCGCTCGTATTTCTTGACTTCGCTAGCCTTTGGCCCTAAAATACGCGTCCATAGTGACGAAAGGAAATCGGCGTGCTCCTCGTCCTGCTGCGACGACTCGCGCACCACGACGCGCGCTAGGTTTAAGAACTGCCGATCTATAGCTTCAAAAAGACCGAAGAGCGCTAGTGAATGCTGTAACTCGTTCTCAATAGCTTCTTCAAGAACTGACAAGAATTCCGTAAATGTACGTTGTAGAGTGGTGCGGGTTCTCTGCGGATGCGACATGCCGAACATCGCTGTCGCTACATTGCCTAATTGAGTCGGCATTCCCGTAGCTGGATTCTCAAAAATCCCGATCGCGCAGAAAACATTATGGATATTGGCAAAGGCGATAGAAAGAGGCGGACTTCGCACATCTTGCAACTGAGCTAACTCACGTCGCGCCCAGTCCATCACAATCAAGATACTGTCGATATCGCCGTCGACACTGGCGAAAAATTTGGTAAGCTCGATGGCCAGGGTCTTCAAGTTGTCCGATAGATCGTCGAGGGACTTCGTAATGATGGGCGCGGACGTCATGTTACTTTGTCGCACGCTCTCTCCAAGGTCCCACACTGCGATACCAGTCGCTTGAAGATCCCCAACCTGATTGACGCCATTTTCCGAGTAATAGATCAATGGTTCGAAGGAGCGCGCAATACCCGCTACCTTGACTAGATCAGGCGATGGACGTGGTGGGACAGGTTGGAATAATGACCTGACTGCGGTCATCGACAGAATCGCGACGAGGATTGAGAGGATGATGTTCCCCCATGACTTGGTAATCATCTTGGTCCTATTCCGTATGAAATTCACAGCGGCCTCGATGGGTTCTGTCCGTTGTTGAATGTCGGCACGCAGTGCCAGTCGAATATCTGTGTTGAAATTAGCATCCCTGCCTGACTAGACCCATTAATGCCTAAACGTACAGTTGTCACTGGCGATATCGGGTGACATGGAAACTATCGCGTTAGTTCCCCGATTTAAATGCCTATCTGAGGGCGGCTCGCTCTTTGTCTTGACGAGGGTATCATCTTCATTGGGTGCACCGGGATCCGGCGTTACCCCTTTTTCAGGACTAAGACTTCCTGTGGGCAAACGTGTCCTACGCGCTGCCTCAAAGATGTCATTCTGAAAGATGCTATTGTTGTGATTGGTGTTCATGCGCCGCGGCTGTTCGAAACGTCCCAGAATATCTCTACTTTCGCGCCAATTGCCATACCATCGATCGCCATTCGAGAGTCTTCTCCAGGCTGGAGGGCTGTAATTACCGTTGGACAGAGAGGCTTCGTCTAGATTGTCGTCGCTCTCGTCTTGTAGGTCGGGGTCCTCGTCCGAAAAGCCAAAGCCTGAGTGGGCTGCTGGGTACTCGAACGGTTTCTGCAGCGGAGGAGACATCGGAGTTGCGAAGTTTCTCTCGTCTATGCTGGCGTCTGAATATAGGGACGATGTCATGCTCTCGGGGAAGCTGGGTACCAGGCCCTTCAATAGCAAGGACACTCGAGCCCGAATTTGGATCTGGTGTTGGGCTTGGAAGCGCAGGTCTGGCGCGAAGCGAGAAGAACGAGCGCAAAGTTCGAGTTGACGTTAACGTTTGGTGGTGGCTTGGGGTTTGTCGAGTTAATTTGACAAGAGACTTTTCTAAATCGATTTCAGACTCTGGCGCAGGCAACGCTGGTAGTGCCTTTTGGCGTCGCGGCTGTTCAATCGCTGATCGGTGCGGTATGATAGGAGATGTTCTAAAGGCAAGGCGAGGAAAACGTTTTGGTACAATATTCCGTAGCGGTATGTGGCCTATAGAAACAAGATATGTGTAGAGAAAGACGAAAGTGAAGGCCAAGGCGGCGAGGAATGTACTAGGCGCAATTGTGATGCTGAAAAGCGATATATGAGTATGAGTCTCAACAGACACCAGAGGTTGCATCGAGATCGGAAACGACCGACCAGTCAAGGTCCACGGGCCGTCTCGAGTCTTGACTATTCACTCTTGTCTCAGGGCTTGTATTATCGAAAATATTTTGAGCGGCGACTGGAGGAACGGATTGCGAGGTTAAGATGAAGTAGAAGTAGAAGTACAGGTATAAGCGAGGCGGGTATGTAAGTGTAAGTTAAGAATAAGGTCAGAGTAAGTTAAGAGCACCTAGGTTAAGTTCAATACTAGGTTAACACTTGGAATTAGGGTCGAAGGTACCCGACCCGACCCGATTCCGCGATGTAAATCGTCGATAAAGTTTGCGCGTCTTATAAAACCAAATGATAGCAAGCTCGAGGGCTTTGCAGGTATGAATGCACCTGGCTTAGCTACCCATATCCATTGATGTTAGGTATGACTTGCGATTGCGATTGCGATCTTATCATACGATGTTGTCGCGCAAACAAGATCCGTGAGTGGAGAACCGATACTCCGCAACAGCAACCAACAACTTTCCAAGGCAAATGGGTTGAGTTAAATAAGCAAAAAGTGTGCGCGCCTAAGTAATTTCAATGCGCGATCAGGTTGGTCGTCAAAAGGGTAACTATTCGTATGAGAAGTTGTTCAGAAAGATGTAGATGAATAGGAGTGCGAAATTGAGAGGCTGGGAAACTCTGCACCATCTTAACTTTCCCAAGGTTCTCCAGCTGTTCCTTCTCACTCTGCCACTTAAAGTACCCCCCACCTTCGGGAAGTCGCAGCAGGTTCTCTGGGAGCCAATGGTTATGCTTCGTTTGGGTCAGTGTAGGACAGACCCGATGCAAGGGTCGATACTTTCAAGCTATACAATAGCCTGTTTTAGGAATGGACCAAAAAGGGGGGGTTGCGATCTTGGAAGTCTCGGAAGCCTCGAAAGCTCTTGCTCATGAAATGTCTGATCAAGTCTCACCACGATGACTACCTTGATGACTTTTATCATAGTAGACAGTGAGACAGTGATTCACGCTTTCTTGTCCCTTCTCCCTCCCTCATCCCCTAGTCGAAGTAGCGTTGGTTCAAACAAGGTCATGAGTGTTTGACCAATCATATCAAGAGATTATTTGTACCTAACCTATGAGTTGTCTTGAATTTAAGTGCTTGCATAAACGAATCATCGTTCGAGGTCGTCACCAATCAGAGCTAAGAGTTACTCCGAACTGCAAGCACTTAACGCGTTTTGAAAACAAACTAGCAGAGCCAGACACGATGTCATCAATAAACAATCGGTTCGCGCGTTCTTATTATTGGTAAAAAGGGCAAACTGAAGGATCGGCTGACCTTTTCGGTATTTATAGAGATTTACACATAGATCCATGTATAATGATACTACCTAGGTACTGTTGCGTATATCAGAGCTGTGAAGATACCCCGCACATTGTCGCATGTCGCATGTCGCAGCATCAAATCTTATCGTATTCTCAAATCACAACATTTAGCTTATCACCCCGCAGATGGCCAGCCCCTGGCCACTTTCTACTACCGACGGATATACCCAGGGTGTCCACTTAAATATAAGCTGAAGAGTTCACTTCATGATGTACAATACCGTCTGTTGTAAAAACACATTATGATTCCTCGAGAGCAAAAAAAGGAATTGACTTGTTCCTATCGCTATTATCGCTACTTAAAACCAATGAACCCGCTCCGTAGAGAAGTATAGATGATTTCATGACCTCATAAAGAACACCCGCCTTCCCCTGATGAATGGATACCCTACTTAGGAGGTACATACGCCTAGGTGTGAATTCACACACCATCAACTAGCATTATCTGCGTATTGCGTACATACATGGAATAGCACGTGTTCGAATCTCCTATCTCTACGTACTGAGCATTTGGTTCTGCATAGTCAATGCGACCTCATGAACGCGTCTAGTATTGTTGTTGCTCCGCTTTTGGGATGACGGGCATGATCCCCATCGCCTACAAGATCCGCGTCTGCAAGATCACCGCTGCTGAAGGGTTCCTCACTAGTCGACCCTTGCGGTTTCAAGACTTCGCGCCGACGGATTCGCAAGGTTATTGACTTGCTTCATCGGCGGCGGTTGATACTTGCTCTTCTTTCGTAACCTTTTACGCGCAACCATGACTGGGACGGAGCTCTTGGTCACTAGATAGTTCGAGAAGGACCCTAAAAGCGTGCTATAATGTCACATTAGTACCGCATTCACCTCCTATTGGATAGGTCAAGATTTAACTTACCCCTTTAACGCGCTTCTGCCGCGGCTGCCCAAAATAACCAACGTCGGATTCAAGATATCGATCACCTCTGTTATCAGGTGCTTGGGATTCTTGCAATGTATCACTTCCACGATTACTCGCACTTGTAATTGCGTTTTTCGGAGAAGTTTCGATACTCGTTCGGCGATTTCCAGCACGGCCCGGTCTCTCTCTTCCTGTAACCTGGTCCTTCCGCGAACACTGGGCGCCGGAGATGGATTGTTACTACTACTAACGTCGATAGCTCGGATATGTGGTGACATCGAGGACCCTTGCATCTTGAACGGGCCGGGGCTAGCGGTACGATTCTGTGGCTTGGCTGATATCCCCTTAGAGAGAGCACTAATAGCCATCGCCTGTTCCTTCATCGCCTTAGGTTCGTCAGGTACCATATTACCTGCGTCAACTGATCCGCTGGCTTCTTCGTCCATGCAGTACATCGCTATCAGCGTATCGCCGTCGCGAAGCACGGTTCCAACAGCCCATTCTAACGCGTGTGTTGATTCGTCACTCAAGTCCGTTGCTACTAGATATTTACGAAGACGACGGTGTTCTTCCTCTGCATCTCGCTGTATTTTGTTAAATTCACCACGGTAGAGAATACGCAGAGTGCGGTGGACTTCGGGCGTGGAAATAATCGGCGTTGATGATAATTGTAGCCTTTGCGCAGCTCTAATGGCATCGACATCGGCATCCAAATCCGGATCAAGAGGAGTCTGCGTCCCAGACATAGGATCCTGGTCAAAACTCGTTGACGGCTGAACCACACCCTTGCCTTGCCTTCTATTCTCTCCAGTAGGACCCGTAACTGTAATTTCTGGTTCGTCGAAAAGTGACCTATACTGGGGTTGAGTGGCATTAACTTGTTTTCCTAGACATATCGTTAGATGTTGATTATCAGGAGTGTATTTTGCGAAAAGCAATAAACTCACGTTCATCTTCAATCGCAGCTAGTAGACTTTTGGCTGTCGCAGTTCCCTCGTCGGGAGACTCTTGATCTCGTGACTCGGCTCGTGTGGTGAGTTTTCTTCCCCTATGTAATTCCTCATCAGAAGAGTTCGCGAACTCGTCGTCGCTCTCGTCCGGTAAAAGTTCCCCGTATGGGCTTAGGTTATCTTTCTCTATTCTACCATGTCCCTCGCCCTCTTGCTTCTTACGGGCCAATGAAGCTAAGCTCGAACCGCCGTAGAGCAAATTGGCGTCAGAGAGTTTCCTGTAAGCATTGTTCATATCCATCACCTGTCCATTTAGCGTGATGACGTCCTGCTGTTGGTTGCGCCCCGAGGGATTTCCAAATGGCGAATTGGACCGTAGATTGAAACGATTGTTTGGCGATTTAGACTTATTATTCTTCCTAGAAAAGCGGCTGTGTTCGCCAGGGAGTACCAAGTTGGACAAGTCAGGTCCACGAAGTGCTTCGCCTATGGAACTCGATCGTATGGAACTGCCTGGACCACGCCTCGCTGGCATAGCTTGTCCGACATTGGTAGGCAGGATATCGTGAAACTTGTAGGCAGACGTCGGGTCATTGTTCCTCGAGCTTGACAGGCTCATGGGAGGTGGCGACCTAGGGCCCAAATCTATGACTGGATTTGAGGCAGCATCCGACATGCTTCTATTGCGGTTTGTATTATCTGAAGCCGGGGACTTATAAGATAGCGTCGGGGATGTGTGCGTACTCGTTGGTGTGTTTGTAGAGGGGCTACTTATGTCTAACATGCTTCGGGGTTGCGGGAGAGGACGAGTATCGATGTCTAGCATACTACGGACTGGAGCTTGGGGCGGAGGACTCCGAGGCGTATTTGTAGACCTATCGCCAATGTCCAGCATGCTTCGCATAGGTGATCGAGGAGTCGTAAAGGGAGAAGGAGACCTATGGTCGACCGACGCAGGTCTCCTTGGCTGCATCGCGATGAGGTTCTCGACCTCCTTTCGCTCCTCCTCGAGCGCCGCCTCAAGCGACATAAGCTTCCTGCCAGACATAATGAAGGTTTTGCCGTGGAACTTTCTGTGCTAACAGGTATTGGGGGGTACGGATTCGGTTGGAATATGAGAACGACGGTTCGTAAATCGAGATCGAAGAAACTACGTCGAGTGGCAACTACTTGGGAGTTGGTTCGTAGCTAGTTTGCTCTGGGAGCAAACTTTGGGCCTCGGCGGGAAACGCAGTTGGATATTTGATGAGTTTTTAGGGCTATAAAAATAGTTGAGAGGCACGGTTAATCGAGAAACGCCGGGTCGGTGCTATCGTGGAATAATAGTCGGGCGTCTTCGATATAGACGGCATATGATCATCGTGTTTTAAAAAGTTCCCTTCTCGTTTCTGCTTTCTTATCTCAACCTGGACCTAGACCCTTCAGCTCATGGCTACCAGCCAAAGAATTAGGGTACTTTAAGTTCAGGCAGGCGTTGGAACCGGGGAGCAGGACCAACTTATGACTGGTTGGGAGTATAGGAAATGGATGATAGAAGCGAAAGAGTCGTCGTATTTGAAAGAAGATGTGGGTCTTAGCGTAGGATCTTCAATATCCTAGGGAAAGAACTTCGAAGAGAATTTAATATTCTGGGGACGTTCTGCCCAGGCGCCAGGTGGGAAACGAACACAGTGCTCGGCGCTATGCTACAAAGTTCGAGCTAGTATTGAGTCTGAGTAACAAGTGCTACGTAAAAACGGAACTCGGAACGGGGAGGCCTCATCTGCCTTGTTCGCCAAGACCGTTAGGTGCAAGTAAAAGAGAGGTCAAAGGTATGAACCTGACTTGATGGCCGCGATGGTTTAAAAAAGGGAGGGGGTCAAGTCCAGAAGGAATTGGATGTTAAGAGATGGGGGAACTGGCAGAATTAGTCGCCGGTCGCAGGTCGCAAAGGTGGAACCCGAGACTAGGTAGTTTTTTTTCTTTGGTTGGTTCGGTGTTTTAGGTCGTTTCTTAATAGTAATAAGAATTAGACCTGTTTTTACTCTTATATCCTTTATTGTTTTCGAATGCGACGTTGGGAGTTGTTCGTTCTAAATAGTAGGAAAAAATTTAGAGGCCATAGAATGATTACCTACATAGTACATATACATGTGCGTAGGACCTACCATACTAAAAGCACAGGTCAATTCAATGCACATACGTAGCCAAAGTATAATTCGGGTGGTTTAGGGAATTCACGATGGTATGATTTGAAGTACCCCGATACCTCCTTCTACGTGACCAATCTATTACAATTCATGCCCAATGTGAAGTATTGGATACATTAAAACCCATGTGACATCCGATCTCAGTACAAGATCACCTATCAGACGATTCTAATATGTACCTACAAGAAAATATCAGGGACTTTGCCAGCCACACAATTCTCTAAGCGACAGAGGCAGAAGGGGCTTGTCCTCGAAGCACTGACGTTTTTTTCTGCGCATTGGCAACCCTGGATGTGGCAGGTGCTTCATAGGTGGAATTAATATTGAAGTCCCTCCTCTTTATCTTCAACCTTAGAACCTCACTCGAACAAACTCGACTCCCGTCTCACTTCGGGCATTTCCGGTTGATCGCTTCAGTCCATACCATCGTAGGGAATGCTAGGTAGTTGGTCTCAAGGGGATTCGGTTGGTAAGTGCTTCGTAATTCCTAATTGCATATCTAGTGCAGATTGTTTGTTGGCTGTTTAACCGACCTCAACTCCAAAAGGTAGTCCAAGAATCAAAACAGAAGGAGTTTCCAACAAACCAAAGAAGCATGCAACTTAGACGAAAATAAGTCACATTACTCAGACGCAAACAATGTGCTTCGTATACATTACACGGCATAGAGGAGTAAATACATAACATGTAGATATCTATCTATCTGTAGTCCTATCTGCGGGCAAGGGAAGGTCCGGAGAAGATAGAGAAAAGGCATCTCATTTCTTGATGTAATGGAAAATATGGTGGTTGGTTAGATTGCTTCTTTGGCTGAAGATAATCGTCTTGGCATATATAATGACTGTCTCATCCTAACAAATTCTGACAACTCCTAAGGCGTCAGCACCCCTATTCATTTTCCACTTACCTTGTCTCCCACCTTTCCTGTCCCCTTTGCCATCCCCTCCCCCAGACGTGTCCGCGTCGAACAAGCATTAGACGGCTGTAAACCACCAGTATGGTGGTCACAAAAGCGCAGGAATGGTAGTATCATCTATGACTAGTAATTCGACAAAATACCTACCCTATGTAGCTGGCATGATTGCATGGTTGCTTACCTACGTCCCTACAATGCCACGTGGTCGTCGTCCTTGACTGCCACAGACCATCACCGTAGCTATGCCGTGAGACATTACGATCATATCATACTTGTTAAATAAGTAGATATCTAGTCATCGCATACCTAGATAATCCATACTTTCAGCCTCCGCAACCGCTTGTAGCGCGGCGCGGATACCGGCATCGATATTCCGTGTAGCGTAGCGGCGGCTGTTTCCAACTCGCTTCCGTAAAACAGCTGGCTCAGCCTGCAGGTGTGGTGTGATAAATACCTGGATTAGCGAAGGAACGGCAGCGACTGCATGTGGGTAGGTACATTCACACGTACACTCACTCCTACATACCTCTTACACCCCGGCTTCGACGACTTAAAAGGCCATCGCAACTTCACTACGGTACAAGACATCTCATATAATTAGGAACGACGGGATACGTTTGGGAAGATTGTGCAAAAGCAATTTGTTCATTATCAGAAGTTCCTATTTAGAGTAACCTCTGCTTCATTCTGAGATGACCTATTCGGCAACCTGAAGGGGGTATTGTGTCAGAATCATTGGTGCCGCCAGATTTCCGTTCGGTGCCAGGTTACTTTACCACGAGGCTGACCGACTTGTGACCACGAACGCCTGATGACCGAAACCTTGGCATCCGGCCAGTGAGTGCTCTGAGTGAGGAGCAAATAGTCTATCAATACATGCAAATAGTATGGGAAGAGAGTCCCTCGAGTCGGATACTAGTTGCAATAGCACCTAGACAGTGAGGAGATCCATTCCGACGTAAAGGACATGAGGGTCGTAGAAGGCGTAAAGGGTGAGATGCGGGAAAGAATGCAGAAATCAATACCGAATCGTCCGTACCTGGACGCATAACCACCAACGTCATAACTTTTCCGAGACCCGTCGTTAAAAAGAAAAATTGAAACCTCGAGTCGTCAGAGTGTCAGGAGGATTCGGGGAGGACTAAAGATCCGTCGAAGAAGTCGCGAAGAGTATGGTACATGTATCATCGCTTATGCCTTCTCCTCGACCTTGTCATCTTTCTTCCCAGCATCGGAATCAGAACCAACTTGAGCCTTCACGTACTCATCGTAGACGGCCATGGCCTCTTCAACCTTGGCCCTCAGTGCGCTGTCATCCTCAATACTGTAGAATGTTAGCAATATCACAAATAAAAAGGAATCTTTACATTCAACTTACAGGTTGACAAGCTCAGAGTTGTCCATTTCCAAAAGCATACCCGTGATTTTGCCCGCGAGCTCGGGCTGGATAGCCGAAATCTTAGGGAAGATGAGTTCACCAAGCATCTGCTTTTGCTGCTGGGGGTTGCTAGAGTGAGACTGCAGCTGTGAGTGCAGAAGCGAGGTAGGAGTCAGATCCTGCTGTAAGTTGGGGGTGTTGCCGACCTGCTGGTTAGGAGCGCCTCGTCCGCCCTGGGGAGGGAATTGTCCTCCCTGGCCATTTCGCTGGTTCACTCCACCGCGGCCTGCAGGGCCGCCCTGGCGCGAGTTGGGGGGGTAACCGGGAATTCCACCCGGGCCGCCCGGCATGCCCAAGTTGGCGGGCATTCCTTGGATAGGTCCGCGGCCACCCGGAACACCTCGACCACCTCCGAGAGTAGCCTGCTGTACCTGAGCCATCGCAGCCATAAACTGCGGGTTGCCAGGCGAGCCGTACGGAGCACCACCAGGGAACTGTCCAGGCAAATACATGCTAGGAGGAAGTTGTGGCATAGGACCGCCCCGGCCACTTTGAGGACCTGGGTAGGCGTTGGGGTTAAACTGGCCAGGACGACCACCCTGAGCACCCGGCATACCCATTCCAGGGAAGGGCATACCTCGGCCACCCTGAGGAGGGAAGCCTGGTTGCTGGCCAGGAGGATAAAAGACAGGAGGTTGTATGAACTGCTGAGGCATACCCGCCGCCGCCGCAGCTTGCTGCATTCGGAGTTGGTTGCGAGCTTGGATACTAGCCTCAAGCTGGCTCTTACGAACATCCTTTCGCTGGGCGAGCGCGACGTACAGCGGCTTGTTGTTGATCATGCGTTGGTTCATGTCACCCACGGCTTTTGTTGCATCGTCGGGGTTGGCGAAGCACACAAAACCGAAGCCCTTGCTCTTCCCAAGTTTCTTGTCGGACTTCTTGTCCTTCTTCTCGCCCTCGTCCTTCTCCTCGTCTCCAGAATCCTTCTGGTTCTCCTTGTCCTTTCCTTCCTTGTTGTCATCGTCAGACTCACTAATACTGTCGCGCATCACCTTCGCCGAGGTAATGGGGCCGAATTCTGAAAACATCTGGCGCAACTTGTCGTCATCGACTTCGTCATCTAGGTTCTTAATATAAAGGTTGACACCTTGATACTTGTTGGCCTTCTCCTGGCGGGCGGCTTCGTAGGATTTGCGCAGCTCCTCCTCACGTTCGTGTTTCTTCTGGGCGCGACCGACGTAAAGATCCTGTCCATGGAAATCATTGTTGTTCAACTCCTCGACCGCCTTAGCAGCGCTTTCATGGGTGGTAAAGTTCACAAAGCCGAAACCACGGGACTTGCCCTCTTGGTCGCGGGCCAAGGAGGACGAGGTTACATCGCCGTACTTCTCGAACAGCTCTCGGAATTCATCATCGGTAACGTCAGGATGAATGTTCTTGACGTAGACATTGGTGAAGTTAGCCTTCATCTCTTCGAACTTGCTCTGGCGGTCCTTCTTGGGAATGTGGTGGCCAACGTAGACCTTCTTCTCGTTGAGCAACATTCCGTTAACGTGCTTGATAGCCTGGGCAGCGGCTTCGTCAGTCTCGTAATGCACGAAACCGTATCCCTTAGAGTTGCCCTGCTCATCCTGAGCGACTTTGCAACTGAGGATGTTGCCGAAAGCAGCAAAGGTGTCGTGGAGAGCCTTGTTGTCGATGGCGGCATCGAGGTTCTTGATGAAGATGTTACCCTGTCCGCTCTTGCGCAGGTTAGGGTCACGTTGAGACCACATAATGCGGCAAGGGCGACCCTTGATCTGGGTGTAGTTCAACTCCTCGAGGGCGCGTTCGCCATCCGCGGTTGTGTTGTAATTGACGTAGGCATAGCCGAGGGAGCGGCGAGTAACTGCATCGCGGCAAACACGAATCGAGGCAACAGAACCTATCTGAGAGAACAACTCGAAAAGCATAGCCTCAGTGACAGAGGGGTCAAGTTCGCCAACGTAGAGAGAGGCGGAAGCGGCAGGATGAGGGGTCTGAGCAGAGCTGGGCGTGGCACCAGCGGCATCACCCTCATCGCCCTGGGCGTCAGGGGCGACATTGGTATTGATGGCAGTAGGTTTAGCATCACCACCGTTAAGAGAGGTGTTGCCGAGGTCGGCGGCAAGCTGGTCAACAGCGCCGGGTGCAGCAGCGGCAGACATTGCGACGAGGGTAATCAACTGGATTTCGCAGGGTGGATGTTAGTATGATCAAAATGATGAAAAGGTCGGGAAGTGGTAAAAAGAATGGTTGGTTGGTTGGTTATCTTTGTTGCATGCGAAGTGCGAAGATACCAGTTACCAAGATTGCGCTCAACAATCAATTCGCGGGGAGAAAGGAGGGGGGAAACTAGAAATGCGCACCAAGCAATTAAGATAAGTCGCAAAGGTATTATGTTCTCGTGATCAAGGGTAAATGATCTCGAGAGAATGAAACCTGTCGGACAAAGATAGTCGTCAAGACTTCAAAGAAGGTTGGTGAGGATGGTCTAGACGCCTAAGAGTACTCGAGCCTCAAGTTGACACTAGACGATGGAAGGAATGAATAGGGCGTGTGGGATTTACGACGGTGCCTACTCAAGGAGGAAAAGTAAGAAGGGAAGAGGCGCGTAGAGGGAATAGATGAAGTGAGGATGAAGTTCGTTAGTAGGAGGCGAATTTTTTATAGTTTTCCGAATTTTTTTGGTGTTTTGGGATCTGAATGAATTTGGCGAGAACAGAGATGAAGTACGAACTATGAAGATCGTACTAAATAACTGAGTCTCTTTTTTGTTTTTTCTGTGAAAATTTTGGGTGACGAGCTGGCGGATAAAGTTGTCAAGTCGTTGGGAAGAAGAAAAAGAAGAAGGAAGAAGAGAGGGTCCAGGTCCTCTTTTGACAGATCTTGAAGATTTTTTGTGCCTGCCTTTTGGTTCTTGGTTGCGATGAACCACACAAAAAATTTCAACCATAAAAAGTGGATCGTCACCTAGCTACTGTCGGTACCTCGTGCCTCGTACCTGCCCAGGTATGACTACTTTACCCCTCGGCCAATTTTATTCCTGAGGCGACGTAGCTTAGATATCTGAGTACAGACAAAATACCTTGGGTAGTATGTAGAGGCCAATCAAATTTAGACGAGATACGTACTGATCAGTACCTATCGCAGAGGCTCGGAAAGGAGAATCGATGCAGTGGAACTACGGCGTACGACTGGGACACCTTGAATACATTTGAAGAGCACCAGGTGGGCAAGGCAGGTGCGTGACTATCAGGTAGGTATGCCAAATGCGTATTCATAAGTAGCTAGTAATTTTAAGTTACATACGTTGTGTGGTGGTAGCAAACTTCAATATCTGTACTTGGATTGAATTTTGCGTCAATTGAGGCTGCATATAAGCTTTAACCTTAGTGATAGTTGGAGAATCACAGAAGTTAGTTGGATAGTTTGGCGACTAGTTCACCGCAAATGCTTTCAAGCTCCGTTATGATTTATGAATGAAATGCCAAATATTTGTAGAGCCTCGATATCTTGGCAACACTTACCTACTTACCTACCTAATTTCCTAGACTTAGCAAATGGATCGTTATTCAAAATTCTATTTGCACATGTCATTGTATACATAGGTATTGAGTAAGATTAGTCACCAGGTTCTCCTTTGTTCATTTAATGCGTACTCAGGTATGTAAGGATTCTCGTTTTCTTAGCACACCGGCAATGTGAAAACCCATTCATTAACAAGCACAAGGGTATTATGAGTAGGTATTTTATTAACCATATATCGTCCAAAATACCTAGTCTCCCAATGTGTCAGGTTCGACTAGGTAGCTTAAATTACAAAGTAACAGACAAATATCCAGGTGCTGTTGATTGCTTATGTAACGAGGCTTATCTTATCTATATGTAACCATGTAGATACGAAGAAATCAGCTTACTGCGTACATGTATGTACCTCTGCTAGGTGAGGGGCACCCCGCCTTGCCCACCTTACCTAAAAGTTAACTCCATAGATCGGCGTAGGGTGCTGAAAGACGTGCTAGACGATACCTAGGTACCTATTGGCATAGACCTGTGACGTGCGCTTTCCGCGTTTAGTAGCGCTTAAGCTCATCGCCCTTAACCTTACAAACTTAGAACTTCGCGCCGTAGAAGGTAACAGAACCTTCACACATGGCAAAATGGCTTACTGATCTATCTACCTAGATACCTTTAGTGCATACCTAGTAGTACAGTATAAATTCACCTATCACAGGTAAGTCAGGGCACTCCGTGGAACCTTATGTAACCCTACGTCGAGTGCCAGGCAGTAGGGGTAGGTAACAAGGATATGTACGTAGCTTACCTGTGGTACCTTAACGTCAGATATTCTGCAAGTCTTCCACACAACTATCACAACGATCGACGCAAATGCGCATATACATTTTGCGCAAACTCGGACACCGGATCAACCTATGCGGGCTGTTTTGATTGCATTATCGCCATTCACCCTTTCTCGCACGATCGATATCCTCCCGACACGATTAATAGCCCTTCCACAGTCATATTGAAAGCCTCGTAACATCACTACGTCAAATACGACAAGCCGTTGCAATACTTCGCAGCGACCACATCATGCCGATTCGCGCCACATCATAGGACGAACATGATATATCGTGCTTCCCTACGGTATAGCCGGCCTGTTTGATGACCAACTAAGCGCGACCCGAGTTTGACTTGCACGCCGGAAACGGCGGCCACATATTCAGGATGTTTCCAACCTTCACCGGCAATTCGAGGCGACCTCGAAATGTCAATATGAGCGGCCAGCGGAATACAAACCCTTGGGCTACTGCTACCTCGAGTTGGCCCCAGCCCACCTCAGGTGCCTCCAAAACAGTAGCACAGGCACAAGCTGAACGTGAAAAGAGGCAAAAAGAACGTGACGAGTTGAATGCCGCCAAGAGAATTCAACGAGTTTGGAGAGGACATAAGGACAGATGGGGCTTCAAACAAACATGCCGAGAAAAATACGATGCTCTTTATAAGCAGCCGGTAGAACACGATCTTTCAGGTCGTGTGGTTGCTGCTCTGCCTCTTTTGCTAGTGCTCTTCGACCCGGCTCAGGTAGATGATCAACGACGATTAGATCTATTTATCCATGATTTAGTCAGTCTGGGGCCAGCTCCTTCAAATTTTGATCTTTTCAGTCCACGTTCCTGGGACCGACTAGCAGAGCTCATCGTGAAGTCTCTTGAGAAGTATGTATATCTCTTATATCACGATCATCTGTATAACCTACTGACATAGTCATTCAATAGGCGTCAGGCTGGCTCGTCGCAAGCCCATCTTAGCATCTTAGTTGACATCGTCAAAAGACGACAAGTAGCCATTACTCACATATTAGTCAAGTATTACAAACTTCTATCAAAGTATTTCGAGCAGAACAGTTGCAAGGGTATCTCAGTAGAAGAACGAGATATCCTCGCCGATGCCGCCACGGCTCCCTTGGGATCTTCCTCAAAGCAAGGTACGTGAACAAATCTACTCACGCCTGAATCGTTTGTCAAGATTAATGAGATTATAAACCAATAACCGTCTCGTTATACTTTACATATAACTAACAGCCCTAAGAAATACATACTCTGCAAGCGTACAAGGCGTTTACATCCTCATTCCTCACGTCCCCAAATCTATCGTTATTACAAAAAGATCCCGCTCGAATTGCTAGCTCCGTAAACCTCCATATCCTATCACAAAGCGTGATCGACATCTACTCCAAACAAGAAAATGCTAGCAGACTATCGAAGAGTGCTTCACTGTGGCTCTTGGTACACTTTATCGCCTTAAATAGAATAGCCCCCACTTCTCAGGGCACGAAATATCTGAGGGCTCTTTACCTCCAGCTATCCATCCTCGTCGATGATATCCGAGTCCGCTATGACCGAAATAGCAACCTCCTTGGGACAAACAATAACGATGATAACGCATCCGATGAGAATGACAGCGATGTCGAAGCCACTACTCCCTTATCTGCATGGGTGACGGACCAACTGGACTTCCTTGTAGATGAGGATGGTATTTCAGAGCTCCTGAGTAGATTAACTTCGTCAGTATACACGACTTAGAATAAATCGTGATCATGTACTAACATCATTTAGGACTGCACTGTCTTTAGATCGCTTATCCGAAGATGCTAGTCTTCTTGCTGGTTACACGCTGGTACTATTGAGGTGTTTCCCGAGCCACAGTGACGACATCAAGATGCGCCTTTTCCAGGGTGACATCTCTACGATTGATTCGGCTAGCTCCAAGTCCATGCCCTCTGTCAAGTATTTCTGGAAGGCTGCCTCCAATACCAGCATATTCAAGAATCTCACGCAAACCAGAGCCCAGCCTACGTCTGTCATCTCACTTCTACAACCAGATCCCGTGCGTGATCGAGAATGGCGGACCATATTACTATTCCTGGAACTATACAACTTCCTTCTAAGACTCACTGACGATGAAGATTTCCTACCTGCGGACAGTCAGATTATCTCACAACAAAGTCTTGCGACAGTCCGAATACGTTCTAGTGGCCTCAACCTAGACGAATTGAAGCGGCTTATCAACTTCCTCAAGAGCCTTTCATTCCCATTGTACTACAACTTATCAGACATCATGCCATCGGCTTCGAGATCGACCCGGCTAAATGCCTTCATGGGCGTCGTTTCTGGAAACCAGGCGGTGCGAGAAGAGGAGCCCAAAGCTGCCCAACCATCGTTCGCTGGAATCATCGGCATGGACGTATTAGGCTTAAGGAGTGCGTCAACAGCTACAATGCGCTCGCTGTATGAGAGAGACTCTCGACGACGCTTTTTACCAGCGGACTTCTGGCTCATGACTTCGAAGTTTGATATGGACGGTTTCATTTCGGCTGTCGTCTTAGAGGAGCAACAAAAAGATCAAATGGAAGAAGATGGAGACGATTCCGGTGATTCTGATGAAGATACACTTGATACTTTCCATACGTCTACCGGTCAACGTCTCTCACGTGCAGCACAGATTGAAAGACACCGACGTTTACGAAGAGTCCAGCGGGAACAAATACTAGCCCAAGTTGGACCCAAACTCGAAATACTTCGCAACATGCCGTTCGCCATTCCTTTTGAAGTTCGAGTTCAGATATTCCGCCAGTTTGTTTATCTTGACAAATTCAAGCGCCGTGGAGGCCATGTTGACCCTGACCGGTGGCGGATATCAGTAATGTCCGGAGATGCGGTCAATTCTAGAGGAAGAGACACCATCGGCCGCCACACGGCTAGGGTCAAGCGCGGGAATGTATTTACCGACGCGTTCGACCAATTTTACCCACTTGGGGAGAGCCTAAAGGAGCCTATCCAGATAACATTCGTGGACAAGTTTGACCAACCTGAAGCTGGTATTGATGGAGGGGGCGTCACGAAGGAGTTCTTGACTAGCGTCATAGATGAAGCTTTCAACAACAGCCCAGGCGGCCACAACCTCTTTGCTACCAACAGCCAAAATCTGCTATACCCAAATCCAACGGCGATTGACGACTTCGCAGAGCTCCTTCGTCATTGCAACATCACAGAGAATAGTACTACTTGGAGGGATAGCTTCGCGGATCTTGCTAGGCGTTATGAGTTTCTTGGTCGGCTGGTGGGCAAATGCATGTACGAAGGCATCCTTATTGACAAGGCTTTTGCCGGCTTCTTTCTCCTCAAGTGGTCAGCATCAGGGCAAGGCTCAATGACTGATTATCGTGCAAACTTGAACGATCTACGAGACCTGGATCCAGAGCTATACCAAGGGCTCATCAATCTCAAGAATTATCCCGGCAAAGTAATAGATCTATCCCTAGACTTTACGATAACTGATGAGATTCATTTGCCTGATGGAGGGGTCCGCACGATAACCCGTCCGCTCTGCAAAAATGGCGAGGATATGGCCGTCACAAACACCAATCGTCCTCTCTACATCTCGTATGTTGTGAACCATCGGCTCGTAGCACAACCATACCGACAAACAAAGGCCTTTCTTAAGGGCCTCGGATCTATTATCAACCCCGCATGGCTATCCATGTTTAACCAGTCCGAACTTCAGCGTCTCGTAGGTGGCGACAGCTCAGAGATCGACGTTGAAGACTTGCGACGCAATACCGAGTACTCAGGCCTGTACGCTATCGGCCATGATGGAATAGAACATCCAACGGTACAAATGTTCTGGCAGGTAATGCGAGAGTTTAAAGACTCGGAACGTCGAGAAGTGCTAAAATACGTCACATCAACACCGAGAGCACCATTGCTAGGCTTCTCGCAACTCAGTCCCCACTTCAGCATCAGAGATAGCGGTACCGACGAGGAGAGACTACCCAGTACAAGCACATGTGTCAATCTTCTGAAACTTCCGCGCTACAGTTCGAAAGAAACGCTGAAGAGCAAGCTCCTCTATGCCATCCAATCCGGAGCTGGCTTCGATCTGAGCTAATTGAAGACAATGGTGCTAGTATCGCAAACTCTACCTAAATCACGATGCTCTAGTGGGTAAAATCCTTTGGCCATGCTTAATCACGGCGCAAGGAGACGTCGGTTAGAATGTGTGCAAGTAGCTAAAAGCAGAATGAATTGACATTGACATTGACGATCATGAGTGAACTTGTCTCCCTAGTGATCGAACATTTATCAACTGGTAGTCCTAGGTAGGTACCTAAGGCCTTAGTCCAGGGCAAATAAGTTAACGCCGATTCAATATGCTATGATCTCTTTATTCGTAAATCAGACTATCATGGATGTGTATAATTTGTTAAGGTTTCGGGATAGAAAAATGCTTTATAAGATAATATGTCGCCAACGCAGATATCCAACCGTCGTTTCTCACGCCGAGCAAGCTCCTATAGTCTAGCGGTTAGGACGTCGGATTCTGATTCCGAAAACATAGGTTCGATTCCTGTTAGGAGCTCCAAATTGTCTGTGATTTTTTTTTTTTTCCCTAAGTCTTCAAGTGAAAACATTTCTGTGCGGGTTGCACCCCCTTGAATAAGGACATTGTGCTCTAAGTGGAGCAGCGAGCTAGCCTTGAGTTGTGGGCTCTGGTGGTCCACCAGAACGTAGTCTAATAACTGTTTACGAGTGAGTATCAGTTAGAAATTGTATCTATGCTTCAACATTTTGCTTCAAACCGAGTTAAGAAATTAGCATATGCGTCACTTCATTCATTGCCTTGACACAGATAGGAGTAGGCTTATATAATGCTAAGCCTATCCCTACGTAATATCGTTCTTGTACGTTATGTATTGGAATATCTCTTGATGATCACGCTAATAATTGGTCATAAGACATAATCTAAGTAATGCCTCCTATATAGTCCAGCGGAAATCAGCAAGTCCATCAATAATCTTTTTCCCTTTGTCTGCGCGCTTATTTTCCCATTTTAGAAGCACGATAGAGAAACAGGCGGCAACGACAGCAGCTATACAGATAGCCATCACAGCTATTATCCCGGGGATATAATCAGGCGCATCCTGTTTCTCGTCAGCATGGAATATTACGATATCGTCAACGAGCTTTGTACTAACCTGTTGGCGGAAGACTAAAGATGAGTAAATGCCACCGATACCACTGACCGCGATCATAAAAGCAGTGGCACAGGCACGCTTAGCATCGCCGCGGAGATTGTTAGCTTGCCACGCTAGAGTGGTGACCACAAGCCCATTGACGCCGGCTTCCCCTAAGAAGGTACCAACATATCTTGCCACAGGATTATTGACGAATCCCGTCATGCATAAACCAACAATAGCGACTAAGCCCTGGACGATGACAAACGGCCCTCGCAGGCGCATCTTATCAGCTAGCCACGAGACAAACATACCCTCCACGACTGAGAATAGAGCCGGTGGCGCCGACAGCACGAACGCAAGATCTTGCGAGTATCCCATTCCGTTGCGTAGGATGATGGGCAGGAAGAAGAGAAAGGCGTAAACGCCTACGGCGCCGGCTGAGTACATAAGCGCGAAGGACCAGACCTTCCAATCCGTAGCCGTCTCGACGAAGACGGCCCAAGTGACCTTCTCGCGCTCCTCTGACCCGCGGTCCTCCGCAAGGCGCGCCTTCACAAAGGCACTTTCTTCATCAGAGAGAAAGGTGTTGCGGTCCGAGTCGGGGAAGTCGACGATGACGAACCAGGCAATTATGGCGGCGACACAGGTCATGACGCCTTCGATGATGTAAATCCACCGCCAGCCCTTGTAGCTCGGGTGCACCTTGGAGATCTGTATCAGGCCGAGAGCCAGGATATTGGCGAAGGCCGAGAGCGCGGATCCCGTCATGAAGAAGGTCGCCAGCCTCTTCTGGACCTCGTACCTCTTGTACCAAGACGAGATCAGGTAGACGCAGCCGGGGTAAAACCCGGCCTCGAAGACGCCGAGGAAGGAGCGCAGGACGGCGAGGGCGACCCAGTTGTCCAGGAAGCCGATGCCCATGGAGACGAGGCCCCAGGCGAAGACGATGAGCGAGATCCAGTTGGCGGCGCCGACGCGGTGGATGATCATGTTGCTCGGCAGCTCGAAGAGCATGTACCCGATGAAGAAGACGAGCAGGGCGACGGAGGCGCGGTTGCCCACGGCGAGCCCGACGTCCTCGTCGAGCCCCGAGATGCGCGCGACGGATATGTTGCTCCGGTCTATCATGGCGATGGTGTACAGCGCGCCGAGGATGGGGAGGAGCCGGATGTCGACCTTGCGGAGGACTCGCCTCTCGAGCTTCGAGTCGTGGGCGGTGCCGCCGCCGCCGCCCTCTTCCGAAGCGGACGGCGTGTCGTTGTCGAGCTTCTCGTTCTCGTGGAGCGAGACCGACGCTTCCTTCTCCGCCATGGTGAAAAGGGGAGCTCAAGCAAACTTAAGGAATCAATTCATGATCCTACTAGGTAGATAAATAGCAGCAGGAAATGAAATTTCGGTTCTGTAGCTGCGTTCTTATTGCCGTTTTTCGGCCCCTCGCAGCCTAGGTCGGGGCCCCGAAAGGAATGTGGAGGAAAAGTTTGTGGGGTAAAAAGCTGGGGTAAGTCGAGGACTATACCTATGTCGATCGGTTGTTGGTCATGATCTCCCCGGCGAGTGCCTCTTCTGGGTATTCCGCATGTAGGCCTGATTATTCGACGTTTCCGAAGAAAGGTGCCAACTCCGCAGCTAGAGAGGATGAGTAAGGTATATGGTCCGACAATGATATTGGCCCTGTTTACTTCGATTCTTCTCCAATTGATAATACTTGCTAATATAGATCCTTTCGATTTCTATGGCTGGGCGTAGGTAGGTAGTGTTTAGAGAGGTATGCCCTAGATGTATTGTACATCACGTTTTGATACCTACCTACAAGGCGGGTGCTTGGGTAAAAATGAAAACACCGTCTATTATATATTCATATAAACTGACATGAATTATTAAAGCCAACTCAGTTCCCAAAGCCCGATCAACTCGGGTCTAATCTACGGAGTTGTTTTGCTGACAGACCCTATTGACAACCCTACGAATACATTGTATATCGTGCCTAGGTAGGTAGATAGGTGGCTAGTCTGAACATGAACAGCTAACTCCGTGCTCTTTACTAAGGAGGGTCTGATACTTGCATGGTTAGAAGACCTTGCAACAACCCGCCTACTTACCTACCTAGGTATCCATGTATACACCACCCTTTTTAACTGGCTGGAGTGTTGGCAATACGTTTAGTTCGATTTAAACAACATTAGAAATATATGCCCATTAAAATATATTAATATTTCCCCAGATATTTACCTACGTAGGGTGGTTGTCTCGAAAAGGGGCGAGGGAATGCAAGTAGCAGGAACGGCATCATACGAGATGCATGAGGCAATGACTAGTGAACGTTATCACTAAGATTGACATATATATGGACTTGTTGTCGAAAAAGTTTAATTTCAGCGAAACCTATCTGAGAGATGATTCACACTTAGCACGTAATGAACCCTCCAGACCAGCTCCGCAGTCAACCCGTCTATAGCAAGAGAACATCCTTCACGGGCACCTGCACCAACCCAGTGGTACTCCGAGTCCCATCACCCATCATCCACCAGCAACGACTAGCCAAATTTTCGTGTTTAACCGTAGACAAGCTTGAAGATGTCGTTGTGGACGTAGTACTGGGCTTGTCCATTGATGTGCTCGGGAACCAGGTAGAATGACTGAGTGTAGCTCATCGGTCGCTGCTCCTCATCCACCTAGTTATCTAAGTTAGATATCGTGTTGTTTATTATGAAGGGAAAGGAAAGGTCAATAAACGAACCAAGAGCTGACCGGTGACGAGCACCATAATGTGGTCCGGAGAGACACCAGGCTGGGGATCCATAGTAGCCACCTGGTGCTTAATCTGCTGGAAAGGCAAGGCCTAGGAGTTTGTGTAAGTCATATCTTCCTTTGAGCTTGTGATTGGTGCCTTACCTGAAGCTTCTCGATGATAGAGGGGGTGCCCTTGAACGAGCTGGACTCGAAAGTCAACATAGATCCATCACGCTGCAAAGTCGTCAGTCAAACGCGTTCCATCAGGAAACAGACTCGAAAGGGACCATACATAGAGGGTTGCAAGGCCCGATCGGTCCTGGTCGAACTGGTTGTAGTAGTATTGGACGAATAAAGCTACATAGGGAGGCGCATGTTAGCTTGGGCCGCGAGATCGCTACCGAGTCGACGGCATGAAAAAGTAACTTAAAAGAGGAGGTACATACTCGCAACCTCTTCCAGATCTATTCGTTCGGTTAGTATATAGCTTGACACTTTGTAAGTAATCAACAGCCCTCGACTTTTTAGGCTGCGACGCGTTACAGGATGGGGGAGGGGGATGACATACTCGCAGCCATCTTGGTGGGAGTTATCGTCCGTGAGACAGTTGTGGAAGGCGTGTATTTGATCGATGGTTGCTTTTATGAAGATGAACAAGCGTGCTTGAGTTGTCACGCGAGTCTGAAGACGAGAAAAAGGCGCTTTGTTTTTGTTATGATAGTTGATAAAAGATGGGAAGAAGAAGTGAGGCCATTCAGGTTGGACTTTTGGAGGGGCAATCTTAGCGGAGGATCCACTTATTTATGTGATTTATGTGTGCTAAATCTGTTTTTGGTCGCCTGCTCTGGCGGGGTAATCTTTAATTTTAATTTTTTAGTTTCGGATCGTCCAACGTCGTCAGGCAATTACCGTTTATCGTTATCAGTCGATTATGTAATGAGTCACTCAACTTCCGAGGTTCTTTCCATTATTTATGCAGTCCTGTACATGCATATGTACATGCCTAATGCAATGTGTGTGGGTCTACTTGCACTGTGACGTACAAGCTCTTCAGCTGGGAAGCGACAGATCGGATTCACCCAAAGTTGGGAGTTGCTCATTCTAACTTGGAGTAATAAGTGGATTGTAACAATTTAATACATCTATTTACCACTTGACACTATCCGAGGTCCTCTGAAGCTTAAATATGAATTCGTACTTCTACGATATTACCTCTTTACAATTACGTGGATGTAGAGTCCTATAATCCGGCCCAACACAACCGCATCTGGTTCACCCCATTGATATAAACTCAGGCATGGCGTCTGGTAAAGTGGAAGCCAATAACACCGTCGCTTCTGAGGAGAGCACGCAAAATGGCACACCTGCAGCAACTGGGTTCTCTCGTCTTCTTCGCCGGCATAGTCCCGGCTCAAGACAACATGCTCGAGATTCAATGGATTCTTTAGATAGGATCTTTGATACTCGTACCGAATCAGAAGCCCGCCGCCTTCCAGCTGCCCAAAGATCCATGACCTCGGAGGATAAACACTATGCAAACAATTCTTATGGGATCGCCGAGCTGAGGGATGGTTTCTTCGATGCCGTTTTTCTCCCCCCAGAGGAAGTGGATTTCCAGGAACTCATGAGACAAGCCCAGCTGACTCTTCCATACGCCTTTAGAAAGAAGGATCCCCTTTCTATACGGAATTTCTTCCCTAAGCAGTGGCATGAAGTGAAAGGGGTCATTCGCCGTGTTACTACTACAAGATCTGGCATTCGACTTCTTAAATCTTTTCTTGCTTTCTTTATAGCATATATCCTTTGCCTTATCCCGCCAGTTCAGGATAGACTTGGCCGTTATAGTTACATTATGGTAATATCAGCTATCCTTAATCACTCGGGTAGAACATTGGGGGCCCAGGTCGACGGAACGATTCTAACAATAGTTGGCACAGCGACTGGGTTAGGATGGGGTGCTTTTGGGCTGTGGGTATCTACCGCATCGGCGCCAGCACGCATAGGTTATGGCGGAGTCCTTGCTGTCTTCCTCTTCTTATACGTATTTTCAATCGCTTGTCTTCGTTCGTATTATATCCGTACCTATCAGGCCGTCATCAGCGCTGGAATCGCGATCGCATATACCTGCCTAGCCGAAGTATCAGGAACTGAAGTTTCATGGTCTAAACTCCTCGACTACGGAATTCCTTGGGTTCTAGGACAAGCCATTTCTCTTCTCGTATGTTTTACGGTTGTCCCTGATGCAGGCGCGCGCCCATTAGCCGTCGCTCTACATCAGGCATTCTCTGTCATGCTGGTAATTCCACCTCCCGCTAGGTACCTCAATTCTAATAACTAATTTTCTTAAAGGATGGTCTCGGATTGACAAGGCTAGAAAGCATAAGAACACGCCGGAGATTAACGCAGACTTTTGTCAGCATGTCGCAGGCTTACAGAGATCTAGTGATCGATTTTTCTATGACACTTTTTGACCCGAAAGACGTTCTAGAGCTTCGAAATCTCATTCAAGGGGTCATCCGCGCACTTCTCAGCTTGAATAGCGAAACTAGAGTCCTTGATGGACCAGAGGACGCTCCATGTAATAGACTAAGCCGAGACCGCCCTATACTCGACGAGTTTGTCGTTAGCATGGACCAAAAAACTCGTGTATCAGGTAGCGAGGAAGAAAAGAAGTTAGCGAAGTTCGTTGCCAGCAGCTTGGCCGAGCCTACAGATAAAATTCTTCTGTCTATGGAATCCGCCTTGAAGACTTGCGATGCTGTCCTAATGGATATGTGTGGCCATCGCCAATATCTGGGCCCCCCAAAGGACGTGTCAAGCGATATCCCAGGGTCGCTTGTAAAGCTGCGCAGACGTATCATAGCATTCAGCGAGTGTCAAGATAACGTGTTAGCGAGCGGGAAATTGCCCTCAACATACGCTGACTCCCCCGATGTTGTTAAGCTTTTCACTTACTGCCGACCCGTCCACCAAGCCGCAACGGCGATTGAGGCATTACTGGTAAAAGTTAATCAGATGCAACAGACACGGCCGAAACACTCGATGTTTTATTTGCCGTCCTATCCATTTTGGAAGGCGTTGCACCGTACGAATGCACAGGTTCGACATGATCGAGGCGGTGTAACAGCAGGTTCCTACTTCAAAAGCTTCAACGATATAGCTGTAATCATCCAGAAAATCAAGTCTAGGGATTTTCAACCCTTGCCAAGGAAGGAAAATGAGGGTGCTGATAAAGGCCATGATACTTCATATGCATCAATGACAGCGGATGAACTCGAGGATGAATTGGGTACAAATACGAATCATGTACGGCACAAGATATGGGGCTTTCTTCATCGACTACAAGGCTTTGAGACACGATTTGGGCTTAAAACAGCTGCGATTACTTCTCTACTATCTATACCCGCTTGGCTCCCTGAGGCCCATGAGTGGTGGGATGGCTATGAAGTATGGTGGGCTGTCGTAATGGCATGGCTTATGATGGGCCCTCGGTAAGTTATTATGCTCCTTTAAATGACTCGAGCCTTGTGTGTTGTCTAACATGCATAGAACTGGCGGAAACATCCAAGATCTTTTCACACGTGCGCTTTGTGCTGTTCTTGGCTCGCTTTGGGCCGGTCTATCATACGCCGCGGGGAATGGTAACCCTTACGTTATCGCAGTCTTTGCCGTTATCTTCATGCTCCCTATGATTTATAGGTATACGCAGAGCACACATCCGGTAAGTCACTCCCGAAGGCTAACGGAATTGGAAAACATTCTGACATGAACATAGAGGTCTGGGCTCGTAGGTTGTGTCTCATTTACGGTTGTATCGCTATCAGAAGTCGCTGCACAAGGCAAACCCTCGCCAGCTACAATCGCCGCGACACATGGTGTTGCCATGGTCGTTGGAGTGGTCGCATCCGTCATTGTGAACTGGGTGCTCTGGCCATTTGTTGCTCGCCATGACCTTCGAAAAGCTGTAGCTTCCATGATGTTCTATTGTAGTATCGTCTACAGAAGTAAGTTGAGCAGGGATTACTATTCCTTTCTATTAATTGACTCGACTTTAGGTATCGTGTCAAGATATGTTTACTACGAAGAAGGGGACGAACCTACTAAAGAAGATATACGTTCATCCGAGGTACTCGAGGGGCGATTGCGAGAAGGATTTGTGAGATTGAGACAGCTGTTGGTGAGATCGTAAATATCCCTAGCTTTGTGAAGCCGATATATTGATGATAATTAGGGTCTCACACGCCACGAGATACGACTCCGAGCCCCTTTCGACCCTTTACCGTATTCGGCGCTTATTGATGCTTGCGAAAGATTCTTCGAATATATCGTCACTGCTCGACAAGCGTCTTTATTTTATCATCCCCATTTTATTAGAGACAATACCGACTTTGCCGCAGCTTTGCTGGGTCATAGAAGAGATGCGATTGCAACCATCTTGACCAATCTTTACGTCCTTTCTGGGGCGCTGCGCGCCGACAGAAAAGTGCCCGTAAGTCTGCTAAGAAATCTTTATATATAGTGTGACGAAGAGAGAAAACATGCTAATATGCGAACTTGACAGAAATATCTCCCAAGCGCAGCGGCATCAAGGAAGCAACTATTAGACATGATGGGAGCACTGGAGGCTGAACTCGCGGCAAGTGGAAAATTAAGTGCTGATGAAAAGTCCGAAGGGAGAAAGTGGGCCCAGATATACAGCTATTCGTATAATGAGAGCCTGACGGGCTGCGTTGAGCAGTTGGAAGAGCTGGAGAAATATACCAAGGCCATCGTCGGCGAACAAGGGTAAGATACCTCTTTTGACGCGGTTGTGGGATAAGTCTAATAAATTGGTATAGGTTCGACGGCCCCTACACAGACCAAAACTGGTCGATGAGTTGAAATATCTCCTATACGAAGCAGAAGTGGCGTGTTTAGGTAATGCTTCCTACCGACACCATCCACGGCGATTTATGGCCTTCGAAGCCCTTCAAAGCAGTCTGACCATTTGAAGCCGAAGACTCAACATTAATGGCTGATAAAATACCTATAGATGACTTGTCTATTATATTTTTATGAGATACGATCTAGCCAATCATGATGAAGTGAATTGATACGGACGAATAATGCAAAAAGTCAGCTCACGCATAATATGTGCTGTCCACGTTGCGGAACGATTGGTCAATTCCCTCTCCGAGATCTTCTCCACTTCGGCTGCGCGGTAGCCTCAGTGAGTCTTCTATCCCGATTCAAATCTCCCCACATAAGAAATTACGCCCTCGGGGATTAAAGAGGACTTTTATTTTATATCAAACTTGGCATTCAGGCACGTGTAGCGTCGCCGTTCTTCTCCATTCAGAAATCTTTTGAAGATGGAATTTAGGGCAGTGCTCGATTCCACGTGGATTTTAGATCGAATAGCGTGACCCAACCTGCTGGGCTCATCAACACTTGGCGCCTAGACGCTTTATATGAAGACTGCGTACTGCCCCTAGTGAGATGGCATCTGATCGCCAGCGTCCAAAAGTTTTTATTCCTTAGGTCGCTATTATCTGGTCGACATCTTGTCTTTGTGAAGTCGCTCGTTTAGTATCATATATTTCTCACAATGTTGGTTACTTCTATCTTCGTTTTCCTTTCCCTAGGTTCAACTGGTCTCGGTTGGGAATGGGGAAAGAGTGGAAAATGGTCTAGTAAGCAGAGGACTACTTGCCACGGTGGAGAGTCGACCATCAATTACACGTCAATTGCTGGCTTCTTTCAGCAGGATGACTCCTCCACTGTTGCAAAAACCTTTGACTACGTACGGCCCAACCGCTATAGTTATCACAATTGATAACTATTACTAACAAGAAATAGACTACAAGTAATTACGGGCTTATTAACCGGACGTATCCTACCGATGATGAGTTAGATTCAGCGAATGAGAAAACGCAATGGGAACGTTTTATGTATTATGTGAACACTCTCAACCGAGATTGCGACAAGAACACCCAATACAAGGTCTTATTCATGGCTCGTCACGGCGAGGGTTATCATAACGCGGCAGAATCTTATTACGGTACCCCTGCTTGGAATGTAGGTTCCCTATAAATCGCCGTATCTCTACGTGATTTAGTCTAATAATAGTACATAGTGCTACTGGGGACCACTTGAAGGGAACGGCACGACAACCTGGAGAGATGCTCGGCTGACCGATGCTGGTATAGCTCAATGCACCAAGGCAAACGCCTTCTGGAAAAATGCCTTAGCTGTTGAAAAGATTCCGGCCCCGGCGTCCTACTACAGCAGCCCCCTAGTCCGTTCTATGACCACGGCGAACTTGACCTTCAATGGCCTTGACCTCCCGGCCGGAAGACCCTTCGTGCCAACGATCAAGGAATATCTTCGCGAAGGCATATCTATGCGTACTTGTGACGAACGGTCGAACAAGACGTACATCCATTCCTTGCTTCCAGGATTCAAGTTCGAGGAAGGGTTCACCGAAGATGACGAGTTGTGGAAGGGTTACGAAGGGGAAACCTCTGATGCTCAACTCAAGAGGACTAGGGCTGTTTTGGATGATATCTTCAGCAACGATGACAATACGTGGATCAGTATCACCAGCCACTCTGGCCAAATCAGCACTAACCTAAAGGTGTTGAACCACATTGCGTTCAGCTTGTCGACAGGCCAGGCAATCCCAGCTCTTATCAAGGCGCAGAACCTCCGTAAAGTCGAGTCAGCTACAACCACTGTTCAATCGTGGACAGCCGAGGCCACGTGTAATGCGCCTCCGGTTACAAGTATATCTGGTCAAGGTTGCGTCTGCTCAAGTGCTACGTCCTCATTAGTCGCGGCTACAGCTACGATGACCACAGCATAGAGTAAGCAATTTACACGAACCAAAAGGTTATAGCAGGATAAGTTTTCTAATGGTAATAAAACAACTGCTTACACTTCGTTCCTGTTTTGACGCAACATGCGCTCTATACCTAAGCTCAAGCCCTACCTATAGTACTAGAGTAACAATTACATCCGAGTGCAACCTTCGGACGCACGGAAACCCCATAGTCCAGCCCTCAAGCCCCATGAGGTCTCCAAACTGGCTTCGCCTACGAAAATTCCTGGGAAGAGGCTCACAGGTGGTAGTTAGCCAAGCCGATTTTCTGCGAATGGTACCGTGATACGATGGCGCGTGCTCACGACTCCAATTCTCAGCTTCCACCTTCCTTCTTGGAACTTTATCGCCGCATCAATAGTTTACTCGAGAGATGACTTTGCGATTAGTCAATATGATGCAATGAAAAAAATCGCAAGGCCAATATAACCGTGTTAGTCAACCTGGAACTATATTGTCTCGCGATTTGCCGTCTCCTCCCAGTAGCCATCTTGAATATTCATACTAACGTTATTACAAAGTGATTACATGCATACCAGCCCAGCAGCTGTTATCAAGATCAACCCCAATAGGATCCTCATCCGAGCCATCCAGAATTACGCAACGGGAACTGGATACACGAGATCTTGGGCTTCGCCTTAATGAGCATAGGAACTTTTCTCCTAGCCGTCGGCATATGTAGTATAGAGTGTGAAGAACAGAGTTGTTCTTCTTTTCATACGAACATCTTGTATTCTAGGTGTGCAATCCATGTCATCCATAACGCCTTCTTCGGGTTCCACGGAATCTATATGCCAAAATTCATCGTAGGATTATAGGAATGCTTCCCTTCTCACCAGGCCGTTCCGAAAATTTATTGGGCCTTTCGTTTTGTTTCCGCTCATGAATAAGGCCTCCATGCACATTTGCTACCGTATAGCATACAAAGTTGTCCCGCTCCTGTAAGGATGAATACGATAATCTGAGTCGGCATTTACCAACAAGCTCGATTAAGGAGCTAGTTTCCCGAGCCTGTTCAGCGCGGGTGTCTGTGGGTGAGATCTATGAATGCAGGATCACGCCCAAGCAACCATAAACCTTTGTAGATAAGTGCACAACACCCTTCTTTCTGCTATTACAAGTGGGATATTTCATGGGCCTATCATTTCTATTTACTAGCAATTATGCAGTCTCTCCTTGTGTTAACACTCTTCGCGTTATCTGCGAGCGTCAAGTGCGTCAACTTTGCCTTCGAAGAAGAGCAGCTTGCAGATGCAGAGATTGGGGATTTTCCAGCCATCGCCTTTGGAAACTCTTCAGTCGCGGCCTCTCTTGATGATGAACCAGAGTGTAGAGAGTATCCGGGCAGCGACGGCTGGCCCCTAGAGGAAGAGTGGTCGCGGCTGAACCAATCTCTAGGAGGCGCCTTGATCAAAGGGGTTCCACCCGCGGCGGTATGTTACGATGGGCCGTATAGAGATGCGGATGCGTGTATGTTCCTCATCCGGAATTCCAGCATGAACCGTTTTTATATAGACAACCCGGTCACCGTGTTGAGCGAATGGGGTGAGGGCGATACCTGCCACGCGACGCTTCAGCCGCAAGATGGCGATAACTGCACACAGGGTGCCTTTCCTGTCTTCGTCATCAATGCTACAACTACGAGGCAGATTCAGATCGGCGTCAACTTCGCTAGGAATAGGAACCTAAGGCTAGTCGTTAAGTAAGTTCTTCGAGACATATGGACATCTGGCCAACTTATACAGCCATACCAAGACATGATAATCCGATTGACACCGTACCTTTCTTTGCAGAAACACCGGGCACGACTTCGTCGGTCGAGCGGTCGGCTTGGGAAGTCTTAGCATCTGGACGCACTACCTGAAAGATTTCCAATACCTGCCCCGTTACCAGGTTGGCGAGTACAGGGGCAAGGCAGGCAGAGTCGGTGCCGGTATTGAGAGTTGGGAGATGTTTTCCCAGATGGACAAGTACAATGCCACGTTTGTGGTAGCCGGAGGTTACACCGTTGGGGCTTATGGCGGTTGGATGGCCGGCGGTGGACACTCCGCTTTGGCTTCCAAGTACGGCTTAGGCGCCGACCAAGTTCTATCTCTTCAAGTGGTTACAGCTGACGGCAGGTTCGTCACTGCGGATCCGAACCAGAATACTGATTTATTCTATGCTCTGCGTGGCGGCGGGGGGAGTAAGCATTTCCTAGACCATGGCTAGATCAAGCCGAACCACGCCAGTTAGCTGATGACAAGAATGCAGGCACTTTTGGCGTCGTGACTTCAGCTACAGTCAAAGCCCACCCCTACACAACAATACTCGCCACTTCCATAAGCTTTTCAACAGGTGGGGCTAACGTCTCCGTTGATCCTGGCGACATCGAGAATTTCTGGAAGGGTTTCGATTTGTATCATGAGTTCGGCAAAAAGATAGTCGATAATGGCGGTACAGCATGGTACGTGCGGAACTTGAGCACCGGTATATTTCATTGGAATTAAAATGATCTATATCTGTCAACGCGTACTAACAACTCGATAGTATGTCGCAACCTTTTACCCCTATATTCTTATTCCAAATTTCGGGTTTATCGAATGATGCCATACCAAAAGAGGTAGCTTTCGATATTTCTTATCATTACGTTAACATTTAGGATACCAGATAGTTACATGTCGCGTATGACGTCTAGCAACGACAGCTACAGCTTCATGACGGATGTCGAGCTCCCCAACGTATCAGAAGAATACTTATCCGCATTCGTACAGCCTCTCCTCGACGACCTGCGAGCAGCCGGCCTCAACGTAACCACGCGGGCGCCGTACCCAGCGACTAACTGGTTGGCCTCGGCTAGAGCAGGCATCGGCGACACCCCAGGCAGCTCCCGGTTCGCCAGCCGCCTGCTCCCGCGCGCCAACTTCGAGGACCCGGATCTGTTCCAGGCAACGCAGCTCGCGCTGCGCCAGTCCATCGAGGAAGGGTACCGGTTCCACGGCATCCACCTGCAGCCCACCGAAGCCGTGGCCGGCTACCCGGGCGCCGGAAACGCGGTCAACCCGGCCTTCCGGAAGGTGATCATGCACGCGGACCTGTTCGACAACACGGCCATCAGGGGCCTGTCGCCGATGGCGTGGAAGGAGACGCACGCGCGGCTCGCGGGCGCGATGGATAGGTGGCGGGCTGTGACGCCGGGGGCCGGGGCGTACATCAACGAGTGCGATGTCGAGGAGCCGGAGTGGCAGCAGGCGTTCTTCGGGAGCAATTACGAGAGGTTGTTGGAGATTAAGCGGGCTAGGGATCCGTGGGGCGTGTTTTACGCGCCGACGACGGTGGGGAGTGAGGCGTGGGTGGTGAGGACCGAGGATGATATGCCTACGCAGAATGGGCTGCTTTGTAGGGTTGGTTCTGGGAAGGCGAAGAGGGATGGGATGGGGATGGGGGTGTGAGGGAAGGGGGAAAGGTACGAATGACAAGACTGAAGCCTTTGCTTTTTGGGAGTTATTGTCACCTTCATAGCTTTCTAGGTACTAGGCACCCAGTTTTTGTGACATCTTGTGTCCCTATCACTAGCTAGGAACGTAGGTATGCATGTAAGTAGTGATATGAAGAGTTGTATATGAAATTTCATAAACAGCAAGCTTGTTGAACACTGACTATACTACGAAGTATATGGCTGCGTATGAGGCATGTATCGCCAACGGTTGCCTCGCTATGAGATATGGTGTTGAATTTGTAAGGAGGTGAGTTATCGGAGGTGGCACTGTGGCAGAGCTCTATCAAACATGCACATTGATGTTCCGTTTGTCAGTCACGTGATTGGAGGAACCCAAGATGCGGGTGGCTGCCCTTAGGTGGTAGCACCTGCCCAGGCTGCAACTGAAATTCCCAGCGGATTCTTTAGCTCTCGCGAGGCTCTACAAGCATAGGACCTTCCTATTGGTCACCATCGATTTTATGGGTCACCCTGTCCCTTCCCCATCAGCCCCAACTAAGGTGCCTGTGGAAGGAAAGGCCAGACAAAGGCCCAAGCTGCTGCGAGAGGGTCACTTTTGAACTTTGATTCTTACCATCAATTTACGTCCATCAAAATCAACACCACTCCATTCAATCATCCGCCATACCATCCTTTTCTCCCCCTTCCCAGAACCCAAAACTATTCAGAGCGCGTCCAAGTTCTTCTTTTCTAGTGACGCACTCGAGCTACTTTTGCTGTACAGTACCCAAGTTCTTTTTCGTAAACACCAACCGAACCGAATTGTGAGCAACGTTTTGCCCACTAGCAACGTACCCATACCCACGCCTACCCACGTCTATCAACCTCGTCGCCTCCACCCGCCAATTACCCGACAACAACACCTGCGACCTAGGACAGTTCAACTTGTGCCTGGGCTCATGATATCCATGCCCCAAGCATCCGTGAGCTTGCGCCTGCCCTGCCCTTACTTCCCGCACTCAATCCGAACCCGCGAAGTGCACACTCACTACTACCGCCCTTGCCAGGCACCGTTGCGTGATTCGTGATTTCGTGGTGTTACGAGGGGCTCCAGGGAATTCGATTCGCATAACTTCACACCTGTTCTTCCCTCCTCCTTCTCCCCTCCCGACCAAGAGATCACCACCCTCATGGTCCCCCCACCGCCATCTCACTCGCGATCTGGAACTTTCTCACCTGCTCCTGCCCAGAGTTTGCAGACAGGGCTTACACATTCTCCCCATCCGTCACAGACAGGTCCACTGAGTGCTGGCGCAAGTCCCAGTACCAGCAGTCCGACCACGGGGACTAGCTCTCTTACAAAAATTGTTGTTGCCCAAGTCTATCTTCTTCTGAGTACAATCAAGGAGGACAAGGACCGCGCAAAGTGGGAACTACAGGTGGATCAACTAAAAAAAGTATGTTAAATGATGCGAATTTCTTCTTACCTCCCTCTACCTCCTCCTGTCTCATTAGAAGTCTCGTATTGATGTTATCTTGCTACTCTAGCTCCTCGATGATCACGGAATGGAGGTGTTTTCTAAATATTTCACCCGGTTGGTAGCCGGCAATGCTCCCCAAATCTTCCCGGGCATCAACCGACCTGTTGCCAATCCTGGCAACTACTCGCTCCTAGCCGGAGAGATGGCCAAGATCTCCCATGATCTTGACCAAGCCTCCAAAATATCCGAGTCGATCGAGACTGCTAACGAAGATATCTTCCGCGATTTTGATCTGTCTACATTTATGGAGCACTTCAAACTTGATGCCTTGGAGAAGACTATACTGGCGCTGGCGTTCAAGTTCGGATCCCGTCAAGATCTGAAGACTAAGGGTAGGTCGTTGGTGTCCTCGTCGGATGCTAGCACCAATAAGCTAACCGTGTCCATTGCTAAAGCTGATGCGATACTATCGACGAATTTTCCTACCTTTGTAAACATAATCTCGCGCGCAGATTATGGCGACCATTCCGACCTCACCCCCTCCTTCATTGCCGCTATCGTCGATCGTTATATCCAGGGTCACCCGCCCAACTTTAACTCGGCCGCTAAGCACGAGCTGAGCCATAAAGTTCAGTCGCGTTGGTTGCAGGTAGATCAAGCGCCTCCGATGGAGGTCCTAGCTGCTTTGGATCTTATCAGAGTACTAGGCGAGAAGCCCCCCAACGCGCTAGCTCTCTACATCCAAAGGACTGGCACGGACTTTACCCGCGACGAGGAGACTTGTGCCGCTTATCTTCAGTCTCGGCCGAATAATATTCATCTGAGTGAAGAGCAGGTCTCTACCGCTTTAACTTACACAACCGTCAGCATCACGTACCGTCATAATCCTTCTGTCCTCGTTTCGACCCTTCGCCGTATCCTGCCTCCTAGTTTCCGCTGGCACGACGTCGTCGCGTATTTTGATCAACGTGACGTACGCGTTTCATCTGCACAGTTCCTACGATTATACGAAGCACTTCTACCTATCGCGCAAGCCCAAGAGGAACCATCGTCTCCTTTCAACATCCAAAGTCTCTGGGGAGGATCTCATTGGGAGAACCCGGAAACTCAGCTGTCTTTCATATGCGCATTTGCGTCCTTGAGCCCGGATCAACTAGATGCCAGTACCATTCCCGGCCTTCAGCCAACGTTCACGTTAGAAGAATATGCGAACTCGCCACCCGAGGTCCGCGAGCGAGCAGCAGTGGCCGTAAAGCACCCTCTTGTTTCGAGTCTAGCTCTGTCAGCAATCTTCCAGGTCGCCCTTCACTCCCTGCACGCATCGCAAAGTACGGAGGCGAAACGGCTATTCCAAGAGGTGGTTGTACCAAACCTTGACATCTTCATTGTCTCTGCTTTCGGCGTTCCCAAGCCGTGGCCGTCAATGGCGGTGGAAACCCTCGCATCTCTATTCGACAACTTCCTTCATCGACGTTCTGAGTATCACGACTTTGTTCTGGATAGTCTCTGGAGGAAGGATAGGGATTGGGTCACCCAGAGACTTGTCGATGCTCATGCTATGAAGCCGATGGATCTTACGCTTATCTTTGAGCATGTCATCAAACATGGCTGGCTGGACGAGTTGGTGTACTTGCCAAACGGATTTGGATATGACCTTGCAGCGCTCGCGCACGCTGAGGGCCAGCTCGATCTTTCTCAGTGGGCCCACAACAACGCTGAGCGAAGTCCTGCCATCTCCCAGTCTCTGTTGCAGTTCTTGATGATCAAGGCAAACCTGGAGTTGGCGTCTCAAAAACCCGGAGAAGGGCAGCTAGTAGCAAAGACTACCACGCCCCTCCATGTAAAGACGGTGCTCGCCATGCTACAAATTCTGGAGGACTTCTTGCCGCGAAACCCTTTACCCGAGTTAATCATCGTTCAGCGCGTGTGCATTACAGCTTATCCCCGACTTATCAACTACGGGGAAGGTTTTGATGACATCATTGACGCCAACGGAAGGGAAGGCAATGGGCTGCCGCCCGCTGCAATTGCTAAGATGGAGGAACACTATAAGAAAATGTATGGAGAAGAGTCGGAGGTCAAGTACGTCGTCCAGAAGCTTGAGGAATATAAGCAATCGCGAGATCCTTTGGACCAAGATATCTTCGCGTGCATGATTCACGGCCTCTTTGACGAATATTCTCACTTCATCGACTATCCTCTCGAAGCCCTTGCTACTACCGCGGTACTGTTTGGTGGTATCATTTCCCACAAGCTCATCTCTGAGTTGCCTCTTAAGATCGGGCTTGGTATGATCCTGGAGGCAGTGAGAGATCACGGTATTGACGACTCGATGTATAAATTTGGACTTCAAGCCTTGATCCAGATCACCTCACGTTTCAGGGAGTGGCCTGGGCTGTGCAAGCAGCTCCTCCAGATCCCTGGCTTACGTGGTACAGACGCGTACAGGAAAGCAGAGGAAGCTGTGCTAGAAGATGAGGAAGACCGCGCACGCAATCAGAACGGCACAACGACCCCGAGTCATATAGTGAATGAACCAATCTTGAACGGAACAGCCGACGGTCCGGAAGCTCACACTGCCCCTTTTACATCAATTAATGTCGATCCAGCATCCCCCGGGGTTGCATTCGAAGAGCCAATCGTCGATATTCAGGACAGGGTTCAATTTGGGCTGAACAATCTCACAGCTTCGTCATTACAAACGACCTATAAGGAAATCCATGATATCTTGGAAGAGCGGCACCAGCAATGGTTTGCCAGTCACCTCGTCGAGGAGCGGGCAAAGATGCAGCCAAACTACCATCAGGTGTACCTTGATCTCGTGAAACTTTTCCAGAACTCGGATCTATGGTCTGAGGTGCTCCGACAAACTTACATCAGCGTCTCTCGCATGCTGAACTCGGAGAGCACAATGCAGAACTCTACTGACAGGACTCACCTCAAGTATTTAGGCGCCTGGCTAGGTCTCCTAACGATCGCAAGGGACCAGCCAATCAAGCATAAGAACATTGCTTTTAAGCAACTGCTCATTGAAGCCCATGATACTAAGAGATTGGTTGTAGTTGTACCTTTTGTTTGTAAGGTGTTGATACAGGCCTCGAAGTCGACCATCTTCCGGCCTCCGAATCCGTGGCTGATGGATATTATCCATCTCCTCATCGAGCTCTATCATCACGCCGAATTAAAACTGAACCAGAAATTTGAGATCGAGGTTCTTTGTAAAGATCTGAATCTGGACCATAAGAGTATCGAACCGTCCAGTGAACTACAAGATCGCGTTCCGGTCGAAGAAGTGATTGATATCGCCGCGCAAGATCCTCTAGAGCATTTCGAGAACTTGTCTCTCAACGGAATGGCTGGCGCTGTTCCAACTGGCCTAACCCCCCATCCTATTCCTGTCTCTATACCAGATATCAGTGCACTTCTTTCGATCCCACCCACAAACGAGATGGTTGTTAACAGCGTTCGTCTTCATGAGATCGTTCGAACCGCCGTAACGAAGGCGCTTCAGGATATAATCCAGCCAGTAGTCGATAGATCCGTTACAATTGCTGCGATCAGTACCCAGCAGATGATCCATAAAGACTTCGCTACAGAACCCGATGAGAACAAGCTTCGCACGTCTGCGATCAACATGGTCAAAGCAACCGCGGGCAGTCTCGCCCAGGTTACTTCTAAGGAGCCTCTCCGGGCTAATATTACGAACTACATGCGCAATGCCGCGACCGAGCTCCCGCACTCGCTGCCCGAAGGCACAATTATCATGTGTGTCAACTCGAATCTCGAGCTTGCTTGCAACGTCATCGAAAAGCAGGCCGAAGAACGCGCTGTGCCTGAAATTGAGGAGATGATTGAAGGCGAGATAGAGGCCAGGCGCCGTCACCGTGTGCAGCGACCTAATGAGCCCTATGTTGATCCCAGTCTCAGCCGATGGGCAATGACCATTCCGAATCCTTACAAGCTCTCTCCGAGCATGGCTGGTTTGAATTCGGAGCAGATGGCGATCTACGAAGACTTTGCAAGACAGCCGAGGGGTGCTACCCAACCCGGAGCGACCCACGCCTCGTCAGCATCGGATGCTACTAGGAATATCGCAAACGAGGTCCTGCAAGATTCGTACAGCTCTATTCCAAACCTCGCCACACCGGCCGAGACCCCATCCCTTCCCCATCTAAATACGCAACTGCCTTACCCTCATGTACATGCAGGGATGGCTAACGGACGTCCTTCGGCCCGCCCCGTTGATGGAAGAGGGCTAATAGAGAGGGTGGAAGGGCTCTTGTCCGAGCTGAAGCGTACCGCCACAGCATCGGAAGAGGAGCATTTCACCGACCTACCTAGGCTACATCCTGTTCTAGACATTATTGACATGTTCACCCAACTTATTATCAACACGTCGCAGAACTCAGACGAGTTTGCTTTCTACGCAGCCGAGAAGATTTGCCAAGCCCTCTTCAGCGGGGTGGACAACACCCTCTTCCTTGATTGCCTCGTCCACGTTCTGGAACAGTTATTGAAGATTGCTGCTAGTTCTGGTACCGCGTTGCACGATCGCGTTCAGATCAGCTTCTATCAACAGCCTCCTCAGCATATCCTCAATATTTCTTTGATAACTGCTCTCCTCCAGACGGATTTCCTCGATCTACACAGCATTGACCAGATGACAGCCAAGATGTTGATACAGAGAGAGGAGGCATACCTGGAGTTCTTCGACAAGCTTCTCGATCTGACGTTACTCAACGACCGTCCCATCGCGCTTTTCGCAGATTTCGTGCGAAGCTTAGAGGCTACTTGGGAGTGGATCAACGAAGATCCCAACCTTGAACTTGGTCAACGGCTGAAATCGAAGTTCCTCAGTTCCGGCCTTACGAAACCGCAGATCCAAGACGCTCAGGACAACACTGGGAGATTGGACCAGTTTGAGTACATCTTTGAAGAATGGAATCGACTGTACAACAACTACAATACCCCAGAAAAGGCACAGGTTGCATTCGTAAGACAAATTCGAAGCAGGGGTATCATCGCAAGCAGGGATGACTTCCTAATCTTTGTGCGAAGAGCCATTGACTTAACAGTCACCTATTACGAACAAGTGGTGCACGCAGGGGGTAGTGGTAATGAAGCTTTTACCACTGTAGATTCCCTCATAAAGATGGTCATAATCTTCGCCAAGGAGAGTGCCGTGGAGTGCGAGAATCGCAAGGATGGCCTCCTTGCTATTCTAGGGGCAGTTACGTCCCTCATTGCGGTCGTTCTCAATCACCACCATGTCACAAGAGGCGAGCACTTCAATCAAAGAGTGTTTTACCGTCTCTTCTCTATGCTTATACATGGCGCTGACTCTACCTTCGTGGAAAACCCGTTGTACGAATCGGGCCGACCAGAGTTCCTATTACGAGTGGCCGACACGTTCTTGCAACTATCTCCAGAGCGTTTCCCAGGCTTTTCCTTCGGGTGGCTAAGCCTCATTGGACATCGTCGCTTTGTGCCCGACTTACTCCTCCTCGAGTCAAAGCGCGGCTGGGTTCCGTATACTAAACTCCTCAAGTCCCTCCTAGGACATGTATCATCGCATATGAAAGCGATCGACGTTACAGATGTTGTCAAGGAGTTCTACCGTGCCGTCGTGAAGCTTCTGGTGGTGCTTGCACATGACTTCTCGGATTACATGTCGGCCAATGCCGCCCAACTATGCTTGAGTATCTCGCCTCATTGCACTCAACTGAGGAACATTGTCCTTAACTGTGGCCCACGAGCGGAAGTAGCGGACTCGGTTCCTCAGGATTCACAGGCAGACACGGCTAGTAGCCTCGCGTACTTGAGAGAGGTTGGTATGCTTGAGATTATTGAGCAACTCGTTCAGGCTCCACCTTCCGAAGATGCCATCGCTCATCTTACGCATGCTATTAACAAGAGCAATGCGAATGATACGACTTATGGCAACGTACCTCTCGGTGTTGATCAAAGACTTGTTGACAGCATTGTGACATTTATTGGTCTCCACGCTGTTTCGAAGTCTCGTCAGGATAGACCACTCTTCGTCCCAGGCTCTCCTGATGCTGTGACGTTGTCTTTACTGGTGCATGAGTTACAGCCTCAAGCCCGATACTTCCTCCTAAGCAGCATCATCGACCGACTCCGTCATTACAGCCCCGCCACTGAGTACTTCAGTTACATTATCTTTGACCTGTTCGGTCAGGACATGAACGATCCTGAGGAAGCCGATATCCGTCAGCAAATTGTTCGTGTCTTGCTAGAGCGAATCGCTGGGTTCTGGCCACAGCCTTGGGGCCTCATGATGGTAATCATCGAGCTAGTGACCAAAGAAAAGTACCACTTCTTTGACCAGCCGTTCATCAAAGCAGACCGCGACGTAAGTAATGCCCTCTCGCTCACTATGAACACATCACCTACCGGGTTCCGGACACTCCGGGCTAACTCAAAACAGATCGCGGACCAATTCATGGCAATTGCCAGGCAGCATCCTCAGTAGATGCATACTATCATTCCTGCCAGGGGGAGCTCTCTTCTCTTTAACGCATAAAATAAACGGAAGACAAACAATCAGGGGTCTCTTGGTTGATGATAACTCTGGGTACCTACTAGGTACCCCAGTCAGCCTAAACGTTGGAATCACTTTAAGGGGAACGGGGTTCTTGACGAATGATACCATAAAGGCGTAAAAAAGTGGTAGATGACCTTTTGATGAGTTGCATTTCATGGCGTATGCGGGTGAATTACGAGATTTTACGGGTTCTACAACATTGAGCTGAGGAGGGACAATGCGAGAACCACAAACGGTGCCTCAAATCTGGGCTGTTGCAATCCGAAGGCTAGTGTATTAATATATAGTGGACATGAGTGACATAGGTCTACTTTAACGTAATGGTACGTTTCTATGGCTCACCTCAGTACTTCATGGCGAGTGGATTGTGTGTATACATTATTATATCATGAACAAATACGAATATCACAGCCATCACATTTATTTAGATTCGTCAAGAGAATAACTGTCGCCGACTTTAAATACATTTAAGTTACTAGTAAGGGACGGACGTTCATGATGCGTGCACCAAATATTCAGATAATTTTATCTGTTAACTTTCGTTATTTCCAGTAGGACGATATCTTTCAATTGTTGATGATAGTTACGTAGGTAGTTAGAGGATCACTCTCTACCTAGATGAAAGCCAGTTCACAACGTGCCTTCACCCTAACGCAGATTGAAAGAGGCCGTCATCTACTAATCCTCCTTTCAGCACGTGAATACAGAAGGACCTATATTCACCGTTAGTTTCTCTCGACGACGCTTAAAATGAAAAACCGACATACCAGGGATCTTGTAGGGGTTGCTGGTTCCTGGGGGCTTGCTGTAGATGTCGATGAGCAGGCCAGGGTCGTTAGACTACGGACACATCAGCCAACTGGTGACAGGGGAGTAGGCTCGCCTAGCCATAGGCTAGCAGTCTCAAAGTGCTGTATAGGTAGTTACCTTGTAAATTCCGGGGATGCTAGCCGTAGTTGGTGTCTTGGTGGCCTTGCCGCCTGTCACGTTGATCTGGGCGCACTCCATCTACAATAATGACTCCGTGTCAATGATGTTTCCAACTCAGATACTGTTCCCAATACGGGATTGTAATGAGCAATAACATCAAATTGGGGGAAACTCACGTAGAGCTGCGCGCCGTTCACTGATCGGGCGCCGTGCAGGGCAATCATCTCGGCTCGGAGGAGATACTGGCCATCCTCGATGCATTCGGGAATCTTGATCTGTTGGTTGCCGCCTTTGTTGATGACGGTGTCGGTACCCCATTTTCCGTTACTATAACCCTCCTCCTGGATCTTGAACCAGCCGTCTCCAACGCCGCTATCCGTAGTTGCGTCCGAGACCTTCTTCAGGTATGCCATTACGGGGCCCTTATGACCGGGGTCCATGACATCGTTGGCTCCAGCTGTTTCGACGCAAATCTTGAATTAGCAAAGCTATACTAGAAGAGGCCATAAAAGGCTCTTACACTGCAGTGTGTGTCGCCAGATGGCGCCCACGGTCTCGCCCGCCTTTACGTCGATGATCTTATCGGATGGCGTAGTCGGGTTCGGAGGCCCGTTGCAAGCCATGTAGTTGCCGTTAACGTCGCTCTGTGGCTACATTATGCTGTGTTAGCTATTTCTCAGGGGCACATATTTCCTCTCAAAAGCCTCCTATTGATATACGTACCCCATCATATGAAGGAGTTCGAATAGCATATGACACAGCTAGGTAAGGTGTTAGCATCTTACTTTGCTATATACTATTGTTTATCATTGAGAGGATTGCGCTTACGATAGGTCTGCTCACTCGTCTGCAGTTGGCAGAAAATGGTGTGGCCCGAGGCTACAGAAGCCAGGATGGCAGTGGTACTGATGCTGGACAATTTCATGACGACCGAGAATGTAGCTAGATAATCACAGATGGTAATTTTACGAAGTCGAGGTATCGAGAGAGAGCCCGTATCTCAAGTCTAAGAGGCCTTTTGACACGACATCTACCTATATAACAACTATTACCGGAAGCCCTCTCCTAGTCATCTTCATCCCATCATATGCGTAGACATATAGTAGACTTCACCATTCGCCGAATGTTTGAGACCCAATTTACTCGCCGATAACGAATGAGGTCTTAGAATAGAAGAAGCGAGTGCGGCGCAAAGGCTTCCGTGGCATGATAGGGAATGGTTGGCGCTCGTAAATAGCATATAGCCGCATACTTTTAATATACCTTTCGACGACGCCAACCAGGAGTTTGGGGACCTCTCCGGATTTATATATCTTCGGCTCAGGGGAAAGCGTGTAACCCCGTACCCTACCTAGCGATATATCGAAACACCCCGGAAGTTCCAAGATGTCATTTCCTGGGGATTTCGTCCATTTGTCATGCACAAAATTGAGACAGGGCTTAAGTAGGAACCTACGGCAGGAAAAAAGATATAATGAAACGGACCCAATTTCTAGTTGCAAAAAAAAAAACCCAAAATAAGTAGGTAGGTAGGTACTAGGACCATAAATCAAGGAAGGCCTCCTCTACGATTTATATACCCCGAGATGGTTTGATCGGGGTACTCTAGTTGATAATTTTCTCGGTCTATATGCTTCCATATAATACAGTATGGATGTCCTTTGGCCCGAAACTCAAAGGTGCTTAAACCATGGTCTCTTCATAACATGCCCCTACGCAGGACTTTGACACGTGATGTATCATTTTACCAGTTTTTGTATTGAGTCGATATGGCAATCAGTGTATAATCATAATTTCCAAACAAAAGCAGTAAAGAGAAAAGTGTTGATACGATCGTCGAGGGAATCAAACCACCAGGGAAAGCTTATTAGAGATGCTAGAGCAGATATAGCAATGCCACAAAATGCAAGCACCACCGTACTCAACAGACCATTGGCTATGATAATCCATTGAAATGTTATATACTAAGCTAGACTTTGCTCTGGTGTATTTCTTGTCAAATGAGAAAACCACTAGGGATTGGACGAGCATTAACACTTTCCATAGAATGAAATTTAGTTAAGATGTATGGTTTGCTATAAATCTATCTTGAACTTCAGCTTAAAGCCCCTTTCCGTTTTCTAGCTGGATATATCTAATATTTGATAAAATGCATCCCCATCTATCGTACAAAGATTTGGTTTACTTGTCTCAAGAGCTCGTTCTGAAGCTTTGTTTGGCGGGCCCTACTCAGACTCAGACTCGCCTAAGTGTCCGTTCATACTCTCTGGCTAATTATAGTTTATCCTCACGATGTCACAGCAGCTAGAATGTATCGCTGGCTGTTCAGATTGCGCACCTTTTTGTTTATGTAATTCAATTATCTCCAGCGTGCCCTTGCGATTTTTCAATATAAATGGATGGCATTTACTTCAACGTCGATATCCTAAGGGGTTATCATCTCACAACAATCGGAAAGTTTGAAGGTGGTAGAGTAAAGAGTATCTTGGGGGAATATGATATTAAGATGGCGAATGAGCGGAATGGTATTGGAATAGAGTTGCCTTTATTAGGGGCAACGTTTTGAAATATTCTTACAAGAGGACTGTAATTATTTTGATCGTGCCAGAAGTAGTTGATTTGATTGGACTTTGATTCCTATCTACTTTCATACCTGCAGTGATCCTTCGGCCGTAGTACTATCCCCGTAGCTACCAATAAGGTTACCTTCATCCCATATGTAGATTGACACATGTCACCAAACCAAACTTTTCGTAATTGATCCATATAACCGGCAGCTGATTGAACCATGGCCCATCTCGGAGTGGATGATAATGGGGGAAATCCATAACGCCCCGCTACGATGTCTTTTCCTGAGCTAGATAGTTGGAACAAGAGATGATATAGTATGATGCATTAATATTCTTGTATCTCCATGGGAAAAAAACAGCGAGTTGGCGAATGTGGACATCCTTAGTAGCTATCCGGTCATGTCACTCCGATCCGGGTGGGGCGCGGATAGTCGGCGTGTTGGGATACACTTGCGGGGCCGGACGGGATGCAATTTCTCTTTATTTAGGGGATTGCAGCTGAGGCTTGAGGGCTTGAGTCGAGATTCATATCATCAAGTACCTATGAGCGCGAGGCTTGAGCTGATATGTATGTAGAACCTCCAGGGCTGCATCTAGCTATCTAATAAGTGCTGTATGATAGGTAGAAGGCTGACTAGTACCTTCCTGGGTCAACGCCCCGGCCGTCCGGTCGACCCGGGAGTGTGGATACGGTAGTGGGAGCAGTTGTGCGGCAATTGGTCTATGCAATTGGTTCTTGCTGCCGTATGAGCTTCTACCTTGTCTAAGTGGGCTCTTCTAAGTGGGCCTTCCATGGTCCAAGACAGTCTCGGGATGGCCTAGACCTACTATATACTTAGGTACCTCCATCTCAGCTCAATCGCCCCACTTACTAAAACAGTGGTAGAGTGGCACGAGCATTTGAGATCCCGTTCGCTTGCACGATTTCCGAATGAGGGAGATCAGCCATCGTCTGGTTGGTTGGCTGGTCGACTGTAGTGGAAATGCTCGACGTGTGTCGAATTAAATAATGTAAAAGAAAATATGAGGTGGTCAGACGAGCAACTCACAGACCACAATATTTTGTAGGCAAGTATTACACTTTGCATAATGTAATACCATAGTTGGTAGGCAAATAGGCAACAGTTGTATTTATTCACTTTACTGAGCAGCAAGTCAAGATGGTTGGCGATAAGTTTCGGTGACTTTAGGCAGACGCGAGTCAGGTCAGGCTCTCACTTTTTATAGACGAGTCTTGACACTGATGATGATGAGTAGGGAAGGTAGGGATGGTTGGGGTATGACGATCTAAACTTGGGCCTTGAAGGGAGCTTTGGTCAAGACCTGCCCAGGCTTGCTTTTTCCAAAGTCCTGCCTGGCTTCCAGGGTCGTAGAGGGGCTGAGGGGAACCTTGCAAAAATAAAAGAGAGAGGGAATTAGAGGGGTTGGCAGGTAATTCTTATTTTAATTAGGGTTCCCAAAGTCAAGAGGAGATTCGTTGACAAAAGCCGCACTTTGGCAGCCATGACTCTGTGATGAGCATAGGATTGACAAGTACGATGTGCTACATAGTAAAAAACGCTCCAATAAGGTGTCGCGTATTTGGGGAAGTTTCTCGCGTGAGAGAACCCGTACTCGTCCTTTCTTCTTACATAGATATTACCTCTTAACGTCATGCAAAGCTCCGCAAGTTTCAGATTGGTCTAGTCTCATCCACCGAAAATGGTACTTCGCTTTTTAGGTGCAGTCGTAGCGTCCCGCAGCAATGTAGAGTACACAGAACACGTACCGAGGGGCTAGGACCACATTTAGTACGGGAATCTTCCGGGGCCATCCACTTTAGGAATCTAGAGAATCCATGATTGGCCATGATTGGTAAAACAGCATTAAAACCTGGATACCCTGGGGTTGCTGGGCTGCTAGGTTCGCTGGGTCCGCTGGGTTCGTCAGTCATGCATGTAAGCCAACCCGCCCGCCTTCTGACTGCGCACAATAAATAATTTGTGCCATTCGCGGCACTTGGCCAGTCGCTGTGGATTGGGGGCATTGGAAAAGAGTGAGCTTCTATTATGGATTGAGCTTGGATTGGTAAATTAAAAAAGAGAAGCGTGGAAAGGTGGGACATGATACGTAAAACTTCTTGTTACATAGTAAATTTCGGCAACAATAAAGTAGCAGGACAATATATTGGGTATCGACGAGTACTATGGTCCGATGGGTAAGAATTAGCACACTGTCAGGTCAACTTTTTAGCTGGGGACCCCTGATTCTCAAACCCTCCTTACTTGTTAGAGTTTAGCAACAGATCTTGGTGGGACTACTAATACATTTGAAGAATTACAGCATCGTCAACTACCCATCACAAAACTAAAGCTATTCTAACAAAAAATAACCATAGATATTATTTAGCATGGCCTCTATAATCAGCAGTTATTTTTAAGCAACGATTCAAAATATTGACTAAGTAATAATTTTCTGAATCGGGGTTTGAAAGTACCCGTGGGGTGCACTAGGACACGCTACCACCAAATTGGTAAGGCCGGTTGTCCCCATATAACTCCCAAATACCTGACAGTGTGCTAATTCTTACCCATCGGACCATAGTATGTAGAGTCCAATGTCCAAAACCCATAACCGCATGTACATATGTAGCTATATGTACTAAATGCCCTGCTCTACCCCTATACCCCTGCTAGCACACCAAGTTGAAACTTTTTTTCTCTTTCCTTTTTTTTTTCGTCACTTCTATTTTCGAAATTTCCTAAAGAATTTTCTCTTCGTTAGCCTCGTATGACACTGATGCTTCTCCACTGCTTTATACTCGATTAAATTTTCTATCTCCTAATGAGAAGGTAAGTAGACTGGGAGGAAGAAAATGTGGAATGATGAAGCCGAGAAGATCCATTCAAAAGCACCTTGGACAGTTTGGGGCCGCCTAACCTGCAAAATGCATTGCCTGCAGATATACAAAGTACATCCTGCTTACCGCCTCTTTCTGCTAGGTTTATACCCATGTGGCGCGATCTCGAAAGTAAACAGATCATGCGAATCTGCCACCGACTATTCGACTCTTGCTGCCGCTGCTAGTCGACCCTGTCCATCATGGCAACCTCGGACAATAAATAACGAATACAATAGTATGAACTCAAAACAAGAACACATAGTACCTTCCAAGCTATTCGTCGCTTTGTTAACATTTGAAAGTGGCAACCTCTTGCGTAATAATGGGTAACGGCAATAAAAAGAGAGAATGGAGCTCGGAAGCACAGTCGAAGGACCCTTAAAAATCGAAGGGAATAAAAAAAAGGTTTTCTGGTTAGCCCAAAATTTGGTCCAGCCGTTGAAGCCAAGCCTGACTCTGATTGGTGCTATACTTCCAAACGGGGCAATTGATGCACAAGGGATGATCCTTGAATACAACGCCGGGGCCAACTTGTACTTCTCCAAGAACATCCCTCTTCTCAATTCTGGTATGGCATTCGTAGCAAAATCGAGTTCCCTGCGCAGGTCCAACGCAAGTCACTGCCAAGGTCACTTCAACTTTTCTTCCCTTCCTCTTCCCCCTGTCAACTGCCTGGGTTCTAAGGTGGGCTAAGGTGTGGGTCTGAGCAGCTTGCTGTACCGTTTGTACAGTACCTTCCCCCTGTTCATCCGCCCATCACCCCCCAGGGTGAGGAACATTCCTCAGCTCTTTTTTTTTTTTTTTTTGTCCCATCTATCACACATACAAACAAATTTCGTTCTCTCAAGCCTTCTCGCCGCCTTCCTCCCCCCAGTTCCTAGTTCCCAGTTCAACCCAGGGTCCAACTATTTTTTTGCTTTTTAAATCTTTCGATTCGTCGGTTCAACATCGCCGTCGCGATCCTCGGTTTTATTCTTCCCACCGCCTTTCTTCATCGCCTTGTCCCGCCTCGGATCCCCTGCTGGTCTGTTCGTCGATCTGCCTAACAAAAATATACCACGGACCACGCGTGGTATCATTATCGTTATCCTCCCTACTAATATTCCCCAATCCCGTCTTATTCCTACTCCCCTGTCTTACCTTACTCGCATCGCATCTCCCACCTTCGAGTTTATTGTGAGCTGGATCTGAGAATCTCTCCGTATACTCGATTCATGCATCGACAGATATAGAATAACTATCTAGATACACTTGCGCCGTTGCTGTTTAATTATATTTTATCGTGTCTCCTCGTCATCTGCCCACCATGCCGTACAACACCCGTCGCAAATCGCTGTCTCTATCGTCACTCGGAATCCACATCCCAGTAAATCGATCCTCGTCTAATAACTCCAGCATGGCATGCTCTAGATCATCCTCTGAGAGCTCGTCGCACCCGAACAAGAAGATCAAGCGGTCTCACAACGACACTGCATCCTCTGCTACCACTGTACCCACCTTCAAACCGGTCGCTACGCCTATCAAGTATGATCACACGCCGCCGCCCTCGCCTGGGCTACATACCTCCATCGAGATGGATGATTCTGAGCTGTCCGAACTTGCAGAGATTAAGAAAGTCGACTTAGAAGGTATAAACGACGAGATCGTCGAGGCTGTCATTGTGCGACTGCAGGAAACCCGCAACCGACCGCATCTAGTCAAGGAGCTAGCCACTATCCTCATAGATCATGTTAAAATAGTTCAACAGTAAGTTTAATCGCAAGGTTTGCCTTTTCACCCTCCACTAACACAATTCTTAGGTCCGCGAACCCTTGCGCCATCATCTCTTCTCGACTATCTACATATCTGAAGCGATCGTGTTGGTCCGCTTTAGCTCCTTGTCCTTTAGCTAAAGAGCTCGAGACCGTCCACCCAAGGCGCACGTACTTTTACCTAACTACATGCCCTCATTTACCTTTACCCGACCCTTCTGCGCAACGCGCTATCATAACACCATCACTCTCAAGCTCGGCGTCCACATCTGAGGATGCTGATTGCGACCGAAACAGAGAGCTCAGCATGTCGCCTGAAGTGGATCTTTCATCTCCCGAGTTTGATGATATGGATGAAGATATACCGATGCCGGGCACACCAATGGGCTCAGTATCGGGGCGCCACCGTTCCCTCAATGTGCCGCGCAATCAAAGAGGAGAGGAACCCCCACTAGAGAAGGACGAGAAGGAATTCACACAAACGGCAGATGGATTACAAAAGCGGAAGGCTAGTGGACATCTACTTCGAGCTGATCCTCTTGACCAAGTGTCAATAGATGACGGCATGCAGAACGAGCAGCTTTTTGGTGAACCCCCAAGGACGCTCGCCCCCTCTCTACTACCACATATGGCATTCTTGACAAGTCCCGCGATGCGACCTAGCTTGATCATACCGACGAAAAGAGATCATGAGGCCGAAAATTGGACCAAATTAGACGCCGCTCTTGAATGGGATAGGAGTCCCGAGACTATCGAGCTGGATGAGCTTGATTGCTTACTCGATGACTTCTAAATGCGCATTGCTAATGAGCTTATCTACACCTCTCCTAATTATTTGACGATCACTGGATGACAGGTTATGCGTGCAGCCGGCATGTGTTAACCATGTATGATGATGGAAGAGACGGCCGCGTTGACGAACCAAAAGGAGTTGGGGTGAGATGGCGCTAGTCGGTGCATTTGATTTTCATTTGCTTGCTATTTTTCGCGTTCTGCATTAATTCCTTACTTCATGCCATTTATTTCCCGATCAGATGATTGCGCGTCTATGGCCGACATAGTTGGTCGCCAGCTAAGGGGGATGTACGAATATCATTAGAGGAAGCGCTTAGAATGCGACAGGGGATGGGCCGCATTACGAAGGCCCAGTTTCCGCGGCGAACTGAAACATCTCGTTTCTGAAGCGAACGGAGAGCGGGAGATTCGCTGCGTCGTTTGCCGCTTGGTTTCCTGAAACGGGAAATCAATCTGTATAAGTAGAAAACCTCGAAAGAAGCTGGCAAGAATGTGGCCGGCTAGTTAGAGCGCTTAGATCTTAGTTGAGTGGCTTTTACAGGGCGGACTGGGATAAAAAGGAAAAACGGCGCCCAAAAATGCGAAAAGAAATCCCCGATCAATTTCAATAATATGATACGATTAGTGGTAATTCGTACTTCTGATGTGTGAACTTGAATCGAGGCTGATTGATGAGATTGAACTCATAGCGAAATGATTGGACATCTCGTAGGCACAGAGTGGCATTGCGATCGTTGCATATGTAAGTCTAATCCAGATGCATACAGTCCGACTTTTATACATCAACGTATCCAGCATCGTATCTCGTATTTTTTTATAACAAGGTTGGAGCCGTCCAATAGCCCCCTGTAGCTGCAAGCATCCAAGCCAAGACATCTTGTCTATCATTCATCCTTCTTCTCGTCCTTCTTCGGCTTACCACTGCTAACAGACATCCAAGACGACCACCATCCCGTCGTCTTCTGCCCCTTCTCCTTCTCACCATCATCAAGAACATCAGGCGCCTGAGCGGCGGCGGCATCAGCAGCAGCAGCAGCAGCGGCAGCCACATCCCCGCGCACGCGCATCTCGACGAGGACGTGCGTGCCCATGGTCACCCAGCCGGGGCGCTCGAGCCGCACGACCTCGAGCCCGGGGACGGCGCGCTCGGCGGTGCGCACGACGACCTCGATGTCGCGGTTCCACCAGCAGCCGAAGCGCTCGAAGTGGCCGCGCGCGCTGCGGTCCAGAAGCCCGTTCACGAGCTCCCACCAGCTGCGCCCGTGCTCGAGCAGGACGATGCGCCCGGTGTCCGGGACTAGGGAGTGGGCCATGGTGGAGAGTAGGAGGACTGGGTCTCGGACGGAGCAGAGGCCGAAGGTTTGTAGGATCGTGTCGTATTTCTGGGGGGTCTGGGATGCGGGTGAGGATGGGGATGAGGGGGATGGAGGGGCCGGGAGAGAGGCCTGCGCGTCGGATTTGAGGATCCGGAGGCGGTTGTTGGCGAGTGATAGGCCTGGGTTGTTGTCGATGGTTGAGGTCGCGAGGAGCGTGAAGGAGGGCTTCTTGGGGATTTGGTCGGCCATGTGCGGCACGACTTGGCGGATTCGGGTTAGTGCTAGGTCCAGCATCGGGGGCGAGATGTCGACGCCGGTGAAGCTGAGGATGGCGTTGGCGTTTGCGGGTTGCGGTTTAGCCTTGGCTTGGGACGGTGGTGGGTTGGTTGGCTTCCCCTTTTCCTCCGTCCCCGTGGTATTCTCTTTCCCGTCCGGTTTCTTTTCTTCCTCCTCCCCACTGCTCAACCAACCGAACCACCCCGACTTAGGCTTCTCCTCGGCGGGCGCAAGGCCCTCTGTCACGACGCTCCAGTCATAGTAATCGAAGTTGCGGCCGGCACCGACTGCAACCTCGAGCACGTGACCGCGAGCCATCTCGGAGGCGATGCGGCGCCGCAGCTTGGTGATGCCGAAGCGCCACTCAGACTTGTCCAGGTGCTGGTCGAACTCCAGGGGCGACTGGATGGTGGGCCGGCCCGTGGGCGTCTCGGGCTCTTGGCCCGGCAGCCATTGCTCGGCCGGATGGGTCCGCCAGTAGTTGATCATTGACACCGAGAAGAAGCCCACGCACACGGCCGCGGCGCCGGCGCCAAATAGGGGGAACCATCGATTCCGGACTAGCTCGGAGACCGGCCGTCTTTTGTCTTCGTATCCCTTCGAAGATGACGAAGTCGAGCTTGAAGATGCGGATGCGGGTAAAGGTTTGGGTGGAGGCGGGGGTGAAGCGGGAGAATGAGGGGTGGGAGTGGGTGTAGGGGATGGTGTAGGGGTTGGTTTAGGAGCCGGCTTTGAGGCCGGCTTTGGGGTTGGCTTCGGCTTCGCTGGTTTAAAGGGCAGCGGCTTTGGAATAGCTGGCGGCGGTTTTGGTGTTGGTTTTGGTGGTGGCGATGATCGCGGCGGCGGCGATTTCTTAGCATATCGCCTACAACTGCCTCCTATCCATTTGAGACTATTCCCACCCCTCACGCACCCGGCCCTTAATGTGGAGGGACGCCCATACAAAGGCGGCATCTTGATCTGCACTGGCTAGCTGATCATAGAGCGTATCCGATTCCTGTCTCCCGGGGAGAGTACAGCTCAGTACATCAATGGAGTGAGGTAACGAGACTAATAGATATGCAATAGACTACCCGATCCATACTACGAAAGCTCGATACCTGGAGAGTTGCTAAACGGCTGGACTTCGAACTAACCCCTTGGATGACGTGCCGAGTCAATGTCAGGGACGGGACAACCGGAACGTCAATGGCAATGATGTTCGTCCGATATGGAGCCAGTGACGACAGTGTCGATGTCGATCTCAGGATCAAATGATATCTCGACTTTGAAGCGGAATTTTTGTGGCTGACGATCCGATTTTCAAGAGACGATATGATGTATCTATGTACACAGTACGAATACCGGTACGGCTTCGCAGTGGGACACTGTGTCACTTACTCATGTTGCTGCAGGGATTCTCCAGCAAAACTGCGGGGCATGATGTGCATTGGAAGGAGCTCTGACTGGAACCTTGGAAGCTTCAATGCGGCTTAAGATAGTAGATTAATCATCAGATCGAAAGCTTGACGCGCTTTCCATCAAACTTGACGCGTTCATCTAATATGACATTTGAACAACTCCATTCTTGTACCTATAATTTGCCTGGATTCTAGATATGGCTTCTCAGCAAGATCTTCAGGAGCTGATTCGACTAATGACTGTCGGCATGAGGGTTCCCATGCGCGACGCTTTGGGTCGAATCAAGGAGTTACAGACGAAAAATCTCCGTAGGTATGTATGGTTCAAATACCACGCAACATATGTTACATCTGATGAACGACTTGTAATAACTAGTGCAGTATTCAACAGATAGCCGATTGTTCTCTTGCAGATGTTACCTCTGCCATTAAGGATGCCAAAGCTGCACGATCCCTTCACAATGCTTGCAAAGCCCGACTTAAAAACCCTACGGCGCAACAAACAGCCAAGCGGCCAGGCTCTAATCTGGAAAGCGCATCGAAACGATCGAAGCAGTCTGAAAATGGAGAGCTCATTCATGGACCAGAGCCTCTTTCTCCGCGAGAAGTAGAAGCATCATTTACCTTACCTGTAGAAACCGACGAGCGGATAATTGCCGACACTATACTCTTGACGAATCGTGCCCCGCTAGTCCTCGCTTTTGCCGTTGAACTCTTACGATATACAATGCCCGAACAGCCTCCTTCTAGCAGGTTGAGTTTAGCACAGGCAGTCGTAAGTGCTAACTCGAGAAGCAAGGCCGTCTCGCTCGGTATGGAGAGCGGCCCCAGTGCCGATGAGCAAGGTTGGGGTCATGGGCAACCTAGGGTTAGAGTGATGGGTCGCGAAGTGACGGTATTGAAAAGAGGCGGTTACGAATGGAAAGGGGACGAAGAAGTAGGAGATCATGATAAATTCAAGAGTGACGCAAGAGGTATTGATAGCACCACATCAAGCGCGACGGTAACCAGCACTAGTCAAAACGCGGCGCCCGAAACATTCGTAAATAATGTATCGAGGTCGTGGTCAGCTAGCCAACCAGTGACTCTGAAGAAGTCAACTTTCATAGTTCGGGCGACTCATATCACCAAGTCCTCTGAACGCCAGTCAGCGATGCAGTCACTTTTTACCGCAATACCTTCTCTGCAGAGCGCGAGCCACAATGCTTGGGCATATCGGATCCGAGTACCTACGAATTTGTTTGGTGCAACTACGATTAAGGAAGAGTCCTTCGACGATGGAGAGGGCGGATGCGGTGACTTCTTACTTAAGAATATGCGTGAGATAGATGCTGTTGATACACTTGTGGTAATGACTCGTTGGTACGGTGGCATCATGCTTGGTCCTGATCGGTGGAGGATAATGCGAAATTGTCTAAAGGATGCATTAGCAGAACGTCTTCGAGTTACCGGAGAGCAGGCGGCTCTGGGAGGTGAAGCTGTGTGGGGCTTGGACCTTGAAGCCATGAGGAACAAATCCGGATCTACCGGCTCGGCGTCAAGTAGGTCATACGAAGCAGGCGTCGTGGGTATGCCTATCCACCGACCCGAGGCAGCGAAAGCATACCTCTACAAAAGCTTCGCCACGAGGGTGGACAATTCCGACGGCGGCGTGGCTGAATCCGCTGCCGCGGAAGGTCCCGTTGATCAATCAGGGGAGTTATCTACTCCGAAAAGTAGTGCTCTAGCTAGCAAATCGACAACTAAGAAGAAGACGGCCAAGGTATTAGAACTAGAGAAGGAGGAAAATGTCGCTAGGCTGCTCGGCGCCATACGTCTCCTATACGACAGCTGGTCGGATCATCTTAGCACAGGTGAGCTTGACAGACGAGCCTGGGGTTGGTATGTCTCTGTACGACCCGAGGTAGAGAGTGGCCCTTCTGGTTGGGGAGCTAAGGGGCAGCTGAAGCTCGCCACCATCCTTGCCCTTCGGAGACGAGAAGGATAAATGAATATATCCAATCATACACGAAAACACCTTGGTTAGTCCGCCCTAATTACCTACGTATTAGTAGGGTGAGAAATGTCGGGTCGGACCGATGCGCCTCTGCGCCGAATTCCTAAAACACACACCGAAGTCTCTTGTCAGACAAACATCGTATGGATGAGTCCTTACCGGCCCGATTATCATGGCTGTATAGATCTAAAGAGGGTAGTTCATATAAGTTTACCTAGGTAGCTATGCTCCATCAGCCATTCATTTCCCTAGTAACTTGTACGCGGGAATCCAGTATAGCTCATGAGACGAATCCTATGTTGACAAGAAAATGGAAAACAAGGGGGTACAGAGACAAAGTGAGTGCAAAACCCCCAGCTATTTACAGAAAATTGACTGCTAAACTACCTGCGCTTCATCCGTTCAGGTTCAACTCTGCTAAATTGTGTATCCGCTGTTCGACGTTTTCCTCTCATTACCTGAGCTCCTTATGAAACTGATGGTGGCTGCGCTTCTTCTCTTAGGTGGAAACAAACTCAGCATGTTTTTAATTTCTTCGCCTGCTAGCCCTGCGTTCTTTGCGGTGATAACGGCTGTTCGACCGTCCGCGTCCGCTATATTCGGATCAGCGCCGTGGAGTAGCAGCAGTTCTACAATGGGGATCTTTCGCGATTGTTGAGCTACTAGTTTGATAGCCGCGATGAGCGGCGTGCACTTTCCCGGCCCAGGAATATCATGTCTGGCTTGACCATTCGATAATAGAGTCTTGACCATATCCTCGTTGCCCTTCTCGCACTGCAACAACATGGGGTTAGATTAAGATGTTTTACGCTCAAGATGGGCCAAAAGGGGGAACAGGAACTCGATGCTACATACTGCTAGGTAGAGCGCAGTTTTACCAAGGCCATCAGGACGGTCAACAAGGCTGGAACAGTGCTTGAGGAGCATCTCGGCAACTCGCACACCTCCGTCACGTGTCTGACACCGATGCAATGGCGTGTTTCCATTTTGGTCCACGACGTCAGGATTGGCATGATATTCTTCGAGTAGCAAAGCGCACAGATGTCGATTCCGCGTCCCAGCCGCCGCGTGTAGCAAGGTTGATCCGGATGGATCGCGCTGCTCTACGGCATGCGCTTCGTTCGACAACATATGCTTTACTATTTCGATGCTCTCCATTTGGATTGCCCAATGTATTGGCGTCGTCTTTTTGGCTGCGTCATAGGATCCAAATCGGAATGCTTCGCTATCTATATTCACTGCAAAATGAAAGGTTAGTGATTGCTACCTGTGTGATTTCTAGTATGGGTTTTATCACGGAACTAATGGTGCGACGGACACCCGTTTCCTAGAGTCCAGTATCAATTAAATTTTGGATTGCACTTACTGCCTTGCTCCTTGCACCACTGATAGGCGCAGGTTAGGTCAATACTGCTAGCATTGTCCTGCGTCATATGCGACGCGATTGATGGCGAAGGGAGCGTAGCATCTGCATGCAACTCTCGCCTCACCCACTCACGAAGTCCACGCGCCTCGTCGAGTGCCTGTTTCTCCTGCAGAACCTGGACTAGTAGTTCCGCCGACTCCTCAACAAGTTCACATGGTTCTGGTTCTATTCGTTGCCGACCCTCGAGGGCACGTTTAAGGAATTTTTCCGCTTGTATGATGTTGTTTTGCTTGAAGTAGAGCTTGCCCAACTTATGATACAACCTACTTCGGCGACCCTCGTCGATTTGGTCTGCCTTGCGCTTGACTTCATCATCAAGCAAGCTCTTCAAGACAGTTTTGGCCTCAAGGTCGGTCTCGACGGTTTCAGATTGTAAAAAAATATCTGCCAGCTCCTCCTTCATATCAATGAGATTTTCGGTCGAGGCGTGTTTAAAGTCGACCCTAGCTGAAACATCGTAATTTATTTCAGGTGGTGTATCTATTCTCAGCAACTGCTCCATGAGTTTGATTCCTGATTGCTGATATGAAGCAGCCTTGACGAAGATACCGCATTTTCTTAGATATTGTACGATTTCTTGGTTGGCATCCAGCTGGCATCTGAGAATTTTGCTATTCGGTACGTCCTTATGATCTGGCTCTGGGTCATAGGTGTCTTCTTCATACAATGGTAACGTCTCAACACTCACGGATGAGTTCGGAGGGATAGAGCGTGAGTCAACGGAAGCGCCGTCGAAATCATTAAGGGACACTGCCGTCGCTACGTCGTTGGCTGTTATACGCCAGTCCCGGATTTCTTTTTCTAATGCGCTCTCCTCCGGGACCACCTCTTCGGCTTCGGACTCGGCGTTATGTATATGTATTGATGGCGTAGCCCTTTTCTTCGTGCGGCCTAAAGAGAGGTGAGGGGACATCCGTATAGCATCGGTCAGTTTTCGAATCTCGTTTTCGATCTGCTTCTGCGATCTTGTCGTATCCCATATCGCACCTAACGAGAGTGTCGTCAGGCTCAGTTGCAGGACGGCTTTATACGAGCTAATATGCTGGATTAAATCCTTGATACGCTCTTGTTTTAGAGAATGTTCGATGGTTCGTCGCATTCGCTCGAGTGTTCCTGTGTTGTCTTTGAGCTCCGGAACCTCGCGGGCGAGCGTCTCTAATGAGGCGTGACATGACTGGATGATTCGATGGATTTTTGCGTGATGATCACGTTCGAAGGGTAGCTGTTTTGGTCGCTTCTCAAGTATCTTTTTTATTTCGCTTACAGCTATTTGCAGCTCAGATATCTCATCGTGTACCTCCCCGATAGTGTCACGGATATATTTAGTCCTCACGATGAAACGACTCAGAGCCTTCGCCAGAGACCCGGCCAACTGTATGAGCTGTGCCGTCCCGGTGATGACGCTTAGTACATCCATACTGTGTGGATTCATATCGATGCCTTATCGAAATTGCTATGTAACCCAGAGGCCGGCGGCATTCTCGCGACTGGTCCGGACGAGATCTTGTAAGATTTCAAACCGAGCTTGAAAGCCTGAGTGGACCTTCTAATGTTCTAGATTCAATATAATGGTTGGAGTCTTCGCCAAATATATGAATTCTCAAGGGTTACGAAGTGGTGTGAATGCCAGACCAAGAAAAAGCAGGGAAACGATCTTGCATATTTGGAGCCAATTCGAAACTACGCTGCATATGATATAAGTGCTGGCAGGATTGGCCATCCTTAGGTCATCGGATCACACCTAGGTAAAGACACGCTGTGTCACCCTACCTATTCGTTGGATGGCGGCAAACCTGGTTCTCGGGCTTCTGTTGCTGCCAGATTTCCGTACCCAACCCAACCCTATTCGAGAACAACGTCACTTGATACACTGCCTCTTTTGTCGACAATGAATGGATATGTATACGATGAAGGGCCAAGACCGAAGAGGAAAAACCATCTCATTGGTATGAGCCTTGAGGGGTTGTGATTTATGGTTGCCTATTTCTTCCTGCACAAGGCCTGCATCAGCCACCACAGTCGTTCTACTTGAAGGGATACTAAAAGGGATACTGAACTTCGGCTAGGTAGAGCGATGGTTTGGGGGCGGCACGAGTCCGCTCTGTAAAGTGAATCTTCATGGTTGGAGTATATCGTGTTTGCTTCCGTCTGATCAACACGGGAATCGCCAACTTGGTGCTGACATGCAGAAGCAAGGCCTCTAGTTCGCGATCAAGCACGGCTGGCATGCATTCGGCGAGACGATGCACAGACGGACCAATCCCCCCATATCGAAATGTGGTTAAGCCTCTGAACCTGATGTTTACTATCCTTACGTATTCCCCTCACGCCACGGGAAGATATTGAATCCTTCAAGCGCTTTACCTACTCCCACAGTCTCGGTGAGACAACGCGTACCCTCAGCTGAATTTCCTTTTTTGCATATTATGAGCCACCGCCATTAGCTAGTCCTGCACGTCGCGGATTACTCACCAATCAATTAACGCTCGCGCGCATTCTGTTATGTCATCTCATTTAACGGGCATAGAGGCACTGACCGATGATCCTTTTAGAAGGACGAGGCTCTGGTCTTGTAGTGTCTCATGCTGACCGAAGAAGCCCAGACAAAATGTCTGTCTCAAGTCCCTGCCTAACCTTGTTTTACTTGATGCCCTCTCTACTCTGCGGAATCAACTACTCGGTCGATTTATTACGTTAGCTAGCGCACAGTATCCAATACCATGGTAGATCGGCCTGTCCCAATGTCGACATTGCGTCCACGTAAATCTGACAATGATGCCGAACCAATCGAATCCATGCCATCTGCAGGAGCAAACCGTAATGAACAAATACATAGAAGACGCCATAACAATCAGGGAATCATTGAGAATCCCCTAGGTACGTTAACACTGCGCCGGTATTAACGTGATAAAGTGGCACTTGCTAACACCTTCTAGTTCACCTAAATGATGATGAGCTTTTGCAGGATGTCATGGTATTCTGGGAGGAATGTCTGCCAAGGGTTGACCGAGGTGAACTGATTAGAGCAGCCAGAGTCGCCCAAAATGCCCGCTCGTATGACGAGATCGCCAGGTCTACGAGCCGGGACTCAAAGACTGGCCCTAACGAAGGCGGCTACAATCCTCTAGTCCAGCTTAGAGAAGAAGAGAAAGCTGCACTGATAGCCGAGAAGGACTCTCTTTTCTCTCAAAAGGGCATGTTCGTCGTCATTCTTACCGTCTCACTTGCGGCCTTTCTACAAGGCTTCGTCCAATCCTCTATCAATGGAGCCTCTCTATTCCCAGATCAATTGGGTTTAGGAGCGTCTGATTCTACAGTTAGGGAGGACGACTACAAACTTGGGGCGGCTAACGCCTCTCCCTTTTTCTTCGCCGCCTTGCTAGGTTGCTGGTTGTCCCTGCCCATCAATGATCTAGTTGGTCGCCGAGGGGCAATGGCTATAGCTGCATTGCTTATATTTGCTAGCTCATTGGGCGCGGCGTGGTGTTTGAGCTGGAAAAGTTTATTCTCTATACGTGTGGTAAATGGCATCGGTGAGTACGACTTATAATCCACCAGCGGGCTTTTAGATTTGGTAATTTATATTAACATACACCGTGTAGGTATGGGAGTTAAGGCCGTTAGCACGCCTATTCTGGCGTCTGAGACAGCAGTCGGCTTTTGGAGAGGTAGCGCCATCCTAGCGTGGCAATTGTGGTAGGCTTTATACTCATATAAGTACAGAATCCTCGATTAACTATAAAACAGGGTCGCTTTTGGGATCATGATGGGTTTCGTGTTCAACCTGGCCTTCTGGGCATCGACATCAGATAATCCGAAGCTGACGGTGCAGCTGATCCTGGGCTCTCCTTGTGTTCCAGCAATCTTCCTCCTTATAGGGCTATATTTCTGTCCAGAGAGCCCTCGGTATTATCTGAGACGGACCACGCCTAATTATAATCCCCAGAAGGCATATGAAATCCTGCTGAAAATTCGGAAAACAGAAGTAAGTGTCATCACCGTTCATACATGGTAGACGTGTTGCTAACATTGGGTTGACCCATTAGCTCCAAGCTCTCCGTGACGTCTATTTAGTCTATAAGTCCGTTCAGCTCGAAGAGTATACGGACAACATCGACGAAGAAGCCCCTCGAGGATTCTTTGGCCACGCTAAGAATTATGTGTCTCAATACAGACAGCTCTTCACTCAACGACGGCTGAGAAATGCTCTGATAAGCAGTTCGATAGTCGCGTTATCCCAGCAATTGTGTGGTAGTATGTCAGTCCACTACACGACTATAACGCGGCATTTGAGCCACATACAAAAAGTGAGATGTTCATATCACTAATATTGTCGATTAGTCAACGTGTTCGCGTTTTATTCAGGTAACCATTTATCGAAACGGCTTTTCGAGATCCATCCATATTAATCGATTACTCAAGGTACACTATTTAGTAGTGTTACGAGCAGCTCAAAAGGGGACCATCCCCTGTCCACCCCGATGCTCTATAGCTTCGGGTACGGTATGTTCAATGCTGGCTCATCATTTTGATCATTGGTTTACGACGGGAAATTGTTTCTAAACGCTGTCTCATAGGGGCCGTAAACTTTTTCTGTGGTCTTCCAGCAATTAGGACCATGGACACGCTTGGTCGGCGCAAGTGGCTTGTCATAACCTTGCCTGTGATGACCCTCTTCATGCTGGCTGCTGCGCTGTCAAGTACAACTTCCTCCGAAATCAACAATGGTGTAACGAGGACGGCACTTATTGCCGTCTTCGTTTTTCGTAAGTATGTCGATGGCGTTTTGAAGCAACAGACATTAACTCGATGTGTTGCAGTGTTCACGGCTACATACGCACCGGGGTTAGGTAAATCATCTCCATAACTGACGCTCCTTAACAACACATAGCTAACGCTGATTTAGGCCCTATCCCATTTACCCTCGCGTCCGAAAGGTCAGTTTACGACGTCTAGAAATGCAATGTACGAATATACGTTAACATAATTATAGCTTTCCCCTTTCCCATCGCGAAGCTGTACGTTCGAACAGACAATGTCTAATACGGATAAAGTAGGCACTAATTCTTCATCTAGGGAGCCGCGTTCGCCATCGCAATTAACCTACTGTTCGGCGGCCTCATCCAAATGTTCTTCCCCCGCATACACGCCCGCCTCAATGACGGGGGGTCGCTCGGCCTCTTCGCGGGCCTGAATCTCCTCGCCTTCGTCCTCGTCTTCCTGTTCGTCGAGGAGACCAAGCGCCGCTCCCTCGAGGACCTGGACTTGATCTTCGCCGTCCGCAAGCGCGACTTCGTCCGACACCAGGTCACCCGATACCTCCCCTGGTTCTTCCGGCGCTATATCCTCGGTCGGAGGGAACGGAAGCCGCTGCTGTACAGGGACTTGATTTGGGGCGCGCCGCGTACTGAGGTGGGCGTCGACCGTGACTGGAACGGGTTCGCGGCGACTGCTGGTGCCGCGGGTGGTGAGGATGGGGAGCTTGGTGGCAAAGACGGTGGTGTCTCGCCTGAGTTCCCCAGACGCCCTTCGGGGCTTATGGTGTCGGAGCATGCCGGAAGGATCTCGGAGGACTCAGATGATTCTGCGCACAGATGAAGAATGTGGGGGCTTTGTTCGCGCTGTGTATTTGTTTGTGTGTGATTGATCATTATCCTTACCTATCATAGAGGAGTTCTAAGTTTATATTTCATGGCTTAAGATGTAATTAAGCCTTACCCCAGAATTGAAGGGGTTTCGACAAATCAATGCTTTTCACCTAGTATCCAAGTCTCCTAGGTACTGCCATTTGGAATATACCTAACCCTGGTACATCTTTTACGACCCATATCACGCAAGATATCACACAAATCTCACGTAAAGGTTAAAGTAATAGAAGTAGTCGTCAATCTCGCCACTCTACTTCATTCGGATATTCTATCTAAGCGGCACTACACTAAACTATACGCAGATAACCTTGGAGCGGATAGCCATATCGTAAAAATCGACCTGTCCAAAGCCAAGTCAAAGCGCCACGCTCAAGTTATCCGTTTTGCCCAAACTCGTCTAAGCATGCATCCGTAGCCAGATGCCGAGAGCCAATATGCGAGAACCCGTACAATATGCAACGCATACACGCTCTTCGAAAAAAAGGCGGAAAACAAAGAAAGCAAGGCGCTTCCCACCTCATGTCTACTAGGTAGGTAATTCAAAGTTTTTAAACGCGACTCTGCGCGGCCATCATCTTAGAACCGGCCGTCCGCGATCTCGTTGAATATGTCGCGCGTGATGAGGTTTCCCCTCAGCAGCGCCCTGTCCGTGATCTTCCCCTTCTTGGGCGCGCCCTGGTACTGGTACTGGTTCTCCTTCCCCTCGGAGACCTGCACGAGCCCCCTGCGCCCGCTCGCAAGACCCTTCTTCGGCATCTTCCTTGGTGGCGACTTCTGCTGCTGCGGCGCAGCAGCAGCAGCGCCATTAGCTACTATTACGCCCCCTGTCTCAAATCCCGTGGCCCCGATCGAGATCTGCGTGGCCGCGCCCCCGTCCTCGAAGAAGTGGCTCTCGAGCGCGTCGGCCGGCAAGTCGTAAACCCAGTCGCGGTCCTCCATGAGCCGCACGAAGCGGCTCAGCATCTCCTGGTCGCCGGCGCCCTTGAGCGTCGCGCGGCTGCCGACGACGACGAGCTTCGTCTTGGCGCGTGTGAACGCGACGTTGATCCTCCGCCAGTCCTTAAGCAGGTCCCCGATGCTGCACTGCTCGTTGCTGCGCACCAGGCTGAGGACCACGACCTCTTTGTCGCGCCCTTGGAACCGGTCGGCCGTGTGCAGCTCGATGCTGCTGCCGTGCGCGCGGAGCCCGTGTTTGAGGAGCGAGAGCTGCGATCGGTAGTGCGTCATGACGCCGATCTCGGCTGCGGGCACGCCGGTCGCGAGGAGCGCGTCGACGAGCTGTACGACGATGCCGGCTTCTGTTGGATTGACGATGCGGTTTCCCTTTGCTTCTTCACGTGCTGACGGCAGTAGGTCGGTGTTGACGAAGCGGACGCGGGCTTCGGGATTCAGAAGGTGGCGTAGCCAGCAGCTGTCGTTCGTCCAGGCAGTGCAGAAAGACCGTGGAGTACCGGGATGTTTGATAGTATTAGCGTCATAATGCTTCTGTCGTAAGTTTTCCATATGAGGAATGCCGAGTTTTCGATGGCGAAGGGCTTCTGTGCCGCATTTAAGGCGGCCTTCGTAGATGAGGGTGTTACTGAGCATCATGACGTCTTCGCACATGCGGTACTGATGTTCGAGATTAACCACCGAGTCGGGGTGAGTATCCGAAAGCAACTTGAACAGGCTGATATCTAAGCCACCAATGCGAGCTTCTTCGTTTTGTACCAAAGGCGGGAGTTGATTATGGTCCCCAACTAGGACGAAGGTACGCGCCATTCGGATCGGTCCAATGCAGATAGGCAACGTGATCTGAGACGCTTCATCGACAATACAATAGTCGAAAGTGCGTTCGTTGAAAACTGGGTGATTGACTCCTAAGCACGTTGTCGCCACAATAGGTGTTTCGTGCCAGGCACTTCGAATCTCCTCAAAACTGCTCATCGGCTGACCGGCAAGGACTGCAAAGTCTTGTACATCAGGGTGGACCTTTGCTGGTGCTCCAAGTCGTAGAACAGGTATCTGATCGTCTTTCAGTTTTAGCAGGATATTGTCGACGGCCGAATGAGTGTACGAAGTCAAGAGCACGCTTTTCCCTTGGCCGACAAGGGCGCGAATGATGTGGGCAATCGTTGTCGTCTTGCCGGTACCAGGCATACCAAGAACAAGAGCATAGTCGTTCGCACTCATGACTTTCTCGATCGCTTTCCTTTGGTCAATGTTCAGGCTTTCCTGGTCGGCAACTGTGTATTGCGTTGTAGCTGCCTTGAACGTCGGCGGAGCGAGGTCGACTACGAGGCGCCGAATTTCTCTCGATCCGAACACACCATCTGCCATAGCTTGAACTAGATTGTTTCGAACGGTTGCCATGCCGCTGCTAAATTCATCCTTATCGAGGCGATATTTGAGAGGCGCTTCTTTGACCTTGCCCTGAGATTGAGCCGGCGTTGCCCCTTCGGGCGCTACCTCCATGATACTAGCAAAAACTTGATTGTTTGTTCCATCGAACCCAGGCCGACGTACACGGGCATTGTGAAGACGGCGGTCAACGGCGACTGTGATCTTCTGTTTTCGTACCGACGTGACATACCCAATCCCAAGGGCAAAATGGCCCTGTTCGTCTGATACAACGATAGGTTCTCCTACCGTAAGCTGAGAATCGAGGAAAGAGAAGGTAGGGGGTGGATGTTCCTTGACAAATGTATACTGAAATCGGTTGATCCTGGGGTTGTTGGCATCTTCAAAGGCGGAGCCTTCCTCGATGATAACGTTGGCAAAACACCGCCCAACCTTTTCTCTCTCGGTGCTTGCCATAGTCCAGAGTTCTCGGCGCAGCTTCTGGCTCTCTTTCTCTTCTTTTGTTAATAAGTCCTCCCATTTCAGGAAGAACTCCTGATGAGCCGGAGTCAAGTGCCGGACGACTTCATCGAACTTGGTTTTCATGCCGCTGCTTTCGTGGTCGCCATTGTCTGCGAGTTTATGGTATATGAAGCAGGATACCTTTGCATAGCACTTACCACATGTGTTCATACTTCGTTTCATGGGTGGCAGCTGGACGCTGCGATCTCGAACGTAACAGGCCAGTTGATTGCGTTGCATGATCATATGGCGAAGCTCATTACGAATCGTTGGTATTCGGATCGTCTGGGACGTTTCCATATAATAGAGAATTCCATAGGCGATTTCAACGTCATATCGATCCGATAATAGGAGGTTGTAAAGGGATGTTTGTGCTTGATGATTGCTCGTAGCATTATGGCCCGTCTTTACTTCAAAAGGCACAGTTAGGGTACGCCGTTGAGGCCCATCCTTCATCGTCACCTGTACCGTTGCGTCGATGTTGCCCTTTAGCCCGTACATTGGAGACCAGACGTGTTCTTCGACGTCGAGTAGTTTCGTGACACACATATTAGCCTTGTCGCCGTTTCGGCCTTGAACAACGGCATCGGGCTAGCGCATATTAGCAAAGAGTTCTCCAAAGGTTTGGCAATGTCCAAGCTGCTTACCCGCGGGAAAGGGGTGACAAATGCCGCTGCCCAGCTCCTTAGCTCTGGCATTTTCGATCGGAGGTGTTCGCAAGCTTCGTTGACGGAGACCTTGATGGTATACAAGTCTTCCACATGTTTTTCTGTAATGTTCGAAATAATATTATTCAAAAATTCCGGGCTCCATTTGTTAGACATGAGGGCCTCTTGAAAGATCTCGTGTAGTAGAGTTCCGTATACTAGGGGCGGAGTCTTGTCACTGGTGGCCTTGACTCGGTCCTGGAGGACAGCCCGGCGCATACATGTAAAGCTGTCTGCTACGACCGTGGCCGATATCAACTGATCTGGATGCAGGATGAGTATGTTCTGAGAGTTGTCTATGATGCATTGACCAGTCGACTGAAATTCGCCGATGATATGGACGTAGGATTTGGGGCTCGCCGAAGTGTCCACCCAATCTCCTCGAAGGTGAACGGTTTTTATGGCATTACTTCGATCAAGTTGAACAAAAAGAATCTGGTAGTGTTAGCTATCCCGTCCTCCATCCAACAATTCGAGTACGGGCCCTTACCTTTTCTGCCGATTCTCTCCCGTTTTCATCGACATATTGGCTTTGAAGCACCTTAGTCACAAGATATCTTTGAATTGTCTTGGGTTTGTCGGCTACCTACGAATATTCTTAGCAACCAAGTTCGATCCCTTCTTTTGTCACCGCCTACGTACAGGAGGTAATGATCCGCTAATCTGCTTAGAAGAGGCGGATTGCGTAGCAGCTATTTCAGCAGCATCAAAATCAAAGTCGCCCCCAAAATCATCCCCGAATATGTCCCCGCCAAGATCATCAACAATGATAGTTTGTTTCTCCTGTGCAGCAACAGTGGGTTGACATGGTGTCCCAGGCTTGGCCTTCGAAGAACGACTTGAATCTATTTGTGTTATTAAGTCTTCAGCAGCAGTGAATATATCGTCATCCATATCTGCAAACTCGTCGTCGAATGACGAGGGCCCTTGGATCGATTGCTGCTGTTCTAGATTCTGCCCAGTATCTGCCCTTAGTATCGTAGAATCGTCTTCCACATCCTCTTCCCTCGGTTGACCTAGGCTAGCATCGAGCTCCATAAGCGTATCCTCGTCAAAGTCGACATCGCCATAGTCGGATAATTCATCTACCAATGTGTCTGGGCTTGACTTCCCCGCAGTTGGCGCACTCTCTTCAGTCAACACCGGGGCAACAAATTTCGGAGGTTTTCGCCGAGTAGGCGAGTCATAAGTTTCCGCGATCGGCTGAGAACTATTTTTCTTGGGTGAAGGTGATCTTAACGCGTCTTGACGGACTTGGACAGCTTTTGATCCGACCATCTCCTTCGTTCCTCTCTTGAGTAAGGCATTCAGCATAGACGATTTCGAATGACCACTTGGGCTCTCCTCAACAGTGATTTCCGTTGGCTCTGCTACATCTACTCGTTCAACCCTCCGACGTTTCGGCCAATTCTCTCCGCAGCTGATAGACCTTCGTAGACCACTTTCAATCCTCGACGGCCGGGGTGAGGATGAAACCATGATCTGAGCGAGGGCGGAATTCATGGCGCCGAGGGGTGTGATAGACTTAGAACCATTTAAAGAGAAGCGATCCCATAACTCTAGCGCAGGATCGGCGTGTGGGGACTTGAGCGCTCGTGACAACTTCCCTATGTTTACGGCTGGGGTGTGAGGTTTCGAGTGGGAGGCAGGCGACGATACGGGCGAGGAACTCCGTGCCCTTTTCTTCCCTCTCTTGCCGGGCATGACTGGCGAGAGTTTTAGTCTCTGCTGCGGATCATCTCTCATGTCCCAACTGATCCTTTCATTGGGACTAGTGTCCTCTTCCACTTCCTTTGACTCATTCGTCCCAATAAGATCCTGCCACGCCAGTCGACTCACGGGCGTCGTCAAACTATCCTTGGACGCGGGTAACGGGGTCGTCTCCGAATCTTGCTTTCTGTTTCGCTGTCCCCTCAATCCATCCCCCAAGGCGGTGTCATCGTTGGCTGGCGCATCGACACTGATGATTGGCAGATCGGACGCGACGTCATCGTGATAATTGTCCTTGGTGGTATTCTGGCACTTAAAAGCGTTGAGCTTACTCTTCGAGACCTCGGAGATGGGCTGAAGCGTCTTCGGAACTGGGTTCCGAGTCGTAGTTGAATGATTTACGGCTGAATGGCTTCTGGCCTTGTTCCAATGCTGGCGAGTCTGCAGTTTCTAGTCAAGTCAACATCCATAAGACTACAAATGCCATGAATTATGAAGCAATATACGATACATACTCTAGAAGGGCCATTTGGCTCTGAGAATGATTTTTGGAGAGGCATAGCGGTGCTATTCTCGCGGATACGAGATTACTTTGTCATAGTTGAATTGTATATTATTGGGATAGCAGCATCGACGTCGGCACGGGCGTTTGCGTGAATGTTGATATGGACCTTAGGCTAATAAATTAGGGTCGGGAGTTGGTCGAACGACAAACGGAGGTAGTAATTCCAATATTAGAACGTGGGAGGTCCTAGCTTCAAAGTTATGGGTCCTTGTACGGGCAAGCAAAGATGCAATGGCAAAGCAATGTTAGATAGTGTAGATTGAATTCCAAGCATAAGACGCGAAAACGCGAAAATCAAGCGCGTCAAGTGGAAATCAATAAAATCATTGAAATCGCGTCCAGCCACGATTTACCCCACTTAAGACATCTCTGTAGAGACATTTGGTGGGGTTTGTGAATTGTGGCTTAACTATGGTTTGTGGCTTGTGGCTTGTGGCTAGAAAATCCAATCTCAAAAGACATCACTCCACAACTCCACATCCCCACCAAATACCATGAAGCTTGAAGCTTCAAGCTTCATATCTACCTACCTGGCAGCCTGGTTCGGGCTAGTTTCATCTTGCGATCCTCAATAAAGGTTTGATGGTAAACAAATAACAAACCCGACAGTATGCCGTCTCCAGGATATCAAGTTGCCGCCGATCCAGATGTACTGGAGGCTCTTACGACTACCCATACCCCTTGGCCAGGCTATGAGGGGAACCTTGATTTATTGCGACGACAGGGAGCTGTTGAGAAGACGATGTTCCAGGACAACGCAACTATCGATTTTGACAAGATACCCTCAGTCCAGTTCTGGGCCCCTCTGGTCGGTTATAACAAGAAACATCATGTCAGATACGTTGTTGTTTCGGTCATGGAGGTAGCCGAAGCTGCCAGGCGCCCTTTGACTCCTCAGGAAATTGATATTACGAGCGAGTTCGCTGCCTTATCTTCTAGATGGTATCCTTTGTGTAACCTTAGCGCCGTTGCTACCGCTGGTTCCCTCAGTACGTTTGGTGCGCGGGATTTTAGATTCCCCTTTTATACGCCTTCTCCTAAGACCTTCGACCCATACGTGTTCCCTAAAAAAACATACCCTCTCCTCAAAGGCGCAAAGGCCACCTTTGCCTGGCACACTCTTCGATGTAGTCTTTACTTTGCTGCATCTTATGCGGCATTCATCCCGCTCGCCTCGTCGTTGGCAGCTGGGTCATTTGAAGCACGTATACGAAGAGATCCGCGCCTAGAAGATCTGCGAGGATCCATACGGGAGCACATGCTACAAGTACGTGCTATGATAACCAAGTCGCTGCAAGGGCCTGGCATGGGTTTCCCTCAGCGCCCGCAAGAGCGCCCTTCTCATCAAATTCCACGTGCCCAAGATGTCCCGAAGTCGGAAAACCAAGCGCGTTTAGATCATGGGCGCGATACATATAATGAGCAAACGGATAACGGCTTCAACGAACCGGCTACTGACCCCAGCAAGGGTATGACACCTACGCCTCAGCCTAGCTGGTCTCAAAATCCTCGATCTCCGGTACCACCTAACAATACTCAAGACACAAAGTTCCCAGATCCAGGCTCGCGGTACGTTGACGACTCAGATCCGTTCGATGATGATGACGGTTCGCCGGTTCCAGCATCAGTGAGGAGAGCCGAGGCACAGCGGTCTCGCAGTATTCAAGGGGGTTCTACGTGGGATCGCATCAGGCAACAGTCACAATCGACCAATTCCTCGGGACGGCAGGGCGCGTGGTCCCACTTACGACAGGACAAGGCGCCAAATCCCCGAGAAACCCAGCCGAACAAAGAAGGCTTCGCATATACGAAGCAAGACGAGGACAAGGAAACACGGAACTACGAGAGAGAGCAAGCTCAAAAGGAGTTCGATGCTCTCCTTGAGGCCGAGCGACATGGTAGATCGAATAGACGGTAGGATGGATGGCATTGGGGCTGCACGGGTTCAAACATTAACATGTAACCCTAGAACCAACACGGATGGCGTAAAGGAACCAAAGGACCTGTTTCATATCTGTTATGTAGGCACTGGAAAAGATAACCAGGGTATCCAGCCTATTTCCTTTCCGACTTTGATGCATGAAGTTTGCGAGTACTATATCAATGGCTACCTATCCGTAAATATCTGTGGACATTCCATCTATGCTAATATGCTTAATTGGATGTCACTTCACTATTTAAATGGATTGTTTATCTCAGAATCCAAATAGGTACACCTACTCCAACGTTCTGTACTAGGTATACTAACAATATTCACAAAACAAGATCAAATAAGAAGCCACCTAGATCAACATAGAATATCCTACCTTTTACTCCCAATATCCATACCTAGTATCTACTAGGTTAGCCCTTGATTAGCTCAGCTTTATGTGGATATATCTAGGTCGCTTGCCATCCTTTAGGAGCAACGCTCCCTTTTTCTTAATGGATCATACCTGAGTACCTTTCACTATGTTAGAGATCCTGCATCCACCAATTGTGGGAAAGCGTCCACAGAGCTGACAAACCTTTCAACTATGAACGCATATCCAACATACTCACATCAGTCCTATGGCTAAGTAAACTCTCGTTAATCTTCTAATCTTAGCTTCACCAACCATATTCAATATATTACATGGAAAGCCCCTAATACAAGCAAAGGTCCTCGTGATTGACCAAAACGTGGTGTATCCTTAGCTACATGGTCCACGAGCGGATGTTACCACGACAGTTGTTTGAAGTAACCCAAGAGTACCTACCGATGATTAAGCATTCATAGAATATCCAGGCTCTCCAAGGTCGCCTAGGTTGTTTAGAAATCAATGCTTTCGATGTTATTTAATATGGAATTGGTATGGAATTCAATGCATAGTAGTATCATCGTGTTGGATTAACTGCCGACTACTTCACCCATTATAGCCTTCATCGTTTCCCATTTCACCACAGATCCATCTCCTCTTCGAGACGATCGAGAACAGATTCGGTGTCATTGGCAATCTCCATTTCCTCCCAAAACCCGTAATCGTCAGGAGATTCACAGCCGTCTGCCGCGTCCTTTTCATTATCCTTGGCTGAATCGGAGGGAAGCTTGTTGTTGTCTTGGGAATTCTCGTCCATGTCCGAATCAGAGGATGAAATTGAAAGTTCGTCCCAGTTCTCTCCAACCTCCAATCTCTCCTTCTCCTCCTGCGTCATTATCACTCTGTCTCCGTGCTGAAAAGGATTGGGCATTGATGGCTCGGAGTAACCTAACTGTCTGATGGCGGCCTCCACGTCCATGACACTTCCATCGTCGATATACTGCTTCATGAGATTCTGATGAACGAGAAAGGTGTCTGTCCAATCTAGATAGTCGAGTGATAGGATGTATACTCGTGCGTTCTCAATACCGGCGTGATGTTGATCATCCGTAACAGTAGCAACGGCTTGATGGTATAGATCGTCCACTGCGACAACTAGAGTTAGTAATTCATGGTTTAGAGAAAAGTTCAAGGGGTCTTGAGAATGTCTCCAAGAGTAAAATCTTCCGGTTAATTGGGCTGGAAAAGTTTTACTTCTAAGATACCTAAGCTAGAGGGGCGCAAGGAATTATCAATGTTACGTACTGGCATCGAGGCTGGTAACGTAGAGATTGCAGTCAAGGCAATCAGGATCGCCGAGACAGTAGGGGCCAGCTTCGTTGGCGCCGTGGACGTAAATCTCATAGCAGATAGCTACAGCATTGAATGTTTCGCAGGCTTGAAACTTCCGACCTTCTTGTACGTGCCCGCAGGCCATAGTCCTCTTGGCCCACAGGTGACACATCTCTAAACGTGGACGGAAGGCGATTGTGGGAAAAGTCAAGCTTCAGGGACAGCTCGCAAGATCGAAAGAGTCGATGAGGTCTTGGTTAATTTCTCTTTTTCGAAGGACGGATTTCTTGAAAAGATAAATGGGAGGGAGATATAGGTATGGACTTAGGTGGGCTCTATAGGATATAGGATTCGAATAGCTTTCAAGATAAGTGATTCAAGGTCAATATACGGATGAGATGACAAGTTCATTGTTCCTACCTACTCACTCTGTGTTTAGATATCTGATATACCATATAGGCGGCTCTGAGTGGTCATCGATCTCGTAATAAGGATATAGACGGACGGAGTGTTGTAAGGATTGAAGGTGTGTACTAATACCTCTCCTGATTGAGGGAATTTGATGGGTGAGTTAGTGGGATTGCAAATATATTAAGCTTATCGTAGTTCTAATTAGTACTGTATCTTCTTGAACACTTTCCAGTCAACGGATATTCCTCTTGAATATATCAGTTTGGTGCTATAGTTTTCCAATGATCCTGAAAGCGAAGTCCAAGGCAGATATGATTGGTGGACGCGAACTTGGGGGATATTTGGATTTTGAAGATGCCTGGTTGTTGGCTCAATAGGAGAGTTGGAAAAAAAATCCTACTGCATCTTATGATAGCATCTGCTCTTTAATAAATATCAACCTAGAAACAGTACACTGTGACGATGGATTATCTCAGTCCTAGTATCTACGTGACCTGTACTCAAGCTTCTTCGCAAGAATGCGCTTGTCTTACCGTGCGCCGATGTAACGGAACAACCATCTGACTGGACACTGAAGTTATGAGGAGTTTATCCCAAGTCAAGGGAAAATAGATTGGATCCTGCTAAATTACACTGGTTACGTCGCCCCTTATTCCATCCTAGGAGATTACAAGAAACTAGAAACCCGGTAAGACGAGCAAGCATACATACAAGTCATACTACTAGATTGGCACTATAAACAAATAGCTGCCTATGAAAATTTTCATACAGCTATATCAGTGCATAGCTTGAGGCTGCTTTAAAGCTGGCAAGAACAACCGGTAATTATGAATGAAAATGTAAAGTGCTCCTCCCTATAGTCTACATCAATTATACATCAATTATCACCTATGAAAGAAGCCCCCAGCTGTCGTATTCATTGGTTAGGCTAAGGTGAGTATCTAGCATTCTAACTAGAAGGGAGTTGGCTTGTGACTTGAGGTGTATCTTGACTAAGGCGTATGTTGGTGATTGGTCCGTAATGGACCCACTTCGGACCGAAGTGGAGACTAAACCGGGGCATTAGTCCGGAATCATGATCGGATGAACGTGAATCTGAATCTAGAAAGATGGAGTCACTCAAAAGCATAAAATTCATTAGCTACAACTACATGGAAGGTGCTACGATGGAAATTTCTTTGTTAATTCGTTTGATAGGAATGTAGATCTAGGTTTAGAGGACTCTTCGGTCTTCACAGGGGTTCATCAAATATGAATAACAGAGGTGATATGGACCTTATTCATTCCCTTTTTATCTTAGAGCTATCTGCTAGGTACTCATGTATGCAAATTCCTGGTGTGTAGTTGGAAGGAGTCCTATTGCAGTGATTTCGATGATCCCCTTTGACGTTAGTATCTCTTGGTTCATGTTATTCACCTCATCTTGAACGAGTTTGCTGCGTTAAGTCGCCATCTTTCATCACATACTTACATATCTAGCTGGCATGTGGGGGTACTTAGGCACAATGATTTGATAGGTTCTCTCATCTCAAGACCTCATACTTCAACCAGTCGTAGTATGATATGCTCCTTGCCTATCTCCAACTCCCGTCTACCTAGGTATCGTCATCTTTACAGCAGTTACATTATTGCCTACCTCGCACTAATGCTATCCTCTGTTCAACCTCTGCATATCTCCTAGTATCTTAGGGTCACGACCCGACAGCATGTGACGAAATAAAGTGACACTGGATACTTAAAAAGGAGAAGCCATATCTAGAGTATTTCAAAGACGGTAATGGTGGGTAGTATGCTTGTCTTGGCTAAGTTTGGTGCGCTTAGTTCTGTTGGAGATGCCTCTCCATTGTTGGTATCGCACCATATGGAGAAAGGATGATGAATATGCGGGGGCATGACATTGCGTTGGATAATATCATGGAACTATTATCAAGCAAAGGTAGATAAATAATGGGTATGTCAGCTATCTTATGGAAAAATAAACATGTCAATTGAACCAAGTGAATGCATACAGAATGGCACCCTCAGTTGCAGACGTATTACCAAGCACATCTGAGTTGAAGGAGAAGGCGGAGCAAAAGCTCAACCGGGCATACGACACAGCTCAACACTCCGCAGTAAGATATCTTCTATGCACCCTACCTAGGAGTAAAATAACGGGTGAAAGATGCTAAACCATTCAAAAGTACAAGTACACTAGTTATTTGCCAGTATACGATGAGACGACTACATTCCCACCAACCGAGCCCTTCGAGTTTGCTGATAAGGGTCTCCTGGCAGACAAAGCCAAACCTCATCTTCTCGGACTGAATGACCCCAACGTGGTTATTACAAAGCTGACCCCTCGAGTCGGCACGGAGATTACCGGTCTTCAGCTTTCTGAATTGACAGATGAACAGAAGAATGAGCTGGCCTTGTTGATTGCCGAGAGGGGTGTTGTAGTGTTTCGAGGACAGAACTTCAAGGATATTGGCGTGGAGAAGCAGAAGGAGTTCGGCCGGTACTTCGGTCGCCTACATGTTCACGTAAGTAATCGCTGCTTATAAATCGCTACTACTTATTACTGATCCCTGAATAGCCCGTTGGAGCTCACGTTGAGGGCGCCATCGAGTTCCACAACATCTACCTCGGACCGGATAACCTCTACCGGAATCAGCGCCAAACCGAGAAACTAACTACCACTGGATACCACTCGGATGTTTCGTATGAACACCAGCCTCCGGGAATCACGCTTCTCACCCTGCTCGCAGTGCCATCCACGGGTGGTGATACGGCATGGACCTCCCAAGTCGCGGCGTACGAACGGCTCTCGGAGCCGCTGAAGACGTTTCTGGAGGGCTTGCGCGCCGAACACAGCGGATTTCCACAGGCTGAAAATGCCCGTCGTGACAAACACTTCGTAAGGCGGGAGCCCGTCAGATCCTATCATCCCATAGTTCGAGTACACCCAGTAAGTGCGCATGCGATGCGTTACGCTCCTACTCCGCATCTGACACCGCTTTTCTAGGTTACCGGCCAGAAGGCGCTCTTCGTGAACCCGGGCTTCACGAAGAAGATCGTAGGGTTGAAGACCGAGGAGTCCGACGCCATTCTAAAGTTGCTCTTCAAAGTTCGTACCTTTGATTAGCCCTTCATCCACCTTTGAGCCCGGCTAATTGTCTATCATAGCATATTTCACAGAGTGCCGACGTCCAAGTCCGCGTGAAATGGGACGACGAGACGGTGTCGGTCTGGGATAACAGGGTCACGGCTCACACTGCGATATCGGATTACGACGTGCACAATGAGGAAGAAGGATTGCGCCACGGCTTCCGCATCACGACCCTCGGCGAACGCCCCGTCGGAGTTAACGGCCTAGAAACCGTTTGGTAAGCACGTTTTTGTAGCTCGGTTCGTGAGTTGGTTATATTTGATGAGAGTGGTTGAATAATTTATGAGACATATATTATTCTATATAATACCATCTAGAAGTAATATTTTCCTTCTTTTTCTCTCCCATATTGTGTCCAACCAAAAAGTACCTCCTATTGCTAGGTCGGCCATGCTTCTAGATCCCCGGGCGCGGATACGAGACACGTATCCGACCTGCTGACTCATCATGACCGTGCGTAAACCATTCGCTCTTCATGCTGTTCTATTTATATGATCCGATTACTACCCCAGTCTATCTTTTTACCCAACGCCCGAACCGAGCCCTCTTCCCAACATTCTAATTTGGCCTCGCGGTCTCCTCGGTTGCGGTCATAGAGACGGTCGTTGCTGACTCGCCATATGGACCGGTCAGACTGCAAGTTAGAGGGTTGAATTTGCCCTTCTGGAGACAGAACATGACCGCGGCGGGGTTAGTCGGGTCGCTCGGGTCCATCTCGATGTAGTGTGTGGCTTCTAAACCCGATCTATTACCACCCGCGAATTAGTAATGATGCCACACACTGGCTGAACGAAGGAAAAAGTAAGGAAGAGAGGAAAGGATTGGAGACCAGAGCTCAGGGCCCCGAACAATTTTTGGGTACTCACCCGTCAGAAGTTAATTGCTCCCAGAACTCGACGCGGAAGTTCGTGGTGCTGGTCCACCCGTCCGTCGGCAGGCGGAATTGCATGTTTGTATCGGCACAGTTTGTCCAGTTTGTCGGACCCGGGTTGGTTCCGGCAGGCCAGCTAACACCGCATGTTGTGTTGAGAGTGTCAACGATGGTCGACGACGGATTCTGGTAGCTCAACGCGACGTTGACGAAGGAGTTGACAGACTCATCCCCGTAGACTCCGGAATACGGGAAGGTAGCGTCCAGACTGGTGAGAGTAAAGTCGGGAACGTCTCGGACCTCGAGAGGGAGGGCGCGAGAAAGAGAAAGAAGGGGGAGGAGAGACAACATAATGGTTTGGCTGTACATCTTGCGGAAGAGTAGACGATCTAGATATGTGTGATATACCGGTTAAAACTGGAGAAGTAGGATTCGAAAACTCACTTGTGAACCTTGAGTTGAATTGCAGTGGAACGGAAGGAATAGAATCATCGTCTTTTCCCGCGATGATTCATCTTATTTATACTCGAGAATAAGATCCGGAGGCCTATGTGTAGAAACGTGACGGCTTCCAACCCGTCAGCCCATCATATCTCGTCCCAACCACTCATCACGGTTTCACGAAATTCGGTCTACGGCTCTCTAAGCGGCATCAATACGCGAACCCGTATTCCTAGCCCGCGTTTAAGGAGAAGCCCTCCTAACAGAGCGCAGCTTATTCCGATACGGGGCATCTCATGACGTTGCTGACCTATACGTGAAAAGCGCCACATGGCTGCTGAGATGAGGTGAGGTGGGCGGAGCCAGAGCTGAATACCCCTGCTCATGACAGCTATCGTATCCCGGTCCACACAGGATCTTCTCGAATAGCTGAAAAGATTCCATGACCCTCTTATTGGACAATATAGGATTATAGTAACGTAGATTAGACGTCATATCGATGAGCGATTTTTCAGGTGCCACATTTAGCACTTGGAGGTCGTTCTCGGTTCTTTAATGCCCCTGTCCTAGAGGCTCTTCCGCAAACAGTCTATGATTTATATACACAAAACCATCGATAGTATGTTGTTGACAATCAATTCACTCTCCCCTTACCTAGATACTATGAGAATTATGAGGCTAGAAGCCATCCCTTCAGACGACAACTTAAGTTGAAATAGCCTCAATTCACAGAGCCAACAGTAGCGGAGACGCTTGACCACGTAGAGGGTAACACATCCCTTACATGGCTCTACTCGACGCTTCAGTATCGCTCCCGCCCTCACCTTTAGACTTTAAACAGTCGTATCTCATTATATCATTCCGGACGTAGATACTCAAGCCTCTTAAACCCATTAGGTTCTCCTCGTCCTGCTCCACGATCTTGAACTCATGTCGGGTGTACTCCCGCCACATCTCCCTTGTTCGCGGGGATTCGGCGTCGAAAGGAAACGGAAGAGACCTATATACTCAGCGTCAGGAAGTGTTGTAATTTGTAAGTGCATATATATTTGTTTGAAGTGGCGCAACGCACTGGTTTTCGTTTAGAACAAGACTGTCGCCATTCCCGATGATCAAAGCCGGCCTCCCGAGGTCTGCTATGATCTGCCTTACGGGAGCAGCGGGGTAGCAGAAGAACACGACGGATTCTTGGTCAATCTTGCTGAAGCCACCGGCGCCGTGTTCACCGACAACTCTAACCCCGAGACTCTCCAATAGGGTCTTGCTTGCCTGACTATACGCAGGATCCTGAGCAAAGATCTCCATATTGTTGGGTGTCTTTGCTCGAAATGCAGCGGCTATGGTCAGCGCAACGGCGTGCTGGTTTAAGCTAGCATTCAGGTCCTGGAGAGCTACTTCTTCGTCAAACTCCGCGCGAGCATCGTGACGAGACAGAGGCGTTATATCCCCCAAGCCGAAACACAAGACTTTCGTAATCCTCTTCGAAGCGTTGAAAGTAGCGAGCTTGTCCTCGAGCAAGCCACAGCTCCAACTCTTCCCCCACCGCGTTTGGGCCTCCTGAAATCTCCATCCCAAGCAGCTGTGCTCACCATCCACAAAGTCTCCATATGTGCGATTCTCCCAGGCAATAAAATATGAATAATAAGGAGAGGAGTGCGGAGGGACGCCTTCTAACAGTGGATTTTCAGGCCCTTGATTGAATAAGTACCAGTAATGTTGGAACTTGACATACGGTTTCCTAATCAATCCAAGTAGGGTGCTATCAGTTCCATATATGAGCTTAGACACTTGTTTAGGGGGGTATACCATATAGGGTTGACGACGCCAAACATGGGATTCTTGACAGAGATCGTCGAACCATCGATGCGACGAATAGTAAACGATGGCGTGGTCCGACAATGGGCAAGCTCATATTCAATCCGTTCAAGATCGCGGCCTATCCAGAGCTTCTGGCCAGAGCGATATAATTCTATTGCACTTTGAGTATTCTCAATGAGTTTGGATGGGATGATATGAGATGGCTTTGGGGGCTCATCTTGCTGACAGTGTGCGTGCACTCCAAAATCAGGTGGGCATTTGACCATGCTGGAAGCTGCGCTCATGGCCATAGTATTCATCGACACTCGATACGATTCAAGCGATACTGAGATGTGATTAAAAAGGATATTGTGGTTCTAATGAATTTTTTGTGTAGGAGATTCAAACAGGTTGTCTCTGAAGCCTGTGATGTTTTAATCCTTAAATGCAATGATCGAGGTTCATTAAGTAGCTTGGCTCAAGCGACTAATATCGGTTGCGATGTTAGTATTTGGTGTCTCATTGAGGCTGCGTCACTTTCTACTAGACATACAACAGCTGACGTGGTGCACCTCAAATACCGATTCGACCCTTCCACAAGGCTCCAATAGCCTGCAGTGTTTTGATGCTACCACGTTGCTGGCCCGAACGTCTCACCCTCCGGTACTGTTTTGAGCCATGCTGTATTTGTCGCATCCTGTTCGTCGTTAGCAATCTTACGGAACCAAGAGGTGACAAACATCTGATTAAGCTCATCATGCACTTACAACAGTATTGTACACATCTACGTTACCCCACCATTGAGGGATGGTAACTCCTGACATAGTGATCGCGAAGAAGATGACAATGGTCGACAAGATGAGACCTGCGTCAAGCGCGGCGGCAGTGACGTAGTTGTATGTGCGCCACCATCCGTTGAACTTCTTTCGTATGCCATAGTTGAAAACCAAACCCCAAAATGCCCAAGTTGAGAAGCTGATCGGGGTGGCGGGCGGAAGCCAAGCCATAGCTCCAAACAAGATGGGTGCGTTGAGGTGGCGTGCGAAACCAATCTTCATCTTGCGACCAAGAACCCATAATATAACTGGCATCACAGCTCCAATAAGCCAGAACCAGTTGAAATTCACATACATAGATCCAGGACCAAACATGCGTTCTGGACCAAGCACTCCCCAAACGATGCTGGAGGAGAAGAATGCGCGTCCATTGGGGCAGGTGAAATGATTTGGCTGGGTGCTGTAGCATTGTTAGCAACCAAATGAATCAGTATTGGTAAGAGTAACGCGACTAACCTTGAACAAACGTCGGGAATGGTCCCTAAGGTCCAGTTCATCACAGCGATCTGCACAAAAACGGCCCATATACTCGCGACGACCTGGCACCAGAAAGTGACTCGAGGAGGAACTTTCATGTAATGAGCCAACTTCAAGTCGGAGGTCTGCTTTGTGTTAGCAATCCCAGCGAGAATCAAGAACTATATCCTCTTCATCAAAAGTCGAGATAGAATATGTTACGTACTGCCGACTTGTTAGCTTCTGCGTACCTAGGTATCATTTTTAAGATGTGTTTTTCCATACCATAAGTCTGAGCTTGTCCTAAGGTAATTGTGCTGAACACTTTGAAAATCATCACGCCGATGGGTCGTCCTGGGAATATAAATCCTGCTATGAAAGGCGCAATGACGTTAAGGGACAGCATAATGTTCGAAACCGCCATGATCATGCACGTGGGAATCACAAATAGGAATGCGATAATAATAGATAGGAAAAATCCCCACCACGGCAATTGCGAATCGTAACCTAGCACAGTCCCAAGCCCTAGTGCGAGCGAGAAAAGGAGAAGGCAAGTGTACCACCATTCAGGAGCCTCGTCGTACTTCTTCATGAGTTTAAGATGTATGTCGGGTTCCTGATTACGAGCGGTCTTCAATCGATACCAAATCTCTTTCCCGTGGAAGAGTCCAACGTGCACGAGCGACGCTGTCAATGCCGCAAAAGAAAGCCCGTAGTTGAGAGCCAGAGTTGGGGATAAAAATAATGGGGAGTAACTACGATACTTTTCTAAGTCGAGCGTGAAGTTATCCCCGAGAATATTCCGGACGGTATAGGCCTGCTGAGTGTTGTCGTAGGTTTGCGACGTTACCATAGGGAGGTACTCGGAATAGCTGCTAGCGAGTTAGAGAAATCATGCGTAACCTTGCGGGTCATGCGACCGATGGTGAAAAAGTTGAAGTGAAATAGAACATACAGAGCTCCAGTATACACGATTCCAATCGTAGCGATCATGACAAAAATGAAGAGGCCAATTAGGGTATTGACATGGGCTTCCGTCGGGGCTAGCAGAGGATCGTATAGGTAGGCAGAGACATAAGTCCAGTCGAACGTGATGGGGATGAGACTGAGGCCCGTATAGCCACCAAAGAGTTGATTGAGAACAACATTGTTCGGTTTAATCCAGGTGATGAAAGCGAAAACGCTGAGACCCTGCCAAAGTACAGCCGGGATCCAATAGTACACGAACATGCCCCCGGTCACTAAGAAAAAGTACCGGTAACGACTGATGGTCCATCCGTTGGCGGTACTGCCATCACTTTTGCTCTTATCGTGAAGGGCGTAGAAAAGCGAGGTGTTTGAGAACTGGGTTGGCCACAACATTGCCGCAGGATAGACGAGGAAGCGCCTAAACAGGCCAGACAATGAGATACCCATAAGTTGAGAGCTCAAAGTGAAGATCAACGAGAAACCCCATCCTAAGTTGGTGTCATAGAATGGTTTTCCCTGGAGCGCGAGCAGCGCATCCGTCGAGTATGCGTATGCTATCGAAACATTCGACATGATAGTGATGACAACGTGCTCTTTGATGGTAAACGGACCAGTATTCAATGTCCACCGCAATCCAAACGTATTGAACACCCTGGTAGGCATAATCTTCGCCCAGAGATTCGCAACCGGATAGGACACAAGCACGACTACTAACGCTGGAAAATTAACCAAAGGACTTCGCATACTCAATAACATATTCAGGCCACTACCGATAGTGACGAATATCATTCCAAGTACCCATGCCCTCACGGTGCACGCTACCTCACCCCCATCGGTGTTGCGCACGGCGGCGCGTACTTCTTCGTAGGGCGAGTCTTCGGTGAATAGCAGGTCGGCCTCGGCAATTTCTTTATCATCTCCATGTTCGAGCGCAGACTTAACAGCGTCAAGTTTTTCTTGTGGAAGATTTGGATCCCATTGATGGTTGTGCTGAATCTTGTCGAGATCTGCGATCGCAGTGGTCACGTTTATTTCGCGAAGCTTCTCATCGGACGAGCTAGGTGTCGTATTTTCGACTGGATCAGGATTGATCTCGGAAGTAGTCGTGGCGGAAGCATCTGCTCCCTTCAATGAAAACCCCATGGTGACTAGCAGCCTTCATTCGCCGTGGAGAGCTGGTTTGTGAAGCTTGAGAATCATAATCTCACCTCACCAAACGCGATCATGGACGAAGAGTAGTCGTGGTGGTCTTATCTGATCTATTCCCAATGGGCCGAATAGAGATCAAGATACCTATTTTCCGACGGCTTCATCTCCGGCAACGACCTATCAGGGCAGGGTCACTAGCCGATGAATTGGTGATCGTCATGCTACCGAAGGTACTCCGCACCTTGGATACAATAGGTACCTAGCCAGGACACCCCGCGCATTCTTCGCCAGCCCCCCTAATCATGGTTTCCCATCATGGTTTCGACCTTCCCAATGCGACAAGCACGGTCGAACGCGTGGCCAAGAGCGGGAGGCAATACGCCTCAAAGCTTAAGACTTGACCTAAAACGGGCCAAGCCCGGCTTCTGGCATTCAAAAAGCCATCGTATTTTCGGCAGCTCTAACAGCTCTAGCCCTCCAACCCTATCAGATTGCCACCAAATACAACGTTGTAGATAAGGGGAATGAATGTAAGGATAGGTGAGAATAGCCCTGGTTCGGGGAAGGTATAAATGAGCTTATCATACCCACTTCTCCAAATGGAGAATCTGTCTCCCCTTGCCTTTTTATAGATAAGAACGATACGGCGCCCTTAGGTCAACACGAGCTTCAAGGCCATAGTGGCATTACCTAATATCCTACCGAGAATACATGAGATGATTCGTGATAAAATCAGGGATTGTCAGATTTGTGAGACAAGAATGAGCTTGAATTGCTGGTTCCTATCAACAATAAAGATAACCACTTCAGCGGCTATTACCGGTAATCGGAGTTGGAACGATATGACATATTGAAATGATAAGTGAATGCTGATATCTTATGAGTACATCATTGAACGTAGGAAGAGTAGAAAGTAGACAGATGCAGGGGTCTGCATTCGAAGGATTCAAAGTTTCTCAGCTCGTCGCGCAAGGCTGACGAACTGGAAATTGATTGGACTCAGAATTGTTGTGAGAGGTTGCATATGCCGCGTGCATATATCCTATGCCGTGAATTTGTGAATTGTAATCTGCTAGATCTAGAACTTTGCCTAATCATCTTCTAGTTTAGTGCGCGACCAAGATTCATCATTCAACGCGATGCCGCCAACTCATTCTAAAAACCAGGTCATATTCGCGCCATCAAATGAGCCTTATATCGGGACCAAATCAGTCTTCCTAGCTGGGACTACCACCAAGACGGACGACCGCGACTGGCGTGAGGTCCTAGCCGAATCTCTGTTGGACTTGCCCCTCACTGTCATCAATCCGTATCGGCCAGATTGGGACTCGAGCTGGAGAGAAGACATTACGTGCATTCTATATAAGGAGCAGGTAGAATGGGAACTTCAAAAGCAGGACAGTGCCGATATAATAGTGTTTTACTTCCACCCAGCCACTGAAGCCCCTATTAGCTTACTAGAGCTCGGACTTTGCGCAAGAGCTGGCAAGGCCATTGTGATGTGCCCCGAGGGATACAAGAAGAGAGGAAATGTCCAGATCGTGTGTCAGAAATACGGACTTGAGACAGTCGAGAGCCTTGATGCGCTGAAACCAGCGATTGTGAAGAGGATGCCAGGTGGCTCTGTTTGAGTTCCGGTAACACGATGGGTTGGTATTACCACTTGGTATTTGACAGACAGCGTATACCCATATTCCTAACAAGCAGTTACAATAGATGGACCGACGGCGTGGCTTGAAGCAGCGAAGAAAGCCAATGGCTTTTAGGTCAAACTCCAATTTCAAAAAAGAACAGGAGAGACAACTCAAAACAGTTACGGAAAGGGGCGCCGGTTGGGTTCCGGCGGGCTGGATCAGTCGGGCCGGGGTTTCTCCGCTTAAACTCCTTGGGCCAACACCCCCGTCTAAGTAAAAAAGACTTTCATATGTATTAACCCGTTAGTTTATTTTCTTATGCTTAACAAACTACCTCTCTGTCAACAATACCTCAATAGTTTGGGATGGCTAGGAGTCACTGCTAGACATAGAAACAATGAATTCGGCATCTTGATGGTTGTTATACTCAGGTACCTAGGCTGGATTGCTAGAACTTGCAGCTTCACCGGTTGTCGTCCTGCATGGAACCTGCTGTACTACCACCCTTTTTGAAGCTGCTGAGTACCTGAATTACTATCCTGTCCATGCTACTACGTAGGTAGTAAGACGAGGGGCGAAGTCCTCTAGATATGTAAGTAGTGACCGTTCTCAGTATAATTACTGGCAGAATGCCTAGGTACAGAAGAAATGCCCTGTTCTTATCCCATTCCTTTTCTTCATACACTTGGATGTATCTGTAGGCGTCTCACACACTTACATAGGTACACAATTTTACCATCCAGCGTCTCATGCTTTTTCTTCATCCTTCCTATCTTTTGATGTTGTAGTGGTCGATGGCAGTGCAGTTATAAATTCGACAAGGTGTTCGTCAGCAGGCCCATCCACGCAAATCTGCGAGTCCTTAGCACAAGAATGTAGGCCTTCTCCAGCATACGGGTTGGATACGTACTGTCTTGATATTGCTTCCGTAGTGCTTACGGATCGCCTCCATGTTCTCGACATATTCGCTATATCGCTTCTCAAACTTGTCCCCATTGTCGTTCTTCTCTCTAGAACGGTGTAGGAACCGCTGTTGTGCGTTCTCGCGCGTGCACTCGAGAACGATAACTTTCGCCGGCTTGCCGATCTGGAGCAGGTGATATCTCAGCATTATGATTATTTGGAACTCGGTACTATTGGTCCAAAAGGCCTACCTTCTCCTCGAATGCCAGAGCCGTCTCCATATTACGCGGGAACCCGTCAATCAACCAAGTAATAGTGCCGTCATTGCCAGTCAAGATCGAGTAAATCTCGTCCTCGAGCACAGGGATGAGCACGTCAGCCGGTAGCAGTTTACTTTCCCGTAAATGATCAAGGATCATATCCAAATCAAACTTCTCGCATTCGCAAGGCAGCTCGATATTACAAAGCTCGCGCAGACGATCACCCACCGAGAGATGACAGTATCGATCGCTCGACTTTTTGAGCGACTCAATGGCGAGCTTGCAGAGGGTGCCTTTACCACTGCCAGGAGGTCCAAGGACGAAGACAATGCTAAAGTGGCGTGACTGAGCAGAGCACTCCATCTTAGGCGTCTTAGGACGTATTGCTTATTGCCTCCAAAGTAAACAGATATGACGGCAATTTTTGGGCGAGAACTTGCCAGGCATAGTGCTGAGATGTGAGAGATTATATAAATAAGAGGTAGGGACTGGATAGCTATGTATTGAGCAATCCTGGATGGCTCTGACACGGTTGGTCATGATACTGCAGGTCAGTCTACGACTTGCATCAGAGCAAGCAGCAGGCTACGATGACTCTGCAGCCTAACAATCTTTAGGCGAGACTGTTTCCAGGTTCTCTTAGTAAACGAAGGCCAAGCAAGTTGGGCAGCAAGCGTATGAAAGCCGGTTTGCTCTATTTGCTTGTGTATCACTTTTCGCCCTGCCTCCCGCGGTTGGTGTTGATGAAAAGTGGTCAGAGAATGAGGCAATCCTTTCCCAAGAATGAATTGATTGTTTATCCATGTTACATCGCCTAGAATATGCTATATGCCGTGTACAGTGCGGCAGCCGGCCGTGTAGGTATGGGGGAAACGTCAGAAGAATATATTTGGAGCGTCTCATGATGAAGCCCTGAGAACGCCATCTCTTTTCCATCAAGAGATTACTTACTCTTATTGGTTTACATATTGATTTCTTCCGCCTACCTCCTGAGATACGATAGAGAAGTGGGAAAATAATTATGCTGCTGGATATCCTCTATTCAAACTGGACGCTGCTTATAGCGGTCGTTTGCACTGGTGCGATCAGCATAAGTGTCTACCTCGTGTATAGGAAGCACTGTCGCTACAATGCCACCAGGCCGATATCAGTCAACTACCATTTCACACGAAGATGTAATAAGGAATGTGCCTTCTGCTTCCACACCGAGAAGACCTCCCACGTCGCTTCCGAGAAGGACATGAAGCATGGACTCCGCCTACTCAGCGAGGCTGGTATGCGCAAGATCAACTTCGCTGGCGGCGAGCCGTTCCTCTATCCTGAAAAGCTAGCCATGCTCTGTCGCTTCTGCAAAGAAGAGCTTGGGCTCGAGAGCGTCAGCATCATCAGCAACGGAACATTGATTACCAAGAAGTGGATGGACCAGCACGGCCGATGGATCGATGTGATAGGCGTAAGCTGCGACAGCTTCGACGAGAAAACAAACATCGCCATCGGCCGCGGTACCGGCAAGAACGTCACGCAACTCTTCCGTATCCGCGACTGGTGTCGTGAGCTAGGCATCAAGTTCAAGCTCAACACTGTTGTGTGTACACATAACTGGCAGGAAGACATGGCAGAGACGGTGCGGCAACTGGACCCATTCCGATGGAAAGCCTTCCAAGTGCTATACGTGGAGGGAGAGAATGACGCTGAGGAGGAAGACGGTCGCCTCAGCAAGCGAAAACGAAACGCTAAGAAGCTTCTCATCTCAGACGAGCAGTTTCAAGTTTTCCGTGATAAGCACCAACATCTCAAATGTTTCATAGCCGAGCCGAACTCGCTCATGGCATCGAGCTACCTCATTCTGGACGAGTACCTCTGCTTCCTGGACAAGGGCGCCGGGGTTGAGAAGCAGTCGCGATCGATTCTGGAGGTCGGGGTGCAGAGAGCGCTGAGCGAGGTTCGCTGGGACCAGGAGGCGTTTAACCAACGCGGAGGCCTGTATGAATGGACCAAGGACGTTATCGGGGATGGAGGAGACACAGAGGGCGGCTGTGGATCGTCCCACACCAATAAGGAGTTGCTAGATTGGTGAAGTCGTCTGGATCGCAAGTTTCACTCATTTTGTTTGTAGGGTGCCTTGGCCAGTGCGTAGTTGAATAAGCAATCATTTCGCACAGTATTGGCCTTAAGCTAAGACTCAAATTTATTAGTGATCTTTCCGCTACACTTAAGTGTGTGATCGCTGTAACCCAGAGAACCCAACCACTAAAGGAAGGCAGCCTACAGTGCGGATATATTTCAGATTACACGAATGCGCTTGGCCTACAAGCGACCCGTGGACCTTAGAAATGTTTAACGAGGACCTTCGTAACAAACATTGAAATCTTTTTCTCTATTATAAACCACCCGCGATTTTATCATATCGCAAAAAGAACGACAAAACAACCATTCCAAGGCAGTCAGATTATTCAACAATTCCGAGAGCATTGAATGGCGTTCAAGATCGCCTCTTCTGCGCTTAAGCGCATCGTATCGAATGTAGAGGTCGAACGCAAGTTTAATCTGGGACCGAAGTTCACCTCTATCATCGAGAACCACACTGGCCACCGAGAGAAGATCCCGTTCATCTTACGCAGCCATCCGGGTCAGGTCATTCGCGACACGTACTACGACACGGAGGATAGCCATCTTGAGAAGTTGGGCATGTGGGTCCGGCGACGCTCCGTCAATGTACTGCCACTAAACCCTACACGGACAATCGCCGGCGCAAAGAACGGCGCGCAGTGGAACGCTAAGTTGCGGCTCGGCGGTCATTACAGCAACTCACAGTTCATCGAATTCGACGGCAAGCCAGACGTCTCGCGCGAGGTGCTGCGCATCACCGACATGAAGACGAAGCTTGAAGATTTGCGCGTGGTCTCGGACCTGCAGACGCGCCGATCGGAGTGGGAGGTGACGCACCTGGCGGACGGCACGCCGCCATCGGCAAAAATGACAATTGTCGTGGACGCGGTCACCGAGGCCGAGGCCGAGGCCAACACCGGCAAGGATGGAATCGACGAAGCAGCCTTCAACCATACCATCGGAGAGGTTGAACTCTTTCAGGAGATCGTGACCGAGGGAAAAGATGAGGCAGAGCACGAGGCGCATCGGAAGGAAATTGGGGCGCAAAAGATGAAGGAGTTGGAGGAGTTCATGTTGTCCCATCCAGACCTATTCTCCACGAGTCCATCTCCGATTGGCAAGCTCACCGCGTACGATACGTGGAAGGCTGAACGTACCTAGCTGGGGAGCTGAAGATGGTCTACTTGACAGAACCAAAGGTTGGAAGACACTATCCAACGATGCGATTCAATTACACAGGTGATCGAGTTAGTTCGGAGCTAGGGTGGTCTTGCCAAATCATATCTGACTTCACATGAAGCTGAGAACGTTATTAAAATGGGAAACTACGAGTCCTAACAATGTCGTGATGTAATTGTCTCAAGTGAATTACTGGACGCAAAGGAAACCTTCTGCCTTTATAATTTCCAACTAGCGGTTAGCTAGCCGAGTATCCTCGCTACTTCCAAGGCTGTTAACTGACAAGCCTTCCTGCCTTGAGTTTATTTCGAGTTTACCCGTACGTAATTGGTGTATTGTCCCGCACCCCGGGTGTGTACGTAATCCCCCGCCTGTTCAAGCAAACACTTAGCACCTTCTGCACCTCAAATGGCGGGGCTTTAGACTTTTTAACCTTCGATAAATTCGAAATCCTTTGACGTGTCGTTAACCAGGAACCGAACAAGAAACAATATCGAGTTATAGTAATCTGGCTTGGTATAGACTAGTTCTATTCTCAAATTCAAGAATATCTAGTCAGTATTCCTGTCTAGTAGCGTTACCGCACAATATCAAAATCCTAGCCTATCATGGACGATCAATTCAACGGCCGCACCGATGACGATTTGTTTGCTGACGACTTCGAACCCGTCGAGGCCCAACAAGACGCTTCAGCAACAATAAGCGGCAAAGAGGCGCGACCAGTAGCTAAGAATGAGTCGCATCCCGTGGGTTCTGCGGGACCTCCTGCCTCGGCCGTTCAGTCTGCTCCTGCCCAACATGCGCCCCGATCTCTAGACCAGTCGCGACATGCGAACACAAAGCCAGCCCCATCATCGTCGTCGCCACACCACCACCAGCGCCCGCGCAAACACTCCCCAAAGCCAGCAGCCGCAGCCGCAGTAGCAACCCCTCCCGAGTCCCCTCATGATTCTCCGCACAAGCCCGCCAGCATCAGCGGGGGCGGCGACAGCACCTCGAACCCCAACCCCAGCCCCCTCAATAGTAACAACGGCAACAACAACGGTGCCGGCAAGAAAGGGCAGTCGACGTCGCCGGCGAAGCCCGGGCAGAACACGGCGCTCGCGGACCGACTGGCGTCGGGCGCGAACCCGCGCACGAAGCTGACGGACTCGGAGCTGGCGGCCAAGATGGAGCAGATGCGGTTGCTGGCCGCGGAGAAGACGCGCCGGTTCGAGCAGGCGGAGCGCGACAGCCGCTCGCACGCGGTCGCGTACGAGAAGGGCATGGAGGAGGCGCGCAAGCGGCGCGCGGAGGACGTCGAGCGCCGTCGCAAGGGCGCGGAGGAGCGCCGCCGCATGGACGAGGAGCGCGCCGCGAACCGTGAGCGCAAGCTCAAGGCCATGGGCGCCAAGGAGGGCGGCAGCTGGGACGAGGGCAAGACCCTCGAGGAGGAGAGGGAGCGACGCGCCGGATTCCGCAGCGCAAACGGCGGCATACGTGGTGCGCGTAACACCGGTGGGATCGCTGGGAGCAGGTTTGCCGAGAGGGATGGCGATGCGGTGCCTAGGGAATTTGGGTTCGACGATTTTAGAGGGCGGGGACGCGGCGGACGCGGGAGAGGAGGCTCGAGGGGTGGTGGGAGAGGTGGTAGAGGCGGATTCAATAATGAGGGTAGACCGTCAACGACGCAAAACGGCAACGCGCCCCAGCAACAGAAGGCAGCTCAGGCTCCTCCCGCCGTAGAGGACTTCCCAGCTCTACCCACGCCCAAGAAGCTGGACACTACGACCAAAGCAGCGGACACGTCCGCCCTATCGCCGAGCTTGAACTCGCCGCCTATCGGGAAATGGGATGACGAAATGGCGGCGCTTGATGACAAAGCGTAGAGTTAGTTACAAAGGTGTTCTGATCTTGATACGGCGCTGCGTGGCGTGCATGACATTGCTATTACGGGCTTAGGATGGGAATTTGTACTGTTATTGTAAGGTATCGGGGATGAATTGCACAGAGACGGACGCATCACCATTATTACAGGCTCAGGCGACGCACACGCCCTCGCTAAAGCATATACGAGCATTAGAGATACCAAAAGAGCGTTGAAATGAGAAAAAAGAAGCATGCTATGTATTACTCAGAAATTGAGGACTATTAGACGTATTGCATGCCCGCCTGTCCCAAAGTGATATCATGTCTACTACTTTTTGACCACTCAGACCCGAACGCCAGAAACTCCGCAGTATGCATTGGTATCATGGATGCCGCATTACCATCCACCACGGAAACCGCGTCCGCTTCTGCCTCCATAGCCACCGCGTCGGGGTCCCCGAGGTCCTCCTTTCCATCCATCTCCGTAACCGCCCTCGTCCCTCATGGGGCCGTCGTCCTGGAGTGCCGGACGCGGCCTACCCCTTAGGTCCTTAGGTAGGGAATCGTACGTCTTGCGCATCTGCGCGTAGCCGAGATGCATCTTTCCGTAAAAGTGATCGGCGAGCCGACGATCGTTGTCGAGCCGCGAGAGGTACGCGCCGCAGACGTCGCACACCTGGAGCTTCTGGTGGCCGGACGGACCGCTAGTGTCGGCCAGGGTCTTGAGCTCGCGCTCGCGCTCCATCTTGGCCTGGGCGGCCTGGCGCACCTTGAAGAACTCCTCGTACGCGCGGCTGACCTCGCCCAGGTCGCCCAGGATCTGCACCTCCTGCAGCCCGCAGTTGATGGTCGAGCTCAGGTCCGACACGGTCTTGAGCAGCACGTTGGTCTGCCGGATCTCGTCGGGCGTCTTTTCCAAACGCCGCTGCGCCGCGTCGATGCGCCGGTTGCACTCCTCGATGTACTTCTGCAGGTCCCGCGCGTAATCGATGTCGAAGCCGTACTTCTGGCGCGCCGGCTCGGGCAGGGCCTCGTACTCCGTCTTGAGCGACTCGGCGTGGATCTTGGGACACGGGCCGAGATCTTGCTTCGTGTTGGTGAAGAGGTCGTGGGGGCAGGTGCCGACGATGTAGGAGCGGCAGACTTTGGGATCGGTCAGCGAGACTTGGGATGCGCGCGAGGTTTGCGGGCCGCCCATGAGCTGCTCTGGAGAGATTGTTAGCTGTGTACTGGTTTAAATTGGGGAGGCTGAAGTTTTACCTAGCAGCTTTCGTTGTTCCGCCGCCATGTTGCGATTCCAAATAGAGAGATCCTTCCTAGATTTGGTAAACAGCTAATATTGTAACAATATCGTGGCGATGTTATGACGATGTGACTGGTTTGTAGAGGTAGTGCACGTTTTAGTGGTGAGGCAGTGAAAAGCTGACGTTGGTGACAAGGCTGAATCAATTGATATGGAAATTTAATCAGAACCAGAAGTTAAAATCTGCGGGGACCAATTAGGCACCTTCCAGCTCTCTTTAGCGTTGTGACCGCATTGGTTGGCGGGCTCTGCAGGGGACCGACCCCCAGGAGATACAGGGGTGAAAGAGCAAAAGTCGGGTCCCTTCCGCCGCTAAAAGCTTTGCTGAAATTGTTGGCAGTTGCAAGGTTCCACGTAGCTGGATAGGATCTCGTATCCAATAATCGACGTAGTGTATCACAAACAACCTCTTCCTTACATATTCAACTTTATACCGCCGCCACTACGAAAATAAAAGGGTCGTCCTGATGGACCATCGACGACCACAATGCGTCATTTCTTTTCTTACTTGATACCCCTTTCAATTCTGTTTTGGAGCGTTGCTGTAGCTTCCGACTATTACGAACAGTTAATTCTTAAGCCATTGCCTCAATCCGCCCTCCTCGCCAGCTTCAACTTCAGATCCAATACTAGCTTGTCGCAATTCGAAGCGCACAATTTTAGATACTTCCCAAGGTCCTTAGGACAGATATTACAACATGTTGGAACGAGAGAACTGCATTTGAGGTTTAGTTTGGGACGATGGGATGCTGAAAGTTGGGGAGCGAGGCCGTGGGATGGGACGAAGGAAGGGGGGACGGGTGTTGAGTTATGGGCATGGCTAGAAGCAGAGACTGACGAGGAGTATATCTGCCCGACTACATCCCTAACATGTTAGATATACTAATTGCGTCTATTGGTAGGGCTGACCGCAAGTGGTTGAGCTTAACGAACGCGTTGTCAGGTCTCTTCTGCGCATCATTGAACTTCATCGACGAAACGAGAACGACCCGACCCGCAATGTCCTTCCAACCTGAAGGAGACCACCCGAATTCTACCCTTGCAAATATGCAATTGCTACATGGCGTGTTACCCAGAGAAGTTGTGTGTACGGAGAATTTAACCCCCTTTTTGAAACTGTTGCCATGCAAAGGAAAGGCGGGAATATCGAGTCTGCTTGACGGTCACAAACTCTTTGATGCATCCTGGCAGAGTATGGCAATCGATATTCGACCTATATGTACGGAGGGCGAAGAATGCGTGCTACAGATCGAGCAGACTATCGATATGGTCTTGGACATCGAAAGATCCAAGCGACCTAGGGGTAAGAGATTCTTACCTTTTGACTCCTTCGAGTACCTAGTTAACGTAAAATAGACAACCCTATTCCACGACCACCAGCAGGCCATGACCTAAAGTGTAACACATCAAAGCCATACCATTCTGGCGACACCTGTTTCCCAACAGATTATGCCGAGGGCCAAGACTGGGCCCTAGACCAAGTCTTTGGCAAGGCAATCAAAGGGGCTTGTCCATTAACTGACACAAGTGTTCCTCCTGTCTGTGTTCAAGCTCCCCACACTAGAGATATTTATACCACTACTGGTGCCACCGAGATCAAGAATCCGAATGGACTTTCGCGCTGCTATCAGGTTCCTTCAGATTCTGACTTTTCGATGATTCTTCCTCGTATGCCACGAGAAGGCGAACATGCAAAATCAGACAGAGATGAGATTGTTGAGCCCGAAACACCTCTTTTGTATGCGGAGCGTAGTTTTACGGGTCATGGATACGAGCGTGGCGGTGTGAGAACAATTCTCACCAACCCAAGTCCGGACACCGAAGTCGAATTCGTCTACATGGAAAGCTTGCCGTGGTTTATGCGAATATACCTCCATACGCTCAAAGCTCACGTTGATGGCGAATCGGGTTCAAAGAAAGATATCATCGAAGAGATTTATTACCGTCCAGCCCTGGACCGCGTTCGGGGCTCGCAACTTGAGCTGCGGATGCGCATCCCGCCTGCCAGTATAGTTTTTCTTACTTACGATTTCGAAATGTCTATCTTACGGTACACAGAATACCCACCAGATGCAAATCGTGGTTTTGACGTCGCAGCGGCTATTATCACCATTCTACCTTCTGACTCGCCTAACGCGCCGTTGGCAAGACAAAAGACCTCTAATCTACGAACCACAACCCTTCTTCTCAGTTTGCCAACGCCAGATTTCAGCATGCCATACAATGTAATCATTTTCACTAGCACGGCTATCGCCCTCGCTTTTGGAGGAATGTATAATATTTTGATACGGCGATTCGTGGGAGCTGATGAGGCGGAAGTTGGTGTTAGCGGTCTAAAGGGCAAGCTCCTTGCGGGCATAGTCAAGCTGGTAGGAAAGTTAAAGGGGGCTAAGGGAAAGGTAGATTAGGCGCTAGCTACTGCTATGCCCAGATTTTGAAATAGATTTAAAATACCCCTATCCTGTCACGTTCTATAACAGCATGTCGGCCCTCATTCGGATAACTTCAGTGCTGATCTCTTCGTTATTTATAGCGTATGTGATCATGGAAACAATGCTGATTCTTTTGCATAGGTAAGCGCATGCATCGTATATGTATGTGCTACGGCCTGAACGATTAAAAAATCTATATACTCAAAATCAAGACAGATCCCAACGAGTAGGTGTATATACCTTGCACCGAGAACGCCTTGCTGTTTTTTATACACGCACGCGACTGATTCGTGCCATCAAAGAGAATGCCGATAGATTCCTCCCAATGATCTACGATTGGAGTGCGGCCCCAAGAGTGTACGTCGAGGAGCGGAAATAATCTTGCATACGACCCATCATAATAGGATTCGGCACATAATCCCATGCTTGAGGTTGGTGTGGTTGTTGCCACCTCCTTACTTCCCCTATCCCTTTAGACTCCAGGTACTCCGCGGCATCGGGCTGCGTCGTGACGGTGTCGAAGCTAGACCGCTTACTGCTGGCGTATGACGACCGATACGAGTCGGCTGTACTGGCATCAGATGAAGTGGATTCTCGGCGATGATGCCTCCTTGGCCGATGTCTGAACTTGTCTTCGGCGACTTCGGGCTCTGGATCCGGTACTGGATCTGTCTGTACGCACGCATCTGCGTAGCGTGACTTGGGCTTTGCTTCCACTTTTGTTTCCACCTCTGATACCCGTCTTCGTACGCCTTTAGTACCATCGCTATGGCAACCGCAAGTACAATTAATCTTGTCCTCCGTGACTGCTGCAGGCATCCTGGGGGATTTCGCTGGTACAGACGGTGCGCTCCTCCGCTTGGGACTCGGTTGTTCTTTAAGCGCGCCAAGGTCGTCGTGTCCGTACACCAAACTACGCGGTCGCATAGCCCACGACCTTCGCTGTTGGTTGAATGCCAGCGGAACAAGTGCAATTTTACGCAATTTGTCCGTTGATGAGGATCTGCTATGGCTTGCAGGTGGCTTGAGATGTGGGCCGGGCAGGTGGTCCACCGTGGGCGACCTAGACGGTGTCGTACTCGATCGCGGCCGCTCATCGGCTTCGCCCCTAGAAAGTCCTCGTGGTCTACCAGTTTGCTGTCGGGGAGACGGGGCGAAGCTGTCGCCGCTGAGTGTCAGGGCTCGTCGGAGCCGTTGCTGCGGTCCCGGGGGCTCGCTGCGCACCTCGCCATTCATATCGGACGCCCAGAACGTGTTTTCGCCGGATAGTATCACCTGCAGAGTCTCGAAGTCTCTCGTGCTACCGTCGGCCGGGAATAGCCAATCTTGTAGAGGTTTCGGGAGTCCATTGGAGCCTACATGCGCCAAATATTGAGTGTACGGGCCTTCTAAAGCGGTGGGCGAGGCGTTAGACTTACGTTGCCTGTATTCCCCCGAATGTGTCTTCCAGCATATGTAATGCTGTCCGCAAGAGCCGAGAGCGGTCACAACCAGCTGCTCTACGCCGTCCGAGTCGCTGGTGTCGTTTGCTAAGTCTTGCAAGATATCCGCGAGCATTATTTCCGAAGTCATTGAACGTCGCCCAATCGCGGTATCATTACATGGCAGTCCTCGGTAGTCCACACCTTCATCCAATTCGATTTTCTTGTTTTTATTTGGCCAGCCGTTTTTAGGGAGTAACGATCGTGTAACAAACAAAGACACGCGCGAAGATCATAGTATACAAATTAGATTATGTTTTCAGACCCGAGACTTTCCAGAACTGCTTACGGCGCGAGCTGCCAGCCAGCTGGGCTCCTGATCAACGAGAGAATCTGTTGAAGCTCGCGTTGGGGAGCGGGAGGCAAACGCATGATTATGGAAGTACGGGGGAAGGGTGAGACGCCAAAGTCCTGGAAAACAGCTGATATGGGCCCAGCGTTGCATCTGAAACCGCAGCAGAGGATCCACGACGACGCCCCCATCACGACTTACCTACTACTACATACCGCAGGCCACAGACCACCCCCATGACGGCCTAGACTTACGTACCTACCTAGGTATTCAAATAGGTTCGTAATACTACTTAATACCGCGCATACACCTAGGTATTAACGCCAAGGAATTTCATGATGGTTGATTATGAAGCCTTAAGCGAAATTGCCAAGAATATCCACTAAAGCTTCTCTAGGAGTCTAGTAAATGAACTGATCGAAGCCTGCAATAGGTAGAAGCACGGACCATTGGGGACAGCAAATAAGACATCGTGAGTTATTATATGCAGATATTCTATATAACCATTAAAGGCCTGCATATTATATGACGGCTTTCCTGTTTACTGTGCGTCTACATCGTCCCCCGCCTCGTTGGTGTGAGGTTCATCCTCAACGTATGGCTTCTTGTACCCAGGTGGACCCGATTCGTCTGCAAGCTCGTCCAGAGTATCAAGTCTATCGACGACGGAACTAGCTGCCGTGACAGACGCGGTGTCGCTAAGGTTATCTGCTTTCCTCGCTGAAGACCAGAATGAGATATTGTCAGTTGCTACGCTAGGTGAATGAAGGATACCTGACTGATGCTCAACGGATCCAGGGTCAAGGTGCAGTTTACTTAGATCAAGACTTCCCCTCGCTGTGTCTCCACCTTGATCATCTACAACATCGCTGTCGTGTTGATCTTGCCGCTGTTCTTGCTGCTGCTGCTGCTGCTGCTGCTGTTGTTGTTGTTGTTGTTGTTGTTGCTGTCGCAGCCGTTCCGCTGCTTCTACCTCCTCAGCTTCCCTGCGGATAGTCTCCTGCCTCTCTTCCTCTTCTCTCTGAGTCTGCTCCTTGTGTTGCTTCATCTTCTCATCTAGCGTCTGTGCAGCGTTGGGATCAACTTGGGGCTTGCGCTCCTTCTTCTCCCGTCGAGTCAGCTCCACCTCAAGCACCCTGGTTCCCATCGGAACCTTGGTGACTAGACCGTCATCATCTCGGTCGAAGTAAAGAGCCCAGATACCTGGAAACTCTTCTACCGCAACGAACCCTTCCCAGCTCTCTAAGATCATGCGCCGGTCCTGCCGGGTGCAATCAAAGGGTCCGGTGATATGAGGTTGCGCGTCGGCACGAACACCGTACTTTACTTCATACGTGTCCTTGTCGACGTATATCCAGTTTAGCATAGGAGGGTCGTCACTGATAGTGCTAACCAGACCCTCATATGGTTTATCGGGATATGGCAAGTAGTAACCTGCGAATGGATGCCCATGATCTTTAGGGCTGGACTGAACTTCCTCAGCTGTTGAAGCCTCAGTGGTGATATAAAGCTATGTAGTTCTTATGTGAGTGGGATATATCATGATTCTGCACTGTGATTGAGAGCATACCTTGTTGTCTTTAAGAACAACTATCTTGCCGTCTATGTCGCGACTTCGAATCGAGGGCCTGACACACGATACGATAAGGTTACAACGACGAGATCGGTGCTCTTCGCGTTTATTCTTGGACTGACTCTGCCGGATAGCCTCTTGCGTTCCTAGTAACGCAGGGCAGATCGTGATAGCTAAGATCATAGGCAGCGCCATAGCGACTTCTTCGAGCGTTTCCTGAAGAGTCTTCCCTTCTTGAACTGGAACTTTGAAAAATTGTTCTGCGCGAATGTTGGACGACATTAGTCCCCCCTGAATGAATGGCTAGTAAACAATGTCGGTAAAAGTTACAGCTAAGGGGAAAAAAAAAATAACAATAAGGTTGATGTTTCGAAGAAAAATCGAGTACCGGCTCAAGACAGGCGAAATGTTTCTCCAAACAAGACAAATTCAAAGACAAATTCAGGCAAGTTGCGATGAGAGTTCTAGAATTACCTTGATTTCACAGCCTTTGCAATGGGCGACACTCCTATTACAGTTAAGACTTCCTATTCCCCGAGACATCATGCCATTCTCAGATCAGATCTAGAAGCCGCCAGGTGAGACAGGGGTGAATCGAGACTCTTTGATGTTTGAAGCTCAACGCTTTGATCCAGGGTCCACCACACCTAATCCGCACCCAGGCGGACGACAAGCAACGAGATTACGGCGATGTCTTTCGCTGTAACTTCCACAAGGAATAATTGGACGACTTCTATCATGCCATATCAGACGAGGATGTTACATCGAAGTGCATATTGATTGGGATTTGCGTCGCAGTGAACACGACACTATTCGGCGTTTCGAGCGGAAGGACGTGGACCCTAGTAAGTCTGGAGAAATATGGTTGTTTACCACGGTCTGTGCCGAGTTCACAGATATATATAAGCTAGTTCTCAACTCAATCTTGAAAACCCGATCTCACCATCCAGTATCAACTTCATCTTCACAGCTTCAGCCAGCCTGATCATTTCCAAGCCTTATATATCATTATTCATCTTTTTTTGAGATCTCCCGCTGATCAATCCAAAAACCTCATTCAAAATGTCTGCTTCCACCACGTGAGTTATCCATATCCTTGTTCCTTCGGCAACGAACCCAGTCTGACATGTCTTGTTTTTAGTACCGCCGCTGTGCCCATGAAGAGCAACGCCGCTTATGCTAGCGACTCGGAATCTGACGGCCAGGCCCGTGGCGGTCGTCGCCCTCAGAACCAGCTCCAGACTTCTCTGCCTCAGCTACCTACATCAGCTGGATTAGCTCAGCCAGCAGGTAAGGCGAACTCATGAGAATCCAGTGAATGACTACTAATTCTTCGTTTAGGCTCTCTGCTGAGGGGCGCGACTGACGAAAACGGCAACCAGAAGAACGCGGCTCTCCTTGTCGGCATAAAGCTCGACTTGGAGGCCGAGGTCCACTTGACTGCCAGAGTTCGTGGTGACATCTGCGTCGGTCTCTACTAGGGGGTTATCATCCATCCTAGGGGCGTGAAATATCATTCTATTCATTGAAGACAAGCATAGCAAGGGCGATGGCATCTGCGGAAATTGAATCAGGAAGCGGAGCACACAAGATACCCCCATTGTGCATGGATTGTTCAGAGTCTAGCTGGAGCCGTCCCAACTCCGGTGCCTTATGCCGAACGCTTCGCGGGCTGGCTGGCCGCCGCATAGCATGGTAGACAATAATACGACGATTTGGAGATCTCGATCGGCCTTTACCGCCATTCTGATTTGTAACATGAATGTAACTCTCGAGCGAAGCCTGGAACTAACAGACGCTGTTTAATTGTGATATTGCAAATGAATTTTTAGACATGGTCGACTAGAACAGGATGTTCTGGAGAATCACTCACCATCATCGTATCGATGGATGTTCCTAGCTGGATACCTATTGTGGTCGCTTTGAATCACGAGACTGGGATAATTCATGACGTCCGGTACGGCGTTAATCCTGAGGTTTGGAATATCGAATGGAATTGGACTACAGCTAGATGGATCGAAGGTGTATCAGAGACGTATTATATATACCTCATTAGGGTTATTGAGTGGTCGCTCTCGCGTGTGATGTTAAGGTGCTGGGATCAATTATAGGGGTAGCCGAATTCGGACTCTTAAATAGGGGCCAGGGGCTTACTGCTATGTTCGATAAACGCAACTCATACGACATCCAGTGTAAAGGTGATTGAAGTGCTTGGCAGGAAGCGCAACGTGCACACGAATTAAGGAAATATACAGCCACGTAAACCAAATATGCGATAACTTTCGATACTCACAGGTCATAATGGTGGTGTGGCACTCAATATACGACCAACGCAATCGCCAAAGCCGACTCTCTCACCTGGCTTCCCACAGATTCCACTGATCACAACTGTGTCGCCATCCTTGAGAAAACGGCGTACGTCCATACCATAAAGCATGATGTCTTTCTTCCCCCCTTCACTTAATTCCAAGAGACTTCCCCTTTCATTTAGCGAGGGCCCGCTTATGGTCCCGGTACCAAGAATGTCTCCTGTTCTCATCGGGCAACCACCAAGAGTGTGATGCGCGATCATTTGCGGAAATGACCACATGAGATACTTGGAACTTGTGGTGGATATTGTCGTCGCGTCCCCTTGTGGAGCTATGCTGTGTTAGCTACGTAGTACGAGTCCAATCTGACGTGGACTAAGATACGTACTTATCAAGTCAACCTGTAGTTCAATATCGAATATATTTTCTTCCTTGCCTTCGTTCAAGTACGCCTGCAGCGGTGTCCAGTTGTCTATAGGTTTGGTTCGAAACGGATCAAGGGCATCTGCTAGAACGACCCACGGGCTAATGGTGGTGGCGAAGTTTTTCCCATTGAAAGGCCCCAATGGAATGTATTCCCAAGTTTGAATGTCGCGCGCGCTCCAGTCGTTTAGTATCACATATCCGAATATATGATCTTCGGCATCTGTAACTTTGATGGAAGAACCCATCTCATTTGGGGTTGAAATGAAGCATCCCAGCTCTAACTCAATATCCAGACGCCTACTAGGAGCCGTGGTGGGTTGCTTCGGCTCCGCCGTGGGGTCGATGATGATCTGACCGACAGGACGTCTAATTGGTGTTCCCGAGACCACGATGCTGGAAGCCCGCCCATGATATCCGACCGGGAGATGAGTGTAGTTGGGCTGTAGAGCCTTCTGTGGACCGCGAAACAGGGCTCCGACAGCATAGGCATGGTGAAAGCCCGCATAGAAATCTGTGTAATCCCCTATGCTCATGGGCAGGTGCGTCTTCACGTTCCTCTGAGGAATCAGCGCCTTCTCGCGAAGTTCCGCATTGTCCTTTAAGACTTCTGGTCGCGATGTTTCGCTAGATAATAAATCCTGAATGGTTTTGCGAACTTCTCGGTGGACTGGCCGACCTAGCGCCGCGAACTCATTTAGCGTAGGCTTCGAGAAGACACCAGGATGATTTTTCAATGCGGGAAATATGTCATCAAAAGTTGCATGAGACGATAGGGCTTTTAGGTCAAGCACATGAGTTCCGATGGCGATAGCGGCATGCGGCGCGGGGTCAGCGGGTGAGCTGACGATGCCGAACGGGATATTGGCCAAGGAAAAGGGGGTGTCGGAAGAAACATCAGGAACCCATGTTGATACCATGGTGTAGCTATTCTTCGCTTTTAGTTTTCATGAGAAGCAATCAGTTAAAATGATTTGCTTTCCTATGCAGTGTGGTGCAAAGCGATATAAAAGAAATCGCGTTGGTGTTGAACTATTAGGGGTGTCTTAGGTACATAGGTACATGCGCTATGTAGATATTCCATCATATGCCGAGAGAATGCCGATAGAAGCCGTTGGGTCTTCGTCATTGTCCATATATTCCATTATTCAACCCCCCCTTAGATACATATCGATATCGATATGTCTTAATCCGTCCTTACCCCAATTCCCACCAGGGAGCATTGAAATAGGGGTTTGTATCGTGGATGGACTTTGCTTGCAATTTCTACCTAGTGGAGATATCTATTGTGCATATCCTCCAGTAGTCACTTCCTGCATCTCTTACACTTTAAGTCAATCAGCAGCTTCCCGGTGTTGATTAGGATGGCACATTTGTCAGCTGCGATGAGTGCGACAGGCGCGACGGGCGCGACGGGCATGACGGGCGTGACGGGTGAGGAAGTGCAACTTACCTACCTTATAAATAATGTTTTCTAGGCGATCGAAAATACAGCAGATTTCGTATTCTACCCAAACACCAAACACATCTTGCCTAACAGACAGACAGCTAACTAACGAACGTCTATCGCTATTTATATCACTTTAGTTCTCCTGTAGCATTTTATTATTTGTTCCTACACCGTTCTATTTAACCAAGGCGCAGATCTAGTTGTCTACAATGGATCCTCGCCCGATGTTTTATGATGGGCCCGACCATATCCCAGATAATGCTACCATCCGCCGTACTTCGCTGCCAGAGCTGGCCAGATACCTCGTGGAATTACGACAATCAGAAGTGTCTTGGAAAGCAGTAGCAAAGTACATCAATGCGCAAATCAAATCTGGTGCTTTATCACCCATCGTCGCACATGTATTCCTTAATGTCTATAACGACTATCATTGCATAGCCAGCTCTCTTCGCCAGGGTCGCTCAGCTTCTATCCGGCGGGTGGCTATGAATTGTTTCAAGAAAAAGTGTCGATATGGAAACTTCCCACTGATGTTCTCTGCCGTAGGTGGAGTGCCCGGACTGATGGCCTTGATGGCAACGATGTCAGTGCGCGAAGTAGGCCATTTTTGCCATTGTCTTGGGGACTGCACGTCCAAGAGCATACCAGTCGGCGTGCGTGAGTTCAACCTTACTGAGTTGCTTAAAGCGTTACGCAACGACAATAGCGATAGTCCCTACCATAACCTAGAGAACCCCGACAAGAGACCTTTAGATTTCTACTACAACAAGATCCTTCCTGCATGCGAGCCGTCTATGATCTTTGAGGAAATCTCCAAGAACGGCGAAATCCGGGAAATCAAGAAAATCACCAACCGCGCCACCAAAGAGGGCTACGTAGACAATTTCAATGCCGTTATATTCCCCGAGAATGGGATAAGTAGGAAGATTACGCCCTACAAATTCGTTCTCGACGGCAATGATGTCAAGTTTGCCCTCAGCGTTCTAGCGATCTTGCCTCATCATCCCAATTCGCTCAAATTAAACGCAGATAATCTTATCCAGGACCTCGCCCGTCCCCTAGCCAGGCGCCTTAATAATCGAAGAGAAGGAGAAGGCCTCCGAGAACTTTTCTACAGCTCACTTATCGACTGCCTCGACGGAGAACCTAGCATCGCGAATAAGCTAGATTATTCAATGATATCATACGCCATTAAAGCGTGGAGTCATGCTCATAAGTACCAAGAACGCATGCAGCTACATCTTGCGATCTTAGTACGGCGCATGACAAATGATTACCAATGGACATTGGATAGGATCGCGAATGAGTTACAACATATTGTACCTAGGCTGCGGCCTACACTCTTAAGACTCTTACTTAGAAATGCGAGTTTTTTCAAAGTGGATATCGACTTTACTTTTGTCGGAGATCGTGTGGCTCTCGGATCTCTGGGCAAAGCGTGGCCACCTAAGCTTTTCTACCTGCTCCCTAACGATATATCACTTCGTCTTTTCGAGCTTCTAAGGGGAATCCATCCAGATGGAAAATTCATCGCTAAGGGTTCCGGCATAACAAAAGGCGTAGATTATACCAATTGTGATGATGAGCAGTACGGCGATCCAGACATGATTTTAGCTCTGCTGCAATCGAGGCAGCGTTATAATGAACCCTATGGCATGATACGGCCCATAGAGACATAGGATGTTCTTCAACGACGAAAATGCAAAGCTGTATCTATGCAGAATGGGGAGGAGATGGCAAGATGGATCCACTCGGCTATTCGATTATCTATTGCATCTGGATCGTTATTTCTATGCGAAGATACCGTGTTTTGGGCACGACAATTCGATGGAGGCTCCCCATTCGCCCAAAAGCTGTTGTCAGTCAATACTTTACTCTCCTGCGAGAGCCTGGATATTTTGAGTGGAATATATCGGCCTTTACTCGCGCATTCTCCTTCGTCAAGCCAACTCAGAGAGAACGTCGAACGGGCGGACCGAGTACTAATGCAGTACGTAAACATGCTTGTTTTATGTTACGAATCAACTTCAATTTTCACGCATGGCGAGTTAGATGTATCTCTACTGCCTTCAAACGTCATTCAACGAAGACAGGAACGGCTACATGCCTTCAAAATGGGCATACGACTATCCGATGATGAAATCTACAACTCAGTATGGAAACCAAGTATTTGTATGCTACTAGATGTCGAGCGCCTTCTACTCAAACTGGGAGACAGGTATCCATCTTTGAACAACGTCTGGGGCCCATTAAGGCATTTATCTCTCCCAACTAACCCCGACCTCCACGTCCGCAAATTCCTCGATGTACTTGGAGAGTCACGAGATAAGCTCTGGCGGGAATATCGAATGGAGACGTACCCCATAGTTAGAGGCCTTGAAGCGCCTTGGCCGAAAGGTCTCCCTATTCAAGATTTGGTACCGTGCAAGTTCTTAGCCTGGAAAGATATGCCTTACGTCGAATCACGGGCCGAAGCAGTCTTATTTGCACCAAGAAAAATAATGAGATCTCTTATACCGATGGGAGCAGAAGAGCGAGCAGCCATAGGACCGTTCGTAGACGATTTTATATTCGCCTTACATGTTTTCGTGTCGGCAGTGGACGAGGGCCCTGAACGAGAAAGCAGGATCCTGCAAGCCTGGAACCACGCTGTAGCGAATTTTACTGACGAGCGCATGTCTAAGAAGCATGCAGTATGGTACTGGAGATACTTTTTCTCTTTGGTTCGCAACATCAAGTTACCACATCTTATAGCATCACTATTCCAAGTCTCCGATCTCGAATTATCAGAACATGATCGCTCCGGAATTACCATCGAGTGGGGTCCAAACCTGAAGCATGTGCAATTTTCACGGATGTCGACCATGGTTGAACTCCCGGGGAAGCTCCCCAAATCTTGTCTGGATTGTATGCTTATGGTCCACAGAATAGGGTCCTCCGAAAATGTTCGCTCTCCTTTTGTAACCACTCAAGTTCCAAGTATGTCGTCTATATGGGATGTCTGGAGTTCTGGAGGTTCAATTCCTTCAGGAGAAGCAGATTGCATGGTCGCAACTACGGTAGCATTTTTGGATGCGGTTTATGGATCGAATCTCTCTTTGTTCGAACAGCCATTCCCATCTGAAAACGATAATCGCTTCCCTGACCTTCGCCTAGATGAAAACTTCTTAAAAGATGAAGGCAGCCTAGCCAAGACGAGCTCGGTGTTGCAGATCTTGAAGCGCCTTGAGCCATGCATTCCTCTACTACTATCTCAGGGGCTTGCGAGGTCAATATGGAAACGATTATATGCCGGGGGAAAGAAGGATTCAGAGATACTGAAAGCTGCCGTGGGAGCTGCGAAGATACTTTCACAAGGAGACAACCCGGATGCCGCCAACGAGTTCATAATACGGGGTATATTGAAGTACCAAGACGACAAGTTATAGCATGATTGTCTTCTTAATACTTGTCTGCTTCGCCGTTTATCCACAAATGCGGTGCGGAATTTACTCGACTGCTTCTGTTTCGCGATCATCAACAAACTTCGAATGCAGCAACGTGCAATAAAGTTGAGGGCAAGGAAAAATAAGTCACCAGCACCACCACTTGTCAAAATCGCAACAATCAAATTAGTTTCTCGATTGTTGTGCGCGACCGAATATGTGGACCAACTGTTTGCTTGTAAAAGGCTTGCTCACTTATTCATAAATTCCACGGATGCAGACGCCCGAATTACGATCTTGGAAAGCCTCTTGAGCGTCAAGTCCACAACAAGAAGAGAAGAAGTATTCTTTGCTGTCGTGAATATTCTGGAAGAGCACGTGGTACCCATAGCTGCATCCATAAATGAAAGGCAGCCACCTACCGAGGCTGAATGGGTCAAGGCCGAGGTTGAAGGTGGACCTCTACCCGAAGTATACGAAAACAACTCGACATTTGACATGGCACCAATGTTGAGGTTACTTGTGGAAGCAATCCCACCGCCTTCTACGGGGAAAGACAACGTGAACCAGCTGCTGCATGATACATGGATGAGAAAAATCATGGTTCCGACTCTCACGCGTTCGGCTTCCAATCATCGGCGATGGTCCGCTTTATTTTTGATGCATAACGGACTTACACTTTGTCGCGACAGATTGGCACTGGTGCCGTCAAATCCAAAGATACTTGCCGATCTTTTCAAAGCCTATCCAAAGGCTTTTCCCAGCTCTACCTTTAAAGCAATCATAGATATATTAGAGATAAATATCTTCCCGGACCCAGATATTGCTTTTACCAATGAGTTTATCAGAAGCGATATTGATCTTCTTCAAACTAACGCTGGGAAACACTGGCTCTCTGTCTGGGATACAGAAGGAGATTCATTCAGCCTTGGAGTTTATCAATTTGCCGATCTCATGTTCGACAGAGCAATGAACGGTCCAGGTGTGAGACTTGCTGGCATTACAATCGATTTTATACGTTGTTTCATGTTCGATTTGGTCACCAATTCCATGCATACGTTTGGCACGTCCTATTTCAATATCGTCATAGACAAAATCGGCTTTTATAAACGTATTTGTTCGTGGGAAACCCGTGGATTTTTCGAATCAAACTGCGTGCCTCTCTTACAAGGTCTCATCGATTACATCGATTGTTTACGGGAGCATGATAAGACCCGGGAGCCGTGGGACTTCCCGGAGGTTCTTCCTATAAAATTAGAGATCCTTAAAGGTAAACATTGGCACGACAGTTCTGAAACCCCGTCGCTGGCGGATATCCGAGAATTTGCACGAGACGTCACATCTCTTATCCCAGAGGTTATAGAAGAAAAGTCAACATATGAACGAAACTGGAGGTCGCTCAAGCAAGCTGCGCTGCAACAATTCCACAAGAAGTGCTTAGTATCTCTGGCCGTTGAGCTTGCGTCGCTGGACAAGTTCGAGACAGAACAGCGAGTTAAGGACAAGCTACGTTTCGAATTGATAGAAAAGCTCATCTTCGAAGCAGACGACCCCGAGGATGACGATCAAGAAGATTTGGCGAACCGCTTAGGAAGGTGTTTAAGAAGTTGGTGGACTGATCCGGAAGAATCAATTCGTCTGAACGTAGACTCTATCGTAGAGATGCTGCAGAGTCGTTAAAGGTCAACTAGTAAGCAACAAGGTCATTGAGGTAAAGAAGGAAAGTGGATTGGGTAAAGCGTAGCCCGATATTTCTTTTGGAGAGCGTTTTGTTTGTAGACGAAAAGCGAACATGGATGTTTGACTTACTTGACTTACTAAAGAATGTCTCATTCTTTTCGCAAGTGTAGTTAGGTATTGATTCTCTACGAGGATAACTTAGCCACAGTTGGTGCAAGGTGCCTAACCAGTGCTGCGAGCCACATGATTTCGTCCAAAAAGCCGGACGTCCGAAACACGAGACGCTGTGCAATATGTAAGGTCAGATTGGGGCCCTATAATTACACACGTAGAACCAATCACAGCAATTGTGTTGTCAGAACCTAGTACTGACGTCGCTATCTCCAACCCTAGGACTCTGGAGGCTGTTCGGGTAGAACTGGCCGAGGAGGAAGAAATTTGCTTCAAGTCGCACGGAAATCAGGGATAAGCAAAAGGGGGAAACAATGTTTGGCGAATGGCACATCCTGGTAACAGCCCTCGTATGTATTACTGCGCGTCGTGCGTATTTTCATTGGATTGCAAGGTTCTTCCGAGCCCTGAACCCGACTGAACGAAAATGAATGAGCCGCCATGGCGCCTGAGAATGCATTACGGAATCGCGGCGCTAGAAACGACCGCGGGGACTGGCTCGACGATTTCTTTTCTTCCCCCAGTCAATGTACTATGTAAAAGACCGCTATCCGAGATGCACAACACTACGGCCGGCTTCTAATAGTCTGGTAATAGTCACCCAGAGCCATGGGCCGAAATGCAAAAGGACGATCTCGCCAACCTAGCGCAAACTTGCTTTCGGGATTGACACCCCGTGGCCTGCGCCGTGATACTCGTGTTTTATCATGCGAGCTTTGGTCCACGAGGCGCCATGGCGGAGAGTAGGTTACTATGATTAACGCAGGCTAACCCATATTTCGAGTTGAAACCACATGGTGATCCTGCTCGAAAATTATGTCAGTTGCAGTAGCGCCCGTAGTTGTGTTCGTGACATCGGAATTCGAAGCGGGAAATCATGCGTTATCATATAAAGAAGGCTGCTCTACGATGTTCTCTTCCGGCTTGACGTGGGAGCATCTGCAGCCCTCGGCCTGACCCTGTCTTTACAGCATTCGTTTAGAGAAAACAAATTCATTCGCTACTTATTTACTTATGTTTCCCTCCTTGGCAGTTCTGTCGAAAAAGGCATAATTGTCTTGAATATCTCTCTGCAATACCACCCCAAATTGTGACACATACATACTTCTAATACACGTTGATCGAGATGAAAACCACCGCTATACTGTTTGGCCTCGTCGCCCCTCAGGTTCTGGCCTACCCTGGCATGGGCCGCGCTCTAGATCAAATCAAGTCTCGTCGTGATTATACACTACAGAGCAGGTCTACAGAGTTACTGGGTGATCTCAAGACTACGAAAGACAAGGACTTGACATCCTCAGGGTCGACCATCAAGTCCGTCCTCGAAGGCGGGAGTGCTATAGCGGATGGTAGCACGTACAAGCCTTCCGGCGATCTTGCATCTGACACATGCAAGAAATCCACTTTATGTGTCTGGTATAATATCGTCCAAGATCTAAAGGCAACCTTCACAGACAGCAACGGCTGCACAGACCTGGCTCGTGGCGCAATCCGTCAGGGATTCCATGATGCCGCGGCATGGGATAAGAACTCGGCATACGGGGGTGCTGACGGTTCTCTTCTCCTCAGTGATGAGATGTCTCGTGTCGATAACTTGGGGCTCGAGGATATTGCAGCCCAAACTAAAGACTGGTACAACCAGTACAAGGGATATGGCATCAGCATGGCCGACTTGATACAGACTGCCGCCATGACTGCAACTGTCTCTTGTCCCGGAGGACCTCGCATAAAATCTTTCGTCGGGAGGAAGGACGATAGCAGGGCAGCTCCCACCGGCCTGCTCCCGTTTCAGTATCAGAATGCCGATTACCTGGTCGACCTTTTCGCTGCCAAAACGTTCACCTCCAATGACTTAGTTGCCCTGGTTGGCGCTCACACGTCATCGAAGCAGAAGTTCGTCGACACGAGTCGCACCAATGCTCCGCAGGATACCACCCCTAATATTTGGGACACGAAATTTTATTCGGAGACCATCGCGGGAGACAACAAGACCATCTTGATATTCCATAGCGACAAGAGCATCTCTTCCTACTCAGAGACTCAGGCCCAGTTCAAGGCCTTTGCTGGTTCTAACGGCAAATCCCTTTGGTCCCCAGTAAGTTGGCCCTTTTTACTCACTGTGTTGTTTTTATATGGTTTAACTAACATTATTACAGGCCTTCGCTCAGGCGTTCTTTCGTATGAGCTTCCTTGGAGTAAACAACTTGAATAACCTTACCGAAATCACCCAGGTCCTTCCTTTATCACAATAGGGGGGTTATATAGTCGTTATTTCACAACTGTCATATAAAAGAGACTTCGAAGTTTTATATTTTTACTTGTTTGGAAGATATTTCGCATCACATCTGATTGTACTGTATTATGATATTCACACATTTATACGACTGTCTATTAGAATATATCATATTCGTTGTGTATATAGCTTTGCCCGCTTGATTAACTTAGTGGCATAGGGACCTACCTAAATTCCCCCAGCTACCTGCCTAACGTACCTAAATACAATCTGAGATTTGGAATACGGTATTAGACAATACATCGAGCTTCATTTAACTAGAAGACAAGAACTATATTTCAACTGCTTTTCTTATATGTGACTTACATGTATTCATTTCTATGGTGGGTTGCAATATTCCTTTTGATATAATGAAATAAGCAAGTTTAGGTATGTTCACGAAATCTAATTATAATTATTGCTACCTACATATTGGTTTTACAACCTACCCCTTTAATTATCTTAATACGAGGTGTTATTCAAATACCTACCTAGATACCTGATGAAAGGTCCTATTCCGAAAGCGACGAAAATAATTGAACTTATTTTTAGGATTAATAATATTGAAACTAATTTAGATATGGCATTACCATTAGGTAGAACCGGCTCCCTACTTAGGTGCCTAACTGCCTCCTACATAAGTGCTTACCTCTAATTGCAATTAGTGCTATAAATGAGGCTTCCATGTTACAAGGTAAGTCACTTGACCCATCCTCTCTTTCAGCTGCTAAATAGTGTGTCTGGAAAATCGCTGTCTTCCAAATTGGGCATAAATTTCAATCCCCATTCTTCTTTATTTTGGAGGAGTCTTTTCTCGACGATCGCAGCCTCTGCAAACAGGCCTGCATCATCTAGGAGGTCTAGAACGTCATACGGAGCTCTTTCGGAAGCCGCACGATGGATATGGTAGAGGACGGACAAGTAGTCTTCTACGGGGGCGTGGATAGCAAAATGAGTAAGGCCCACACATATTCTTGCCCATGTTTCCGCCCATCCTCCATCGACCGTACCCGCAGCTTCACGAAATTCGATAGTGCCTGGACGTGACCCGCGATTCTCAAGACGGTAGCACGCGTATGGGCTGAGGTTATAATTAGGTCTTTCGCCAGCACGTAGCAGCCACTCTATAGTACATGAGGTTAAGCAGGTAAATATCTCTCGGGCGCCTAGAAAGATTCCAATATCCTCGGCTGCTTTCGCTTCTAGATGTGAAAACTCAGTGCTACCAATTTCTTTCGGATTGTATACGGGATATGCGTAACGAGGGGTCTCGCGGTTCCGCGTTGATACATACGGCGTGTTTGGTACAGCATCCCAGTTGTTCTTACTAGTAGCGTACTCCTCAACTTGAATGTCGACTCCCAAATTTTCATCAGACGCAATACGATATGATGACAAGGGAAGTATTTTAGCATTTTTGACCTTCAGTTCGTCATTAGGATCCTTCATGAAGAACGGTTCGAAGTGACCTCGCTGTCGAGTCTCTCCATATCCTATGAGGTGGCGTTTTCTGTGATTTTCCTCTCTCCAGCTTATAGGTGACTCCCCGTGTCTCACTCGACCTCCGATGTAAACATCGCAGCACCCGAGGCTGAGTTCGTTATTGTCCTTCTGACTCGCCTTTGCACCTTTGGCAAGATTACTCCGTTCTCGAATGCTCTGAGAGTAATATGCGACTCTCCTATGTGGGGGATGTATGCAAGCGAGTAGAGGATCAGCGGCCCAAAATAACCCAGCGACACGTCTTACATGGTCTAGCGGCATCAATTCAGAACCATCCCCCACGTGGACGTGCATTCCACACGAAGGATTCGCGGCAATCCTAAAGCTTGATTTTAGTACATTTAGAGCGTAACGGATTAGATGGAATGATTCGGTGGACGCTCTTTCAGCTGAGGACACAATCTCTATACCATACCACTTATATCCTCCTCCAAAACCGCTGACGGTATCGTCTCTTTTAACTCCCCACTTATTATAATCATCCAGGCTAAGGATAGAGACACCTGCCATAGAGTCAGATAGGAAACTTGAGTCGGTACTAGAAATAGTAGGGATATCTTTAATATCGGCAGGTATCCCATGTGTTCCAAGTATGTCGGTAAACAAGTCATAAACTGACCTCAGAACCTTGTCATTCTCTGAAATGATACGGCTTTCATACGCTTCCTTCAGATCTAGAGGGAGTCTAAGGATTGGAGGTAGCTGACTCGCAAGCTCTTCATTAGGATCAGGTTCTCCCTCCCACAACCACGGTACAACAATCTCGAGTTCAACGCCAAATGTGCGCTGCCGTGCCCCAGGAAATGATTGACTTTGAGTTGACATTTCGACTTGCTTAGGTTTATAGACTACTTCAGACTAAATACGCAAGATGTTATTTAAGTAATTATAGGAAAATCCCGTCGATCAGAGTATGGAAACATAATCCACGTTATGATTTCGTGTCATATATAACTGTAATTTAACTCTTTTTGATGAGATACCGTGGCAACTGTTTGATTTCCAACGTGAAAAAGATTGGGTTCCATAAAGACATTGTTATGACATTTGGTCGTAACATCTTTGATGATTCATTGGGCATAGTCGCATTGTTAGAGAGCTGCCCCTTAATAGGGGAACGATGCGGGTGATCCCCACATAGATACCTAGGTATGCTTGGTCATTAAGGCTGAGCGAGTATGGAATCAAAACCATCCAGTCTATATAAGCTTATAAAATATACCTAGATATGAACAATTCTTTGTCCAGCTTATAGCAGACACTGTCATTTACCTAGAGACAATAAGCGTAATAAAGAAAGCAGAATCATGTCGTTTCTATCCACCAATCCTTTCCGCTTCCGGCGATTAAGAAGATCTTGTATATCCAATACTATGATAGCTAAAACTTACAATAAATGAAGAAAAGTTCAGCGTGTTAGCTAGTACGACACTTACCTACCTAGGCTGTTTGATTTTAACAATTTGCATTTCCTAATGGAGATTCCCGGCCAAGATAGAGTACCCCCAAGGCACCTTGAGGAGGTCAAGAGAGTCAGATCCCATTTCAACAATACGAATAAGCCTAGTTTCAAATTCGAAAAGATCATAGGAACCGGTGCACGCGGATTTGCTGTGGAGCTGAGGATAAAAGACGAATCTGGTCCATCACTGACTCCACCATTGCCAGAAGGTCCATCACTGAGCGGTCCATCACTAAGTAGCCCGTCATCAAGCGGCCCGTCATCAAGTGGCCCATCATTAAGCGGCCCCCTATCGTTACTTCATATGATACCATCATATTCTTCACGGTTGATTGGCTCACCAGCAGCTGATCCGTTATTTAGTAAACTACCGCCAATCAGCCCAGTATGGGCTGTTCCATCAAGGGAATTGCTACTACCAGTAGCTCCTTCACTATTATCTGGTCCAACACCAGCGAAGAAGAAAATAGAAAGATTCGTGATGAAAAGAGCCTTTGACAGAAAGGACGACGAAACCATCTCTAGAGAGTTTGAGTTCCTCCGGGTATATATATATGTGCATTTTACATAGGATAGAGAGGCATCTAACTGGTTCGGCAGAGACTCCGAGGAGCCCAAAATATCCAACAACTATACCGCTTGCCGAACGAGACAGAAGATCTGAAATTGAACTACCTACCAGGCCCAACATTATTCACGGAATGGATTCCAAATGGCCAAATTCGGGATTTGGTAATGACACGACCTGATTGGAACCATCCTTTACCCAATCGAATGCTTTGGAGATGTTTCTTATGCAGTAAGCTTGCAAGTTGCATCTTGGGTTAGAGGGAGCTGACATCTCAACTATAGTGTGTCACATGCTCATCGCTATGGCTTGGCCCCCTGAGGGAAATCCAAATGCACCTTCAGCCAAGCCAGAGCTTCCGCCGAATAATTCGCTTGGCGTCCGACCGCAGAAATCTACAATGAGACATAACGATATAAATATTGGGAATAGTAAGCTATCGAAGTTCCATGATGTTGTAGCTATATACGTCGCCTTACTTATGTCGCGTAACAGTTATGTTTGGAGATTTTGATTGCATGGCACATCGACTTGTCCCCATTCTCAAACTTATCGACTTTGGACAAGCCAGTAATTCCACCGATTCCTTCCAGTAGGTGATAAAATATTGCTTGGGAGAACTTATGCTAAAGCTCGAGCAGATATACAGAGGAATCAGCGGTCCGACAAAATATGCTTAGAATTGCCGAGGTAATGGTCAACTTGATAGGAGGTGCGGTTACGATGAATCCAAGGGGGATTCAAGATATGGAAGTTACTATAAATGGGGAGAAGAAAACCATAAAATCACGCGCGAAAGATTTGGATGGACTTAGTGGATACGGGGCGACTAATGCTATCATTCAAAGACACAAGGAGTGGTTGGACAACTTAGATACCGATCTCAGAGACCTCCTGGTGCTGTGCCTAGCAACTGACGAAAACATGCGGCCGACTCTAGAACAGCTTTACGAAGAGGTTCGGCGTAATGTTACAGAAAAGACCCGAGGATCGTATGCTGGTAAAAGATGGCAGGACAATGAATCAGACGAGTCACTACGTACTATCTCGAGGAATTTAATAGTGAATCCCGCCAATAAATCTAGTTGAAGGCAACTAAAGATACCTACTTAAAAAGGCATAGAAGTGAGGGAAAAAGAATGACATTATAAATATGGAAATATGATAACATATAAATGGAAACATTAATAACAGAGATACCCCAGGTAGCTATTCTTTCTTATCAGCTAAGTGAAGAGTTCAATTCAAACTTCGTACGAAAAACTATCCAACGCATGTGTCTGATACTGTTTAACGCAGATAGGAGAAGCACATGGAGAAAACGGTACAATGTTTTAGAAATCGTCCAAATAAAGTCGATGCCTATGAACATTGCTACCTACATATGAACAATATTTGGCCGGGTGCCAGTATGTTAACTTCACTTTAGGTGCACCAGCCGAAGGTAGCCTACCTAATTTACAAGCAAAACTAGGTATTTATTATTAGCTGCCGTACCATGTCCCTTCGACTGGTATAAGACTACAGTTTCCACAAAACCAGTAACTGTACACTAGCGATAGCGCAGGCCCGTTAAACCTATAAGCATTGAGGCTCTTACAGTGGTCTTCAAAGGAGTCTAACTAACAAGAAGTAAGCTTATGTGGGTGCTGGTGGAGCTCTCAAAAGCATACACGCCGCTCCTTGGATTATAACTACTGACAACCAGCACTAGAACTCAATTTACAGCTTAGATTTGAGTCTTCTACGTAGGACGAGTCAATGGCCTACACTTCAAAAAGAGATCAGGGTGATGGATCCACATTTCATCATCCCACGGCCAATCCATATCCTCCTCCTCCTTCCTATCGCAACCGTTTTCACTTTCAACCTCCTTGCTTCGTTGCTGCTCCGTAGTTTCCAGCGAGATAGACCAATTCTCTAGTACCTCGACTACCACGGCCCTCAAGAGAAACTCCGCCACGTATTTCCCCAGGCACGTCCGCGGGCCGAACCCGAACCGCCAGTACCGATAGCGCAGATCCCGGCCGCTCTTATGTCTCTCCAGCCAGCGCTGCGGCCGGAACCGCTCGCGGTCGGGCCCCCAGAACGGGTCGCGGATGTTGAGCGCGTAGGAGTCGACGACGAAATTCGTGCCCGCGGGTACTTCGAAGCCGTCGAGGACGCGCGGGGTGGGGCATGACTGGGGGACGGAAAACGCGGCCAGAGGGCGCAGACGCGCGGACTCGAGAATGCATGCGCCGAGAAGAGTGGGCGTGGTCGTCCAGGAAGAGAGGAGATACGCGTTGCGCGACGCCGCGTGGGAAGAGCTTGTCTGGATTTCGCTGCGCAGCATCTTCTGCACGCTGGGGTGGGCCGCTAGGAAGACGAGCGTCCACGAAATGCCGCCCATGGTGACGTCGATGTTGGCGAACAGCATTTCATCGAGCGTTTGCAGGAGCTGCTCTCGCGTTATTGTTCCTTCGTCGACGCATCTGTACATTCCGATGATAGGTGTCGCCTCGGCTCTCTTGGTCTGGAGAGCATAAGCATGCGCCTTGTCATTCCATTCAGCCCAGCGTCTCTTGAAATCGCGAAGCGCGCGAATGGCGGGGAGAGGGAGAAACCGTGCGATGGAAAACCTCGTGATCCCGCCTCCAACCACACTCTTGAATAGCTCCTCCCTAAGCGGAATCAGCTCCCTCAACTCTTTCTCGAGCTCCGCACTCAATGACCCATATATAATTCTTGCTACAAAAAGGAACGGAAGCAGTTTCAGATCGTGCACCGGATGTAGCTTACCATGATCCCTGAGTGGCTCACTCTCCGCATTCAGCGCACGCATGTATGCTTTGGTAAAGTCTTGAATGTCGGTGACATATGTGCTTGCTGAACGGTGTAGGAACGGAGCTTCGACGCCAGACTTGACGGCATTCCAGGGCGAGCCGCTGATTAGCCCAAGACAGGAGCCTAAAAGGCGGTCCATGAGGTAGCCGCTGTCGTTCGCGTGGGCTTTGGTGTGTTTATTGGAATCATGGAATACGGTTTCGACGTGGGTATGTTTGGTGAGGACACTTGTGAGGTAAGTTAGCCGTACGCTATATAATTACTGCGAAAATGACAATGAATGTATAGGATTTAAGCAAGTCTAGTTCAAATACTCACACTTCTCCTTTTATCCCCGCCCACAGGCGATAAAGACCTCCATACTCGCGCTCCCAATTGGCGCTTTTCGTGCGTCCATGTAGAAATTTCTCGGTGTTTCCCTGACCGTTAGGAAAGACGTACGGAAGTGATGGCAAATCTCTACCATTCTCGACATGCTTGATTGGGTAACAGCTGCGCAGCACAATCTGGAAAGGGGTTAGTGATTTGTGCATTGAGCGGATAGCTGTACACAAACGCATAATCCAGGTTAAAGAAGCTTACATTGATAATACGAGAAAGTAAGGATGAGAGGCACGTCTTTATGGCTTGACTTCGTAATAGAAGGATGACAAATAAAAAGGCGACAGCGAGAAGCATGGTAGAGGAAAGAGCATAAATAGGAAGGCGGGCGTAAAAGGTATATATTTCGTTAATCGAAATTAAGGAAGATTTCATCATTGATGCTATTATTGTGAGTCAAAGTCGCTAATACCGTACATGGCTGCAAGTTATTGCAAGCACTGGCTAAACAAACTAGGTAGGTAGAAACCAAGAAGAAAAGGACTGAAATCATGTTGAAACAGGATTTGATATCAGGTAAGTACGCGTACAACATGCTCATGGCTGAAGTCTTCTGACAATTCAAGAAGGACGGCTTCATGTTAGAGAGGAGCAAGAATCAATGTATGTTGGTGGCGGCTCACCAATCCCTGGCCTTTAGCCCCTGCTACCTAGATTTTATTGTGAAAATATCTAGAGGTAGTAGAAAACTTGTATATATATCATAACCTTTAAAAGGCATATATATGACATGAAACATTTACCTACATAGCGTTCATATAGGCGTGCATACCTTATAATTCGGCTAAGGCGTATGGGCTCCGGACTAATACCGTTGGTCGGCTTCCGACCCGGCGGCCGAGTTATCAGGAGCTAAACAGGCTTCGGATGCTCTCCGCCGAAGTCCCTAGTACGTCAAGTGCCTTAGTGGAACTACCTAGTAGTGAGTGGATCACCGCTGGCTACTGCATATCTGACTACGCACTACGGTAGGCAAGGGACGTCGCTCATGTTCTAGGAAGCTTTTGGCTGGGAACTTCGCGCTTGTTGCGTCTTAACTTATGCGCGGCCTTGGTATTTGAGGCGCAGCAAGCTCTTTTCAGCTTGAAGATCGGTCTGGAAACGTCGTACAAGGATACCATGTAATACGTGAGTTTGTAAACATCTGGATAGAATCCCTCCCATCACACCATTAAATAGAGGTACAGCAAGAAAGCGTGCGGCACGGTGCACGTCTTGGCGACGAGTTCATTCTTGCTCGGACTGCTCGGATTAACAGCTCCAGAGCTTCCAAGGTTGTTTATAATGTTGGGAGATTTTCTGACGCGTTGGTGAAGCGGCGTTACTAAAGTTACGTGAGCGCCTAGGTACCTAGGCATGTGACACCTACGAGAGCAATCTCCACTTCTACGATGTCGGCAGAATAGCACTAGCAGCCCTATGTGGTAGTGGTACAGAGTGTCATCGTTGATCCCTAACACGTGCAGTAACGGAAACCGCGGAACTGGCTTTATGGGTCTTTTATGATTGGTCAGATAATACCGATCCACTAGATATGTACCTACCCACCTAATCCTTAGACTTTACATATTCTTTCCTTCGAGTCTCATGAGCCAGCGGTCTGTTCTAGCTCTTTCACCCACTTTTCAGCTTCCTGCGCCAAGTCTGGATCGTATAACCAACCTAACTCACCACCCTCTCCACGTGTGAGCGATTGATCACTCCAGGTTGCTCCTGGAGGCAACCTGGCTCGTTCTGACTCCGGCAGTCGCTTGACATTCATTTGTTGGGTTAGATCGAGGACTTTCTTGATGCGCTCCTGGCGGTACGCCTGCCACTGCGCGGCCGCCTTGTCCAGCGGTACTTTCGGCGAGAGCTTAGAGAGGAGAGTGGCTAGGGCTCTCACATCTTCAAAGGCCTGGTTGGCGCCCTGACCGGCTGTTGGAGGAATTGCGTGCGCCGCATCCCCAACTAGGATGATTCTCTTGGATTCGGATAGCCATGATGCCAAGGGGGGAATGCCATGGAATGCCCAAAAACCCATGCGGTCCACCGGCACAGCTTCCAGGGCTGACTGTACCACATCCGGCCAGTCAGACTTGTTCTCCTGGAGCATATCGTACAATTTTTGTTTATCCTTCCTCAATGCTTCCCAACCGGCCGAGTCCAGCGCCGGAAATCGACGCTGGGACCCGACGAAGAGTTCGGATCCGTCAGGCTTCTGTGGCACAAGCAGAAATGCGCCCGGCTTCGCCATAACAGTCGCGGGTAGCTTATAACCGTCGGGAATACGGAGCTGAGATCTTTGCACGACGCTATTGATGCCCATGAAACCTGCGTAGATTGGCTTCACTTCGGGTAAGAAGGTTCCGCGTACGGTTGAGTGGATGCCATCCGCCCCGATGAGGAGAGGGGCAGATGCGGTCTGGCCGTTTGCGAAAGTGAAATCTACCTTATCTGGACCATCGGAAGTAATGGCGGATAGCTTATGGTCGTAGTGGATAGGGATGTTACGCTCTCGCAGCATTGCCTTCATCTCGTCCAAGAGTTCCTTGCGCATGATGCGGATAGCCTGATAACCATATAGCTTTGCCGAGCCAAAGTAATACTCATCGGTGGTCTGGTTCTGGCCATCCTTGAAGGTGAGCACGTCAAATTGCAACGAGTTATCACGGACGCGTTTGTAGACGCCGACGCTGTCGAGGACACGCAAGGCGTTGGGGGAGAGCATCACACCACCACCTTGGTCGAAGTCCTCGGAGCGGGCCTCATAGATGGTGGAAGGAATATTCAGATCGTGTAGTGCAAGAGCAAGCGTGAGGCCCTAAGAGTACTCAAGCAGTATCAGCAAAATCAGAACCAGAAAATGGCGTAGGTCTAGGTGGTTGATACTTACGGCAAGTCCTCCGCCAATAATGGCGACATGAGCGGGGGGGCTAGTGAGCGTCATTGTATGAAAAAAAAACAACCAACGAAATATGAGCGAGATGGGACGAGTGAGAGTGAAGTGAATCGACGAGGAAAGAGAGAGAAGAGCAGGATATATCCTTTATTTTCAATTCAGTTTGTTTTCAAGTAGGTACTACGTATCCCACCTCTCGGAGCCTCGCCGACTTAAACCTACGAGACCGAAATGGTATAGCATAGCATGGTATATTTAACGCCAGGGCCAGGGGGAATAACCTTCCCTCGCAGACCTCCTGAGGGGTATGCGGCATGCAGAGCTACTTCTTGGTCCAGTTCTAATTCTAATTATACCAAGAAAAGTCCTAGTCCTACACAGCGAAGTATCCTACATGGGTAGGTATCTAACCTATTGGCATAATCCTATCTATCTTATGTAATATTATGTGCCTACAGATAGAAGGGATAAAAGGCAGGCACCAACAGGCCTAATAGGAATCGAACCTAAACTACTTTTATCCCCCTATCCAGTATCTCCCACTTAATTAATTTCTTACGCCCCCAATCATAACCCCACCTTCAGCCCAGAATGGTACCCTGCCTGCCTACCTAGGTCCCTTTTACGAGTCCCTTAATTCAGCCCTACAGCCTTAGTACTACCATATCGTATATCAATTGCCTTTTGTACCTACGTAGACATCACTGAAGATGAACATGATATTTGTCCAAATCATGAAAAACACCGAAATATTTCTCGGAAACTAGGAGATGATATGTCATTATGCAAGTTTTAACTCAAGTGGGAATGGTGGTTTTGAATCTGTAAGCGTGGTGTTTTAGTCAAGGCTAAGTGCCCCCCTTTTATTCGTTCCTATGATAAATCTGCTAAGCCAGTCCCAAACTCCACGGTCTCGATTCCATCAGGGGTTCCACCACTAATACCCAGTAACCCGCGTTCTATTTCTGCAAGTTTAATTGATGATGGCTTCTGACGCATAAGTTTAAGGCCTGCGTCAATCCGTGCAGCGAACAGCCGTACCTCATCCATCGAGAATATGGATGTATCGTACTCAATGCGGAGCGTTACCGAAGATGAGCTGATGGCTGAGAACTCGAACATGATACCGAACTTAGCGCCCTCAGCCCAAGAAACCAACGGTTGGATTCCAGGAATAAAGGTATTTATTGAAGACGACGGTTCAGTAGCGCTAAGCTCGTGGAAGGTGACCACAGCATCGAATAGCGGGTGGTTTGGAGCCGCGGTGGTTGCGGCTGCACGCCATTCCTCGTCATCCGAAGAGGAAAGAATCTTCATTAGAGAATTCCACTCGATGCTATGGCTGAGAGCGGACCTTGAGGATTCCTGTACAGCCCGAAGGAAAGTTTCCAGGGAGGGCTCTTTCAAGCTATCTCCTCGTCGGTCCAGCCGTCTCGGGATTCGAATTGGGAGTGGCTGTAAAAAGAGACCAATGGTACGCATATCTTCTTCCTGTCTCCCGAGATAGGGACTGCCTAGGAGCAAATCTTGCTTTGTTGGGCTATCAGCCTGGAGAACTAGGGACACGATCGCCAGTCCAATCTGATGTAGCGTAAGACCTGGTGATCGCGAGAGTGTCTCAAGGGTTGACATTGTACCCCTCGAGAGTCGGAACAGTATGGAGTTGCCATGATACGAAGTGCGAGACATTTTCATGTACGGCGGCATCTTCACAAGGTCCTTGCCAGATAGGTACGATTTCCAAAAGTCAGCAGTGGCCTGATCGACGTCGAGATTCCAACATGTCGTATCCTGGTATCGTTTCCTGGGAGACACCGTTGACGATTCTTGATGGTTGGTATTAAGATATACGGCAGTGAACTCCTCGAAAAGCTGAGTAAGGGTTGTATAGTCGCATATAATATGGCTCACGCAAACCATCATGTAACGTTTTGAGACGAGCACTCGGATCGGGTCTTCCAACTCGAGAGAGAATTCTGCATTGATAGCAGCTCGGACGTCAAAATCTTCCACATATAAGGCTCTAGGAGGCTCGGTAGCGTAAGATCTTTCCGCACTACCATCCGTTGCTGATCGTCGAAATCTGCAGCGCAAGATTGCATGTCTAGCTAAGACGGTGTTCCAAGCTGATACTAGTGCTAGGTGTTGATCAAAGGTCGCGTCTAACTTAGAGACGTGTGAGACGTTGAATGAAGAAGTCCCAAGATTTCGCTCATACTTCAAAAGCCAGTCGAGTTCGATGGGCGATATTCGACTGTCCCCAAGAGCTCTTGCACCATTTCGATTAAGGGGCCTCCGCATGGCAACGTCAGCTACCTCACTTTCTTTCATTGCATCAATCGTAGATGCTAGACGTGATACCACAGGATTTTCTATGACGTCCTTGACTGTAAACCGTCGCTGAATGGAGGAAGAAATTCGACTTGCCAATTGTAGTTGAACGATAGAATGACTGCCGAGAGCTGTGAGATTTGAGCTGCGGTCTAGGGGTATGCTTGGGTCGAGCTTCATCAAGTCCCGCACAGCGTCTAAAACTAATTTCTCAGTCGCGCTCACGACACTCTTCTGAGACTGTGAATCTATCGCTGGGTTTTCGGCGCTCATGTCAGCCATTTTTTCAAGCGCCTTGTAATCAAGCTTGCCTGCGACGGTCAAAGGAAATCTCTCTAAGGCGAAAATCCTTCGTGGCATAGCGTATGGGGGCAGCGCGTTACCGATGAGTGCCTTTGCATCCAATGCGCTGATTGGGCTGGCTGAAGAAGTTTGATATGCGGCTATTAGATGATCATCGCGACGGAAGATGGCAGCACCTCCACATCCAGGAATCGCCTTTGCAACTCGTACTTCTAAATCATCAAGGTCGAGCCTGAAACCATGTAGTTTAATCTGCCGATCTTTGCGTCCGAGTATGTGAATCTCTCCGGTCACGCCATCCCAATATGCATAGTCACCAGTCTTGTACATCTTCTGGCTGGCTCCAGGAACCACCGGGTCGTCCAGGAAGTGCTTCGTGTTCAGCTCAGGCATGCCGATGTATCCACGTGATACCTGTATTCCTGCAATATGCAATTCGCCAACCGCGCCAGGTGGGAGTAGATCATTATTACGATCGAGGATATACACTCTGCTTGACGAATTCGGTCGTCCAAGAGTGACAGCCTCGTTCGGCAGGAGCCTTTTTATCGTTGTACCACAGGTAGTTTCAGTTGGGCCGTACATGTTATATAGAGAGCGATTCCTCGCCCACGTGTCGCAAACGGATTGAGGAACGGCTTCGCCGACCAGGTAAACCTAGGAACACATAGGCGTTAGCTTCGCTCCTTTACAATTGATAGCCTTAATATAGAGAGTATCTACGTACGTTTCTTAGTCGGGGATATTGGTCAGGATCCAGCACTTTCGCGATGGAGGGGGTCAGAATAGCAGAATCACTATCCGTCAAATGCGAAAATGGACCGTCTTGGTCATCAGGCGACGCCAACCGCAAAGTGGCGCCATGTGTCAAGGCAGAGAAGATTTCGTGAATGCTGCCATCGAAGACAGGAGACATCACTTGGGCGATGACGATGCTTCTGGAAGCAGCCAGGCGAACCACATGGTCTTTCTGGAAAGCCACCAGGCCTTTGTGCGTACATTGTACGGCCTTGGGCTGTCCAGTTGAACCAGAGGTGAAGCAGATGTAGGCAAGATCATCTGGGCGAGCGGTGCGTCTTCTTGGATAAAGGGCCGAGCTATCACGTATCTGGGCGTCGGCTTCCGCGAGAAGATCATCAACGGATATAACGCGGCATTGAAACGAAGCTGCATTGTCTTGTTCCTGCCGTGGTGAACAGAAGCGCTGAGCTGTAGTAGCAGTAGATGAGGGAATTAGCACAGCGCTTGCGCCGCTGCGTAGGAAATTGGCGAGCTGCACGGACACCGGCGATGAGGGATCAATTGGGGCGTAAACGCCACCCGCCTTGAGCACACCAAAGATCGCAGCAATCCAGTTCACGGATCGGTCCGCGTAAACACAAACAGCCTCATTGGGCTTGATCCAGCTCAATTCACGCGCAACGATACCCGCCGCCTGATCCAAGTCGTCATAGAAGACCTTCCCGCGTTCACCATGGATGATTGCTACGTCCTTAGGATGTCTAACCACGATGCTTTCAAACAATGTCACTAAGTCATCCCCTTTGGCATCGTCCAAAGTCTCGGTGGAAGTACAATTGCTCCACTGCCTGATTTTCGCTTCCATCTCCTGTGGTAGTAGAGCCTTCTGTATGCTTGACACCAATCGGTTTTCGTCGCCGCTTCGCAGAAGGCAGTCCATACTCCTTTGAAACACGGACCGCACGTTTTCAATGTCCTCTTCCGCATAACGAGCAGTTGAATAGGATAACTGTAACCGAGATTGCCCCTCGATGATGAGATTCATTGGAACTCCGGACTGAATATCAAGACCAGCTCTATCTTCTTGCATTGGTATTGGCTGTACTTCTCCCTTGTCATACTCGAGCTGTGTGGCCATAATAGAGTCGAACCGCCTGTCGAATCCCTCGGTAGCCTCTGAATGTTGAACGTCGTTCAACTCGAGGATGCCATCGTGAATCCTCCGTAAAAACGTTTCGACGGAGATTTTATCGCCATTGACTGGCACTGTGACGAATAGCGGCAATATATTTATCAGGGGTCCAACAACATCGAAGGCTCCCGGAATGGGCAAGTCGCGTCCTGAGAGAACCATGCCGAAGTAGATCTGGTCAGAATCCATAAACTTGCTAAGGGTCAGAGCCCATGCCGCAGCAAAGTACACCGTTGTGGTATACCCCGTTCTTGCCCTAGCCGCTGCCAGTTGCCCATCAGGAAATTGGATTGTGATCAATCCCTGAGGGGATACTTTTCTCGCTTTGGCTGCCCTTTGGGGACTCAGGTGCAGCTCTCCGATCGCAGCAGGAAACTGCTCGCGTTTCCTATCCCAGAAGCATCGCGTCAATTCTCTTCTCTCGTCTCGTAACATTCGCAAAGAGCGCACTGTTTCCTTGAACGACGGCCCTGCACCAACGCCAGTTTCTCCTCGCAGGGTGCGTCCAATCTTATCACGCAGAATCCGAGCGGAGTAGCCGTCCATGAATGCATGGTGTATACGCCAGACAGCAACTGTGGGTTTCGTTATCTCCTTCGATTGCGAAGGCTGAGACAAGTGTATGACTGTGAATTTTGATATAGGACCATTCACATCAACTGCATTGGCGAATTCTCTCTGATACTCGTCATAGGTTCTGACTTGAATTGTGTTTGGAAGCAGAAGTTGCTGCGGCGATATTTCTAAATCATGAAGGAGATCTTTGAATATTGGCTCCGCTAGAATTGTATTCATCCACGAGTTGTAAACATCTTGTACGTCCCAGAAGTCTTCATAGGATTCGTGTAAGGTCACTATGTTCAGCTTTGGATTGTAAGAAGTCTCGTGGAGTAGAAGGAGTTGCGGCTCCGTCCATTCGGTTGTGGTCATGTTGTCTAAAACTCTCTTCGCAGATATGATAGCTTGTCCGCCATAGAACGAAGATGCGTTTCCAGCTTCTGGGTCTGGTTTCGCTACTGTGGTACGTATATACGACGATTCATCGAGGCTGGCGTCTATTACAGCTGGGACTGCTGTACTGGCGGCGACCATACCAGCCTTCGAGAGAAGTGGAAGCGAAGGCGGACGGGGAGACTTGGGTGGTATGGGTGAATGCATTGTCAGAGCCCGCGCCGAATTCGCAGCTTTTCTTATAACTTCTCTCACTGCTAATGTCCGCAACAGAATGCTGGCAGAGATCAAAAGTCCTCTTTTCTGACATTCTGCTGAGATGAGGATGGCAGACAATGAATCGCCACCTAGCTTGACAAAAGTGGTTGTGTCTGCAGCATGGTCGATCTCATCCATGCTCACACCAAGCACCATCGACATTGCCTGGGCTATAACGAAGGCGTAGTTGTTATTGCTAGATGACTCCATTGCGATTATTTCGTAAACAGCAGTGTCAATTATGATATGGGTAGCAGCTATCTGACTAATCCGGGCCAATGACAGGACAGGAGCAGCAGTATTGGGACTTATTATACATCAACTCATTACTACATTAACTACAGTAGTTACAGATGTGAGAATATATATACCTATACCAATGGATGTTGGTTATATTTATTCCTAGATATCCACTGCGTTCCTTCTAGGATGAGGACCCCAAGCTTACGAGAGTGGCACAGCTGGGCCGAGAAAGCCGACTTGGTCGTTATGTTGGTGATGACTGTTAAGTTGGTTAGTCGTGCCTCTAGGAGGCTTATAAATACCTACTCATAATTAGGCACGCTACGTTTCCAAAACATCTTTACTATCAATACGCGAAAAGCCTGTGCCGAAGTCGATCTAACCTACTCGGTCCTCAATAGCTTTGCCGACTTTGATTTTATCATGACGTTGAATATTGCCATTATTGGAGGTAAGATTGGCTGATGATTCGGTACTGCCTTTGTCATTTGCTAATTATTTGCCCGTGCCAACGGAAATAGCTGGCCCAGCTGGCCTCACATTAGCGAAGCTGTTGCAAAAAGCGACAATAAGTTGTAAAGTGTTTGAAAAAGACACCGATCGATATAGTCTAAGAAATCGAGGCGGCTCGTTAGACATTCACGCGGATTCTGGACAACGCGCCTTGAAAGAGGCTGGTCTGTTCGAAGAGTTTAAGAAGCTCGCTAGGCCAGAGGGCGAAACTCTACGAATCTACTCGCCCGATGGCACCGTACTTATGGACGAGAGTAGAGGTGACGCTGGACGACCCGGAGAGTTCGTCGACAGGCCTGAGATCGATCGCACGCAACTACGCAATCTTCTCTTGGATTCGCTAGCGCCTGAGACGGTGTGCTGGGATTATAGACTACTCAAGATCCACCACAGCCAAGAAAACTCGAAACTAACCTTGACTTTCGCCAACGGCAATGAGGAGCCCAACTTCGACCTTGTGGTAGGCGCTGATGGGGCCTGGTCCAGGGTCCGAACAAGCCTGAGTGAAGTTGAGCCCTCCTACTCGGGCATAAGCGGTCTGGCCTGCCGCATCTCAGACGTGGATTCCAGGTTTGGAATGCTGTCTAAGCATGTTGGACAGGGCATGTGTCTCAACCTGGGATCGGACAAGGGTCTTCTATGCCAGCGAAACAGCGACGGCACAGTTCAGGTCTACGCCTTCGCCCGATTACCGAATGATTGGCTCACGGCATGCGGGATTGACTTTACCCATCCTAACGCGCGGCGAGAGGTGATCGATTCGCTTTTCTCAGAATATACACCCCTACAGAAGTCTCTGGTGCTTAACGGTGATCCAGATACTGTAGGTCGGCGGCTTCATATGCTTCCCGTGGGGTTTGAATGGACTCATAATCCAAGGTCAGAAAACACAAATATTTTTTCCCCTTTCCTATAATTCATATTTTATATCAGCTGACATCGATTATCCTAGAATTACACTTATTGGAGATGCTGCGCATCTAATGACTCCGTTCGCAGGGGTAGGGGTTAATTTAGCCATGCAAGACGCATTAGACCTTGCACATACCATTATCGCGAAGGACACCGAGCCAGAAGACTCATCATCATTGAGTGTAGGCCTCCAGAAGTTTGAAGTCGGAATGTGGGCGCGCGCGAAGCAGAACGCAGAAGCCACAATAATGTACCAGGACCTATTCTTCCATAAACGCGGCGGCGTCGCCATGGTGGAGCATTTTGCGAAGAGGAGGCAGGAAGATGAGCAGAAAACAGGACAATCAAATAAGCATTAGAGCACACAAGTTGATTATCATTATTATTGCTCTACTATGAATACCTATCCAGATAATAACAAATGGGCAGATTCAAAATAAGACCAAAGGAAACCTTAGATATTTTGAGTATTCAATCTGAGGTGAGGTGGAATCATTTCAATGCGTACCTATGAACGAGTGAAAGGATTATATCCAAGGTTTATTGCAAATCGCCAGGAGAAATGAAATCCTCGAGATCACAATCGTCTTCTGCATCAAACGCCTCGAACTTCCTAATCAGTTCCCCATTGCGATACTTGTTTGTGATCTTTTCCTCCATTCCGACAGGAACCCATCCGCCAAAATCCGCTTCGTCGATGTAGATACCAATCGGAGGGCTCTGGAACTGATAAGGGGAACAGCGCGCATCGTGCTCGATGTGACTGGAGCGAGTAGGCAAGATTTCAACTGCTGGATGTCTACGACGACTTCCGATTAATATCATACCTCGGCTTTCGCCAGAGGTTGGTGGAAAGTATCGCACTTCGCGTTGCTGCGCTGTCGCTGGGAGGAGGACTGTCTCGCGGGGCGTCGTAGGCAAGGAACCTGACGGAAACCCTACTCCTCTGGGTCTGAATAACTCTATTCGAATGACGGATAACCTACAAGAGCTCTGAGTCACGTAGACATGTTGCTCGGTCCAAGTAAAGGTTATTGGAAGTTTGGAGATCGAAAAGCAGGCGACATCACCGAGCTTCGCTTTTACCCGATGAATTAGGGTTGGCGGACTTCTACTCGTTTTATGTTCCGAGAGCCGATGTGTCGTAACGAAGACTGCTATCCCAAGTTCTTTGGGCGCCTTCTCCTCGGTAGCTTCGAGTTTCACTTTCCTCTTATCCTGTGCTTCTATAGTGGCGATGTGCATAAATCTACCACACTCAGAGAAGTGGACCTTCATACAGACATGACGAGCTATTATATCTCTTAGTCATATATTCCCTCAAGTAGATATCAAACTTTGAATTAACGCTATACTTACTAAATCTAGTCGTTGCCAAAACACGTCGGATAAAGTAGGTGTTTTGTCGATAGTCAATGAACAGGATATCACCGCCGCATAATGGCCATACGACTAGCGGCTTGGAAGGGTGTATGGCCGGAGGTGAGTGATATAACATCACGGGGAGCTCGTATTCGAAACGGAAAATCTGTTGAGGCCTTTCGCCATTTAGGTCCAAAATTGAAATCAAACCTTGACCTTTGCTACTGTTTCGTGCTTTCGTGGACCTGCGTGGTCGCAGCATCGATAACGTGGCCTGATGCTCCTCTTCGTCATCAGAACACTCCTCCACATACCCCGTAAGATCGGCAAGAAGTTGGCCATGTGAAATTATAACCTCGGCTCTCGAATCTTCGCTGTAATTATCTGAGGGCTCACTGCTGTTGTCTGTCAAGCCCACTGATAGGTCAGGGTCTGAGGCATCTTGAGTTGAACCTTCGCTAATCGATTCTTCTGCCACATCTTCAACATCGGATTCATCTGAGATTTTGTCGGACAATGTTGCAGCATCACTTCCACTGCTGTAGTCATCATCTGCCTCACTATCGGATCCTCCGCCCGCAACAGGGGTCGAATCGTTGTTACTATGCCATTCATGCAAATCATTGCCGATAATTTCGATTCCAGAATCAGTCAAATCCAGCTCAATCATATCCTCTTCTTTCCTATTTTGCCTTCGAGCAATTGCTATGATATTGTTGCTGCTGGAAAATTCTTCGAAGTATCTGGCAATATCGGTGTTGGAGTCTTCGATTGTTATTGCTTTTTTGTAATTGCCCCCATCCTTATAGAATAGCTGGCTGCCAATACGGAGGAAATTATGATCGCTGCTGAATGAAATTGATTCAGGGTGACTGAGTCTTTTTGTGACTTTTCGAGGTTTCGCAGAATACAGAAACCACCCACTCCTCTTCTCGTCTGTCTTTACAGTGACCGTCCCTGAGTGAATAGGTGGGTTTGAAGCCCACAGGTCCCAAATATCCACGATTACGTATAATTCACCGATGTTTCTACAGCCGGATTTAGTGCTGATACCAATGATAAATGATATTGGATGCGCTTTAAAACACTTACGCTGGTTTCAGGGAAACTACCGCTGCCATTCTTCCATCGCTGGAGAAATGATCAGCAACCCCCGGATCAAATTTGTCGGTATCGTAGTTCCCTTTATGCAACATGAAACTTGAATGTTTCTCTTCCATGCTTCCCAGGAAGCTATTAGGACCCATGATACCCGAGAGACAACGATTGATTTCAATCTTGCATTTATATATCGGACACTTATCCCCTTCGCAGGGACAGCTGAGGAAATGTTTCCATTCACTGACGAAATGGAGATAATCTTTCAATACTTTACCATTCGTCCCAATTAGCGATCGAGGAAGAGATTTCCTAAAGCGTGCCTGTGGATGACGGCTGCTAGTGAAGAGATCGAACTGATACTCAATGAAAATACTCTGGACCTGAAAGAGAGTCTGAAAGTTGGGTGATATTATGAATCTGTGAATAAGTTTCACTTGTTCTGGGGTAACAACGACAGCGTCAAGGTGCCTATGCCAATATTTAGCAGCGTAGGTCAAGAGATGATGAGTTTCAACTGCCTGCGTAATGGACTCGTGATCCTCAAACGGTTTCATGTAACGTTTCTGCATGAGGTATCGAAGGCATACATTTGCTATGCAATGCTCGTTGATAGGATATTCTTGACCTTCATCCTCTTGGAGCACACATGGGTTTTTGTTTAGAAAATCTTTGACAGAGACGTGCGTGAGCTGAATGAAAGGGTCTGATTCTACGTGGCTCGGGGTTGTCTCGATTAGGCAGCTAAATATGTTATCAAGCCTCCGGGGTTTGTTTGCTTGGTTGATATTTGCTCCAACAACATCAGGCAAGACAAGAGCCAAGGCCTCTTGGAGTTCTTGTAGTCTCAGGGGACGTCTTGCGAATGCAACGATAGAGAATAGTTCACTGTCAATATTAGACTGAGTATCTGAGTCGGCAGTCTTTAGAAACTAACCTCGCAGTTTTGCGAACGTGATGATCACGGTATTGTGTCTTGAATATTCTCTTATAAATATCTGACACGTCGATCGGGAGCTCTTCTTGGATTACCCGAGGTAGCTCACTAGGCCTGAAGGATCCTTCCTTCATATAACCCGTTAATAATCTGGCGAATAGAAAGTTGCACTCGCATCTTTGTAGCAGCCTCGGTATTAAAACGTTTTCAACTTAAGAATACTTAGTTCCTTCTTCACAAAGTATCGTCAGGGTGTGGAGCTTACTAAATTCGTCATTGTCAAACAGCCCCTCGGTAGACTCCCGCATCTCACTTTCGATATAAGCGCGTACGTCATTTCTCGTGTGTTCTTTCAAATGGATAGTAGGATATCTTGACAGAAGCCCATTTAGTTGCCGTGAAGGGCGAGAGGTGACCCATATTCTCACAACACTTGGAAACTCGCCCAATAATTTGAAAGCGAATGGACTGAGTGTTTCTTCTTCTCGTGGTTCTTCATCTAACCCATCAAGGAACATCAGTAAACTTGGAGAGCCTGCTGACTTCTGTCCTTCTAGACTTTGCAATTCTTGAATCAGGTGCTTAGCCATCTTTAGTAGTCCATCAGTTGTTAGAGATGATGTGTCCTTTGTGATTCCTATCGCTGATAGTGCGATACTTTCATCTCTTGCGAATAGGTAGTCGAACAGTTGTTCGATCAGGCGGCCTGCCACTTGCATTACAGTAGACTGGTTGTTGAAGCGACAGTAGTAGAATATTGTGCATTTCTTGTGCCTTCGAGCATGCTCTATGGCTGCCGAGCAGAGCACAGATTTACCCAGTCCCAATGGTCCTTGTACCCAGATCACTGGCGGTGCTTCGTTTTTATGTAACCATTGATCGTATAGATCATGCTGCCATAGCCAATTGCAGCTCCCTGCAGCTCGCGCTCTGATATGGCGGTCAAGCTGCTCATGGTAGTCGATGTCGCTTTCCTTCCTAGGTACGAGCCACTTCTTAATGCGGTCTCTGTAATCTGAATCATATTGTCAATTGGCATCCTATCATGATATACTATGAGGTTTTCGTTGATACTTACGGGACAGCAGCTCAGGATCTGGGTTCTGACTATTCTTTACGAAGTCATGGAGCCCTTGGATGTCTTTCCTCAGGCTCTCTACCCGCTGCTCGAGACGTAGAGATGACGCACTAGAGTCCATTCTTATAAGTAAACTATCTTACCATGGTAATATAAGGCTCTAGGTACACCCCAGCCTTGTACCACAACTCTAAACAAGATGGATGCTATCACTTACTTGGTATTTAATACGATCACATCGACAAATAGTTGCCTGGCCTTTTTCAGCGACGCAAGTGCTCTTCCTATTCTTCGGTCAAATTTAGCACCAAGGAAAATCTGTTTGAGGTGGTCTTTGCTAAGGAAATTCTTGATGAAATCAAGAGCAACCTTGCAGTCTTCCAAGGGCCGTCTCAAATGATCCAGGCTGTCGAATGGTTCCTCGCCATTGTTATATGTCATACAATGAGTTTCTATATGGGTTTTGAACCGTTCCATTGTCTGTATGAACTCATTGAGATCGAGTTCCATTGACTTGATATCAGTTACACCATACTTTGAGGGTCCTATATGGGATCTCAAAAGGGCTATACAGCTACCTGTGAGCTGTATAATTGCAATGGTGGTCCCAACAATGCTCAAAGGGTCAGCCATTATTATCAATAATCATCAGGCAAGAAGAGGCTGCTTATTGAGGAAATAGGATTCTGAGTTGCGGGCAAGATTAGTAGTGTTATAAATATGGGCATATATATAGGCACTTAATTAAGAAGTAAATCATTGCGAAAACACGTGAATGCCCAATTTTCGCAAGGAATTGGCCTGTGTGTCAGCATATTACATCGTGCATTTCGGTATGGAGTTTCGGGGTCGCAGCAGGGGTGGTGGGTTGGCGATGACTTTCGGTGAGAAACGTTCTCTGAATCACGGTGATAACATAGGTAGTGTAGAGAAGTATTGGATAGGAGAAGGCCACAGCGACATGTCTGCCTACCTAGGTACTACATTTACATAACATTCTCTACAAGGCTACCAATAGGGAACAAAAAATCTGCATATAAGACAACGTAAATGCAGTGTACCACACAGCCTGCATATTGTTTTGCCACGAAAGGCGACTATATCATTATACTGCATTTTGAGGCATTTACCTAAGTACCTATTTAGGTACGTAATACTTCCAGTAGGTAGGTACATAAGCAGGCCTACATTCAAACTCTCCTTACAGCATTTTGTACTTCGTCTTTTCTGTACACGCATATACACCACCACCTTACCTAGATACCACCATGGCTGACGCAACGGAGAACTCAATCAAAGAGGCCAAGGGCCTCGTGGACGATGAAGGGCAAGCAAAGTCAAGGATACTTCGCTTCGATCAGATGTAAGTAGTATCTAGCTTCATATCGGTATATTCGACATTAATAATTTCTATAGATATGATTTGTACGTCTGGAGTGTGGAATTGTAGTGCCAACATCCTTGTGGTGAGATACTAAGTAGGAAAATTTAGGCGAACATCTAGCACGAAGCTTGAGAAGTCTGCCAAACCACGTGATGTCCTTTATAAACGATATAAAAAAAGGAACCCTGTTTTGGTAGTCCGAAGAATCATCGACTATAGGGGTAGACACATTGATACGGTAGTCGATATACTATCCAAGTTTGTGGCCGATACCTTAAGTGAAATAAACGAAGGTGTTGAAAACTTGGCACTCAACAAGACACCCCCTCAGGTATGGATTTGCGGCTATTTCATGTTGGATAAGTCTTTCTCATAAATGCAGGCCAGTCCAAATCTTTTCTTTCATAGTTGGGATGGCCTCCGGGGTTCCCTCCAGGGCGCACGAGGGTCGCCAGAGCCAAATCAAGAATTGATTGATGATCTCAAAATAGCTTGCGACTTTGTGGAAGAAGAGCTTAAGGCAACATCTGGGAACTGTTTATCTCTCATGGCAGCAAATGAGATCACTTGGCCTTTGCTTTGGACTCTAATGAAGCCAAACTCGTTAGTGTACCATTACCACGAACTCGTAGAACAACACCAGATTCTCAGGTTCAAGGGCATGGAGATGATCGAGTCACGTCAGAGACCACCGTACTGGGACATAAAATGCGACATCATCACAGACGACGGCAATAGATTCGGTCTCGCAAAGGAGCCGCTTCCCCTTGAAATCGAAATTTTCGATGGAGCTAGGAAGATCACAGACTTACCTGTATATCCCCTTGAAAGGTGTCCTGTGGCAGACAAGGCTAAGGAGGAAGCTTTAGCTAGAGGGAGATTCTTCCAAGGGATAAGACCACCATACTTCTGCCAAACCCATGGATTCGCAATGTCGGAGAAGAGTAATCATCCTTGGAAACCGATTCGATTCAAAGTTAGGACCTATGGCAGGGCCATGCTAGACGCCGCAGCATTTCGCACGTTCAATCCTAACATGGCGTTTCATCCAATAGTATCGCGCACCCTCGAGAGAGAATTGTTGACTGACGAACAGCTAATGATTACGAGTCCTGTCGCATTGGGGTTTTGCTTCGGGAGCAAGCAATGGCTCGGACTTGCGATGTCTCGCTTGCTGCCTATTGACTGGAATGACTTGGCATTCGAGCAGCTCGTACTCAATCCAAGGTCGAAAAAACTTATACTCTCGCTCATAAAGCATCACTCTGCACATGATGGCTTCGATGACATTGTCGCGGGTAAGGGCAAAGGAACTATCTTCCTTCTGAGTGGCCCCCCGGGATGTGGTAAAACGTTAACAGCAGAGGCGGCTGCCGAGATAACCAAACGACCGCTCTACAGTGTTTCGGCTGGTGATCTAGGAACGAAAGCAGACGAAGTCGAGCAGAGTCTCACTAAAATACTCGATGTCGCTCGGGCCTGGGATGCCGTACTTCTTCTCGACGAAGCTGACGTCTTCCTTCAACAGCGGAAGAGCGACGATATCAAACGAAATGCGCTTGTTAGTATCTTCCTGAGACAGATTGAGTACTACCAGGGGATCCTCATGTTGACGACAAACCGGGTTGATCAATTTGACATTGCTTTCGAAAGCCGGATCCACGTTAGTATTCGATACCCTGAGCTCGACCACGACGCCAGAAGGGCCGTGTGGAGCACTTTCTTGAACCGAGCCGGAGAATCTGCAAGTAACGCGAACATGAGGTTCACGGAGCAAGAAAAGGATGTACTTGCTTCTAAGGAGATCAACGGTCGGCAGGTTAGTTTACCTATCTATAATATTAAATCCAACGCGCACTATCGCGCGTTATGCATTAGTTCATTAACAGGTGTACAGATCAAGAACATAGTCCACGGTGCTCTTACCTTAGCGAGGGAAGCAGGAGAAACACTGGACATGTCCCATATCGACAATGTTCTAAGCGTGATGAATTCGTGGAAACAAGGCGAGGGAGCAGACGCCCTAGCATCGGAACAGGCCGCCGCTGAAGTGGTGGATTTATTAGCTTAATAATGGTTGCTCAAAGGTCAGGTATTCTAATTTAAAAATAGGGTGTTAGTAGTCATACCTTTCAATATTCTACCAATAATAATTAAATCATAAGAACATTTGCCACTAAGATGTAAGATGGGGAATAGGGTGGATGAGATCTAACATGAAACGCTAGATTTGAACGCCATCGAGCGAGAATCGTATCGGGAGAAGACCGCCGAGACTTTATCAGCCGGTAGGTTACATCCGACCCCGCCGAACCTCGTCATTACCATCCTTCTTCATCCTAGGAACACATGGCTTCTGCAATTGTCGCAAGTCCAAAGTTCAACTCTTCATCATCCAAGCTGGCCTAGTATGATTGGCTCACCAACACCACCGGCGCGGTAAGATGCTGTGAAATGGCATGAACTTATAGAAGATTGACAAGATTGTGAGACGAAGATGGCTTCGACTAACGACGCCGTAACCACTGCCCCGCAGCAGCAGAGACACAAGCTCGCAGAGTCGGCCGACTATCCTAGATGGAATGCTGAATTGATCGAGGCTCTGCGGGCGAGGGACTTGCTCCCGTACGTTATGGCAAGCGTACTAGAGCCCGCCGGCGATGAGAATTCTCCCGCTCGTCTACGTTGGCGAAAGAATCGTCTTACCGTCCTGCTCATGATGAAGCGCTCATTATCGACTGAGATGAAGAGTAAATTGGCCAGCGCCGGATGGGACTCTGCACACAACAGAGACCCAAAGAAGATGTACGATATGATCCGTAAGGTCTCCCAGGATGAGGAGAACAACGTATTATCCCAATCTCTATCGCCTTTTGGATCAATTGCTACCATGGATGACCTTGAGAAAGAGATCGAATTGATAGAGTATGAAGATGGCGAGGAAGATTGGACTTCAATCGATGTACCATCTAAGTCACCCCCGGTAGAATCGATCCAGGACCGTATTGTGCGTGTGACGAATGATCTACGGGACTTAACAGCATACTACGACATCGACGGCTCGGCGTCGCGGAATGGGAGGCTGGAGGTGTTCTTCCGGGACGAGCTCGCGGATCTCGAGAGACAACCATTCGACTCGTACTCATCGCAGGACGATAGAGTTGACCATTTATTGCTGCGCAATTATATGCGACGCGCACGGCGCACGCTCGAGCTCGATAAGGCCCGAGATGCCAAGTTCGCAGCTTTTGTCGAGCCGTTTGCCGCCCCCATCACAGCTTGGTGCGAGCAACGCCGGCGCGTCGAGTCGATTGATCCCAAGGATTTCGCTAACAGCCTCAACGCAACGGAAAAGCTTATACTACAGGCACGCGACCATATCAGCCACAATTCCAGCAAATATTCAAAGGCTACCGGCTATCGCGCTTCTCGCAGGGTGGCCGACCTACGCAGCAAGCTCGCAGAAACGTACGCCTTCTACAAGGATTACGACCCCCAGTTCGATTGGTGGGTAACTGAGCCATACAAACGACTCGACGCCGCTCTTACAAAAACGGTCGAATTCCTACGCGAGGTCCTAGTGGGTGTCAAGCCCGGCGACGAGGACACCATCGTCGGAGAGCCTATCGGCCGAGATGGGCTCCTGACCGACCTCGAGGCCGAAATGATACCCTACGCTCCCGAAGAACTACTCCGCATCGCCGAGAAGGAATACGCGTGGTGCGAGGCCGAAATGGTAAAAGCATCCGAACAACTCGGCTTCGGGGACGACTGGCGCGCCGCCCTCGAGCATGTGAAGAACCTGTACGAACCGCCGGGCGCATACCCAGCCTTCATCCGGTCGCTCGTCAACGAGGGCGCGGCCTACGTCAAGAAGCACGACCTCGTGAGCGTGCCGCGCGTGGCCGAGGAAGCGATCCGCATGACGATGATCACGGCGGCGGAGCAGAAGGTGTCGCCCTTCTTCCTCGGCGGCACCTGGATGCAGATGTCGTACCCGACGCGCGCGATGGCGCACGAGTCCAAGCTCATGTCGCTGCGCGGCAACAACCGCCCCTTCGCGCGCGCCACCGCCTTCCACGAGATGATCCCCGGACACCACCTCCAGGTCTTCGTCGGCGAGCGCCACCGCCACTACCGCCTGCCCCTCTTCGACACCCCCTTCTACGTCGAGGGCTGGGCCCTCTACTGGGAGATGCTGCTCTGGGACCGCGGCGACTTCTTCGTCACGCCCGAGGATAAGATTGGTTCGCTCTTCTGGCGCATGCACCGCTGCGCGCGGATCTTGTTCTCGGTAAGGTTCCACTTGGGGCAGTTAAGTGCGGAGCAGTGTGTCGATTTGCTGGTCAAGAGGGTGGGGCATGAAAGGGCTACGGCGGAGGGCGAGGTGCGACGGAGTTTAGGGGGCGAGTACTCGCCTCTGTATCAGGCTGGGTATATGCTAGGCGCGCTGCAGCTGATGGGCTTGCGCAAGGAGGCGGTTGGGAAGGGGTATGGTAGGATACGGGAGAAGGACTTCCATGACCGGGTGCTGAGGGCGAACGTCATGCCTATCGAGATGCTGAGAGCGCTGATTTTGGATAAGGAACTTAAGAAGGACTTTAAATCCGAGTGGAGGTTTTATGATGATAAGCTATGATGGGAAGGTTGGACGGGATATGTTTGGTTCGTGTATACATAGTTGTGGCTTGCTATTTTTACCGTGGGCCAGTTGATGATATTTAGGTACGTTGCTTGGTTTACGGATTATGGTTTATGAATATTGAATTAAACAACACATTGGGATGAACTTCTCCTGGCTGTCAAGATTGGTTGAAGTGTGTGAGATGAGCTGAGGTGATGGTCTTAGATCGAATTCCAGTCGCATATGATCTGCTAGGAGCCTGCATGGAGAAATGAATATGTTGTTTAGCCTCTGTAGATGGTCCATAAGGTCCCGAGTTTGTCAAAGCAACCAGCTTTGTTCCTAAAATGGTTCATTTGCCTTTACTACCTACGTATGTGTCACTAGAATAATATCCCCTTAGATAGAAGCCACAGAATCAAGACCGTACCCAGAACTTTTCTAAGTGTGTACCTAGGTAGGTAATGGCTACAACCTATTAGAACCCACCCCTTTTGGATATACACGCTCACATACAATGTACCTAAGTCACTACTTAAGTAAAGCTCACTTTGCTAACACCCAACCATTTCCCTGATTTATTTCGAAAACGTAACCTTGATGACTTCGATGTGGTTGTTATTCGTAAACGAAATAGTCAGCGTCCGCCCACTGGCATCAAGATACGGGTGAGCGACACCCGCATACGTCAGACCACCATCAATCGGCGTCGCCGTATACACCTTAACATCCGGGGTCCACGGACCCTCAAGAGCCGTCGCGGTTCGAAGTAAGACGTCGCTACCTCCAGGACCTATTTCCACGTAAGCGCTTCACACCCAAGTAGGTTCCCACACATGCAGCGTAGTCAAATAGGCATAAATGGTAGGCACACTAGGTACTCACTCAAATGCACAAAAACATAAACGCCCCAAAACTCGCTCCACACGAACTGTCCCTGGCCCACGAACCACATCACCGCGTTCTCAGCGCCGAATTGCGTAAGCGGCTCGCCCGTCTTCCAGCCCCCATCGGCCGCGCCCCACCAGTACTCGTACTTGGCCAGATCGTACGCGTCGGCGGCGCGCACGCGCAAAAGGTACACGTACTGCGCGCCGGTGAAGTCGGTCACCGACGTCGGCGCCCCGCCCCACGCGTAAATGTACTCCGACCGCGGGTCCCGGAACGCGGCCACGTCGCCGTACCGCGGCGTGCTGGAGGCCGGCCACCAGTACCCCTGGGCGCCGAAGCGTTTGGTCACGGTGGGGACGCCGGATACGAGCTCGACTTTGGCGACGCCGGCGCCTTTGAGGCCCGCGCTGTTGGCGTTCTGTGGGTCGTTGTTAGTCTAAGTAACTCCGTGTTGAAAATGGGGGTTGAGGGGCTAGTAGTTTGGAATTCAAGGTTGATTTGTATTTAGAGAAGAAGGAAGCGCGCTTACGACAAGGTAGAAGACAGCCCCAGCTCCATTCGCCGTCTCGACAAGACTCGTGCCACCGAAGCCGTACGTGTTATCCTCGCCCCAAGAAGCGTTGAACGGAACGAACTGCTGCTGGTGGCGCACGGGGCTGTCGTCGTTGAGATGCAGGTCGACGACGAGCAGCGGGTCGTCGGTGGTCAGCGACAGCGAGTCGCGCACCATGCCGTGGAACTCGCTCGCGTTGTCCTGGCTCGGGTCCGTCAGGGGCTGCGCGCACCACAGCGTGTCGCCGAACACCGCGTACCACTTGCCCTGCAGCTCGCCCGTGAACCCGAGGTCCCGGTGGCTGCAGCTGTTGTTCGCGACTTGCTGCCCTAGGTACACCGTCTCGAACTTGGTGATCGGGTTCGTACCCACGGGCTGCGTGGGATCTACGCCGTCACGCCGCTGCTGGGCATCGTCAGCGAGGGCCGCTGGGCTGGCACTCAGCACGGCGCAAGCCATGAGGAAGGGGATGTGGAAGCGGCGCAACATAGTGTGTGAGCCGGAGGGTATAGACGAGTTACAACGAGACCCGATGGAGATAAAGGGGAGTTGCAGTTGCAGGTGCAGGCATCTTTATCAACGAATGGGAACGGGCATGTAGGAATGGGGAGTTGCTGAATGGGGAAACGAAAGCGAGATGACACGGGAAAGCTGTTGAACAGCTGCTGCCTTCTCTGCGCGACGAGGGATCACCGTATGTCTCAGGATTAAACATTCGAAATATGTTCCTGAAAACGACGTTTATTTTCTTTTTCCCACCTCTATATTTAGATTCAGCTGCTCAGCCTTTCATCTAGCTAGGGCAGCTTTGTTGGTGGCGTATGATCCTTTCATGTTGATCGACCGGCTGAAGGTCCCGCATCTTTTCTGTTGGCTTCTAGTGAAATGAGGGTTGAGATGTTTTCTCGACTCTGAGCTATGAAAAAGCATTGCATACATTCTCAAAATTGCTCATTACCGCGCGCTGGGATATACGTTGTCAGTGTATTCTTCGGTAGACTTCGTTTTGTTAGAAGCGATATAGCGGTTAGGTCTGCCAATGAACAAACAATATTTGAAGAGTTGCTTATACCACTGAAACATCCCCGTACAAACATGAGTTAAGTAGAAAGGTTGAGTGAGTGCTTGATAGGCATAGTTATATCTTGATTTTCAAACTAGAATTAGTATATTTATGTCCCACGTCCATCTCACTTTGAAGATTCATAGGTCAACATGTTTCACCAATCTCACGATGCTGGAGAAGAGACATATGGGCGGAGATGTTTCTTGTGTAAGGTAAGCAGAAGATGTGAGCCTCTCTCATTGGTGGACTCAGCTATAAGGTGTAACCCTTTTTCGGGAGAATCGTGCCAAGATTTGTAGTCGACGCGGGTTGATGCGGGTTGATGCGGGGAGCGTAATCCGGTGGATGGTACCTGGATCGGCTAACCCCTGGACTAACGCTCCTAGACCGGTATAGCCATATCATTGGAAGTCCCTTATCGCGCCATATTCCGAGGGTCGGCATATGAAAGATAACTTCACCGTAACATGCCTAGGTAATAAGCAACTCGATATCCTCGACAACGTAGCTGAGAATTAGTAGAGTTCCGGGAAGGGCGACATAATTTGGCAAAATGGAGTATAAGCGACAAAACAGTCAGACTACGGCGCAGATCAAGCCGCGTATTATCATCCACGGCGGCGCCGGTAACATCACGCCTGAGAAGCTAGGGACGCAAGGGTATAGACAATACCGGAACGCGCTTTTAACCATTGTGAGCAGTCACACTTTTTTACGTAGGCGGATAGAAGACTAAGACGCATAAACCAGGTCTCGAGGACGGACTTGTACATGCGCACCCCATTGCCGCCAAAAGAGAACGAGGACCCTTACTCTTCCGCAGCCAAATTTCCATCAGCGCTCGACATTGCAACATACGCTGTGACGCTACTCGAGGATAACCCACTCTTTAACTCGGGTCACGGTGCAGTTTTTACACGTGATGGCATCAACGAAATGGATTCCTCGGTAATGGTATCGAGGGGCTTTGCTAAGCGTGGCGTTGGCTTGACGGGAATGCGCAGAGTCAAGAATCCCATTTTGTTGGCCAAGGCAATGTTGGAACATGGTGACCAGGATCTGGCGAATCTGGCAAGAAGGGCCGAATTTAACTCCGACGACTTGGAGACAGCAGATCTCGACATCCCCTCGGCGCAAGGCCATACGCTTCTTTATGGGCCGACAGCCGAGCAGTTAGCTGAGAAGTATGGGCTGGAATTGGTGGATCCGAAATATTTCTTCACTCAGAAGAGATGGGATGAACATATACGGGCTTTGGAAAACGAGAAGGCAGGAAAAGGCCTAGCAACCTGGAGTGCCGATGAGTATCTACCGCAAGGTACAGTTGGTGCGGTAGCACTCGATAGCGACGGGGTCGTATGTGCGGCAACTAGCACGGGAGGAATGACGAACAAGCTAACAGGGCGTGTCGGCGATACACCCGTTGTCGGTGCCGGCTTCTGGGCCGAGGAATGGGTCGAAAAGAGTAATCCGAGCCGCCCCAACTCGGGACCAGTTGTAGATGCGTGGCAGGGCTTGAGGATGCGACTCGGGCTACCGGGGCCGGTCGTAGAGTTGTCCTCCAGTTTGCGTAGTATCCTTGCTGACTGTCTCCCAAACCCATTCACGTATTCCCCGGCTGCGCAATCGACATATGCCGTCGGTAGCAGTATCGTGAACCAGAGTGTGCGCACAACAAGATCTATTGCTGTGTCGGGTACCGGTAATGGTGACTCATTTCTCCGAGTGGCTGCTGCTAGGACAGTTGGTTCGATAGCTCGATGGGGTGGATTGCCCGCTGCAGATGCCTTGCGTCACGTCGCCGGAGACGGCGGGGATCTGGCAGAGAGTGCTGGGGACCGTTGGGGGAAGACGGGAGAAGGAGAAGGCGGTATGATCGGTATAGAGAGCATCGTCTCCCGCGATGAATCCGGTCGTGTGGTCGGCGGCCACGCCAATATTTTACAAGATCATAATTGCGCTGGTATGTTTAGGGCCTGGATTGATGACGACGGATATGCCGTCGTACGAGTATTCCACCCAGAGACCGAACGAGAGCGCTTACGCCAGATGAGGATGCTCGAAGACGAGGATAGAGTTGAGAATGTCTGGCGTTGGTGTGCTGCCAAAGCATAATAGGTAGAAACGGTAAACTATATAGATCTGGATTAGCAACAAACCGTTTCAACGAAACAATAGAATCATCGAAATGTATCTGCTCATCAGCATTAGGTAGTGTATTTATGCGGCTGTCTGCTGGTAAAGCATATCCATAGATAGGGGAAGCGGGTTCCAGCGCGACAACCATCCTTATTTTACATGCCATTCTCCGATGACCCGTGCCGTTATGCAAAGTTCGCCTAATACCCATATGAAGTACATGAACCGATCGAGAACTGTATCGGAAATGAGTTGAGTGGTAATGTTTCTTTTCGTTATATTCGTCATTGCAGGATCTAAGCCAAAGCCTTTTCTGTGTTGGGCGGGGGTGGCGGCACCTGAACTTCAGTTAGCTTCTCGCATTCCGAGTATTTGTTGACCAGATCAGACGAAAGAACCTACCTCTAATTTTGTCGAGCTCGCAAGCATTCTCTGAAACCCTATTCCAACACCCTCAATGACTGCCAAGAGCACGGCGCAACCGATAGCGCCGTTCCGAGCTGCTTTATATCCTCCTCGAACGGCTAGAGCGCCACCGGTGAAAAAACCGGCAACTGAAATGGCGGTTAGAGGATTCCCATCAGCATAGGTAGAAAAGCCCGGGACTCACTGATAGCATTGTATGGATCCTCCTTCTTCCGTATTCCCTTAACAGCGCAGTCGAATGTAGAGAACAAACCACCCCATACACCTAGAGGTAAAAGGTTAGACCGCGTTGGGAACGATCTGAGGAATTAATTGCCTACCAAAATTACCACCTAAGACCGGCGCTCTTGCTTTAATGGCTGTGATTGCTCCTATTCTCCTCTCGCCCATTGGACTGTTCCGGAAACCTTTGATGCCGTGCCATATAGTTCCGCCAATAGCCTAATAGAAATTCGACATTAGCTTACGCCCTAGAGCCGGCAATGAGGTCGCGGGAAGTGTTTGAACGTACGCCCATGGCAAAGGCACCTCCAAAGTCATTTAGGATGACCCAAGGGCAAGGGTCTCGTGTGTGATCCATCTTGACGATGCGAGGAAGCGAGTCGAAAGTCTAGGAATATCCGTGCGGGCCGAGCACTAATTCGATTGATCTTGGTCGCAATGGGTATCAGGCATAAAATTCGGGAATTTAGTCGGCGATATGTCTGACGAAGGTATTCGTAAGGCCGTTGCTGTCGTTCTTGGCGGAGGTGGCGCAAGTAGGTGTTGAAAATTCAAGAATAGGTGAATTAAAAGACTAGCAATTGAGAATGATGTCGATACAGAAAATTGTTATTTACGCACAGACCATAATCGGATTTCGAGATAAATCTTCTTCCGATAACTGATAAGCGATAGCCGTCCCGACGGTCTAGCCCTGGACCCTGAGGACCCATCCATGATGGATAGTGCGGCGGTAGCGTATGTCGAAACGTCTCTTTTAGCTTGATTTGGGCGTACAAAGCAACAAAACAAGCTAAGAAAGTTTCGAAATCTCAAGTATGTTCTATTCCATTTTTCTATATCTCTTTTTACATCTTGATTGGAAACGAAACGATACTGCCTTATTTTTACAGTATACCATGTAATGAAAACGGCAAGATACGTCAATGATAGGTACCAACATGATTCTTGAAAATTCAATTGTAACACTTACGCCGATATCGGAACAAAAGAGTTACCAAGTTACACTTTTGTAACTACGAGCAATCATGAAGCTACGTATTTATGTTACAAGAATACCCAGATAGATATCGCAGTGTTCTATCTGCAACAAGTGGAAAACGACGTTGCAAGATGGCGCAATGCGAGGTATGTCTCAAATATAACTGGATATTCCCCAAATGTTTCAAATTCTTCTGTCGATAAACTATATTAGCTAAGCACATATCAGACTAACAAGTTGGCAGTTCTAGGGGCTTCTAACCACCAATATTATCCAAACAGAGATGTCAATTTAAAAAATGAATATGACGTGGGAATCGCGCTAAAATGCATCATTGGTCTTCGCGAGGAGCTTCTAATATTCCTCGTTACATTTTAAAACTGCGGTCTGCCAAAGAGGGAGATCACATTGGATGCTGAGCTGCGGTCATGTCTTGACGTGGTCTTTTCATCTTGTCTACGACGTATAGGAGCTTAGAATCATGGGTCTCTTTATAACAAGCTTGATAGTCGTCAAGACAGTTGCTTTGGTTAGGCATAATATGACCACAGCTGAGAGATTAAATCCACTTTATCGTGTCTTACGTATAGATAGCAAGAGATCGCGCCATAGCCCGGACATTCAGGTTCTGACCGACCATCACTGTGTTAGTGTAGCAAGCCTCTATCTGCAAACTGGCCAATCGATCTTCCGAAAGTCCATAATAAGAAAATTCCCGCTCACCGTAATTCGGGTGTCGGAAAACATCCTGCAAGGGATTAAAAAAAGGCTCAGCCCGCTCTTATTCCTCTTTTTTGTACGTGTCCTCCTGTGTATCTTCGACCATATACCAACTTCTATCATAACAATCCACCACCAAAAAGTTGCAATCATGGCCGTTGGGCTCGGCGAGAGGCTAAGCGGCTGCCAACGCTGCCAAGAGATCGAGGATGAAGAATCCAAAAAGGAGAACGGCTACGAGGCATTAGGGAAGATCTGCACCAATGGTGTTCAAAATATTAGCTGTAAGTATTCCATTAGGATTTTAAGTCGAGCCATGGGGTCTTCGAGGATACCTTCAAGGACGCCTAACCTTGGGACGCAACCTTGCCTACATAGTTAAACCCGTACAAATCTTTTCTCCTCGACTTACTAGATCAACAATCCTTCTGGGCTCCAATCGCATGATGCCATTGCAGCATTTGGGAATTCTGTGCAACATATACAGCTTCCAATCTAGGAGACATTTCGGAAGGTTGGCCAATAGCAGCAACCTGGGCTTCGACAGGAACAGGTGGTTGCATACAGGGTACAAAGCTACCTTACTGTCCAGTTTGAAAGCTAAAACCCCGGATATTGACCCACTTAAGCCCGTTAATTCTGGAGCAGGCAGGTGTGCCTGAAATGCCTTGAAGCACGGCACTGCAGGCGCTACCGTGGAAGGGATGGGAGCTCCCCACATTGAAAGCAATGCTCTGTCAATCACCAAACCACACGTCATCTCCAATTCTCTCCAACATCGAATCCACTATCCACTATCACCAATTCATCGTCAATTTTTTTGTACTCGAATATTATTTCCATACCCTTAACCCCCTTTACAAAACAGTTGATACTGGCCCGACCCGATTTTCCATTTACACGTTAATTTGGCCATCCTTATGTTCTAACAATAGTTAACCCGTCTGCAGTAACCGTACCATCCACGATGGCAACTTCGGCTCCGTCCCCGATTCTCGAAGTTCCTCCGCACACGACACCTCAATTACATCACAATCTTGAGCATGACAGCTCGGTGCTTGCTCTTGTCGTTGGAAATGATAGCATATACACTGGAACACAAAATGGAGAGATTGTTCGGTGGCGCCTAGGCACCTTTGAGAAAATTAGTCACATACAAGCCCACAAGCGCAGTGTCATGTGCCTTTGCTTATCTGATGATGGATCCCTTCTCTTTTCCAGTGCCAGCGATCCGATCGTAAACGTCTGGTGTCCTCAATCCATGAATCGACTATACGAAATATACAGCACCAATGATTCGTTTGGCGATATCTTCTCCGTTTCCTACTCCTCTCAGCACGAGACTGTTTACTATGGCGCTCAAAACACGTCTATTCAGTGGATTAGTTTGAAGGAACCTAACAGGCGCGTTGGCCACGATTCGCAAAGCCACCCCGACCGACGGAACCACCGATTCTTCGATTCCAGAGCTGTTGGCGGAGCAAGTACTCCGAGACCCACCGACGAACGATACGAACTAATACCTCGGCCTCGCGCTGTACTCGAAACTGACAAGCGAGCGAACAAAATGTTCGCACACTATGGCTATGTGTACTGTATGCTAGTAGCAAAGGGCAGCACTGCTTATACAGAAGCAGACGAAGATGTCCTGGTGTCTGGCGGCGGAGACGGCACCATCAAGGTCTGGAAGCTTGGCGGAAAAGAAATCGGCCCTGATGGATACGAGAATGGTATCGAAGAGATCATGTCCCTCGGAGAGCAGGATGCTATGTCTGTCATGTCCCTGACCGTTGATGGATCATTTCTATATAGCGGAAAACTGAACGGTGTTATCGAGCTATGGGACCTTGATACGAAGCAAAAGTTAAGAGTCATCAAAGCTCATAAAGGTGATGTCATGGCTATACAGATGGGTTGGGGATATTTGTGGAGCGCAAGTCGCGCTGGGACTGCTTGCGTGAGTGGATTTGACCCTGCTATCTACTATAACCTAACCTTGGAACAGAAGCACAACACGGTTCACTACGGAGAGTATCAGCGGGATTCGTCACAGAACGTCAACCAAAAGTACCAATGCTTGACACAGTGGAAGGCCCATGACGGCAAAGTCCTATCGTCCGCCGTAACTACACATAATGGAAATCAGCTATACATCACAGGCGCCAACGACAACAGTGTCGCCATATGGATGCTTAAGAGCGAATGCTCGGCCGAGCAACCGTCACACAAAGAACACGAGGATATGATGTTAACTTCTCTCCGGGAATTTGTTTCATTCAGGACAGTATCGTCTCGGCCTGAATATGCCGAAGATTGTCGCCGAGGTGCTAGCTTTCTACGTACCTTATTCAAGAAACTTGGCGGCGACGTGGAGATGCTGAGTGGCGAAGAAGACACACTTCACCATCCTGTAGTTCTCGCTAAGTTCAGTGGCAAGCTTGAACCAGCTGAAAGACGAAAGAGGATTCTGTTCTATGGTCACTACGATGTGGTTCCGGCAGAAACCAAAAATGGAAAGTGGAGCCACGACCCGTTTCAGTTAACTGGGACCAACGGGTATCTGTACGGTCGTGGAGTCAGCGACAATAAAGGACCTATCATGGCTGCACTTTATGCTGTTACTGATCTTATACAGGCTAAGTCATTGGACTCAGACGTTGTTTTCTTGATTGAAGGCCAAGAGGAGTCAGGTTCTCGCGGTTTTAAGGAGACCGTCCGCAAACACAAGGAGCATATCGGCAACATTGATTATATTCTATTGGCAAACAGTTATTGGCTGAACGATGACACCCCATGCTTAACCTATGGATTAAGAGGTGTCATGCATGCGACCGTCTGCGTCGAGTCGAAGAACCCAGACCTGCATTCTGGTGTCGATGGTTCTTATATGGTCAACGAACCATTATCCGATCTCATGACATTGCTCTCGAAACTCAAAGGACCGCGAAATCGCATTATGATCCCCGGGTTTTATAACGGTATCCTCCCCTTGACAGCGGAAGAGGAAGCTCGATATGATGACATTTTGTCTGTTCTCATGGAGCAAGGCGGGAACGAAGTTTCGGCCAGTACACTCAAGGCCAATCTTATGGCGCGCTGGCGAGAACCAAATCTCACCCATCACAAAGTTAAGGTCTCGGGTCCCGATGGCAGTTTGATTAGCAGTCATGCAAACGCGAAGATCAGTGTACGATTGGTCCCTGGGCAAGAGGTGGAGGAAATTACTAGCTCCTTGACCTCGTTCTTAGAGAAGGAATTCAACAATTTAGAATCCGACAACAAGTTAAGCATTCAAATCGACAATCAAGCAGAGCCTTGGCTTGGCGACCCCAGCAACGAAATATTCCGGACTCTCGAAGAAGCGCTCATAGAGGCATGGGCGCCTCTATTTTCTGATCATACTTCTGATGATAGCTCGAATAGGATTAATGGAATGAATGGAGTTGGTACTAATGGAACTTACACGAATGGCGGATCGAAGGTCCGCAAACCCCTCTACATCAGAGAAGGTGGATCAATTCCAGCCATCCGATTCTTAGAAAAGGAATTCAATGCGCCCGCTGCACATCTGCCGTGCGGACAGTCTTCTGACTCGGCACATTTAGACAACGAGCGACTAAGAGTTGTAAACTTGCTGAAGAGCCGGGAGATCTTTAGCTACGTCTTTAAGAAGCTTTAGAAGGGTCGGGTTAGATGAGGCATCTATTTCCGGTCGTGAGCGACTTAGGTTAGGAAAACGCGCATTGAATGACCATTGAAGGCGTACTGAAGTAGATTCAAACGAGGGTAGCACGGAGTTGGCGGTTTTTCATAGACGCTAGAGTGTAGGAATAGATACCCATTTCATCAGTTTATTCGCACAGGTTCTAAGTTATTCGCTCGGAATATTTCTACAGGCGCATTTTACGAGGTCTGGTAATTGGGCTTGCCAAGTAAGTCAATACCTCCTTCACAAGCACTTTCAAGGCGTATAACCTAACCCAAATCGATTCGCGCAACTCCCCAATGAAGGACGATGTATGTAGGTCTATCTCAATCGAATTGCTGCCCATAATATCTAAGTACCTAGGTAACTACCAAATTACTTGCTCCTTCTGCTCAGCACATCCGCTAGCTAGAATGCCAACCAGCATAAGACTACACTTTTAGACCGTATTTACCTATCTTTTCGCATAGCTGCCACCTACCCTTTCCTAAGTAGCCCCTTACCGAGGTTCCGTATCCCTTCCTCTACTGGGCTCGCGACCGCCATGCGAAAAAAATCTCGGAAGCAATGACTTCCGCTTCGGCTGTTCTTGCCTCTCGCTACGTTGCGACCCGGAACGGCTGGCAGACCGCTGACTACGAGCCGGAGATGGCATAGGCGTCGGTTGTCGGGGTATAGGTTGCGGTGGTTTGATCGTCGGCCAGGTCGTCGTTGTAGAGCGTGCGGGAGCATGTGGAATAAGAGGAGAGAGGTGGGTGTCGGTCCGATGCTTGGCGGCGACGAACTTAGCCTCCGTGTTAGGATTGCCCTGGCTTGGATGCACAGGGTGCAACGACGCGGATGCGAGGGCGGGCGAGCGGTGGTGCGGCAGATTGAGGGTCGACCAACCCAAGCCCCTTAAATCGGTCTGCGCGTAGGCGTCCTTGCACGAGGGTTGCCTGATCCTAGGTCTGTGTGAGCTTGGGCGTTCGGCGGTTGAGCCGTGGTCTCCTAGCGACATTTGCCGCTGGAAGCGCTCGGGTAGGTCTGCGTCGCTACAGTCTTGCACGGACATCTGCCGGGTAAAGTCTCGGGAGAGCTGCTCTACCGTGGTTGAGTGGTTTTCTCCGCGCTGACTTGTATGAATAGTGTGTGGTCTGGTCCCTTCATGCCAGCCTCGGGCTGAAGGTGGTCTCGCTGCCGATGGTGGAGGGCCACTGCGGTTTACGGACCCGACGACTGCGTTGGTCGAGCTCGCCGAGGTCCGTCTTGATCGTTGACTGGTCTCCTGCGGATGTTCCGATTGCCCGTTAGATGTTCTTGGAGAAGATGAAGAGCCTTGGTTGGATCTTCTCCGACGGTGCGCAGCCTCGCGTCTTCTGTCGAATTCGATATCATCGTCGTCATCGAGGAATTCGATCCGCAGCGAGTATCGCTTCACACGCTTAGGCTCTTCGCCCGTAGATCTAGAGGTGCGGGAGCCGGATCCGTGCGGTGAGGATGACTGCATTTCTCTTATTGTTGTGGGTTTGATAAGTAGATTGGCGTAGGGCGAAGACGAAGGTGAGCCGAAGACTGTTCAACGCTATCCTAGCACTGGCCCTACAGAAACTCATTCATACCTGAAAGGTGGACATGGAAACTGTCGTCTACTGGAAAGCTACAGGAATCGCAAGTCATTTTATTGATTGGATAGGTCGATCCACGAACCCTTTAAAGAAAGATATCGCCTTCAGGATGTGGCTAAATACGTCTACTCGAATCTATGAGCTATCTGCAACAAGCCCATGTTTAAGATATGACTTATGCCTATTCATTTCAAGACATAACGTGGATAAGTCTTCAACTCTTTGTGTTTTCGTAGCAATACACCGATTCTTTGACAATATACTTCATCGAATTGAACTGGGATGACGAGACTCTTCCCTTCCCATCCAATCCTATGTAAAAAGCCGCCAATGACTAAGACAATAGGTATCCTGGCCTGCTTAAAGCCCACACCATCATAATTCTACGTGTCTCACTATGAACCGAACCTTGATAAACATCTTTGATGTCCTCCGATGAGTTAGTGTCGCATATTACACCGACCTTTCACTCCAAGGACATGTGAAATATGCACCGACCTAGCATTCTGCGACGAATGCCTTCAGAAACACAAAGATGAGAAATTTCCCTACCAAAACTACTACATGAGACATCCTTTTGCCGAGATCTACCCACCAAACGGACTGATCAATACGGTGGAAGGGAATATAAGGTCCAGAGTAAGGGGTAGTAAATTAGCATTAACGAGGGCTTCAATACTATAAGTCGGCAGTAGCTATGCGAATGGGAGAATAGAAGAATGGTGTCTGATGAGATGGGCTTAGACGGCCATGTTATCGGAGCTGTCCGTGTCCTAGACCTAGTCTTCTGCATGTCGTTGGAGTGGCATGGAAACTTTGGTTATTCGCATGATCGGCCTTGAGATAAGAAATTTACATAGAAGAAATTGTTGTTTGCACTCATAGACTTCTTTCAATCTATCATATAGGTAGGTTGAATCTTTTATGATTTTTTTAATTAGGGGCACGAGGAGTAAAGCGGCCTAAGCTTTCAGGCTCCTTTCCCCAACTAATTTAGAGGGCGGGGCCGGAAAGGCGAGTGAGACGCTGTACTATCACTTACTACAATGAACTAACATGCTGCATGTTGATGTTACTTCTCTATCCGGGTGCCTAACGTTTTCAGGGTAAGTGACCATTAAGGCATTCATCTATCAAGGTCCTATCAGGTCTTTTGAATATACACATTTCAGTCAGAGGCTCGCCATATATTCGATCTCAAGGTTGATCGAATCTCCTTGCTTAGTCGCGATGCAACAAGCCTCTTATTATTGGCATGTTTTGTACCAACGGGAAGTGGCTGAGTTACGTGGCAGTGGAGTGTGGACATAGGTATTGCCCCTCTTGAGGTGCGGTAGTAATGGAGATCTTACAGTGGCGGATGTGGCGGTTAAGAAATAGGAAAACTGCATTGGAATTGAAGCCTCGATTGTCAACCTTTTGTCAACCTTAGAGGCTTAGTTTTGTGCATATATGCACGCTACAGTTTAAGCAAAAGGCGCCTTGTCCTGTCTAGGGAGAAGTTGACTCCCTATTTAACTCTCCTTGATATCTTCTTCAAACAGAAATGTCATCCATGGCTTTCTGTGAGACAAAATCAAAGATGCTCAGGAAGTGCGAATGCTATTCCCATGTCGATATGACCATGTTGAATGAAGGTATGGTGAAGATCTTTCAGTTAGATAGCTAAAGGAATACAAGCTGACAAGACTAGATAATAATGTGTATATGAAAAAGGGGGTCAAATTGGGCAGTTTGATGATCCCCGATCCGCAAGATATTCTCTGGCCGTTTGACCCGGAAAGCAAAGTCGTCCTAATGTAAGTTCGCAAGCGAAATAGCTAGAACAGCTCCATCCTAATATGAATTGATAGGATCGCCAAAGCTAATGAGATCCGCCACTGCGTATTTTGCCGTGAGACCCTGACCGAGATACTTCGCATGCCACGATTCTGGTGGTCAGATACGTACAAGAGAATGAACGGGTACTTTGGATCTGAGTCTACAAGGAACTCCGAAGGAATTACTGACAGTTGTTGTGAGTCTTCAAGATACAGACTATCGTTCGGTTACTAAACTTATCATGAAGCAACCTGGTCTCGAGCTCTTGTCAAGCATTTCGAAACGTTACCAAGTTCAGAAGCCAGATCAGATATACAGTATCGTTGGCTCAAGTTTAACTTATTTACGCGATGGGTTACGCCAGGCAAAATGGCAATCATTGCCTTTGACCCTGTTGACGTAATAAAGGAATGGCTGACTTCACAATTCATGCAATATTCAACTGAGGAGGAACTTCAGGATCCGTATTGGCCTTATACACACATCCTTGAAGAACTTGTGTCCCTCCATGGGACCTCAGTTTGGAGTCTCCGAAATTTAATAAGAACCACAGAACTGTCTCCTTCAAGGGATCATAGGAATCTGAGAAACAAGCCAAGACATAACTACTCTCGACTACATGATATTGCTCGTCACTCTATTCACGTCTCTGAAACCTTGGATCTATCTGTTAAACTCTCAGAAAGCATTTTACGAGAACACAAACAATTGGCGACGCCAAATTCAGATATTGATCTAGGCCTTACCATTGAAAGGGTACGTATGCTTAAACAGGCGTACTCTAATACTTGTTCTCGACTTGCCTTCTTCAGTAATGCACTCTCCAGTTTACGCTGTCGTTCGTCCTCCAACCACCAACGATTACATAACGAGATACAATTAAGGTTCCATACAGACTCTCAATTTGATTCCCAAGCATCTGTTGAAATTAATTACTCGACTAAATCTGATAGTACATCTATGAGATGGATCGCGATCGTCAGTCTCGTGTTCCTTCCGGCAAACTTGGTGTCATCGATTTTTAGCACGACCTTTTTCAATGGCTCAGATGAGCCGTTGTCGGTATCGAGTGATTTCTGGATATACTGGGTTGTATTGGTTGTGGTCACAGCGATAACGATGATTTTCTGGTTTTATTTACCACGTCTGTCTCCAGAAGCGGATAGACGACGTGACATTTCGACGGTAGACAAGGAAGCAGAGAAGTCGCTCAAAAGTTACATCCGTGATACCAACAGACAAGGCACTGATGATGATTTGGGGGCACATGTATAATGGCACATTAGAGGGGCCTATTTAGGTAGGGGAATCCTAAATGGTAGATGCTCAACTAATTATCTAGGCAAAGGAAGGGGTTGAGGGGAATAGACCCAGAAATTTTATTATAGATAGTTTCTTTGCATTACTATAGACGATTTCGAATGTCCTGTCTTGGATCTCTATATTAGATCTCTATAATGGGTAGAAAGAATATTTTAGGATAACTTCAACACTGACCTATTCTGACAATCTGTCCCTTGCTCTCTACTGGCCTAGGTTAGCTAGCCGCTTGTTTTGCGCAATCCTCTGTCATAGATACACATTGCTGCACAAAAAGAAATGACTGTAAAGACAGTTGATGCGGCAAACGAATATCTCAGTCCGTCGTAGTAAACCATCCGTGCTTTAAGCTGAACCTCAGGGGGTAGGTCGCGCAGCGATTCAGCCGAATGCCTGATTGCATCGATGATCTAAGTGATTATTGTTTATTAGCATTCACACAAAAACCATAGTGGGTATAGCTATATTAATAAAAGGGCCATACTCTCCATTTATCGGGTACTTCTCTTAAGGCGGTCGGAAGTCGAACGCTGAGCGTAGTTTGGACGATAGCGGAGCTGATCGATACGCCCCAAACGGTTCCCAGGGATCTGATGAGATATACAGTAGAAGCTGACACTGCATGGTCTTAAGTGTGTTAGAAATGCTCCAAATCTAAAAGGACTCATAACAAACTTACCGGCATGCTCGAAAGTGGCTAAGGAAGTAAATAGAATACCGGGATATATCATTCCTTGCCCTAAATTGGCGGGGAAAATATAGACGAAGTACTTCCAGTTAGTATCCACGAAATTCAACGAAGTTACTAAACCGTTTCCAATGGTCATTAGAATGGCCCCAATTCGAACAATGGTAATGAGCTTTCCCCATCGCGACATTACGATGCCTGCAATGAGACCGCCGATAGGAGTTGCTAAAGATGGAATAGCTAGTCTGGCTCCCGCAGTCGTTGCTGTGTCGAGTAGGACGATCTGGAAAAACAGGGGCAACAGGAAAAGATACTACAGAAAAAGGGGTTAGTTCTTGTTAATAGGGAAATCTTCTATACACTAACCGCATAAGCGGATATACCCGCGCAGACATTGGCTAATTGTGTAAAAAGGGGTAAACGACCCTTTAGCATGTGTAGAGGAATGATCGGGATCGCAGTAGTAGTAGCCTCAACCCAAAGGAAAAGACCAAAGAGGATGACACTTCCAATTAGGGATATGATTACCCAAGGGCTACTCCAAGGTAATTCATTCCCACCCAGACTTAGCCCAACCAACTGGATAGATATTGCTGTAACGAGAATGAGGGACCCCGAGAAGTCGACTATGCGCCAAGTCTCCTTGAGGCTTGAGCCTCTACTCAAATCAGAGGACTGATTCTTTATGACGATGTAACCAAAGATAAATGCCATAACCGACACTGGTACTTGCTATATAATGTTAGATAAATGAACTCAGATACGAAGGGGTATGAATACCAGGAGGAAACACCAACGCCATCCGATGGTATCAGCTATTGAACCGCCGAATGAAGCACCGCATATTGCACCGAACCCAAAGATACCATTCTGCATCGCCTGGTACATTCCACGGCGGCGGAATGGTATCATGTCAGAGTTAACGATGGTAGCTAAAGCCCTGTTAGTCGGCAGAACCATTCCAGGCCAATATGCTGAGGCCACCTACCCATGGTCATAAGTCCTCCCCCTCCAAACCCAGCTAGGGCTCTCATACAATTGAGTAGGACTATATCATTCGCAATGCCGCATCCAAGACAGCCTATGGCAAACGTGATAGTCGAAATGAAGAAGCAGACACGGCGGCCAAAGATATCAGATACGCGGCCGTATAGGGGTTGAAAGGCGGTATTTGTAATAAGATACGAAGTTGTGAGCCAAGAGGCAGTATTAGTCGCATCGAATTCAGAACTAATCACCGCGTACGTAGAGGCAGTGATAGTTCCATCAAACCCGTATAGAAAAACATTGGACATGATCGCCAACTCAATCCAAGCAAAGTGGCGAGGAGCTACCCAGCCATCTTCCTGTGGTGGATTTGACCCTATCAAGGGCTGACGTTCTCCAGACTCTAGATCAGGAGAGTTTTCCTCTGGTAACTGGCCATTCTCTTCTTCGTTATCATTCGCCTCCGGGCTACATGGACGTGGAGCAAAAGCATCTGTTTCCGCACATGGTTCACAAGTGGCCATTGTGGTATGATATAAATATGACTATAATGTTGTTGGAATACGCTTTATTTGGGTAAAAGATAAGCGCAGTGAAAAGGGTGACAGTATGATATTGTAGGGAGATAAATAGCGTACAGCCAGTTTTGTCAAGCTCGGTAATAGGCCGTGGAGTTACATGTACTGGTTTCATGCGGGATGCGAGTTTGAGTACCTAGGGTGACTGGAAAATAGAGCTATGGAACTGTCGAATGGGTAAGAAGATAGCTGGGGAGGTGATGAGAACAAGGGCAATCCCCGAATTCGGCCTCCTATTCTGAGGATCGGCCTATGGTACAGAGCCACGGTATCCTTGCATGATTGCTACTACCTAGTAGTAGATTATATGTAGGCTAAAATGGTGCAATAGTGGATTCTTGGGTCTTTATTCGACTTAACGCTGTACGAATTCGTCATATCAAGGCCGATATAGCTGTAGCGCATAGAGGGTGCAGAAACTCATCCCAATCTTTATGCCGGTTGGTCAGTTTCTCTACCCATCTCCAAATATCGTGATTTAGGTGGAGGGTTAGAGAATCATTGTCAATCAAGTATTATGGCATAGGTCTGGTGTGTCTTATATATGAATCTAACTGTGACTTCAACCAAGCTCCTTCACTTCACCCTCCCTTAGATGCAGGCTTGAATCTATATATATTTTCAAGATTTGAACACTGATACGCGACTATCAACAATTACCAAGAAGGGGCTATCTAGGGTTATTGTTTTCAACCAAGGTTAATGTACCCTCCTTTAGTTGTGAGCGATGGAGTCATTCTCTAACGTACCTACCAGCATTACCCCTTTTCGCCAGCCACCATGAAACTCTTCTTTATAGGAGTGACTTTGATGTTCCCAAGTATAATATTGGCGGATTGGCAATTCAAGTCTCGTTCAGACCTTGCACCGCCAAATTTAAACATCACCATCCCGGCGACAAAGGATGTTGAAAAGGGGTACCTGTTTGTTGCCCCTTTTGCAGGTTTCCCTGACACTCCTACGGAACAACACGGCCCTAGACAAGCCGGCCCATATATCTTTCGCGATAACGGCGACTTAGTTTGGTCTGGTTATGGTATCTATAGCATCTGGTCGACTAACTTTCAAGCGGGTCGCTGGAGGGGCAAAGATATCCTCTTCAGTTTTGAAGGCGACCACAACCCAGGCTATGGCCATGGGCACGGTCACATCACCATAATGGACAATCATTACGAGACAATCCGAGAACTTCGAGCCGGCAACCACAAGCTTGTGGACAAGCACGAATTCCACATCATCAATGAAGAAACAGGGCTCATTCAAATTTACCAGCCAGTTGCTCGTGACTTGACGGCTTGGGGTGGGAGTTCCGAGCAACAGTGGGTTGTTAATTCTATAATTCAAGGTAAAACTGTCTCCGACCAGAGCCAATGCTCAGGATGCGAGTTTACTAACCCGTGTCCAAGAACTTGATATTGCTACCGGTAAACTGCTATTTGAGTGGGCAAGTCTAGATTACGTTTCTCCTGACGGTATCACTATCTACCTGATACCTTATAATACGAGTTTGGGTTTTCTAATAGGTTTCAGAGGCCATTCTACCTATCAACCCCGGCCAAGCTGGCTCTGGTTTCAATAGTTCCGATGCCTGGGACTATTTCCATATTAACAGTGTCGACAAGGATGCGGACGGCAACTATCTCATATCTGCGCGAGATGCATGCAGTATCCATAAGATCAACGGTACTGATGGGAGCATCATCTGGAAACTAGATGGTAAAGACAGCTCTTTCAAAATGCCCCAGGAAGCCAAATTCTGTTTTCAGCACCATGCTAGGTTTATCAGCCAAGAAGATGATATCGAAATCATTAGTCTTTACGACAATAGCGCGCACGGAACCGAGCATGGAGGTGGGTCTGAAGTTCACACCGCGCCCACCAGTAGCGGGAAGATAATTAAGGTGAACACGACGTCATGGGAGGCCGAATTGGTTCAAGCTTTCTTCCCGCCGGATGATCTTCTATCCAAATCGCAGGGTTCTACTCAGACGCTCCCTAATGGAAATGCTTTGGTGAATTGGGGCTCATCTGGAGCAGTAACAGAATATCTACCCGACGGGACGCCGATTTTCCATGCTTACATGGACTCAGATTACCTTGGCCTGGGAGTCGAAAACTACCGTGCCTTTCGCTACAATTGGACTGGTCTTCCTAATGAGGACCCCGCCATTGTAGCACTTAAGGGCGAAGAAGGCCTTACGGCATACGTCAGTTGGAATGGCGATACTGAGACTAAAGTGTGGAGATTTTACGCCTTAACTGACGAGTATGGATCCAAGGAGTTCCTAGGTGAAGCAGAAAGGATAAGCTTTGAGACTTCACTTCATATTCAGAACGTGAACATCGGTGCAATCTCCGCAGAGGCGATCGATGGCAACGGCAAGTTGCTTAGGAGTACGGGGATAACCTCAGTGGAGCAAGAAATCAAACCTGAAGGGAAGCCAACACAAACCCCTATTCTGAAGACAACAGCCGAGAAGACGCTTGTGAAACCTAAAAGCCATTGGGAGGAATATGGCATCTTGAAGTATTTCCGGTTCCCTATTAACGAACTCTAGGCCAATATCTGCCAAAGTATTGCGGCGCGGACGACTCGCTTACAAAGCTACCTTGACGATGTCAACTCCTTCATACTTCTCGTCTTCCACTGAAAGATTGATCGGGGCTGGGGATGTATGAACTCATATCATACTACGTATTTAAGTGTGATTGCACTCATTTTAGTATTGATTGTAACTGACCTGAATACACTCCTTAAACCAACTTTGTTACTCGCAGAAACAAATGAAAACTTATGAGAGGCTTGCAATCCTAAGATTCGTTCAATATGGCGTTTAGTGGCAAATATAGAACTGAACGATATCTATTACCCACCATTATGTCCAATATAGGTTACCATATTATATTGAAGGGTGGTATCTAGATGATTATGCAACGCTATTGATACGATCTAGCCTATCACATAGAAGGACGGTCATCCTCACGATTTGATAATCAGCCACGTCCTAAGTTATTCAACTGTCGATCCCACTAATTAAGTTTATTGGAAACCCGACGCAATTAAGGGGACAATAAGCTGACTTTGAGTGGGAAGAGCTGAGGTCTATCGTTGAATATACCTTTTAAATCCATATGGCTGATCTCATCTTTAACGAACTGTCCACTTAAACATAAACATAGCCCTCTTCGAACAAGTGATGATGGTCAACTCATGGTCCCATTTAAAGTCTACCACTATTGATGCTGATCCGAACGCGAGCATGAATTCAATCCAATATCATATAAGGAGCCCTAGCTTCCCAGGCAAGCTGTCGTGAAATGTAGTATTCTCGTGTAAGAGCAAGTTCTGTCTCTTCAAACTAGATACCATGGCCAGCCAAATCATCACCTCGCTCGTCTTGGCTCTCGCAGCTAGATCAACCTTGGCAGCAAACACACCTGTGCCATTCTACGGTCAATCTGCATCTGGGAAAACGTCTCCCCCGCGAGGATGGAATTCCTTCGTTGCGCAATCCAACGGGGTCGAGCTGACGGTAGATCTTCTTGATGAACAATGCAGCTTTTTCTACAACAACACAGAGCCAGGCTTCAACTACGTATGCGGATTTGACTCTGGATGGTCGGCAGATACTAATGGTGACGAATTCGGTCGCATTATTCCCAAAGACACCGTCTTTAATACTACAAGCATACAAGAGTTCGCGGCTAAGGTACACAGCAACGGAATGAAACTGGGCGTCTATATGATCCCCGGCGGTTTCACTAGTGACGCGCAGAAGTTGGTGAAGGGAACTAACATCACGATCGGCTCGTTATTCAACACAACCGAAGATCCCCGGGACGCTATAAGTAATTCTTACAATGCTCGTAATGATTTCGATTACACCAAAGACGGCGTCCAAGAATGGCACGACTCGGTAGTGGAACTTTTCAGTTCGTGGTAAGTGATTGCAACGTCGCTAGCCTGATCATTTTCGTACTTGCTAATATCAACGGACAGGGGAGTCGATTTCGTTAAACTCGACTATGTGACCCCCGGCAGCGATTATCTGACCGGCAACAAAGACAACGCGAAGCCAGCGAATGATAGCGGCGCTGTGGCATGCATGCATAATGCGATCATGAAGTATGCTCCGGGTATGCAGCTCGACATTTCCTGGAGGTTGGAGAGGGAAGAGCCGTTTTGGGATCTGTGGCAACATAACGCCGATACGCTTCGAGTTGACAGAGACATCAATTTCGGAAATAATCCCGTTACGTGGGGCCCTACGCAGAGGACGATAGAACAATACCGCGTTTTCATCAATCAGCAAGTGTTGGATTCGACACGGCAGAACAAGCCCATTATGATCCGCCCGGATATGGACAACTTGCTCGTCGCAACACCATCATCAAGCTCCTCTTGGTCTGGCTATTCCACCATCGAACGATACGCACAGGCTATCTTATGGATTGGCGCAGGTGCCAACTTGATTAACGGTTGCGACATGACTAAGGTTGACGACCTAGGGAAGAAATTGTTGACCGACTCTGAAGTCTTAGGAGTGGCTGCATTTACAGCGAATTATCCCATGGTGCCTAAGAATCCTTCCAGCGCGCAAGTACCCGGAGGACCCAATGCCTCTCAACTTCAGGCATGGATTGCTGGTCCCAATGACAATGGCACCGCGATCGTGGTCCTGTCAAATCTCGGCCCTGATGAGTGTTGGGACAGCGAATGCTCCTATAACACTACAATCGCTGGCGACCAGTTGGTAAACGTGACTCTCAGTGACTTGGGCATTGGCGGTGATAAATGGTTCGTCCGTCGCGTACTCGGAGGCGGCGGAAGAGGCGGAGATGATGGCACGGATATCGGTGTAGCTGATGCAGAGCTAGCAAGCTGGTTAAGCGAACACGAAAGTGTTCTCTACAAATTACAGAAATGTGGAAGTGAGGGGGCTTCATGCTGACACGAGAATACCGCTCATATTAGTTACAGTAGTTACTAAACCTCATTGGCATAGTAATACGCCGTCATTGTTACATCAGGGTATTACAATGACAAACAGCGGATGAATTATATGTATGTTTACAAGCCTCGTGCGAATTGTTACCGATACTATAGGTTCTGTTATTCCATTTATTACCTAATTAAACTAGGTATAAAAGCTGCGGGCCCGTATCAAGTATTAGCGATACATTACAAGGGCAATACTATGACAGGCTCGCTGTGATATAGGCTACATGAAATATTCCGGACAAGCATGGGAAACTCGTATCGAAGGAAGTACTTTCAAAAACTACTAAGACGCTACATTCATTTCATGCTTTAGTGAGTGAAGAAAATAGCATGTACAGTAGTATTAGACGTAAAGTACCTAAGATATGTCTAAAACAGGAATGAGATCGTGTTTATCATCGCCATCAAGATCGGTCTGGTCGGCCGACTAGAATCGAATCTTTCTAGAATCTAAATGCCTCCACAGTACGACCAAAAATAGATTTAGAGTCTTAAACAGCGAGTTACCACGTTACATGCGTCTCGACCAATCAAAGCCGGAGACAGCGGACGATAGTACCGAATCCGCCAACCCGCCAATTCATTTTATGTACTGCGATGTATACAGTACAAATGCACAGTACCTTGAATAATTACTACTGTATTTCTGAGCTTACAGGGACTATAGCGCTGAAGAGCGCTAAAGAGCGCTATAAACTACAGCGTGCTATAGCGCGTAGCTCCTTATAATTTATAGGGGATTAATCCATTCAATTGAATTGCAAGCTTCACCTGGCTATTCGCTAGGCTTGAATAAACACTTGCAACTTAAAAGCGATTTAATTAATCAGTTAATTGATTAATCAATTAGCTAGGTTCAAACCTGGTCAAAATACGTTGTATAAAAGGTAAGTATGTAGGTATTGGATAGGTTTACCGACATTATATTGTACCTAGCAAGGGAGGTCATGTGACACTAGTCATGTGCCATACGTTGGGTGTCGTAAGTCACGTGTCACCTTGGGGCTGACCTTTGAACAGTAATCATTGAACTTATTAAAGAGCTATTAAAATAACTATTCAATTGACTGTTTAATTATCTATTCAATTAACTGTTCAATTGACTGTTCAATTGACTGTTCAATTGACTATTCAATTGACTATTCAATTGACTATTCAATTGACTATTCAATTGACCCTTGAACTGATTTAAGGATTAATTACCTAGGTAGGATTTAAGGGCGCTGTGATAACGAGAGTGTGCGCTATAGCACGCTGTAGTTTATAGCGCTCTTTAGCGCTCTTCAGCGCTATAGTCCCTGTAAGCTCAGAAATACAGTAGTAATTATTCAAGGTACTGTGCATTTGTACTGTATACATCGCAGTACATAAAATGAATTGGCGGGTTGGCGGATTCGGTACTATCGTCCGCCGTCCCGGAGTCTTACGCCAGCTACGCTAGCTTGCCCTGATATGCCGGGCCTGTCGATGAATAGCCTATCGCGGACTCCCTCATAGGGCTAGGCCGACGATCACTTCCGCGTGGGGAAGAGCTGTGCGAGATGGGGCTATTCCGGACTATTCCAAGATGACCACACGATTCATACGATGTGCCGACAAAGAACCCCAGGTCCAACAATACGAGCTTGAGCCTCACGCGCTTTGTTACCTTCGCTACAGGTATTCCGGAAGAATCAAGATCCAGGGGTCTCATGCTCTTGCTGGTCATGTGACTATGGAAAGACCTCCACAAGACAGGCTACGTCAATACGAGCTTCAACAATAGAGCGGTCATATGTCTGAGCCCAGTATCGGCTTAGCCAAGACTTGTCAGGCCATAGCCAATATGTCCAGAATACGGGTGGACTCGAGATCATGATGTTGACGGTTACTAAGGTAGGAGACCGGTGTATAAAATACCAGCAAGTCTCCCTCCAATATCGACTCAAGACATTCACCATCACCAACAACAACCACAATACCATCACAAGAACTCATTCACTCGCTCAACCAACCACAACTACCTAATATTATTACTTAATTTTAATATCTTAAGACCAAACCAACCAATAATCCATCCAAAATGCAGTTCACCAGCACCATCCTCACCTCCCTCCTCGCCGCCGTCGCCCTCGCGGCGCCCACTCCCTCGCCGGACGTCAAGTCCGCCATGGCCGACGTCGACCAATGGACGATCGAGAGCATGCAGCGCGTGTGCGACAGCGCCGACACCAGCTGCGCCTGGTCGTTCCGCGTGAACACGCACGTCGGCGACACGACGCCCTGCAGCTTCACGGTGAAGGGATCGCCCGCGAGCCAGACCGACTCGAGCGGCAACGTGTGCGGGCCCTACACCGTGGGCACGGGCTGGAGCGGCCAGTTCGGCGCCGGCAATGGCTTCACGACCCTCAGCGTCGTCGACTACACTGCTAAGCTCATCGCTTGGCCTAGCTACACCGATAAGCAGCTCGCGAACGGCGCGGTTGTTACTCCTGATATGAGCTATGCTCCTTCTGTTCTTAACCTCTAAGTCACGACGCTTCGGCACTTATGAGAACCGGATTTTAGGTGGTAAAGGGTTTGGAGAAGGAGACTTGGGAAGGGGGTTGGATATGGGAGCCAGATGATAGGAGTATGGGGTTCGAATTCTACGGAAAAGGACATTCATTGCACATATTTAGAGCGACCTTGTAATTGTTAATAAAATCACGGATTGCATTTGGGAAATTCCTTTGTCTTGATTATAATGACTATCGAGCAAGTGTATGAAGCCCTCTAACGCAACCGTATGCTAAATGGATATACCCCAACCATTCTAGAGTTTTTCCACACTTCCCATATTTACAGATGCTAACAATAGATACAGGAGAAGCGAATTGCTAACATCAATGATTTGACTCCGGCTTGCTATGCAAAGTGACCGTCTAATTGTCTTCGTTCTTAATCGTCGTTGAAGGGGTCTGCCTTGTACGCGCCTCGAGCTTCCTCGAAGGTTCGCTTGTAGCGCTGGGCGGCCAGCGTCATGAGGAAGAGAGCCTCGTATTGCCAGAACCACATCTCCTGTTCCTCCAACCACTCGTCCAGAATCTCGTCGCCGTCCGTCTGTTTGCTAAGCGAGCGATAGGTCGGGAAATCAGCCTTAATGGGCTGTTCGGTCTTCTCTGACATGTCGAGGGGGGGCATCTTGGAATCTGACTCCTCTGCTGCCGGTTCGGCGTCATCCTTCTTCTCCGACTCGGGATCGATGCTCTGGGGTTCGGTCAAGCTGCTGTCGATGAGTTCCGGCAGGGAGATGTCGAAATCGAAGTCGGAGCTTACGTCCGAACTTGTGTCTGATGAGTCCGAGGGGAATGACGCGTCCACCGGCGAACGCTCCTCCTCCGTGGGCAACGGCGCGACTGCGAGTGAATCTCGATCTAATGCCTTGACAGGCTCCATCGATTCAAGCTCCTGCTCGACATCTTCAGCCCAAGAGAATGGCTCGCTAGGAGGTAGCAGGACGACGGGGGGAGTAATGGTGCTAGCTTCGGGCTGTACCGTTGTCGAGTTGCTTGTCTCGTTGGCTTCCTTGTTGGCATTTAGTTCATCCACCACGAAGAACCCGTTTTCGTCGTATCCATCTGATTGGGCGACATCTGATCCTTGACCTGAAACATCTTCAGATGAAGCGATGCTCTCTTTCAGGCCGAACATCCCTACGTTGTTGTCCATGTCATGGAAGAAGTCCTCGACATAGCTATATCCTCCGACAAGAATGCATTCCATGTCGTTCTCGGTGATCACACCACCATTGACAAGTCTGCGGAGGTATCTTTCCGTAACAGGTCTGACCCTCTTCATGATATCCTCAACGTCGAAGTCTGTGGTTGGAATAGCTAACTCGGAGGTGCTCATGATTTGACGTAGCTCCGCAACCGAGAGACCTAGGAGATTCAGATATCCCTGTCGGGTTTCCTCGAACTTGCTTCTGACGTCACCTCCTTCGTCAATGAATACGTCCATATCGCAGTAGATACGGCGCTGTAGTGTAGCCATTCCTCGGACCTTGTCGCGGAACTGATGGACCAAGACATGAACTCGGTTGACTGAAATGTCCATATTGGCTACTTTGGTGATAGTTTATCTTCAGGTGTAATGATAAGGCTTGTTCTCACTCTGGGTGAGAAATCTGTGATATAATGTATAAGTTTGCGATTAATCAATTTGGAGTTGTACGGGAAGAGAGAATAAATTTTACTTTACCTTTGCCAGCGAAAAGAATTGGCAAGAAATCGTGATAAACGTAGTAACAGATCGCGTCAGATCAACGGCGGCTAGTAATATACCGATGATTAGTTAATTTATGATAGAATCAATAATCGAGTCGCGGAACAATGACCTTGTTCGCAATAAAACAATAGAATTAATGGTGTCAACAAAAGAAATGGATGAAAGTACCTTGTGGTTGTACTAGAAGTGCTTTATGTTGTGGTAGATATTAAGTCGGTGATGCTTTGTAGTATGATAAAGAAAGGATGGTTTTTCTGGACCGTTGTGGTATGTCGCAGTTGAATTGTGAAGGAATTCTGTCGAAAGATTATCTTGCTTGAATTTAGGTTATTAAGAAATCGTCCTCAGTGAGAAATATGAATCAATCGTGAGAAATTTCAAAGTGGTCTCCACAGAATGGATGTGGTGGTTACCCAGGTATCTACCCCAGATTGTCCGTAGAAACAGATAGATAGGGCAAGAGGTAGAATAAGTTGTAACGAATGAGATTGTACAGCTGGAAATGTTTGCAAAGTTAAAAGTGTTGTACTGGGGCAAGGTGTCTAAATTTGAGGCATTGACCACAATTTGTCTGATAAGGCTTCAATCGATGTTGTCGTTTTTGAGGCTATTATTGACCCACTTTAAACAGAGACGATCAAGTCTACGACATGAACATAAATGATGATCATAAATTACATTCGAAAATAAAGTCGATTCATTCATTTTTGTTTTAACATCTACCCTGCGTTCGCCGTTCAGCCACCAATCAAAATGCTTAGGTACTTACTTTAGAAATATCTGCAGTTTACAATGCAGACTGAAATTATAGCTAATCCTCGGGATCTCGACGTCTAGAATTATTTGCATATATAAGGGTGACCAAAGTTGATGCATAAAGGCCATGATGGGAATGGTGAAAGAGAAAGGGAATGTTGTTCATGTGGCAACAGACATCGAATTTAACTCACCGCAATTAAAAGGAGGTATCGTAATAGACGATATGCATCTATTAATATTTCATCTTTACTCGTTACTTTCATGTCCGCTTAGTTAAATAACACATTTTCCATAAGAGGTACGTACCTAGGTACATAGTATTTCCATATTTCCATCTACTAACGCTAATGACGCAACCTCAACTTGAGCCACAAATACCACAAATGAGGAAACATTTCAAGATACAGTGGTCGCTGAAGACAGCCTATTGATTCACTCCATGATATCTAACCCTTGGAAAAACCTGCTGCCGGCGGCGTTTCACCTTCCACTGGCTTTCGGCAGCCTTGACCCTCGTCTAACCAGCAAATCACTGCAAATCGGTGGGGCTTCTGCAGCGAAGGTGACTCGCTAAGAGCCTTGGGCTGAATCAGATTTGCTAGCTGGCGGGACAGTGAGACGTCACAGCTGCTATCCCGCAAGGATAACTACAAGAATTGGGTGAATTAGGTGCTACACCACGCCTATAGATGCCCATTACGTGTGTTTGTTGACTCTTTGTCCTCTTCGGGAATTGTACATATTATTCTAACACCGCATATTTATCGTTTCTATTCTCTGTTCAAAAGACCTAGTCCTTATAGATTCGTTACTAACACAAGGCGCCATAATATTTAATCGGAAGGAACCGAGTGTTTAATTGTGTGGGTCTTACGTGCGAATAGCATCGTCGATCGTTGGGTAGACATGGCGGAAACGGCACCCCTCCCACCGAACGAATCTCTCCACCAGGCAGGTGGCGGCCAGTCAGGCGCCGCAGACAGCAGTATCAAGGAACTCAAATCGTCTACGCTGAAATATCTAGAGCAAGTTTACACCACACACGCCTCGGCCGTAGACAAGCAATGGGACAAGGAGACGATTGTCGAGTTCCTGCATCACAGGCAAGCGGACAAGGTTACGGACCCGTCGTCGGCTGAAATGGCCGCCAACGACGTACTCGATCTAGCCGGCTTCTTACGCTACATGACGTCCCCGGCGACCGACGCGCTGGCGCCCCCACTAGATCAGGACCTGTCGTATCCTCTGGCTAGCTACTACATCAGTTCAAGTCACAATACTTACCTAACAGGCAATCAGTTGAGCAGCGACTCCGATGCTGACGCATATCGCAACGTCTTGCTGCGCGGCTGTCGATGCGTCGAGATCGACGTTTGGAATGGCGACGACTCCGACGTAGAGTCCTCCGATAGCGGTTCCGATAGTTCTCTGGATGAAGATGCGAAGGAAGTCAAGGCTATTCGAAAAGCAAGCCGTAGGGAGAAGCTTGCCTCGAAGCTCCCCAGTTCGCTGGCTAGCAAGCTTGAGAAGACATCGTTGGGCAAGCGGATTACGGGGAAGGGCGCCACAGAAGCGAACTCTACGGCGAAAAGGGAGAAGGAAGCAGGATCGACCGCTGAGAAGACGACCTCCGCTCCAAAGAAATCACCAAGTCCGCCACCAGGTGTTGTCGAACCTAGAGTTCTGCACGGTTATACCCTCACCAAGGAAATCTCGTTTCGCGAGGTCTGCGTAGCCATTCGGGAGAGCGCGTTCGTGGTGACAGATTTGCCGCTCATCGTCAGCTTGGAGGTGCACTGTGACCAGCAACAGCAGGAAGCCATGGTCAAGATCATTAACGAGGTCTGGGCCGGTCTACTGTTGCCCCATCCTGACGATGATTGCAAATTCCTCCCCTCGCCGGCTGATCTCCGTCACAAGATTCTCGTGAAGGTGAAGTACGCACCACCTGAGGTTCACCTGCCGCATGCTGGCAAAGAGTCTGTAGAGCATCTCCCGCCAAATGTAAAGACAGACCTAAAGGCCGATCCGAAGTCTAAGGCTACCGCGCAACAGCAAGTCAAGAAAGCATCAAAGATCATCCAAGCTCTGTCTGCACTGGGTGTGTACACGCGAGGTGTCTCGTTCAAGTCACTATCACAACCAGAGGCCAGGATGCCATCACATATCTTCTCATTGTCCGAAGGAGGTGTAGCCGAGGTACACGAAAGCGAGGCCGCGCGGCTATTCGAGCATAATCGAGAGTATTTAATGCGAACATATCCTTCAGGCATGCGTATTGGCTCCTCGAACTTGGACCCCGAGACATTCTGGCGAAAAGGCATCCAAATCGTCGCCCTGAACTGGCAAAAATGGGACGAAGGAATGATGCTTAACGAAGGCATGTTTGCCGGAACAGGAGGCTATGTACTTAAGCCCGCGGGATACCGCGGGAAGAAGCCAGTCGTCATAGAGACCTCAGAAGGCGATGATAAGGATAAGAAAGAGACGAAAGTGGCCCCAGTCCCCGCGACCGAGACAATTCTGCACCAAACCCTTGAGCTCAACATCACCGTCTTAGCGGCGCAGAACCTGCCTCTGCCCGAACACGACGACAAAGAAAGTGGGTTCAAGCCATACGTCAAGATCGAACTGCACACGGAGCCACCGCACGGCGATCACATATCCTTAACCCACTCCAACGCAAACACGTCGAAAGCCTCAACTAGAGCTAAGGAAGGCGAATACAAGGCCCGCACAAAGACACAGCGAGGAGTACATCCAGACTTCAAGTCCGAGACACTGGAGGTGGCCAAGGGAGTATCCGGCGTAGTTCCGGAGCTGGCGTTCGTGCGCTTCCTCGTCAAGGATGACGAGATCGGTCGCGACGACTTGGCCGCGTGGGCGTGCATCCGGCTCGATCGTCTCAAGAGCGGATACCGGTTCGTACACCTCTTAGACAAGGAGGGGAAGCAGAGCGAGGGCGTGATACTCGTCAAGGTCGAGAAGAAGCTTGCCTAGGGGGCGGTTTTCGAATCGAGCGACGACGAATCGGAAGATGGGAAGAAGCATCGTCATTTTGAGGGTTGTAGGCCGTCGTAGCATTTGATAGCGGGAAGAATGAGCTAGCAAGCGCGCATATGCATAATGTACTACTTGACTTTAGGCCGGAGGAAATGTCGAATTACGTCAATAGCATTTACTATTCTTTTGTTCTTTGGTATCTCAAGATAAAAACAAGCTGCTGGTACTACTAGGTATCGATTATCGATTAACCCTTGACGTCGAGGCAGTGGAACCCCCACTATAAATTGGTACACAGTTAGAATGACACATCTCATAACTCTGGATCAATGGTGCTGTGATTGTCAGTCGTTGATATGAGATGGATGATGTTCCAGGGGCCATCGCCCTCCATATTAGCCTGTGCTGCTCGGAAGGCGCGCAGTCTCGTCTCGTAGGCGTGGTTAGATAGCGCGGAGGCCTGGGAGTCTTCTAGGATTGATTCTCCTTCCGACGATAACGAGGACTTGAGATTTATTTGCTGGTCGCTTTGGAAAGAATTGTAATCGCGTTTACTACTTTGCGGCGGAGAAACGGAAGGTTGAATAATTTCTCTCGCATGCCCATTTCCTTTCTCTTCGAACTCGTGGGGTTCAGAATCGTCGGCGGGTGGAATAATGGGACTAGAGGAGAGCGGTGCCGCCATCGGGCGGGTTTCCGGTTGACTCTTTCCCTCTCCGTCTTCATCTTGAAGCTGGCGCTGCATCTCTTGTAGTTGGTCTTCCATTAATCGGTCATGCTCGAAGACATCACTAGTGCAGAGGTCCCCAAAGAGACCTTGCATCGTAATACCCCTTTCCATCCAGTGGGCCGGATCCACCGTGCACGGCCAAATATCTTTGGGTCTAAAAGTCTCAACAAAATGTCGAAGTTCCGGGAGAGAAGAATGTCTCGCATACGAAAAGACGATTCGATTGGATAACGTGCTGGGCTGATCGTTCTCGTCGACTTTCTTTACCGGGTTGCGGATTGCGTTTACTTTCTTGACGAGTGACTTCAATATTTCCGTAGTAGATTCCTTTTCTACGAAGTCGGACATATCCATATCGATTTCGAGGTCTCTGGAAGTGGTGAATGCTTTCGTAAGGACACGCTTAACTTCGGTTCCTATTTCATCTAGCAACTGATCATTCCGCCCTATTCTGCAAATGATAAGTTCATGAATGTTAGACGTCCACGGTTCCCATGACTTACATTTCAATCAAGGCTAGGATATCTTGGGTCTCAAGAGTTGGCTTTTGTGCTAGGTCGTCACCGCCCCCGCCAATACCCACTTCAACCATATCTCGCCCGTCCTTAAGATGCGCGACGATGGGTTTAATCCAGACAATCGGTTTGTTCTTCATGACGGCGCAGCTCGTTCCCTTCTCACAGCTATGAATTCGCACATTTTCGTCTAACGTTAAGCATCCTTCGCGCTGATTGTTACCACAGGTGAACCCCACCAGAGAGGGAGCTTCTTTGATCAAGTGAGTCTGCGCAGCGAAGCGGTTATCTTTAGATTTCGTCGCAAGAGACCTATAGACCCCCATCTTATACTTATCGACGTGTATCTTCAAGCGTTATTAGCAGCATTACCAAAGTACCAAAGCTAATTCTCTCACCTTCGAGTTCAGAGCCTTTGATAAGGCGACCCAGACTTCTTCATATCTACGATAGAGTCAGAATAAGAAACTTGATAAAAAATATTATCTTACCCGTAAGTCCATGCTTGCATACAGAAAAAGGTATCTTTTGGGTAGCGCGCTATCTTCTCTAGAAGTTCTCGCAGCCCTTCGGCCTTTGTCTGTAGAGGGAAATCATCCAGCATTGATGTATCAAGATAGATACGGTCGAGCGTCTTTAGTCTGGATGAGTACTCGATTATGCTAGGGTTTCTAGCAATGGAATTGACCCACCAGGGCTCGCTCCTGATGTCTCCGGTGTATAATACGGCCTTTCCATTACCTTCAATTACTGCCAGGGAGGTTAGAGCAAACAGTTTCGTGATAATAGGTTGACGTACGGAACATGACGGCACCAGCACAGTGGTTAGCATCTAGGAGCGTGACTTGGATGCTCTTGCCAGCCTCCAGCTCGACCTCAGTTGGAGTGTCGAGAGGGATGGGTTTCAGCACTCTGGCAAGGTGCTTATACGTCTGCATCCGAGGATCCTCAAAGATCCCTTTGGCGTAATTCAATCGACAGGGATACTTCTCGAGGCGAAGCAGAATTTCCCTAGTTGCAGCCGAACAATAGACGCTACAACACAAGATGTCAGCAATGTGATGGAATAGCAATTGGCTATAGAACTAACATACAAAGGACTCCTTAGCCTGTCTAGCCCCGCGAGATGATCGCTATGTACATGGCTTAAGAAGCAAGCCAGCGGAGGCCGGTGATGTAAACCACGAAAGAAGTCGATTCTTATATCCGGGAACTCATGGATGACACCGTCGAAAGTCGACATTGTGGCTGACAAGCGGATTGAAGCGCCAATTAAGAGCAGTTCTCTGCTGGTAGATGTTCCGTTTAAACATCATTGATGCACCAACATAGATTTCAACTCTGGAGTTTCCATTGTACTTTTTGCCTTACAAAGGAAAGAGTGAAGGAATGAAACGTCGACAGGCAGAACTCGTCATTCTGTTAGTGAGGCATCGGCGTACCAGACCCACAGAATTGAATTTGGAGGCGTTTTTAGCGTTATTCTTAGCGGAACACCCCTCCAGCTAGGCTCCAGGTTGATGTCTACCCGCTCAGCCCACTCTATTTCACTCCTTATTTCCTGGTAAGATACTGTCAGATACAATTTCATAATTTTTGTGTTATCAGGTGGTCCGTGTATCTTCTTCCAAATGCTTAAGCTGCTGGCTTTTGCTTTGAAAGTGTTGTCCCATGATTCCCATTGGTTAGGGCCTGATAGAATGACGGAGGTAGCGTTTGCACTAGTCATGGTGTTACCTTGTTGAATTTGTATTTGATTGGATGAATTAGGTTGCTTAAATTATTAGACTATTGTCTGATTTCTGATGATATTTCAGCGTATGAGACTTTTAATTGTCAAAATAACGTGAGACTTGATAATTTAGTTAATTGTGTAAAGAAAATTCTATCTTCTTAATCTAGGAGATTCTGGCTAAGATTAACTGTAAAATCTTCAATAGTCTCCATATCGTATCTCAAAGGAGATTACGTGAAAACCAGAGATTTAAAGGCATCAAGGCATCAAAACACACGGACCACCTGATAACACAAAAATTATGAAATTGTATCTGACAGATACTATCGCAAAACATTCTTGGATGACCAAAACTTGTCGCATAGCTAGGTGCCTTCTGATTGTTGCGATATAAGCCACATCTCTTAATTTAAGATCTTGCACATCAAAATGTGCCGTTCAAGTCCATCCTACAATCAATTAAAATCCTTGGGTACACCGATTGATCGACCCGAAAATAGATAATACGGCGATGAAGCGCAGATACGCCGTATTCCTAAATAACGGGTGATCCGGTAGGTGGCAAGACGATAAACCTTTAGAGAGGGTATTGACAACGATCCCATATTGTTCAAAGTCACCCAGACCTTGTCCCGTTAATTTCACAGCAAGCAATGGTGTTTTCTGCAATACTTCAATTCATCTACTATTAGCTGTTTAAGCTAGGAGACACTGCACTGAGGGCCTGACACCACGAAATCAACCAACATGTCTTCCATGGCTTACCCAGCTGAACCGTTGCAGATTAGCAACAAAATCAAAATTCCCTTGACTGGCACCCAGGAGACCTTGATGGGACCGTTAATAGCGAGAGCTAGGGATGCTAGAATGCCCCAACCTATTCTAAACGATATATATGCAGCTCAAATACTAGATTGGATCGATCATGATACCGACAAGTTTCATGTCGACGATACACAGACTATCATACATGCGCTTCGTGCGGCATGTATGGATAGGTGGATTGTCGAGTTCCTAACGAACAACCCAGAATGCACAGTTGTCCATCTAGCCTGCGGACTGGATAGCCGATGGCAACGCATCCAACCAGACTTGACCAGAGTTCGCTGGATCGATTTGGACCTACCCGACGTTATCGAAATACGTACCAAACTCATCCCCAACCCCGAAGGCAATTACATGCTAGTCGCCGCAAATGTAACAGAGGAGTCGTGGCTTCAACAAATTCCCGCGGATCGCCCGACTGTCATTGTTGGCCAGGGGTTGATGATGTACTTGGAAGAAGAGGCCGGTAAACGTATGATTCAGCGAGTTGTCGAACATTTCAAATCCGGCCAGCTTATCATCGATTGTGTCAGCACAATCATGCTCTCTTTACAACATAGCATCGAGACCCTTACAGCCACGGGGTCGAATTTTCAATGGGGCGTCGACGAGCCGAAGACCTTGGAGGCTCTTCACCCGCAACTGACGATGCTAGAGTGTCTGGGTCCTTCTGAACTTGGCTTCTCGCACATGCCGCTTAATACTCGCATCATGCTGTCGACTTATTCGTATCTGCCCTGGTTCCGGTATCTCAGTTCTTATGTACGATTTGCTTTCTAACTTTTTGGGTTGATTGGGACCGGATGGTATGGGTCAAGTAACTCGTTATTTTTTGCTATATATGAGATATGATACTGAACGAGATTCTCCCTTTATGCTTTATCAATCCAAGTTCTCTCATCTTCTACTCTCTTTTTGCTCATATATCCCCCTAATGTGACATATTACACGGGTTTGTCAATGGACCTCTCCACCGCACCTAGCACGACCTTCAACACGGCATCTGGCGCCAAATCTCCCGGGTCACTGGTCCACGTCACCGTGTCCACCATGTCTCTCAGGTTCAACGTCTGTGCCATACCGTTATCCGCGAATTCCATCGCTCTCCGACCATCGTCATTATCCCCGACACGGAAGAACTGCACGCCAACCTGGTACGGCGGCGCATGGCACGAGTCTAACGATCGCGCGGTCTCAATCAGCGTATCGTAAGGATTATCGTCTGTCACGCCCGCCGTGATCACGATGAGGTTCAGTGGCCTCAAATTTTCCGCCTGGGGAACGCCGTCCTTAACCCGTCGCGTGTACTCCTTCATATACGGACCCAAGATCGCGCCCAATCTGTGGTCGAGGCGACAATGCCCGTGAGGTTTAACTGCCCGAAAGATACCCGCCACGTTGTCGCGATTGTCGCTGGACGCGTCGTCCGTCGTCTTCCCAATGTTGAAGTAGCCTCCGCGTTGCCTCTTCTGCCCGATCGTCGCGTATAAGTAGTATCCGCGCGGCCGGTGGTTCACGAAATAAATATCAATGCCGTTACGGTCATGCTCCGCGCAGATCGTGCAGATCTGGTCTAGCAGCTTGCCGACTGCGTCCCAGTGCTCGGCCATCGCGGCTGAATCGTCGATCAGAAAGACCGTGTCGAAGTACGAGAGGAATGTGTACGGGCCCGAGGAGGAATCGATGTGCTTCCTCTCGAGCTTGGCGTGGTTGCTTGGGCGCCATGACCGTTGGTGTTCGTCCGTGGACGGTATGTATGGGCCAGGCGAAGAGTCTAGAGGGTAAGGAGGTTGAGGTGGAGGAGAACCGGGATGGGGACGGGGGAGCGGCATAGTAGCTATTGTCTTGACTTGATTATGTTTAAAAGATCATGGTAAAGTTGAAGTTTCCGTCTCTTGGTGCGTTTTTTTATATGGCTAATTGGTTTTCTTTATGGAGGAAAGGTGTTTGAAAAGTTCCAATACTGTGACTACAGTGAAAGCAGCAAACATGTTTCTCTTTTTATCATTTTTATCTGACCTACAAGTGCATGTGATGAATCTCCAATATATTTGTGAGGTGTAATGTTTCATTTAACGCCCAGCTGTTAACGACGTGGATTTTTATCAGTTGTTCCGTGGAGTATGACATGCGACCAATCTCCTGAGCATTAGCTATTCTTAGCTGGTTGACTTGAATAGCATGAGTAATGATTTTCCGTATCAGAGTAGTAACCGCGACATATTGGAAATACTTCATGTTGAAAATCAGAGGTGTGGGTATATCTCAATAATTGACCCCTAAAAGGTACGTTGACGTTGGGTTGATGTCGCTGCATCTAGGATCGGAAACCCCATTGAACTTGGTAGTGAAATATTCAGTCAATAATAAGATTAAAAGCGACTTAGAGGACTTTTATTCCTAATTAGGTACCTACATATTCAATCGCTCACGCTAAAAGGTTCTCTAGATATTAGGATCGAATACTGATTTGCCTAAACTCTCAAGACATCGTGACAGATTATTCCACGTCATTAAGTACTTATCTGGAATAATACAGACCGATACCTATACAAAATTTGAACTGGAACAATAGGTACCTAGATAGCCCTTTTCTCGCAATTGCATTGATGCTAGCGCTCTACTTACGAATAACGTCAAATCCATGGGATGTTCCCATGTCCTTGCCAACTACCATGGTGTCAAAAAGGGGCGGCTTCAGGTACAAAGAAATCGCAAACTTGCTTCGATCCGGCAGCTCGGATCCCTTCTATTTATCATGCCTGGATACTTCGTATCGTCACATCATCATTGGCTAGTATTTGCTGCCAAGCTTAAAGGATATTGGGATACGGATGAAGCGGGCACCCTAGTCGCCAAGGCAACAGCTCTGAGCCTTAACATCTCTTAGAAGGGAAGGAGATAAGCATAACCAAGAAGCTTCCGCGCAGCTCTAATCGTTCCCCGCGGTAGCATCATGCTATGGCAAACTGCAGCAATATGCGATTCGCAATTTGCGCGTCAATCACGAGGGAGCTCTGCCGAGCCTCCAGTAGATCATTCTTAATGCACGCAGTATATATATAAAGGGGGCAGGCGGCCCATTTCTAATTCCTACTCGGCCGTTTCCCTCTCCTCTCTCTCCTTTGTGTGAGCTTCAAGCCAGTTTCCGATTAAGGGATACGAGCGGAGACCGGAAACCTCAATTGGGGAAACAATGGAGCTCATAACTTTGTTCCTCACAGGATCTACGCTCCTGCGTTCCGCATTCGCCATTCAGCCGGCGCGCCAACCGCACCAGCCCACCGGCAACGGCGAGAAGATCCTGACGTGGAACGAGACGGTGGCCAGCAACCAATTCGGCGCGCGGTCCACGTCCGTCAGCTGGCTCTCCGGCGGCGAAGACGGGCAGTACATATACGCCAGCGACGACAGCGGGGCGCTGATCCTCGAGAACTTCGTCACGGGCGAGAGCGCGACGTTCGTCGCCGCCGACCTGATCCCCGACGACGTATACGATTACTGGATCCGGCCGGACCTGGCCAAGGTGCTCTTCGCGACCAACTACACGAAGCAGTACCGCCACTCGTACTTCTCCGACTATTCGATCCTCGACGTGGCGTCGGGCGAGCTGACGCCGTTGGTCGCGGACCAGGTCGGCGATATCCAGTACGCGGAGTTTGCGCCGAAGGGCGACGCCATCGCTTTCGTGCGCGGCAACAACTTGTTCCTGAACAAGAACGGCGCGATTTCCCAGATCACGGATGACGGCTCGCCCGATTTGTTCAATGGCGTGCCAGATTGGGTGTACGAGGAAGAGATCTTTGGCGATCGCTCGGCGATCTGGTTCTCGCCTGACGGCGAGGTCCTTGCGTACCTTAGCTTCAATGAGACCGGGGTCGAGACTTTCACGGTGCAGTACTTCATGAATAATCAGGAGATCGCGCCCGTTTATCCCCGCCTATTGGATTTGAGGTATCCGAAAGTTGGTACGACGAACCCCACGGTGTCTCTAACTTTGTTGGAGATCGAGAGCGAGGAGAAGCAGCCAGTACCGATCGACGCTTTCCCCGCGGACGATCTGGTGGTTGGTGAGATCGCTTGGGTCACGTCTGAGCATAGTAGTGTTATCTACCGCGCGTTCAACCGCGTACAAGACACGTCGAAACACGTGCGAGTTGATGTAGGGGATGAAATCAATACCGAGGTTGTCCGGGAAAGAAATGGCACAGACGGTTGGCTCGATAACGATATGGGCATCAAGTTCGTTGGACCTGTGAACGGTTCCACGGGAGATTATTACATCGATGTTTCGGACGAGTCTGGTTGGCAGCACATTTACCTCTATGCCGTCAACGGGTCGAACGTCACCGCACTCACTGAGGGAGAGTGGGAGATAGCGTCTGTTCTCAAGGTTGACAATGAACGCGAGTTGGTCTACTACACGTCTACCAAAGCTGATAGCACTGAACGACACATCTACTCTGTATCTTACTCGACTTTAGAGTCAAATGCTCTTGTCGACGATACGACTCCCGCAGTTTGGAGTGCATCGTTCAGTTCAGCTGGCGGATACTACATTCTCAGCTATGCTGGGCCCGACGTGCCGTACCAGGAGTTGTATGGGATCAACGACACCACGACGCCTCTCCGAACCATTACGTCAAACGAAGATCTGTGGAACAAGTTGCAGGAGTACAACTTACCGAACATCACATATTTCTCACTCGATCATCCCGACGGGTATAGTTTAAATGTGATGGAAACATTACCCCCTAATTTCGACCCCGCCAAGAAATATCCGGTCCTCTTCACGCCTTACGGCGGACCGGGATCGCAAGAAGTGTCTAAATCATTCCAGTCAATAGGTTGGAACGCGTACATATCGTCAGACCCGGACCTAGAATTCATTCAATACACGGTCGATAACCGAGGTACAGGTTTCAAAGGCCGGGCCTTCCGTGCGCTTGTCGCATCTCATCTAGGCGAGTTCGAAGCAGCGGACCAGATTTGGGCTGCGCAGGAGCTAGCCTCTCGGAACTCATTCATAGATGCGGAGAAGGTCGGAATTTTTGGGTGGTCATATGGTGGGTATCTATCAGCGAAAGTCGTAGAGGCAGACTCGGGAGTGTTCACCCTGGGTCTCATCGTGGCACCTGTGAGCGACTGGCGCTTCTACGACAGTATGTATACGGAGCGGTACATGAAGACGTCGCAGATGAACCCGGAAGGATATAACAACTCGGCGGTGCGCAAGCCCGACGGCTTCAAAAACATTGCCGGTGGCTTCTCTATTCAACACGGCTTGGGCGATGATAATGTCCATTATCAGAACACCGCAGCCCTCTTGGATCTACTTGTGGGGGCCAACGTGTCTCCGGCAAAAATGCAATGGCGCGTATTTACTGACAGCGATCATGGCATTTCGTATAACGGCGCCTCTACATATTTGTACAAGTTTCTGACAGATCTATTGTACCGGGAGAAAATAAGGACAAGCGGAGGCCTAGTTCATCAGTGGACGAGAAGGGCAAAGTCGTGGTTGGCGGGTGAGCAATGAGAAGTTATGTAAAACATCAATAGTTCATTAATAGTTCATAAATAGGATATATCTACTAATTTAAATAACATACCTGGATTCGTACTCATAGTAGTCGTGAAATCCTTCCAGGGAAAGAAAGCCGACGTGATGCCATCGCACGATACCCCTTAATGGACCCACAACACACAACTCTGACGATATTGTCAAGAGCTTCTAATTGCCTATTCAAACGCGCCCCGAAGAGCAGTATTATCTTTACTTATCCTTGCCCACTCGGCGCTCTTGATCCACAGTTTTTCTTGTTTCGATTCATCCCGACTCTCGGGTGAGCTCTCGGCCTTCTCCAGCAACTCGAAGTAGCCCCTTTCTCCTGGATGGACGCGATCAAGTGCAAGCTCAATAGCATCTACACCAGAATCAGCTCCCAAGCGCATTTGCGGATTCTGATACTTGAGTAACGGTAATAAGGGCTGGACGGCATATCGCATCAACATGTATAGCGATGAGGATACATTTTTCTGGAACATGCGTGAGTCTACGAGACCGCCTGGGTTATAGGCTACGGCAGTAATCTTGTTGAGACTTTCATCCTATTGAAATTTGTTAGAAACTAGATCGTGCATGCTTTAGGATGCTTCCCACCTTTTCAAGATATCGATTAAGCGCATGCGTCCAGGCGGTGGTGGCCAGCTTCGAGCTCCCGTATCTATGAAACCCGGCTCCTCTTTTATCTTCGTGAGCAACCGGCTTGACGAGTTCGTCGAGATCATCTGGGATCGAAGGTGGGATCTTCTCCAGCACAGCTCTACCGGGCTCGTGCGCCTCGCTAGAAAACATCACAATCCGGCCGCCATCCGGGGTAAACCTGTCGAGAAGTCGAAGTACTAGGGCCACGTGAGATATATGGTTAACCTGGAAGGTCTTATCATACCCATCGTCCGTCAACTCTGGGTCGCCGACAAGGTTCCAGTAACATGCATTGCATACGATAGTTTTCAGGGGCGGGGTCCTTTTAGCGGCAATGTCCGCAGAAAGTGTGCTTGAAAAATCGTGCACGGTTGAAATATTCGAAAGGTCTAGCTGCTGGATTGACGCCTTTGCTTCTGGGTATCGTAATATTATTTCGCGTAACTTCCGTGTGTTGGGATCATCCGAAGCATCCCGCACGGTGAGGATTGCTGTGTATTCTGGGTAGTGCTTGAGAAGATGGTCTACGGCAGGAAGAGCGAGGGTTCCATTAGCCCCGGTGATCAAAACGCTACCCGCCATGTTTGTTTTTGGTCCGTAGATCTGCTGTGGGAGTGCAACTTGAGGTCTAAATAGTGCGGCGGAGGGGCAAAGATAGAAAGTCTGTGAGCATGTGAAAAAGGGGAGGCAATTTGTCTTTCTCGGTAACGATCTTACAGTAACAACTTTGAGTTTTGAATCGTTATCATCCTGCCTTAAAGGGTTTCAGGTGATGGAATGCAGACTCGACATCTTGTAGCTTTTGAAGGATTGGTATAGTAGGATCCTTCAGAAATTAGTAGTATCTACCTAGCTAAGCGATGGGGGGGGGGGGGGGGGGGGTCCCTTGAGGACCTATCTATAATAAGAATAAGAACTCCATCCCCGATTAGGTTGGTGGATCATCTTCACCTAGACCGGGGTGCCCTTAGCTTATTTTGTGAATGAGGTCCACCGGCTTGGTTCAGCTATCCCCTGATAGGGATCATCGTGAGATACCGCAGCCTATGGACAGGCCAACCATTCCGTTGGGATTCACGTAAATGTGCGCGCATGTCGATAATTTCATGTATGCAGCTGAGTGACGAAATTGATTCCAAATTTATTAGATTCTACAAATGCTTTCATACGATGTATCCTACGCTTCTCCATTCCTGCGCATCGAGCTGGCCATCTTCTAGTTCTATGTAGGCGTCATAGCGCAAATGGGCTTCGCTTTGAGATTGCGCGGAACTTCTAATTCGAGATGTGGGATACGCCGTCGACCCTTCTTTTATATGAGAGTTCGAAAATGAGCTCTTCGTCTCGCGAGTTTCGAGTGGGTCCCTTCCACGCAAACCAGCCCAAAATCTAGGGAAAAGTGGCATACAACCTACTAGAATTGTTCCAAAATACTCGGCAAACCTTTATGAGGGTTAGCTACTATGTGTTGATTGTAGTAGGGTGGTACATACGTAAATAGTCCTACTTTGGCGATGGCCATGGTCAAGTTATCATCTGTAACGAGAGGGACACGGAAAGCAACCCCGAGAACAGCTATTGCACACGTACTGAAACGAAACGAGTTAGCCAGCGAGGATCACATGACGTAGTCGTGGATATCAGAGGAGCGTCTTCTTACAAGAATCCAACGCCGAATACAGATATAACTCCCAGCTTGCGTTTCATGGGCATCTGGAGGAGCCAAATTGCCCACAGGGGGGTCAAAAAGATGCCAATGTCCAGAAGCATGTTTATGATACCAGAGACCAATGTAGCAACCTTAAAGTTGATGCAGGTCGCATCCGGTGCTAGCAGCGGATTCCATATAGCGTCACGAGGCCAGCATTGAAACGTAAATGTGAAGAAACAGGCGATGTAGTACGCCACTGTCGCCGTAATGAGGCCGTTTATAATCCACCATACAGAGTTCTTTAGACTTCCGGGGCAGAATATCCTCTTTAGCTGAACAAGGACAAAATACTTGGCTGCCAGCATCGAGGGTCCATAGATGATTTCGATGACGTTCATCATCTGTCACCCGTCAGTATTATGAACCACACGTGGTACGGTGGTAGTTAATTGGCTGGCTTACATATAAGAAGTAGGGTGCGTCAATAGCTCGAATATCCCATTGGTTTCGGGACAACCCGAGGCTCGATAGGTATATAAATATTATATCCCATATAAGAAAGCCGGCCTATTTGAATGTTAATCATGCACGTCTATCGTGGCGTCTGATATTCATACCAAGGCGAAGATGGCGAAGTCTGCTCGTAATTAGTCATCATCTTAGTGTTCGAAAAAGGGGTAAACACCAACAATCTTCATGTTTCATAGCTTTCAAAATAACCGCTTTCGTGTATATTCGGATTGCTACGGCTAGAGTCATCAACACAATGCTGATGAGACCGATAGCGAGAATCCAAGGGTAGAATGTGAACGGGTCGACGAAATTGGGCACAACACCTGCCGGTGGCACCAAGGCCGGTAGTTGCGAAATTTCCTCCGATGAAGCCATGATCCAGTCTTTTCCAGCCAAGGAGACTGCGTCTCCGGGAGACTGGTAAGGAGGGCGGGATGCCCTTTATTGCCGACCGTCTTACTTACATATCTTGCGGTAGGTGGGTTTCTAACCTTCGATCTAAACGTGGGATTCATATTTATGCCCATAAATCCTCAGAGCGCTTAATCTAATTCGTTATAATGGTCGGTAACGAAGAGGGGGGTTACATAGGCGTGATAGTCGCCGCGATCCTCCGGCGCAATCGATGGAGTTGGTTGACTAGCGTGATTCGGTAAGAGGACACCCACGGTATGTACGATGCTAGGCGAGGAGCGGTTGGCGATAGGACATCCTGTCAATGTTGCATGATATATCGTAGTGTAACCTAACTAGACCGGCCTCTTCGAGTTAGGTCGATTTAGTAGTTCACCTAAATATACTACGTTGGATAAGTATAGTGACGAACTAGGCGCTTGGCAAGACAGAAGCGTGTGTCGTGGGGGCTACACGATTGGCACGATATAGATCCACTCATGGGAATGCTCTACAGAAATAGGCGAGCAGCTAGTTATGATAGGGAAGAAGGATTCGCTCCCTAAGCAAGCTTAAATCCTCCACGGTCCCGGGAAGATATCTACCTACCTTCCTGTTCACCTCCAAATAGCATCACGTAGCACGTCAATGGCCGGCTTTAGTCTCACATTAGTAGAAATTAGTAATATCAACTTCCTATGTCTTAGGTAAGAAGAGGTTAGGTTTGGTTCTATATAAGATACAGTTGCGTAGCGTGTCATCTAAAAAAGTCTTCTTTGCCACCTCATCCCCTGAGAGATATCTCCCAAATATAAATCGAGTAGTTATGATTTGTGAATAAACGGCACATGCGATTTAGCGTGAGAGGGTGGTAGGTGAGTGATACACTATTACATGCCTAGTATCTCCACTTGTTCCATTCAATGCCGAGGATATAAAAATGTCTGGCCAGGTCCAGAAATTATTTGATATAATAAGAATACTCTAGATGATTTGATTCTAAGCTGATGAACATAAGACCCAGGGGAGTCCGCTACGTCATAACCTCTCAGTGATTAATAGAATACCTAGACCAAGCCACTTCCAGTTAATATAGAGACGGCTGTCCACCATTAGGAGAGAAAAGTAGTGAACCAATGATGTGAGATAACCATGCATTACTCTACGATTAACAAACTTGAATTAAACCTTTGATGGCTGACTCATCCTCCAGTCCAACAGTAAAAACGCCCTTTCTCCGCGCATATATCACGCTCATATTTCGATTCCGGGTTTAGTTCCCTTGTCCTGTTCAGTCAAACTGGTTGCGACTCCTCGTTTCTCTATTGACGTTCTTCCTTCCTCGGCATCATGTCCCGAGCCTCCAATGACTTGGCCACGGATTATCTGTTCCTTCTCCTGTCTCTCCTGCCTCCGAGTGAACCACATTACTACCGGTAGCCAGGCTGATAACGCTAAAGAAGCTGCGAGGCCCGCACGATAACCCCGATAGAAACGAGGTGCTTCGACTGTTGGAACGAAGACCTGAGACAGCGTTTAGTGTCGCTCGAACATTAGCCATCCAATAAGACTGGGACTTACTTGATTCCACCAAGTGCCTTGGGCCAACCCGATAGAATTTAGGGCACCGATTACGATAGCCCTCTCCTCTGCATCCCCTGAGCAGACTCTATGCGTCCAACTGACAATAACGGGGAACAGAGACTGAATAGTGCCAGCAATATAGAACGCAAAAAAGATGGCAGGTTTACCTAGGTTCCAAGCGACTAATAGAGACTCTGAGACGATCTGTGTCATGCAGATCAACACCACAGACTCCACTTGAGAGCCCCTCCAATCGTTGTAGGTTCCTGTTATCAACATAAAGATGATCGATATTGCTGAATAGACGGTGGGGTAGTTATTGGCGTCCGGCACTGAATATTTCTCCGCCTTGAGCCAAAGCGCCATCGTGGAGGTGGTTGGAGCTTGGTAAACAAAATACATGAGCGTGAACCATGTAACCAGAATCCAGAAGTGCCATCTTCCAAGCACTCGCTTGAAAAGCGACCGGTCAAATCGACCCAAGGGCTTACGGTTATCCGCTTCGAGCCGCTTTATACACATCTGTCGCTCTTTTTCTGTCATCCACCATGTACTCTTCTCGTGTAAAGGATTTGGGATGATAATTAAGCCAATGATGACCATAGGGCAGGTGATTAAAAAGTCTAGTATGTGATGAGTTCACCACATCAGCCAGGCGATCATACAAGGGTGGGGAAAAGGGGTAGTCCCTACCGATGATGAAGAGCCACCTCCATCCCCTAATACCCAGGTGACCGTCAATCGTTTGGTATATGCCAGCTTGGATATAGCCTGAGAACATAGTGGCAGCAATCCCAGAGGCCGTGAATATGCCGCTCCTCTTGTTGATTTCATGGTTCCGATACCATGTTCCAATCTGCGCGAAGTCAATGATTGCGACTTATAATCCTCATCACAGTTACCCTTAACTACCTCATGAGCGCCCGATTATGTCTTCCCAGGGGATAAAGAAAAAAAAAGAACATTATAGTTAAATGAGTTTCATACTGAAAACTTGTTAGCATGAGGGAAAAAACTCTGACAATCATAGCATATTACATACCCATAAAGTGCAAACCAGGCCAGCTAGCTGCCTCGATGAATCCAACGCAAAACCTGATAGCATATATTTGTTGCGCATTTTGGCATTTGTAAATGAACAAGACGAAGAACGCCCAGAAGAACTCAGCAGCAGGGAGATACCATCGTGGAGAAATCTTGGTTAACAAAATTTGCGACGGTATTTGACCAACAATATAACCGATTTGAAACCAAGTGGTCATCCAGTTGAGTTCATTACCATAAAGACCCAAGTCTTCCTTCATGCCAGATATGTAAGCATTGTTGATGTTATTTCGATCGAGATCTTTGGTGAAGAAGGTCAAGCAGCAGAAAGTCAGAATTGCAAGATCCAGTTTCTGCACCAGTTTCTTCTCTTCTTTCGAAGTACCCGGTCGAGTCCAGAAGTAGAACTTGTCGCTTGTCTTCGAAGAGATCAACGCGTCTTCATTGGCTAACTCAGCTGTAGCCGGCGCCTCTACGCCCTCTGAAGACTCGTTCTGTCGGCTTTGGCCTAACATCTTTCGAAACAATCCTGTCGCCATTACGTACAAATAACGGAAACCAGGCGATGTAGTCAAATGAAGCGAATTGAAAGCCCCAACCGGGAAAGAAAGGTGATGGTGAAATATCGAGTTTCCAGCGCGTTATCACATTGCTTCCCCTTGTAATTATCACCATGGGTTCCACTATACCATTACCAAGTTGATGTTTTGATAAGATACATGATATCTAATCGACCATCATATTCAGGGGTTATGAACTAACAACCCTGAATAGTTCCGTAAACTTGAGCGTAAGAGTGAGGGGTACCAGAAAACGTCTTCCAGGGAATAAGGCGGGTATTAGCGTGCTGTTGGTTCACATATCTTTGGATTTGCAGCGGCTGTGATATCGGCTTTTCCCGACGGAGTGGGGATTCTTACCGAACTTCAGGGGTAGTCCATCGGCTTGTTTCCGAAAGGCCTCAAGCTACCTTAACAACACCTGATGGTAATAAGGTAGGAATAAATATCACATGGTTGGTAATAAGTTGAAATATGATATTTCGTAGAAAGAATGGTACGAATTTCATAATAGTCATATCAAAAGTTACCTATGATTAGGTAGGTACTAAGTCATGACATCGACGAAACTAGTAAAAGATAGCCCTATCATCATTGTGGGGGCAGGAGTTTTCGGTCTCTCAAGGTATGCATCTTGAACTCATGTATCTACTTGACAACTGAACAAGTCTGCCTCAAGTGCGCTCCACCTTTCACAGAACGGATACAAGGACATCACGGTGTTTGACAAACAGCCCTACGCGGATAATGCGTATTCTACAACCGATGGGGCCGACGCGGCATCTGCCGATTTCAATAAAGTCATGCGGATGAGCTACGGCGACGAGATTGAGTATCAACGACTTGCTTTCGAAGGTATCAAGACGTGGAATGCGTGGAATGACGGGATCAGGTCTTCGAAAACCGAGGACTTACCACGCGGCTTGAAGCCGACAGATCTTATCTGGAACAACTGCGGATTCCTTCGAATGAGCATTGACGGAAAGTTATCAGATATCGAGCGTGCTACTCTTGCAGGTATGACCCGCGAGGGTCTACGTCAGACGCAGTTTGTATTAGGTGACGCTGAAGACGAGAAACGGGCGAGATCTCATTTTAGGCGGGGAGAATGGGAAAAGAAGTCGGATCCATTCGGACGCAAGAAACAAGGGAAGGAACTAGTAGGTGTTTTCGACTCTACAGCTGGGTTTGTTGAAGCTAGCAAAGCGTGCATATGGGCGATGCATCTATGTCGTAGGAATGGTGTTCGATTCGTGCTAGGCGAGAAAGAGGGCCAAGTCTCTACTTTCGTCAAGAACGGGACTGGCAGGACAATTGGTGTTCGCACTATATCTGGTGCTGAATACCACTCCGAACTCTTGATATTAGCTGGTACGTTGATGAGTAACTATTTCTTAGGGAGTAGTGCACTAACGGAAAGGACCATCGCAGCCGGCGGCTGGACTCCGTACTTATTTCCGTCTGTATCACCGCTTCTCGAGACAACCGCGGGTAGCGTTGTCTACTTCCAGTTACCGCCCAAGGATCAGGCCCAAGACCTCTGGGACAAGTTCTCGCCCGAGAACTTCCCAGTTTTCGCCTATGGGGGTTGGTCGAAGGGCCACGGAATCGGTGGTTTCCCTCGTACTGAAGACGGGATAATCAAGATAGGCTATCGTGGTACCAAATATACTAACTACGAAGACGTTCAAGATCCTATTACGGGAGTGAAACATCGTATAAGTGTTCCTAAGACGAAGTATTGGCCTCAGCCCCACGACCCAGCTATTACTAAGCAGGCAGTCGATGCTGTTAAGGAGGTGGTAAGGGAGGCAATGCCCGAGCTAGCGGCGATTGGAATTACTGGATGCAGAAACTGCTGGTACACTGATAGTCTCGATAATTCTTTTCTCGTTGATTTTGTACCCAACGACGACGGTATGCTCATCTGTTCAGGAGGCTCTGGCCATGGTTTCAAGTTCCTTCCGATACTGGGGAGGGAAGTAGTTAAGATCATTGAGAGGCCGGGGGAGAAGAATGCTTACGGCAAGCTCTGGAGGTGGAGGATCAAGGAAGGCGGTCCTAGGAACGGTCTCGAACAAGGAGAAGCAGGGCCAAGAAACTGGAAGAAACAGGTCATGGCGACAAAAGATGATTGGAAATTTCGGGAGAACCCTAGCCTCTACATGGAATCGTATGGGTAGATATAAACTCACCGTTAAAAGATGTATTTGATTTTTGATCAATTGACCTTAAGTATCAGGAATCTGATTTGTATTGATTTTTCAGGGGCTCAGGGGTAACATCTCCTATTTTAGACAACGATCAAATCAATGAGCAAATGATTTTTAACTTGAGTTGCCAAAACAATGTACCTACGAGGTGATTGGAAGTGCCTGTTGCCATTTCTATGTAGGGAGGTAGGTACTGGCCCTTCCAGTTGTCAGATCGAGGAGCCCCACCCACCACCACCAGGAGTCTTGATAATGAATCTTTCGCCGCTTTGCAGCTTTACAATGCCGCGAGGACCGAGACTGACCAACCTCTTTTTCTCACTAGACTTTCTAAGGATTAGATTCTCCCCAGGTGCTCCGTCTTCTCCGCCGTGGAGTCCATATGGCCTGCTAACTCTCCTTTCGGATATCATAGAAAATGTTAACGGTTCCCGACATTCGATAACTCGAACAACACCGTCACCTCCGCTGTACTGACCCCGACCCCCTGAGCCTTGACGGAGTGAAAATTCCCGGACTATTACTGGATATCGCTTTTCCATGATCTCCGCGTCCGAGATACGAGTGTTCGTCATATGGCAGTGAACAGCACTGTGCGAAGATGTGTTAGTGATCTCCCGATTTCTTTTCAAAGATAAATTCAAACCTACCTTGCACCATTCCACCCGGGACCTGCCCCCGATCCACCGCATATCGTTTCGCCGTAGGCGAACTTGTAACCATCAGTTGGCTTTCTCCCTCGTCCGCCAAAAAATCCGACACTGTTCATGCACCCTTGGCTAGCAGCACAAGCCTATTGAACGCGTATTAGTTAACTGGTAGCGCATTAAGGAGTTGTAACCTACGTCGAATGCTCTAAGAATAACGTCAACAACACGTTGGCTTGTCTGTGTGTTCCCAGCGTAGACAGCTGCTTGGTCGCTAGGGTTTAGTATGCTGCCTTCGGGATTGATAACCCGGATAGATGATAGACACCCTTGGTTTAACGGGATATCTTCATTGATGAGACAGCGCAATGCATATATGATAGCTGACAAGCAAATACTCTTCGGAGCATTGTTATTGCCAACGACCTCTGGACCCGTCCCAGTAAAGTCGAAGACAGCGCTACCATCAGACTGAATTCGTATTTCAAGCTGAATACGAGTTCCATTATCGAGACTGTCTATAGCCTGCAATGTGCCGCCATTAAGTTTATTCGAGGTCTTCTGCAAGAATTTCCGTACGGCAACTTCAGCGTTCGCCTGGATACGATCCATGTAGAACTGGCGCGATCATTAGAATTATCTATCCGAAAGTTGCGTTTGGGAAGTATTGCTTACTTGGACGACCTCCCGCCCATACTCTTGGAATAACTTTTCTATAAGCTTGGAGCCCTTCGCATTTGCTGCGACCTGGGCTCGGAGATCTGAGAGGTTGTCGTAAAGACTTGACGTGCCGACACAGTTAGGAAATTGCCCAGGCTCCTCAACAAGTATCTTAGTAATGCCTTCCTCGTCAAACCTCCCATTCGAAACAAGCTTGAAGGAGATAATTCTTGCACCCTCCTGGTATAGCTCAGTAGCATTAGCATTGCCCGAAATACCCTCAAAGCCACCAATATCCCGATGATGGCCCCTAGAGGCTGTGTAAAATATTATCTCCTTGCCACTTGGGTCAAATACTGGCGTTATGACTGTAATGTCAGGCAGATGTGTCCCGCCAGCAATCGGATGGTTAGATACTAGGACGTCGCCCGGTTGAAGTGTGGTTCCATATCGCTCGTGCTGATATTTCACTGCGTAGGCCATACTTCCTAGGTGAACAGGGACATCTAAGTACATGTTAGCTCACATCACAGCTTTGCATTACATAATGGATTCGCGTACGGGGCGCATTGGCGACCAGATCGCCACTGGGTCCGAATATAGCACAGGAAAAGTCAAGCCTAGATTTAATTAGAGCTATTATGTAGAATGAGCTAGGAAAGGGAATGGTACCTTTCTTTGATGTTAATACTGACGGCGGTCTTTTGTAATGTCCTCCCCATCTGCTCGGCAATAGACATAAACCCTACCCTATTCATTAGCTACTCTAACACAAATACAAGGGATGAGGGGGGTTCTTACGGTGACCAAAGATAGATAATTGGGCTGGATCTGCATCCGTCAAGGACAGTGACCGCAGAGAGGTTGCTTGGCTTTGCGAGCCTACACTGAGTATAATGTGCTCAGATAATATCTTGGCAGTCGAAAACGGCGTCACAATGATTGTTTGGGTGTTATCTATTATGATGCCGGGGCCTTCAATATGATCCCCTGGCTGAAGATTCTGGAGTAGATAAATAGGGGTATCGGCCCATCCGACGTTAGCAAAATAAGTCCTTGAGAGTTTTTCGTGTGGTGGTGTTGGTCGTGTCTCTGTTTCGATCAATTCTCTGTAGACGTTATGCGGCTGGCGTTCAAATTCTTTTGCGATCCCACGGACGCGGATATCGTCGACGATGATGTCACGCGAAGGTAGCAGGAAGGAAAATTCCTGTTGATGAAGTTCCTCGAACGCTCGCTTAAAGTTTCCGTCATGTGGTAGTGATACCATCATTTGTGTATCAGTACCTTCATAGCGCAGGTTCAAGAACTGTTGCGTTTCGATATGTTTCGTAGAGGAAACTCCCTGTAGTAAAAGACCCTGTACAGCGCGTTCCTTTAGCGACTCGAATCTTTCGAAAATCTCGGTGGCTGAGAGCGGTCCTAGGATTAAAGAGGATGGCTCTTGAACTTCTTCCACTAAATTCGCAAGTGCCATTCCATACGCCGATAGAATGCTAGAATACTTATGAATCAAAACAGTGTGTATCCCTAAGATTCGGGCAACGGATGCGGCATGCTGACCCCCGGCCCCTCCGAACACTGCAAGGCGATGAGCTGATGTGTGGTATCCCTTGCCTTCAGTCAGAGCACGGATGGGGCGACACATAGCTTCATTAGCTACGGCAAGGAATCCTAGAGCGACTTCTTCCGGGCTCTTATGAATAGCAGACCCCGCGTTGATTGAGTTGGTGAGGTCTATGAACTTATTCTTCGTGACTTCATAATCGAGCGGTAGATTCTCGTCGGGTCCGAATATAGCAGGGAAGTATTCCGGAAGGAGCCGGCCAAGGAACAGGTTCGCATCTGTTACTGTTAAAGGACCCCCTTTTCGGTAACAGGCCGGGCCAGGATGAGCGGAAGCGCTCTCTGGTCCTACAGTAAACAGACCATTTTTCCAATCAAGTATACTACCCCCGCCAGAAGCGACCGTGTTGATATCAAGCTGAGGTGACTGAATTGTGACGCCAGCGGTGGTGGTTTCAAACACATGGCCATAGTCACCAGCATAACGACTAACATCCGTTGACGTACCCCCCATGTCAAAGCCTATGACTGGTATGTTGTCTTCGGGATGCCATGAAGTTTTCGCGTACCCAACTACGCCTCCAGCAGGTCCGGAGAGGATAGCGCGCAAGCCTGAAAACCTCTCCACGTCGACAAGGCCACCATCGCTCTGCATGAATTGACATCTAGTAAACTCAAGCTCATCCTTGAAGCCCCGTCTGAAATTTGAGATGTATCTTTTGATTTCAGGGGTTAAATATGCATCGGCCGTAGCGCTCATACCACGGGATATCAATTTGATCATGGGGATCAAATTTGACGAGGCCGATATGCTGGTGAATCCTACGTCCTTCGCAAGATCACGAATGATGTTTTCATGGTCGGGGAAACTATAGCTGTGTGCTAGGCAGATGCATACGCTTCTGTACCCCTTTTGGAACAGCTCTTGGAGCGAGTTTCTCGTACTCTCGACGTTAAGTGGCTTAAGAATTCGGATTATATCGCCGCTTTGGCCAACTTTCAATGCGGGATCAGATTCGATTTCGATTTTGTGTGGAAAGGGGTCTTTAGTTGAATCTTCCATCGTTACCCGCTCTTCGACTTCGACAACCTCCGAATAAAGCACATCGGGCTTATTGATGGCGAGATCAAAAAGCTTAGGTCTTGCCTGATATCCAATCTCTAATGCATCGCGGAAGCCTTCAGTTATCAGCAGGGCAGAACGCTCTCCTTTTCTCTCGAGTAACGCGTTGGTAGCTACTGTCCTGTTGAAAGACTCAGAATCATGGCACCTAGTAACTCCGTAGCACTTAAGATACTCACGTTCCCATTCGGATGACGCCGATACGGTCTGAGGTAAGTTTGGCATCTCTTGGATGCGGGCTATCTGTGAATTTTTCGAGAATTCGGCGGATGCCTTCTGTGGGCGCATCTTCATAGTTGCCCGGGTCGACCGAGAGCAACTTTACCACGATGTCATCCTTGCTACCACTCTGAGGGATGCCAACACAGTCTGTAAATGTTCCTCCGCGCTGATTCGTAAGTAAGGGGTCTTCAGTGTTATTGTTCAGATACAAGGGCACTCACATCAATGAAGATATCGATCTTGGGCTCTGTTGTTGCGTGTGGCATGGTGCATGTAATGTCTGACTAGCCTGAGTCTTTAGACATGGAGAAACAAGAATGGCGATTATTTCCATTAAAATTCCCAACTCATTCCACCATATTACAATGTGTTATACATGACGTTTTAGGCAATATGTAGTAGGGGATGTTCGTCGGCTCAATCCGCCCGAAGTAGTGGAACCCCTTTTTTCTCTGAGCGGATATAAGCGAATTTGCCCCACGAGCGTACCCACAAATCCACCGGCTTCAGCCGATTTCTGATAAGGTCCATGACGGGTTATTTGCGATGCTTACGAAATTCCAACATGCCGGTCCGGTCTGGTGAGTTCACCTTGATCGATCATCATACATCAGAAAACGAGTCTCAGATGCAAGTTGAGTGGTTCGTTTGATGATCCAATCATGGGTGACCCAATGCATTCTCGTAGTCCAAATAGAGCATTGTCAACTAGGCTCAGCAGAAGCACAAACGCGTGCGTGAGGTGTCGTAGGAGGAAACAGCGGGTAAGCAATCGTCGAATAGAATCCTCGCTCGTAGATACACTATCTAACCTCACTTGCCTTTTGGCCCTCTCAGTGTGATCTGCGCTATCCGAAATGTTCAAGCTGCGAAACTGCGCAAGTGCCTTGCCTAGCTTATGATAGCGAGAAACAGGCCGAGATCCCACGTAATTACGTGTCAATCCTTGAGGCAGAAGTTAGGCAACTCAAATCTGAGCTTGAAGGTCTGAGGAGACAGAGTGTATCGACGACCATCCCCTCTGCTAGTCCAATGCCGGCGGGCCAAGATGATCACCAGAGCGTCAGTTCGCCTATTGCCGCGCCAACGGTGCAATCAACTGCATCGGATCCGCAAGAAGTTGTCAAGTCAATGGGCTTGGTTATGTTGGATAGCGGTAGCCAACCGAAATTCATGGGAACGAGCAGTGGCGTCACGTTCGCAAAGATGGTCATTGCATGCGTGAAAACTGATATTTCGATTCCAATGTCCCCAAGCACTTCGAGGGGGTCAGTTCGGATGGCCGCACCACCTCCTATCATCACATCATCGCTGCCTCCTCGTCACGCGGCTCAACATATTTCGGACGTCTACTTCCGATACCGGACGCCACATGTACCAATACTAACAAGATCAAGAGTGAATGAAGTGCTGGAGCGCGTATACGGCGCATTCGAATCTCATCGACCCGACTTTTCGAGAGTCGCAGAAGGAGATATGTTCATCGCGTATATGGTTTTCGCCGTCGGACTCTGTAGCCTACCAGTTGCGGGAGGGTCAAGACCACCCCAGAGCGAAGGTTGTTTCAACTCAGCTCTTCGATGCATTGACAAGCTTCTCTCATACTCATCCAGCGACCTTGAAACCTTAACGGTGGTGTTGCTCTTGGCTCAGTATATCGCCTTGAATCCCAGCAAAGGGAGTTTGTGGCAACTTACTGGTATAGGAATACGTCTATGCATTGACCTGGGCTTACATTGGGAAACGGAGGCGATACTCGCTTTGCCCCAATCGGTCCTCAATGAGAGACGAAGACTATTCTGGGCCGCTTATCGATTTGATCGCCTTCTCGCGATCACTCTTGGAAGACCTTTTGGCATTGCTGACCAGAGCATCAGTGTCGGCTGTCCGGATCCTTATTCTGCGCAGCATCTTAGCCCAACCGAAGTACATGGCCAACGCATGGCCAACCATATTATTGGTCTATACAAGCTCGAGTCCGAGATCAAACACGTCCTCTACCACCAGCTTCAAGGCGCAACACTAGCCTACCCCCGCGCCAACTATGCATTATGGTTTCGCGATATTCAGCCGCGACTCTGTGCTTGGAAGGACGAAATACCTGACATTAGTAAGGCGGATTCCGAAAGTATCTACTCGCACCAATCTTGGTGGGATGCTATGTGGCTCAACGCCATTTTGTTGCTCCATCGACCCAACCCGCTAGTACCGCATCCCACGACGGAATCGCTGCAAACGTGTTTCGACGCGGCTTGTCAACTAATCAAAGCGATCAAGACTTTACAAAGAGATGGGAGAATTTGCGTCATTTGGCAAACCGTGCACAGCCTTTTCCTTGCAGGTTTGATTATGATTTATTGCATTTGGGAATCTGCGGATGTTCGGGATAAAGGACGTGTTCTCGATATCGTCACTACGGCGCAAGACTGTGCCAGTACCCTCACAGCCCTAGCGGAGCGCTTTCCTGACGCGTGTGGGTGTAGAGATGCGTTCGAATCCCTCTCAGCGGCGACTTTAAAGTGGCTAGTATCAAGAGATCAGGGAAACACTACTCAACCAACGCCCAGCGAGATCAGCGCGTTGAAACAGCATATGCCTTTCTCCACAACAGCATGGAGGGCTGAAGAACCCACGAGCATCTTTCCGGAGGAGCCCTTCGAGTTCGCCGAATATCTTATCGCGGCATCACAATGGCCAGGTTCTAGTAGTAACGATGTCGGGAACTCGTTCAATTTGCAAGATGTTTTTGATTCTCCAAGTGCAGATTTTGGATGAAACTTCGAGGTTCTACTTCGTAATGTTCCAAACAATAACGCCACGATAGATAAGCTTAAGGGGCTTTGCAGTGGCATGTACCACAGCGTATCCCCAAGCCACAAATAATCACAGGACTTCCACAGCCACGGGTTTCAGCTCGGGCAGCTGCTCGGGGCAACCAGATGGAAGGTTTGAATAGCGAATTAATTGGGTCGTTCATTCCCCCACCAGACGCATCGATGCATTGTCGCAATTACCTCTAGGGCTGAGTTCTGGGCAACAACGCGCTATGCTAAACCTCCACAGGGCACCCAGCCTCTTTCCAATTCACCAGATCACACCTCGCACTCGACAGAAGTTAAGGCGACATGCGCATTTATGCATTACAATATCAAAAGAACCCCTCCATGATCACACCTCATTCTCAAGGCGAACCAAGCAGCCCTTTGATGGCGCTCAAAAAAGCTGTCCGTTAGTCTGGCATGCTGTGTAGATGATGGTCCTCTAGGACATCGTCAAATACGGACGTATCCATGTCCAGCTTAGATTTGAAGACGGAGGTCTCTACCTCAACCTTCCCCCCGCCCTCTCTTCCAACCTACATAACTAGAGGAGTCGTTTGAATTGGAGGGATGTATGTAAGGTTACCTACTTAATGCAACCTCCCGGTCCTTACCGGCCTTGTATCCTCCGCCAACGATTGGCTTTTCTAAGAGGGGTCACAATCTGAGTGACTCCGGCATAAAGTCTCAAAAGTTCACCACCGCGAATATGACCACACGTCCAGCACTTTGTCAAACACTCAATTGGTGTTACGCTACCTTTGCCTATGACTACCCAGTACCTGGCAGGTAACAGATTGTAGAGAAATTGAGTTGCGCATTTCTTAGGACCTGCCACGCACTAAGTCATTGTAGGCATGATTGACGTTCGCGAGATAACAATAGCAAAAGCACACGATGGGTTCAAGGCTGGGAGATTCTCCGCCAAGGACCTGGTTGGAATATTCCTCGATCGTATTGCGACATGGGACAAGAACGGCCCACGGATTAACTCAACAATGGCTCTATCAACAACAGCACTCGACGAAGCAGCTGCGCTTGATGACTATCTAGAAGAAAAGGGCGAATTTAAAGGGAAGCTCCATGGAATTCCCGTATTAGTAAAGGACCAAGTACGGGCTTGCCCTAAAAACATAAAACACTATTGAACTAACGAGACTTGCCCTATATAGGCCGATACTGAGGGGATGGTTACCACATATGGCTCGTCAGTCGCCAAAGGGAATGTTCCCGACGAAGATGCTTTCGTAGTCGCAAAGCTGAAAGCAGCAGGCGCCGTGATTCTGGGTAAGACCACACTCTCTGAATGGGCCTCGGTGTGGTTCAGTGTGAATAGTGCGAACAACAACGAGTTCACCAAGAACCCTTATAATCTCAAACACGATGTCGGCGCATCCTCGGGAGGCTCTGGTGCAGCTGTGGCAGCGAACTTCGCAATCTTAGCCGTGGGCGAAGATACTGGAGGCTCGATCAGGGTACCGTCATCATTCTGTAACATTGTCGGTCTCCGTCCGACCCCGGGACTCATCTCTCGAACAGGCTTCTGCCCGTTGATCAAAGTCCAAGACACTCCCGGGCCAATGGCCAGAACTGTGACAGATTGCGCTCTTATGCTTGATTGTATGGTTGGGTTTGACCCTAAGGACGACTTCACAGGTGTTGCAGCCACTGCAGCCGCCCTAGGATTGCCTAAAGGTGGTAGTTACGCCGCGTTCTTAACAGATGGACTGCGGAAGATTAAGGGGGCGAGAATAGGTGTTATATGGCAGAGGTTTGGCCTGATATCTGACCCCTATGGTTGTGCAGTCAATGAAGTCGTGTTTGCGGCAATCAAGAAGCTTCAAAAAGCTGGTACGACCTTCGTGGACATTTCTCGTATGGACGACCTCGACCATTACATGACTTACCCACTCACCTACTTACAAAGGTCTCGTAGCGATATCAACAGTTTTCTAGCAACAAAGCCTCATCTCCCTCAAGACATTGCGGACACACTACCAGAGACTTCAGATAAACCTTACTTGAACTTCACATGCGCCATGGCACATGGCCCGAAGGACCCCAAAGAAGACCCGACCTATCTGGACAGGATCCTACAACGTGATGAGTTCAAGCGCAAGATAGACTGCCTTTTTGCATCGATGGGGCTAGATGCGCTCGCACTGCCAGATGTCCGTGTCCCGCCTCCGCGATTTGAAGATGCCATGACCGGTAGGTTTAACAGAGGCGGACAGGAAGACTTCCCAACCAACACATTTCTCGCCAGCATAATCAGGCACCCGGCCATCTCGGTCCCCGCCGGCTTCACCGAGAATGGGCTCCCCGTCGGTATGGAATTCATCGGCCTTGAATATCAAGAACAGAGTCTCCTTGAGTTAGCTTATGGGGTAGAAAACATTGTTAGGGCTAGAAAATCGCCGCCTGGGCTATGGGAGGGTAGCTGTTGTCTCATATGAGCACGCTATGTAGTATTTTGAATTTGGCTACTTTGAATCCTACCTGATAAATCGAATGCCAATTGCGTTTCCCTGTAAAAGGCGGCGGAGATCGTAGCTAAGCACATATTCTTTGATCACTATTTTGCTACCGTACCGTGCTGTTGACACTCATTACACTGTGCACTTAGCTACCCCTCCATCCCTCAATTAACACCTGTCGTCCGCCATTAATACCCAAATTAGCGACAGAGGAGATATACATATTAGCACATCAAGTGTGTGGTGTCCACCGATATTAATCAAGGCATTATCAAAGGATTTCAATACGAGCGCCGTTAATAGCTCCCAACGCATTTATATCCTCAAAGTTGTGCTTTATTTCCGGCAGATCCTTGTCCAAATATGAGGCCATCGAAAATGCTCGCGTCAGCCAAAAGAGGGTCTTGGACGACATGGTTAACATTCCCTGCATCCTGAAAAATTCATACCTCAACTTTCATCCATACGAATCTCATGCCTCAAACATACTAACTATCTAGCAATGAAAAACACTTAATTCAATGCGAATCTAATCATGGATGCTAGTGAGGCAGATGTTACCTCAAAGTCTCCTTCTTCCTTGTACATATCTCTCCTAACTACGGGCTCAAAGTGTATTCGAGTCCTAGACCTAGAAGCTCCTCAGCCGCTCGAGCATGGTAGTTCTCATACCAGTCAAGATCGCTCAGATGAGCTGCGCGGCCAACTGCGAGTTGTCGACTTGGCCGACAACCCGTCACCAAAGTTTATTGCGTTGTCGTACGTCTGGGGACCTCCGTCCCCAGAACCACGAACGATAAAGTGTGGGCAACATTCAATTCCCATAACCGATAATTGTTGGGAGGCGCTAAGCTATCTGCGTGTCGCGCCCGACTTCGATCGAAATGCGGATGGCTCATTGACGCTGTGGATTGACGCGATTTGCATCAATCAGGCTGACGAAGAGGAGAAGCTCAACCAAATCCCTTTAATGGGTAGCATATACTCGCAAGCCGTCTCAGTCTGTGTCTGGTTAGGACCTGGGACATCTCGGTCTGATGAAGCTATGGACTATTTGAAGGTCGCTGGCTTCCAGGAACACCTCGACGAAGACGGTGGTATCCTCAAGCCTCCGAAGTCGCGATTGTATTGGAAATTAGCTCTGACGATGTTCACCAAATGCCAGGTTCGAGGGTTACGCTATTACTTTAGGGAATTCGGTGAGTTCAGCGAATTTGGATAGCACGTATTCGGAAGGCGAATTAACCTGTGTAGGGCTCAACCGTACCATTCAAAACCCTCTTCCAGTTGGTGACCGATTCGTATCTCCTGGAGTCATCGCTGATGTCTTGGAAAGGCCGTGGATCGGTCGCATTTGGACATTGCAAGAGGTTCTTCTCGCGTCCCGAATCAGGATTCAGTGCGGTACCAAGTCTTTAGAGTGGCACCGCATGCTGCACGCCTTGACTTGGTTTGCCCACGTACACGAAGTGTGTGCGGCCAGAAGTTTCTCGCGGAGCCTGGGCTTACCTGGCTTTGGTGTGGTACGTTCAACGGAGTTCGCAAGATGGCAGGGACTCGCTCAGTTATGGATGGATATCCATATCCATCCCATAGGATCCAGGTACCCTGACCCGAAAATAATGGACAATTACCGTACCTTCATAGGTAAGGTCACTCTAACGTATTTTATGGTCTTCGGTTCCATCTTTTGGGCATTATGCTCTCTCATCTTAATGCTGGGCCTTGTTTATGCGGCCGTCGCAGTTCCAGTCGTCATTTTGGGTCTTTTAATCTTCAGTATAGTTAATATCCGTGAGTACGGCCTGTGGTGGAAATATTTCAGTCGGTATCTGTTATCGTCAATGTTATCAGACCTGCGAAAAGCCTCCGAGGCTGTAGCAAGGCATACGCCTGTTAAGAGTTCATCAGACACCAATAATACCGTACGCGCTGCTTTGATTCGGGAAATCTGGCACCGCGCAGCGACTGACCCAAGAGATAAGTCCTACGGTGTGCATTCGATTCTCCATGAATTGGGCGTTCAGGTTGGCGATACGACTCTAGGGGAGCAATGCAATGAACTTTACAGGGAACTTTTCGTCGCGCTTTTGTGGTGGACGCGGGATCCAAACATCTTACTATGTGCTTCTGGACCTAAGTTAGTGGATCAACCATCTTGGGTTCCGGACTGGCATGGAGGAGGAAAAGCATGGTTTAACTCGAATTATTTTGGGATAGACTATATCGATATGATGCAATATCGAACTGCGTCCGAGCTGAACATGCTAAGAAGCCGAGGGAACGCTGGGACCAAACTCCCGGGCACGTATCATGTCGTGCAGGATGACATGGTCTTGTCTTTTCGAGGGATGATAATCGGATCGATTCTTTGGGTAAGTGACAGCTTCGGGGAGACCTCTGAAAAATACTCTCCCGCAGAAGACGCCCTTCACATGTCCAACATTGCTGTTCTCCAGAGCTTTTACATGAGTTTTGATCAGCGACGTCAAGTTCCCTATGGGACCCCTTCGGGAATCATGAATAGGCAGCACAATACAGCTACGCAATTCCGATTGTTTTGGACAATACAAACCATGAGTCTTCTCCCTCCAAGCAAGACCCTAGAGAGAATCAAAGGGAAGCGTTCCAGAGCAGCACCAGAACTCAGTTATTTCGTGAGGTTATGTTATGAGCTCGCATCCAACCAGAGATCACTATTCAAAAGTTCTTCCGTTGAGCCGCACCGGGAGACAAATCTATACGGACACTGTCCGCAGAGTACCGAGGTAGGAGATGTTCTCGTTATCCTCGAAGGCGTCGACTTTCCTGCTGTCTTACGAAAACAAAACCAGCACCATTATCGGCTGGTGGGGTTTGCTATGGTGGACGACTATGAAGTAATGGACGGCTATATATGGAATGAGAGAGCAACTCAAAATCTTGGAGAATTCAAGATAATCTAAGCAATAAACGCTTGTGCTTACTTAGTTGCATTCTAAGTTGAGAGGTGTGGGCAGGCAAAATATTGGTGATAGGTGAATTGATGTGTACCTAGGTACCTAGGTAGGTAGAAAATCACATGAAAGAAAGGATTAGAGGGAATAAGATGTTGTATTTGTTTGAAACTTTAGAGCCTGGATCTTCAGTTCGAAGATCTTAAGTACTTGCACAGTGCTCGTCGCACCTTCCCATGATGTACACTCTATCTATGAACACCCTGCGGCAAGACAAAGAGAGATTGAATCTGTCTGATTGAAATGCATTTGCGACATAGCCTTTGCTAGTCTGCTTTGGGAAACCGACCAAAACCCCTTTTGGGAAAAAAAGGAACGGAAACCAAAGCAAGATCAATCCTAATCATTATTTCCCACACACATATTACGGCTAACCACAACGACGTAAGCCTAGCGATAAACCACCCCGCAGTCAACCCAAACTTTTTAAGGGCTTACCACCCAGCAGACGGTGCTTGGGCAGGGTTTTCCATCGCTAATATGTAGGTCTCATCCTCTGCCTACGCTAGTTCAACTTTCCGAGACGTAAACCTCTCAATGTCATCGAATACCCACTGGATGGGATCGACAAACGTAATGTCCATTCCATCAGGTATCGGTTCCAACCTGCCATCGTCTTTATCTACTCGGCGAGGCGAGATATTCTCTCCAGGATATCTTCTCCTTCCGTCGCGAAGCCAATCTCCTTTGTCATCACTAGAAGAGAGGAGTCCAACAATACGACCCTGAGAGTCGAAGACGCATGATCCTGAGTCGCCCGCGGCTGAAAACCTTCCATGTAAGGGAATAATGATCATCTGCCAGGCGTATTGATCGCCCTCGAGGCCTGCCGGCTTTCTAATAACAGCCTCAACCGCATTTTTCTTCCCAAGTGTTAAGCCGGTGGTCGCTCCTCTTTTACAGACGATCATTTTTTTCCGTAAACTAACGTAAGATTTTCGAAGTGACAAGAAGCCATTTTCATCCTTTTTTGAGAACCGGAGCCATGCCCTGAATTCACTATCAGCATCATGGTTCGATCCATCTAGACTCGCAGCGCCCACGAATACTGCATTCTTTGGGCTCTCCGGAAATTTGCACTCGTCAAGTTTAATCAACGCCCAGTCCTTCAAGTATCCTTTTTGATGAGCGGAGAATTCCAGAGGTGAGTGGAACATGAGTTGACCGATCTTTCTAGCGTCCTTATCTTCTATTCGTTCGAGAGGATCAATGAACTTCTTCACGTAAGCGACTTCATCGTTTAGCCAATCTAACGCTTGCAATTCCTTTTCGGTGGGGCGTAAGTGGCTTTTGCTTTCATCTAGATGATACCAGTCCTCCCAACGCTGTTTCTCAGTAGCAAGTTCACTGATATAACTACTCATTCTCTTGATCTCCTTCCCTAGGCAGTACTGGACGTCTTGGATGGTTTCCGTTGTTGCTTGGGCATGGTATTCGGGCTCAGACTCCGGCGAGAACTTGTAACTTTCCTTGGCGGGTCTATCTCTATGCACAACGTGACGGCAAGTTAAGCCATAGACTGAGTCGTCGCCCTGGAGCTTGATGTGTAGCCCCATCGTGCCTTGACCACGCCGATTTTCTGAGTATGTCACCGGGTAGCCCGGAAATGATAGTAAAGGCAACAAGGTTTTGTTGAATTCGTCGAAACCCCGAGCTGGATTCACAAGACCCTCAAGCTCTACTGAGGCTGCGAGATTGTGACAACGACCTTCCCGAATTTCCACCTCAACATCGCCAATGTTATGAAGTCGTAAAACTTCCCGACATCCTAGAGCAATATTAATGCCTTCGTCCCAGCTAAGCGTACCATCCTCAACCGCGATGAGAAGTATTGTAGGGAAATCGCTCGAGTCCCTTATAGTACGCTCGAGTCCAATTCGGATGGGGAAGAAAAAGCTCCATTCGCAACCTCTCAACGAACATATGAGTTGCTCGACTAATTCTGGCGACCATTTTGCAACTATATCGCTTTCAATATCCACTGTATCATATTCTTTCCGAATAGGTACGTGTATCGATTGGTTCCATCCCTCTTCCACTCTAGTCTGTTTTACCCACGGATTGCAACTCGTTCGGGCTATAAGCTTCGGCGTTCCTGCGAGACCAAAATAATAATTGTCCCTTTCTTCGGGACTCGGCTTCCGAGGTTCTGCGGGCGACGCCATGTCCAGGTCGAAAAGTGAAGTTGATTTGATTTGATCGACGTCAGGTTCGGTACAATCGGCCGAGAGTGGTTTTAATCGCTTTCTGGGTGGACAGGTTGGCTCGACACTAGAGGAATGACTTGACTGTAATAAAGTAATATGGTTTTCTCCAAATTGGATTTCAGTCATTTTATATAGACAGATAGGTAAGTACTGTGTGGTGGTTACGTAATCAAAGGGTTTAAGTAAAAACTTGCTCACGTTTTAGACGAGAGTTTAAACTTAAGAAATACAACATCATTTACTCCTTACAACACTACCTAGCCTAAGGATGTAATCTGAGAGTCCAAGAGCAAGGTTCCTACCCAATCGTTAGTCGCGCCTCCTAATGTAACCGTCTGTGCAGTATTGTGGCTTCTATTACACCTGGGTAGTTTATGGGGCCAGAAATGCTTTCCACCTACCTACATATTTTACATGGGCGTCTAGATAGGTACCTATCTATCTCTATATGAGAAAAGGGGGAATGAATAGAAGGCACCGACGGACCTAATAGAGGTAGAACGTAAAGTTCTGTTAGTTCCACCTTCTAGAGTCTATGTAGCTACCTACCTACCTACCTTGTAAGATAGGTAAATATCACGTTGGTGCCTATTTGGCAGCGTATCTTTCGAACTTCTGCTGAATCAAACTATTCGAAAAGGTGTTCTCGGTTTGGAATTGAAAATGCCTGTTAGTTTCTATTCGCTTCAATTCCTATCGGTATATAATACTAAATACATCATATAGCCAATGTCTTGTTTCAATTGCGGCCGCGCAGGCCACAAGGCCCGAGACTGTTTCGTGAGTAAAATCCCCATGCAAATTTCACGGAAACATTGAAATACTTCTATTGTTCATTTCTCTTTGATCACAGTATAGGTAGTCTCAGAACGTGGAGGCTGATTTTTATTAATAGGAAGAGAGAAAGGTATGGCGACCCGAGAATACATACGGAGGACTTCAGGCATTCGTTCACGTCACTCTGCGATTTTTGCCCAATTCCTACCATTTTTACAGCCAATTTTCGACGAACTATACCTTAATGCCATAATTACTCCCTCAATATATACGTCTATATAATGCCAAACACCGCTTTCCTCACGTGGCATAATCAACCTGGCCCATTAATAATTACTACCATAAACTTCCCCAAGAGAATATGGTCTACAACCAAAATCAATACATTTTCCTGACTAATTCTAATCTGCAGGTTGGGGTGACTCGGAAGGCTCTTGAGGTTAGCCTACCGAAGCCTCACATTGTTTGTTTCATGATCTTATCCTCTGACGTTCACACATTCATTGCCTCGATAAGTGAATGTGGAAACATACTTGCCCCATTTCAATAGCTCTTATTCTGGTTCTATTTTTTTTTCTTTAAGATTCTTAACTATATTTCTAATGATCCATATTCTTCATAGGGCGGGCACGACGTACGGCTACCATTCACTCCCTGACATCTGCGTTTTCTAATCTTGGTTAAATGACATACAGGACACGCATAAGCCCACGAAGAAGATGGTATGATGGTGAACGGATGCCTAATTTCTCGATTGATACTCATTGGACAACTTAGAAGACCGGGCTCCCCATACCTGATGACAAGCCAATGGTACGTTATCCACTGATACAACACTTCTTCAACTACGGTAGTAACTGGGAGTAATATAATACAGAAGGGCTCCGACGAAGTATGCATTTAGGTTCCGATACCACCATTTGGGATGATCTACAAGGATTGATGGCTGATGTCTAAAAGTGGTATCAGAAAGAGATAGACGTGTGTTTCAAGCCCCTAATAAGACATATAGCAACATCCATACTAACATCACGAGTTATTAGCATCGCGTCGAGAAAATCAAGGTGCGTCGCATATTAGTGGGTAAAGTTCGAGTGGAGCTCGCTAATCATCGTCCTAGAATATTGACGCCCATAAAAGGGTACCTATTCACTTTTTGCTATGACTGCCTACCTATTTTATATCAAGTCCTTGATCTTGTCCAAACAAATCTAACTAGAATATGTAGATCCTTCAACAGTCAAGAGACGTAAGTTTTATTGAAGGTTTTTATTGATCTAGTTAGGAACGTAAAATGATCATTAACTAAGGTTATTTATAGGCTGCCGTCGAGGAAATCGCCGTATGTTAAACCAGAAACGTGTCACCATAAACAACCAAGTCTAACATCACAACACATAATCAGAGCCTAGTCTTGGAGAAGGAGGTAAGAAACTGTTCCCAAAGTTACTGTTTTATATCCATAGTTTAATTAATCTTCCGTAGAAGCGCGACGCGGCCGAGGTAATGTTAGGAGCCATAGTGATAAGGTGAAAGCTGATATACTTCGAAGGCAGCCCAGGACGAAAACATATTGGTAAGATATGTCATGCTCCGAAAATTAAATTTGTGGCATAAACTAATAAAAGAGCTTATAGACTGAAATTCTGAAAGCAGTCGAAGCCCGACGACGGGAAACAACAGATGCCGAATGGATTAAAGTTGAACATTCGACTAGCTGATGTAAGCTTTATTAGACCACGTCTTATTTACGGCGGTTTCCAAAAGCTTGGCATAAATACTGATATTTATATAGGGATCGTACCAGGAAAAGGAGCGGGTAGAAGGGGCTAATTATTTGCAGTGGTTAGGTAGGTATGTTAAGATTGGGGCATTTTGTTGGAGTGACGCACGCTGTTGACCCACCCAATATTTTTTTTTTTCTGGGCAGAACCGTGATATAATTATTTGAAGGAGTTCCCCTTTCTATTCGACCCTTAGTGACTGGGAGTTGTGAATGTTGAATCAGGGATTCGATCTACTGTATTCATGATGTTCCAGGGCTCCACACCCTGGGCGAGGTCACGGGACGACTCCCAAAAGATCCCAGTCCACCGAAAACTTTTCCACTAAATAACGCCTGTGAACAGGCGTTTATTCTGTGAAGGAATACCCGCTGGAGAATCCTTCCCTTTGTGGCTGCTTTTTCGTTTGGCGTTTGGTTGTCTTTTTGTGGGAGTTGGGCTGTAATTCAAGTTTATAGAATTATTGTAACTTTTTGCAATAATTATTCCAGGTGATTAACTCTATCAATGTACCTTGCCACCAAATTTGTATGGTATGGTACTTATACTGGGTTGAATTATTCTTGTATTTAGAATATTTATTTTATAAGAATGATTCTTAAAATACCCGTTTTCCCACCACGTATTTATCTAGACATCATCCTACAATATGCTTCTCTATGAGGTATTTCAGTTCTTCAACTGCTAGCCCTCTTGTGTCTGCGCCAGGGAAATGAGCCGAGTTGATGATAAGTGTCTCCACCGAATACAGTCGGTTACGGTCGTCGAACTCCTCAACAGGCTCGCTTCGCTCATGATTCTTGAAATACTCTTTTTGATACTCTTCTGCCCGCATTTGGTGATGCTTACAGCGCCAAATACCGATTTCCTTCTCATGGTGTGCATAGTACGAGCATGCATCGAAGATATAAAGCTCCCCCGTGTGGGCGTCAGTGCCAATATTTGACTCCCAGAGATCACCGTGAATGAGGCATGGCTTGATCGAGCGTCCGTCAGCAGTCAGGGGGTCGAGCAGCCGAGGGATCAGCCTTTCAATGGTTATTTTCATCACGTCGTCTAATTCTTTCCAAAATCCATTGATTTCGACATCCAATTTATAGACACCAAGCATAAGCTTCTTGAAGAATGAAGTCCACTGTGTCATATTGTTTCAATAAGAGGTAGATTCATGCAGATGGATGATGTAATGATCAATCTGAAAGTACCTACTTACGTTGCTTTCCCACGCAGTATTTAAAGGCAGTTTGCCATCGAATGTCGTAACGTAGAACCCAAATTTGCCAGTCGGCGAATTACTCTTTTGGTGTAATTCGGCAAGCTTCTTTCCTAGCCGCTTATGGTCAGGAGGTTCATGATTGATCTCTAGATAATCGCATAGGAAAAAATAAGCTCCCTCGTCATCGTATTTTCCATATCCTCGCGGCTTTGGTGCGAAGTCTGGTAATGTATTGTGGATCTCGAGCATTGCCATATACTCGCCCAGAACGCGCTCGGCTGCATCTGCTGTCTTCAAGATCTAATACCCGACAACTCGAGTTAGTTTTTGACATATTAGTCAATAAGTTACCTAAGTTACTGGTGAACTTGGGAAATGAGAGACAAACTAGCCTTGAGAAAGTAAGCGCCTGGTGAGCCATCCGCTTTTCGGGTGTCTACTTTAGTTGTCGAGGCCCAATTAGATGCATCGTATTGTTGCACTTCGATAATCTCTTCACCGGGCTTGAGAGCCTCTGCGATACTCAACATACTTCTTAGTACCTTCTATGTCAAATTTGGCAAGTACGTGTAATTAGGTAGGGTCTAAAATGGATTGATTAATTCACCTTAATTTGAAATCACTAAATGCTACCACTACCGCCTTTTTTTGAAAATTTGAGATATTGTTGGGCCCACTTTTTCCTAAGCTAAACCATTTTAGAAGATCTACATTAAGGATATTTTCCACGACAATTCCTTAAACTTTACTTAAAATAAATTTAAAAAAATACTTATTTAATTATAACTTTAATATATTAATAATAACTTTTAAACAATTATTATTAACTTTTTAAAAAGTTTATATATAAATGTTATTATATTGTTTTATTAGCAAAGTTATCCCTTATGTTTTATAATCCTAGTTATAATACGAGGAAGTTACTTAAAGAAGTAAAGTAAGGGATAATTTCAAAAATCATTTTAATACTGGAATAGTAGAGCCTCAAACTGTAAGCGGTAAGGCGTGCCATAATAGGCTTAGCTTGGAATAAAAATGGGCCCAACAATATCTCAAATTTTCAAAAAAAGGCGGTATATAAGCATTTTTGTCTTCACCTCTTGTACACGGCTTCAAGCTCTCTGGTGAGGGGCTCAGATGTGTTGGGGGCCAAAATGTGACAGTTCAGTTATGCAGTTAGTAGATAATCGCCAGGGGTTAGAAAATTGTTGGCGCCGCGACGTAGCCGTCAGCCTTACTTCCCTACTTCCAACACACACATGAATGTCACAGTTCTAAGACACGTCAAATAGATCGAAACCATGGAGTCTATCAGTAGTTGTACGTATCTGCTCGATAATTCGATTTTCTGATTTAGCCACGAGATGCTTGTCTTGGCAACGCAATGATCACCATGATGTCTTGGAAACACTGTAGATAATCTCGGAATTAATAATGGTAACATCCTAGACTCCTATACAGAATAATATGCTTATTGCCGAGTTTGGGCTGATAGTTAACCTGAATATAGTGGAAACGCTTTAGATCTCGCAAGCAGGCTGGCTCAGAAGACCCGTCCGTTTCGGGATCGAGTTCGACAAGCGCGATATATCGTCCAACCCATCCTCTTCCAGAGCCGACGTTATCATTACCCGAAAGACCACTAGTACAACGCGACGAATCGGATCGAAGCGCAGCACCGGATGTACAAGCCCGACTATTCTCGTCACAGACGTCTATTGGATATCGAGGACAAGATTCGCAAGATAGGAGAAATGATCCGTTTGGATTGTTGGTCCTGCACGCGCCCGCGCAGCGGTCCGTTGACATACTATTCATACATGGCCTTGGAGGCACGAGTCTGAGGACTTGGTGTTATAATCGTGAGCTAGAGTATCTCTGGCCGAAACTCTGGCTCCCAGAAGAACCTGATCTTTCCGCTGCTAGGATCCTCACCTTTGGATATAACGCGCACTTCTCGTCTAAGAAAGAGAAGGTATCTCTTACCATCGGTGATTTTGCGAATGACCTTCTATTTCGCATGAAATATGGCGAAAGGGGGCCGGAGCGCTTGGGTCAAGTCCCAATTATCGTGGTTGCCCATTCAATGGGTGGCTTGGTATTCAAGAAGGCTTTCATTCACGGTCATTTGAATGAGGAGTTCCACGGTATAATCTCAAGCATAAAGGCCGTCTTATTCTTAGCGACACCTCATCGAGGCACGGATCTCGCCAAGACTTTGAATAAGATTCTTACAAGTTCAGTCTTCGGGCATTCACCCAAGGACTATGTTTCGGAGCTTGCGAGAAAGAGCCCAACGATTGACGAGCTCAATGATTCGTTTCGCCATCTTGCTTCGAAACTGAAAATCTTCTCATTTTATGAAACTCTCAACACAGATGTTGGACCCATGTCATTCATGATTGTGGAAAAGTATTCTTCAGTGCTAGGCTATCCGGACGAAACCCCGCATCCGTTAATCGCCAACCATCATGACGTTTGCAAGTTTAAGAGTACGGATGATCCCAACTATGTATCCGTTGTGGGGGCCTTACGCAGTGTAATCGCAACAGCGCGAATCTCCAAAGAGACGAGCAGTAGCGCCGAAGAAGATTTGGCTCAAGTCACCACTCTATTAGGCATTTCCGCTCCACCCGAAGACGATATCGCGGCTTGTCGGGCTGTTCGGAAAGCAGGAACCTGCGAGCAATTCCTAGAGACCAAGGAGTTCAACGACTGGAAAGGGGGCCGTTCTTCTCCTGTCCTATGGGTATACGCGCCTCCCGGCAACGGGAAATCAACCATGTGCTCAGCAGTGGTGGATGATCTTTTGGAGCAAGGCCAGCATTGCGCTTACTTCTTTTTCAAGCATGAGAGTCGACAGAAAAGATCTGTCAGTAATATGCTTCGGTCCCTAGCCTATCAGAGTGCCCTGATAGTTCCCAGTTATTGTCATGCATTAGCAGACCTCGCAAAGTCTGGGTTGCGTTTACATGCTTTGGATACCGTTACTCTCTGGAAGAAACTCTACTTGCAGGTCTTGTCAAGTCTTCGACATGAAGTAATATATTGGATCCTGGATGGCATCGACGAATCAGAGTCAGTCGAGCAACTCGTAGACTTGATACCTATGGTTAGCGGTTCTGAACCCCTTATTCGAGTCTTAGTGTTCAGTCGTCCTTTACCAGCTATAAGCCGGTCATTTCAAAGGATAGGGGAAATAGTATCCGTGGATACGATGGCTCTGCCGAGCAATGAAGGAGACATACGACTATATGTCACCGACAGAATCGAGCATCTTCCATCCAATGACAATTTCAGGGCAGAAATTATCAGTGAGATTATCAGACGCTCACAAGGGAGTTTCCTCTGGGCCAGCCTGGTTCTGAATCGTATTGTGAGGTGTCATCGTCAGGGGCAAGTGAAACGAGTGTTGAGCGAGACCCCGGATGGTATGGATGAGTTATATGATCGAATGTTGAGTACGGTTGAGAACCTAGAATTCCAGGAAGACAAGATCCTAGCACGAATCCTCTTCGCTTGGGCAATGTATGCGAAGACTCCGCTCACGGTTGATGAGCTTTCTGAGCCATACTCCGATGAATTCGGGTCAATTATGGACCTGAAGCACACGATAAGCCAAATTTGTGGACAGTTCGTCACCGTTGACACACATAATCGAGTATCATTAGTCCATGATTCCGCTCGTCAATATCTACAAGAGTCCAGCCCACACTCGTTCTCTTTAGACCGCCAGACAGCGCATGAAGACCTCCTATGCAAATGCCTCGATATACTTTGCGATAGCGGTCTACAAGGAAAAATTAATACTCTCCGAGTGCCTAAATTTCTTCCCTATGCTGCGACTTCGTGGGCTTTCCATCTTGAGAACTGCTTACCAAAGTCTGATAGAGTATTCGACGCACTGGTTAAGTTCTTCAGCAGTACATCCCCTCTTCCATGGATTCAATATCTCTCCATGAGCAATCATTTGGCGGAGCTCATTGCTGTTTCTCGTAGCATCACTAGCTTTAGTCACCGGCGCAAGAAGATAGACGCTGGTGGGATACAAGTTCTGAACCTACAGTCTGATCTGTCGCTAATAGACAGCTGGGCTATCGATTTGTCAAGACTTCCCGCCAGGTTTGGCAGATATCTCCTAGAGGATCCGCAGCTAATTCATACATGTATTCCCGCGCTTAGTCCTACCTCGTCGGTAATTTACCAAAGGTTTTCGGAGAGCCCAACTGCCACGTTATCCATCTCTTCCCCATCGAATTCAGAGTGGAACGACTGTCTTGCTCGAGTTTCTGCAAATGCAGGTAGAGCCCTACGACTTGCAGTAACCGCTTCTTATCTAGCTGTTGCCACTGATAAGCCAATGGGTAGAATCACACTTTGGGATACAACCCTGTTCCAAAGTTTCGGGGCATTGGATGCGGGGGAGTATATCGACTCGCTTGCGTTTAATAACTCTGGCTCTTTACTTGCATGTTGCGGGATCTCACGGACATGCATATGGAAGACCGAGACTTGTTCTCTCACGCTCAATGTTAGGAACCCTAGCAGACAGCGCGCACTGGAACTCAGGTTTACTGAAACGGACTCACTAATGGTAGTCACGGATCTCGGTAGAATTTATAGTCTATCCTCTAGCGAAGACATGAATGGCTCTGCAGATTGGGTGCAGTTGAACCCCGCGTTAATGCAAGAAACAAATTTCCCCGAAGGGATGTTCTTAGGTACACCATCCTCGGTGTCATTCAACAACGACTGTACCCAAATTGCGGTATGGTATAGGGCGTTCCCCCTGTCTATTTGGAATATAGATCCTCCTAAAATGGTGGCCCGCCTCAAGTTAAAGACGAATCAAGGTCAAATGATGGTTCGCTCTCATACGGGTACTACGAAAGTCGTGTGGCACCCATCCGGTGCACAATTGATTGGGATACACGGAGAAGTGTTTCGATGGAGCCCAGTAAACAATACGTACAAGGCAGTGAAAGAGAGAGCCGGAGTGGTCCCCGATGAGATACAGTGTAACCCTAACGGCTTGGTATTCATAACCAGTGATGTCGAAGGAACTATCAAGATCTATGATGTTGAAACGATGATCATCATATATAAACTCACTTCCGAGAACATGATTAACAAGGTTTGCTTCAGTCCTAGTGGCTTTAGATTTTATGATCTTAGGGGATCATACTGCAATATATGGGAACCAAACTGTTTACTTCAACTAGCCGACGCAGACGGTCTGGGCGAAAGGTTTTGGTACGACGCCGACAATATGGATAGTGCATCTATCTCGATCCCAGCGATTGAAAGCCAAGTTAACAGCAGGGCTACAATTACAGTGATGGCTACTTGCAATAGAGCTGATCAGCATGTTGCATATATCAACATTGATGGCGTCGTTGAGCTTTATCATCCGATCAGCAGCAGCAGACACGTCATTGAACAGGCTATAGTTGGGATAGACCTGGACGTTCTTGCCTGGAATCAAAGCCATGATCAACTTGCACTGGTCCTCTTGAATGGAGCAGTTATGATCAAAGAGATTTCTACAGATGACGCGGGACATGGGCAGCCTTCTGTGAAGAACGTGTACAGTGAAAAGGGATCACAACTTGAGGGACGCGGTCATGTGAAGCAGCTCCTTTTTGACACTACAGGGAAGCTTCTTCTCGTCCATGGTGCTAGTAAGTCACAGGTTCTATCTTTGCCAAACGGTGAGGTGACTGCCGAGCGTGATACATCAGAAGCTTTGCCTGCTCATTGGATGCAGCACCCATCAAGGCCAGATGCGTTAATAAGTGTCAGTATCAGCCATGTCTCAATTTTCAGTTGGAATCTACAGGAAGAACGCTCTGTTGCCCTAGAAATCCCATTGCATCCATCAGGACCGCTCACGATCGATTTAATTTGCCAAAATTATTATTCACGCCTCCTCTTACTACGAACATCGAGCTTTCATCTACGCGGTCCTAATTATGGGTTCATAGTGCTATCCACAAGCACATATCTAAGTATACAAGGTGGTCTAGGGACTCAGACGCCGATTAGCCCCATTGATATCTCTAAATCCATCGTTGAGGCAGTCTTGTTCCCGTTAGGCATACTACCTGACGGACGCTTAGTGTTCTTGGACAACAACTTTTGGGTTTGTACCGCACATATATCTGACAAAACGGACATCATGACACGGCATTTCTTTATGCCACATGATTGGGTCACAGACTCTGGTCTTAGGCTTTGCCAGTTGCTTCAAGACGGAACGATCCTATGCCCAAGGAATGGTGGGGTAGCAATAATACAGAACAATATGGTTGCGGAATGGTAAAATGTCTAGGTACCTAATGGATAAGTACCTTAGAATTATTAGTTCCGGTTATTCCCCTCAATAGAATCATTTTGTGCTAAGAAAGGCATTCATCTTCATACTAGTCCAATATAAATCAAAGCGACTGCAAATATCCTTAGTCATCAGATGGTCCCACAAAATCCCCTTAACCCCTGATATTTGTACGGAGTAAGGTGCTGTAGAGGACGTACTAGCATCGCAAATCCTGAATATTCACCCAATGTGTGCTGATAGTTAGTAGAATTACAAATATGAGGCTACATCTGATGGCTATGCGAATAAATTTTAAACTAAAATATCAAAATAGAAGCCTCATATTGGTAGAGTGGACTTGGCAAATTAGTCATTGCAGATGAATATTGACCTGGAACACTACTTAGTATTTAAAACTACCACTAGTGTTATGCCTTAGTGTAGCCCCTGAATCTTATTCACATTAGCTTCTCAATATCAATGTCTGAGTCATATTGCCTTCTCTGTGCTCGAGTCAGTGTCCACCATATTCCCAGAGTTAACACTGTCAGGCAACCTGCGACGGCTACATAAACCCAGAAGTAAGATGTCAAAACTGACTGCTGTTCTGAGGCCGTCCAATTGAAAACTCCCATTGAGAAGATTGACTAGAGACATTAGCAGGTAAAGGCACATACTATAGACGCCATACTAACCGCAACCGATGTTACCGGGAGATATATCATAGTCATCAGAGCTATAGTTCTCATTTGCGTATTCTTCGTTTGTGTATCATACGCCATACGATTATTTGCATGGTTCGCCGCCTATACATCATCTAGGAATTAGCTTCACCACATAGCCACATAAAGAACTCAACGGCGTCTATCCCTATAAAGGGTAGAACTCCATCACTCCACATCAACACGTATCAGTATTTCCAAACCCCTCCGGGAAAGCTCAGTCATTGAAGGGTGACATTTTGTGGATGACAGCGGAATTTGTGTAGGTAGATTTGGGTGAATTGACAAAGGGCCAATAACTTACTATTTGCGCCGTGAAGGCTAGACTATCCGGGATCATGGAGCAAGTGTTAAGCTTATCTTCATATTCATTTTCAATTTCAAGAAGGCGCGCATGGATTTGGGTACCAGGGCTTGATGCGTTTAGATATGCATCAAACTTTTCCCTGGTAGGTTTCTTGGATTTCAGGCTTCTGTGACCTTGACTTTCCCTTGCATCAAAGTCGCATATGTGCGTTCGCATATCAGAGATCTGGCATTCCACCTTTCGAATATTCTTGGCAAGCTCCCTGCTGTTGTTGTATAGGTCTGATAGCTGAGTCATGTTTTGTCCTTCCTGGTCTATAACTGTCTCTGGGCTAATAGAGGGGCAGCAGAGCATTTCGGTGCTTGAGACGAATGCGTCGGTGGCCAACTCTACGCATTCGAAGAGGCGTTTACGGTCCAGTTCTGCAAGTATACCTGAAGCTATCATCGGATGAAGGATGGCGTTTCCTGCTCTGCTTAGGCGGTCCATAAGATCCAGAGATTGTTGTTCGCTGCAGCCGTAGTAGACGGAGAGATTCAATCTCCTATCGATCAAGTATGTCGAGGACATGGCAATATCGTCTGGCCATTGTGAACACATCCTTGCAGTGTATGCTTGAAACATCATCACTTGTAAGTGTCAAAAATATAGGACGAATTGTATATGATCTCTTACCAACAGTGCTGGTGTCGGGATTGTGATGGTATGGTAAAGTATAGGAAAAGGATGTCATCTCCCGGCGAATGGTTCGGACAATTGATGGGTGGATTTGGAATAGTCCAATGAGTTCATTAAACCCACTCTTTGTAACTGGGAGGTATGATGTGTGTGAATAGTCCGCATTTCCGCCACGGCTGAAGAGACTGGAATGGCCTTGTTGGTATTTATTGATATTAACGTTGATGCCGGATGAAAACTAACATAGCAACTGTGCCATCTTGATAACTCTCCCGCAACAAGTGCCTATTCTGAAATATTGTGAGCTTGACTTAGCACTGAGTTGATTGCCAAACCTTCTCAATCCACTGTTTCAAATCTCTAGGAGATTTTATATCCCAACATTCAAGTTCCTAATTGTATAACTTATTAATATTGGCGTATAACGAGATATCAATGTAAATTGAAGACATACCTTATCAGTGTACAGTTTCCTAACGATCTTGAATGACCTAGGTTCGTACTTGAAGTTCCCGAAATGATTATCATTGAAAAGCGTCTCGGTGCTTGGCCAATCCATTTTCAATCTTGGGAAAGGGGGGGGTTGCCGTGCATCAAGAGTTGGTACCCCAATCCAATAGCTATGTTATCAATTGATACTGGGGGCTTGGTCGAATGGTAAAATGCACATTTGAACGCAACGGCATCCTTGATCCTCAAATATCCTAGATGGGCTAACCTTTTGACTGAACATATTCGACCAGACCCTAAAGAGCCTCGTGTCCAACACGGCAGATATGCTCGGCAGCTGCACAATTCGTCGGGCAGCAATGCGTTGATACAATTGAGCTACAAGCTGCATTATATGGTTGGTTCATGACTGGTTGGAGATCTCTCGCATCGAACTTCCCGCGTATCGTGAGGTAAGATGCGTCCAATTATTATATCCTAAGATATTTAGGAATATGCCACTAACACATATCCGGACCAACAGGAATAATGCGCAAGATATTGATTATGCATATTGGGTCTGGGGTAGTATCATGATACTGGCGTGGTCCCTAGATGCCACTTCGGAAGTTGGAGTATGCATTACTCTATAAGCCTCATGGAGGAGACTTATCTCAACGATCTCACCCCATAAAATAAAAGTTTGCCTAGCAGTTTGCCTTGGCTTACCATGGCGCAGGTAACGCTATCATTCCTTCTAGAATGAGTCCTCACAAACAAAAGCCTCCTCCAAGCTGGGTCAATTCAATCCTAAGATGCACCTATAATGACGGTTTGGATGTCAGAGAAGTTTTGGATAAGCTTCTTGGGGAAAAGGGATATATCCTTAAGGTACGTATCCTGCAGGCTGTAGTCGAACCGTGTGGCTGACTCTCATTAGCAGCGTAATGGCCGTTGGGTTGTGTGGGCACCGAGGAAATTGAATAAGGTATGTAAATACATAACTTTTAATAATTTTACGCATCTTGGAAAGATCCTAATAAGGTGCCCATTTAAAGGATGATGAGACTCAACTTGAGTGCGCTGCACATAAGCATTATTAACGGTATTTTCCCTGGCCGAGTTACAATGCCTTGGTCCATGAGATGAAAGGGGGTATCATGCTCTATTTAGATACAAATGCAAACGCCAATCAACTTCATTGCCTCCTCGTACCACCCCATCTAATTACCATGCTCAAAATTGAGCGACTGCAGGGAAACTTCATTGAAATGAATAGGACTAGACGACCTCCATATTTAAGATGGAATGTGTAGGACAAGAATAATTGAGATAGGTTTCACAACCTCCCATGTTGCCACACACTGCATTGGCCGGATTGCCCGCTGAGATAATTTTCATTCTGGCATCTTTTCAGGAGACTCTCGAGCGTTTCAACGACCTCAGATGCCGCTGGTCGCTCGTCTCGCTCAATGCGTAACATGTTATTCTCGATGAAGTGGAGAAATTCATGGAGGTATTGACAGCATTTAGGACTCTGGTGGAGGTCTGAAATCCAATTCCGGACGCTAGGCTTCAGCTCGGCCCATTTGCCATCTTGGATAGTGCGGTAGAATTTATCGGCATCGAACTTAAGGCGCTCATCATATTCTCCACGTTGACTGGGAAAGTCCTCATTAACTGCGTGAAATCCCTTGAGGTAACATGTGATGAATTCTAGAAAGGTACATCCTAGAGCCCATACATCTGACTTCCTAGATATCTTTCCGATGTCGAACTCTGGTGCTTGGTATGTAATGGTCTTTTTTATGTTTCGCGCAGTTTGGATGGACCTTGACATGAATCGGTGGAATCGCACCAAACCATAGTCAGACAAAACTAGGACCCAACCTGAGTGATCGGTCGAGCCGGGTTTAGAGAACCAGAGGATATTAGCAGCCTTAATATCTCCATGGCGACCATAAATTGGATAGTCTTCCTGCTTATCCTGATCTTGATCTTGGTGAAGCATAGAGAGGGCCCTAGTTACGCCAAGACATTGCTCAGCCATCCATCTCAAGAGAGAACTGTTGGCGTTTCTGGTGAACTGGGTTTTCCAAAAATCGCGTAGGTCTCCTTTCGCTTCTGGAAACAGCAAATAATACTTCGAATTCGAATTGGTTTCTTCTTTCTCAATCGTAGCTAACAGCGGGAGCAAATGTTTCCCGATGCCGTGATCATATTTTATGAGAGCGTTGACTTCTTGCTTGAACTCATTCTCGTTTGGCGATTTTAGTCGCTTTAGAATGTAGGTATGTGAACCATCACTGTACTGTAAGGCTATTAGTTATAGACCCTGTGTAGTTGATAAGTTAGACCCACTGGTTGAGTACCGAAGTCGTAATGTGATGGGTGTATCTGTACTCTGAAAACATCACTAAACCCTCCTTCTTTTTCTAATAACGGCTCTGGGTCCACAGTCTCGGGTCCATCCTGGTCATCCACTTCAATCTGGGGGCCTTTGCTACGCTCATTCCCAGTGAAGGGTAGGACATCGCTGGCTTCCAGGACATAATGTGGGATCACATTATCTCGTCGCCAGAGGAAAGGCGCAATGGCCCACCATTGCCGCGTATTAAAGTTATGTAGTTTGTCGGAATCCCAATCCTCCTGGTCTTGGAAGATTCTCTCCACCTTTTCTGACTTAATCCGTGGACGGTATTTCTCGTTCTTGTGCAGAATTGTGATCTTGCCTTCACTTCGCCTTATAGTTGGAAGGGGGAGATAAGCGTCGTCCACACCTAATTCGATAAATTCGCTGATATACCTAGTATTTTTACATATCACTAAAATAGCAAATATCCGGAAGAATGACTTGGCACTTGGGGCCTGCTCTCCTGAACAGATTGTCTCTAATAACTTTGGTATGTCACCCGCCGAGACACCGGAATCCTTGTGTCGGAGAGTCTGCTCAACAAGTTTTCGGTCTTTGGCTAGTTGAAGAGTATTGAAAGGTATGAAGCACTTGCTATCATCATTGGATGAGCATACTAGCGCTTCCCACAGAGCATGAGACAACTCTCTATCCCTGGCAGGCCGTGCAGTCGTACATTTCACGCTTGAATTCGAATGATTTCGAGACTGCTGTCGTAATGAATTACCACGATCATGGTATGGCGTATGCTTAGCGCTCATCTAAGTGTGATTATAGCATTAGAATTCGTATGTAAGACGTAAAATACAACTAAGTGTCTACTCACTTTGGAGGGGGAGAATCTTTGGAGCGTACCTAGGTCAGTTTCTTGTGGACGGCGATAATTGAAATGGTATGTGGAATCCTCAGGCTTAGAGAAATATACTATGTAGTTAACTTCTCATTGTATCGAAATAAAGATAATTGGGAAAGATCTCTACTTCTTTGTGGCAGTGGTCAAAATATCAGGAACTAAACTCCTGGGATTCGCAATAGACTGGGAATACTTATACGCAGCCACGAATAGGTTTAGCAACCAGGCAACCGATACGTCTAAAAAAAGGTGTAAGGGCAAGGCAACCTACCTAATAGGCAGCAGTGTGCCGCCATGTTCCAAAAGGCATTCACTGGTAACTATGGCAGTCTACAGCTTCAGAACCTCAGGCATAGCCTCATGGGCTCAATCTTTCTTAACTAATTCACCTTGTAAGCCCTCCATTATGGGTGATAATAGTGGAAAATCCGAAGCCGAGGTATGGAAGGATCGGTATCTCATCATAGGCGTTCCATTATAGCCCTTAGAAGCCCCTGGCTTTTCTACTCACCGAACTGGCCGTACCGGTACATCCAACCTTTCATTTGGAGATGTACGCATGCCTTTTAATGTTGAAAAATGGATAAGGAAATTGTGCTACACACCATATGTGCCTAGGTGATGATCTGAAGGCCTATCATCGGCCGTGATGTTCGTTGCTGCATACCATGTCGCAAGAATACTTCTAAGATGCTGCATCCCTAGAGCGATCTGAGCACAAGTAAGAAATAAAGACAGTAGGTAGGTAAGTTATGAAGATTATTCCAGTTTAATCTTTTTAAGTATAATATCTACTACAGTTTGAGTTGTTCCGATGAGCCAAAAGCCACCTATAAACACCAATTTGCCCGGATAGAGATGCATAGCCATTGGCATTCGTCCAGCCGAAAACCATCCCTCCATACCTCCTATTTTATCAACCACACCCCTTAGCGTTGTAAGATAAGCTGAGCTCCAACCACAATCGGACGGAGGGTGTGTTACACAACCGCATTATTTGCATTATATTTGCTTTTTATAATACCTTTCTGACATGGCCCCATAGCTCGTTATCGCCGTCGCATTTTGCTGAGTGCGCCTTGGGGTAATTCAAGGCAGAAATGAATAAAGGCAAATTGCGAGCCGCATGTACGCGCCCTAGAGTCCAATAAACCCCTCCTCAAATAAAAAAGCTTCAGTGTCACAATATACAAGAATAGCTGGTGTCAATCGGGAGTTGCCACATAACAATGCTGGCTCCAAAATGCACCACGATTGCTTTTCACGAAGCCACAACTTACCGTAAGGTCTCAAGAAGATAACCCTTTTGGGATACATAACGATAATTCATTCGTCCTCGGAACCAGCCATACAACGCTTACACCCCACCCGCTGACTCGTGGTACTGCCTCATAGAAACTATATAAGACCTACGCGAGCATCGGACAGCACCTGCTGGTGTCATTCAAATTGTTTCTATCTCTACTTGTTATTACTGAATTTCTATCCCAAAATGAAGATCGGCCTAAATCCAAACACCATACAAACGCCAAATAGCGCTACTCATGAGCCAAATCAAGTGAGTACCATGGGCAGCAGCGCAGCATGTTTGACAAGATATAAAATCCCTAGCTATCTTGTCAATCCCGAGAGACTCATTGTGGTATTACGAGCCAAATTCAACGAAAATTACAAAGTTAAAGTAAACCTGCTGATTAAACTGATTTACCTCGTATACGGCTAACATTCTCCAAAGGTCAGGAATGACAACTACTCGATATCAACGCCCAGAAAGCTTACCGAGGTATATTCTATATGAACCCAATAGAAAGGACACCATAGTTTCTGACTAGGTTAACTAGAACGAACTCATTCAGTGTTACTGAGCTATGTGCTCTATTTGTCCATTAGACACCAGCCATGAATGTAATCTTACATCTTTTATGTTTCGGAAACCGCAAAGCATATGACACGCGAGTAAGACATAATGACAGTACCAAATTAGAATAGCATGATAAGGCCGGCTTAGTGGTCGATCGACACAAAATGTGGGGCTCAAATAGGGGGGCCGGATAGGAGAGAATGATATTATCATCATACCACCAAAAAAAAAACCAAAAAAAAAAAAAAAAATTTGGCTACGATGTAGGTAATCAAACAAAGTAGTACGAAATGTTAGCTGCTTCCTATCAACAGTAGACTTGGTAACCTCTCAGGTCAGGCGCACAACGATGCTAAAGCCAATATATAAGATGCAACGACTTCTCCTGCTACTTAGGGACAGCCACAATTAGCGCCTCATTAAGCTGCTTAGTGTACTCCGATGCTTTGAGGATTTGCAGTCCAGCTTTGTCAAGGAGCACCTCCCACTGAGCACGCGATCTTTCCATCGCTCCAAAATAAGAGTACATTATAAAGTCGAACTGAGTAGCTCTCCAATGCGCCCCACGTTCCGGAAGCACCATATCATCGATCAAGATCTTGGACTCCTCCGTCATACCAGCTTTGATGTTCTGTAGGATCTCGATACATTTATCGTCAGGCCAATTATGAAGGATGGCACGCAAGTAGTACGCCCGAGCACCTAAGGTGTGTTATTACTTCTCTCAGTATTCGCTACAGATGGAGGGACTTACCTATGATAGGTTGCGGCTTGAATATGTCATGAGGCTGTGCTTCGATTCTCTCAAACCCAGGAAGTGGGCTTGATTTGACCTATCGGAATATTAGATACGTTCTAGCATGCCAACTACCGTATCTGGAAATACTAAGACCGATGCAACAGTTAAGAAGGAAAAGTGGGTGCTCCTGGACCTCCAAGCTATTAGACTGAAAGTAGTGGTACTTTTACCTGTTGGATGACTTCCGGCCTGTCTTGAAGGATAATTCGACCAGGTAGCTCCGGATACCTTTGCTTGAATGCAACACACTGATGTCCTGAAGCTCCGGCAACGTCGACGAATAGGATTGTTGAATCTGTCGAGTTTTGACCAATCTCGTCCTTGATATCAAAGGCGTCAAAAATAGTAGGAAGACCATATCGGAAGCATTGTGTCCATGTAGTGAATCGCTCCCTCTGCGGAAGGTCCTTCCCAAGCCACGACCAGAACGTTCCATCTTTAGAATGTACAAGATTCAAGGGACAGTTGTTTATGTCCGCACTGTTGGAGTATTCGGCCTCGCGGAGGAACTCTGGGATAGCGTTGTATATGGGAACGAATTTTTCCAAGCTATTTTATTAATTCAAAGTTCAATCAATCTCATTCATATAAGTAGGCGACTTACTGGACGGGACATGCTACACGTGCTCCTGGAGATGCCATGGCTTTTGTGACATTGTTGGCACTATACGCATCGTTGCTTGGCTGGGAAATAAACCCAAAAGACTGGTAATACCGCAAAAGTCGTTCTGCTTTCCAATAAGATAAATCATATACACGATTTAGATAAAACTTACTCAGCATAGCAGGGTCAACATTGGCCTTTTTCGCCAACTCCGCATTAGTAGCAGTTCCACCAATCTCCGACAAAATCTCAAAGATCCGTGTCTCAACGCCGATAGTAGCTAGGGGAAGCTGTAGAGGCTTCAAGGTGATTTAGCTTGTTAGTATGTGGATTTCTGGGATAAATCATGGCAGGACTTGCCGAATAGATGACTCTATGAACAGTATCTCCTGGTGCTTCGAGTGTCCAGCTCAGCTTTCTAGCTGCTTCGGACAACTTGTAACGATCTTCATCCTTCAACGAAAAAGGCTTCTTGTCAATATCATGAACTAGGTTCTCCAGTGTTTCCGCCAAAGCTGAGGCGTCAAATGATTGCGAAGCCATGATTATGTTATATAATCGACACAGCTATAGAGGATAACAGATGTTGAGGCGACTCGTATAAAATACATGGAGTACGCCATGTCTTAAATGCAAATTCATCGAAGAGGGGCTTATAGAGTCTTGCATTAATGAAAGACCCGAGGTCTTTCGAGTCGTTATGTTATTGTCGTGAATGACGTGTCTTACCACAGAATAATCTTAGAGGTAGCTCATGGGGTAGGGACCCAAACCACTTTAACAGATGGTACCAAATCTGCATATGAAGCAATGGATGTAAGTTGCGGGCTTTCTATGCAGGACTTGTTGCAGAATCACCTTGTTCGTCTACTCTCCGGAAATACCGGGTCACGGCATCGTGACATTGTGATTATAAACTACCGTCTTGTCAGTTTCAATTACACCTCAACGTCTCATTTAAGATACCATTCATGCATAGATCACATGGCTCATGCAAGAGGAACCAACATGTACGATTTCAAATAATATTAGTAGCTTTGCAGTAGTTACCAATAAATGTATATAATCAAAGAAATAAACGATCAGCTTATTAAGTGACGAAAAGAAAACGCAACCTAGGTCACATTTATATTCTTTCAAGTTTTGATATGCATAGCACTTATTGGTTACTTATACAAGCAGTGAAAGTTCCCCTAGGTAAATGTTTATCCCTGTATACTCAAGTATATGAGGCCTTAGGAATATTAGCTTGAAGTCTTTTTCCCGATACCCCATTTTATTATTGAAGATAATACAAATGGCATGGACAGCACGGGAGTGCTTAAAGAAACTACCTAGACCTTGAAGACAATTATTAATGTTGGAGTGTAATAGGCAATACGCACACAATACTATACCTAGGCACTTTACTAGGGGGTTGTGGGTCTATACCGTGCCACTCCTATACTGCCTCTGAATACTACCTTCGCCTGGGGTGTTCCTGGCGTGGTAAAGCCCAAGAAGGTTCATTCTTACTTCTTGACTTGGCTTTGTCGCCCAGAGAATTTCATTTAATATATGCCCAGATGCGTAGTCCAGTTTACATAATATTCACAGTGTAAATCGAATCATAAGTGGGATTGCGTAGAAATACTAGAGATTACTGAATCTTTATTTTTATGTAAACTAAGGTGCCAAATCCTTATATTAAGCATTTATACTCACTTACTCTTTTTCATCTAATTTGAAACCCAAAAACCTTTATGTCATCTGAACGGAGAGTGAGGCCAAATATCTTGGAAATAATTAGAACTTAGGTAAGTTCGGGAATGGCATAAAGTTAGCAATGAATTGTTCAATGTGTAATAGTCGTATCCAATTACGAATACACAGTATGCTTAATCTTCAACTTCCAGCTGTCTCAGCTCTTCCAGGCTTGCTATTGAGATACTCATTGCTGTGACATGATAGTCAACCTTCAAAGGTAGAACGGCTCCCCATTGATTTTAACATACCGTTTGATAGCCCAGTCCATAGCATAATAAGCTACTAAAAGCGGCGGGGCCCAGTATAGAACCTGCTTGCTAAACCGACGCCAGGTGTTGAATATGGCATCATTGGAAGCGCCCGCGAGAACGTTCTGGCGGTTTGCGCTCACTTGGTATGTGATTATTCCTTTCTGCGGTTGGATACAGCCTAAGGGTGGAAGAAGTGTTAGGTAACAAGATTGGATTTTCTAGACAGCTTGATATATAGTTAATCATCAACTTACCGAGGTGGCCCCAAGTATCCTTGTTTAGATAGCTATACATGTAAGACTACGGCTAAGCAAAGTGGTTCCTTGTTGATATGGAGCAGAATAAGGCATGGTGAAAGTTGGAGTTGGTCTCTTCTACTTACTGGTTGTATTTGCCGATTGGGAGCTCACTGCTTCGAAGAATTTGTGATGGACGCATATTGCGGAACAGCCGGAGTACCTAGGTATTATTATTGACGAGTCGATTTGCCCGTTTCACCCCAACCTGCAATTTCGAGGATACCAGCTAAGCAATAGATATCGTACGCCGTAGTATTTTGTTGTTTTGACCCAATCCAACTTAAAGGCATAAAAAGTAAACCAGACAAAAATGCATGGGATTAGCCTTCCTATGAAGTTTGGGTAAAGTCGTATGTCTATAACATGATGACGGATTAACGCGTCGGTCCGAACACAACGAGGTAGGATGGATGCAAGTTGCTTACTGCGGGGAGGACGGAGGGCTGAACCAACCCCAGCAAATTCAGGGGTCGGGACTTACATTGGATAAAATATAACTGGCTGAAACTACGATAGCCCAACCAAGCTTGGGTTACAAGTCTCTTGTATCTTGACATACTTATATACATCGTATAGATGTAGTTCATCATTACCTAGGTAGCTTAAGGTTGCTATATTGATAATACTGTTCTTGGCGGATACTTACCTTCCTCCAATCGCTTTCTCTCGACGATTTCTTCAAGGACCTAGTACACGAGGCGTCCGTCTTACAAAATACATACATTTATGTATAGTCCAAGGATCAGGATACGTCGAACCAAACTTTATCTAAAACATAGGGAATGTGACCACAGCTTCCATAAGCATATTGCGGCACAGCTAGCGGCGAAGCACACCCCTTTTGTAAAGCACGGTAGCTAGCTAAGCGAATCATGCTGACTCTGGGAGGCCGTCATCTCAATTCATGGATCACTTGCAGAAACTCATGCATGTATATTATCTTTAACTCCGAGCCAAAGTTGGGAAAGGTGTTATGCTTCTTGTTGAGGGGGTTCTCTTTGCACCAATATTCTGTGTGGAAAAATGGCATACCAATATATTTGGATATGTACCACCTACCTTGACATATAGGGAATAATACAGTATATAATCACAGTGTATCAATTCGCACACTATGTGGGTATTCTTATTAAATCTTGACGAATAACGCCGCTATTCTCGTAGTGCCAAATTCTTCAACGAAAACTTCAAATTCATCAAGAATCTTATCAGCTAACTCAACTCCATGGAACCCGACACGGCAGGGTTCTTTCAAGAACCGGATGATTATTATCCTCCATCGCCGCCACCGACCTCCCAGGTCTATACGTCGCAGTCAGGTAAAACCATCACGCTTCATCTGGTGGGGCACAGCCCGCTAGAGGCTCATCACCTATGGAATGGCAGCCGCATTATCTCCAAGTACTTCGAGACACATATATCCGAGGTTAAAGGCCGAACTGTGCTTGAACTCGGAGCCGGAGCCGGCCTTCCGAGCATCGTATGTGCCATCTTGGGTGCCGAAAAAGTCGTGGTCACGGACTATCCCGACCCGGACTTGGTTGCCAATATGAGGAAAAACATCCTCGGTTGTGAGCTCATATCAGTAGTAGACGGCGATGCCGAGAATTCGCCAATAGTTGCCGATGGATACGTGTGGGGGGCCGATCCGACTCATCTGTTGGCGCATCTCGAGTCTACCAAGAGTGACAAATTTGACGTGCTTATCTTGGCCGATCTGCTCTTTAGGCACTCCGAGCATAGAAACATGATCTCTTCGATTGAAGCCACGATGAGCCGAAAGAAGACGAGCACAGCCTTCGTGTGTTTCACAAGTTACCGTCCATGGTTGCAGCACAAAGACCTAGCCTTCTTCGATATCGCGCGGGAGAAGGGTTTCCTAGTTGAGAAAATCCTAGAAGAGAAGATGGACAAGGCTATGTTCGAGAATGATCCAGGCGATGAGCAAGTTCGGAAGACTGTTACTTGCTTCACGTTGCGGTGGCCAGATGAAGAGTGCATATAGGGTGCATTGCGGCTGAGTCTGCCTATCACCACTTTCTCCCTCAGACTCTTCTAAACCTCCCCGGATTGCATCAAATGGTTAGAGGTGTGAGCAGCATCATCGCGCGGTGCGCGCCTCTTGTGCGACTTCTTTGCACATCACATCAACCCCCATCTTCGTCCGCGCACATGTCGTGATCGTGACGCAATATCGCCACCTTCTCATCGTCATACGACTCTAAAGAGACAAACGACGAGCATTTGATATCGTTGGTCTTGCTGCGCTGGATGCACAACATATATTAGAACTGCTGTGTTGCCTTCCTCGATTAGATATGAGAGACAGCATCGGGCTAAACACCAATGGCAACTACTTAATGGGCAGTCATTCTTATCTTAACTGGTCTGAACTCATTTTCTGCGCCTCGTTGTGCTCATCCAAGTTCTTTGCCTCTTTTGGGTTGCGTCGAGTGGAGCTTCGAGGCAGTGCATGCATGTGTTCATTGTTTAATCCTGCAGGTCTGCCATTTTGTCACTAACCCAACTTCGGCCTCACAGGTTGTCAGCCTGTCAAATTCCAATACTTCCGTAACATTTCCATTGTTGAGGTGCTTCACAGCGAGCGTAGATATGACAGCCCTGATTGAGAAGATACCATTATGTCTACTACTTGCGATTGGTGTTATTGACGAGCTGCGCGCCAAGGCCAAAGACCTTCGAATTGGTAGTCGCCACTGAAGCAATGAAGCTGTTAGCAAGCCATTCCTTAAATAGCTCTGACATGCCGGCGATGATCAGCTAGCCTACAGCAACATTGGCTGGGCTGCATACTGTGCGGGTTGCAGTCACAGCAAAACATAGCCTCATTCCGATTACCGAGGCCAAAAATATCTACCAAACGTTATTTATCCTCATAGACGTTTCCTTCGTCTTGAAACATATTTATCGATCACATCCTCTGTTCTCACGGGTCAATTACTGGCGTCTTCGGATCGTACCGAACGAACCACGAGTGAAAGCAGCCACTAGTACTCCCTAGAATGGCAAGGGAACTGTTGAAGTGGGCATCGACAAGATGGAGTTTATCGAGATGTCTTCTGTTTGCCAGGGTGTTCCAGGTGTCGGGTACGCTTGTTACCGCTGTGATGAACGGTTTTCTTCTAGTATACATCCACGTTAATCGCCTCGGTCTTACAGCCAGCATGTTTTGCCTGGAAATGATGGTTCGTAATAAGTGTCCGTCAAATCAACTCCTGATCAGTGGTTTAACTCGAAGACTTCTAGGTCTGCGCCGCGCTCATCTATTCAGGCATTGTATTGCTTCTCCAACATTCAGGGACCGTTCACAGGAGATCCAGCACTCAACTAACCACAACCCTCGTCGCCGGCGACGTGGTGTTGAATGGAATAATGATCGCCATCATGACTGTGCTAGCTCGTGCAGGACTTCCCACCAACTGCTATGGGTTAACTCGGAGTGACAGTAATACCCCAAACATCCTCGCGGCTCATATTATGATACTCACATACTTTGAAATAGTGGAAGAGGGTGATGCCCCTACTGATCCGCCTAAGGGATACGGCACGATACGATTTGGTGATGGCCATATAAAGGGGGTCCTTGACAAATATTGTGGTCTAGAACAGAGTTTCTATTTCATTGCCGCAGTATTAATGTACGATATCCGCAGTCTTTGACACGAATTCCTACTAATAGTGCCAGATTCACTTATATGCTGACGGTAACTCTTGGGGTCCTACGGATATTTGAGCAGCGCTGGAATCTTGGCCAGAACCATCCCCTATTTACCTCAACAGATGATATCTATCAGCTCGGCCACATACGATCTAAGATCCATAGCCCCAACCCTAGCAGAGACTTGGAAAATGCGGATTTGTCTAGAGAACGGGTACTTACACCACCTTCACGAACCGATGCATCATTGCAGACCCGGATATTCAGGCCTTCTGAAGATGTTCATAGAAACCAGACATTTCGCGAACAAGCACAGTCACAGCCGCTCCCCGTTTCACCTGTTTCTGCCGCAACATCACCGATATCTCAAGTATCGCCTATCTCACCAGCCACGCATCATCATAGATCGTTTTTGAATACGTCCCCTGGCATGCTGGACACGTCGATGGGAGGTTTAATGATAGATCACTCCGCGGAGGCCATGGTGACCGACGGATATCGACCCCGACTTCAAACCGGCATGCAATCGTTGCCCCCGTACTCGCCCGGACAGTCCAGGGGACAGTTTATGGACGGACACGGCAACGAGTCTAACGAGATGCGACTAAGCGAGTACGTCAAAGGCGAAACGCGAGCGCAACATATGAAGGACTCGGGAATGGGTATGTAGAATATGTCCTGATATTCATGTTTCATGTCCGATTGGTATGACGGGAGTAGGTACCTACCTATATAACGGGGCGGCAGGCATTTTATTTTAATCTTCATGAGCGACGGCGTACGGGTTCGGTCGTGTTCTCTCCGCTAAATCTTCTCGTTGGTGGAGAGGTGCCTACAATTTTCGGGCTTTCATATACCATAAAAATGAGTGCGTACCTGATATGGTTTGATATAATTATGTATGATACCCTAGGTAGACTGTAGAGAAAGAGGAATTTATTTTCATAATACTCCTTGCTGAGCAGGTCTTTCACATACTGCAGCTCTTTGATACACAATGCCCCTATTCATTGAATACCCCACTAAGTTGCATGATAGGGATAGCCCAGAATCGAACCGATCGCGCGCAACGTTGTATTATTCGCACGGGCAACCCCGTCCCCCGCAGCTCAATGAGATCACCTCCACCACCATTATCGCCAACCCGTCACCAGACAGATCATTTATCAAGGGAAAGATCGACGGCGTCGCGCTAAGACGCCGGTCACATAACTTAGCAGCTGCTTAATTCTACCTACCACCGTCCCATCACCAGACAGGATCACAACCTCAAATCTCGGTCTAACTCCAAGTTCCCAGATTAACATCCTTCAAATCCCGGAAATATTGCAAGACTATCCACGAGGGCATACGGAGCCCGCATAAGGTTGAGACAAGCACATATTCAGGTATTTTCCTCGCACAAGGCGACGTTACGCACGTAATTACCGGAGGTCACACTTGGAGTCAGGTAACCTCCCCCAAAGCCACGAGGCCCTCTATCCTATCCCCGGTCTCCATCTTCCCCGGAGCCCAACCCCAAAATGCCCACCTCGACGCTACGGTCGCAGCTCGACAAAGACGGCTTTGTCATAATCCGCTCGATCCTCAGCGCCGCGCAGCTAACCCAGCTCCGCGACGCCGCCACGCGCACGACCGCCCTCGCGGTCGCAGGCAGATGGCCGCACGTGCGGACCGTGGGCAAACAATTCCCGCCGTGGACGTGGGAGCCCGGCGTCGGGATCTGGGGGGTCCAGCACCTGCTGAACCCATCACTACCAGACGCCCCGACGTTCGCGGCGAGCTACTTCGGGGACGAGATCCTGGATCCCGCGAAGGAGCTTCTGGGCCCGTGCGGCGACGACGAGCTAGTCATGGAATTGTACAATCTGCTCGTGCGGCCCTCCGACGGCCGCAGCTTCGAGCTGCGCTGGCACCGCGACGACATCCCGGCCTCGGCCGCGGCGGACGAGGAGCTGGAGCGCCTGCGCGAGCCCGCGTGGCACGCGCAGTGGAATCTCGCGCTGTGCGATGGCGACGAGAGCTTGATCGTCGTTCCCGGGTCGCACGCGCGGGCGCGGACGGAGGGGGAGAGGGCCGCGGATCCGTTTGAGCCCGAGATGCCGGGGCAGTTGGTGGTTAAGCTAGAGGCGGGAGATGTCGTGTTCTATAATAATAACATCTTGCACCGAGGCCGCTACGACGGCGCGCGCGAGCGCCTGAGCTTGCATGGTTCTGTTGGACATGTGGCGGGGGGCAGGCTGCGGGCTCGGAATGTGCTGCAGCATGCTGTTGGGAGTGTGAGTGTTTCCAAAAATACATTTTCTTCATTTCCTTTTTTTCTAGCTCCTTACCGATGCGGCGGTCAATGAAGATCCCGCGAACAGGGAACTTTCGCATATTTCGACGCCGTTCTTAATTCTGCCGACACCTTCTAAAATTAGACAAGATCTGCTGACTTTGGAAATTGCAGTGGGTGGATGGATGCGATTTCAGCGGATTGCCCGAAGGGCACAGGGCCAGGGCCGAGGGGATGCGCGCGCGGTTAGTGAAATTGGGGCGCGAGAGCGGCGAGGTAGGATATTCGTTAGACGGCTAATGAATATTCACACGCGTGTAGAGGATACAGCGAAATTTTTGAAAATTGTTCAAAATGCTAATTCAGCCCATACACAAAATTCACCTAGTATATACATGAAAGTATTTACGCAGAAAGCGAAAGGATATACAGCGAAAAATATGCAAGTCCCATGATATTCCCCAAAGACCTGACCTTGTTTCTCCCATAACCCAGATAACCACGTGGGAACGAAGTCCCCGTCGAAATAAATAAGCGTCCGGACGGGTCCTAACCTGTCCTGAACAGAATAATGTTCGACGGGAAGACGTTCTCGTTGTCTTGCCACTTCGCCATGCTCGTGCCGTTGCTGTCGATCATGCTGAGCGAGCCGATCGTGTTAAGGGCGTAAATGTTGACGTTGGAAGTCGAGCCCTCGAGCGAGACGATCCGGGATTGGCAGTTCTCACCTGCATCTACCGTGGAGCAAGCTAGGAAGGTAAGAAGTCAGCACGGATGTAATTTTAAAATGAACAAAGGGATTAGTGAGGCAAAGGCTTACTGGTACTGTAACTATCGAAGAACGAGTAGTGACCAGCTCCATAGATGTAGATGTCAGTCGAATCGATGATTCGCAGACCCCATGCGTCGGCGCAGTTTCCTGAGACGCCGGCGCAAGAGGTCGCGAAGTCGGGGTCTTGTAGGGCTGTAACTACAGGGAAAGGTGTGGTGGCATCAGGTGTCGGTTGGTAGTATGGCGTCTCTGTCTGAAGCATGCTGGCGAAAATGTTCTTGGTGTTGGCGAATTGGTAGTTGTAGAGGTTGTTGTGCTCAACGGCAGTTCCAACCAACCAGAAGTTACCGACAGTTGACTCAATGTAAAGGCCCCTACCAGAGTACACGGTGATTTGGGTGTTGTTAGAATCCTCGATGTCGTGGTCGGCTGTCCATAACCAAGTGTTCTCCATGTACAAGTTAGTCGCCGAAGGTGTAACGTGCATCAACATGTAAGCTCCGATGCAGTTCGTGTTCACAGTGCTGGACCCGGGGTCCTTCGGGCATTGGGCAACCTGGAAATCCGAACCCTCGAATCCGCCAACACGCGCGTGGACATCCCACATTCCACTGGGAGTATCGGATGTGGAAGCCAGGTTCCACTCAATGAGAGTAGCGCCCGGTGCGGCTCCTTGGGATCCGACAACGAAGTCTGAGAACTCTACTTGACCGGCATCACCAGTCTTAGCCCCGACTTGCAATAGAGGCTTAGGGTTGCTCATGTCGCCAAAGCTGGTGCCGCTAGCCATGAGGATAGGGTAGCCTTCTCCAACAATCTTTGTGCCATCTGGGATACTCAAAGTGTCGGTGACCTTGTAGAGACCGAAGTCGAGGAAGAGAACCTTTCCGCCAGAAGCGGCGCTGTTGATGGCAGATTGGAGTGCCGCGGTATCGTCGGTCGTAGAGTCACCCTTAGCACCAGAGCTTCGGGCGCTTACGAAGTCAGACGCAGTAAGTGTCTCATATTGAGGCTTCGATCGAGAGTAGAACACGCTATTGGCCTCAAGGGTGGAAGGTCGGTCGTTAGGAGTGATATCTCCTTGGACTGTGTTTGGTCCGGTGGGAGTGTACTGGTGACCCTGTGCCCATCCGGTAATTGTCGTCGTACCTCCTGCAAGTATCGTCGAACTGCCGGGACCCTCAACTGCCACAGGAACGTTCTGGAGGTTCAGGTTCTCCAGGACCATGCTTGCAGCCGTGTCCGGCTTAGACCCAGTCTGCCACGCGGTTGTGATACCGACCGGGGTATTCGTGAATGTGCTGTCGATCACTGTGATCGAGCCCACGTTAAGCCCAGCGTCGCCGCTAGCGGTAATGTTAATTCCTGTCTGACAGTTGTTGATGTTGAGCCCCATATAAGTCCATCCCCAGTTCCAGAGCTGGATAATGCCAGTTTGGGCGTTGTTGAAGGTAATGTTTCTCATGGTATATTGCTGGTTGCCCATGGATGCTCCTGTAGCGCCACCGTTGAAGGTTAAGTCGCTCATGAAACCGCCAGAACCTATACACGTTAGTATAACTCAAGTGAAGTATTTGCTTATGAGATACTAACCGCTCTCAATGAATAGACCGACGTGGACGACGCCGGCATCAGTAGGCATGTTGAACTCGACATTGATAAGACTAGTCGCCTGGGAAGTCGGCCAGTGCATACCGGTTGCTGCGGTGCCTGGTGCGATACCGGTAGTGTCGATGACGAAGTTTCGTACTTGACGGTAGAATACATTTGTTGATACCCAGTTCAAGTTCGCAGTGTAGTATGGGTTGCCATCAATCAAACCAAATCCTTGAAAGTTGCTAGAAGCCTTCAATACAGGGCGGTTGGTCGGGTCACCGATCATCTGAGTAAAGTAAGGAGGGACAATAGATGACGAGATGAGGTAGGTTCCCGACGGGAAGTAGACAACTGCTGGTGTCGTGGTAGTAGAGGCCTAATAGTTGTTAATACGTAAGATATTTAAAATAGAAGGTCACGATATCGTCCGAGTATAACTTACACATCCTTGTAAGCACCTGTTGTTAGGTGTGTTCATGGCCTGAGTGATAGCATCGGTGTCATCTGTAACTCCATCACCTATATCAAATATTAACATTGGAGTTCGTTGAGGCTGTGGGTCAAGGTTGCTGACCTTTGGCGCCGAAGTCCTTAACGTTACGGAAAACTGTGTATCCATCGCCTCCGAAAGGTGCAACGCCTTGGTCTATCACGGAGTTAGCTAGTAGCTCCTCAAGGTGTTCCCGGAACATTCTTACGAGTTATGTCTTCAAGCCAGTAAGCATTTACACTTAATGCAAGGGCGATTACACCCGCAACGAACGTTTGGAACCGCATTTTGAACTCCAAGTGGTGAAGACGAAGACAACAAGATGCTTAGGGGACCCGAGTTGGGACGGAGAGACAAGGCACTTATATCTTAAGGTTGACAGGGTTTGGTGTCGTCACAAGGCGCGGAGCACCACAGCTGCCCATGTCATCCACCGGCAAGGCATAGTTGGCATTGGCGCCGCGAGGTAACGTGCACTGTTAGGCTGCTGGAGATGTATGGCAGGATTGTGGCATCCGAGAGACAAGAAAGGTCAAGAGCTATATTAGACCCCTGGCCATTGGATTAAGCTCCATGCTGAACCAGTGAACTGGAATTGATTGCCCAGACCGAGCACGGGAGCTAGCATACAGGGTGGTTGACCATTGGGAGACCTGGCCACTCACGTAGGGTCTGTCGAGTACATGTCGAACTTTACCAAGACACGGCATTCCTAGAGTTGGAGGAAACGATCCAGCGGAGTAGCATTGTCAGCAAGTTTCAGAGGTTACAAACCTGCGAATCTAAGCTATGGTTGGCTTTCGACTAGTAAACACACTCCATCTAACCGGTAGTAGTGTGGGGTCGGATGCATCGAGGGTCATCCTTTCATTGCAGCAGCACTCAAGAACGCATCATCTCAAAGGTCGGCTGCGCCGCGACTTGGTAGCCTCCTACTCAAAAGGGAATCGTCGTCAGGTACCACCCGAGATGTGATAGGTAGGTAGACGAACTTGCGAGGAGATTGGATGCCATGGCCATCCTAAATTAGCTAAAGTGTTCCAAATAGAGGTGGTTGTTTCAAGCATGTGATGTTGGAGCCGCGAGACACTCAAGCCACATGTAAGTCATCCACGGAAAACTGATGGGGGTGATTGATGGAGACAGGGGGACCATCTGACGCGGCTTTGCGCTATGAAATTCCGCCTCTCTGGCCCCTGAAACAATATCGAACGTTATATAGTATTATAGCGCGCATAGAGTGGTTGCGCTGGCTTTGCAGTTTATTGAAGCTTGACGCCTAAAAAGCGCCTAAACTCGAAGCCCGACTCGGACGAGTAAATCACCTTTGTCCAACCAATCCGACCAAGCTGACCAACCATGCGATAGCTTTCCAGTCCGTAGAGTTTAAAGTTGATGCTGCGTTGCATCGCTTCCCCTGGCGCTAAGCCTTTTCATCTAATCTAAAATGGTGAAGATCCATAGGCGCTGAGAGGACCACGATGCGAACAAGCCCCTAGCACTGGTTAGCAGTCCGAGGACTTGACTGGCCCACAAGTGGAATTCAGGGGCCGGCCCGATTGGGTTTCGATCAATCTAAATAAATGGAAGGTGGTGAATCGGTCAAATCTGGGGGAGTTCGGGGGTTTTCCAGGTTCCATCCTTAGCCATCCACTGCCATCCACTGCCATCCACTGCCATCCTTGGGAATTGTTTCAGAGCATGACTTGCAGTGGCAGGCAAGTTCACTTGATAGGCCACAGTAATCGGACGAGATCTATACTGTAAGTCATGCACTGTCCATGTTTCGTTCCATCCGATCTAACCCAGACCCTTGCTCGAATCCTCCCCCCCTTAATTATTCCTCTATCAATTTAGACTCATCTATGCTTCAATGCGAAGAAAGATATCAAGACACTTGCCCCCCGACGCGTGGCACTGTTCCAGAGATCTTTACAAAGAAACCAGTCGGATCCACATACTTCTCGCACGAAACCCACGTCCACCAAGTCTATGGAAAGACATAAATAAAGACAGGCGGACAGGTAGCAGGTAAGCATTGATTCAGAATGAATGGCGTCCGTCCCCTCCGGCGCACCCAACATTGGCAGCATGGTTGCGTATGCCAATTTGTCTCGATGCACTTCGTGCACAAGCGCAGTCTAACCTCGGACTCGCCTGAATGACAAGACCGTCTTCGGATCAAATGAAAGCCGGTTTTCTTCTTCTTCACATTTCCACCATGTCCCGACTCCGTTACCCTAACCCATGCGAGTCGATCACCCGTACGCCGTTTCTCTAATGAGAATGAGTCGCTGCAAACGAAGCTCTTCCCCTCTTCTAGAAGCTTGACTCAAGCTTCATTTTTCATCTGTGCTAGGGGACTTGGGCCTTGGCGATAAGGCTTGAATTATCCGCTTGCCCAAGATCATCTGCCGACGTCCCCTCTGCCGTCTTGTTCCGCTTCGACATGTCTACTTAACCCATCAGATCAAAAGGTGAAGCTTTTTTTACACCATAGGGCTAGGATATTTTGTTGGTTTCGCAACCTCCTCGTCTGCTTTAACCCGCCTATAGAGATGTCGCGATGGTATCATGAGGTCTCGTCATGAGTCTTCTTGTCCACCTAGTTCAGAATTGCCAAGAAACCCAAGAGGTGGTGGGAATATCTCAACCATTGACGATGGTGATAGCTTCAGTCATGGAACTTCCCCCGCGGTAGTAGTCCGGATTTCTTCACCATTTAAATCCAATATTGGATCTCTGTGATTATCCGCCCAAGGATAACGCTCCAAGGCCCACCATCTCTGATCCCGTTGATGATGAGTGCTGCGGTGGGACCTTGGCGCTGCAATTCTTGGCTACAGTCTTTTGATGAAATCCGGGGTTCGCTAAATGGTGGTTGTCACGGTATCTGAAAAAAGGGTAGGTATGTAGGTACTCATTGTATGGAGTATCCGGAACTTGAACATCCACCGTCCACCGGGAGAGCGGATATATTACACTTGTAAACTGGGGAAATTGAAGAAGTCTTTGAAGAGATATTGATAATATCTTAGGTAAGTTACCTAACACTTACAGCGTAGGTAGGTTTAAAATATGAATTTCATATCCTTTGGCCAATTTAAGTCTAGTCCCAATTAATAGTTGGAGCAAGTACCTAAGATCTATCCCCATAGTGCGGTACTTACCTCAAAGTACCTAATATCCATACTGGAGTCCGTGCTTAAACTATTTTTTTTAGTTTAGCGACTGCACCCCGTGCATTCCTTGCTACACAGGCTAGGAGGCCGGTACGCGGTACGTAATAGGCTTGGTAGATTCGGTACTCCGCATCACCCAAAATTTTCAACCTCGTTCCCCAGTTCCCCAATTCTTCAACTCCACACGTTCGGGTAATTTGCTCCCCTTCAAGAACACTGCAGCTCAGGGTGCCGAGTTCTAGGTGAAGCCAACTTAACGAAGTTCCCAATATCTACAGTTTAGTCACATATTACTCTATCTCCATTCGTTATTGTTGAGTTGCGATAGGTGACGCTGGAAGCTACCAAGCCGAACACCCGGAGTTATGCATCCTAAATTTCTCTCTTAGCCACACCTACGTCTACTATGTACAGATCTTCTCGACATGAAAATCCACATGTTGCACGTGCTACCTAGGTACTTTGGAGTAAAGTAGGTCACGGTAAGTATGGAGAAACCCTTGTCACCTTGTTTTCTTACATGCTGCTGCATTAGAGCAGAGAGGTCACCGGAATTCCTCCACAGATCCACCACCCTGAACGTCTAGTGCCTGCTAGATTCATACTTACCTGTACCTATCTGCCTGCCATCATCATCAATCTTCCCCTCTTTGCCTAGCCCGCCGGCAAAGCACGCCTGTTGTCAGGCGTATCCTTGTTGATCATTACCATAACGAGATCCTCATCTACTATGTAGGAGAGATCACGCTAACCGAACAACGACCCCTTAGACCTGATTTGAGTGCCAGTAGTAGGCGCTTTGGGCTTAGGGGTGTGTTACCTTGTTACCATTCTACCTATCTTCTTAGCTGTATCTAGCTATTCCAGCCGGGGACGCATGAAGAGTGGATGATTCAGACAGGTCACAATAACAGCCTCGTAACAACATGATGTTCGACGAAGACGGTGGGTATTCTGCAAGGCTTGTTTCCTCTTATGTGTTCTTTTCCGCTTTTCTTCTTTTCGTCTTGTGTATCGGACACTGAAGCTCCTTCTAATCGCACCAATCACAATGAAGCTATAACCTTGTTTTGGTGACTTTTTTGGCCGGCAGTTTTACTACATATTGTTAGTGAAAGCTTCTTACATATGTAGATACCACATAATTGTAGTAGGGTTAGGCTTTCTAATACGTAACAAAGTTCATATGCAAAGTTTCGCAGGTTTAAGCATTTCTTTGATTGAAGAGAACGCCTCTGATCCCCATAGTTCCCCAAAGCCTCTACCAAACATATCCTACAACATAGAAGTACAATATTCTAACAGGACTAAATAAGCTAATATGTACCTAGGCAGGCTAGGTAAGTAAACGCAGTAGCATCATTTCTGTGACCATCAGCTGATTGGTTCCCCCCGCCCCCCACATTTTCCCACATATGTAAAGTCAGTTTCTCCAATGCGGAGATGGTACCGAAGGGGGGTGCTACGAAGAAGTATGGGGATTTCTGACAAGGACCCATCTCTGCGGGCTGGTAGTCATGGATGCTTGTTTATGTCTGGGGGCGGGGAATGCACCTCAAGAATCTAGTGCAACTTCTAAGATTCTCTACCGGTAGGTAATCGTCGACCTGCGGGTTCTAATACTGACTTACATACAGCATACATATATGTATTGCTTTTTCTAACCTTTTTCAAACTATTAGATTCTCGCAGATCTGTTTTTTTACAAAGTACTTCTCAGTACTACGGGTAGTATGTGAGGAGTAAGTACCTACGCTGGTAAGTAAAATAAACTTTCTTTGCAGTACCAAAGCCATCCAAGCCAGATGATCCGTCCTCCAACAGCTTTAAGAATCCCCAATATGGCATTGGACGGGTAGATGTGAAGAAAGAGTACCAGGAATTAGATCGTAGTTGCCTGCCTGGGCACTTACACGCCGAGTAGAATAGATGCTTAGGTAGGTAGTTCAATGTTAGGAAGGAAGGCCGGTAAGGCAGGTGCAAAGTCCCAGAGTTTCTTAATTCGGTGCCACTTTTATGTTTCTTTCAGGTTCGGGTTTCACCCACCACACCGGCTCGTAACTGCTGTTTTTTTTACTACATGTACCTAATAAATCCCATAAACCCATACTAACCTAACCTAACCTAACCTTGCGATTTCCCCATCTCCGCATCTTTCTCCTCCCCTCCTCTTTACTCCTCCTCACTCCTCACCTAACAATATCCTTACAATTTAGCTCAACCCCAACCGAAATCTATCATCAATCTCATCGCCTCATCTAACCTCGTCCCAGATATAGAGAATTAACCGATCCAATTCTTTAATATCTCCTCTAAATTCTCCAATTCCGTTTGAGACTTTCGTCTCTTTCTTCCGAGCGTTTAAAAAAAGAAACAGTCCAATTTCTTACTCGTAAAGTCTCACAATGCAATATTGATAGCCTTCTCCTACATCTCCACACTCGCTCCTCGTTTTGCTCCCGTCTTCTCCGCGTCAACGTCCGCGACCGATAAACCAACCAGTAAAAGCCCTCTCCCTACCGGTTAATTACTTAGGGTTCGTTTTCGATCTCCGTGAGGAACGTATCAAATCACAGCCTCGCTTATCACCAACCGTCGACGGGTTACCTCAGCCCTATTAGTTGGGTTCCTGCTATCAAACTCTCTGGTTCCTCTCAGGTTACGGTCTCTGTTGATCACGACGTTGCTCGCCAACTTGGCGGGTGGCCGATCTCTTGGGGGAAATAGAGCGAGGACAAATGTGGTGGAAGCCCGCGCTGCTACGTACCTACCGAGTATACCTGAAGTCGACTGATACTACATACATATTATCACGTCCATGAATTCATCCATCAATAGTCCACCCCGCAAGACGTTCATTCCTCTTTCCGGCATAACTTCCTGGCCCTGGACGTTCAACCCCCTTCCAGCCTACCCCCCACTTCCGGGTGGTGCTGCGTGACTTCTTCTGCATTACACTCGTACTTCGTACAGGAACTTGCCTTATACGAATTATTATTCACTTACTCACTTACCCTAACCCCAAATGCAGGCTATGCCGTCCATTGAAGGCTCTGGCGTCACTGTTACTGCCGAGGAGAGCGTGGAGGGCCGGCAGCAGAAGCCTAAGACCTTACCATGTAAGTTCTGCGACAAGCGCTTTAGGTAAGACGGCCATGCTCTGTTTATCTCCTCGCACTTCTGTCTATTTCCGTTGGTAATTTGCTTGCTTACACGGCAATCTCATAATTAGACGCGTGGAACACGTTCAGCGCCATGAGAGAACGCATACTAAAGAGAAGCCCTTCTCCTGTGCATGGCCTCGCTGTGGGAAGACGTTTGGACGCCGGTCAGTTAAAAATTTTTATCATTATCTCAATTTACACCTAACGGAGATTTTATGTGCTGTGTATGGTGGTCAACTTCGCCTTACCCACCAGTTGTCCAACCAGTCACCGTCTTTCGTCCGCGCTAAATCACCCCCGTTTCCCCCCCCTCAGACGCTCGCTGCACATATCACACATCACACATATGGCCCTAACGCATTCTCCCCCTCTCTATAATCCGTAACCCAGTGACCCCCGATTCCCACTTTCTCCCACGCTTCCTTGTGAATATGCTTATATGGACATCAGGGATCTCCTCGTCCGTCACGAGAAACTCGTCCACCTCAATGAAGGGTCTAATAAGGATGGCAACCGGCCCCGGAAGCCGTCCACGGCTGGCGCTGCCCAACCGCGGCTCTCAGTAGACAGCCATGTCGACACCGAAATGATGGGTGTGCCACGGGCTCACCCGCAGCATTATCATTCGGATTCTATGTCCTCATCCGTAGTTGTTCCTCCGCTTGCTCCTGACCCTCGTCATTCTGCCAGAGCCGCAGCGTGTAATCTTGACCTTTTATCTGATGCTGCAACCCAGATCGCCTCCGCAAACGAGGTCAATTCGATGCAACCGATGATGCAGGATCTCGGTCAGTCGGGGAGTGGGTTAACACGCATCAAGTCATACGACGAGGGTATGCCGTATGCCGATCGTGGACGTGAGCCCGAGCCGGTCCCGATGTCTGTGGGACTACCTAATCCGGCGGCACCGCCTGCTTTTGACGATTACAACCTCTTCCTGGACGAATTTGCGACATCATCTCATTTCCTCCCACAAGGCTTCGAAGCGGATCAGGGCATGAGTATTTGGCCACGCCATCTTGCGGATATCCATCGAGGCGCGCTCTCAAAACCATCGTCACAGTTTCCCTCCCGCTTCCCGTCGCTAGCCCCTGATCCGAGAGACCCGTCGGAAAGTGGCAACAGGACGCATGACGAGTCGACGAGAGCGCAGCCTATGAGAGTCTCTGCTATGGACCATACAGTCATCAAAAACCGACTAGATGAGTTCTCATCAGTGTTGCCCAACGATTTCGTGTTCCCCTCTCGACACACATTTACTCGTTTTTTGGAAGGGTATATAAGCGGGTTTCATGAACACCTACCGATCCTACATTTACCGACTATCACGGCCGCCGAGATGGCACCAGAACTCTTGTTGGCTATTTTGGCAGTGGGGGCCCAATATAGGTTTGAGAGCCATCGATCAAATGCTCTGTGGTACGCAGCGAAGGCGGTAGCGCTTGAGCAAATCCGACGCCGCCATAGTCATGAGGTCCATGGTTTGTTGCCTACGCCGGCAGCGTATAGTCCACATTCTACACGGCCATCTCCCAGCCACGGCTTTCGCCATTCATTCAGTTCCGTCCAGCAAGAGCGTCCAATGACCCAAGATACGCACCGGGAACCATAGTAAGCAGACCCGATCATACAAGCTAAATCTGTGCCTTCTAGTGGCCTACTAACTATTTCCTGAAAGTTCGCCCAATACACCTCAATCCCGAATGGAGACTATACAGGCTCTACTGCTGCTCTTTGCCGTCGGCCTCTGGGGTGCCAAAGCCATCCTTCGCGAAGCCCTGTCGTTACAGAGCCTTCTGGCTCTTCTGGTGCGTGAAGAGGGCTTTTTATCGGAGTCCACGCAAACGGCAGACTGGGAAGCATGGGTCCGAATAGAAGGGGCCAACCGCACAAAGCTCATTACGTACTGCTTCTTCAACCTTTGCAGCATCGCTTACAATATGCCGCCTCTATTACTTACATCGGAACTCAGCCTCATTCTTCCACATTCTGCAAAACTCTGGAGAGCGGAAACGGCTTGGCAATGGCAAGAAGCTCGTCAGTCTTTCCCAAGTATGGACATATCCCTCCAAGATGCTTTTTCGAGACTATTTAGTCGACCCTCGCAAGGGCCTCCGGCATACATGTCCTCCCTCGGCAACTACATCCTAATTCATGCCATATTGCAACATATTTTCCTCCTAAAGCAGACATCATTCAACTCGGTATCTATCTTTGGCGGGCTCCGTCCAGATGACGTGGAAGATTGCTTTCAGGCCTTACGTATCTGGCAAATGAGCTTCGAACAGCATCAGGCGCGTGTGACAGAAGGCGCCCAGCAGAACGGCTCGGACGTATTCCATGGAGGTCCTGTTGCTTATAATTCGACCGCACTTTGGCGACTAGCTTCGATCCGGTTGTATACCGATTTGAGCCCGAGTAGGACTCTTGAAACAAGGGACGCAAATCAAATCGCCCAATCGTTCCACGATGCACCATATCTTGTGCGCAGTGTACGGCTCAATCGAGCCGTATTTCAAGCCATACACGCGTTGTCTATGCTGGTGAAAGTGGGCGTTAACTACGTGGCAAGAAGAAAATCGTCAGAATGGAGTATGCAACATTCATGTAAGTGGCTACAAGATGCTCAGTACAGAAGCTAGGAAAAGGTAGATCATCTAACTTTGGTGTAGTATGTAACCTAGAATGCGCTATACTTCTTTCGAAGTGGCTAATGACTCTTTCCTCGATCGGACCGACGGGTGCTCCTCCAGAAGTCGACGAACGGAACCTCCTTGAGATGCTACGCACCATGCTTGACGAAACGGAGTTCGCAGTGCCTATCGACCCTTCGCTTTCTGGAGGTCCAGGACATGGCCCGTCAAATACGGACCTGGCCGCCAATGATGGTACAAAATTGCGTCAGCTTGCTGTGGCGGTAATCCGCCTTTGGGCTGAAACATTCAAGGGGTCACACATTTTCGACATCGTCAAAGTAATCGGCGCTGGATTGGAGGGTTACGCAGATCTGCTGGAGAAGCCGCGGGATAGGACGCCCTTAGGTCGCATGGTGCCCAATTCGGGACTTGGCTAACTCAGCTACGGCGAATTCTACTATACAGCTCACGTATGAGAGTACTTAAGGGCCACACCAGACTCCCCCGGTCGCGAATGATAGTTCTTCGGTCAACTATTTGCCTCGAGCCTTCACAATATGGAGGAATATGGAGGATGGTTGTGCTATTTATTAAAATATGATACTGAGAGATCTTGGTGCCTGACTAGCAAGGCCGAAAAGATTCACAAGCATTGAAAGCTTGATCAACCTAAGCAGCGATATAGCTATAGGTGTAGTATCAAAAGCCACGAGAGTGTTTCATCTCGGTCATCACAAATGGTGAGAGGAAACAAAACATTCCGATTACCAGCATCTCGAGAAGCCAATCGATTTGCTAAAACGCGAATGAGACGGGGGAAGCCACATTACTGATGTAGTCAAATGAGGAAATATCAGCACTTAGGTACTAGAGAGTTGCAGTTCCGTGTCGGTTGATGCCTGTCGATATTTTCCCAAATATCTCGGTACATTGATACTAAAGGCATCACCTCCGCTATGTTGATAAGACCAACCTTATAAGAAAGAGCAATGAATACCTACGTTGAGGCAATTGTGTTTATGTTCGTTTGTGATGACGTATTGGTTTTTGGTCGAATTTCTGTGTCAATTGTCCCTCATACACTGCTCAATTCGTTCTTCAAAAGCCAAGCCTCGATCAGAGGTCTGTGCTGAATAATCAACAAAGCAAATGGAGGCGATCACGTGATAGCGTGTATGCCCCGCGATCCGATCTGTCTCAACGCGTCATCAATCGTCTCAGTCCGACGTCTTTATTCTCAGTTCCAAACTTATGCTAAAAAGCCAATACATTATATATAGAGTAAAAAGGGATTCTTATAACTATTTGCGATAATGCCTCCTAGAAAGCGCACCGCGGCCGAGGCCGCTTCTACTCCGCGGACCGGTGGGAGCTCGCGCCGTAGATCCGGCCGTGCCGGCTCGAGTGGCAAGAAGAGCACGTACTTCGAGACCAACGACGACGACGACGAGGGTACCGACGAGTTGAGTATGGTGATGCCGCGGCGCAAGGCAGCGAAGACTCAGGCAACGCCGAAAAAGAGGGGAAAGAAGGTGGAGTCGGACGATGAATTGCTGGAGGAGGATGAAAAGAGCGAATCCGACTTTGATAGCGGGGATGATGGGGATGGCTATGTCGATGAAGAGGAGTCAGATGACGAGCCGGAAAGCGAAGAGCCGCCATCTCCGGCGCCGGCGCCGGTGCAGAAGCGAGGTCGCGGGAGACCGCCTAAAACTCCGACGCCGACCAAAGCCGCAGCTGCGAAAAAGTCCAGCGCGAAATCCCGGATCTCGGATACTGGTACGGCTAGGGGTAGACCACCGAAGGCTCAAAGTAAAGCTAATGCCAAGGCGAAAGCAAAAGCCGAATCCGAAGAGTCCGAAGCCGAGGATGATGATGATGATGACGATGAGGAGGATAATCAGATTACGTTTATTCCTGGTGAGCATGGCCATTTTCGGTTGAATGTCTTAGTGTAAGTGATCAGTATAGCAGATTCTAACATAGAGCAATGTAGCCAAGAAAATGAGAGATTTGGATGGGATCGACTATGAGGATGAACGGCTTCATAAAAACACATTTCTCTTCCTGAAGGATCTGAAGGCCAATAATAACAGGAAATGGTTGAAAGGTATATGGTTCTTCACTCCTCTCTTAGCCATCGTAAACTGTAGAGATCCATCTCAATTCTAACCCGAATTGGCTATTTCTAGACAACGACAAGGAATATAGGAGGTCGCTGAAGGACTGGGAGTCGTTCGTCGAGACACTCACGGAGAAGATCATCGACATTGACGACACAATCCCGGAACTTCCCATCAAGGACGTCGTCTTCCGAATCTACCGCGACATCCGGTTCAGCAAGGAAAAAACGCCGTACAAGGTAAGTCGCTCCTCACAACGCGCTCCTCACCTGCCGAATACCTAACTGAACGATTCCCCTTTCGATTGAAATAGCCCCACTTCTCAGCTGCGTGGTCGCGAACCGGCAGGAAGGGGCCGTACGCGGGCTACTACGTGCACGCCGAGCCCGGGCGGTGCATGATAGGCGGCGGGGTCTGGCATCCGGACGCCGAGTCCCTCGCGCGGCTGCGCGCAAGCGTCGACGAGCGCCCCCACCGCATCCGCCGCGTCTTGATGAACCCGGCGTTCCGGAAGACGTTTCTGCCCAACGCCAAAGCGAACGAGAAATCCGTCATAGCGGCGTTCGTGGCGAAGAACCAGGAGGGCGCGCTGAAGACGAAGCCCAAGGTAACCGCGTTTCCCCCTTTTCCCCTCTTTTCAAACTTAAACCTGAGCTAGGACGGGGCGCGTCTCTAGGTACCTAGGTAGGTGCGCATTGCTGACCGAAAGCAGGGTTTCAACCCCGAGCACAGGGACATCGAGCTCCTGAAGCTGAGGAACTACACCATCGGCACGCAGATCGACGACGCGGATTTCACGGCGGAGGATGCGCAGGATAGGATTATGCGGGCTCTTTCGGCTATGGTTGAGTTTGTGAGTACCTAGCGCGCCGCTTTCTTTACGCCTTGCTTACGTGAGCTGAGCTGAGCTGAGCTGAGCTGGACTGACTTTGGGTATCTGCGTAGATTTCGTTTCTCAATAGCGTCGTTAGACCTGACCCTAATGTCGATAGCGACTCTGACGAGGCAGAGGGCGCGGCGGGAGGACATGGAGGTGAGAATGAGGCCGGTGAGATGTAGGTTATCTAAGGGTGGGCCGGTGTCTTTGGTTCGTTTCGAAGAGCTGCTTTTTGAGATTCGATGGCCTGATGTAAGATGTCCTTGTTAATTCTAACTTCGTTATTCTCGGGATGGAGAGTATATTAGGCCGTGCATGAAAATGCCACTAGAGAATTTATTTTGGTGCGCATTTATCAACTACGCCTAAACATGCGCCCTCATGCCATTTGCTTATATTCATTTAAGTCACCAATATATATATCAGCCGTCGTAAATATATAATTCAATCGCCACTACCGTGAAAGTAAACGAGACTTCACCAGAGCGAGGTACCTACCTGACCGATTCAGAGTTCAAAAATATTTAAGCATTCCTTTTACGTACACATAATACCCACTCTACCTACCCTTAGCCTAGACCCACGCCTTCATCTCGGTAGCCCAACCCTATCTTATCAAATTGAGTATCAATAGCGACTTCCATAACAACAGGCAAACATCCGCACAAACTCACTAGTGATAAATAATATTTACCGATAGTCCTTTCAATCAGGATTTGTTGATGAACCTTTCAGAAGTTGTGTCTCGATTGGTCTAGTGGTCAGGATACCTGCTTGTCATTGAACAAGTACGCAGGTGGCCGGGGTTCGATTCCCCGATCGAGAGTTTATTTTTCCATAGTTGGTATACTTCTTACCTCATACACACCCGCTACCCACCTACCTACATACATAGTAGCTGCGGATCAACAGAGCAACGATCACCAGCTTTTTTGGACTTGTGCTCAGAGGATGAATGCATGTCTATCCAGAAAGATATTTCAAGCGAAAATATTGTATTTTGCATGTTTATTTGCAAAATAGGCCTTTGCCTTATCCATGCCACTTATGTACAGCCACGCAAATTCTTTCCCTCACATATTTACATTAAAACACTCAACCTCTACTTGATCCTTTCAATGCAAATTGTCTCTTAAATCACCTTGTCACTGTCGAGTAATTGGTCGTATTTCAATCAATTAATCTAGAAGTCCCGTCGACAAGCTCGGCGGGAGATCCTCATCCCTTGTGCCCCAGTCGCTCTCCTCAGACCCGAGAATAAAGTCCAGCGTCCCGCCATTGACGAAGAAGTCGTGCGTGATCCAGTTCCGCGTATACGGCTGTCCGTTCAATCTAGCGCTCTGGATGTAGATGTTGCGATAGCGTGGGCCGTCGAACCCGCCCACGTTACGCAGCGTCGCTAGCTTGCCCGTCGGCGTGCGGATGCTAACCTCGCGGAACATGGGTGGGGTTAGTAGATACACGTCCTGGCCGGCTACCGGATAGAACCCCATGAACGCGAACGCGGTGAAGGCGCCCATAGCACAATCATCGTTTCCAGGGATGCCATTAATGCTGGTGTTGAATTGGTTCGGTATGTACTGGTGCACCCAATAACTGCTGCGACCAGGACGCCCACCATAGTGGAACTGGAAGGTCGGTAGAAAGTTCGGCTCGTTGCCCATATAATTAATACCTGATGAATGAAAATAATCAAGTCGGGCGACGAAGGACTCACGCCCTCCGAGCGCTTCTATGAGGGAGGCCATGTCCTGCGGCACGTAGAAGGTATACAGCCACGGGCTCCCCTCATAAGTCTCGTACTGCGTGTCGAAGTAGCAGCTATGTTGTTGATATATCGGACTGCAGAGCCGCGTGTTTTGGTATCGCCAGGTACCGTTGCGGAAGCGTGGCTGTAGAAAGCCTTTGAAGTCCGACTTTTGCACGTCGCCGTCCTCGTCGCGGAAACGATCTTCCTGCTCGGGATTAAAGAGGTTCTTCCAGTTCTGGCTGCGCTGGAGGTACTTCGTCTCGTCGCCTTGGTGTCCAAGGCCTCGCGCCATGAGCGCGATAACGAAATCATCATATGCGTATTCCACGGTGCGTGAGACACCCCGACTCATGGGGCCTGTTCCGTTGGTGTCTACGTCATCGTAGGGTATATATCCCAGATCGTGCCAGCTCACGAGTCCACCTCTTCCGGACGTGGACCAGTCCTTGGGCTCCACCTCCGCATCTGAGACCACAGCTTCGTATCCGAGATTCCAGTCGATGCCTTCGGTGAGATTTTTTATATACGCGTCTGCGAGAACCACATCTGCATTGGAACCTCCTTGGGTGTAGCCCTTGCTAAAGCTCATGCGGCAGTCCGGCAATTTTCCCTCGTGCTTGTACGTGTCAATCAATGATCTTACCATCTTGGTCTGTATTTCAGGGTCGATAATCGTGAGTAGAGGATGTTGCGCTCGAAAGGAATCCCAAATGCAATAAAAAGAGTCATAATACGGCTCAGTCGAGTCCCAAAGTTGGTTTTCTCCAGTGTAGTCCTGGGGCGAGATCAGCGCGCGGTAGAGACCCGACCAGAACGTCGTTAGAAACTCTGTGCTCATGCCCGAATAATCGGGCTTAATCACAGAAAGCTTCTCCTTCCAAGCTTTCTCACTAGCCTTCACCACACTCTCGAATCCCCAATCAGGAATCTCAGTCTCCACGTTGTGGCAGGCTTGTTCCACAGATATGAACGAAAGCCCGACACGCGCCATGATCTGATTATCAGATGGGTGGGCGAAGTGGATCCATGCACCTGCCGAGCCGGACGGGATGTAAAAATGGCTTCCCAAATTCCCCATAGCATTAACCCCCTCCGTTATATTATTCATTAGGAAAACGCCCGTTTTCCGAATGTCGGCACCTTTGAAATCGGCACATACATGTGCCGTATACTTCCCGGTTCCAAACGATGGATTAAATGTTCCATTTCCTGTTATTCGGCCCGTGACAGGATCAACTTCAATATCACCTCCGGTCCGACTATTGCCAAGGTCTATTAAATCGAGAAGGATCAACGGATTAGTAGGTACCATAACATGATTCGATATAACTTCCGCCTCTTTAGATAAACTGAACCTGTAAAGTGTAGCATGCTCAGTTGCCGTCATTTCAGCATAGACCGAATTATTGAGCCCGATGGCGAAGTAGCCTGGTCGGGCTGTCGCGGAGCCATCTACTCTTGCGACCACCCTACCGAAAGATGTGAACTTGCACTGAGAGTAATCGTCCTCCGGACATCCGGGATGCACGAAGAGCGGGAAATTGCCCAACGAAGGGCTCTGCTACCAGTTAGGACTACGAAGGTTATAATAAATTCACCAGACTCACTCCTCCGGTGCCTTATCACGAATTAGCGAGATGCATAGATGGGATAACTTAGGTATTTAGGTACCTGAATCGTGTAAGTGGGAGAAACCTTGGATCTTCGAATCGTCTGAGACAAAACCGGCAGCTATCTCGCCACGATTGTCCGCGTCTGCCACGGCCTTTGCCATGCCTGCTACTAATCAATACCGATGCGGAGATGTTACAGATGCCTGGACATGTATTTGAACGTACCATACGGCAAAGTTGCGCCAGGAAACACATGGCCTAAGCTGGTCTCAGTAAAAGTTCTTGAAGCGCTGGTTGATTGATATTTATTGCCTACCTCCGTTTGCCGTGCCGATAAGAGGGTCAACGTATCGTAGTATGTAATCGCTAGATATCCCTGATGAGCCCTTGATAGAGTGGAATAATGTAGTTGGAGAATTTAACCTAGAAGGAGGGAGCAAGGCCCAGACTAGCAACGCTATCACTGGGATGGCGATGAGAAAACGCCGCCGTCGCAGGAGGCTTTTGAGCAGCGGCATCATCATCAAAGCCATGGCGATTCGAGAAGGGCTCGAGCGACAGTTCGCTCATGAAAGCCTAGTTCACGGATCGACTGTAGTGCGGATGGCTGGCAGTACAGACACAAAAGCCATTGATACCGGGTATTGATCTTCAATCCCGAACGCGCCCAGCATTGGTCAGCACAGCCAAACAATCTTTTGCTTTTGTTTTTCTTCTTGCTCCCTCACCTAAGGTTATGATAAAGTTGAAGAAATCATTCTTCAGAAATTGTAGTGAAATGTACACTGGGTTTAATATTCATAATAATTAAGCTGCGCTTGCGGCAATACCTACCGTCGTATGAGTGCCAATGTGGCCGAGAATGCAAGATGCGGATTGGAGGGTCTCGCATTTCGCGGTGTTGCAGACTTGGCAATTAGGGGAATTCGGCTGAATTACACTTGACCAGGGACCCCATTACGTGGGGTTGCATCGGCACCTAAAAATGGTAAATCTATGGGGATTATTGGCTGTAAATTGAAAGCTAGAAAGCGAGGCCAGATTGTTCGGATCGGTTGATATTTTTGGTGCTGGCAGATCTGGGCATGAAGAATATTGATGAATTAATGGAGGAATGAAGAAATGAAGGAACTTGTTCTTCCGACTCAGTCTGTTCATCGCGCAGTATTGTCACACAGTCCTATTGTTGCACAAACCTTATCGTGCCAAGCTTCACAAGGCCAAGATACTTCCTTTCACAATTGCATAAATGCTCATTTGAATCGACGCTAGAACACATGATAATGGTACCTTCCATGATTGAATATATTTGAAACAGTTTGAATAGTCTTCACTTCTAGATGGATGTCAAGTTACGTAGATGGGTGATTATATTCCATCCTGAATAGGTACATAAGTTGAGGTGTCCATGTGGGCCAAGGATTAACCAGGTTTAACTCGGATTAACCAGGTGGCTGCAGTAGTAATCTCGTCTTGTAATACCAACTCCAGATGTTTATTCTAACATTCAAAACATTCAGTACCTAGGCACCTATTAGGTAATAGATACATTATAGGATACCTTCATGAAATTATTATATAAAGAAATCAGACAACAGGCAAGCTCATGATGATACCCCTGATAGTGACCCCATAGTGTCGGTAGTCAGCCGCACCCCGCGATCCGTGATCCACCAAGCCCCTCCGACGTCATAGGATGCTTCTCCAACTCAATCCTTCAATGCTAGACAAACACAACCGATAGCGATGTTACAATATCATAAGAAGACAATTGACTCAATCACTGCAATGTTCAAGTATTCTGATCTTGAATATTTTGATTGTTGTTGGATTTCATGTAATTTCGCCAAATTTCCTAAACTCCGAGACCGGACAATATGGAATAGTCAGAATAGTATCTATCTATAGATTACACAGATAAGCTAACAGTACATATTGTGCAAAACCACTTTAGCTTCATCGCACGTCGTACACTTGAAGAGATTTGGGTGGTTTCATGTCTTTTAGATTTTTTATGAGACGCGAAGAAAGCACCTTCCATCTGAACAAGTTTGTTCCTATTAAAGTACAGATTTCGCTTTACAGCATGTCAAGTCTTGCTAGACTTTCTTCACCTTTACCCCCCTTACGTACCCCACTAGTCCAAGCTTGAGCTGTGGCTCTGATAACTGATTTACTGATAACTGGCCCTGAAAAGTTCCCACAAAAAATTTGCAATTTTTGACAACCTTTTACCTGCACCAAGTCGTATGTTGACTCATTCTTTCAACTTCTCTCCGCATTCGCATCTCAGAGTCTAATTTACCTAGCTGTTTAACTACAGGCCGTCTCCATTTCTCTGCTGCTTTTATACTTCAGTACCTGGGGTATTCCATCTTCTACGCCGGAACTTAGAACACGCCGTCGCTTGCGCACCTATCAACAGTCGCCATCATGTCTAAAGGTCGTGTCTGCCTGTGAGTTCTACTTTAAGCCCATATACTCCTATTTTCATGATTATTAACTAACATATTTCCCATAGCGCGTACTCTGGAGGTATGATATTGAATTTGAAAACAGAACATCTCTGTTAGTCTCCCGACTGATTATAGCCCATAGGCCTTGATACCTCTACCATCTTAAAGTACCTAATCAACGACGGCTACACGGTCGTGGTATGCTTCCCCGTCCACCCCATTTTATCATTCATCAATGTCTAACCAAGATGCAGTGCTTCCTTGCCAATGTCGGACAGGAAGAAGACTGGGAGGCAGTAGAAAAGAAGGTATATCTATGAGAGTAAATCTCTCCCAATCATATCAGCTAAGCTCTTTAGGCCCTCGCCTTAGGTGCTGAGAAGATGGTCATTCGAGACCTCCAGTCCCAATTCGTTAACGAGCTTGTATTTCGAGCCGTTCAGTGTAACGCAATCTATGTAAGTTGAGCCATAACACTGCAGTCTGAAATTCTTTCGAATATACTCTATTCCCAACATACCTCAAGGGAAGGAGTATGTGAGTAGAGTCATATTAACAAGTAACACAGGAAGACAGATACCTCCTAGGAACTAGCTTGGCCCGCCCAATCATCGCACGCGAGTGAGTAAATCTTGCTTTACTGCTGATAAGATATACAAACTATCTAGATGAAGATTGCATTATCAATCGGACGATGCAGGAGATCACTGACATATAATGCAGGCAAGTTCGTGTCGCACAGGAGTATAACTGTGATATACTCAGCCACGGTTGTACCGGAAAAGGCAATGACCAAGTCAGATTGTACGTTGTTTCTTCACCCTTTATCTTATATAGAGTTCCAGGAGCAATTTTGGGCGCTTAGCAATCTCCAAAACTATGAACTAGAAAGAGATTATTAACATAAGATAATGTAGTGAGCTCGCTTGGCAAGGTACGTCTGAACGTCTGATCAGCCCCCTTGATTATGGTCTTCATATCTGAACTTGACCTTGAAGCCCCCGTCCTGCCTTATTAAGTACCGAAGCGTAATACTAACATTGAGAAGCACTTGCGCCTTCGGTCAAGATCATTGCACCTTGGAGAATCGAGGAGTTCATCAGCAAGTTCAAGGGTCGAGCAGATCTCCTTGAGTACGCTAGGATTAACAACATCCCTGTCTCATCAACACCCAAGGCTCCATGGAGGTCAGTTAGCCCTCTCTGCATGATCTGGGCAAAATACAGAGCTGACCTGTGATGTAGTATGGATGAGAACCTCGTCCACTGCAGTTATGAGGCTGGAATCCTCGAGGATCCTGACCACGAGCCACCGAAGCATCTCTGGAAGATGACTGTTGACCCTCTAGACGCTCCTGACAAGCCATACCATTTTAGCATCCACTTCGCTAAGGGTATCCCCATTAAAGTTGTCACCGAGGACAAGAAGGAGGCCACTGAGGCCGTGGAGCTGTTCAAGCTTCTTAACCGTATTGGTCATGATAACGGTGTGGGCCGAATCGACATCGTGAGTTGTGCTGGTTTATTCCTCCTATTGTTCTCCTGGACCTCATCAGAAGGAAAATGAATTATCATTAACGAGTTACCATAGGTCGAGAATCGATTCATTGGCTTGAAGAGCAGGGGTTGCTACGATACTCCAGGCTTGACGATTCTTCGCCTTGCGCATGTCGATCTTGAGGGATTGGTACTTGACAGCAAAGTCCGAGAGCTTCGTGACCAATTCTGCACTCTCTCTTGGAGCCGACAGCTTTACAATGGCATGTATTTGTAAGTACCATCCCTAACTCCCAAGGAACCTCCTCGCTATCAGCGATAGATACTAATGAGTAAACAGCTCACCGGAGAGGGAATTCGTTGAGAACTCCATCCTATTTTCACAGGAGAACGTGAATGGTGTTGTCCGCATGATGGTGTACAGTACGTAAAATCTCAGTCTAATCTCTCGCTTTGGGTCTCGCTAGCTTGCAAAGACCGAGTAGAAAACCGGAGAAAACTGCTAACACAACTTATAGAGGGCAACACTTACGTGCTTGGCCGTAGCAGTGAGACGAGCAACCTATACAGCGAAGAGGATGCCTCGATGGACTCCCTCGACACATTCTCGCCGATGGATACTACTGGATTCATCGCTATCCAGGCAATTCGCCTCAAGAAGTATGGCGAGAGCAAGATTGCTCAGGGCACCCCTCTAACCAAGTCTTGAAACGTACACGTTTTTAACTCGAACTTGATGCCCCTACTATAAATTCTCACTACAACGTCTCGATCAACCGAGAATCCAATATGTGAAGACGAGTTGCATGCTCCCCTCTTCGTTACCTCTCCGTGCGTCCAAGTTTCAGCAACTTTGACGGTACAAAATAGGATAAATAAAACAATAATATGAAGTGACGATTTCCGATATTCAGAATTTGTACCTTGAAAAGTGAAATGTTCACATGGGTGCTATCAGCAACTTGGATGGATTTGAAATGCCCAAAAACTTACCTAGGTAGTCAAGGTTTATTAGACAAAAACTGCTTAGTCATCAAATAAGAATAGGGGTCACTCCTGAACCCCTGAGCCCCATCCTCCTGTGAGCTTGCTTTCTATATTTTTGTTTCCTATAGTGACTTGAACTTCTTAATAACTACAAAAATATAGTACCCGATATTCTTTGTGCGACCTTCATAGCTTTGTAATAACCAGATTTCATGTTTCCACAATCTCGTGGGGTGGTGCTTGTGCGTCGTTATCGAACTTTCTACAGAAAAGGGGGCAATCTGATATTGGCTTTTAAATAAGGGTGATTTATTGTAGCTAAATCGTGAATATAAGCACCTAATGAGGTACGTACCTGCGTACCATACTTATAGACTGCAGCGACATCAACCTCATAACGAATGATACCAATCAATAATTCCTCTCTTTCCCTCTCTCTTCTGTGAACGGTTCTGGTGATCTAAATGATACCTTTAACCAATCACTGGTCCTGCAGTGAGCCCTGAATCCATCGTTAAGGTAATCCCGTTTAGATAAACAGTGGTAGGGCTACAAAGGTACAAGCAGGCTGAGGCGACTTCATCTGGCTCGATGGGTCGCTTGAGGGAGGATAGTTTCTCGAGTATCTGTGGCGTCTGCGGGACTCTCCGGCATTCTTCTTCGAACATCGGCGTCTTGACCCATATGGGACATACTTGGTTAATCCTGATGCCCGCAGATTTGAAATCCATTGCTGTTCTTGTAAGCAATTAAAGCTGGGAATGACATCTTTTGTGGCTTACGAACCTGCAGCCTTTGTGATACCCGTAACTGCGTGCTTGGACGTAGTGTAAGGGGCTTTCGCGGGTACGGCAGCAATTGCCATAGCTGAAGAAACATTAACAATAGATCCACGGCCGACATCTCGACGTCCATGTCTTCCCAAATCAACGGAGACAGGTTCCTGCGACTGCATGATTTTCCCCACAGCACGCGTAACAAGGAACACGCCCTTTGTATTGATTCCGAGGACTCTATCATAGTCGTCGGGGTCCGTCTCGTCAAATGGAACGTAGGAAGCAACGTCGACCTGAACCGTCCATAGATTAGTTCGGCTCTACACTTCAGGACCTCTTCCCAGGGACCTCTTTTACGGGTTATCTCACCCCGAATGCGTTAATGCAGTAGTCAACTCTGCCGAATTCAGTCTTGGCAAGATTGACTAGGGCGTCTACAGACGCAACATCTGTGACATCGACTACGGCTGTAATACACCGATAGTTGGGGTTTGATGCCAAAGACTTGCTTTGATCCGCGACCTGAGCGATGCCCCCAGAGTTGATATCGGCTAGCAAGATACCCTTCGCGCCAGCTTCAGCAAACGTTAAGACAACCTCTCGTCCAATGCCGCCTGCTGCCTACATGAGGTTAGAATACACGATCTTAGGGTAAGATATTGTGGCACATACTCCAATAACGATCGCGAAGCCGTCGATTCGAAATTGCGCCATTATTATTAGACCGTGAGTGTGTGATGTTTGAAAAAAGTTTCCCAGGATGCAAGAATAGAGGTTAAGCCGGTTTGCCCGGGTCTTTGTCCCTCAAAGTGGTACTGATATAATAAATATTCCACTATGCACTTGAGGAAATCCATTATACGTATATAGAGATAATCAAAATTGTAATATGCAGTACTATGTTATATGACGTAGTTGATATTGCAACTATCCCATATATATTATAATTTTGCGCCTCCTTACTTCAGTACCCACCTATGGGTAGGTATGTCTGCATGTTGGTTTATTGAAGAGGGGCGAGAGGGAAATCTGCGCGAATGTTGGCTCTTAGATATGATACAATTGTTATGGTAGATACACATGTGACTCAGGGCCTCACCGCTAATTGGAGCTTCGTTGTCGTGCAACCCCCAGATGTGCACTGTAGGCATCCTAATGCGGCTTTTGGTGTCGTGAATACCAAGACACAGGGCTGATTCAATATATTCTGTACTTGAAAGACAAGATGGCTGATATCCACAGAAAAGCACTCTCAGAATATGAACTAGTGGTCAATATTAAAAAGTCATATTCCGTTAGACAGCCTCCAGCTGGAGAGTATAAGCCTCCCCTGCCATACATTTCCCGTAGCCGAGAATTGTCAGTTTTTCAGCCGTCAAGATATTCTACAACGGTTAGAATATAAATTCAGGCCTGCAGATTCAAACAGTCGTCTTTCATCCATAGCTCTACATGGCCTTGGTGGTCTTGAAAAGACGCAAGTTGCCCTAGCATACGAATATCAGACACTCGATGACCTTGACATCATTATTTAGATATCTGCTGAAAATTCCTATTCTATTCAACAATGCTTCAGCCATGTGGCTCTCAATGTCATGAAGATTCCAAAAGCGAGCTCTCGGGCATAGCAAGAGAATATGGTATTAGTGCCAGACTGGCTACAAAAAACACATGTAAGGCAAGAGTCAATAAGTTATCTTGTCAAGAACTACGGGGATTTACAACCCAAATTTAATCCACTCGAGCCAATCATGGATTTTGTTAGACTTTTTACCAACTATTTCTAGTAGGTTGATTGTCCACCATATTTACAACTGGTTGACCATCGATGGATGTAGTCCCTGGAATGCTGGAAACTGCAAATTCTGTTTATCTTCAATGCAGAGAAGAGGAACAAGACAAACTTCTGTGGGCTTTGCTACCTTAAAATGTATACACCACTTTTGTACTTCAGAATTCACTAGAACAGAAAATGAAATAGCGGAATTCCTTGAAATCCGTCTCGAGTTGCTGAGTTATGATGATATACTTGTGCTCTATCGTACAACGGCCTCGGAATGGCCGTAGGCGCTCAAGGACGATATGAAGAAGACCTGGACTGGCTAGAGAAAGCTCGTAAAATCCATGAGGGCCCGGCCGGGAACAACCTTCCGAAAAGAAATGTATGGGGATATAATATCTCACGGAATTATTACTACATACTAGGTAGGCAGATATGCTGAAGCTGAAGGCCGGTTGGCCGAGGCTCTAGAAATTGCAGACGGGCTTCAGAGCTGGTACATGCAGATTTAACCTAGTATGTCGTTACCACCAGCAAGAAGGATCTTCTACTTATCTAGCCGCCACCTCACGTTACCGTGCCGAGCGGTAACCACACGCGCTCAGATGGAGTAAGGCGACAGTAATCCCGGTACGTAGCTATAGCCACACGGACTGCGAAGCGATGCTATTTATGTGCCCAAGGAGGACCGGTAGTGGAACCCACTGCAGCGAGTTAGGTCTTCAATGTTTATCATAGGTTCCTAGGTATATGAGCAGTAAACAACTACGCCCGTAGCTATATGAGTAGCCTCGGCCGCGATGAAGACGCTAGACGAAGGATGAATTAAGGGACATAGTAGGTGACGTATGCAGGAAGCATAACAATTATTCCCTGTGCTGATGCACATGCGAAGGTTAGTTCATGGTCTTTGTCAACTCGTGATCTGTGATCGCGATATTGTTTATAACCAAAAATGTAGTCGTTCGAATCCTATCCCTCAGTGGTTATAATAGATAAAGCACAGATTGAGAAAGTTTATGGTGTAGTAGGTCTATAGAAAATGCGATGCTTGGAGAAGAAAAAAAGGAACAAAAAAGCAAAAAAAAAAGCTCGGTCGCGAATCCATTCGAATCCGAAACCTACGAAAAACTCGGTTGGGATCCGCTGTGGTGTCAAGTACAGTCTAGCATTTTCTGCGTCATGAACCGTTCCACCATATCAGCACCCCCGGTCGAGTTTTCTCTAGCCTCGAGTCACCCAGAATCTTCTGAGGTCAGCTTGGACGTTTGGCGTTTAATGTTCCTTATAAACCTTGTGTAGGGGCTTTGTAATCCGGAAATTTGCCGGTTGCTCGTAGCGACAGTAAGGGTTGAGATGATGACTCAATCCCAACCCATAAGGTGTGGCTCAACAGGACACGTGACTGAGAACGGTGCCTCCAAGATCAAATGGTAGCCCAGTAGGTACCTAGTTAACTTCATCAGAGGTACACCTACTAGTGGGAGGGTACAGAACAAAATATCCATCTCATCATCCTTAACATATAGCTAGACAAGTCACTGTATCAAGATGACTTGAATCATGCCGTACCTCGATCGTCTCTTAAATGCTATGCTTGAGAAGACCACTCTGCATTACTGGGGAAATAGTCAAGCATGTCGGTCACTAGGTACCCATGATAGATACACTCAGCGTCACCATATAGACAAGGTATATCCGTCTTCGAGGTATTGATATTGACTATAGGATTTAGGGTGCTACTTTTCGCCGCAGCATTGACGCATTCCGGAATAAGGGTTATGCGTCGGCTCCAGAATTACCATATTGACTCGGCGGTGTCTCTAACAGCTCTTCGCAGAGACGAATGGCTCGCCCTCTCGACTCCAAGAGGGCGAGCTATGGCGCATTTATATTAACTTGACACACTACTTAACGATGAGGTCAGCACGTTTTCTACCTCAACTATCATCATTGCCATAACATCATGCACCAGAAATGCCGATACATTTTCAGCACACTGGTTATATATTGGTGGGATTGGCAGGATTATCGACTTTGATCTCGTGGCTTTGCCCGTAGTCGTTGCGGCCTCTTCTGTGGTCTTCCAACGCAAACGGTCTGTCGTTGTTCCAACGGCTAATCATCACATACTACAAGAACGGGAACAGTATGAATTATATGATGAAGTCGATATTGGCGTGGTCTTTCCCATAGATGACGATGTTGAGAGGGTTGCATACATTGACGTCCATATATCCGCTATTAAAATCGGGGCTGAGGTTCGATCACGCCAATCGAGTAGCCAATAAAATCTTCTTCCCAATTGCGTTGGTCTCTTGGCTGATCTACATGTTTAATCCTTCCTCCAGACGGTGGCTTCTTGGTTAGAACTCAGCTCTCCATACGAGATTCGTACACTACCTTTCATAATAAGGATTCAAAAGGATGCACCGCGAACTTCGATGGAGAATGCGATTTTCGGGTAGGGCTGAGCATTGCAGTGCCGAATGAACGGTAGCTTGGCGCATGCAAGCCTCACCAATTGTCGGTCAGCTATCGTAAACCCGCTGAATCAGCTTCCCAGCACCGGGGAATATTGACGTCTTAGCTTAAAACTTGTCACCATTCACAGTTTGTATCAAAGAAGCTCCGTTTTACGACTTGGAATTATTTCCATCTAAGGTACAAGTCGTTCGCCAATGGGAATTTCCAAGATTTCAACTAGGTATCGAATCACACTATTGTGATGGACTACGAAGCAACTGACGAGTCACCGTAAAGTCCACCGTCTTGTTGCCATGTTGCCATATCAAATCGGATGACAACATTACGATTCGAAGCCAAGAACATAAGCTCATATGTGCCAAGTTGGCGTTTCACTTTAGCTTGTCGTATTGATATTAAAAGACATCCCGAATTTTAGACTATTCAAGTTATTATGGAGTTTCCACTGCATAGCCATATCCACCTATTTGGACAACGACACATCCTCTGTGGTGCTCAGTTTCCATAGGCAGATCTATACGACGAGTTGATACAATCGTACCATTTCTTATATCCTACTCTCACTTACATAAATCCATATAGGCTCAAGTGAGAATATAAAGGTCCAAATCCCCCGTCTAAATTCAACATACCTACCTATACATCATCAAACAACTCAGTACCTTCATCCACAATCAATTTTCGCCTTCTTTCCATCTTGTCCCAATCTCTAACAAAGAGTAAAAACCGATCAAATACGCACCATGCTCGCCAGATCTATCACCGCTACCCTCGTCGCCATCACAGGCCTCGTCATGCCTCTTGCGGTCACCGCGTCGCCGGCGGAGCCCGGGTTGCTCGACACTCGAGGAAGAACTAATGGCGTAAGTATTTGGCCCAACAGCTTCTACCGTTCGAGGAGGTACGGCCACTGACGTTCTAAATGATAGCAATGTCGATTCGACGACGGCGGCCAGTGCGGTGGAAGAGGATTCTGCCACTTGGTGACCGGCGAGGCCCTTTGCTGTGGAAACATGAACCACTACCACTGCTCTGGTAACAACAATCATTGCGAGGCGGGTGGTGCTAGGATCGTCGTCAACTGCGACTAAAGGCTTGGAGAAAGTGGATTAGGAGAGGGTGTCTTTCAGGGGATAGTCAGTGGGGAAGGCGTTGTGTATATATAGGGGGGCTTGCCGCCTTAGTTTCAAAAGAATTTGGGCGTTAATACATTCACTCACTTACCCTAACCTGCGAGCCACCTTTCCTGCAATTTATTATCCGTGCGTATGCTACTGTTAGTGCATAAGCTAGAATTACATTAAAATCCTTAATATTTAAGGTTGAAAGCTTTAAATATTAACGTTATTTTAAGTTTTAATTATAGCCCCGCCGCTTAATTTTAAATTTAAAAATTTTAAAATATTTTATAAAAATAATTTAATAATATAACGGATTATTAATAATAATATATTTATTAAAATAAAATTATTTATATTTACGTAATTAATAAAAAAAAAAAAATTATTTACGTTTAATTTATATAATTTATTAAAATAAATATTAAAAAATTTTTAATTATTTTTATTTATTAAATTAATTTATAAGTTTTCATTTATAATTAATTTAATAAATTAATTATTATTAATATTTTTATATTTATTATAATAAAAATTTAACGTAAATAAAATATTAAATAAAAAATATTTAAATTTATAATTTATTTATTTAATAATATTATTTTTATTTATAATAATATCGATAAAAAATTTTTTACCCGTAAAATTATTAAATATTTTTTAATATATTTAAATATTATTTTTTTCGTTTTAAAAAATTTTTAAACTTTTTATAAAAACTTAAAAAATAATTTTTAAAATATAAAAATTTTATTAATTAAAATAAATTTTAATAATTTTAATATTAATTATAAAATTAAATAAAATTATATTTTAATAATAATTATTAATATTAACGTTAATAATAAAAAAAAAAGTTTTAATTTTAATAAATTTTAAAATTTTTATTAATAAAAAAATTTATATTTTTTAATATATATTTTAAAAAATTATATAAAATAAATAAAAAAATAAATAAATTTTATTTTTAAAATAATAATAATAATAATATTATAAATTATTATAATAAATATTTTTAATATTTATTATATAATTATTAATTTTATTATTTATTTAAAAAATAATAAAATTAAAAATAATTTATTATAAAAAAAAATAATTAATATAATTTTATACGCGGTTATTATCGAATCATTTATAAAATAATATAATTATATAATACCCGGGGTATTAATAATAATTATTATTTACACGGGTAAATATATTAATGTTATTTAATTTATTAAAACCGAAATTATAATATAAACGAAATATAAATTTATTAATAAAATTTAAATAATATATTAATAACGTGTATTAAATATATATTAATTAAATTAATTATATATAATATTAAAATTATATTACGTAAATAATAAAAGTAAATTAAAATAATTTATTTTAAGTCGCACGGGTTATAAAATTTTAGCTTATTAATCGGGACCACGTGTTATAATTTTAATAAAATTAATTAATATTAAATTTTTTAAATAAAACGTTAATTTAAAAATAAAAATTAATAATTAAATTATTTTTTTTTTCGAGAAATTAATTAAATTTTTTAAATTTTTCGATATAAATAATTATTTTTATTTAATTAAAAAAAAAACTTTTTTTATAATATATAATAAATATTAAAATTATTATTTTTTATAAAATTATATTAAAAATTTTTATTATATTCGTTATAATTTTAAAATTAATTAAAATTATATTAAATTTTATATTAAACCGAAAAAATACGTTAATTATTATAATTTATATTTTTTTATTTATTTTTATTATTTAATTAAATTTACACGTTATAATAATAAAATTATTTATTAATTCCGAAAAAAATTCGAAAATTTCCGTAAAAAGAACTTTTAATAATATAAGTTTATTAATTTTTTTTAAAAAAAAAACGGGTTAATATAATATATATTTATTAAATATAACGAAAAAAAAAATAAACCGAATAATTTTTTAATAAACTTTTTAATTAACTTTTTAATTAATTTTATAATAATTTTAATTAATATTAATTTATAATTTAATATAAAACCGGGTAAATAATTTAATATAATTTAAGTTTTTAATTTTAAAAATAAAAATAAAAATAAAAAAAAATAAAAAAAAAAACGTTAAAAATTTTAAAAAATTTAAAGTTTTTATTTATTTAAACGCGGTTAATAATTAAAATAAAAACGGGATAATTATTTAAATAAAAATAAATTATATTTTTAATTTTTTTAAAAATATTTTATTAAATTTTAATAAAAATATAAATATTAAATTATTAATAATTATTTTAATTAAAAATTATAATAAAAAAATATTTAATTACATTTCCGTTTTAATTTTAAAACTTAAACGTAACGTTAAATAATAATAATAAAAAATATTAAAAATAATTTAAAATAACGTAAATAAAAATTTATTATTATATATCGTTTTTTTATAATTATATTAAAAAAATAATATAAATATTATATTAATTTAAAAATTATAAATAAAAATTAATAAATAATATTTTATTAATATTTATTTTAATTATAATATTTATATATTAATAAATTATTAATATAATTTTAATATTAAATTTTAAATAATTATTTATATAAAAAAAAACAAGTATTAAATATAATAAAACCGTTTTTAATAAATTAAAAATTTATTATAATTTAATATAAATAATATAATAATTATAAACATTTATAAATTTTTAAATAACTTTAAAAACGAAATTATAAATATTTTTTTAAAATTATATTTTATTATTTAAATATATTATAATAAAAAATTTCAACGTTTAATATTTATAATAAAAGTTTAATATAATTAAATATAATAAAAATAATAATATTATTAAATAAGTTATTATTAATTAATTAATTATAATTTTTAAAATTAAAAATTTAATATATAAAATAAATTATATTTTAAATTTATATTTTTTAAATATTTTTTTTATAATAAAAAAAATTAATAATATTTTATACCTCGGTATAAATTATATTATAATTTAAATTACCGTATTTATAAATTAATTATTAAATATAAAATAATATAAATTAATAATATTTAAAAATAATTTTTTTATTTTTATTAATTTAATTATAATAAATATTAAATTAATTTTTATTTTTTTTTAAAAATTTTATAATAAAAAAAATAAACCACGTTATAAAATAATTCCTTAAATTATTTATTAAAATAATCGAAGTTATAAAATAACTTTCGAATAATAATAAATATAATATTTTTTAATAAATAAAAAAATATAAAACCGTATTTATTAAACTTAAATATAAATAAAAATTTAAAAACTTTTTAATAATTTTTAAAAAATAAAAGTTTTATTACGTAATACGTAAAATTAAATAAAATTATTAAAAAATTAAAATAAATAATATTAAAATAAACATTAATTTTTATAAAATAATAAATTAATATAAATTAAAACCCGTTATTAAAATATTATTTTTAATAATTAATAATTAATTAATTAAAGTTACGGCAAATAAAATTTAAATTATATAAAAAGTTTTTTTTAAAAATTTTTTAATAATTAATAACTTAAATATTAATTTTTTATAAATTTTTATAATATTTTATAAAATATTATATTAAAATATTTTAATAAGTTATAAAAAATTAATAAAATTAATAATTATTACCCGTAATATTTTTTTAAATATTAATAATTTTTTAATATATTTATTAAAAATTTATTAAAAAATAATTATTAAATTTATTAAATAAATTTTTTAAATTAATTTAAAAACCGAACATTATTTAAAATTATTTCGGATAATAAAAGTAATTATATTACGGAAATTTAATAAATAAAATATAATTAATATTAAATTTTAAAAATTTATTATTTTTTTTTATATTTTAAAAAAAAATTAAAAAAATTAATAACACGTAAAATAAAATATATCACGTTATTAAATAATATAATTAACTTTTAATAAACCGGAACGTTTTTAAAACATTTTACCGTAAATTTTATTATTTATTTATTATATAATATTAAATTTATTTTTAAAATTTAAAAAATTATTATAATAATTATTATAAACATTTAAAAAAATTTTAACGTAATATTAAATAAACGTTTTATAATTAAATTATTATAATAAAATTAACGTTTATTAATAATTAATTATATATTTTTTTTTATAATTTTATATTAAATTATAATATATTTAAAAAACATTATTATATAATTTATTTTAAAATTTATTTATTTTTTTTATTTTATTTATATTATATATTAAAAATATATTATTTAAGAATTTTTATTATCGTTTTAATTATATAAATAATATTAATATTTTTAAAATAAATTTTTATTAAATAATAATATAATAAAATTTATAAAAAATATTAAATAAATATTAAATTAAAATATATAAAATAAAAAAATTTTTAACTTTAAAAATATAAGTTTATATATTTTATTAAAATTAAATATATACACGTTTTAAATTTAAAAATCCCCGATTTTAATTTTATAATTCGTTAAATTTAAAATTAATAAAAAAATATCGTTTTATTTTATTAATTAAAAATATAATTTAACCGTAAATTTATTTTTAAATAATATATAATAATTTTAATAATAAAAATTAAAAAAATTATTAAATATTTCCGTAATTTTATTAATATAATTTATAAATTTTTCGTAAAATTATTATAAAAAACCATTATAACGTACGTTTTTTTTATAATTTTTTATAAAATTAAATTATAATATATTAAATATTATAAGTTTTTTACGAATAACGTATAATTTTAAAAACGGGAAATTAATATATAATAAAACTTTTATTATATTAAATTCGATAAAATATTAAACGGGATTATTAAAATTATTTTTTTAATATAAAAAACCATTTTTAAAAATATTTTATATAAAAATTCCGGGTTTTTTATAACGAACGTAATTTTAAATAAAATTTATTATTATTTCGTATTCCGGTTAAAAACGGTAAACGAATTTTATTTTATAATAAATAAATTAATTTTTAAATTAATATTAAAAAACCGCGGCGTAAATAATTTTATTAAAATTTAAATATATATATAAAAAATAATAAATTTATTTTTAACGTTTCCCCGTTTTTTATTATTAACCCCCCGATTTATTTTAAATTTTAAAATATTATTTATTAAAAATATATATAAAAAAAAAATAACCGAAATATTTAAAACTTAATTACGAATTTTTTTTAATATTTATATAATCGTTTATTTCGATAATTTTTAATTTAAAAATTATATTAAATATAATTACATTTTTTATAAAAATTAATATAACGTTAAATACGATAATAAAAAATTAAATTAAACCGAAATATTTAATATTAAAATCGAAAAAATTAAATATAATTTCCACGAAATATTTAAAATAAATAACGGATATTTTATTTATATTTATTTTAATAATATTTTAATAATTATTAATTTTAAAAAAAATATATTTTTAAACTTTAAAATAATTTTTTTAAAAGTTTATAAAAATATTATATTCGTTAATATATAAATTTATTAAATTTTAAATTATATAAAAATTTTAAAAAATAAATAAATAAATAAATTTATTAAAAAAATATTTTTTTTTAATAATTTATATATAACGTTTATTTATATAATTATTTTTAAAAAATATAAAATTAAAACGTTAAAAAATTTTAAAAAATAATAAAAAAAAATAAATAATTTTTTTTTTATTTATAAAACTTTCGGATTATTAATTAAACTTAAATATTTAATTAAATTCCGATTATTAAAATAAATATTATATTATTTTTTAATAATTAAAAATAATTATAATAATTTCGTTTAATATTATAAAAAATTTAATTATTTATATATAAAACTTAAATATTTATATAAAAAAATTAAAATATTTAATTATTTAATATTTTACGAAAAAATTTAAATACTTAAATTTAAAATAAAATAATTTATATTTCATTTTAATTTTATTAATCGTATTTAATATTAATAATAATTTATTAATAAATTTAAAATATTTATTTATTTTTTAAAAATAATTTAATATTTTTAATAAATTTATTTTCGTTATTAAATTATTTAATTTTTAATTATTTTATTTATATTAAAAATATAAACGGATTTTAAAATTATATTTTTATTTTAAAAAAAAAATATTTAATATTAATTTTATTATTATTAAATAATATTTATTACACGGAAAACGTTTTAATATTTATTTAAAATAATTATTATAATAATAATTATTTTAAAGTTTATACGTTTTAAACTTATACGAATTAATATTAATTACCGTAAAATTAAAAAAAATAATAATTTTATAAAATATTTTTAATTAAATTTTATACGCCGGATATAAATTTATTTAAAAAAACTTACGGGAATAATTAAAACATAATTATATATATTAATAAATTAAATATATAAAATATTTTAAACAAGATTAAGACATTTTTTTATATAATTAAAAACTAGAATTAAATTATAAGGTAGCTCTACACGCCGCATACCCTTAAAAAGGTTTGCGAGGGAAGGTCATTCCCCCTTGCCCCGGCGTTAAATATACCAACCAACCAACCAACCAACCAACCTGCGAGCCATCGGCAAGGCTTTTGTGTCTACATCCTACTCAAGACCGAGTTAACAACTAAAGGGCCATTCCCTAACATAGGAGTACCCAGGCAAATAATGATATCTCAGATTCTCGATGACATGTAGCTTGGAATTAGCAAATAAATTATCCGACCCTAGATATCCCTTGGCAAGCATAGTTTCTATTACTCACATAGGTAACTAAGGCTGCATGCACATAAGCCGGGAGCTCCAGAAAGCTTGGCAAGGTCAAGTCGATGAATTAGCAGTCGGATAAGCCCAAGGCTTAGTATTTATATAGAGAGAATTGCAAAAGGTCAAAATGTTGATCCTTTAGTTGCTGACGGCAAGACTCCATCAAAGGCAAGATATCCCTACTAGGTAGAGAGGACGACGGATTTAATTAAACCTCGAATGATGAAGACTCAGAGCTTATATCTGTCACGAATTTTTCTCAATAGTTTAATTTTAGCATTGTGACTCTGGGTTCGGAAGGAAGCACAAAATGAAGGAGTGCAGTGAGTATTAAGGGGTATGGGAAGTTGCTGACGCTTCCAGTTGCTTATACGAATAAGCCAATTGACCAGCATGAAACTATGCGTGCCTGAGGAACAGCCTATTGCAGAATAGCGTAGTGTCCTGAATAGGGAATCAGCTTTGTGAAAGAAACTCGGGTTCTGCGCATCATCGAGACGACTCCAGCAAATATTGATGACGTTAGGCAGATCTGTCAGATAATTGAATTATCAGAATATTAGCCGTCTATAGGTAGGTACCTAGTTAAAAGTCATCAAATATTCCACCTGCAACGAATCGGGAGATTGCATTTTACGTCATATAGTCAAGTCCATTTATTTCCTTGCAGTTTTTTTTCTCAGCCGCAGCCTCACTGGCGTCGCTAGAAAGAGCCGGAAGTGGCATTTCTAATTATAGATGCCGATCTATCTGAGTAGCGATTATGGTGGCAGCTCAAGATGCTGGCATAAGGCCTCTAGCCTTGTATAGCTGATTAGAACCGCACGATGAAGCTCCTTCTGGAAATGATGTATGATCGTCTGTAAGCAGGCTCCGTCCTAATTCATACAAATAGCGCCAGGCTGCACCTTTGATCGTGGGGTATTTCAGGTCCTCATCAAGCTCAAGCTCGACACTCAGGATACTCGAACAATCGTCTCAGGCAACTTACCCGCATCCAGTATCGCAAAAATGTCTCTCAGAACCCTTCTCGGAGTCTCCATGTTCCTTGGCGCCTCTCTGGCGAGAGACGTGCCTTCGAACGTGAAGAACTTCTACAACAGCATCAAGAGCAAGGGCCAGTGCAGCTCCGCTCTAGCGTCGGGATTCTACAGCGAGTATAACGATGACAACTGTAAGCAATTCACATCCCTCGCGAACTACCCGAGGATGAACTAATAAAAATGTTTAGCCTTCTGCTACTGTGGTGACCACCTCCAAGACGACAAGGTCATCTACATCACCGGAAAGAATGGCCAGTTCGCCAACATGGACATCGATTGCGACGGAACGCAAGGTAGCGCTGCTGATGACGGCCGTTGCGGAAAGTCGAGCGACACTCAGTCGATCACGTCCTTCGCCGACACCGTGAGGGGATACGGCAAGGGGGTCCGAGATCTGGACGCCAACATTCACCCTTACGTCGTCTTCGGCAACGTCGGCGGCAAGGCGGGCTTCACGTCATTCGACCCTCAGCAGCACGGTATCGAGCCTTTATCCGTCATGGCCGTAGTCTGCGGGGACAAGCTGGTAAGGAACCGCGCTCCTGACGTCGAGAAGCGGTAGTGGCTGACTAACGACATCTAGATCTACGGTATCTGGGGTGACGAGAACGGCGCTGACGGCGAGAAGTCTGTTGTGGGCGAGGCTTCCATTTCGCTCGCTACCGCATGCTACGGCAAGTCGATCAACGGAAACAGCGGGCACGACCAGAACGACGTCCTATACCTTGCTTTCACCGGAAAGGACGCCGTCCCCGGCAAGAATGGTGCCAAGTGGGATGCGAAGAATTACGACGAGTTCGAGTCCAGCATCCAGGCACTCGGTGACAAGCTTATCCAGCGCATTAAGTAAAGCTGAGAGCGTTGCATGATTCTGAGCAACTTGGTTCAGGATGAGTCCTGATAGAGAATTTACTTCGTGTCGATTCCTTTTTGTAAACATGTATATAGCTTCTAAAATGTTAATTCATATCCAACCGCTAAAATCATGCGCTCGTGGTGTCGATATTGTTGACCGTCTGTTCTCGCGTAGGTTCGCAACTCGTGATTTATGCGCATTACTTAATATAAGCACTCTTGTTCAAGTCAATGGAAACTGATTCTTATGGAATATCATAAGGATAAAACTTGATCGCTTGAAAGTGAAGAGTAAATGAAGCGCATAGTTGCATCTTTTCTCTTGGAGAATGGGCAAAAAGTTGAGGAAAAAATGTACAACACCAGGGATTCGCTGGTCGTCACCGACCCAACTACTGGTCTGGCGGTATCTGGTTTATCCAGGGGAGAGCGGACGGGATCCCGAGCTTTCCAGGTCCTATGGTCGTACATGCTAGACAATATTGCTATGATGGATTATAAGCTTCGAAGTGAGCCATCGCGATATTTGATAGAAGTCAAGAATGAGAAAACTCAGAATCTCCAACTTCAAAACAACTTAGGAAACTTGACAAATCAAATTAACGAAATGTGAAATGTATTAATTTAATAAAAGCATAACTTCCAATTGCATAAAACATAAACTGCATTTCTCCGCATGGTGGCTTTTAGCCCCCAACACAAAAACAAAAATGCCCGGACTTCTCAGGGGAATTAAAACAATCGCGGGTTTCCACCAATCGCGTCAAATCGAACCGATTTAGATATTGAATTTATGGAAAGGTAATTCTATGAAGTTGTCAAAAGTCGGTGAATTCTAAGACATTGCCCCTGGAATTTGAAGCTCCAAATACTCGTAATACCACGTAGTATTACCATGCTGCCATGTAAGTACGAAGTAGCGTTCACAAACATCTTCAGGGCTTACTCCGAATGATTGTCAGCCTCAAAGGGCGGGGAAGCAACTAATTGGTACCAAGGTAAAGGCCTCATTAGGAAGCTCACAAAGAAGGAGGATTCGAGGTTCGGAAATGCTCATGGTCCTACCAATAAAACCCGATGTCTAAGACCAGGGGTATCTAATAACTAGGCGTATTTTGACAAAGAATCAAATCATAGTGAGTTACCGCCGCTGCGGTGTTCCCTTGAGAATGCGCCGCTGTACCCGCATCGAACAAACCAGGCTTTCCCCGCATTCTCCTCGACCTATCTCGGCTCTCAGTCTTGTTTATTCCCTCGAACCATTGCAATGGTGGCCGACCTGATTCACGTCATATGCTCGCTTTGCCCCGAGAATTCCTGCAAGGGTGATAAACATGGCCAGTCCGGAACCCTCACCAAGCTGCGTGCGTGACAGGGCTAGCTGCGCGTCGATCTCCGGCCTTGAAAGCATGACCTAGAACAAACAAAGAGCAGATCATATTGATAAATTCAAATATTACTGGGCGCCTCGCCTCTTTCCATCTGCGAGCTCCTAGATTCCATGTCCCGTGTCTGATGTTTAGCTTTCCCCTGTTCGTGTAGATACTTTCAGGGTCATCAAAGCTACTACAATGCCTCTCCCCCTTCTGTTGTTTACTTTCTTCTCCGGCCTTCTTAATACGGTCTCGGCGCAATGCCCCGACTACGATGATTATTCTAAAGTGGCACACGCACCCTTCTCAACCGGAAAGTATCACCTCCCGTATCAGAGACCGGTAGCAGCATGTAGAAAATTCAACTCTTCGGATGTCGAAGCAACTATTGAGGATATGCAAGGAATAGTCAAAGATCCAGATCTGTTCCAGCTTTTTCAAAATGCGTTCCCGAATACATTGGACACTACTGTGACCTGGAGAGGCTATGCGGCCAATGATTCGACAGAAGAGGTACAATGACCCGTTCAAGCACATATCCGAGTAATGCTAACACCCCTCAAGCTCACCTTTGTCACGACCGGAGACATTGTTGCCATGTGGCTCCGTGATAGCGCGAACCAGATGCGCAGCTATAAGTCGTTACTAAAGGCCGATGACAGCCCAGACTCGTTAGCATCTCTGTTCCGCGGCACGATCAATCTGCAATCGCGATATATCATTCACAACCCATACTGCAATGCGTTCCAAGCACCCACAGAGTCTGGGCTTCCGCCGGTAGACAATGGGTATGCGGACACCGATCAAGTGACGCCTCCCTACAATACAAGCTTTGTTTTCGAATGCAAGTATGAACTCGATTCGATTTCGGCTTTCTTGCAGTTATCGCACGACTATTACGACCAAACCGAAGACATTGACTTTTTCGGTAAGTTCCAGTGGGTTAGTGCAGTTCAAACGATTCTCGACGTTGCCGAAGGTCTCCTCGTCGGGACTTACGCCGACGACGGCACCGTGAACGTGTCTCCGTACACGTTCCAACGAACGACCACCAGCGCAACAGAGACGCTTTCGAATACGGGAGTCGGCAACCCCGTTAAAAGCGGTACCGGATTGGTCCGCAGCGCGTTCCGGCCATCCGACGACGCGACTATCTACCAATTATTCATCCCGGCGAATATGCAATTCTCCAGCTATCTGGGAAAATGCGCCAATATAATGAAGGCGCACGATGTTGAGCTTGCACAACGCATGAGCGACTTTGCCTCCAACGTACGGAATGGGATCGAGACATATGGTAAGGTGCAGCATCCTGTGTTGGGCGAGATATATGCGTACGAGATCGATGGGTTTGGGTCGAGCAACTTTATGGACGATGCCAACGTTCCGAGTTTATTGAGCGCGCCAATTTTGGATTATCTGGACGCTTCGGACGAGACGTATCAGAGCACGCGCAAATTCGTCCTCTCGACGTGGAACCCGTATTATATGCACGGACCTGTCCTGAATGGGTACGTCGGCTTTATATGTGACCACGATTCAAAGGATTGATGCTAACTTGCACCCAGTACCGGCGGCCCACATGTTGGGCCCGGCAAGGCGTGGCCAATGTCAATCATCACGTCACTCTTGACTTCGGACGACGACAGCGAGATCGTCGCGGGGTTGCAGATGCTCGTTTCATCGACTGACGGGCTGGGGTTGATTCATGAGTCTATAGATACGTTCAACGCATCGACTTGGACTCGGGAGTGGTTTTCCTGGGCCAATGGCTTGTTCGGCGAGATGCTTTTAGGGCTGAAAGACCGGAAACCTCATTTACTCGAGACGAGCTTCCAGTAGGTCTAGATCGAGCTTAAGCATCAAAGCGTATATGCGAGTAGTTATAGATACCATGTACACATAATCGACACGTCACCCTGAAAATCGCATGTTGATAGCAGCTCGCGTATTGTATGAGCTAACATCTTGGAGGTGGTTGTACTCACTATACATGCTGCAATATGCGACTCATATAGCAAGTGAAGTGGTCCAATGGCATTTAATCCGGGTTAGCCGTCAGAATTGCAACATGAGTTGAGTCGCACGCAAGTAGAGTTTCCTAACGCAGGAACAATCTACGGCTGATAGCTAGGCCTTCTCTCTCTCACGCCTGGGAGGATCTTATCAAGGGTGTGGTATGACTGAACCAAGTTAGTCAGATGAACCGTTATAATGTGACCTACTGACACTGTCCGGCAAGGTGAATATAGTACCACATAGTACACTGCAGATAAGGTATAGTATGCGTAATCCTACGGCGCGGTCTGGAGAAGCCAATGCATTCTACCAGGCCAGGTCATTTTTCGGTGAATGCTAGCTTCGTTTTGAGGAGGCAGAACGGTGTCAACGATTGCCGAGTTCGCCAATCACAACAGCTGCTAGGAGGAGGCTTGAGTCTTGCAACATAAGGTAGGCCAATTACTAGATAGAAACAGGGTGTGAGTTCTGTTTCTGGCATCCGTTTCTAACGCTGTGGGGATGGTTGTAACACGATATGCGTGGCTCCGTGCCTGTGGCCTGCTTAGCTGCAGTGATATCCTGCAGCTAATAACGAGCTAGAAAGGGTGATCCATATCCCAGGCACTTGGAGGACCTTGGAGGCAGAATAGAGGTCCGTTGAAATAAGAGGCTGTTGTAAAGCAATCCTCCGTCGTCCACGGTTTGTGTGCATCGATCAATGTCGCTTCTCTTTATTTGCTGGTTTTTACACTTGTGAATATTAATAGAATTGGGTAGACTTGACCTGAACCAGCGGGATTGGATCAATGATATGGATGTGGGTTCTTGTCTCAAAATTTCTCAAGACACCTGCAATTGGAAGATGAAGAAAGACGAAAGAGTCAAGTTTCTTATTTATTATTAGATCCGTGTTAGTCTAGGCACTTTCCCTAGCTTTCTTAGTCTGGTGTATCAAATCCTCAACGTTTAACCTTATGTCGACTTACATATCGAGGATTATGTATCTTTGTATAGTACTGTATAGAAGTGTAGCATTTGAGTAGGGATATTTCAATGCAGGTGTGTTTAACTCGCAGCTACCTCGAGAACGCCCAAGGTACGTATATACCTTCAATACATTATGTACAAATGCAGCTAACAACCTTGAAAGTCGTCATAGTCAACCAATCACAATCCATTGTTCAGGTCTTGGCTTACTTTGTCTACTAGGACTAGTCTTATCAGTTGCCAGTGCCGGTCGGCTCATCCTATCTTTTCCTTCTATCTTTTCTACATCGGTCGGCTTCCCAAATCCCAACTGAAGCACTCTTCAAGCTGTCTGTCTCTCTCCACCAATCCTCTCTAGAACGGTCCGGACCGATGACGGATGGCCACAAGATTGGAAGAGATCACGAGGTGTATCCCGTCTGACTATCCCCGGCATTGACAGTTACTCACTAGACTTGACTTTTGACCCTGACCCCGACCCCTTCTCATCATTTCAGATTGGAATTCTTCTCTTTTTTGCGACTAATCGCAAATTAATCACACACTCTTCCGAGGTCACCAACTCAACAACTGACGCATCCCCGATCGATTTCACTAACCAAATCGGTGCCGATTTGGTTTTAAATTCAACCGCATCGACAATACACGGACACAGCGCACTGCCTGAAGCATAAACTACTAGACATACGTACCTGGGCATACTTGCATACCTCTACCTATACTACCTGGTATTCATATCCATTAACGTATCAGCGCAATTATTCCATATCCTCCCATACCTTTCCTCCTAGGCACCATCGACATGGCACAAATCGCCTAGCTCACCCCAGCTAGCTCCTCCAAACCGCACAAACCACAAGCCAGAAACCCTGCTGCAGCAACCCGCATCCAGTTAGCAGAGCCGCCCGCCAACGTTCTTCTGCCGGCTACCAGTACCTACCCTCCGTACATACAATTCATCACAATCGACGCTTTATCTGTATTATTACTCTATGTCTGCCTACGTGTTTCGACAGCCTGTCTAAGTAAAGCAATTTGCGATCTCCGCACCGCAGCTAGGCTCCCTTAACTTGTATTCCCTCCTATAAACCCCGTGTATGCCTAGTCGTCTGCCTGCCCTATATTTGACGTTACGAACAATGGATGCCAAAGTTCGGTGGCATCCCATTTCCATCTAAGCTAGGTCGATCCTCGCAGGACGCCTCATATTGTTGGCGATAATCCTCGACGCCCTCCATCTGTGCCACGATCTCAACCGAGATACGACACCACCGAGATTGTGCATCGTTCGATCTAGCCAACAAATCAACAATCCGCCTGTCCTTGCCTTCGCTATATCTATCAGGCTACACGTAGCCCGGGCTTCGACGACTTCAGGATGCATCAAACTCCCCGCGCCCCGCCTCGTACAGCCTCCCCCGCCTTGTCACAACAAACAAATCCCACAAGAACGAATAATCAGAGAGATCCAGGGAGTCCTGGGTCTGGTTCGTCATCTAGACCAAGCTCCCGAGCTCAGGAGAGGACAACGACAGGAGCGGGTGGAGGCAATCGTGGAGATGGAGGTCCTACTCGTGATTCCGTTAAGAAATTAGACCAGATTATCCAGGTTGGTTTCCTACTAACCATGTTGCTACGACGGTAAATGCTTACAAACCGCCTCTAATCCAGAATATCTACTCGAAAGCCGGCACCGTAATATTACAGACACGCATGCAAGTAACTCCGATTCTCGTGGGCAAGTCCCTGGAAAGGAGAACGAGTAGATGGGTAAGTCCAAACCTCGGAAGAAGCCAATTCCTCAATCTTACAAAATGCCCTGAAATACAGTTTCAACTTGACACCGACGATATCGATGATTTTCGAGAAGAGTTCCGTGTATGGAAACAATGCGGCGGATTTGAAAATCGCCCACCTCCTTTGGTGATCGAAACTTACCTTGACACATCTCGATTAAAAGGTGGCCAAAGCTTGGTAATTCTGGATGAAAACGGGAAGAGATGGGACGTTGTCGAGGCCCTTAACTCCTCTGATCAATCTAGCGACAGCAGCTCTGGCCGCCAGGGAAAACCAATCACCCGCCTTGTATTAGAGCGATGGCGTGTCGAGCTCAAGGGAAAGCCCCCTGATCAGCTAGACGACTTTGGTCTACTGCTTCCTACGGTGTACAAGAAGGCGATTGTCTTGATGCGATCTATATACACGACTACAGGTCTCTTGCCCGCCTGGAAACTCGCCAGGAATTCTAAGACAAAGGGTACCCATCCCGCCCTAGCGGTCCGCTGCCGAGTCTTCTCAGGGGATTCTCCTACGTATGGATCGGACACCCTGAGGATACCTTTATTCGATGGCAGAGGGGATGTCTCCACCGATTATGTGTTTGGTGATCTCGAAGTCCCTGTCGGACGGTTTTACGTTTCTGTGTCCTACCGCAACCACTGCAACTTCCAAGTGGTTGATTCCGAATCTTTGCTGAGCTCACGCATCGGTATTGCCATATCTGATGACGTATTCAAGCCATCGTTGCCTCACCATGGCCATGGACGTCGCGAATCATACACCCCCGAACCCGGGTCGCTTCCATATTATCGGCATGCGCAGAACATCACGGAAAATCAGCAACGATACGGTAGTTTATCCACGTTTCACGGTGAAGGACCGATTGGCACAAGCCCTATATCGGCATTAAAGGCAGTAAAAGCCCCAGGTTCGGACACCAGCTCGCCGCCTGAGTCCAGACCTGCGAGCATTGAAGCCCACCCTCATACCCTCCCAATTGCCAACCACGCCCGTCGACCGTCCCTTAGAGGGATAGATACCTCGCGGCGTCCATCCGTCTCGTTCCAGTCTTCACCTTTCAAGCATGGCTCTCTTTCGGGATCGCCCGCGTTGAGGCCGCAGGACCCGGACGTTCCACCGTCGCCTCAATCTCTCAATCGCCCTTCGAGTTTTAACACGCATGTGAGAAATCGCTCTTCATTGACGGCTGGGATGCCGGCTTCCCTACGTGGGGCGCCACTCCCTGCTCCGGCAGATAACTCTCTTGCTAGTTCGCCGAGGCCATCTGTCTCTAATCGGTTTAGTAGCAGCTTTGGGCATCGGCGCAGTCGGCCGTCTCTTAGTGGCACCAGTAGGGTAGATGACGATCAAAACAGCAGTGGCAAGCAAAGTTTATCGTCTTCGGCTGTCCAGCCGGGCTCCGGCTTGTTGAACGAGATTGGCGCAGGTGGCAGTTCTGGATCTTTCCAAACTGATGACGAAAGCATACAGAACTTCTTGAAAATGATCGAAAGCAAGAAAACATTAACAAGTTTCGACTCTTCTAAAAAGGGAGAGTCGGCGACTAAGAAGACGGCGGCTCAGCTTTCGAAGTTTCACCTTATGCGTGAGTCGAATAATGCGCTTACTGAATCCATGAATTCGTCTATGCAGCTTCAGCGTTCATCCAGCTCTTCTAGCCGTCAGCTAACCAATGTGCCGGGCATGTCAACATCATCGTCCCCGGGGAAGCCGTTGTCACCACATACGCCACATACACCGGCTATTCCATCTCGCTTAAGCGAGAATTCGAGTGTTGATTATGCGCCTACTACAAGGGTTGCGTCACGATCGCGCAACGTTGAGGGTCTTGCCGAAGAGCCTACCGTCAGCACACAAGCCACCCATGAGGGCACGACGGCTATCGACATCCCTACATCGCCAAGGCCTTATCCACATGCTAGGCGATCCAGTTCAGTTGCTCATCAGAATCGGGCACTGGTTGACGATGACGACGTTGACGCCCATCGCAGTATTAGCCTTGGTGCGGAAGACCGTGAACCTCCTAGCCTTAGCGTCCTGTTAGGACTAGGTTCTGATGAACCAACTAATGCGGTAGATTCGCCGGGCCTACGATCTGCTGCTGATATCAGGGCAACAAGTCCTCCAGATATGCTTGGGCAAGAATCAGAATCTGTTGAGCGTGAAGTCCGACCCCCAGGCGGGCTTTATTCCGGGTTCTCGAGCTCGCCATATAATAGGCGTTACGGCAGCGCCGCCGGTCGAGGCATTACGCCTCCTCACTCCGGAAGCGGTAGCCTAGTCGGGTCTAGCGGTAGATTCGGTAGAGGTTATTCACGTGGGGGCGCTACTGGCCTCGGCGTGACGGGTGCTGGCGCGGATGAGCCTGACGATGAGCCGCTTCTATTCGATATGTCAGAAATTACTCGCGAACAATCTCGTCGCAGCCTTGAGGAAGCCAGGGGCGGCGGAAGCGTAGGGTCCAGTGGTGACAGAGGGGCCTATGAGACCAGTCATAGGAGTCGTCGTTGGTAACGAATTTATGTTGCAGCACCATCCGCCTATGACCTGAAACGAGTTTGCACTTTGCATTTCTGCGTTGCTTAGATGTTGTGTAATGTTTGTATTGGGTGTGGGTCGACGATGTAGGAAGCTGGGAAGCAGTCCGGTGGTGCGATGCAAAGCTTTCATTCTTCAGAACACGGATACGTCCGGAGATCTACTGCGATTACAGATTGTCATTGACATTGTTATTTGATTTGGATGACACCGGATGTTTTTTTGAGAGGAGTTTGGAGGCACTATGGAGGGAAATGATTATTACCGAGGGCCGGAGTCTAGAGCGGAGTTTGAGGTTCATTATCATGACACGCTCGAGGACGACCGTCTGGCGTTTTATTCGGATGGGCGGAGGGCATCGCAGAGCGGTTTGGTTTTTCTGCTCTCGGACGCCCTTTTAGATCCGAGGCTATAAGGTTTGCGGACGAGGTGTTCGCTATAAAACTACATTTTAGGTAGCTCAGGATGAGGTTTCAGTCATCTCATCCTAGAGAGAGCCTTCAGATGGAATAGAAAGAATATGGTGAACCGCGCCGAGACGTAACTCTTTGCCACTAGGGATTAACCTAGGTATTGGCTTGTATATTAGGAGCCGGGTATTTAAACGAATCTCATGTCACATATACCTACCTACATACATTTTTCGTGATCCTCCCCCGTACACGCAAATACATACGATTGAATTGGTATAATTTGAACACACTTCTTTAGGCCTAGTTATGCGTATACTATGTTCTGAATATAAAAACCCGAAAGCGAGATAAAACTATCTGCAATTCATATTACGTTTCGAAAGTAGGAGGATTTCAGATTTTCAGGGTCGAATTGTACGCGGGCTCGGAAATCTGTTGGTTAAATGCTTAGACGAAATCAAATCGGATATTGAGGCGCAGTCTAATCTAGCAGATATTGATAGAAATATTCGGACGTCATCGCGTTGCGTGGTGTGGATTGTTCCAGGGCAGGCAGCTACAGGTCAGCGGGTTCGATGCTAGCCATGCATTGCCCCAAAGCTGGGCCAAAATGCAGTTACGCTAAGGAAGCACAGGCCAACGTCATCAATTATGTACTCCTCTAGGCTGTAACCTTGAACCTTAGAGCCACCACCTACCTCATACAATCTTAACACTACAACTACCACTCTTTCTACTACCAAATCATACGTTCCGACCATTCGACCGACCGTCACGATATCCACGATACCCGACGTAATATAATTGATAAATAGAGGGGATTTGAATCTGTTACTATCTAAGAAGGGTGACAAAAAGCGCCAAATCATAGGCATCCTCTTTTCTCCCGCCCGCTGCCCAGTATGTTTCGGGGAACAGCAGTCGGTCCATATGACGAAGTAATCGGTACGCACCGCACCACGACGTAACCACATTCAGCCCCCAATGTAGCCACAACACTGACAGAGCCTCGTACTTCTAGCTAAGGCGACCGACGAGAACCTCACCTCGGAGGACTGGGGAGCTATTATCGAGGTCTGCGACAAAGTAACCAGTGATCCTAATGGGCCCAACCAAGCAGTTCAGAGCTTGATCAAGCGCCTGGCGCATCGCAATGCCAATGTTCAGCTCTACACCCTCGAGGTACGTAGTTTAAAGACCGCAATTTCTCATCACCCGCCCACCGATTTGAAGCTAATACCAAGCGCCATATTAGCTCGCAAATGCGCTATCGCAAAACTGCGGCAAAAGCATGCATCGCGAGCTCGCCAGCCGCGCCTTCACCGATGCCCTATTGAAACTCGCCAACGACCGCAATACCCACCAACAAGTCAAGGTTAAGGTCCTCGAAAGAACCAAGGAATGGTCCGATATGTTCAGTCAAGATGCAGACCTTGGCATCATGTACGACGCCTATTACCGTCTCAAGCAGAGCAACCCGACATTGCAACCACCCTCAGCTCCGCAGAAGACTGGTCTTACCGACCTAGATCGCCAGAAGGAGGAAGACGAGCTCCAGATGGCGCTTACGCTATCGCTACAGGAAGAGGAGAGGAAGAAGATCCCTCAACCTGGTCCCTCTGTCGCGGGACCAAGCTCAGGGGCAGGACCGAGTGCGGCGACTAGTCAGGCTGAACCGATACTGTCTCATCCGACCGGAACAACGGCAGCTACTGTATCACGAGTTCGCGCCCTCTACGATTTCGTGCCGTCCGAACCTGGCGAACTTGAGTTTAAGAAGGGCGATATCATCGCCGTCCTCGAGTCCGTCTATAAGGACTGGTGGCGAGGTTCATTGAAAGGTCGAACTGGCATTTTCCCTCTGAACTACGTCGAGAAGCTTGCAGACCCCACTCCCGACGAGCTCCAACGCGAGGCGCAAATGGAGGCCGAAGTCTTTGCTGAAATCAAGAACGTCGAGAAGCTGCTTACCTTGTTAAGCACGTCCAATGCGTCGCCAAGAGAAGAGGATAACGAGGAAATATCGGTATGTTTGAGATAACTTGAATATACCCGTTTACAAGGGCTAACATCTCCAGAAACTCTACCACCAAACTCTGGCCATTCGACCTAAATTAATCAAGCTAATAGAAAAGTACTCTCAAAAGAAAGAAGACTTTACCCAGCTAAATGAGAAATTCATTAAAGCCAGAAGAGATTATGAATCGCTCTTAGAATCTTCAATGTCTCACCCACCCCAACCGAACTACCACCAATATGCACCGAGACCGATCATGAACCACGGGTATGGAGTTCCGGGGGGTCCCGGTCCGGGACCGGGCTTTGCGCCTCAGGGACCACCACCTGGACAGCAAGAGCCCCAAAGATATTATACGCCTGGGCCTCAAGGGCCTCCTCCACAAGGTATGTGGAATGCAGGAATCTCTACGAGAAATGAGCTCACACGTATTTAGAGCAAACCCAATACCAGGCTACATCTCCGCCTCCTACCTTTCAACGGCCAACGCCCGCCCCTGCTCCGTTCTATCTACAGGGAGCAGAGATTCCGCCTCAGGCGAACCAACCACCACCTCAACAATATCCGCCCAGAGACCAACCTTCGCGGATAGCAATGGGAAAGCAGCCAGCACCTATACAAACCTCGTCACCTCCCCCGCAAACCTACCAGGCATATTCCCAGCCTCCCCCGCAAATGGGACAGCGGCCTCAGAGTACTTACGGCAACCCCCAAGAATTAGCTACGTCCGCGTACGACTCTCCCGTGGCGACTCACAACCCAGGCCGTAGCGACCCTTATTCGGCATCCGTCTACTCCCAAGAGGATCCTTATGCATCGAGCCCAACCGCTCCGGCGCCAAGCGCTCCTGTCTTACCCCCTCCCTCGGCTCCCTCCGCCCCCTCGGCCGCCGTGCCCACACCCCTTGCTATTGCCTCCCACCCCTCGCAGCCGTCACAGCCGTCGCAGCCGCAGTACTCGGCATATAACCCGAATGCCCATCGTCAAGATTCTTACGATGCAGGTGCTCCTCCCCCGCAGCCCACCGGCTCGGCACCGCCAATTCCAGTTCAGCCGCCCCCTAACGTTCTGACGCCACCCCCACTACACCCAAGCGGGCCAGCGTTCGATGCTAGGCACAGCTTGCCGAGCCAGGCTACACCGGGAAACGTTGGCGTAGGGCCCCAGTATAAGGCGTATGTGCCTCCTAGCAACGAGCCAAGTGCGCCGCAGGACTTCTATAGGCAGGGTGCTGCTTACTGAGAGCGATTCAAGGGGGGAGGGGTTGAGTGACGATGATGAAATTCGGTGATAAGGGGTAAGGGACGTAGAATGTGAGTTGAGAGAATTGAAGGCTGGTGACATACCTGTATCGACTAGGCTTTTGATGCATTGATGCATGCACATGTAGGGTTTAGTTGGTCGCTTGGTACCTAGGTCATTAGGGGATACCCCAGAAAGGGGAGCGGTTCCTACTCGATGTGCTGGGATCTTGGGAGTTTAGTAGATAAGATAATGGAAGTGGTAACATATCAAACAAGCAAGCATGCGTGTTATTGTCAAGATGCAATGGCGAGGGAGGTGATCGGTTACTTGGTTGAGTGTGAGGTAAAATAGCGGCGGTGCTCTTCAATGTTGCGGGTTTAACTTGTGGATATGTAGGTTGGTTCAGTAGGACGAAGGTTACACCACATACTTAGTATGACGTTCTAGAGGTACTAAGTATGTTCAACCTTAACAAACTTCATACTTACAGCCGCCGAAGGTGTGTGACGCTAAAGCGAGAAGGTGCTGCTCGAAAAGCGAGGATCAATTATTACTCCGTATGTCTTTAGTTCTTTCGTTATACGAGAAGTTTAATTAGCTGATTATATATGGATCAATAACGTTATATAACTTTCCTCTTAATTCAAAGTATACACTGAAAGTTTCGTATAAAACTGGGAATGTTCTCAAATATGCAGGTAGGATGACCTACTACTATTGAGTCCTAGTTCTGCTTACCAGGTCGACTATAAAATGGTGAAATCCCTGCACACTCTTTCAGCTCCCCTGCCGTTGTAGGCGCCCCGCCGTGAAGTTCACATTGTTGGACTGCATCTTATTCAACATCCGCACGATGCGACTCATCAACACTATAACCCTGGAATTTAAAGAATTCTACGGGGATACAGTGCCGCCCTACGCGATACTAAGCCATACATGGGTCGAGGGAGAGGAGATCAGCTTTCGCGATTTCATAGACCCATGCCCATATACTACTACGAAACCTGGATTTCATAAGATTCAGGGCGCATGTAAGATAGCGCAACAAGATGGCATCGATTGGATATGGATCGATACCAATTGCATCGACAAGGCCAGCTCGGCTGAGCTGACAGAGGCTATCAATTCCATGTATAACTGGTACAAGGGTTCCGAGGTATGCTACGCTTACTTATCCGACGTCCCGGATTTCTCTTCGCGAAACGAATGGGACGATCCAGAGATCCAAAATCGCCAGTTTCGTCAGAGCAAGTGGTTTCGTCGTGGATGGACGCTCCAAGAATTAATCGCCCCTCCACGGCTCGTATTCTACTGTTCTTCCTGGACGAGGATTGGTGATCGCTCAGGTCTTGCCCTCGACATCTCCGCCATTACCGGAATCGAGACGAGGCTCTTGCAGGGCGTTGCAGACCTCCACGCCGTTAGTATCGCGAAGAAGATGTCGTGGGCAGCGCGACGCGTGACTACACGCGTCGAGGATATCGCGTACTGTTTACTGGGGTTATTCGACGTCAACATGCCGCTCTTGTACGGCGAGGGGCCTAAGGCATTTATACGGCTCCAAGAGGAGATAACAAAGACGTCGAACGACCATACCGTGTTCTGCTGGAGCCGTACTAGCGTACCTGCCGACTGGACTAGCATGCTAGCTCCGTCGCCGGCCGCGTTCCGCGATGCCGGGGATTTCGTCCCGATAGACGCGTGGGAGATACCAATGCCTCATTCAATGACAAACCTAGGACTTTCAATCTACTTGCCCATCGTATATACTCTAACGCAGATGTTCGTCGTGCTTGACGCGGGGCTCCTGGGTGGACATGCTGATATGCGCGCCTGTATTGCTATGCAGAGAACGAATCCGCGAAGGTCGGGATCTAACATCCTAGACAGAAGTCGATTCTTCGGGGGTCCAACGATGCTCTCGAAAGAGGCGACCGACACGAGGGAACGGTATAACTTGTTCATCCGCTCCAGACACGTGCCGCAACCTGAGAGTCCGTTCAAATTACTTGGGCCCCGTATATCCAAGTACGGTGTTTTGATATTCGTCGACCCAACAGCAACACGACTTCTGTCGACGGGTAAGCGCGGCGCGCCGCTCGGGTCTGTGGGCTATGACATTGAGACACACCCTCCTGGGATTTTCAACGAGAACACTAGCATCTTAAGGTTGCTGGCTTTTGAGGGCGGCAGTTCCCTCGTTACATCCGGCTTGGTGCGCATCCGTTTCAAGTCGCCGCAAGAAAGAGACTTATATCTCTTCTTCGCAGTCATATTGACGATCGGTGGGAGGGAAGCCTGGTACTGCGGCGTATATTCCGCAGACGACTTTTGGTTTTTCAAGCAAGAAATCGAGGAGAGAATCAATGAAGAAGTCGCACCCGATGAGGAGATGGTCATGATTGATGGCTACTTGCGGGCCGTCGCTTGGGAGCATGGCCGTAAACAACTCACGGATCATACATCTGATGAGTCTCTATTTGTGTCCATTGGAGGGACGATGACTCGAAACCCAAAGTCTGATATTAGGGCGGCTATGCTCTCTGGTAAGTGCGAGTCCCCCTATTCGGTTCCCACGAGCGCCATAGATATTAGCGGTGTAGTCGATGAGACAGACGACGATGATTACGTGGACGACATCGAGGACGAAGAATTTGGGGACTGGGACTCGTCCAATGAAGGTGACGGGAGTGATGAGTCTCCAGGGGAGAAGACGGATGGGTCGTCTACATGGGACGTTAATAGCTCTGGCGAAAGCTCCCAGACCTTGTCGTCCACATCATCGTGGCATAAGACTTCACCGCTACCCAACCTCCCTGCTTCGTAGGCTTCCTCATGGACTGTGGAGTCTGAGAAGCTTGACGTTTTCAAGTTTGTCAGTTTAACCATGATCAACACCTCTTAGAAGATTCTATCCCGGACACCGAGTAGACAACAAATTTGTGGATGAAGGTCGGATATTGGAAAATTCCGTGTATATTGGTGATTTGTATGGGGTCTAGAAAGCCAGACGTTTTAGATATAATCAAGTAATATCGTTGCATCGCAACGAGAGCTATCCACTTAAGCACTTGGCGATGTAGGCATTGCTCTTCCGTACCTTGAAAGAGCATAGGCTATTGACAAAGGTCAACCTTGTTCATAGATGACTTGTATCAGATTTAGAGCTCCTGTGGGAAATTGTGTTGAAAATGATAATATTCACATCATGTATCTGGTGTTCGCGGTGCCGTCAACATCTGGTAGGTAGGGATATGAAAGCATGGAATATCTATTAGGAATTCTGTAATGATTCTAGCTGCATTTTGATCCGCTATTGCACCACACATAGTTTTCAATGTTATTTGTTGAGAACGCAACATGTCATCGCAGAAAATCGTTTCCAAGCTCTTGGAAAGCCTATCCGTAGTCGAGTCTTGAACCGGATCAGCACGGAAAAAACTCATAACCCCATCACCCATACATTTCTCAATGCCATGTCATCGTGCCCCCAATATTCATATTCTCAGCCTTTCCTCACATCCGCCGTGATTCCACCACTACAAGACAATGATGACGCCAACCGCAAGGCACCGCCTCTCGGAACACCGCCTTGGTAGTACGTAAAATATAGGAATTCCCCACTCCTACGCGGGCCGCTCCTACATAGCAGAAGCTTGGAGGCTGGGCTGCTTCGCTAGCTAGCTTCGTCGTGGACGAACAGTTGGGTCTTGAGTTTGAAAATCTTTGAATGGACCCTGAGGGAGAGAGCTGTCGTTCGTCGAGATCAACGGCTTCTAGATCGGATCACACCGTAAGACTTCAATCTCTTTGCCAGACGGCCGCGCGTTCTGGTCCGCTGCGGCGTAGAAAAACCTGGGGCAGGGCAGTTGGAAGAATGGGTATGCCGAGACGGTAGTCAGGGGTTGGTGTAGACGCTAAGTAGGGGCAGCGGTCCACTATTTACTATGGATGGCAACGTGTTGACCCGTGTAGGACCAATCAACAGACCGCATCGACCTCTTACATTACCCCTTTCTATGCTCTTCCTGGACAGTCCTAGACTAGCTAGCCTGAAATATCCCGAGCCGGCAATGATCGTAGGCCCGTCGAAGCTCCCGACTTCTAAAGCTCCACAGGTAACATGAGAGCCAACTTTACAGCTTCATGCGAACACCAACGACCGAAAGGTGGACTGCGTGGATACCCTCAGAGTCAGCTTTGTCCTACACCGCGATGCCCTCACTCAGCCTGGCCGTGTGTCTGTGGTCTGGGCAAAAAAAGTCGAAGTAAATCATGCCTCCTTGAACAGCTATAAAGAAGCCGCAGGCTCGCAACCTTGGTTTGTATTTTCCCATTCCTCATCACAGCAGACAATTCACCACATCCATCTATCTCAATCATCTCAACATATCCTCGCTTTAAAGCCTCTCAAAAAGCCCAACCCAAAGTCCAAACAATCAAAATGCGTTTCGCCGCCACCTTCGCCACCCTCGCCCTCGCCCTCAGCGGCAGCGCCGTCGCCCAGAGCACGGAGGACGTCTCCGTCACAGCCTTCACCCTCCACAAGGCCGACGCAGCGGGCACCGTCGACGGCGTCTCGTTCAAGCTTGACGGAAAGGACGGCAAGGGCATCGACTGCAGCGCGACTGCCACGCAGATCACTGCTGGTGTGCCCACTGCCGAGTTGGCCTGCAGCAACAACAAGTACAAGTTCACCGTACTCCCTGGCACTGACGCCGCGACTTTCGGCTTGAAGATCACTCACGACACGTAAGTTACCTACTCAAATCTTATCCCATACTTGATACGATGTTGTGAGCACCAAGGCTAACAGAAACATAACCAGTATCTCCGGCCAAGGCAACGTCGCCCTCAACTGCCGCAGCGGCGGCGGCGCTGCCCAGGTCTGCAGCCAGACCGAGGCCGCCGTCAAGATCAGCCTTAAGGCTTAAATGGTATCGGGACTGTCTGTTATGTCGTGAATGATTGAGGATATGAAAGGGTTAATGAAGCACGCTAGAGAAGCTTTAGAGATAGATGGAAACGCTGTTTTGATTTCAAGTAACATTCTTACACATAGACAATTTTAGAGCATCTTGTTTTGCAACTGCCTATTCCTTCAAGTTCGAAAGTGATGTACAGATAAACTCGTGATAAGCTGAACGAATCAAGCCTTATAAATATTCATTCTGTTACCGCTTAGCAACTCCAGCTTATTAACCAAGTCAAAATAGGACTTCGTACTAGCACGATGTGAGGAACTTAGCTTCAGATCCAATGAAGGCGAAGTATGTGGTTAGGTAGTGCTCGCACTATAGTGAGATCGTGAATGCCGTAGCTATGAAACGTCGTTTAGTTTCAGGCTGTGGCCATTCAAGTAAACGACTTGTTGAACGCGTTGGTTGCTATTCTGTACAGAGATTGAGTCAAATGTGTTAATAGATGTAAATACTATACTTGGATATGTAAAATAGCATATAGATATATTTGGTCAGCTAGCCCCTTCAAGCAGTCCCTCCGAAAAAACTCCAGCACAGAACGCTTCCAGAATAGATAGTCAACTAGATCTATAATTAAAAATCTTGATGGCGTAATAGTATGTTAAATATGTTTCAGCGTCTTTGGCGAAATCTTACTCGGATATGCGAGCAGTAGTGTTGATAAACATTAAGCAACAAGCGTCAATCGAGTCGTCTGATTTCATCGTCGTCGTATATCATCCGGCAATCACCTAGCTAGATATGTAATGGTGTCTCATGTTCGTGATAAGCCCTCACTCAATCGTCTAGGGAGAATCATCGGATAGCTTGAGGCATCGCTCGAATAATTCGACTGTCTCTTGGACGTATCCCACTTTCTCGCCTAATTCGATCGACCGATAGTACCAAGGTTGGTCGATTTGCTGTGGGAAGTTGCCAAGTGAATCCGCCGCATCACGGAAGACGCGCCATCTACTCTCAAAGTCTCGGCCCATCTGGTCGGCCCCTGCCGTGGCACCAATCTTCCGGCAATAATTCTCTACCGCCGACATCGCCTCAAGCGTTTGAATATGCGCCGGTCCGTAAATTTCCTGCGAAATCTTCAGCAGGTTGTGTCCTGCTTGTACTGCCTCCGCCTGTGTTCCCTTCCGCTCTTTGATTTCAAACATTAGCCAAGCAGTCTTGCAGCGGAGATCCGGGTAAAGACTGGGCAGTCGCGTATCTAGCCAGGCAATTATCTCTTTGGTGACGGTCTCGGCCTTCTTTAGTCGTCGTCTTCCAAGGCAAGTAAGTACTAATCTGAACTTGGTTTCCTGGAGTAGATATTCCGCGGCTTCCCTCGAGATCGCCCCTCCTGCAATCATAGCCTGGATGACGGTTTCGAGTAGGTTGAAGGAGAGCAGTCCGGTACAATGAAGCTGAATAAAAACAAACGCGCCCTGAACGTCATTGGTAGTATTCGTCTCTCTTGAGTTGACATGGCGTCCCCACATGTCTAAGTAGGATTCAAATATGGCACCGGCATGATCGTTGATTCCGCGCATGCCCGTAAGTACAACCCGAGACCAGAGTTGGTTGAATGGATGCCCCGGTGGAAGAATCAATGCCGTGAGCTTTGAAGCGTAGTCAATGAAAGCGTCACCAAGCTTGTTGTTTTGACTAGCAAGGACTATTGCGCACTTGTAGGTAGCCAACCAGAACATCGAATCTGGCTGTTGCAATTGCAACTTGTACTGGTCGAAGCACATACCCAGCAGCGAGAAGCCTTCTTTTATTCGGCCATGGCGAATCAGCCCCTGTGATGAAGCTACGTAATGTTGCCAGGTGAAAGCACCATTCATTTCGGCGCGCTCTCCCTGAGTTGCCATTTGCCACATCCCATTATCGAAAGCCCCATTTATGAAATTGCGGAGAATCTGCATACACTCGTGTGGCACTCTCAGCTCGGTAGGTTCCTCGATGCGGGGAGAAATGGATATGTTCGAATCGGTCGCGTCGGGTGAGGGTGAGGGCGATGGTGTTCGACAGATTACCTGGGATATCCTTGATCTGGATCCTTCATCGTTTGCCCCCTTCTCGGCGCGCATGATCTTTTTTGAAATAAGCGGCGCCGCGCGATATCGATACCGTTGTAGTCGATCTGGATCAATCCGTCTGCCTCTGATGTAAGCTACTGTTGGTTTTCCGATTGCGGCGCGAGCAGTCTGTTGGCGAAAGATCTCGACGGCTTCCTCAGCTTTGATCTTCTTCTCGATGCCCCATTTCTGAAAGCGGGCTTTGTACATCCTCACGCTTATTAACCGGTTAGATAGTTGGCCAACGATCATGACAAACTGTAGAGTCAGTCATAACTAATCGAAACTCACGTTGCGAAGAACTGGTGATTATCCTGCATTATTTGCATAATCTCCTTTAACGTCTTATTTTGATCTCGATCTAGTAGATATACTGTCAATTCATAGTCCATTTTGCAAGCAAGGACTACCCGGGTAGGGTAAGAGCTAACGACGGCAAAGAAATAACAAGCATGACGATCGATTGCGGGAGGGTGAAGTGTCAATTCAACATACTAACAGCAGGTTAGCTCAATATAGACACAATGGGGCAAATTGGAATGGGAAGATAGTACCAGAGGGTTGTGATATAATCCCTTTGTGAAGCCCAATCGTCGGCGGTAGCCCAGCCATTGTGGCCTGTGGGTGTGGCCATTGCGACGCGAAGAAACAAGCAATCGATAATCGAACGTCAACTGAGCATCTACAATTTGGCTAATTGGCTCGCGGATCGTGGCACGACAGAGCTGATGTCAGACGGTGGACAGGAAGGGAAATCGTTGATGTTGGTAGTTGAAAAATGGTAACACTATCGAGGGCCGCGCAAGTGCTGGGTATCCAAAGGTCTGGGAAATGGGAAATGCACGTAAGTAAAATGCAAGTAAGCCGCACAAATAGAACCAACAGAATGTCATTCCCGCATATTTTCCGGGAATAAGTAAAGGTCAAGGGCTAGCGACGATCCGATCTGGTACGTGACAATGACCCTTGGGCGATCTTGTAACACAATACGCTTGGGCATCGGGATGGGACGATGCGACTATGCGACTGGGTATGCGATGCTCTCTTCTCTTCTCTTTTCATCGTGGGGTGAGCAGGGTGTATCGGATGAGGCCTTGGGAGGGACCGGGTGTTCTTACTGTACGTAAGCAGACTGGGCAGACAGGGTCAAAGAGGCAAAGGCAGATTGCCGTGGAGAAGACAAAACAAGATTGACAACCTTGTCTCTCTCTCTCATATATATAGTATTGATATTAGCCGGAATTGTGTGAAGACGGCGAGACCTTCATAGTCCTCGGTCAATGAATCTGTTTGCTCGCAATATCCGAAACCTCGACGGCGATCTCCCCTTGCTTTACCTAGGTATGTAGGTATGTAGGTACGTGGAAATCTTCACCACTGTTGGCTTACGAAGAAAAGCTGGAAAGGAGAAGTTTGGTCGTGCGGCGTAGCGACGTTGTACAACATCACGCGAGAACCAGACTTCGGCAATTTGTACCCGTAGCACCTGCCATAGACGCACATAGAACGATGAGTGGAATCGTTCCATGCGAGTCTAGTGCTACCCTAAATTAGGCCAAGGTACAAGACCGTAAGCTAACGTTAATGCGCACGGTTCCCCAATAGTGGACCAAGTTTGGTGGGTCTGAAGAGATGGGCATTGTGGGGTTACAGTAATCTTCTGCCAACTGCCGGTCAGCTGGTAGATGTGGCTGAAATGTTCCAGGGTTGTTCCTGACTCGAGTGTGTGTACATTGTATGTACAACCACGAATATAATGGTTGACCCGGTAAATTATGTCATTGGCCATCGAAGTAAACAACGTCAAGCAAAAGTTAAATCTCCCAACGGTCTAAACAAACAATGACCCGAAGTCGGTATCGTAAATAACATCTTCTTCTCTAAGACAGTGCCAATTTTTCATAACCGCATACTGCTTTCCGTATTACCAACTGATCACATTTTGGCTTTCGACTTTCTATGAGGTTTGTTTACCACCCCACCTGCAAACATTCATCCCACTTCATAGCCCAAACCCGTGAAAACCGTGTATTCACAACCAAGCTAGAAAGCCAGGCGACAAATTCGGAATTCGGCCAAGGAACGATCTCAAGTCGACCGATACACCCGATTTCCTCAAACCCAAGTATACAGAACACAATAAATGGGTTGAAAGGGAGATAGAAGAAATCAAGGATTGGATTATAAGTGACAACCACGTAAAACGACCCCAGCAGAATCATTCCACTATGGTTAAAGAACACGCACCGCCAAAGGTGCCGTTGCGCCCTTTGGGATCTAACGAAACAAATGGCAATACTTCAAACCAGGCAAACCAGCGTGATGAAAAGACATCAGGTTATACAAACACGAGCACGGCAAAAGTCGCTTCTGTTGATCTTACTTCAAGTGGACAACCTGCCACCGCCCCTACCCGAGCACCAGCACCAGCGCCAGCACCAGCGCCAGCTATCAAGTCGCGAGCATTCTCCGGAAATATCGAAGACAAATATGCCAACCTTTTCATTCAACCAAAAAGCCGCCCGGAACACCACCGACCACAACGAATCACGGGACCGTTGCAGCCTACTTTTAAGGACAAGAAGCCGCCGCCACCTCCCACGTTCAACACCATGCCCGGTCCGGCAGGATCTTCTACTAACCCGATATCGGTCTCTGATGGTCCAGTCTCGATCTACAGCCAACCGGGTGTTTTTTCTGCGTATGTTGACCCGAAGAAAGCCGCCTCCGATATTAAAGCTTTACTCGAAGGATCTATACAAGACGAGGAGGATAAGGAAGTGAAAGAAGAAGATGGTGAAGATAAGTCCCACATCGAAGGACTTAGCGTTCCACTCTTGCGTCATCAAGTCGAGGGTGTAGAATGGATGAAAGGTCGCGAACTCGGCCCTGTCAAGAAAGGAAAAGTTCCCAAGGGTGGTCTCCTTGCTGATGACATGGGTTTGGGAAAAACCCTGCAATCAATAGCACTTATATTGAGCAACCAAAAACCACAAGATAAACACCCAGGAGTTGAGAAGACAACATTGGTTGTTGCCCCTCTAGCTCTTATCCGTCAATGGGAGGCTGAGCTGAAAGAGAAGGTGACTGAATCCCACAAGTTGAAAGTCCTTGTGCATCACGGGCCGCAGCGCACGAAGCGCTTCGAAGAGCTTCGTCGATACGATGTCGTCATCACAACATACCAGATCTTAGTATCTGAGCACGGCCACTCCAGTGATAGCCTAAAAGCTGGTTGTTTCGGGTTACATTGGTATCGTGTTATCTTGGATGAAGCACATACGATCAAGAACAGAAACGCCAAGGCCACGAAAGCTTGCTACGAGCTTAGAAGCGTATATCGTTGGTGTCTCTCTGGAACTCCGATGCAAAATAACTTGGATGAACTGCAGAGCTTGGTGAAGTTCCTTAGGATCAAACCTTACGATGATCTCCGCGAATGGAAGGATCATTTCGAGATACCGATGAAGAACGGTAAAGGTGACGTTGCAATGCGCCGCCTCCATAGCTTGTTGCAATGTTTCATGAAACGTAGAACCAAGGACATCTTGAAGGAGGCCGGTGCTCTCAACGCTGGTGGAAAGGAATCCAAGGACGGCGAAAAGGGCGCGACTGCAAGCTTCAAAGTCACAGAGCGGAAGGTTGTGACAGTCGCAGCTGAGTTCACACCAGCAGAGAGGCGCTTCTATGACAGACTGGAAAAGCGAACGGATAAGAGCATCGAGAAGATGATGAAGAGCAAGCTCAACTACGCAAGCGCCCTGGTACTACTCTTGCGCCTAAGACAAGCTTGTGACCATCCAAAACTTGTTGAGGGAAAACTTGAGAAGGACAAGGACGCTTTGTCTGAAGAGACGAAACCGAAGAAGAATGATTCGGACGTAGATGCCCTTGCCGACCTCCTAGGCGGCTTAGATGTCGAAACTAAGCACTGCGACATCTGTGGTTGGGAACTAGACCGCGAAAGTCGCCAACCCGGATCGGACAAGTGCAAGGCCTGCTTCGAAGACCTCGAGTATTTCAAGCACCACGAGGATGGAGGTGACCTGAAAACTCCGAAAATTAGAGCGAAAAAGAAGAAGAGCAAGGCTAAGGTTAAGAAGGTGGTGGAAGAAAAGGTCAAGACCGAGATTGTCCGAAAGCGGAAACCCAGAAATCGACGCGCAGTCCTCGACAGTGACGAGGAAGAGGAGGGAGCCGACTGGATTGTCTCCGGTGATGAGCAAGGCCCGTTGCGCTTAGGCAAAGCTGGCGGTACGGACGACGAGAATGCTGAGGGCGAAGGCGAAACCATCAACTCGGAAGATTCGGAAGATGAAGAGACCCAAGACGGCAGTCAATTAAACAGCTTTATTGTAGATGATGGCAAAGATACGAAGCCAGAAGAGCTACAACGTGCATTGGAGGAACCAGACTCCGAGGATGAGTTCGAGTCCGTCTCGGTAATTGAATCCAAGTTGAGCAAAGCGAAACTTGAAGACAGCGAGGATGATGGGGATGATGAAGGCGATGAGAACGATAAAGATGATGAAGACAAGGACGACGATGAAGAAGATGCAGACTCAGAGTCCCAATCCGATTCTGAAGATGACGATACTGGCATTTCCGAATCTGACATAGACGGCGATTCTTCAGACGATGATGGCTACTACCACCGCTCCCGGCGTGAGAAGGAGAAGACACCGCATGTCCTAGCATCCGCCAAGATCCGACAGTTAATCACGCTCCTCCACAAGGAGGTGCACGACCACAAGTTCATCGTCTTCTCGCAGTTCACCAGCATGCTCGACCTCGTAGAGCCTTTCTTCCGCAAGGAAGGTATCAAATATACGCGGTACGACGGCAGCATGAAGAACGACGCGCGCGAGGAAGCGCTCAACTCCTTGCGACACGACGCGCGCACCAGGGTTCTACTATGCTCGCTTCGATGCGGCGCCCTAGGTCTCAACCTGACGGCCGCCAGCCGTGTCGTCATCCTCGAGCCCTTCTGGAACCCGTTCGTGGAGGAACAGGCCATCGACCGCGTGCACCGGCTGACGCAGACGGTCGACGTGGTCGTGTACAAGCTCACGATCGAGAACAGCGTCGAGGGCCGCATCCTCGAGCTCCAGGAGAAGAAGCGGCTCCTGGCCGAGGCCGCCATCGAGAGCGGCGCCAGGAGGGAGGGCGGCCTCAAGCTCGGCCTCAAGGAGATGATGGAGCTGTTCCGCCACGTGGGCGACAGCCGCGGCGTCGGCGACGCGCCGGGAGGCGTGTACGACGAGGACGAGGCCCTGAGGCGCGATCTCGTGGCCTCGATGTCGACGATGCGGAGCAAGAATAACCAGGGCCAGAGGAAGAATGCGAACGAGAGCTCTATCTACGGTCGTAGGTGGTGAGCAAGAGAGGGGGAAGAACGATGCGGTTTTACACGGTTCACGATAGAAGATAGGATATGGCGTTAAGGGCTCTGTTTTGTCGCGGGCTTGTCTTTAATGGACGTCAAACACGGCGAAGTGCATATGTACCTAGTATTGCTAGACATCATAATGGTTACATACAGTGCGTATCATCCACGTTCGATCTAATCTTGACTACCTATGTACTTCTCATGTTTTGGATTGCATTATCATTATTCGCCTCGGCGATTAATTCATTTGTCTTTCTATGCTTTGCAGACCGTACGCCATGCAATCTTGGTACAACTCAGGCGAGTCTTGTCTATGGAAACTGTCCGAAACCGCTCACAAGACGTAGGACTCACTCATAGGTACTTTACAACTGCAACATAGTTTTGGTGGGATATCTAGCCTGTTAATAAACGATCTAAGACCAATGCTCACACTCTACCCTCACATATAACTATCACGACGACGCTAACTCCGACCTCCCCCAGCGCCGCGATGAACGGGAGCATCGGCATCGGCTCGCGACGTCGACTCGTCTAGATAGAATCTCAAGACGTGATCGGGGATCGCCAAATGCGTGGTCTGTTCGAACTCCTGCAGGCTGGTTAGGCGCAGCAGCATCTCGAGGAGGGAGAGCGAGGTTTGGATAGCGCCGAAGGGGGAGCGTTCGAGTAGGTCCTCGTCCAAGGTCCCGGCATCGGGGATTAGCGCGCCGGAGTTGCGGGAGGAGGGGCGAGAGGAGGAGGCTAGGCTCATTCGGCTGAGCTGCGATACCAAGTTTGAGTCGGCGGAATGACGGGAGGCAGGCTTTATACGTCGAGGATGCGGTGAGATTGGGATAGCCTCATTTTTGGCATCCGTATCTTGGTCCTCTTCTTCGGGTGTAGGCTCGTCTTCGTTGTCTGTGGCGTCTGTGCTGTCGTCGCTTATGTCGAAGACTTCAAGGGCTATCCACTCAGGATCCAGGTCTTGAGGAAATTTGAAAGGGTTGGGAGTCTTTGTCGGCCGGTTGTTCTCGCTTTCGAGTTGGAGCTGGAGTTGAACTTGATCATTGATGTCGTCCTGGGAATCGGCTTCCAAGGTGCCATTAGATTTAGTGCTTTCGTCGACGTCTTGAATCAACCCTGTTTGTGCCATGTGATCAGATGTTGCAATTTCCTTGGTTACATGTATAGCTTTGGTATCCCTCTTGAGCAGGAGTACTGGATTACTTGATGCGCCGTCATCATTATTAATATTCAGTATCCTCCCAACATCTGCGTAGAACATCTTTGATATTTGATGGATAGGGACATATTCTCGAATACCAGCGGCACGAACACCATCATAGGAAGTCGGTTGAGCATCGCCATCTTCAAGTGTGTGAACTCGTCCATCATCTAGATCTTCCACAATCTGAAGTTGGTACGAGTAACCCACATACGAGACGTTGGTTCCCAAGCCGTTCATATTGTGGAGCTCATCCTCAAGTGGCACCCTGCGGAGCCGGACTCGAGCCTTATGAATCACCTCCTGCCATAGCGGCTTGTGCTGACCATCTTCTAAGCCATATGGTTCTCTAGGATTTTCAAGACAAGTATGAGCCCGAAAGAGCATGTAAATAGAAAGCATAAAATCCGGACCAATCTGCATAGGCGTACTAGAGTTGAGGATATATTGGGTGTCCCCAACATTCACTAGCATGCTAGCTTGCAATAGACGAGACGGCGAGAAACCGGACGGCTGGGTTTGGATGCCCCCAATGGCTGATACCCAGAGATTGATAAGTGGTATGGAGTCATCAATGTCGATAATTAACTGCTTGATGTCGGTGATGATGCTCTGAATTTCGAGGCGCCGTAGGGAGGCGGCGGTGGAATTCTTAACTCCCCCATTCCGCCGTGATTCATCTGCCAAGGCAGCATTTTCAAGGCGTTTCCCAAGAGAGTCGACATTGGCTCTTAACTCCTGTGCTGTACGCACCACAACCTCCAGAGCTGAGTTTCCGCGTGTGTAACGGAACTCAATCGATTCTAGTATGGGAGAGACAAGCTATTATAGTGGTTAGCCGTGACTGATATTTGACACGTTGAGATGGATTTATCGGTGAGCAGCCTACATTCTAACTGATCCGGTTAGATATGACTTACCTCGATCTTGCGAGCCAACCGTCTTTGCAGGTGGCTTAGCTCGGTGCGTAGGGGGTCATCGTCGACTGTCTATTTTACATAATTAGCTTGGGCAGCTATCTGATAACCCAAAGTAGGTATGTAAGGAGTGCTTCGTTGATGAATGTGAGTATAGTTGATTGTTTTCATACCTTCAGTAACCGCGAGCCTTGCTGGATGACATAAGTGGATGTCAGAGCAAGACAAGATCTGATGGCGTAGTTGGTGGCGTGGTAAGATAATTTGGCTAGGAATGCATCCATGACCAATAGACCAATATATATGGGAATATATGGATGGTGGTTATTGTCTTATTGCTCTATCCACACATGCGAATTATGCATGAAGAAAGACTCACTCTCCCCATGGAGGGCAATTAAGACCTCATAGATGCCCAACTTGTCAAGTATCAGCCAAGCCACACCTTAGGTCAATGGCCGTCCTCAAATCGGAATGCATAGATTCACAGTTATGGATGTTGAATGTTGAAAGAGAAAGATTCATTAAAGTTCACCGTTCGAGTGTAAACATTATTACACACCGCATAACTTATTCAATGTTTACATAGGTTGCACAGTGATACAAATGGTGTATTAGGTACTCTAGGTAGCAAACAGAATGAATGCTCCTTTTAACGAATATATGAGACCTATAAATGCATAGATTGGATTTAAGACATATCATTGCAATATTACTCCCATTTCCGTAGGGCTTAGTGGAATATGGCATGTACAAACTTAAAAATACGTGGTATAACGGTATAATACCGAGGGGCTGATTCCTCCGTCATTGGCGGGGCAAAACCTCTCTCCCCGCTAAACTTTGCGTCCTCCAAGATTCTTTTCCCTTCACATCCCGCCGCAAACTCTCAGACAATCAGGTCAAGTCAGACGACAGGGTTAGGCAGATTTCCTAACATCCTTCACTCTTCTCTTCTACCTGACTCATTAGAGGGCTTATTTACTCTCGTCCTTCATTTACCTTTTAGATATACCGATCATCCCACCACTGTTCACCACGTCATTCCCGGTCGCACAACCACGAATTCCGATTTCTTTTTGCGACGACGATTTTTTTTTTCTTCTGTTAGCACCCGAGCAGCTTCGTTTACCGTGACTTCGTATTCGATTATTTTACAGAGAAAATCAACACCATGGCAGACCTTAACTCTTGGGAAGACGACCCTGCCGCTCAGGACGACAACCTGTCGAGACAGACTCAGCAGATGAACCTGAACAACCAGCCTCAAAACCCTGCAGCCGCATCATTCCGACCTGGCGCTGCCTCCTTCCAACCAACCGCCCAGACCTTCCAGCCAGGTCAAGGTTACGGCGGTGGTTATATGCCAAATTACCAACAAGGCTACTATGGAGGCCAGAACTACTACCCCCAGTATGGCGGAGGCCAAGGCGGCTTTCCGCAGTATGGTCAAGGACAGGGTCAAGGCCAGGGCTATGGAAATATCTATGGACAAGGTGGATACAATCAGGGTTATGGTACTGTCCATCTCGAAAAAAACATCAAACTTATGCTAACTTTAATAAGGTCAACAACAACAATATTATCAGCAGCAACCCCAATCCCAACAGAAGCCCAAGCAACAAGCCCAGCAGCCTCAGACAGTGCCTACCATTGCTAAGCGAGGCGACCAGACCGCATCACCTGCTGCTGCTCCCGCCGCCCCTACCGCTAGCGCGCCAAAGCCTGTCGCTAAACAAGAGGGAGGAACCAAGGTCTTAAGCATAGGCGGAGACCCTCCGAAGCCTAAGGCTGCTAAGGTCCTTTCTATCGGTGTCCCTACACCCCCGAAAGAGGAGCCCAAAGCCGAGAAGGAGGCATCCGCAGATGCTGGCTCTAAGGTAACGGCAAATAAGGCCATTGAGAAAACCGGCGAGAACACAAAATCGTCCAAGACCTCAAGTGGAAAGACCTCTCCTACACCTTCCTCTGGACGTTCGAGTCCTTCAAGAAGTAGCAAGGCAGCAGCAGTCCGCGATGCCGACGCCGTTGCAAATGAACAGGCCGCCGATGTTGACGAGGAGACATTGAAGGAAATTTATGGAAAGGAACACATAAATATTATCTTCATTGGTCACGTCGATGCTGGAAAATCGACGCTAGGTGGCTCTATCTTATACGCAACCGGCATGGTTGACCAGCGTACCATGGACAAGTACAAGAAGGAAGCGAAGGACTTGGGCAGGGAGACTTGGTATCTTTCGTGGGCGCTCGATTTGACCAGCGAGGAACGATCCAAGGGAAAGACAGTCGAAGTTGGAAGAGGATTCTTCGAAACCGAGAAGCGACGATATAGCATTCTAGATGCCCCTGGCCACAAGACCTACGTCCCGAGCATGATTGGAGGTGCTTCCCAGGCGGACGTTGGTATTCTCGTTATTAGTGCGCGTAAGGGAGAGTATGAGACCGGATTCGAGAAAGGTGGACAGACCCGTGAGCATGCTATGCTCGCCAAAACGCAAGGTGTCAACAAGCTTGTTGTTGTCATCAACAAGATGGACGATGCTACAGTCAACTGGTCGGAGGCCCGATACAAAGAATGTACCACGAAACTCATGCAATTCCTCAAGGGCACAGGGTATAACTTAAAGACTGATGTCTTCTTCATGCCCATTGCTGCTCAACAAACCTTGGGTATCAAGGACCGTATTCCATCCGATATCTGCCCCTGGTATGATGGACCATCTCTGCTGGAGTATCTCGATAATATGCAAGCTCTTGAACGGAAGACCAACGCTCCATTCATGATGGCCATCAGCGGAAAGTACAGAGATATGGGTACGATGGTTGAAGGCAAGATCGAAGCAGGCGTCTGCAAGAAGGGCATGACCTTGATTATGATGCCGAACAAAGAAAAGGTTGACATCGCTGCTCTTTATGGCGAAACAGAAGACGAGATCCAAGTTGCTCAATGCGGTGACCAAGTGCGGATACGGCTCCGAGGCATTGAAGAGGACGACATCTCCGCCGGCTTCGTGCTCTGTTCTCCAAAGCGTCTAGTCCATAACGTCTCGGCATTCGAGGCCCAGATCAGGATTCTCGAACTGAAGAACATTCTTACCGCTGGGTTCAACTGCGTCCTGCACGTTCACTCCGCTGTTGAGGAGGTCACATTTGCTGCGCTACTACACAAGCTGCAGAAGGGAACCGGCAGGAAGAGCAAAGTACCACCGACCCATGCGAAGCGAGGGGATAGTATCATTGCTAGGATGCAAATTACGGGCGGCGCTGGTTCGGTTTGCATCGAAAGATTCGAAGACTACCCCCAAATGGGTCGCTTCACCTTAAGAGACCAGGTATGTTTCACGATTCAGGTATCATCTGTTGCTAAGTACTAACCAAGTAATTTCAGGGTCAAACCATTGCTATCGGCAAGATTACGAAGCTTATCACTAATGAGACTGGTTAAAAAAGACCTATACCATTCATTAATGAAGCTTGATGAATACAGTCGATACTCTGCCTAGGGACTTACCCCCAGAAGGGTACACGAGCTACGTCGGTGGAAAAATAGCAAGTCGCCCAACTGCGCTGCTACTGATGGATGATATTATGTCTCCATACGTGAGAATAAAACAAATGGTAGCAGGGATAAGGAATGGCAAAGATAGAATTGACGATGACCAATAAAAGCCATTCTTTTTCCTAGACAAAGCATCATCTTGTCCTTCCACAAATCAAGTGTGCTAGGTACAACTTTTCTGACGTCCATAATTGGTTGCAGAATAGAAGTGCTACCAATCCAAACTTTTAATCACATTCAGGGTCTTCACAAATTTAATGCCCATAGGAAGGTACGATTCTTCCCTTGGTGACAATGTGTTCATAAAATTAAGCCGGGCTGTTGTACATCCTCCTACCTAGGTACCTATTCCTATATCAAAAATACTTCTTTCGATCACGAAGTATTAGGGTAATCTATTCCAATGGGCAAACCAACCAATTTCGAGGAACCGTGAATCTTTAGAAGGCCCCCTTTATGACATTTAGCACATGATAGGCTTTGGAAACAAGGCCTCCTTTTCCTAAGTTTCTGTATAAATATATCATTCGGATACCAAAGTCTTAGGTGAGAGGATCGTTTGTTTTAAGGGATAGATTTCTCGCTGGGTTACTTGTTGTTTGTTTATGTATAGAGAAATAAATACCCACGTGTTAGAAGATTGCTCATGAGAAGTGTCTGTTAATTTGCTGTTTGGTCTGATAGGATAGTAATCGATGTGTTGAGTCACTATTGGGCCACAATTAGTGGCTGTATCCGAAAGATAACGATCATCGAGGTTCAGTTGCTTGCCCATTAAGGTAATCAGTCATCGCTATCTCGGAAGTGTAGCAAAGTGAAGGACCTACTGCGTCTTTGGTTGGAGTACAAATAAGAGTGAGCGTATCTTCCGGTCACCAGTCATCCTAGGTTCACTCCCGAAGGACAGATTTCTTCATGCTCGTACAGATCCTCGCGAGAAGCTATAATTATCAGCGTCGCTAAGTCTTGCTAGGAAATGGAAAGTTTCCTTGTGTGAGGTAACCCAGGTGCTTAGGGGTACCACGATGTCTGTCATCCCGGCATCCGGAGAGCAACTCGCGCGCGCGTGACAGCTAGGACCAGGTAGGCGGAAAGGGGTGGTCAGCACTTAATCGTCCCCCGTAAACGATACTACAGCTGATCTATCCTCGTCTTATACATCGCGGAATAAACACTTCTACGCGATCTACCCACTAGGGTGGTAGCGTCGTGGTACGGGTTTGACTGCCGGGGGCGGCAAAGCATGATCTAGGGGTATGGAACCAAAGCCCGTCTTACATGCCTACAGCGGGGTGGGTTCGTCGGCTACACTGGTTGCTGATTGATAGCCCCGTTTTCTCCTCGCGCAGTCCATCGACCCGACAGAGGTTATTGCTCATCGATCACGGTTCGCGTAGTACAAGTACCAGGATCTATGTTTGAGTATACCAAGGCTTTGCTTCTTCTCTCTCTCGTTTTTCTATATGCGTATGCGTATGCGTATGTATGTGTGAGTCCCGCCATGCGTGAGCAGGTGGCGGGCCGATGTCTTGCCTCCCTCGTGCATAGGTAGCTCCCGAGGACTTGATGTCGTGCGTGGTCGCCCGCAGTATGCGAACACCTCCGTACGGTTCCTGTGGGATCCGGGGCTAGTTACAGCGCTAGTCTGACCTGTGCTATAGTGTGCCGTGTTTGTGGAGCATTAGGCGTGAGTAAAGGGGAAGGTGTGGCTAGTACCTAGCTTATGAGGATGATAATGAGAAGGGTGATGGTATGACTAAGTTCCCATGGGCTATGACTAAGGCGTTTAAGATGTTAGTAATTACTTGTTCAAGTGACCTCTAGTATGATGAGAAGTATTGGTATTAATATTCTTCTACACCTTGCGTAATTCCATGTTAGTTGAACGACCTTCCTAAGTGTGATAACCCGAGGCTGGGTGTCTGGGATCTACAAGAAACTGGTTAATGCCATCGTCCCTCATAGCCGGGGAATTGCGAGAATCCGGTAACACGCTTGGATCCCTAAGTATTGTATAGATCTACATGACATGTACTCGAACATTTATGGTATGTAAGATCTCACAACGTGTAAATGAACGATATCGAATACTCATTAACCGAAATCGTTCTAGCTGCAATACTTCTGACAACATGTTGTACAAAAAAAGAAAAAGAATTCCTGTCATAGCTTGCTTTGGGGTTTGGCAAGCGAAAGCTTTGAGGTCAACGTCGCCTCCGCCTCCTTCTCTATCCTATCCAAGAGAGCACCACATGTCGGGATGTCATGGATCAGACCAATGACCTGCCCGGCAGTCCAAACCTATCATTTCTCGTGTTTAGCAAATGTGGCCAGGGGTAAGAAAACGAGGATAGTGTGACTTACGCCGAATTCAGCATCTCCATTTATGAAAACTTCCCGACCTCGCTTCCCGCTTACATAAGGGGCGATCTCGGCAAATTCGCCTGTCTTACTCTCCTTTTCGATCTTCACGACCTGGTCCGTGACCTTATTGCGGTACAGACGCGTGGTGTTGGTCCACCTCCGCATTACCAGGGCTGTGTCGGTTTCTTGAGCCTGGACGATCTGCTCCTTGATCTTCTGGTGGATAGGGGCTTCGACGGTACACATGAAGCGGGTACCCATGTTGATGCCTTCTGCACCGAGACAAAGGGCAGCGGCTAGGCCTTGGCCATCGGCGAAGCCTCCAGACGCGATGAAGGGCACCTTGAGTGTCTGGCGTGCCTTACTTAGAAGGATGAAATTGGTGATGTCCGACTCGCCCACGTGTCTGCCAATCGTGATGAGCGTTTCATGTCTAAGCTATGCGAACGGACATATATGATCCCGGTAACTGGGATTTGTTTAATCTACTCACCCCGCGCATTCAAATCCATCTATGGAGAGAAAATCCACCCCGAGCTTGATGGCACTCTGGGCGTGCCTGATAGTAGTACATTTGTGGAGAATGATGATACCAGAAGCCTTCAGCTTAGATATGACTGGACCGGGGCTGTTGCCTGCGGTCTCGACGACTTTGATACCCTCGTCGATAACAACCTGGGCGTAGGCACCATAATCCGGGGGGACCATGGTAGGCAGCAGGGTGATGTTGACGCCGAATGGGTTTTTCGTCATCTTCCTACACCGCCGGATCTCATTTCTCAAATCCTCGGGTGTGGGCTGGGTGAGAGCTGTGAGGATACCCAACCCTCCCGCATTAGACACGGCAGCGGCCAGCTCAGCGTATCCAACATACTGCATGCCACCCTGCACGACAGGAATTTTGATGCCCAGGCGGCGAGTCAGCTCGGTGTTGAAAGGCATCTTGAGTTCGGGATTGGTGGCCTTGTGCCAACCACCTTGATAGGTATAACTGAAGCCTGATAAATGCTGATAAATACCTAGGTATATGACAAGCCGGATAAGGTGGATGACGGAGGAACGAAGTACGAACGATATATTGAGGCTATATTGTAACAAAACAAACAAGTCGAATAACAAACTTGATTGAAATAGCAGTTGCCGACAAACTTAGTCGACGCGGTTAAGGTTAGGTATTACTAGGTAGAGGCGTGTATTATCACATAATAAGGACGACGAGATGCCGAGGTAAGTTAGATTCACTAGACCCACATTCGGCGTTGGGATCAGTTGACCTTGACTCGTAACCCCGTTTCCCGGTTATGACTTCCACATTCCAGCCACTCACCGAGCTTTTGTTACCTACCTGTGCCTTCCAGCTCTTGTTACCCGTTACCGGTCAGGCCAATCTTAAAAACTGTCAGGTGCTGGGTAATTTGGCAGTCTGTTACACAATGCATCCATGCGTCTTGCACGTGCCGAATACCGTACCTACCTAAGAGCTGCTAGGAGGTATTTTAACGGAATCCGGGGTTAACTGTGACCGCCGTTCTTGGCACCTACTAGCTTGGCGCTCCCCCTTTTCAGCTTTCCCAATCTTAATAATTATCTCATCATCCCACCTAGTCGCCGCCAATTGTCCATGCTCAACACTTAATTTGAACCTCAGACAAAACCGAACGCTTTACTCTATCAATGAATTTGATCCGGAGGTGGTTTAACATTTAACATTCTACCTACCCAAAATCATACTCTGACTTATTGGTCGTAGTAATTGACACTCCCTTTATATCTTACTACAACTTCAAATACATTTGATAATAGGATCTCTCTCTCTTTTCTCCGGTTTCGTACACTTTGATCTGGCCACAGGCTCGACTCGTCACTGGTTCGTTCGTTAATCTGAGAAGATGATGAGCGGCAAGGGGTTTATTGGATGACGGGGGACAAACCGAGTTTTTCCTTCATGTTGTGTCATGATCCGTTTGTCATACCGGTGTAACGCTGGATATTCCGGCAGACTACCTATCCATTCCAAGGTTCAAGGTTATCTCTTCTAGAATCTTGCGCTGTCCAAGTCATGGCCTGCCACATCCCCATAATCAGCATTGGCTCTTTTTTCCGAAAGAATGAGATGAACCCGACAACCGGGCTTCTATACGAACAATCGTCGTAGATTTCTCGATGTAGAATTCCCGACAGGGCTACGGGAGTAAAATGATATGAGCTAAGGGCGACCTTGGCCAAGGCTGTTAAAGTACCAGCTGACTTCAGCAGCATGGTTTATGAGCCTAGATGTTAATATGAGGCGGTTGCGTCTTCTCGACCGAATAAACTACCTGGCTGCCCAGGTGGGCATGGGCCATTACCACTGCTGCTAATTCCCGTTTCTTAGATCTGGCCGGAACTTGAAGGCAAATATTACACTCATGCTGACCCCCGGCACAGCCCTGGAGGTTGAGGTCCGGACTTCTTGTTGATCTGGTGTCGTCATCGTCGTCGTGCTGTACATACTAGGTTGGTACCTACCTAGCAGCTTAGGTAGGGAATATGCTGCAATCTGCCTGGGTCCTCCTGTCTTGACAGGTACCTAGCTAGGTACTTTTCAAGTTCTGAGTTGTTTCACTTCGCTCACCCGCTGCCGCCCATTGGCTATGGCAAAGGGAGCAGAACACCATCGGCTTATTGCCCCTAGTATGAGTCATCTTGACAACGCCGGATGCTGGCAAACATTTGCTTACAGCAGGGCTAGCCTTCTTGTTCTAAAGCTGTTCGATACTACCTATCATGTCCCGCTAAAATATACTCAGTCAGCCTCCTAACCCGGGGATGATCTATACGAAATCTTACAGGAGGCATCCGATCTGTCTAGTCCAGGTATCCTGGTATCCTTGCAAGCGCACCATACAAGGTCTAGACAAAGTGTCTAAACGGATCTTCACAAGGATCTTTTACCCTCCCCATTATCATCGAATACGTGGGTCTACTCTCTACTCCTTCTAGCCCTTGCCATACCTCTCGGCCGAATCACATTGAATCTTGACCTGAGTGTAATATGTGGAATACAAGGCTTCAGCGGTCGTCCCTGCACTGCGCCGTTCCACGTTGCCATGCTGTTCCGATGAACCATCCTCACGGGTCCGTCACTAATCAGAAATCACAACATCTTGAGCTCCCTGATACGATCATAAACCCTCATTCAAATCGCGATTTCTTGTTTGGCGGATCGGGGACGTGCAGCAAGACCCAGGTGCGCAGGGCTGATACATGGAGATAGCCCCAAAGAACCTGTACCTGCCCTATTTCTTGCCAGCATACATGATAGCATCATGTGAGCAGCTCAACGCTCTCCACCGATATTCTCAGGGCCCACGGGTACCGGTGAAGTGCATCTCACATTCCTTTCTTTGACTTTAGATTATGCGTACCGAGACTCGGTATTCCGTCTAGATATGTCATATTAATTTCTCATCTTGGGGGGCACAGATACCTACTAGCTACCAGGTACAAGCCAACAAACTCTCATTTGACGATGAGGTCTTTTCGATTCCGGGATACGACTGCTTGAAACCCGAGGAGGCCAGTCAAACTTCACGCGCTTGTCCTGGCCGAAGTAGTATCCTGTCGTCACAACCGCCCTTCACACCGACTTGCTTGGCAGGTCGAATGGCCAATTCAGTAATTACGAGTTCATGGGCTAACTGCCGTCATATATGCCCAATAAGAAAAACAGGATAGCCCGGTCGATCATGTTCAGCTCTTTCAACCAGTCCCGAGACACAATGGCTACTAGGTAGGTAGGCGGATAGCCTAACCGCTCGTCTTAAACCCCTGCTTCAGCTTGAATCCTTCGTCTGAAGTTGGGAATTCTTCATGAGCAGCCACAAACGAGATCCAATGGCCACATTCGTCATCCCGCTCAGTTTATGCCTAACTCGCTACCGAATGCCTCAGCCTAACTTTTCTTTGATACCATGAGATGTTGGACTTTTTCAAAACAGGCCGTTGTCGTTTATGCGACCGGCCGTTCCTCGATCGCTCTGCATGCTTGTGTCTATCTCAACCAATCATAGTTTCAAGTCCCGATCAATTGGGTCGAAATTTGGGGGCGAGGCCCCTGACGGATCCCCCTGTCGGGGAATAAAAGATGGAAAAGCAAACATCAACAGCACAGCAAGCGAGAAGAGAGGCGTTTATGGTTGTCACCGTTGCGTCAAGAAGACAATGCATTGAATTAGGCAGAAAACAGCATGGCCTAATAAAATCACTCCTCTCTGCCCTGCAAACATAACATGTCTCCTAGGTTGATACTCTATGCACGATGCAGTCGGCCTTTGATACAACCCATATAAACGGCATTCGACGTTGAGTCGGGCTGTGCTCCAATGTTACAGGGACGACTCGAGACTCGGGGATTTTTCTATTGCTCACAACTGCCAGGATGCCACAACGGCAGCAGCTGTCCGTCGTGGCGCGGCTCAACCACGTTGTTGGGTCTGAATTGTCACGCAATAGCCAAGGGCCTTTTAACGCTTGGCCTGTCGAATTGGCCTCCTGTCTGTCCCGAGCCTACTGTTCATAAACGGGTTTTGCCTGTCATCTAATTGGACGTGAGGATAGTTGAGTATGCTTCCCTAAGTCTCGGGTTGAGACAGATTGCTCAGGGTTGGTTGTCATACAGCCGCGTAATAGGACGCATACAGACTGCGCACATATTGACTACATAGGAACCCACGGCTGCGCAGTACCACTCATTTATCAAAATATCTCCGAACTGGGGAAGTACCCAGGGTGTACTATGACATTGGCTGCTACGTCAAGCTTGACAGCAATACATCAGCCCTTCTCTATGCGTTTATTGCTCGCATGCTCTCATCAAAGGTGCAGGAAGCTGTCATTAAGTCGTACCCACGTACACCCCGCGCCCGATTTGGCCTTAGATGGTACGGTATTTCTCTTGTTTTCTTTTTTTTCCATCTGCCTCGTTTCAAATGTGCTTTTCTTGATGTGTGCACCATGCAGGTTCCTCAGCCCGCGCATCTGCGTTACATGTATTGTATGCACATACACCCGTCCTTTTTTTTATCAATAGTTTTTACTATACCATACCATATCCAGCTCTTTTTTTCCCCTTGAGCTGATCGGGGTGGGTCATAGATGGATGTCTATCATATTGCCCACTTATATTTTCTTCTTTTATTCCACGGCTCACCGGCCCTCTCACCTTTGGGGTTAGCATCGATGTTACCCGAACGAACACCTGCACAGTACCCGGCTACATCGTTTACCCCAGAGCTCCTTTCCCGTCTCGCAAATCACGGAAGATGGAAGTTGATGACGGTTTTCAGAAAGGGGGGTGAAAAACGAGAAAAGAAAAACAATCTTTTAATCTATCTCGATATGTTTGCTTGATAAGTTTCCTACCTTTGCCCATTGACCCTAGTAAGCAAGTTGGCTCTGGTCCAGACTGGAAGGAATCGGTATGGTATGTCTCGATTGTAACTTATAACGGCAACGAGAATTGTGTCGTTTATTTCCTACTTCATCCTTCTCTTCCACCACTTCTAACGCCTCTCTACAACTAAACCTGCCGTCCACCCACCACATACGTACACATACACGATGCATGATGCCGCCTCTCCTGTCGAATAATTTCCCTTCACAGCCGTACTGCACCGTTGCGCAAACAGCTAGAGAGCCGCTAACTAATCCTTTCCTGCCACATCACCCGTCGCCTTGTCACAAGTCGCGGTCTTGATCTCACTTGCCATTCCCTTCATACCTACCTATACCTGTACGTAGATAATATCTTTCGTCCATGCTGCTGGTCGTGTCTCTCCCTGCCTAATCGGGAAAAAGACGAGAACAACGATTATACTTCGAATATATAAGGTATTTACATTGCCCGATCTCCCACCTAAGCCTCGAGGACTGGTCTGTCTATTCTCTCACCCATATCGTACCACGCCAAACACTAGTCATTACTTTGTCACGTCGCAAAGCGTATCTCTCTTTTGGTTCGAAGTGTTAGCTTCTCTTGTTACCTTACCGCGAGACTTATATCCAATCATCATGCCGTCCTCACAACAGCAGACCTCGAGCACACCGTGGCAGGACCGGTTGGCAGGTGGGAAATCAAAACTTTCACATGTAACTTGTAGGAGTATGACTAACTTGGCTTGGGCAGAGGTGTGTCGTGAATATCAGATCACGGCTCCTCACTTCCAGATAGTATCAGACCGACGAGGTGAGAGAGCATGTTCATTTTTTTTTATCTCCGCCAATCTTCTCAATTGGGTTGTAGACTAACCGGGCTTGCCCTTGACGCGTAGGCGGTCGCACCGCCTGGTCCAGTATAGTTACCGTATACGGCAAGCGGATCGAAGCGCGCTACTGGTACGACGGAAGAAACATCACCAATGCCAGGGAGGATGCCGCGGAGGCGGCTCTAAACTGGCTTTCGACCCAAGCAAGCTTGAACTCGAACTGGTAAAAAGCGCTCTCCTCGGACGTATCACCGACCCACGTATTCTACTCGATTTTTGTGCTTGACTCAGGGTTCTTCGACCCGAACATGCGTGACTCCTTTTCTTCCCCAAATATTTCTCCTTCCCAATTCGCGCGAATTGATTCACTTCAATACCCCCTATTTTACCCGACGATGGTCTTTTGCGACTATGTCTCCTCGCTTTGCACTTGAACTTCCTGTTCTGTACGATACTAGCAAATCGGAGTTTGGGAAAGGATTTGGCAGCCCCACGGCAAGGAGACGGAAAGGAAAGAAAAAAAAAGATGAGAGAGAAGGGAGAAGACACTTACATCAGCATTCTTATGGATTCGGCGCACGCACCTACTTCATTGATTGGCTTCCAATGGACGACAGAATTGGGGATTTAGCATTCCGGTCCACTATGCGCATTTTCAGGCAGCAAAGAGACATGTTTATCACTACAACCAGGGGGGATCATCACCAGGACAGGAACACAAAAGCAGGGGTTTATTTTTTCGGGAGGACCAGGCGCAGGGCATTTATTGATTCGCCATATCTTGTCTTTACTATTATCCAGAAGCGAATCGCGGAAGGGATTATTTGTTGGTCTGTTCTTGCTATCTTCGTCTTCCTTTCTTTCCTCTTGCTTCTTTTCGCGGGTTCAAATTTCTTTCTGGAGACATTTTTTGTTGTTTGATTTTTCTTGAAACGATTACAGGACGGACAGAGAAAAAAGTAAAATTTGGCTTTATGAGACAAAAATACGATAGGCACATGGTCCGATCGGTTTTCTGTCAAATACGTGTATGCTTCCTAGGCTACGAACATGGGAATTCGGATTTTGTTGGGCTTATGGTCAGGGAATAGGAATTAAGACATGTGCGAAAGAAGAAATCGGAGGGGGAAGAATAAACAAAAAGGAAAAAAAAGCATCGGCTCGTTTTAGAAACACCGGGAGAGGAAAACTCGGAATTGCGATCAGTCTGATCGAGGAGTAGGTAATGAATTATGTCGATCTCTTACAAAAGCTTGGATTCTATTATCGTTGCTTTTCCATCGATATTTTTTTTTTTCAATGGAACTGAGAAAGATAAAATATCCGAATTACTGAATCCCCCCAAATGACGTTATGCCCGCGCTCTCCTCAAAACATTTTGTATGAGGTATTGCGTGTGCTGATGTTCCTGCTTACTGTAGCATGCCATGCGTATGCACGCACTCCTGAAATTCGTCTGATAAAAAGGAAAACGGAATACGCAATGCAACGCCAGCCAGGGACGGGGCGTAAGCTACCCTACTTTACCCTACCTACCTTAGCAGCATACCCTACCTAGTAGCCACTGGACACGCTAGCATATCTTCATCGAGAACCACGCGTGCCGGTGCCGGTGCCCGGAAGGATCGTGTTGGGTGTAAGCATACATATTGTACATAACTTGAATAAGGTAGGTTTCGACCGCAGGCGTCCATCGTCAGCTTATAACCAACCGCACTAAAGACTACGACCTCCCGGTTTCAAGCTAGGTCAGGTCCGGTCAGGTGTACCATCTGTTACGCCATCACAGATCTGGGCCTAAGCTTAGCCGGACCAAAAGTAAGCTTATTAGATGGTAGCCTCGTGGGAAAAATCCCTACCCTGCTCCGACCGGTGAGGGCTCCACGGTCTTGTGTAGATAGGCGGGCAGCTGTCATCTATGTGACCATACGGTCGCATGACTAGCGCTCGCTGCCGACGACCGCATCAAACCCAAGGTGGTATCCGAAGGATGCGTGAGACTGAGACAGCGGTCGAAGCGTGGGAGGCGCCTAGGCGGCGCAGCACAGGTTCGACGAAGGTTCGAGACATGGAATGTCTCTGTAGAATTATGTCCCAACTCGGGTTCGTTGGACTTTGAAAACGCATACCATTCGGATAGTAGGATAGGTTGATGCGACGTCGTCCATAAGATAGGAACTATTAGGAAGCAGAGAACTCCAAAGAACCAAACTACCCAGCATTACCGGAGGGCGGGCCGGATCCTAATATTCGGATTCCTTTTCAGGTCGTCGTATTGCTCTCATGTATTTGGGTGGCAGTGGACACGGTGGGGTCGACTATTAATATGTAGCCCTGTTACAATCCGCCCGCTCATCACCCGCGTGGGGGAAGGATGGGGGAATTCGGATCTTGGACAGTGGATATGAACGGTAAAATGGCTTCCAGGGATTATTAGTCACCATTAGAATGGATCTAGATTGATGGACTATACGGAAACAGGCTGATCTCTAAAAGAAAAGATGAAAGATGAAGAAAAGAAAGTTGAGCAAACGGGAAGAAATGAGTAGAAGTCCATGAGATATAGGAACGCTAAAAATATCTACATTAGATTATTGGATTATTGGACACATATTGGATGTTGTTGGACGAAAGTTGATACTGCATATATTGACTGCATCCGTAAAGGGGGCTGACGACACTGACGACAGCAAAGACAAAGCGCAGCCCCTGAGACAACGTAACGATAAAGATGTGGCTCGTCCCTAAGGTGGCTTCGAAATGCAGACTATGTAACTGTGGCTTGTCAAATTTCGGAAGGAGGGGTCTTGGTATTATGTAAGGTATAACTGGTACAGGTGGACTGTGCACAATTCGGATTAATTATGGGCCTGCACATCACCCGAATCCATTATCAGATAACATTTTTCGCTGAAGCTCTCTTCAACACGATTAATTCGACGAGGGGGGCAACAAGGACAACGAGGCAGAGGCATTGGAAACTGGGACGTAAGCTGCCGTCGATTTGCGCTTGAAACGTACCGAAACAGACATTATGTCTTGCAAATTGACCCCTTGGGGGGCTGCCGCCGCTGTGCGAAATCTCAGCGTACGGACGCGACAACCACATACATCCACTATACGACGAATAACCCGACCGAGACAAATACCAGTACAACAGTCGCCGTTCTTAATAACGAAGCGAGGGCTCTCAGACGACATCAACTCGAGACCACCTCAGCCAGACGAATATTCCAATCTACCCCCACCCCCTTTTCAAGACGCCTCCCCCTCATCATCAGAACCCGCGGCGCCGGGAGAGTACGTGCCCGTACCGCCCGAGATATTCGCGCCTAATTTCCTCAATGACGAGGCCATCGCCGCGCTCGAGAAGGCCGCCGAGGGCCAGAGCCTGTACGATGAGGAGACCGAGGGCCTGCTATTCGAGAAGCCTGAAAAGGTAGGCAAGGACGAGCAGCTGCAGAGCCGGTACCACCCCGTTGTGGACCAGATCACGAAGCTGCTCATGAAGGACGGGAAGCTTAGCAAGGCGCAAAGAGTACGTTCCTTTATAACCCCAATCTCTGCCTCTCCGATTTCGCTTGTACCTTTCGTGAGAGAGGGGGAGCGAGACCGAACCTAAGAAACAGAAGCAGAAACAGAAGCAGAAACAGAAATAGAAAGCTAACGTATTCTTTTTCTTTACCAGCACATGAGCCTGATCCTAAACTACCTGCGCACGACGCCCGCACCCAAGATCTCGCCCCTGCGCCCGCTCCTCCCGGGCTCGCCGCCGGCCGAGCAGCTGCCGCTGAACCCGTTGCTGTACCTGACGCTCGCCATCGACTCCGTCGCGCCGCTGATCCGGATCCAGGCGATCAAGGGCGCGGCGGGCGGCGGGCACGCGCTCGAGGTGCCCGAGCCGCTGGCCGCGCGCCCGCGCCGCCGCGTCGCCGTCATGTGGATCATCGACGCCGTGCAGAAGAAGCGCGGCACCGGCTCCGGCCGCGCACAGTTCGCCCACCGCTTCGCGTCCGAGATCGTCGCCGTCGTCGAGGGCCGCTCCAACGTCTGGGTCAAGCGCGATAACCTCCACCGCCTCGGCACCGCGTCGCGCGCTAATATGAACCATCCTGCGCTGAGGAAGAAGAGGTAGAATTAGGGGTATGGTATGGGAGCGAATAATGGCGTAAACCTCGGTGGGAGGGAGGAAAAAAAATACTTGGGAATATAGCGATTCGCGAGATTCCGGTCCTCTCAAGCTGGGTATGGCTCCTGGAGAGGGGGTTTGATGGCTTGATGGTGAGGCCACGCCGACAGGCCGAAACGGGCTGGCTATTCTGGCCGACTACCTAGATATCCATCTACCTAGTCTGCGCGCCAAAATGTGTCTTAGGCACCTAAGCTATGTACCATAAATATATATCAAAAAACATTTGTGTACAAAGGAAGCGAAGTCCAAGTTGGAAATATCGCCTTCTACGCCCTAAGTCAATTTGCGATGTACTAATTATCACACTTTAGGGGCGAGCCTTTGGGTTGGACTGCTCCGGCTTACATCTCAGTTCCGTCACATACATTGGTATTGGCCTATCTTTACTAATGTTGTGTCAAGTCTTCTAAATTTGACACGGCGACTTTGTCGAACAATCCAATTTTAGAGAAGTATTGTTACCACCAGGGAGATCGTACTTAAAGCATATATCACGAGAGGTTAGTGAGATATTGTCACGGTGACATTGAGCGTCTTGTGAATGTATTTGACCGTTGCCTCGTGCCTATCGCTAGCCTAATCGATATTTTGACCATACGCACTAATCGTTACGTGATACACATGGTTCTGCATTTTCTATTCTTCTACTACGCGTGCTAGCATCCCTCATAAGTCGTGAAGAGTAGTACCGTTAGCATCGTTCATGTAACACGCAGTCTAGAGTCGTATTTAGATTTCATGGTAGAATGAGAACTCGTAGGTCTCATTTTATCCGCGCCCCTCTCAAAAATACACTCCCCTCTTCCCCGGAGTGGACGCTGGCGTCCCAGGCAGAAGAGTTCCGGGCTTCCTCGACGGCGTAGTAGGTCCAATCATTCCGTCGACTGGCGGGGTGTCTGTCCTTGAGTAACTCCCTCCTGGACTTACCCTGGCTGGGGGCTTAAAGTTAGAGGCGACACCTTTCGCATAGATCTCCTGGAGCATGGTATCAAGAACTCCCGCCTCATCAAACTCCTGGTATTTGCGGTACAACTTCAAGGCGGTTCTAGCATCCTCGATCGAATCATGAGTGCTCAGCTGAATATCTTCTTTCAGCAACGTGTGCGCGAGGAACTGCAAGCTTAATTTCCGGAGCCGTTCCTTGATGAAGAATAGGTCGCTCGTGTCGATTACCTGTGCTTTTGGCACATGGATATTGATCACTCGGAAGTCCTGCTTTAAGCCGTGACCCAAAAACTTGCACCCGAGGTTGAGAAGGATCCATATCTTCTTATACGCTATCCTTAGCGGCACGAGGTTGTGACCTCTCTGCTTAGCCATGGTTAAGTCCAGGTCTTCGGGAGTAATCCCGGAGTAAGAAGTTAGATAGTCGACCACCTTCTCCTTGATAGTGATATAGTCGTCAATGAACGGGAGTCCTTCGTCCATGCCTCCGCCTCGCACGATAGATGTCCGGGCCAAAGCATGCACGGTTGGCCTAATGATTTTGGAATCTCCGTCCGAATGCATTTCAACCTCTGGCTGTGAAATCTTCACGAATTCCGTATCTATCGCAACTATTGTATTTGGTCCAGCTGGCTCAGTTTCTCGATCCAATGTCCGATAAGTTTTGTCCGCCCTATCGGCCCTGGGAAATAGTCAATAATATGATCAAGGTCTACAAGATTTGAAACTCACTGAAGGTCTAGGTAAAGCAGCCTAGAATCTAAATTCTCTTTCCAAGTAGAATCCAGCTGATTATTGGCGGACTTAACTTGATATGTAATGACAGACGGCGTCTTCCAAGACGTATTGAACGTCAATGCCTCCTGAGGCGTAATCGGCTTGACGTGGAAATCGTTGAAAAGATACCATTGACTCTGGCCGGGAGCTGTTGGTGCGGAGTGCGCAACTGGATCCATGCATTAGCCTTTTTGCTCTTCTGAAATTCCAAGATAGGAATCTTACTGTTTGCCATAGCCACAAGATGGGACCTCTGTTGTTGGCCACCTTCAATGTTAACGGCCAAACCAGTTAAAGAGTAAACTGTAATATTATGTATTCCTCGCTGTAGATGCAACTTTAAGTCTTCACCTTCGAAACAAAAGAATTGGCCGTTATCTACTATGACGCCAATTTCTTCCGGTAGCCACCCAGGAGTAGCCCAAAGTCGTCGGTGATCGTTATTATTGATCGCAGTTGTGAGCATCAATACACTAGGCACTCTGTGTATGGTCTTTCGGGTTGCCAGAGTCTGGTATCTATGACAGCTGTTGCACCATCCCTTATTGGTGGTCTCTCTTTCAACGCTCATCTTCAGTACTTGAGAAAACGTAGTTGCCCGTACTCTCGGGTTCCTATGGCCAGTTTTCTATTCCAATGAGTTTTTGGGGACTGAAACATGTGATGAGGATGTACTTACGTTCTGCGGATACATCAATTCATTCACCATAGTATGATCGGCTTTTGTGGTTTCACTCCGGCAATTCATGCACCGAATGGAACTCGTCGCAGTCGTTTGAAACAACTATGAATATTAGTCAATAGATACCCTTGTATATAGACGGCGAATGTATCTACCTCTTCAAATACCCCGGGGCGAGGTGCATCGGTAGAGTAGGGTTGAGAATTCTGGACCATGAGGCTATAATTCTGAGTTGTCTGACGGAGGAGAAACCTAGTCAACTGCTGCAACATCACAGTCCGAGATGCATGAGGTTCTTCCTCGAGGAGACCAAGCTTTCCCGCTGATGAACCACTATCAGCTTGTGCGTAGTAAAAGGCTGAGCAATGCCTTACCTTCAGGATGATAGCTGAGGGTCTTGGTGAAGTTGGACGCCTGACAAGCCTCCCCTTCAGCTTTATAGAGCATATCAAAGAGGAATCCCAGTTCACAGAGGAGACATAATTCATCAACACAAGCTGTTGCCGCATGCTGAAGGGCAATATTCCGGATTAGAGGGGTATAGTGCATAACCTGCAGTAGTGGATTTGCATAGGCATTAACGATATGATTTTGCAATCCTGAATACTGGGTTTTATTGAAATAACTAGGGAGATCCCGCGTTAGTTTGTTCTTTATAAGAAGGTCGAATGAACATACCCGAAATCGAAATCGTCAATACCAAACTTGCTATACTTAATTTCAATGTTTTGGTATAACTCAGGGACCTCGATCTTGAGACTTTCGAGCTTGGTGTCTTGTAGAACCTGCGGAAATTCGGGAATAACTTCCTCGGGTGCTGGTGTACCCGCTGGAGACTTAGCCGCTTCTCTCGCCTTTTCACTCAAGAACTTGGGTGGCTTGAGAGAGCTTTGGAGGTTCTCAGTACTACGTGTATCCTCAACTTGGTTCCTCCTTAAAGGTCGGGTATTCTTGCCGAAGTAACCCCAATCTCTCTCTTGGAGGGTTGTTAAGAATTGCGCGTCGATTTTGACAGGGGGAGCCCCAATCTCCGTCACCATATTGCTTGGCCATGCTGATAGCAATACTTCTCTATAGTACGGCATACCGACAGTGCTCAATGGTCTAGTATCGAATTAATGCCTAGCGTCAACACATTATTGATTGATCGTACTTACGTATCGGGAGAGTCAAAATCAATCCGCGGTCCAGTACCGGAGTCAGCGGTTTCTATGGGTGTAGGAAACTCGGCGAAGTGGATCTTGTTAGGGGAGCCCCAAAGGTGGATATAACAATCGCCGTCTGCTAGAGCGACGGCCTCACCTGAAGAGGCAATTTCTATCATAGAAAAGTAAGACAGACTGTTTGCCTGACGCACATTGCTAGTGTTAGGGTTCATGAGATCGACGACATGCATCTGTCCTATCTGTGACATAACAATGCTGGTAGTAGACATCCGAGGATGCATGCGAACATAAGCCGCGCCGGCTGGGAATGGGATAGGGGACATGGATACCATATTCTTCAGATCGAAGACGTTAACAAATGGGTCAGGCATGTAATTACCCCCGTGCCTCATGGAGTATCCGCAAGTCACTATAAAATCATGTTGTGCATCCATATCATTGATAGCAGCCGTGTGCGCGTTCCAAACTTTGATGACCTGGAAACTGAGAGAGTCGATAATATGTACAGCACCAGTAGGGGTCGCGGCGCATATATATCGACTTCTTCTCATGATCGTGTATTTGTGTTCAGTCGGTATCTAGAAGCTGCTGTCAGTTGTATAACCTCGATCTATGCGGGCAAGAGACAATACCTGCTTAGTGACCTCGCCTTTGTTAGTGTCGATAACGAGCATCTTGTCTTGTTCGCCAGCGACCAGGATTTCGGCGGTGCCTTTTGATGTGAAGCTCATACATCGTAGTTCTTGCATATCGTCGTGCCTTCCGCTTTCCCTTAATAAGTAATTCCATAGCACGAGTCCGCTTATGATAGGGGGATCCTACCTAAGTGACCACAGCGGGGGACCTCTTCTCAACGCCATATGTACGCCACGGGATCCGAGAGCTATAACTCCCTTATCGTTAAATAGTATCTGCCGGACCGGGCCATCTTGGGAGGTATGGGCTTTGAAGGACGTGTACGGCTGTAGTTTTGTGCCGTAAAACGAGCATACCCGACCCTAAAGTAGCTATCAGCATGATGTTGGGGAGCCGTAGTCGACGTCAAGGATTCATTACGTATTCATTGCCAGTCCACAGAAGTTCTTGGCTTGTATCGAATGCTAGGACTGTGACAGGCGTCGGCATTGCCCGGAGACCGGGTGGTGGGAAGGGTATGCGCGCAACCTGTTAAGCAGAAATAGAGTCAGCCTTGCGCCCTATCATATATCTTTTGCGACAAGTTATCTCGACAACGCTGTAGGCGTCTTCGGCCTACATTTCCACGCGGATCAGTGTAATTATTACTTGCCTCGTCCCAATCCCCGTCCATTTTGGCGGGTTTATCATCGTCGAATCAATACCATCAGAGGAGTATTTGTCTTCCAGGCCGGAAGCTCGAATCGCGGGTCGCGTGTCTAAAATATGGAAAGAATAGAAGTTGGGTTTATGTCATTCAAAAGTTACAGAATTATCCCACTTTCAGTTCCTAGATTTACGTTGGCGGCTAGCGCTAGTGAGACGATCCAGTTTTACAGTAAGTTTTACTTTGCATTCTACCGTATTGACAAATACGGTCATTTATTTAGCCGAGATTTTCCCAACCCTCAGTTTCCTCCAAATTCCAGGTTTGACACTTCGCCACATGGATTTACCTATTCTACGACTCAATCACAATCTAGGGGTGCATGATTCTCTCATATCTTATTCATATCTTATTTTTTATTTACTAGGAAGAAATGTCTAGTTAAACCCGATTGTAATTCTTCCATCTCAACGCACATTGCTTCCGCAATCTTTTTCATTCATCCGTTGTGCGCAGTTGTTCTTGTATCCCAGCATTCAAGTTGTATGCCCGGTTCTTCATTTAGGGCTGTCTCATACTTTCCCATCCGGTGTATCGCGCGGATCGATGTACCAATCATTCCACACATGCTTCGTTCGCCAATTAAATATGCCAAAAAAAAGGTGCTCAACTCCTAACTGGTAAAAGATGAAAACAAGGTAGGGAAAAAAAAGATGCTGTGGAGCGCCTTGTTCTTAAACAACTGGACCCGCCGCCTTGACCTCGTCAGTAGCTTCTGATTCGTACTTCTTGAAGTTCTCAATGAACAATCCTCCTAGCTTCTTGACCTCTTGGTCGAAGCTGTCCGCTCCCGCAGTCCAGGCAGTCTTGGGGTTGAGAAGCTCTGCGGGGACGCCAGGGCACGACGTGGGGACCTGGAGGTTGAAGACATCATAGGTCTCGTACTGCGCCTTCGCGAGGTCACCGGAGTGGATGGCATCCAGGATGGCGCGGGTGTATTTGAGCGGGCATCGCTTACCGCCGTGGACGTAGCCGGCACCAACCCAGCCGGTGTTCAAGAGCCAGGCGTTGGCGGAGTGCTTTTCTATCTTGTCTGCCAACATCTTGGCGTATCGCATGGGGTGAAGAGCAAGGAAGGGTTGAGCGAAGCAAGATGAGAATGTCGCTTGAGGTTCTGTTACACCGTCTTCAGTTCCGGCCATCTTGGATGTGTAACCAGAAATGAAGTGGAACATTGTCTGGGCACTGTCGAGCTTCGATATCGGCGGCAATACACCACGAGCATCACAAGTCAGGAGAATGATGTTGCTGGGGTGGTTTTCCGACAAGCAGGGAATCTTAGCGTTGCTGATGTACTCGATGGGGTACGCGCTGCAATTTTGTTAGTTCTGCTTTCACCAACACGTCAGGTTGGTGACATCAACTTACCATCTCGTGTTCTCAGTAAGGGTGGCGTCGTCATAGTCGACTTCTCGAGTCTCCTGGTCAAACACAACATTCTCAAGGACGGAGCCGAAGCGGATGGCATTGAAAATATCTGGTTCCTTCTCAGCTGATAGGCCAATGCACTTGGCATAGCAACCGCCCTCAATGTTGAAGACGCCTCGCTCACTCCAGCAGTGCTCGTCGTCACCAATCAGAGCTCGGTTAGGGTCGGCTGAGAGGGTGGTCTTGCCGGTACCAGATAAGCCGAAGAAAAGCGTGACATCTCCATTCTTTCCTTCGTTTGCGGACGAGTGAAGAGTGAGCACGTTGTGGATGATGGGCATTTCGTAGAACAGTACGGTGAAGACGCCCTTCTTCATCTCGCCTGCGTACTCGGTACCGAGGATGACCATCTCCTTTTCGGCAAAGTTAATGGCGACTGAGGTTCCCGAGGTCATTCCTTCGGTGTATCTGTTGGCTGGGAAACTTCCGGCATTGTAGATCGTGTAGTCGGGGTGGAAGTGCTCTAGCTCTTCCCGCGGGGGACGGATGAGCATGTTGCGCATGAACAAGGCATGGTAGGCACGAGCACAGATAACTCGGACACGGATTCGGTACTTCTCATCCCAGCCCGCATAACCGTCGACAACATAGATTCTCGTTCGGGTGTTCAGGTAATCAACTGCGCGCTCACGGTTGATTTTCCAGACCTAGACAAAAAAAGACGATGCGTTAGCCGGCGTCAACTCTAGCCCAATCGGGATGAAGATAAATATAGCACGTGAGAATTGGGAAATTTGGGAAATTTGGGAAATTTGGAGTTTTGGTGGGGCCGAAATGGCCCGGTTCAGTGGAAGCGCGGGGTGCATTGCCGGATCTGAGCCGAACATTCCAGGATAGCGCCTTGAATGACGCCAATGACAGGGGTCTGCTCTAGCAACAAATCTAGGCCATGCACCATATGACATCCCCAGAGGTGCGTGATTCAGCTTCATCTAGGACTGCAGTCCCTGGAGAAGAGCTAGCAATTTTGTGACGTAAAGAAATTGTCATAAGGCAAGTCTCAGTCATCGTAAGGTTTGCTCCTCAGATACACATGCGGGCAGGGTAGATGCAGTAGCCAAGCAACGGGAAGAGTAATGGCGATGATTGGTTGTCTTACCTCAGGAGCCATTGGTTTGTTGACGGGTCCCCACCTGTAAGAGGAAAATTAGCGTTTGTTGCAATGCGAATTGGCGTCGTCATTATATCAGACGATGGAATCCTTACCAGACATCCTTTTCTGATGACGGTTCCCTGACGATTCTCTTATCTGAGGGTGATCGGCCAGTCTTCGCGCCGGAGTAGGCTGTCAACGCACCGCTCGACGAAATGGCTGAGCCCATCTCGTATACCTTTAGAGTCCGTTAGTATGTTTTCGAGATTGGTCGCGTGACCTGATTTAAGGGGCTAACTTACAAGAGCATCTTCGTACAAGGCGGCAACTGAAGGGTTGGGAATCTGCATTTTGGTTAACAGTGGTATTAAACACCATTGGTAACGCGATTAACTCACAATGGCGACTCGGTCGTAGTCTATGTGTGCCTTTTCATGGAGTTCCTCCTCTATGTCGGGTGTTAGCGGACCAACGAACAAAGCCACTAAAATCGAACGCCGGTGAGTTCGAGCGTCTCTTTCGTACCTAGTTCTGTGTGTTCCCTTTCATGGTGGGGCCTACAAAGGACTCTTGTTAGAAAAGTGACACTCTATCTGGTATTGAGGGGAAGCTTCTTACTCTACACCACTAGGGTGAAGGGCGGTCTTATTGACTTTGTTGTTGGCAATCACTGAAAACGTAGTTAGATTTCTGATGTTGAAAACTCGTAAGATGCCGATTTCTGCGAAGGTAGCTTACTCTTGCTGTGCTGGAGGAGAGAATGGGAATGGCCGTTGGTAAGCTGCTGTGACTTGGGGCCTTTGACGGATGGATCAGTGTAGGGAGAAGCGGTTCTCAGGACTGGGTCGGCCATGGTTCTTAAGCTTGAAAAGTTTCGGGATACGATATGGTTATGGTAGCTTATGAGACAGTTCCAGCCGAAGACTGATGGGGAATATGGATATCTAGTTTGATTAAATGGGGTAGCAGACGAAACGCCGGCAATGCAAGTTAACCTAAGGTAACTTTTCGGTCTGCTAGTCATGGACTGAACCCGAGGATATATAGGAAATATGGAAGCAGTGGAGATGGCGATTTTTGAGCAAGACATTCCACTGGCCAGTAACCGGCGTTGTCATTGATTAGGCACTGAGGCACGAATTCAAACCGGAACAATCCACCCTGCATCATCGGGAAGGGAGAGCTGAACCAGGGCTCCCTTTGTTTTCCTGTCTCGGTACGCTAGCAAGGAATCGTGGAGTGGCGTAGCGTAAAAAATCGTCAAAGATCTTGCTAGTTTGTGTAAGGACTAGTCTGCCGGATTGTGGATTTCAAGTTACAGGCATCGTGTCGAGTGAGGTTAGGAGTTGGTGTGTGGTGTCATATGCAATTGAGTTTCGTTCCATTCCGTTTTTTCCCTCAGCCTCTCCTGACCCCTGCAATGATCTACGCCTATCAGTATTTGACTTAGGACTATAGGCTGTCGGCCTAGACTTTATCCTACGATCGTTTTCGTCCCAGGTACATCGATACATCCGGATCTACCTTCGCCTGCTGAACGTAGCACGGCATCGCGATGCCTGTGTCTATCTGCTATCTACATGCTCGATCTGGACATTAGATGTTCTATGCGAATTTCCAGAAAATTATCTTGTCTAAATTGTCGTTACATGCTTTGACTAAAAGTATGCACGATGGAGAAAATTTTGAATCAGGGGAAATGGAAGTTGGAGAAGCGGCAGACGGTGGCGGCGGGGTAGCCCATTGGTACATACACCTAGAGAACTTGGAATGCTCGATACATGTACCTACGTACTTCCCCGTTCTCCTATCAGCCCCACAGATGGGACAGCCATATGGGTAGACCCGGTACGGGGGCGAGGGGCAAGAGATACACGATACCTTCACGAACCTCGGGAAACATTTGTACGAGAATGAAATGAGATTAGACGTCCGGCTCTGTTCCTAGTTGTCAGCTTCAGATAAGCTAATATAGTAAGGACACCATAAAGATACTAGCAAGGTACGCAACCAAGTGACAGGGCACAAGAGAAATGACATGGCTACCTAACTTGCTAATAAGACATTATATCATGACGAATTGTAGCGGTATCACGAGAGCAGGTTTTCCCATAGTCCTTCTCATCCATTGCTATGCAACAGCCGCATAACGCTAGGGAATCGACATCGCAGTTCTATCCTCGGTCTTCCGCGATCTGCCCCCTGAAATATTACCTTCCCGAACGCTCTGGGAAACATGTGAACTTTCGTCGTTGATATGGCACCGACTGAAACCTACCCAGGTCTCGAAGAGCCTTCTGATATTCTGATATTGGGAAGTAGTTGGCTATAACCCCTGCAGGGGTACGCGAATAACGATCCGAATCTTTCCATCCGTTCAACCATGCATGGAGATCATTCGGTACTTGGGTTAGGTCTTTTTTGAGCCGCCAAGATTAATAGGTAGATACAAGATGCAACCGGGAGAGCGGGCGCGGCTCGATGTGTGCTGCGTGTACTGCGTAATCGTCCTTGCATCGCATATCTGCGCCCGACATGCGTTTCATGAATCTAGGATCGTTTTGGAAAAAGGTACATATCTAGTTCCCCTTCGCTCCGTGGGCTTGCCGAAGTTCATCCCGCGATTGGGCTAGTTAAATTTTCACTTATCCCGACTTCTTCCGTCCTTCTGGGGAATTCTGGGTCTTTGAACAAAGAACCATCATGATGAAGTCCGGGGTACCAAGAAATGACAAGATTCTAAAACCCCAGACAGCCCAGACTAGTCTAGTTACGTAAACCGGAAAACGGTCTAAGCCACAGTGGAGACGCTGGATCACGATGCCCTCATTCTTTAACTGGTTTGTGCGACGTAATGGCTGATACCCTAAGCCCAGCCTAAGCCGAAGATTACGAGAAAATCCGGAGAGCCACGTGAAGTCTCGTCATAATTACTTTGGATATGAGGTGCGATCGGCCAATGATTATCCTCCCAAAACTTGCACCAGAACAGAAAGGGGAAGCTAACCGATCACAAATATGTACTCCAATCAGCATCAAGATATTGAATGTTATGGATTATCTTTCGTAAAGTCATCATCGCTAACGGCCGCTAAAACTTTTTAGCGCCAAGGGTCTCGAATAGTTCTCTTGCCAGTGTCGGGCAATATCGGATTGATGATAACGTAATCCATGGATGAAAGCCATTGCTGGCCAGACCCATCTTCTAGCGTAGACCAAGGTCGAGACTCCCCGGGGAAAAGAGTGGGGCTCCGTTCGGCCGGATAGACTCGACAACTTACGGATCCGGTCCGACCCGCGGCCGACGTCATTTTCTACCGGACTGCACCTTCTGACGTCTCACCGCTCCGTACCGTGATGGCGGTGAGCCGGTTGTTGTAGAGTACTATCAATTGGGGGTTATCTGAGTGCTTACTAGTATAATTACTACTAAACCATAGGCTTAACACTATGGACATCCATAGTCGAGATAATTCGTGGCCCATTTGAGTTTAAGACTAAGTCCCGTCGATTCATAACTCCACCAAGATCTCATTAATTCTCAAATCTAGGATTCCTCGTAGTTACTTTCGTTTGAGTCGGAAATCTTGTGTATGGTTCTGTTTGGATATTCTAATTTACGTTAACATGACTAATATTCATCGGATCTTTTCCCAAAACACTTGTTCTTCGACTCATTCGGAACTGACTCCAAAAGACAGAATTACTGTTGAAGCAAACATAAAAGGACTAGCTGTTAAGAATTCACTACGACTATGTTTGGTCTATCAAAGTTAAGCTTATTACCTAGGTAATCGTTCCTAGCAGTGAACCATATGCATCTCTAATACAACATCATCTCAAAACGCGTTCTAGTCTTAGCTTATATCAAAAGACTACAAAGCATGTTTGTTACTTTTTTTTTTTTTTCTATTCTAAAATTTTCCCTTACTACCAATGAATCCTTGTCTGTAACTGCCATGGCGCATATGACTTCATAGAACAGGGTTAACTAGCTACTTCATATTATGTTAACATTTCCTCTTAAAACTTATAATTTCATTAACTATCTGCGTCAGAATAAATATGCCATGTACGAGCAGCGAATTCGTCCCTCGAGTCGGAATAGCAGACTCACAGTGTGCAGCAGTGTAATCAATACGAGTTCGCACATGGTCTATTTATTCTGAGGAACGTATGACCATAGATAAATTTTCATTCATGGATAAATGATATCGAAACTCTACAAGAAAGCGTCCTGCCACCGCCTCTATGATCATATCTTCAAAAAATCTAAATCCGGATGTAAGCCAACGAAGGCCCGTAGATCATTCGAATCTCATTGGTAGTGCTTCGCTACGATTTTTCATGGGCATGTAGAAATTGCTGCGCCGTTCAGCCCTACACGTGTACCAATTTTCGGTCTCGCGTTCGCAAAACTCTAGGAAAAGACGCTAAGAGGCCGACTCGGACTAGTGCTGCGGTTCCTGGCAGATTAAAATATGGAACCCCAGCTGCAAGCGAATGCCCTACAGCTGAAACAGGGAAATGTCAGCTGGTAGGGCGTGACCAAAACGAAACCGAGAACGACGACGGTGGAACCTGGGTACTGTCGCTGCGGCACAGCCGCTTCCCACGGCTTCCCATCCACTCTACCCACCAGCTTTCTACGCGAGTGTTCATTCAACATGTAATCTTAACAGCCTGAGGGTAGTCGTCAGCTGTATGCAGGACTCGTGAAGAGAATTCAAGAAATAACTATAAAATGTCTTCAATCTGCTTGTTGTTGTGTCTCGTCTTCTTAAGACAGGACAGCAGCAGCCGGTCAGGTTTAATCCAGCACTTTAATATTCTTCCATAATGCGGTTCTCCAAATCCTTGGCCCTTTTAGCGGCCCAGTCTAGCATCATCTTGGCCCAAACGAACGGCACCAATAGCACGACCGATGAGCCTTACCTGCCCCTCAGTACGGATGATCACTTCTCATTCATACTCTACGAGACACTTGCCTTGGCAAACGGCGGCGGCTCTGCGACCGGCGAGGTAATGCGTGCCGCCGCCAAGATCGTAGCCGGAGACACAGATAGCTTCTACAACGAATTCAAATTCCTAGCCGACTCGCTGCACAATGTCGCCGAATCCATCAATGCGACCAAGTTCCCGGTGTCGGCTCGCGAAGCATACTTCCGTGCTGCTTCATATTATAGAACGTCTGTCTTCTACCTGACCGCCAATCAGACGGACCCCAGACTCTTCAGCGTATGGGACTCTGCCCTTGCAGACTTCGACAAGGCGGCTTCCTTGACAGAAGTGCGGGGCGAGCGGATGAACATCACTGGACCTGGGTTCGAAATCCCTATCATTTTCTGGAAATCACCCAAGGCGGCCGAGGGTCGCCCCGTCCCCACGGTCTTAGTCGGAAGCGGCTACGATGCATCCCAAGAGGAGTCTTACCACTCGATAGGCCGCGCAATCATTGACCGCGGTTGGAACTACGTCAGTTACGAGGGCCCGGGCCAACCTACCGTTCGCCGCCAGCAGGGACTTGGCTTCATTCCGGACTGGTGGGATGTCGTCACTCCAGTTGTCGACTACTTGGAAACCAGACCGGAAGTTGACAAGAAGCGTATTGCTCTCACAGGTCTCTCCTTCGGCGGTATTCTAGCGCCCCTCGCTGCTACGCGGGAACACCGATTCGCCGCGGTCCTTGCTATCGACGGTGTGCAGAACCTCCAAACGATAGCGTTGAATCAGTTCTCGACGACTCTGGCTCAAATCTACAAGAGCGGCAACAAGACCGAGTTCGATACCTTACTCAATGAAGCGCGACTAGCCCCCTCAACCCCCACGTTGCTTAAGTGGTTCATCGGCCAAGGCCTGTGGTCCTTCAATACCGACAGCCCCTATGATTGGTTCACGAGGCTGGGGAATATCAACCTTGACGGAACTAAACTAAGCAACATCACCAGTCCCGTTTTCGTTGGCAAGGGCCAGGACGACCAAACTGCCGGAGGCCAAGAGACGACAGTGGCGAGTTTGTTGGGAAACAAGGCTTACTTTCATGAATTCAAGACTGCGCTTGGTGCTGGAGAGCATTGTCAACTAGGAGCTGAGCAGCAGCTGGCACAGGTTACTATGGACTGGCTTGCTGAGGTCTTTGAAACAACGACGTGATAATATGGTATTAGGGAACGTCTATTAAAAGCGTTAGACTTTAACTTCATTCTCTTTATGACTAGCGCTGTTTCGCTTTACCTAGGTAGATATCTTATAGACTAATAAGGATCAGAGTAATTATTTTTCTTGACGTGTGCTAAGGCTCATGTCTTAATGATCCGAAATGTCGTTATCTTGTTTGATTTGAGCTAAGGTATCATAGAGAATATCTATTTCATGTAAAATAAGGTGAGTTTGCCCGTAAAAAATGCCTTTATCCATATTTATTAACCATTGGGAAGGGATATACTCTCGCGAAATCTGGGGGTTTCATGTTGGGCAGGTGGTAGGTATGAGCTGGGTAATTTTTCATGATATTATCGTTAATTAAATGAGAAAAGATTCGCTTTCTTGTGTCAAGGTAGGCTCTTCCCAACTGTCGCTTGAGAGCCCTGAGCTATATGATAATTCTCGGACCTGAGACCATGATAAACCCATTCTATCATGCACCCATACCATAGCATCGGCCCATTCTAATGAGAGATCGGGGTGGGACATCTTTAACAGGTCTGAGACCTCCAACGCGAGTTTCTCTGCGATCCGAGCCCCCCACCAAATAGTCTGATCCAAACCACCCAGAAGTACAGCCCAGTGCAGGACAATGAGCAGGGCAAATGGATCGGACTTGCTGATGAGTGAGGTGAACGGCTTACCCGCTAGCCCGGGAAAGGCAGTACAGAATCCCCTTAAGAGGCCCCTGGCTTCCTCTGCGTAGCAAGTTTCTAGACCGTTGATGGCCATTTCATACAATTCGTGGTCGCGTATCTCGATAACCCCGTCTGTCTCTCCTCCATCACTAACTGGTTCCACCGTAGCGCCGTGTCGTAAATCGTTGATGGCGCGTAGTCTGGCCAAAGCAGCTCTACTATCGACGTCTATCAAATCTTTGGATGCACCCATGCGCGATATGAAAAGGCGCAGCGGAAGAGCGCTATTAAGAAGCCACGGCATTGCCATCATTCCGATACTAGTACTGCCATTGACCAAGTCAAGGGCGACTACCAGAAGATCGAGTGTGCTGGCACACTTGGGTATGGATAGGTGGACGGCTGTCGCTATGGCAGAGAACATGTATAAGACGTGAGCATTCTCGGCGTTCATTTTTCCCAAATACGTTCGAAATGAGCTGCTACCTCTGTTGTAGTACTCTAGTCCTGCGTTGACGTATTTCGCGGAGTTTGTCTCCCCAGCAGTATGGGCTATATGCAGAGACGAAATGGCCATGATGCAATTCAGCATGAAATCGTATTCAAGAGCGGTCCGCGGCAGCAGGCCCTGTAGGTAAGGGACGTCCTCGGGTATGCCACAGAAAGCCTTGTAGGTAACTGTCGACCATTGATGCATCAATTCCAACTCTAGCAATCTGGATGGCCCACCATAGGCCGCGCATATCGCGCCTACATCCCCCCGCGGGCGCTCAACGGAAATCGGGCTTATTGTCGTGTCTCTATTTCGAGGACGAATTGTAAGAGAGTTATTGTTACTGAGAGCCTCAGCTTTGGGGTGATTGTAGACACATTTTGCCTTCCGTAATGTGCAGTTATTGCAAGGTGGGCCTTGCTCATCGCACTTAGTATGCCATTTCTTACAGTTCTGGCATCCGTTGCGTGATTTCTTGTGGGATCTTCGTTTCTGCATGGCCTTGGTGATATATCTCTCGGGATACGTGCCCCCCAGGTTGAGCACGGATTTTAGGTATCCGCGTCACCAGGCAATCCGATTCTTTATATTCAAAGCGATCTTGAATTGCGGCAGTGCTTCAACCTAGTCGCTGACGGCATTAGCATTTGGAAAATCTACTGTGCCACGATCGCGCCCCGCCAGCTGAAAGAGATGTGGCTCAAGCTGCCCCTGGCTATTGGCTGAGGTTACGATATGCTTCACAGATAAACACAAAGCCACGCTGAAATAGAAGGATAATCTGTCGATCATAAGATATTTAATGTTCCCATTGAGCCCTATGAACCCCACGAGTACATGAATCGCACTAGCGGCTTGACTAGCCATAGTGGAGTGATCCTTCAACGAAAAATTCTTGATTTTCTACAGTCGATTTGACAATTCGATGTTGCGGAAACAAGATGTTAGCTAAAAAACGCGGGTCGCTCATAGGGCTTTGCAGGGATCATTTTACCCAGTACCAGACTCCTAAACGCGGGCAGCCCCTTTTCACCCCACAGCCATCATGTCCCGCGATGCGCGATGCTTGGCAAATTGGATGTGATGTGACATTCGCTTTTGGTATGATACAGAATGACTCAAGGTGGTGTTACAATTGGGAGGAAGGACTATGATTCACATCATTAAACAGAGACCACTTACCTAGAAAGTACGAGGATTGTTGCCCTGAATATCTTATGAATAGCTCCTTGCTAATAGAGTGTAGGTATTTGGTTTGTTATTTTTCCACTAGCGAAGTGGGAATCGAATTGAAGAACTAGTTGATTGAACAACTGGCCTTTAATACCGACATGCTTTCGTTTATAGTAAGTGTAGGACAGTATTTATTGGGAGTAGTGCATGTTATCACGCTCTTTCAAGGCTGTCGATAGAATGAGGATTGCTTTTATGTTACTTCGTCGTTAAGTTGCCAATTACCGGGATTTCAGAGAACTCTTCACGATCATTTGACTGGGCCTGTTTACCATCTATTGTGGGTATTTTAAGCATCTTGAATCCTGTTCATATGGGTGTACACTTTCCATGATGTCCAACATAGACTTGCAATGCTGAAGAAGACAATGGACTTGAACCCCAAAGACTCTCCGCATTCCTACGAGATTTCGAATGGAGAAAGTCTAAAGGACACTCTTAGACCAGCAACCCTTATTCTAAAGGATTAGTTAGTGGTGTCTGGTACCGAGGCTACGACAACACTCTACCGGATGAATTGGAACATCACCTCCATCCCGCAAAAACATTCTTTCGTGATATTCGAGCGGGTAGAAGACGACCTGGCACTAGGAAATAAGGAGTCAACTTCTACCAAGAAGCGAAGTGAACACATTTTCTACCTTGCACATCCAGCGAGTGCTAAGGATCGGAAAGAAACTCCCGGGTATTATTTGACATCTGTCTCGTCCGAGTCATTAGGTAATATCAATCTCGAGACATCAAAGTCGGCATTCCAGAAGACGGGATTCAGGTTGCTACTAAGCATGGGGAAAGCTTGGTCCGATAAACTACTCTTCGATGAAGATGCGAAGCCCCTATTTGAAGTCAACCAAAATGGATGGGTGGTCGCCACATATTACGGACCGACCGCAACGGTGGACAAGTAGCATACGAATACAGGAAAGGAGATAAACAAGCGCCAGCTATCACAGTTTCGATGGAGAGAAAGCTAAGAGATACTCTAGTTGTCACCTGGTGTTTAAGGTTATGGTACGAAACGGCTGAAAGTATGCAACCTCAGAGAGACGGTGAGTTACGATGAATAATCTACAGAAATGATTTTCTTCATATGCTGGACTAACCCTTGTACAGAAATGGAATGATTGACGCCAGCTGAGGCTATATATGGCCATACAGACCCGAAGATGGCAAAGAGAGCTGGAGCGCTTAGTTCACTTGGTGGAGTAGGAGCATGACTTAAGGAAACTCTGGAATTATTCCGTTTTCGTGTGAGGTTCTATGTACCAGTTGTATTTACAGAAGAATATTTAGAAAGCAGATCAAGAAGTGAGATTTGGCGAAATGAAACTAAACTCCATCGTTGTATGCCACGACGTAACCGTCATGACCCCCTTTTGCAACACACCCTTTTTGATTCCCACCAAGAGGATAGATAGAGTAAATTGATTTTTTTTCTATCTCAGTAGCTGTGTACTAGTTAGCAATACGGGATCGTGTAATCTCGTCAAGTTCATTAGAATTGCTTCGACGACTATACATCAATTCTCGCCCGCGTTATTAAAAAATCCTATTTTTACGTCACTGGTAGTTGAAAATCCACTTCCAGTTATTTAATAATCCCTCTTAAGTTGGTAATATCTTAATGATTAGGAAAATAACAAACACAATCTTGAGTATGGTAATGAGAATTATGTCTTGGAAACTAATAAACCACGTGGTGAGGAATGAGTCTTACCTTGGATGCTTCCTGTGGCACGAATCCCTAATTACGTCTGGCAAACGTTTGAACAAATTCGAGATAAGACTATACTTGAACCAAGTTGCTTATCTAGCTATATCTAAACGCTTATGGCCAACGATTCAGCGATCTCTCAGATATTTCTCTTTGTCGCCATTTACATAACAAGGGTTCAATCGCATGTAATATCAAGTCTTCATTTCTAACCTACGACCACCCTTCTCCCGTTCGTACAACCCACGATTTTCAACTATACTAATATTAACATATGGAAGGAAATATATCGCAGCTTATCTGGGTATATGAACAACAACCCCGAGTAAGCTGACCTCTAGCTCCGAGTGTCGGAAGTAATCATTGCCATATTCCCAACATACTTAGGTAACCAGTTAAATCTGGATATAGATCTACCAATAAGGGTACCTACATATAAATCATCTTGATCGAAAACGCGAAGCCCGAGAGAAAATTGGCATTGTAATTCAAGCCCACCGGTAGACAAAGTCCATATCACCGACGTCGTACTCGCGGCGGGCCGATGCTTACTTTGGACCCTGCGTCACCAACGGCAGACTGGCGGACATATCGGTGAAGTCAGGTGGCTAGCTTAGAATTTAATATGCCTAAAGATATATCATTGGCTGCATGCAGCTGCTTTTGATGCGCAAGCCGGTGTGCGCACTTATGGTGTATGAGGATATCAGATTCGTGATTTCTGTGAAACTTGGTAATCATCGCATACTTTAACTTGTACAAGCTTCATATATAATGAGCCAATGAAATCTGATAACGGTATTTTATCTTGATGCGATGATACACGTCAGACGCTTATCAAATTAATCGAAAATTCTCCGAAGCTTACCACTTACCGATGAAGTTGTCTGCGATAATCTTATGAAGTATGCCATGTACTACCATTCAATTACGTCGACTTCATACGATACGATCGTTGTTGGTAACTCAAGGATGACCTTACCTACATTGGCAGGTGTAAGTGTATCGATATCTAGCCAGCCCCTTTTGTTTCTCATTGCCTGGAAAGCCACAGGAAGAATGGAGTCTCCAAAGTTACACGGAGCGTATGTCATTAATCTCAATCATTGACTTGATTTCTTAGACTAACTAGAGCCCAGGGACAAGTCTCTAATTCGTTGAGTATCACTTCCTTTCTTTTGTTCCCATTAACTAAGCAAACTGTATAATGTGTATAACGAAATCATTTTTTACATGTAAATGATGAGCAGACTTGATGATATATCTGGGAAACTATAACAAGACTTCAGCAAGGCGGCTAAAAAATCTTAACGTGACAATGAGAAAACTAAATCATGATCTTTTACAACAAACTATCCAGCATGTACGCGTAAGGTCTCGTCACCAGCAAAGTACTCATTACCTTCAACGTTTATTGTAAGGGATAAATGAATGGCTGGGAGAAAAGTAGGGATATTATCGAATATGTTATCTTAGCTGATTACATGGATATAGTCGTTCAAGTGCTTGGATGAGAGTACGCTGTTATTACCTATTCACGTTTTGAACCCGGGCTTTACTTTAGCTTTCTTGATTTTCGTGGGTCTAGGTATTCACAATCACGGCTGATATTCCTAGACTAATACTTGGTCTCCCTATAGTAACATTAACACCGCCGTATTCCCTTGGAAATTTTCAGCGCGGCTTGTATCAAAGCCACCTTGTTCACGCGTCATAATGCTGATTTTGGATATCAATATCAAAGCCACTGATAACAGAGGGAACGCGTACTTCATGTGCTACTCGGAATTCTTGGCTGAAGATAGGTACCGCTCGCGGTTTATTGCCATCATATCAATAGTAGTGAGAAAAAGCCTCCGTCGATGGGAAGGCTTCTTTGAGGTGTTGGATACACCGAAACTACCTCATCTTGATTCTGAATTCCAACCCAGAACAAAGTTATAGTTAGGTAAGAAACCGCGGAAAAGAATTGTCGGGAAAAAAGGCAGGGCGAAAGTTGCCTACGTTTACAACAGCTATCGCCATTTGTTAATAAGCTTATAACCTTTAAATTACTAGGTAATACATAGGTAAAAAGTATTCCCCGCAAAGCCCCCAGAGGTAGATAGATATTCTGTACCGGAAATTCGGCTTACCTTTTTCGAGATAGCTTAAAAATCATTTCTAATGAACAGAATATCTTCCGGTTCGAAACTCGATTACGATGCTGAGGTGAGAAAAAAGGATTGTGAGTACTTACCTCGGTAAATAGATGCGACACAGAGCCTCGGTGAGATTAGATGAGGTGATCTTCAGGTCACTAAACGGAGCCTCTTTAAACCTATTATTTTTGCTACATTATATTGACAGGGACTTAACTCTATTTGGAGAACGATACTAGATGAAAACAGCGAGTGCTAACAAGGTAGGTACCAGTAGTGCTCGCGGAGTTTGCAAAGGACCCTTGGTATACTTAGATACCTAAGAATTATCAATATTGATAGGCATCTTAGGTAGATAGTTGGAAGTAGGTATGATAACTAGGAAGTATAGGTATGAGCAGAAGAATTGAAAACTTGAATCAATGATTTTATGTCTCCTATTTCCACCCCCCTTACTTCTTGAATGGTGTAACCCCCACCCCTAGTCAGCCTCGAATATTTTCAGGGCGTTTGCTCAATTTGCACATGGCGTTAGAAGTAGGATATAGTATTGCCATAACACACTGGATTGGTGAGATCTCTATGTAACGGCTTCTGTGTATGCATATGCATACCCGTTTGATTATCTGCTGCTGTGTTAAATTTGTAGGTGATCACGAAATTTGACTAATTGCGTATGATGGCGCGTAAAGATCTTAGTCAGCTTACCAATCTATCTATGCCAAACTCGCAGCATGTCTGGTAGAGAAGGTTGATCCTAGGTATTCTAGGTAGTGAAACGGGGGATGGGCAAGCATGGGCCAAGACCTTATGTCTGTACCCCTGGGCCAGCTTTGAAGTTTCTCTTTGAGATTCGGACATGCATTGTAGTCGAAACTTCGGCCAATTGTAAGATCATCCAAGTTTAATTCCTGTGTGAGTGTATGCTAGTATGTACAGCTAATGGCCCGTTAATTTCCGTCATTTTATTTTATTGATAACCACATGACAAAATCTGGCTGTGCACAGCTTACGAAGTTATCGCGGCATGATTCGATTTTTATCCTCTGGACCGCCAATGAAGACAGAATACTGGAGGTTGGCTGGATGTGAATAGGCTAGGTGACGTTTCCATAGTTACGCGTAGCCTAATGAAGCTATAGTCAGATGATCTCTGCAGTAAGAGAGAGCCACGATGAGGCTCTTTCGCTTGAGCTTATGATCGCCCTCTGATCTTGGACATGGATGGCGGTGTACCTACTTAAGTACCAAGATAGGTATGCAAGAACGATAAGCCCCCATGCGGGTCTTGTTGTACTGCATAATCTACTTGAACGGCCCTCCTAGCAGGCTATGCTACTTTGTTAGTGGCGAGTCCGCAAAGGGGATGGTACGTATTAGTCAGGAGTACACGTGAGGATTATTTCCACAACCAATAATTTGTTCTCTTAAGCAATAATTAGTCCTCTTTGATCTCTATTATGAATCTAACGAGGAATTATAGTGTCTTGCTATGTCAGGATCTTAAGTGCTATTAGGTAGGTAGGGACTAGGTAGATTTATTTGGAAAGCCACTATTCTAATGCGACAACCCCCTTGTATGTCTATTTCTTTAATATAGTTGACTTGATCACCCCATACACGTCGAAGTAACTCCATTGCTTCCCCACGAACCTTTCTGTTTTATCTAAAAGGGATGAGTCTCGTAGGCCTTGTCCGCTTCTACGATAGCGTCATAACCCCATAGCCATGGTTGCACCGACGGGCATGACCTAGATTTAAGTGATATGTTAGTTATGCAAAGCATCAAGGTGGCATCTTTCATCAAAGCCTTACCATCGGCTCGGGAAGTGCGGTGGCGGTTCTTTTCCAAGATATTCTAGAAGCAAGGCATCCCTTTGCTCTTGTTCGGGCCCATCAGGTAGATGGAATGAATCCCTCTTTAGCAGCTATCAGTAACAGCACAATTCGAGACTGTTCGTGTAAGAGCTTGAGTGGACTAACCTGTCCTAACGCCTCCTTTGCTATCCCCTCTCCTCGAATTTTTCGCAGCTGCTGGTACATCTCGAGGGCCGGGGTCAGCTTGTCGCGGCTTGTTACGTATTTCAACAAGCGTCCGAGAACGGCACCATCTTCTAGAGAGGAGTTGGCACCCTGAGCAAGATAGGGAAGCATGGGATGACATGCATCGCCGCTAAATCCGGAAAAGTCAGTGATATCCGTCCTGGAAAAGATAGAAGACTTCAAGATAAACTTACGCCATTAAGAAGGTACCCTCGTCGTTCACCCAGGCGTCCAAGGTGGAGACTAGACAGCACGGATAACATTAGATGCATTTCTTACATAGCTTTAAACGAAAAGAGCTTTAGTAGACTTACTATGCATAAGTCGCCATTTATCGACCTGGTTCACGCACGCTAGTAGCTTGCTCAAGCTACAATAAGCCCATGTAAGTAGAAGGCTAGTAGTTATGAGGCTTAGCTTACATAGGATCCCAGGGCTCGAATAGCTTCCGCATCTCATCCACATCAGCAGCAGCTCGGCTTACGTCTTCGGGTAGATCGTCGGGGCGTAGCAGAACAAGGTTGTACGTCTTACCCTGGCGCAACGAATACCCCACTACGTGGGATTCTGGACCGATCCACAAGTTGACAGAAGGCTTCGCGATAAGTTCTCGTAATTCCGGATCCTGTACCTCCTCCAGATTGAGAATGATCCGATAGGCAAGATCTCCGGTCGGCTTCGGCGATAGCTGCCGACCTAATAAGAAACTCCTTGTGCGCGACCACAAACCATCGGCGCCGAGTATGAGATCGCCTTGCACTGTTCGACCATCTTGCGTGGTAACGGCGGCACGTTTGAAGTCAACGTGTTGAACGTCAGCACCCAATCGAATCTCAACACCCAGAAACTTTGCACGATTTACTAGCGCTTCTTGCAGATCGGCACGATGAATGTCCCAAAAAGGGGCATTGTATCGCTCGAGGACCTTCTTCTGAAAATGTTCCTCGTACGATAGCAGTCGAGTACCGTCATATCGCCTAACCGCCAGATAAGTAGGAATGGCAGCTTTGGTGCTCAGCTCATCGTAAACTCCCCAGTGATGGAACAGGCGACTCGCATTAGGAGTGACCTGTAATCCAGCACCGATTTCCTCAAGTTTGGAAACTTTTTCCAACACAGTGACGCGATGGCCTTCTAGTCGAGTGCTAATGGCCGCCGCGAGCCCGGCTAGACCGGCACCGATGATGATGAGGTGCAATTGGAAATTTGCGGGTTTATCGCGGTTCTGAGTTCCGTTAGCTGTCATTGTGGAAGATCACCTTAGGGGACCAAATAATTATGTATGGGAATAGATTTCGCTATGTTATTCAGATATAGTCCGGCGATAGGATGACTTGGTCAGAGATGTCGTTTGTTATAATAAATCCTTGCGGGATGAAAGAGGAGACGAAGTGACAACCTCATCGGAGAGGTAAGTTATTCAGTTTCGCGGGTAGGATTTCGGTGCCTCCTAAGTACGTGGTATGTGTAAGCTACTTCGCTTTCTCCCGCTCTCCTGGTAATACCCCTGTAAACGCAAATACTCTCCCTTGCGCATCGTATCATTCTTGTCTGAGATTATGGACGTAACCATCTTAGTCCCGCTCTCCCGCGCGGTTTGTCGCACCGACAACCTTGAAGCACCGATTAGAGTCGGCCTATCGAATAAGCTTAAATACCAATTGGCCAATTGGAATTTCCATCTAAAGAAGATTGCCGGGCTTTGCGGGCACTACGGAGTTATAGTCGTTGCGGCACCTACCTTAGCCTACTTTACCTTCTATTCCAGATCGTCCCACAGCGCCTCGATCCGCCTTTCTGGATCCACTTTGTGTAATCAGAAAAGATAGGGGTGAGCCTAGAGGACAAGAGCGACTACGAGGACCAGGTCCTACCACAGCTGTTAGCTTACCTATACTATCCACCTAAGATTCCAAACGATCCTTACGTCAGCAGCACGATATGACAACGGGGAATCTAGGGATAACCATGTTTATTGCCCTATAGGGCTAGGTGACGCTGTATTGTTTCGGCTCTAATATAAAATCATCACATGTTATTAAACCCAACTAGGGGAAAATATTAAAGCTGAAGCTGTACTACACCTTATTGCATCATGCTGGCGCGGGCTTATTATTTCCTGCTTATTCGCCGATTCACGCAGTGAAATGATCTGTCAGCTCCTGCAAAAGATGGCCAAGTGGAGATAATTGTTATCATAACACAACGTAGGCGATTTCCCTTGGTCCAGAGCCTCCGGTGTAACGATCTAACGCTTAAGGGTCTTGATTTGAAGGTAACAACGAGGGGAGGTGATCGTCAAAGAACCTGGGGCCCTCGTGGATCATGGTTAATTTGGTTGGCACATAATATCCGGGAAGTTCCTTGATAACAACATGAATCGGGGTTACTATTTATTAAATGGAGAGGCAAGACTCCCTCAGAAATCTTGGTAGTCTGTGTAGATCCGACGTGTGCCTTCACTTCTTCAGAATGTATCGCGTAGCAGTGTTTGCTGGCCTTGGCTCCGACGCCCTCTTTTCACGTACTACCTTGGACACGGCCATCCAAGATGCTTCTCTACCAGAATCACAAGTCATCTTGCGAGCATGTCATGCCGTTTTTCGAACGCAGATAACTAAAGCCGTAGAGCAAGGCCATTTGTTCCCAGAGTCAGTTAATCTGGATGACTTCGCTCAACCAGAGAGCCTCATACGACCTTCCCTTACATATCATCACAATGTCGTTATACAGCACACAGCCATATACCTTGTTCAGATATTCCGATTCCTCAGTCACTCAAGAGGGTCTCATGATGTCCAAGGCGTTGCTGGATTTTGTGCTGGCCTATTACCCGCTGCTGTCGTAGCCACATCTCACAATGTGATTGAGTTCATGCAACGTGCGCAGGACTTGTTCCACGTTGCGCTATGGCTCGGCATCAACTCGGAATCATATCGCCATGCAGAACTCTCTCGAGGTGGCTGCTCTCCGAATCTACCTTGGAGCATGGTAGTTCATAATATCTCTGATGATATCCTTGCTGCGTTGATCAGTGTAAGTACCTGCAAAGGAGACAGACACTACTTACCCAACTATAAGAAGTCAAGCTGATTAACTGGATAGGATACTCAAATTCCTGTATACGTTACCGCCAGAAACTCAGCGGGTTGTGTAACCCTGAGTGGAATAGGAGACCAGCTCGCACAATTCATCGAGGAGAAACTTCCAACCAAATGTAGAGCACGGCCGACGAATGTCTTCTCCTTATATCACAATCGCGATAGATTAAGTGACATTTTCCATCAAACGGTAGAAGTCCTTGGTCAGGAACTATCTTCTCAATGGGAAGTTCCAGTGGCTCCAGCGGCCCCGCTTTTCTCCACGGTAACGGGCGAGCCCCTATTCATCTCTGAAACTTCGACAACACTCGGACAACTGGTTTCGCTCTTATTAGAGATGATCTTGCTAGAACCAGTCGATTGGATCTCTGTACAAGACAGCGTACTGTCAGAGATTCAGCACCGCGCTGATTCGGAAAAGTGTGAGATCCTGAACTTTGGTCCGGGGTATGGAGTATCGAAGTCAACACGTCAGTTGCCTCAGGCGGCGGAAATTCGTGACGTCTCAGCTGCTGGGGCATCTAGTACATCAGAAGCGGAAGCTTCTGGTATTTCGTTGGACGATATAGCTATCGTGGGGATGGCAGTTGACCTGCCCGGTGCCTCAGACGCTGATGAGCTGTGGGATAACCTTTGCAACGGGGTAAACTCGTGCTCAGAAATCCCTGCCTCGAGATTCCACATAGACGACTTCTATCAGAAGAAGGACGAGAAAGGCAACCGTGCCAAACGATCAATAAACACCAGATACGGAAACTTCCTCAAGAATCCGTTCCTTTTCGACAATGACCTCTTCGACATATCCCCTCGGGAGGCCAAGTCAATTGACCCTCAGCAACGAGTGCTCCTTCAGACGTCATATCGCGCTCTGGAGGATGCTGGATACGTTCCTGACTCCACTCCTTCTTTTGCCCGGGACACATTTGGCTGCTTCGTCGGTAACGCAACGCTCGACTATCCCGAGAATCTTCGCGCTGACATCGACGTGTACTATAGCCCAGGTAAGTAATTACCTCCATATATGGTCTTTTTCATGGAACTTGACTTATATATATTTCATAGGTACACTACGGGCATTCCAGAGTGGACGCATCTCTTACTACTTTGGCTGGAGTGGTCCATCGATTACGCTTGACACTGCCTGCTCTTCATCAATGGTCGCCCTGCACCAGGCGGTGCGTGCCCTAACAGCCGGCGACTGTAGGGCGGCACTCGTAGGTGGAGTGAACGTAATTACTAGCCCAGACGTAAGCGCTTCCTAAGATTGCTCATCCTGAGTGGGATCTGATTTTGAACTTACATATTGTAGATGTACCTTGGTCTTGATCGCGCACATTTCCTCAGCCCTACGGGTCAGTGCAAAGCTTTCGATGCGTCCGCAGATGGATACTGTCGTTCCGAAGGTTGTGGAATCTTCATTGTCAAGAAAATGAGAGACGCACTCGCGGAGGGCGATCGAATCCACGCTATTATCAAAGGGATCGAGTTGAACCAGAGCGGGAACGCGCACTCAATTACCCACCCTCACTCCCCCACGCAAGAGCAACTGTTTCGCCGTCTGCTAGACAAGACGAAGATCCATCCCCACCAGCTCACGGTCGTTGAAACTCACGGAACGGGGTAAGAAGTTGTCCCTGCAACACTTGTTGTGCCGTAGCTCATTACTCACAATTTCTGTCATTTAGAACTCAAGCCGGAGACCCGAATGAGCTAGAAAGTCTACGTGGTGCCCTATGCAGAGGCCGTAGCCCTCGAAACCCGGTGCACTTTACATCGGTGAGTGACCCGAAATCAATGATAAGCGCGGAATGCAAACGACTAACGTATAGCAATTGCAACAGATCAAAGCAAACGTCGGCCATGCAGAGGCAGCATCTGGTGCTGCCGCCTTAGCCAAGGTGGTTCTTATGATGAAATATGGGAAGATACCACCTCAGGTCTCTTTAAAGAATCTTAACCCGAAGATCCAAAAGCTTGGTGTGGATGGTTCCATGATCGACAGCGAAGTCACACCATGGCAACAGCCTGGAGGCGGGCCAAGACTAGCGCTGATAAATAACTTCGGAGCAGCTGGATCAAATGCCGCCGTGATCCTTCGAGACTATGACGTCCCTGTTACTCCTCGACTTACCCTTAACGGCGATGCCCAAACATATGTATTGGGCTTGTCTGGAAAGAGTACCAAGGTCCTAAATAAACTTCGCGAGGAGCTGATTGCCGACTTGACTAGCACTCTCTCAACAGGATCGCCTTCTTTGGCTGATATCTGTTATACAATAACAGCACGTCGGCAACTTTACGACTACCGCATATCGGTAACAGCTGACTCGGTCGAGAAGCTGATAAAAAGCCTAGGAAGTGCTCAACCGAACCATGTACCAATTGCAAAGGCCCCTAAGCTTCGAATTGCCTTTGTCTTCTCGGGACAGGGTTCGCAGTATCTGGGAATGGGTCAGCAGCTCATGTCCATTTATCCTACCTTCTCAAAGACCATTCACCAATGCGATCAAATCTTAAAGAGGAATGGCTTCCCAGGGTGTTTGGAAATAATCGATCCAAGCAGGGCGACTAGCACAAACCAAGAAGACAACAGCTCACAGCTTCAGGCTTTCCAGTCTGCCATATATGCATTAGAGGTTGCGTTAGCTCAGTTGTTGATATCCTGGAATATTCTGCCAACCTTAGTCGTCGGACACAGGTAAGATTCGTCATTTATTTCCTACAATTGTGTCGAATTAGCAGTACTAACGTTTGAATTAGTCTCGGCGAGTATGCTGCTCTCGTAATTGCAGGGGTATTGGATTTCTCTAGTGGTGCTCTTCTCGTTGCCCGTCGCGCTGAATTAATGGTGACCGAATGTGAAATTGGAAAGACGTCGATGCTAGCTGTGAACATCGGAGCATCAGATGCGCGGGCGATGATCGCAGGCGACTCCCGTTTCCAGCAATTGACCATCTCGTGCGACAACAGCCGCACAGATTGCGTAGTGGGTGGACCTATACCTCAGTTGCAAGCTTTTAAGGAGCATATTAAAAGCGCGGGTGGAATCAAGAGCAAACTCCTCGATGTTCCCGTGGCATACCATACGGATGCCATGGATCCCATCCTCCCCGAGCTGATCAAGTTTGCGAATACGGTGGTATTGAGAAAGCCCTCGATTCCGGTTGTCTCGAATGTCTTAGGGCATATAGTACCAGCGGGAGAGGATGTGTTTACTCCCGATTACTTTGCACGCCACTCGCGACAGACGGTGGCCTTTCAACAAGGTCTAGATGAATACCTGGTAGGTTCTCCCGATGCAGACACGACCCATTGGGTGGAAATTGGACCGCATGCTTCTCTCCTCCCTATGATCTCGACGCAAGCTACCGCAGCACAAGCCGGTCTGGTGCCATGTCTACGAAAGGGAATCTCGCCGTCTGCCACTTTATCGCAGCTTTTAAGCCATTTCTACCAGAAGGCGGCTCCGGTCAAATGGCGCCAGGCTTTTGATTTTCAGGACAAGCCTCGATTGGTCAATCTCACTGGTTTACCATTCTTCCAATCCGAGTTCGTGATTCCGTACCCCCACGAGACATCGTCACTCTTGACTGGGTTACCCGAGAAAGTTCAGGATACGATATCCGGGAACGTATTCCTTAGAAGAACGGTCCAAAAAGCCTCTGAAAGCAATGACTTCACCGGTATTTATGAGACATCGATCCAGTCCCTGAAGGAGTTTATCACCGGCCATATCGTTTGTGAACATGCGCTTTGCCCGGCGTCAGTATACCACCAAATGGCCCTATCGGCGGTACAGGATATGCAACCAGAAAAGACCACGGAATCGGCTTGGTCACTTTCGGGCATAACCTATGTTGCTCCGCTTCTCTACACCAGCCAGTCAACCGCTGTAGTTCGCATTCGCGTTTCCCCATCTGGAGGTGCTCAAAATGACTTCAGCTTTGAAGTCTCATCTTTCGCTAATGGTACTGACCCTGGTCGCGGTAGCGCGCATTGCAAGGGCCACCTAAAATGCAAGATTAGGAAGTCCGCAGAACAGAAATACACACGAGCGGCTCGCATGTTAAAGAGGCAGATTGACCGATTCATTCGTCCTGACCCAAGTATCATCCTGGAAACGTTCTCGACAAAAGCCATGTACGAGAATGTTTTCACCCGAGTAGTCACGTATTCCAAGTTGTACCAACAGGTGCAATATATTCGCATCAGCCCAGAATGTGATGAAGCATACGCGCGATGCAAGTCTTCGAGTACACCATCTAACACCCCAGCAGATAGCAGCGCCATCTTTATGGACGTTTTGTTGCATGTGGCCGGGTTTGTTGCGAACCTTTCCATTGCTAGCGGTGAGGCTTGCATTTGTAAAGAGGTGGAATCGGCATTGGTTCTCCGTGAGCCAGCCTCCCCTGGAACTATGTTTGACGTTCACTGCACCGTGATTGAATTGTCCGAGGAGGGACTTTTCATTGCTGATGCGCAGGCAACCGATGAACACGGTGTGATGGCATCATTTAAGGGAATGGCCTTCCAGCGAGTCCAGCTAGCCAAGATTAGCCAGGCATTCGGTATACAATCAAGGAGAGGACAGGGAATGTCGAACACGCCGAAGACGAACGCAGCACCACGTCCTCAGCAGCCTGCAGCTACCAAAAAGGTCGCTGAGAATCAACCGGCGATCTCCGCTCCGTCGTCCCAATCGAACTTGGCCATGAAGAATCTCATAGCCCAGACGTGCGGCGCAGAGCCAACTGACTTATCCTCTGAGTCGAATTTAGAAGCGTTTGGATTCGACTCACTACTGATGATCGAATTAGAAGCCCAGTTATCATCAGCTTACCCCTCGTTAGACGTTTCTGGCTTAGCAGAGTGTCATACCATCGGCGATATCGAGAGACTCTGCTCTGGGCAGGAAACCATAGACACTCCACCAAACTCCGTCGTCGATATGCCCAACGAAGACGTATCTTATGTCGCTGATGATATCCCTGATATTCGAAAGCTTACCCGTGCCATAATTGCCGAAACATGCAACGGGAACATCGATAGCATCGACTCAAGTTCCGAGTTATCGGCGTTGGGTATAGACTCATTGATGATCTTCGAACTGGAATCGAGCCTATCGAAGATCAGCAACGGTGGGTATCTCTCGACGTCGGATTTAGGAGAATGTCACACAGTCGGTGACGTCGAGAAGTTGGTAAGTGGCGCCCTAGGAATTATCTACCCTTTCCTCCAAGAGAAAGCAACTCTAATATCTCCCATGTAACCCAGATCCTAAGCAGCTACCCTCAATTGCCAACGCAGGATAGTAGCTCGGCCATCTCAAGTTCAAACTCATCCTCGTCAGCAAGCAGGGCATCATTATCAGGCGTAACAATCCCCACCGCGATTCCCACCGTGCCCGTAACGCCCATAAACTCCGAGCCGTCCCAAGTCCTCTTCGGCGCCGCCACCATCGACAAGGTCGCGCGTATCCTCAACCTGGACCAGCAGCCCGAGATCGTGCAAGCAGCCCCGTCATCCCAGCACACGGGCCACGACAAGCGGGAACCGTCCCTCTTCCTCATCCACGACGGCAGCGGCGTGTGCACGCACTACCACCGCCTCCAGCCCCTCGGGCGCCCCGTGTACGCGCTGCACGACCCGAAGCTCCTCGACCCGTTCGACGGGTGGGCCAGCCTCGGCGCCATGGCCGACGAGTACGCGCGCCAGATCGCCGCCGCGACCGCGGGCCCGTACCTGCTAGGCGGCTGGTCGTTCGGCGGCGTCGTAGCCTTCGAGGCGGCGCGGCGGCTGCTCGCCCAGGGCCACGGCGTCATCGGCGTCGTCCTCATCGACGCGCCCGCGCCCGTGGACCATCAGCCGCTGTCGCCGCGCATCATCGACGCGGTGACGGGCCAAGCCAAGGCCCCCGGGACCGAAGCGGCGAAGGCGATCCGCGCTCTGACGCGGCGCAGTTTCGCTTCGTGCGCGAGCTTGTTAGGTGCCTTTACGCCCGAATCGCCCGCGGCGCTGCCCATGCCGCGCGTCTTCTTGCTCCGGTCGCGGGAGGGCTGGCAGGACGCGTCGGATCCTGACTTTTTTGAGAACGAGTGGCTGCAGGACCGGCGCAGTCCGCGCGGGGCAATCAGCGGCTGGGAGACGGTGACCGCGTCGAAGGTGGCATGGGTAGACATCCCCGGTAACCATTTCCAGGTCTTCGATTCTGCTAATATTGAAGCGGTTTCGACATCGATACGACGCGCTTGCGTTGAGTTGGAAGGCGCATATTCTCGCGTTTAGATATTTAGCTGAGCTTCCTACGAATTGGATTGGGGGGACGGAGGTTAAAAGGATGAAATGAGAAATCTGACCAAGCGGGTTGCCCCCGCGCACCCCTGAATTACCTCAAAGGATTCCTTCGTTTGTTACATAACTTCTTTCTCATATTCAATACTTCGGGGATAAGGATATATGGGTTTAGATATACGCACTTTTCGACCCGTAGATATAGAAATGGATTATAGACGGTTAGATACGGTTCAATATGAGTTACGTCTGCATTATATACATTTGCTTAATTGTTGTTAAGCAGCGCCCCTAAATTAAGGCACACTTATGTATAAATGCATACACCGCAATGCCATTTAAGCCATACAAGGACCTCTCGTGCGTAATTTAAAAGGGGATATTGTCATAGGTAGGTACATTGGTACCTAGAGATTCCGCGACCTGTTAATGAATAGTTGCATGTGGAGGAAAATGGTTTCTGATAATTATCTACCATCCATTCCATTCCCAAACCCACACTATACATCGAGCTACCTAGTAAACACTGAAAGTAAATGGCCATCACATATGACTCCGAAATATCATCATCTTCCCGTATATATAGTTAAACCCCGAAGAAGTGTTTCTTTACATTTTGATTTCCAATGATACGAAGATGTACTATGACTTAGTAAGTTATCTGTGTTCGTGAACTACAGGGTTTAGCTATATGACTCCTGATCCAAGGTATGATCGGTACGCACTCAAAATTCCATATGATTACCTATATAAGGGATATAGGCTCACTCTCAAGGAAACATAATCTTATTAGTGACCAGCAACTATTACAAGGACAGGACGTTAATGGTAGAAAAGGCGTCAAAGAGGTCAGGGCTTTTAATCAACTTCTATTGCCGAACGCCCGCAAAGATTCAGCCCCTTAACGCTGACGCGCATATAGAAAATCGCCTACAAGATTCAGGATTTAAGGAAGGCTGAGTCCTATCTTTGTTTTGTAAGCAACAATCCTAGTTGACTTTTCCCACGCCATACGCGTGCTTTATTTTCCGGAGAGCGTTACCAAAATACATCGTTCTTCAAAGGCCTAAGCGGGAGTCACAGGGAACTCATCGTATTCAATTGGTAAACAGTTGGTGTCATCTATGCTTCTTAACAGCCCGCTGGGGAGTATTTGGGTACTTAGGTGCCGTCTACTCAATCACTCACTAAGCTCCATCGATCCTGCTAAAATCGCCCCAGATTATCTTACCATACATTCATGAACTTGCAGACGTTTTAGGGAAAAAGAGTCTTTATAATGAATAACAGCGTAAACATGTTGATAATATCTTCTTGATTCTAGTCCTCTATAAAGGAATTATGTCCTAAAAAGCTATAGATGAGGTGGCTAAGATTGTTAATTAAGCTTACCTTGACTTTGAGATATTGGAACCATAGCTGATAAAGCTCGGTGAGAGTAGTGTCACTTACGAGATGCAAATATTTATGACAAGCTGTAAATCTGAGTGTACTAGTATCATTCATTGGCAGTAAGTTATATTCGTCCTGTCAAGTGAGAAAGTAGATGAGTCAAATGACTGATGATACAGTAGTTACAATGTTGGACGATACCTTCCTTAGAAGCCGGGCATGGACCGTGGTAATGTATCCTTGGTTCTGGGTGAGGGCCTACCAAGATAGTACGGTTAGAAGCCTGGTTGGCTAAAATGTTAGGTGGCTATTGGAGGTCTGGTGCGCCAATTTCTAGTCGAATTGGAGTTCGGATCGACCCGCTCAAGGGAGTAGAACTATCCATGGCTGCTAAGGCAGAGTAGACAAAGGGCCTGGTTTATGTATCACGCAATCTTTGATAACTACTTCCAAGGCTATTCCTAGAGTTTCTTACTCAGATAACAACGTCATTCTTAACCCATCTGTTAAGTCTGCATTGTAACAACTTTGATGTATCTAGTTAAAACTAGTAACTATCCCCGTCGAGTATAGAACCAATCTCCAAAGAGAATATGAGGGGTTTGTTAATAAGGACATTAAAGGTACCGCCCTTTCCGGCTAAACTAGGTATTATGTGGACATATGCGTCGTCCGTATTGACTTCTAGATACTTCATCATTAGTGATTAATACCTAAGTACCTATCATGAGAACATATCTCAACACAATCATTTAGCTAAAAAATACTATGAGAATGGTATTATTAACGGTTTTATTCAATATAAACCACTTTATTATCGTGACGAAGAGAATTTCATAAAAGGCGATCTGGATCTGGCAAATCCTGAACTGGAGGACGTCTTGCTGACTAGTAACTTCGTCTATCCATTCATTATTACTGCTTCGACTCACTTGGATATCTATATAGCTTGCTTCTATTTAAATAACCATCAACCTTACTAGATATGCTTTGATTTGGATTCCTGGAAAAAAATTTGAATCAACTACACCCACTTGTGTCCTAGGGCCGAAGAGCATAAAAATACGCTGACACAACTTCGCGACTACATAAACGCTTCACCAGAGTTGAGTCTACTCTATAGTTATTACCTACGAGCATCGACTGGGCCAACTCTATCCGCCCTCGACGAACCTATATAAAACCTATCATCTTCCATACCCTCAGTCTTCTCTCCCCAAAACACCAACCTCTTTCTCCATATCCTGTATCCGAAAATGGACAAGGTAAATCAGCCTCTCTATATCCTTGACGACTCCAAGCTAATGAAAAAAAAGACCGACGAGGAGAATAGCTGTCCAAACTGCACCAGTTCCGAACTCTGCTCCGAATGCACCGAGAAGAAACGCAAGGAAGCGGCAAAGAAGCGCAAGAAGGATCAGGAGATTCGGGTGGGTAAATAAGATGAAGGCGAGCGATATGGCACGTGCAACTATCACGTAGCTATCTTTACTTTCCGAGTAAAGTTATCGTTCTAGTTGAGGGAAGGCAAAGGGTGTCCTCCAATATGGCGCTTTACGCCGTCATGGAGATCATGGAGGAGGATGAAATGGCGTAGCCTACAAATCAATGGCCCTGGGAGCCAATTCCACCATATCCGCTATTTGTGTTTAGACATCGTGATAAAATGTGATACGGTTAAAATTAATTACTGACCATTAGATAATTGAGACTAGGGCCTGCATCGGATTCGCTGTCTTATTGTGTAGCTAGGGGAATTATTTATAGTAAAGGGAAAAAGACGGTGATCCGATATCCCATTATTTCAAAATCTATCATTATATTCAGCCTCTACGCTCAACTACCTCCATAGCGCAGCCATCCGCGCCGGATCGCAGCTCCCCAGTTTTGCGCTCTTCGCCTTACCCTCCAAAATGATCTCGCTCACTAACTTCCCTGTTGCAGGAGCGTTCTGGATACCCCAACAAGTATGTCCCGCCGCGACGACCAGCCCTTCCGTGTTGTCCACCTTGCCTATCCAAGGACCTCCTTGGGGCAGATAGCACGCCTGTTTGGCAAGAACCTGTCCGTCTTTCCCCAGCTCATCGCTTATTCCGCCGACCTGGTATATAATATCGTCACACCGCGCCGTGTCGACTTCGACGTCGGCGCTTGTCAGAGGTAACTCGACAGCGTTATCTGTGGGTCCGCAAGCATACGCGGTACCATCCGGCCGTGCGTAGATTTCGGGCTCTACAATCTGTTGTCCTATTAGGGGTCGCGTGGTAGTAGATTTTCGCCTAGCGTCCTGTGGTGTTGGGGTGGGGAAGCCGGTAGGAAGCAATATTGAAGTGAAGAGCGCGTATGCGGATATGGGCCTCGGCGTCTTGATGACGACGCTGTGCGCGCGAGCCGCGGTGACAGGGACGTTAGGTAAGAGACGACGGGTCCACGGGCCTGCGGCTACTACGCAGTCTGTTGCCGGTAGGACTTCCTCTTTGCCATCTTTAATATACGTTACACTCTCTACGCTTTTGCCGTCCGCAGTCTTATTGATGGTCGTGACTCTCGCACCTGTCACGATCTTCGCTCCTTGTTCCTCGGCTAGTTGGGCCATACTTCGCGTGAATAATTCAGGATGAACCTGGGCTGTCTTGTCCGGGGTGGACATTACCTCGTAGGCAGCTAGGGCCTCCTCCGTATCCAGCCAATCTAGGTCTTCCGGGGCGCCAAGCTTCTGGAGGGTTTTTATATCTGTCTTATGGTCCTTATGAAGGCCCTTTGAGCGCTGCTCCGCTTCGCCGCTAGCGAGTTCTGTTTCGCCCGCCACGCCGCTGTCAAACCCAGGCGGTAGACGCGCGCGGCAATCGATCTGGCTAGCATAACACCGTCTGTATCCCCATCTCTTATCCCCACCATGTTCCTTTGCAAGCTCGCTGTGCAATCTAAAACTTAGCGGTACTATTTCCGACGGAAAAGCCCACAGCGCGAGTAAGCCACCTGCTTTGCCACTTGCGCCGCCCGCGATACCATCGTGAGCGGGGTTCTTCCTAGAGGCGGTTGTGGGGTCGGCTAGCGTTGCTGGGTCCTGGATGCTTTCTGGGGTGCGACCTCCAGCACTACTCGACGAAGCCTCGAGGAGAGTTATGCGATGCGTGTCCGGGGAGTAGGAAGGGTGGCGAGTGAGGAAATACGCAGTGCAGCAGCCGATAATTCCTCCACCAATTATGGTGATATCTTTTGGCGTTGAGGCCATTGTGCGCCTTGTTGAAGTAGTAAGGAGACGGAGTGGGGCGGGATTAAGCATTCATTCGAACCACTTTCATACTTGGTTGATTCTAACTGAAGATTGGGAAGATTGAGAGTCTGTACTTTGAAACTTGGAACTTGGAACTTGGAACTCGGAGCAAAATCAATTAGCTAAGTACCTCCCTAATATATCTGCCTGTCTTTTACGTAACCGTGGGTACTCAATGGTTACGTCACTCTTCATTGCCGGTATATTTAGGAGCTTAGGCCCCGAGCCACTTTTCGCTACATGCATATTATCAGGGGGTCTCCCCCTATTCAACAACCCGTAGCGATTACTAATCCATACGTCTTCATTGATTCTATTCCTAGATATTATAAACAAAACAGATAAACAAACAAACAAACGGCTGAATAATATGTAGGTCAAAGATCATTCTTTGGAATTCGTCTCGTGATACCTCCTGCTTCCATTTTCTGAACTCATCTTGTTTGACATTGTGCCATCTCATTTCCAGGTAGGGATGGAAACTCTCGAACAGCACAAACTTACCACCAAGCTCGAATACCTACTAGCACGTTATCGTAAATCAGAAATACTTGAAGATTGGTTGACTGCAGCCTCCATTGCTTCAACCTCTTCGTTAGTATATATCCTCAGTGTGCTGGGGAGCTTGACGTTGTTAGTGCCCGGGATAGACTCGCCAAAATTGACTTCTATCATATTATTGCAGAAGGCGTCAACGTCGTTATCCCAATATGACTCCGTTGTAATTTCGTGGATTTCTTGAGGAGTTAGAATATATTGGTAGTGCTTGAAAGCGTAGTCAGCCATGAAGTCTTGTAAATACTGACTGCTCGAGCTCGTGGTAGAAGTGGAAGTAGTTCCCGCCATCGCGACTAGACTGATATTGAAACTCTGGTTTATTCGTAATATAAGCACCGTCGTATCGACTAGTAGCTATAAATATGCTGCAACTCGCCTGTTGACTTACGCCTCAATTCTTCTAACGCTATTATTTGGAAAATGTGGGATTGAATTTCTGCCTTCTCGCTAGATGGATTGATGTCAATTAAAATAATTGTTCTCTTTGTTGGCTCCATGTAATGACATTGTCGCAAGTATAAGGTTTCTATAACAATGCATAAAGCTCATGCATAGATCCCTTGTCTTTTTATCAACGATAAGTCACTGTTTCTTTGTGCTTCTCTATATATGAGTGACGTAATAAGACAAGAGTTTCTTCTGCTTTGTGTGTTTCATTTCAACTTTCTTAAATACTCTGGCTTAAACTAAAATTAAACCCAGGTATTCAAACTATTCTTCAAAAATTACCAAAGCCATGTCACATTCAAGAATGGCTTCTAGCCCGAGGCAACCGTCTAGACTGTCTAGGACTCCCCTTCAAGGATTAGAAGATGAGATTAAAGTAGGTGTCTTCGATCAAGGCAATGTTCCATACAATGGTGACCCGCAGCTTATTGTACCAAATGGCCGGTCGGGATGCTATGGCCTTTACCTGATCACGCCAGAGGGTGTAGAGTTTATCTTTCACCATGCGACTATGAAGTTTGCCACGACGTGTGGATGCCTCACTAAAATGAACCCGGGAGAGACGACGTTTCAGCTTTCGGCTGCGCTAGATGATTATCGTTTACGACTCATTCGCCAAAAACAGTATCGAATTGGACCAAAACTTGCAGCTATGATTGTCATGAAACTGTTTCTTGGTCTGGAAATTCCAGAGCCATTCCACGCTAGACGGCAGACTGAGATTAAAGAGCCTGATTTAGACGCAGAGAGCCATAACACAAAGGTCCACCCTCCCGCTCATGATAAATCTGAATAATCACTTTTTCGCCAAGTAGCATAATTGAAGATCACGAATATTAAGTTATATCATGGCCTAAGAGTAAGTTTTGATTGGCTTGGAATATTCTTCATAAGTCCAATTAATTGTAACTATAAACATAGAAACCATTCTTACATCTTTCATGTTACAGCTATCTTCTGGTCTTCGCTGTGTTAATGTATATATTGATGCCAACAGTTCAACGGCATCTAGGTTACGCGGTTTAATAAGAGTGTTTATTGCGTATCTTTCATCATGTGTTGGATCTAATGCATAAGGGAAGGTATATAATGTATAGGTAATCATTATATATTAAGAGGAAACTACGTGAGTCTCTACCAAGCAGTGACTCTTAGCTGAGCTAACACTGAAGCAAGAATTACCTGCATAGACGTAAAGCGCATTTCCAACGACTTACATATTGTATCACAGGGAAATCAGGACTTCCGCGAGATGCAAAAGTGTGACGAGTTATAAAATCTTGAGGACCGTAGCCGCGGTCTCGTGCTCTCCGTGAGACTCGTACAGGCGGACCATTAAAAGATACCACGCCAAGGATTCGTCTGATAGAATACCAGCTATCGATATCGCAATATCAATGCATTTGAGAAATACGATATCCCAGGCGTCGAAGTTGTCACAGGGCAATTAGGTAATCCATCCCTATAATAGGGATTAGCCCTTGATTACCTCAGCTGAGCGTGGGTATATCTAGCACTCCATTCTATAAGAGCAAAGCTCTCTTTTACTTAATAGATCATTCCGCTCACTATGCTAGAGATACGGCACCCACACCCACAGACTGTGTGACAATAGCATCCGTCCGAAAACCGGACAAAATCGCCAATAGAATCGACGATACCTTCAGGCTCTATGAGACACTCTTCAAAGTCTGGCTGCGGATGCTGGCATAATGAAAAGGCGTGGCGTAGCTCATCGCCGGTCAATGGCTCAGGCGAAGCAATAATTAGGGCAGGGCATTGCACAGACAAAACAATTATTTAGTTTGTTTTTGATTGTTTGGGTCAGCTAAAACAAAATAAGGAATTTTTCTTGTTTATCTATACAAAACAAGAGCCTATTATTTTGTTTAAGTGGATACTTATTACATGAGGGTCTCGTACCCCACATATATACTTATTTCCCCCTTATTTTTAATGTTTAGGTCCCTGGCCATCCCCTGGGACCCCCCTAGTATACAAGACAGCAGAGCCGCACGGTTATCCAGGTGGCCGGAACCACCCCTGCTGCTAACGTTGAAGGTATCGTGGACCTTGCTGCCCAACCATTTTATTTCGAATATTTAGGTTGCCTTTAATCTCTTACTCTCCTAATCCTTATTCTTGCCATTGGATTTTTATTACCGCCCTCGCCGTTGCCTGCTATATCAGCCGAATACGAACGAGTTTTTAGCTAAATTAAAGTATTTAACTAAGTTATCTTAAAAGTAGTCCCTAAAGATTAATTCTCTCAAGGCAATAAGTTCGGGGGGCGACGGTAAGGTTGGCGATAGAGGCGTGAGCAAGGGTATATTTTGACCCACTTTTCCTGGTTATTAAGCAACTAAAACAATAGATTTTGGCGAACAAACAGGACTCTCGAATTATTTATGTTTGTTTGAGGCAGTCAAATAAATTGCAATTGTTTTGTTTGTTTTGTCTGTGCAATGCCCTGTAATTAGGGACAGTAGACACTTTGTGCGTTGCAGGAACATGGACGGGCGTGCTGGGTTCCCTCCGAATCTTTGAATAAGCTGGGAAAATAGCCGATGATACTCTCGATCTAAGTCGTGTGGCATATATTCCAAAGTTACCTTGATTTCACTGGCAAGGTAGCAACGGTTCAACTGTGTAAAGACAAGTGAGACCTACAGGAACATTATCTTGGACCTTTCCTGGAAAGATTGCCGAACAACTTGCCTGATGGCAAGTATTTGTACCTTTGGCGACCGGTCTAATTCCGCATCGATGAATTTATGAATATCGTGTCTGACCGTATCTTCTGTGACCTCCACGATCAAAATGTGGATGTCTTAGCATCCTGCATTGCTGGCTCTCGGCCAAGAAGGACGGGGTGAAGGTCCGGCACCGCCTGGAGAAGTTCAAGGACGTATTCCAAACTCCCACCCTGGCATCGAGACCAGTCATCGGCGGACTCGTCAATGGCATCCAAAACGCAAGAAATGGTTAATTCAATTAGAATACCGGTCTTCTTGATAGCATCTCCGATGCTATGTTGGTTGAAGGGCAAGCTCCTAACTAATGGGGTATAGATTGTCTGGATATCCTCGTCAGAAATGTACTGCAGAAGATGCCATAAGAGTGTGGGTAGGAAATCTGTAAGTTTGCGCTGGCTCTCTCTGCTGGCCCAGAATGAGAATAGCGCGGCGACTTTGTCTGGTATCTTCAAGCGCTCAACTATTGATGCAGCCAGAACAGATTTCCCGCACCCCTTAGTGCCATATATGCACATCATCCGGGGTGCAAAATTCCCATGACCGGCAATTCCGATAGTTGGAAGCCACTGAGAGAATACCGGATGAGACCATATCCATTCGCAGGTGTCGCTCAGGTTTGGGGGTATGAAGTTATAGTCGCAAGGTCGCAAAAGGTCCTGGAGTTCAAGTCGTATGTTTGCTTGGGTTGTTGACAGGCTCTCTATCATTGAATGATAAAGTAGTTTTTACATATTAAGGTCATAATGAATCATACCTTCGGCTACCTTCCAATCTCCGTGAGCGATTGTTACCAACATAGGTAAGTAATGATTTAGTCTCTCCGAGGCGCTCCGAGTAATATTTAACTTTAGCCTCAAATCCCCAAATCATAAGCATGGCTTGTTTCAAAAGTAGCGGTCCGTTTGGGCGGGGACTTGAGTTGTTGGTATCAAATTTGGGAACTCAAGATGATTCGCTTTAGGGATGTTATCATGTGACATCCTTAGTATTAGATAACACTTTGTTGAACGTTAAGTTATCTTAGAACTTAGAAGAATGCAACATCAATCTACTACTCATAGCATCTTCTTGCTACAGATGTGATGGCGGGTAAAAGCGGGTCTAGTGTAAATCGACAAAAAGGGGGTGACTTTTTTTTTTTTTAAAAAAAAAAAAGAAAAGAAAAGGCCGACACAAAAACGCTCGGTTGCAAATTGTGACATGTACATCATCTCATGTTGCACAGCATAGAGGCTGATTGAGGGGTATATGTCAGCTGCTTGCGCATTACATCTCATCCTCTTTTCATTCTGTCTAATACTTACCTAGGTAAGTATTTACAAGGTTTATGGAATACTAGCTAGATTCTTGTGTACGAAACACGAAGATATTCGGATAATTGGGTGGTTACATTGCGATCATACGTACTATTCTTTTTCTTTGCCAATATTTACGAATCATTTCATCATGGCTTTCACCTTTCACTCCAACACCTTCTCCAGTATCATTGATACTTCTACAACCCAGCCAATGTCCTCTACAGCTCTCAACTTCTTCGCTGCACTACATGAAGGAGGCCTCAAGGTTTACAGAGCCTCGGAATTGGGGCTTTTGGATGTGAAGGTTCGAATAGCCGGGGTTGGCGGTAGTGCCTTCATTGAAATCGGACGCCTGTCCAAAAAGAAACTCGTTGCGGTGAAACGAAGCCGGGAGCTCTCTGAGCCGAAGTTAACTCCAGCTGCCTTTAACAAGCACTTTGACCAGTTAGTACTTGAACTACGAATCCTGGGGCAGAGGAAGATGAGAAAGAACCCCTATGTTGTGAACATGCTTGGAGTGTGCATAGATGAACTTAATGGCGCACCATCACTCGACCTAGTCTATGAATACTCCAGCTTAGGATCCCTGACTTCTTTTCTGATATCTTACGCAGAAGCAATATCTACTACCCAATGCATTCAGTTAATCCTCCATGTTGCCAAAGGTCTTGCAGCGTTTCATGACTTGAAGATATGTCACGGCGACGTAAAGACGCAGAATGTCCTTGTCTTCCCCTCAAACAATGCTGAAGACGCATGGGTCGCTAAGATTTCCGATTGTGGTGGTTCACTTATCGCTCCTCAAGATGATCCATCCGCCAAACTCGAGCCTCGTATTGGTACTCGTCTCTTGAATGCCCCAGAAATCAGGAAAGGCCAATATCCAATAGGTAGTTGGATCACGATTGAAGGTGCTATGCTCACAGATATATTTTCCTTTGGCCTTCTTGTATGGGAAGTATTGAATGGTGGCAAATCCTTCCTCGATCCCCGCTGGGTTGGACCTTGCTTGAACGACATGGACATTGACTCCATTGAAGAGTTGTTGAACAATCTGCCAAACAATAAACTTCAATTTCATGGCTTGGAGTTTATTGGAGCCTTGGACCTTGAGGAATCTTCCTACGATCGTCTCTCCTTATTGCTCAAAGGAGCATTACAAGATGATGCAGAATCTCGAGAATCTATGGAGAAGCTGGCCGAAATTCTTGAAGGGCCAGTCCTAGAGACATCTGAGTATGCAGAGCCCATTACTAAATATCTACTATCATTAATAACATAATTATAGAGACTTATCCGAGATTCTTGAGGATTCATCATCTGAAAGCCTCGGGGAGATTTTAGCAGAGGTTTTTAATATCTCTTTATCATCCTGGACTACAAGTCACTCACTATATGAGGTATGTACCTCCTGAGTGAATATTCTCCTGTCTGATTCCTAGCATTGAACCTTGTCGCAGGTACTTGATCACGGCAAAATGCAAGGATATGATTTCAGCAATGATTTACCACTAGCTCTCCGTGAGCGTATCCTGTCAGAACTAAAGGCCTTAGCTACAAGTAAAGCACTTTCACAGATTGCCAGGGCCCATGCTGCCATGATTGTGTCAGAATGTTACACTATCGGCTTTGCTGGACGGCACGACCTCAACGAAGTTCTATCCTGGATCAATACTGCGTCTATAGAAGGCTTAGAGAAAGCTAGTCTATGGCACTACCGCATTTTTGACACCTTTGACATTGATCCTCCGGCTCGTACCAACTTTGAAATAAGCTTGTTCGATGACAGAACACTTTTCTCGTTACCCTCACCCCTCTACCTCATAGGGAGAATTCATCTTTTCAATACGACGATATTGCAGATCACTCGGGAATCGATAAGCCTTCATCGGGACTCTAAGCTATACTCTCTAAGCGGCACTTTCAGTGTGCCCCTTTTTAACGATACAATGGTTGATGAAATAGTGCCGTTGCATTTGGCTGCATGGTTTGGAGACAATGAAGCGGTCAAAATACTGCTACAGCATACTTCACCGTCCTTGGAGTCCAAACTTGGTCTCAATGCTGTACATTATGCCTGCCTAGGTGGTCATTTATCCACTCTACAGATCTTACTACAGGGTGGTACTCCGATAAGGGCATCGGATATTCTCGACATTACGCCGCTTCACTTTAGTATATTCTTTATGCCCGAAGACCTCCAGAATGCCGTCGAACTACTACTTGACAGGAGTACATCCCTTGCAACATTCTCAACGAAGACACTTAAATGGGATGCTCACGACCTATCTCTCCAAGGAACTGCACTATATTGGGCTGTATCTACTAGATATAGAGATTTAGTCAAGCTTTTGGCGCCACATCACAAATTTCCTGACTATGGATGTCTTTCGAGAGCCATAGGCAGTTTCTTTTGGGAGATTATAGAAGATCTACTCCCGTACTTTGAGGGGGATCCCGAGCTGTCCAATGACCTCACATGCCTCCAAACTATTTCTCGTCCCTTTTTCCATTGGATAGCTCATGGACGCGAGGGACCACATGCCATTGCAAAAACAGTTGAATTATGCAAGAGATATGAGCTCCTGGGATCCAATCAGGACGGGTCCACGCATCTCCAAACATTGGTGTCTAATGCGTTAACTGAAGATGACCTTCGATTAGTCCAAGCTGTGATATCCACCTCTTCCGATTGCTACATAAAGCAAACCAGGTCTAGTATATACGCAACCCCGATATTAGATACAGCCCTTCAAATAAGTAAACATAACGAAACATGGTCTGATACCATACGAGAAATCGCAAGTCATTACACAATTGATGAGTTGCAGGATCATACTGGCGTATTCGGGTCCGGAAACTATCTTGCGACTGCAGTCCAGTATGATTCAGTGGTCGGTGCTCGGATCTTGTTGGAGATGGGGGTAGACGTGAACAAGCCCAGCTCCAGTGACCCTCTTTCTACGGCTATCTTTGACGCTATATCAATGTATGCGTCTTCAGAGATGATATCGCTTCTTATAGCGAAAGGAGCAGACCTACTCGCCAAACACCCCATGACAGGAACATCGCCATTGCAATGGCTTATCATGGGACGTGGACAGCAAGTACTTCTTGACAACCTCTTGAACCACGACTATCCAGACGCAGTATACATCCAATCATTGCAATTGGCACTAGAAGGTACTCTTCTGCAACTTTCACGACCTGAAAGGTATCGAGCAGACAGTCACGAGGTCTTCCGCTACCTTCTTACACAAGAAAGATTCACAAGATATATCAACACGGCAGATAGCAACGGTCGAACCTTGATCCAGAGGGCTTCTTTCGCCCTGAGTTCTACCAGTGTGCGCCTCTTGCTCGATGCTCAAGCAGATGCAAACATTGCTTTTCAATGTGCCCAGGGGCAAGTCTTACCTTTGCAGATTGCCTGTTCTCAGGGGAGAGGCCTATATGCTATTTCAATGCAAACAACTATTAAAGACAGCAGGCTGAATCGAGAACGGAGATCTAATGCGATGGATGTGGCTGCTGAGCTGTTGAGATGGCATCATGCGCGAGGGGACCTCACGTTTCAAGGTATAACCGAGCTTCATTTGGCCTGCCGAATGGCCATAGAACAAGAAATAGCAAGGTTGATGGAAAATGGCTACGACCCGAAGGCCAAAGGTTCATGGCCAGGCATTGAGCAGCCAATCACACCACGGGATCTACTAGAACTTGACATACAAGACTCTACTATGGCAAACACATTTCGATATAATTCGTTATGGGAGACCGAGTTCGAGATAGCAGACGCAGGGTCTCCTTCCTGGAGAAACCGCGATGAGACATCGTCGTTGTCCTCGATTTCGGATCATAGCGATCTCTCCTTTCACTAACTAGGTACTAGATAATTGAATGATTTTCCTTTGTAACGCTTTTCTCCGTTAACCTTCGAGAAATTCTTAATAGTGGATGGAGATATCAAGAGATTTGTGTATAGGGGTCGCGACGAAGGTGTTTTCCTTCTACGAGTTCGGAGTGGGCGGTTCCATCGTTTTTGTTCTTGAGCTCGAAAACATTGTTGGGGTGGGCTTTAGTGATCACGAACTCGCCGAGGGGGGCTCTGAATCCAGGTTTAACTATCCACACAGTTTCACCTGTCTCGAATGGAAACTAAATCATCAAGCTAGTAAGCAAAAAGAAAAGGAACATGAGGGCTGAACTTGCTTGAAAGAAATTCTCTGAGCTTTTACATACTTCTGCAGCCTTTGTGTATTTATTAACATATGCTCTTCGATCGTCTTCTGGGATTTCCACAGCCTGCTCCTGTTTGATACTAGGTTAAAACGGGTCGCCTGAAGTGGAAACGCGATATAAGTCGCCTTACTTCGGTGGGCTCCTTTTCTTCCTTCCGAAGCCCTTGTCCTAACCCCTCATCTATATCGTCGTCCTTATTGGGTTGATCTGTCATTATTGCTCGATGATATGATCAATGTAGCAGTGGGGATGTGGCTGTGATGGACGTCTGGGTAGGACCTTGAACAAGAATATGGGTGGTGCATTTGACGAAGCACAATACGAAAGATTTCAAAAGGAAAAGAGGGGTAGGGGGAGAAACTACATGTTAATATTACTTAGGTGACTACTGTGGGTGGGACTTGGAGCCTGAAATAAGGCAGTTCCATTAACTGCTAGCCGTGATGGTGGGTTACACGGGCTTCACTCGTGCTCAGCTGTGCCTAGACTCCTAGAATGACCAGCTGTACGCTTATTTAAATCATATCTCCCTGTTCCAAACCGTTTGATATGTATGTCAAATTGGCATATCACATATAATGGAAAAGGTCAAATGTAAGTAAGTACCTACCTACCTACCTAGGTAGGCGTTGTTCGATATGACACGGGTGTGCTCAGTGGCTGACCGGACATAGTAGAAGACTATCGCCAGGGCTACCCCCGATTGGCCGCTTTTCTGCTTTTGGCCAGGGAGTTCACCGTCCTACGGCGTTTCGATTACCTCCATATGCGAAGCCTTCTCGACCAACAGGATCGGCTAGCTGATCTTGAAGAGAAGCTCCACCATTGCGATGACGCTGAAACGACCCAGCTCCATCTCTCCAGCCGTCGCCAAGATTCCAATCAGAGACGAAGGGATTTACTAGATGAAATAAAACTAAATCTGTCCAGTTATGGTGTGTACTTCTGGTCTCGTAGGGAGTTGGACTTCATTTTGCTCATCTGATTTCAGACCAGGCGATCGCAGGGTTTCATACCATAAAAGCCCTACAATCAACGCCTGATCGGCATGTTCAGAGTGTCCTGAATTGGGTTTTTGGACATAAGCCATTGGTCAGGTCAGAAAGTAAATGCTATCTTGGTTCCTCTGGAAGAGGTGATTTTGTGACCATTGCGCCCGACGATCCTGAGAGAGCCATTCCGGAGGCACTTCTAGATATGGGTGTAAGAACTTTTCCAAGCATTAGCAAATATGTAAGCTACGATCGGAGTTACTTCCACTTACTTCGTTTAACTAGCTGCTAATTAGGTACATATAGGTTTGCTCTACTCAGGTATTCGGATTCGAAGAAAGCACCTTTCTTCGCAGACCACTAATTACGTACACGTATAGGAAAGGACAACCGACGATCATATATTCCTATTTCCTCCGTCACACCTCAGGACTGCTATCAGATGTCTTATAGCATTGATACTGCCAGTTTGGATGATATTTCATGTCATTATTCTTAATAACATGTCACATAATTCAAGCAAGGCGATCGTTTACTCCCTCTTTATTATTTCTACCTCATTTGTTGTCATGATTACCACAAATGCAACAAAATACAATCTGTTGATAGCCCTCCTGACGTAACTTCCCCTACGAGAACCAAACTCTTTTCATGTTTTTCTGATATATAGTCACGCAGGTATGCCGCTATTCCGACTTCAGTCTTTCTAGGAAGCAACAGTCAAGGGGCATCTTCCAAGTAGTTAAATAAGATGCATCCCTAGTCTACCAAGTACTTGCATATGGGAGGGTTCAATATGATCCAAGAAAGGTAGATATCTAGTGTTAGTTCATTGATTTACCCTGTCATTCCAGCCTCCTGGTTGAACAAGAAGCATTTAGAGGTGCCCATATCTTGCTGCGTATGATGTCATGGTATTCCCAACCCTGGTGTCTTCTCCAACCTGCCGATTCTAGACAGCTATAGGCGGCACTAGCATAGTACGCCCCGGTAGCATGTGATAATCGACCATTAGGGGCAGCTATCTCGAGTATAGACTCACGAACCGTCTCACGATCTTTCACGGCACCAACTCCTCCACGTAGCATACTGGGGAGTACTTTCCAGTATCCAATCTCTATCAATAGCACACCCTTTTCTAGCGTTAGTCACAGAAAGTTGAATGCACGTTGAAATATAGCTTACCAATGCATACAAGTCATGATGCCGTTCAAACCGTGATGGATTTCCCCATCTATCCGGATGTCTGTAGATGTTGGCTGCAGTATTGAAATCCTCTGTAGCCCATGTTTCGGCATCCTCCGGCCTAGAGCAATCGAATCCAATGAGATATGGACATTCAAGGTCCTGGGGTGATTCTCCAAGTTGCCCTAAAGGGTTCGAAGAGAATATAAGGACATTTTCGCTCTTTATGCCCTTGTGGAACCAACCTATTGAATGCAAACGCATCACTGCTTCACACAAGGCCAACGACAAGCGACATCGAACATCCAGAGGCATAAACTTTATCTTCTTGATCACGTCCGAAAGAAAACAGAAGTGCGGATTATCTCGATTATGAGACAAGTCATACACTAGTCCAAATTGAGGACCATGGATAGTGTCATGCGTAAACCCAATGCCAGGGAGTGTTCGGAACGCCGGATCCTTAGGGTGCGATAGAAGTGCGGATACCTTGGCCACCTGCTTAGAGGCTTTGGCATAGCTTTCTGGCTTTCGGGCATCATAGGAAAAGTACTCAACAAGAACCGGACGGCAGGCCTCGATTTGGCCTATTCTGATGCGTTCTCTGGATGGCTTTGAGTTCTCGAAATTCACACGTATCTGGCTAAGGCGTGTATCATTTTGGAGGAGAGTAAGGCGCATGGAAATCTGATCTCCAAGATCTTTCATGCAGGAAAATTCCTGTCTGCGCAAGATCTCACATGACTCTTCGTCTAGGCTAGTCAGGCAGCTCTTGATAAACTCCGAAACTTCATTAGCTTTCTGGCGGATATTGTGGAAAGCCTTGACTGCTTCGATATCCCCCATAACCTTCCGTGTTGGCATAAGTATTGCCTGGTTTAATTCTTCTAGAAGCTTGAAAACCCTCTGTTGGGCAGGACTAGGCAAGGATATATGAGTTGGAGATGGCCCATCAAAGTCAACAGGCTGTATCAGTTGAGTGGCCATATTTCTGGCTGCCCGGGCATCGGAAAGAACTCCCTTCACGATTTCAATATCATCGATGAATGTTGGTGAATTTTTCGTCACCCAATCGACCAAGCCTGTGGTCAAGTCCAGATTGGTATTATGCGTAAGTCGAAATCGAAGCTCAAAGAAAGCTCTTTCGGTGTCCAATTCTGCGGCATCAAGATGGGTTCTAAGGTTATCTATGTGCTCCCATCTAGTGAGGCGAATCGCGGTCACGACGTCCTTGGGATCATAGCTCGAAAGAGGGACATAAAATGGCTGCTTGACGAGCCCTGACTTGGCTGTAGCCATGGACTTTTCGAGCATGGGAAGGGTGATAGCACCGAAGTCTTTCAACATCCTTTTCATCTCTCTTATGAGAACATTTGTGAATGAAGGGCGTTCTTTTGTGCCCCCTATTGGGGTGAACTGGTCTTTATCGGTAGAGGCAAGTAGTTCCACACGGTGAGATGTTCTAGCTCGAGCGGCTTGTCCAGCATAGCAACAGTCGAGAAACATTACGACGTCGCAGTCAGCACCCAGGAATTGGGGTTGGATAGAAGACCAGTCCAGCATCGGGCCACCTTCTCCGAGACTAATTATGCCAACACGATATGATAGTTAGGATGCTGTGGTATATTTCCATTACGGGGATTTTTGGAAGTCCACTTACGCTGCCCATTGACAATCTGATAACTTTGAAGGAGAAGGTGCCCCATGTCCTGCATAGTATACTACTATGAGGTTATCTCCACCCCCATATTGAGAAAGGAACTGCGCAACGTAAAGGTTGAGGCGTCTCTGTGAGTCGTCAGAAGGGATTTTGTATGGTAGCACTAGATAATTCAAGCTTTCTTGAAATAGTAGTGCAACATCACGGACATTTTCGCCGAAAGTAGCGTCACCTTCTTCCCAAGAAAGAAGAAGAGCGTGGACAGATGAATAGCCCTGTTTTCGACGTATGCGGTATTTATCCAGTTCTCTAGTAACATGATCTATGATGATTTGAGGTGTGGTTCCTTCAGGATTGGCATTCATGGTTGTAGCCCTGTCGTCTCATATCTATATTAGGGACTTTCGAGGATTGTCATTTCTGGAGGAACTTGCGGGTTTGCTGATTCACAGGAGAAATTTTATCTTAAAAAGTGAACATGCAAGAAAATCATTTCCGTCATATAATAGGCCAAATCATTGATCTAGGTGTGTAGTACATTGCCACTCGAACGTAGCAGAGCATTGGCCAGCGGTGAAGAGTTGGCAGCTTCAGAGCGGTCGCAATTAAACGAGACTAAGTTATGCGGCATCCAATCCACGTGGTTGCAGTTGAGAGAAGCTGCACTTGATATCAACACATGGTTACCTAGGTAGGTACCTAGTTGTTATCACGGTGTTGGCTTCAGCTTATGGTGTGAGCAAGGTATGTCGGAGTGCATTGTGATCGAACATCAGCAGCGATGAAAAGCCATAAATGACAGAGTACCTACCTAAGCAATTGTTATGTTTTTATTATTGTATCTGGATGAACTAGATTGATTTCGTGAGGGGACGCAAAAGAATGCCCTGAGTTTACGAATACACTGGCCTCTATTATTAAGGAACGTCATCTTAACACAGAATTTCAAAGCCATATTTACTAAACGAATAAAAAAGGCAGACTTTCAATTCTCCCTTCTGTAGCTGCGCCACAGCAGCGTACGTCCGCCCCAACCATGTTCTAGGTGCCGGAAACCCCTAAAGGGTGATTTGGCGGGTTGGCGGATATTACCCCTCATTAATACCTATTATCAAGACGATCACCCATTTACCTAGGTACCTATCTACATCAATTTTATCCTTCGATAGCACAGCTCCATACAGTCTCACGACAATAATAGGTAATGAATGATGTCCAGTTGGACACTTTCCTTTCCCTATATATTTTTCATCCGAGAGAATGACATACACGAATGTAGAGGGATCTAACCCTGCCACTTAACCCTCTTGTCCCTGAAGATACTGACCATCCCCATGGGTAGCAATCCCGGCTCGACAATATTCATTCCCCCAAACCGGTCCATAACTTCGGGCCCGTACAGCTGCGCGACCCATCTCCAATATGGCTCCATGGCAGACCAGTTACCCTTGATGCCTCTCAGGTTTCCCTGCTGCGCGAGCGCGTTGATTCCATTTTGAACCCTAGGGTTGGCATTTTCAATACCTTCCTCCTCGGGTATCATCATTAATTCTTTGTACACTTCCCAAAGGTTGCCCTCGAACTTGTAGTTTATGTCCTCGCGATATCGCGTGAACTCACTAAAGCTCATGAATCTATCCCGGTCCGCCTTGTCCTCGGGCTCCCAGTTCGGATCAGGCCTATCATAGGAGCGACTGTGGGATGAATTCTCGAATTCGCGCTTGAGAGAATTGTACGCGTCCTTTTCATCATCGAAGAACTCGTCTAGCTTCTTCGCCGGGTCTTGAAGCACCGTGTCATGAACCTGCAGGATGGAAATAAAGGGGCTTTTCAGGTCAAGGCCGCCTAGCTCTATAGGGAAGAAGAGATAGGCGTCAGGAATGTCGGCGATTCCAAACCGCTCCCGCATGAGATTCTTCAGGTAATCGACGATGTTCGTTGCGCTTTGTTGGTTTCCGTTGTTCGAGGTCAAAGAAGACGAGGATGAGAATACTTCACGCTGGATTCGTTCGTGGGTCGCGAGCATCTGCGCAACATGATCTTGCCCAAAGCAATTTGCCGCCTTTCCGAAGTTGGAGGTGAAGAAGGTTGCGGCATATGTGTTCCATGCTTGGATGAATGATATGATGCTCTTCCGTTTATCTTGGAGCTGCTTGCGCAAGTCAATAATGTGCTTATCCACCATATTCTGGTCGATCTCGAATTTTCCGGTTTGTGGCGAGAGCCTGAGAAAGCCCCAGCGGATGTCGCCCACCGGAAGAGATCTATCGATTTCAAGCGAAACAGATGGGTCTCGTGCGAATCTGATAGTACCAGTCTTCTTATGATTGATGTAAGTACCGGTCGCATTGACGAAATCAGTAACCGACTTCCACGCAGTCACGGCAGCCGAATGGTCTCGCGACCAGAACCAAAGGTCATCCTGCATACGGAAGAGCATCGCTCCGCCCGTGGACTGGTTCACGGCAAAGTCGAGACAGAACAAGATCGACTCACCGAAGACGTCGCTGAGGGCATGTGATGCAGGTGTTCCTCGAGATCGATTGCGCGAAGGTGTCGAGGGATCGTCATCAAGAAACTTCAGGGGTGCCTTCAGGAACTTTTTGAAGAAGTTGAGCCATGTCTCCGAGACTCCAAAGAATGACATCACTTTCAAGATTGTTTCGTGCGGAAGTAGACTATTCCATCTTTCAAATGTGGAATGGAATGCAGTGATTTCGCCATATAGCTTGGTGTTGATAGCGATGTCGGTTAACAGAAGTCGTAGCAATCGTTGTTTGGACTGCATTGGTTGCTTGTTACCAGAGCTAGCGCCATCTTCATCATCTATGTCGTCGTCGTCCGTTTCTTCATCCGGTTGATCATAAGGGCGTGCAGGCTGGGGGAGTCTTCTGTGTCGCATTGCACCCTTGTTTGCCATTCGGCTCATTTGAATATTTTGCTGAGAAGCACTCATACCAAATAGTGAAGGCTGTTGTTGGACCATCGAGACTGCTTCGTATTCGGCTTCTTCTTCACCGTCGGCGGCCTGGCTTCGCTGTGTCTCACGATCCATCAGCTGGGCCATGAAGTAATGCTTGCGGTACATCCTGTTCCTTAGAAATTGGACCGTATATTTGCGACTTTCCTCTGACCCCAGATAATAGCCCCGACGCTTTGCATCAATGGTAGGGATCCGTTTCCAGCAAGTTTCCCATGCTCCAGGTGTTGTGCGAAACTCGTTCAATGCATTTTTGAGGAAAACCGACCACTTGATGCCAATATATTGGAGAAAAATCGCTTGAAGGAGGTCTTCGTGCATAAGGATGTTGTACACCCCTGTGATCTGTCGGCGTTGCTCTAGGGGCACACTGGACCCCCACGACCAGGAATCCAAAGCCGTGAGTCGCATGTTCAGAACATCAGCAACCTCGCCTAGGATGATAGGGTTATTCTTGAAATCCTTCAGCACTTCTCGCTTCTCGTCCGTGAGAAGGCCAGATGACAGCAAACCATCAGCAACCCACCCCAAGGTTGTCGTGTTGAATTGGTTCGGTAGGGACATTTGGCTCTCAAAGGCCGAAACCTCAGACTTCAATTGATTGAGAGCTTTCAACTTCTCGGGCGCATCTCTTCCATTCATACCGAATAGTCGGTCTAGGTACGACCCAAGTTTGCCTTCATCAACTTTGCCGGGCTCGAAAACTGTGCGCTCCCATTGCTGTCGGTAATCTTGTTTCATTGAACTTGCAATATCTTCGAAGCCTTCTGTCATTGCGACATCAATATTGTCGCCTTCCTTCAATGTTTCCGTGGATAACCATTCGGTAACAAGCTGTGCGTATAATGATGCATATTCGTACTTGAGTGATTGAGTGTTGAGGTGACGTAGCAAGGATTCTTCCCAGGTCTGCATCATTTTGGTAGATACGGACGGATCATACTTTGCCTGGGCTAAGAAGCAATCCAGATTCTTCAGCTCAATTTCTAATTCTGAGTTTCTTGATAGGGCAGCATTGTGAACCTTGGTGTATTTGCCAAGCTTCAGGGCGTAGCAAGCCTTGACGCCTTGGCTCAGGATGTAGAGACGCCGAGAGGGATCCTTTTCATTTTCCAACATGGATAGAATGTTAGATTTAGTTGTTTCAAAAGCCGATCGACGTTTGGAAAGCTCTTCCAATTTTGTGTTGGTGATATCCTGAAGTGTCTCCGAAAAGACGCTACCGTTGGACGAAGACATCTTGAATAAGCAGTATTACTTCTAGCGCAGAGATTTCAAAGAGGTAACACTGTCTGATCGGCAGTGTGTGAGAAAAAGGAGGAAAGAAATGAGAATGGCGTGAGGGGGTGGGAAGATGGGTTCTTATAGGCAAGCAGGAGGATGCCTAGCGGCTTAGTCACGTCCTATCAATGTTAGTAGCACATCATACCACCCATTTCGCTACCCACATATCAGGCAGGCACCTAGGTATCTATCTTATGGTGGTACCGAGACTTTTTCTGTTCATTTTTGACATTCGGTCTGCATTTCAGAAAGCCCTTAGATTAGCATGAGTTGCAGTTCGGGGTAAAATTCAAGAAAAGGGGGTTCTCGGTCACATTTCTCAAACACGAAAGTAATGTGAACCATCGTTCGATTAAACATCCATTCCTATTACCCTTTGATTCTGCCAGAAGCCTCCTCCGTGAGAGCTAATAGCCAGAGGTCTCGCCAGGGTTAGCGGGTATGTCAGGGGATAAGAGAGAAGAAGTGCTAAGCCTTAGGATATCTCCAGGCGTCAAGAAAGCTCAGCCTTGGGACCTCCCCGAACACCAAGTTCTAGGTACGGTTGAGCCGCGAAGCTCCTTGCCCAGACCGAGAACTTAAAGAGGCAAGGCGCTAGCCTGAGCGCCAGGCTCCAGCGAGGACCTGGCTAGCACGCAGCGTGAGAGGCAGTTGCATATAAGGGGCTCTGCCTCCCTATAGATAGAGAGATGATAGCGTTATTGGTTGTACCAAGAAAAAAAAAGCCCCATACGCAGCTATCACGCCACGCCCTTGCATTCACTCTACGCGTGGCCACCTAGGGCACCATACTGACGGGGTAGCCCAGAAACATCGGGAGTCAGCCTGTACGAAGCCGCCCTGTTGGCAGTTGGCCCTTGGCTCTAGACAAAGGAATGTTATGTACCTATGTATACCGCATCCCCTGGAAGGGAATAGTTAGAGCCCTTGAAGCAACAACGTCGTTCTTCCCTAGCCTCTTAGTTCCGCCTCGTGACAAATTCCATCTTCCATATTTCAGACACACTTTTAACAGGACTTCTTTGGGACATTCTTAGACATTTGACATGATTACCAAGTCGGTACTTGCGGACCCTTCGCTGTTGCTCAACTGATCTAACATGATGCCTTCGTTATTCCCCCTATTTTCCTCTAATTCACTCCAGCCAGTAACAGTTTGAACCCCAGATGAAGCATTTTGGGTTGGATTAGTGGTACGAGTACGCGACGAATCAGTTTGTATCTGTTTATCCCGCTTGCTGAGCAGCTGGTACAGCCGCGGTACGTAAGGGAAACAGGCAACGAGAAAAAGCGTAGTGAACTCCGCAACCCTACCTAGGTGTAAGTATCAACGTGGACTATTAGATATAGAAGAAGGATAAAATAAGGGAATATAGCGTACGTCCACTGGCCCACAGGCGCGAATGCCCATGTGCGATCTTCTGTTTGAAACAATTTGACAGTATAATACAGACGTACGGTGCTGGATGCGCATGCCCTATGAGTTATATCAGTGTCTCTGCGTCGAAAATAGTATCTACTCGGCACATAGGTAGAAAAGATTAAGGAGGTTATTCCTACAGTATACCGACTGTGAACACTGCCGCCGCCCGGAGTTTCCTTGCTGTCGATAATTGTAATCTCGACACAGCAGCAAGAGGAATGATTAGGATCAAATAGTCGATGACCATGTTGACAGCGCAACCGCCCACCGTCGTAGATTTCGTATTGATGCAATGACCCTCAATATCTGGCTCCCAGATTTTCTTCCGGGGAACGCAAGCAAATATGAATGATATCCCAAAGGAGAGGGTAAACAGAAAGGTCAACCAAATCAGAGTCCATATTGCCTTATAGGTAAAGGTATTGCGACGGTGATCAAAAAAGATTAACTCGATCTGGCGAAGCACAACATACTTCAGCGGAAATAATGTCACGCAGTACATGATAATGGTGATATTCTCGAACTATTGCTGGCCCTTAAGTGTTAAGCAGTAGTATTTTTTTGGCTTTTTATATAAGCTTGGGAATATTGCGAAGAAAATACTTACTTTAAGGCATTTAGACGCGTTGGCTATTGTTACGTCCCACTAGGATACCAAGAGGTAGTCAGCACCTAGGTGATTGAAACTCAGGGGAAGGGAAAGAAAAGGACATTGTCCAGGAAGTACCGACTTCCATTAATACACAACGATCTTCTTTTGTGAAATAATAGAAGAAAATTGCTTACTTGATGTCTTCCGTCAGCAATTTCGCCGACGTATATTAATAAACCAATATAAGCGATGAAGCTCGCCTACAATCATTAGTATGGGTATGAGGCTTCGTCGATTTAGAGCAAACATGCCAGTGCAAATAAGTAAACACCTAAGGGACTGTCAACCCTATTTCCACTCAGAGAACCTTGGAACGCTCACAATCATCAAGGTTGAATGTGTTCAGTCGAACACGAGTATAAGTCCTCGCTATGACGAAAATAATACAGATAGCCAAGCAAATTGACGATACAGCAATCCGCTCAGGCTGAAGGCTAGGGGGGTTAGTGAAGTTCGGCTCTACACCAGGAGGTGGACGGAGTGCGGGTGTTTTGCTTGGGTCCATTCCTGGTTTTTGACAGTATTAAGTATCTATCATTGAATAGATACTAGATATGAAACCAAATACTGGCATCTCCGTAAAGAAGAAAGATTGTTTAGAATAGTAGGGAAGGAATGCATCAAGGTGAAGTAGAAAGGCAATTCTTCGGTGTCCGATTGATGGGGTGTACAGTCTGCATATATATGTGCACCTGTTCCCTTTTCTGCTGTTGGAAGGTTAGCGAGAAATCTTGCAGCGCCCCCCATACAATGTGAGGCAAGCTGGGCTCGGCGTAGACATATATTAGACTAGTAGGTCATGATATGCAAGCCTTGGGTTACCGCGGAAAATGAAACCGTTGGAGCACATCCTCGAACCCCAACCAAAGTTCAGAGGATTTAAGAATTGGTGCGAGAGTGGACGATGGTTCACCCCCATCAGCCTCTGTGGTACCTAATTAATACATGCACCAACATTGTCACTCCTAGAAAGCATACGCAGGCTCCTTGCTACTTATGTATCAATCGCGATGGTATAATTACTAAGATCCTCATTTAGCTACCTCGATACCTATATATATTTAGTAGGTAGGAAATACGCGACTCGCAATGGGCACGACCAATTGATGAGCAAATTCATGTATGAAAATTGAAGTGAAGATAATTCATGACAGGTTGTCGGAATCTACATATTAAATATGTATCACGTAGTAATACCATAACATATTATTAAATTCGTAGATATATTTTACGCTGAGTAGGTAGGTAGTCGCCAAATGTGATATGTACCTGGGTACTTATTTCATAGGTAAATACATAGAGATACATGTAGGTTAGGAACTTCATTACCGTGCAGCCTCATTATGTATGTAGAATGCAGAGGGTGATATTAAGCGATATTGTGCTCGATAGTGTAAGGAATGCTCTACCTAGCCAAGTACCTTCTTGACAAAAGTTCAATCGAGAGCGTTAGAGGATAGGCGATGGTCGTACCAAATAAAGTACTGTTACAATTTTTTTGCATATTCATTCCGTAGAGTGCGGGGGCGAAGAAAAGCCTCACAATCAATCAATATTTAGCAGTATTGAGTGGAGTAACAATAGTACCTAGATAATGATAGAGACGTATTTTGATTATAGACGGGCAAACTTGACATTTTCTTCGCGTTTATTTTCTCAATTGGAATGGATATATCTCTTAGGTATATTATATGGGTTTATTAATGAATTAATCGAATGGTTTATCTTAAGTGTTCAGATGTTAGGGGTAATTCAGGGGTAGCTACCCCTATCTACTCAGTGCTGGGTCAAACGAACAACAGTATTGATGTTAATGAAACCGCACGTGGATATCTATATATAAGTTGAATATTAACGCTTTATTGGAAGAAGTTTTGAAGGCCCATGGGCCAAGTGAAATGGTGTAGGCATTAATATCTACAAAATGGTCCTACGATTTGGTAAGACCCTGGAAGTGTAAATGGGTATGATGAGCACGAAAGAATAATACTCTAAAGGAAAAGGGGGGGAAGATGACAATATAAGAACTTGCAGGATACGGCCATGCGGCTCAATATTACAAGAATTCTGCCACTTGATGGGTTTTCGTAGTACCTAGGCAGTGTGTTCGACGTCTACGCCGCCCCCTCATCCGAGCTTTTTGATATTTTCTAATCGCTAGAATTGCCAGAATCCTCCAAGTCCGTTTGCTGACTTATCATATCAAATTATTATCCAAAGTTTCGCCCCGCAGCCTCACGATCACCTATTCGTTACTAACGACGACATAGGTATCCAATTCAACCATTAGACTAGACTATCTTGGACGATGGCATAACTGCGGTGAAATGTTAGTAAATAACATGCGCTATACGATTCCAAGTCATATATGATGGGTGGAAGAGGATGGTAAGGCGGTCTGTTCAAATTCAAGTAGCATTCACCATCGCTACCGACACACGGTACGACTGTAAATTCGAAATATTTGGGCATATGAATTCTATTTTCCAATATAAGACTTCTCTATATACCTATGTCGTAGCTCTTGTAAGACCCTATGATATACAGCTTGTATCCCCCGTGTTCATTCCAAACCTGATCTAGGTTGGGCTTGTAGACAAGCCCAGAAACTACGGTCGATGTGGTTAGTGTTCCTTGGTTGCTGTCAGCTTCGCTGCCGTATTGTCGCCTAACCTAAACTGCTGAAATAGACGCATATCTACCAATGAGTGTTCATTATGATGACCTCATGGAGCCTTCATCCTTGTATGAAGTTGGTCAGTCAGCAACGTGATATGGCAAGGATGTCGTGGCTAGCTAGAAATTGGAGATAGCCTATAGGTGAACATGCATGTGGATAACATTGAGAACCTTAAAGATGCTTCTGTCCTCATCCTTTTCTACTTCGGTTTTCCCTTAAAGCATTTCATACCTATATCTTTCCCATGGTCTCGATTTACCCGCTGTTGTCTATTATTCTGCTGGCGCTGGCCTTTGCCCGTCTTCTCTTCAACTGGAAAACGTTAAGCAAGGCTCCTGGGCCGACACTTGCTGGCTGTACGGATCTCTGGCGAGCGTATCAACAGTACAACGGAAAGCTGAGGCAGAAGCTATTAGATTTGCACTCCCAATATGGCCCAGTAGTCCGATATGGTGTGCGGAGTATCAGCATTAGTGATCCGGAGGTTATCAATATCGTTTATGGAAGTCGAACAGGTTTCATTACGGTAAATATAGTCTCCAAAATGTCATTTTTGGGTAAAAATACTTACTGCGGCACAGGCAGACTCGTACCAGGTACTTGTCGGCATCCAGAACGGTAAAGAGGTGTCGAGTCTTGTGAGCACTAGAGATGAGACCCGCCATGGCGCGCTGCGCCGCTCGGTTGCCAACGCCTTCACGCCCACCGCATCGTTAGAGTACGAGAAATGGGTAGATGCGACGATCGCAGAACTCCTCAATACTATCAGGAGGAAGAAGACGAACTTTGATCTCTCGTCAATGATCCTGTGGTATACTATGGATGCAGCTGGGAGATTTTCGTTTGGCGAGCCTCTTGGGTGTCTTCAGGCCGAGAATGACGTAGGTGGCTCGATCCAATTGATCCGCGACCGTTTCAACCACTGGGGTTGGTGGTCTTCTGTCCCACAGCTAGAGAAGTTGTTTTATCGCAACCCTGTTGCCATGCGACAGAAGCGAGCTCCGTCTAGTATGGCGGCAGCTGCTGTCGAGAAACTAAGAGAGAGGGCACGTCAACAAAATGGCGAAACCGAGCATGTAGATCTTCTTCAGAGATTTATAGAAGCTAGCAAGGATCACCCGCAAGTGTTGGATACTGCTGGAGTGGTAGGTATGTTAATGTCGACGATATCTGGGGCGGGCGACACGACAGCAACAACAGTGACAGCAGCGCTATATAACTTATTGAAAAGCCCGGTTTCTCTGAGAAAACTAGAGGATGAACTCTCGCAGGCCAACCTGCCGGAAATACCAGAATTCTCGCAAGTCAGCAGATTGCCGTATCTTAATGCGGTAGTTAAGGAGAGCATGCGGGTTTTCCCCGTAACGACATGGCCGATGGAGCGATTAATTCCCTCAGGAGGCGCGACAATTGCGGGTATGTTTTTCCCAGAGGGCACAAGCGTTGGATGCCTACCAGCAGCAGTACACCAGAGAGCCGGTATCTTCGGTGAGGATGTTAACGTCTTTCGTCCCGACCGTTGGCTCACGTCTAACAGCGAGGAGCTGAGACGGATGGAGGCGGCTCACATGGGATTTAGTCGGGGTCGTCGCAATTGTCTCGGACAAAATATCGCCATCATGCAAATGAAGAAGGTGATACCAGCGATAATCATGAACTTCAAGGTAAGTTGAAGTGTGGTAGTATTTGATCTTCGCTAATCGTCCCGTGTAGTTAAATTTGGCGAGCCCCGACGTCTCCCTAGACGCAGATTTCTCCCCTGCCGTGGCTTGCCTGAGGCCGTTATATGTAAAATCTCAGCCCAAACATTAACTACCCATATGGAACGATGAACATATCATCTCTTGTTGATTCTTCTATCCGTAGGTATGGTTACAGATACGCAACCCGAGTGCCATAGTACGGAGCATTTTGTCCTACATATACGAATTCTCAGTATCACCATTATCTCCGACAACCACTATCCCGAGTATATAGACGTACAATACGCCCCAACTTCGGGATGATCAGCACCACAGGCGTACCTACAGGTATGCCACAAGTGCCGACACCCCGCCGAGGGTGGTAACACAGTAACACAGAGCGCCATCAGCGCATCGACAAAGGAAGCTCCCCACATTAAACAGCGCGCTTTATTCCAACGTGATTCTCCTGTGACATCTCCATCTGATCATCTTCGATCATTTAAATGCGACTCGTAGGTATTAAGCTAGACTTAGAAACAGAAAGCAATATTTCATCGCCAATCCTCAAGATGCTGAACAAGAAAATCAAGGCGTGCGCCCTGCACGTCGCGCCCGTGTACATGGACAAGGTTGCCAGCCTACGTAAGGTAGTCAACCTCATATCCCAAGCCGCAGTCGAGTCCGTTGAGCTCCTCGCTTTCCCCGAGGTGTTCGTTCCCGGCTTCCCCTACTTCACTAACTGTTACGCGCCGAACGCCGCGGCCGTCGCTCTGTACGCGGCGCAGAGCGTGGTGGTGCCGGATGATCTGACCGAAGTCCAAGCAGCGTGCGCGAAATCCGGGATCGTGGTCGTCCTGGGCATATCCGAGCGCATGCGCGGCGGGCACACCATATTCAACAGCATCGTGACCATCGACTCGGACGGCACCATCCTCGGCGTCCACCGCAAGCTGCAGCCGACGTGGGCCGAGCGGCTCGTGTGGGGCCAGGGGTCCGGCTACACGCTTAAAACGTACGAGCCGAAGGGGGCCGGGTACCGGATCGGCGGGCTCGCGTGCTGGGAGCATACGATGAACGGGGCGCGGCAGGCGCTCATCGACCAGGGGCAGCATATCCACGTCGGCTGCTGGCCGGCCCTCGACATCCTCGACGGCTTCGAGAACGTGGCGTGCAAGCAGATCGAGGCGCTGATGAAGACGCACGCTCTAACAGCGCAGGTATTCGTGCTGTGCCCGAGCAGCTACGTCGACGCCACATGTCTGGAGTGGATGGAGAAGAATTTGGGTCCGCAGGACAAGGTGAAGCCTGGTGGGGGTTGGACAGCTATCATTCACCCGTTCTGCACCTTCGTTGCCGGCCCCTATATGAGCGACTTCGATCTGCTCGTCGTGGGGGAGGTTGACCTCTCTCAGCTGGATTTGGTGAAGGCTTATGTAGATGGGGCGGGTCACTATAAGAGGCCCGAGGTCTTCAAGTTGGATGTTGATATGACACAGCGATGGAAGGATGAGCCGGACATCGTCGGCCCCATCCCGTTGAATAAGCCGTAAGCCGGACTAGTCCACCTTAAGTGCGCCCTTAGTGTCTTAGTGGGTCTTCCGTGACTCAACGGGGTTTTATGTAGTAGCGTCATTCCGTGATCGGCCGGGTCTAGTCATCACGCGATTTGAGCTTACATATCGGATTCTTATAATAGGTACGATTTGTTACGAGATAAACTCCGTTGATAGATTGAGAGGTTTCTTATTCCAATCGAATATCTTCAGTTCATAACCATCAACACAATGGCGGAGAACATGCAAAACCTAGACCACATTCTCCATGTGTATTTCACTCGATATTCCAGTACGTTAAAAATCTACCAGTAGAATTTATCAAGAATATCGGAACCGGAATTTTGATCTCCTGAACTAGGCTGGGGAGTCCGAGTTGCACTCATTCTTGATTACTTTCAGATTCCCCATACGACGAAGGGCTACGGCTGGAACCCGGCAGTTGCTCCACCAGCCCACCTATCAGGGGGTCTACTTCCCGTTCTACAGCCAGACCCCAGTGATGAGGGCTTCTTGATCGGCGACTCTCTGGCCATAAGCGAGTTCCTTGCGGAGCAGCACCCGCGGCTTCACCTGTGGCCCAGAGATCTGAAGTTGAGAGCATTGGCACGAACGGCAGCGGCTCAGATGCATTCTGGCTTCAACGTTATGCGGAACACATACCACACCAACTTTCTCGGTAAGTATACTGGGAAAATTCCCATCAGCGAAGCTGCAGCCAAGGAAATCCGGGACATGGTTGAGCTTTGGAGCAAAGCTCGAGCAGATACGAAAAAGAGATTGCAGGAACTTAGTCAGGAAGACGAAGGGTTCTTGTTTGGGACGTTTAGTATCGCCGATGCTTTCTTCTGGCCCGTCTTGTGGGTGAGTAACTTGCGATTCTCACTACGTGTTTTACGTTATGTTGATGCTTTGGTGCAGCGCTTCCGAAGCTACCAGCTTCCCCTAACCGGGATAAGCGAGGACGGTCTGAAGTGGGTGACGAAGATGTGGAACGACCCGGTCATAAAGAAGCATTCACATGAGTTTTTCAGGCAGGCACAAGACCCTTTGACTGTCGTTGAGAAATATGAGAATATATTTCGGGGGAACCCCAACGTTGAGTATAGCCAGTTCTCCGAGGACTGGACCTTCAATCCAACGGAGGCCTAAAGCTTTTACTGGTTTGTTCTTAGAACCATAGCGTATTAGTCCCAGTGTTTAATCAAGACATACATACGATTTCGTCAATCGTGAAGAGGGCCTAACTTCCTGAATGACCAATTACGTGACGGTTGATGGGAAGAGTTCTTATGCTGGTCGAGATGTAACTAGGTATCTGAGTCTGTGGATAGTATGCTTAATCATTGCCCTGCACGAAATTTACATTAGAATGTCGGGCTGACCGCCAAGGCTCGCCTTTCCCAAACACAATGTCATTACTAACTATGTATCTATGCTTTAGATCTAGAGATATATATTTCTTTATATCTTCTATTTATGTTTGTATTCGTCTTCTCCTTGTCGAACTAGCCCAATCTTACATGTCGAACAAGGAGTTTGCTAAGCAAAGAGGTAACATGATTGTTTTATCGTTTTGTTAGCTGTTTTGCTATAATAAGATGTTATACTGATTCGTTCTATCGACATAGGTTTGTTGTTTATACTAAGTGGAAGGTTGTGGGAATATGGCTTTGACTCGACCGAGGATGCCCCTATACTGTATATTCCGGTACATACCTACATATGTTGATGTTAGGCCTATCCTAAGACCAAATTCTCCTAAGCTGAGAAAGCCTGGTATCGGCTTCCTACCTCATGATTCTTATTCTGTTGATAACGATCCTGGAGTCTTGGGGAGACAGTGTTGAATACTGTACGGTCCGAGTTACATGTTGGACGGAAGGAAAAGCGAACTCTGTGATTCCACCATTGCAGAAGCACACGACCTGGTAGGATACTAGTAGGGTAGAATATCATACACACCTAGCATATTACGTACGGTATGCAACATAAGAAGATAGGTACCTAGGTACATCAGAAATGAATATGGGTAATACAAGAGGGTATCGAAGAGGCACTGTCCAAGTCCACTGCCTAATATGTACCAGGTAGGCAGCTAATCTTAGTGACGCAATTGAGATTTTCCGAGAGTAGAGCTGAGCTGAATATTAATAACTAAAACTCTAACCACCGACCGGTAGGTACTTCTTTTTTTCCCTCTTACTTAATCGTACCTATTAAGCAAGTATGAAGCAGGCAAGAGCGTTTGTTTATGCCCCACTATTTTCTCAACTTTGAATTTGATGGCATATTGTTTGACTAAAGACAACAGCTCCTAGCAAATTCAACTCTCATAACTCATAAGTAGGCGCCTACCTAATCATCAACTTGAGCCATAAACCAGCCTTGATTGTTCAGACACCAAATTCTCTCTCATAATTTATTCAGTACAAGTTCAATTACCTTATCATTTTTCATTATTGGTATATGAGAGCGCTTGTTTCGAATACTCTGAATAGAAAGCTCCACAATGGCCGTGCCGAACAGTAACCTCCCGATCCAGGTTGTCGAGCCTCAGGAAGGCTGGGCTCATACTCACACAGTCATATTACTCCATGGCAAAGGCAGTAATGGACACGAATTCTCGGTTGAATTCTTTGAGTGCAAGACTTCCAAGCCTGTAGGTCAACCTCGGACACTGCGCGACCTTTTCCCGACCATTCGATGGGTTTTCCCTTCTGCACCAATCAGACGCTCGGAGAGATTCAACTGCAATGAGTCACAGTGGTTCGACATATGGTCGGTGGACAGTCCCAACGAGAAGCCCGAGATTCAGATAAACGGCTTAAAGGAGAGCATCGAATTAGTCTTAGACCTCGTTCAACAAGAGGAAGCTCTTGTTCCGCGCATAAATATCTTCCTAGGAGGAATCAGTCAAGGTTTTGCAACTGCGTTCTCGACCTTTCTCTTCGGTGAGAAAGATTATGCTGGGTTGATCGGCCTTTGTGGCTGGGCGCCTTCGGCGGCTTTAGCGCTGCTGGGGGGAGAACTGGACGGGATACCAGATTCCGAAGAGCACGACGAGACACCTGTGTTTCTTGGGCACTCGAGAGACGACTCAATTGTTCCTCTTGAGGAAGGCCGACGACTATGCAGTATACTCTGGAGACGCGCAGATACCGTGGTGGATTTTCACGAATATGCAGAAGGTGGACACTGGATCAACGAGCCGACGGGAGTCAATGATATTGCTGAGTTTCTAGAGAACAACATGAATATCGAATAACTCTATTGCAGTAACGAGACAAGAGACGAGGAAATATTCAATTAAAAGTCGCATGTTTTACTTATAAATAGATAAATGAATAAGGACTTCCCAGATATGCAATTACTGAAAGAGACAAGCGTTAAAGTCCCACTGTAAGGATTATTGATAAGCACTCAACTCTCAAATTTATCCAGTTCTAACGTTACTTATGCTCACTTGATGTAATCCTCAAGTCAATTCTTATCTTCTCCTCAATATGTTTCATTGAGGTTCTCGAAGGATCATTGTGTTCTATACTTTTGCATCTTCATCTGGTGACCCTCCAGCCCGACCAGGAGCAAAACGGACCAAAGTATCACGAGCGTGCAACTATTGCCGACAGCATCGAGTAATACGGTGTGACGCTGCATCGCTATGCTCGCGTTGCCTCTCTAACAACATCGAATGTGTGGCCTGGTCCTCTGGGCGTCGGCTTCCGGAAAGCCCTCAAATCTCACGAGACGGCTCTCTGCCTGCTCAAGAGTCTGTCATCTACGTACGTTTCTTAACTCTAACAGAATAAGGTCATGGAAATCCAGTACTGATCAACAGAAGAATCGGAATGGGGAGATTTGAGACACCAGCCGGTCGCTTGTCTACTATCTTCTATAGCACGGATGTTCCGCGAAAGAAAAGGCCAGGAGACATTGCCCTCACATCAGATGAAGAAAAGTCTTCAGGGCAAGCCACCGACATGAGTGATGTTGTTCTATGGGAAACTTATATTACAACTAATCAGATTATAACTTCTTCAAGGCGGCATTTTGCATGGAAAGATCTCTGTCTTGACATTCAAGTTAGGGAAGAGAACCGCCGATTATTGAATAACGTTTCTGGTAAGCTAACTTCTGACTCATCTTAATGCCCCTATGTTTCTAACAGGGATTAGGGTGGTTGGAGCCCGGAACAATGACTGCTTTGATGGGAGTGTCTGGAGCAGGAAAAGTACGTACAATATTGAACCAATCTTGAGTATGCTGCTAACCTACATTAAGACTACGCTTTTGGATACGCTTTCTCGGGGGGTTTCTATTGGAGTTGTAACCGGCGGGTTGTAGCTTGACAGCGACTCTCTTCCGCAATCAATGAACCGGCATTCTGGTTTCGTGCAACAGCAAGATGTCCACCTTGATATATCCACCGTACGGGAAGCATTACGACTTACGGCACAACTCCGCCAGGCCATCTCTGTTCCGATCGCTGAAAAGTACGAATACGTAGAAACAGTCATCTCCATGCTCGAAATGGAAGACGTGGCGGACGCCCTGATCGGTACACCTGGCACCGGACTCAGTCTCGAGAAACGAAAACGGGTGAGCATCGGCGTCGAGCTTGCCGCGAAGCCTGATATCCTACTATTCCTAGACGAGCCCACATCTGGATTGGACGGAGAGTCTGCCTTCTTTATCATCTCTCTAATGCGAAAGTTAGCGAATGCAGGGCAAACAATTTTATGCACAATTCATCAACCATCGTTCGACCGTATTGAACAGTTTGATGGTCTATTTTTGCTTATCCCAGGGGGTAAGACAGCATACTTTGGGTTTATGGGACCGAAATGTCAAACCTTGTAGATTATTTTGGTCGGCACACTCGGCTTTGCAGGGAGACAGAAAATCCGGCTGATTATGTCCTAAATCTTACGGCAAACTCCTCTGTTGATTGGGCATCAACATGATTGCAGTCTCCTGAATATAGAGATGCCAGCGAGCGCTTAAATGAAATCATATCAGCGCTGGGCTAAACTCCAGGAGACGATGCGGCGAACGAAGACCAAGACATTTTGACATACGCGGCTTCACCTTTCGAACAGCTGCGAGTGGTACTTCACCGGGCATTTCTCGACTACTGGAAGGACCCAGATTATGTCATTATCAAGATGCAGCTGAACATATGGATGGGTCTAATCAACGGCTTAACATTCCTACAGTTATCGAACAGCATGACCGACCTGCGCAACCGTCTGTTCTCCATATTCATCGGCATCATCACCGAACCTATGCTCACGCTCCAGGTCGAACCTCGCTTCATCGTATTCCGCGACCAATTCCTTGCGCGCGAAAAGGAGTCTCGCGTCTACCACTAGTCGGTCTTCGTCCTGAGCACGTTCCTAGTCGAGATCCCATTCAACCTTATCGGCGGCCTCTTGTACTGGCTACTGTGGTACTATATTGTCGGGTACTTCTACTCGTCCGAGCGCGCCGGCTACGCGTTCCTCATGTACGAGCTATACCAAATCTTCGTCGCTAGCTTCGCCCAGCTAATCTCTTCCGTCTTCCCTACCATCGGCGCCGCGCAGATCGCGACGGGCTTCGTCTGGCTCATGGTCAACACGTTCAACGGACCCCTCTCCCCGCCGCCGCTAACTCCGAAAGGTTGGCGCTGGTTCTACAATGTCTCGCCGCTGTTCTACCTGGTCGAGGGCATCGCGACCAACGCCATGCACGGCCTCGACGTCAGATGTTCTGACTCCGAGATATCCATCTTCTACGCTCCCGACAACGAGACCTGCGACGCGTACGCAGCGGCTTTCTTCGGCTCGGCGTCGGCGCAGGGATACCTGCTTGACGCCAATGCTATGGGGGAGTGCGCGTACTGTCCATATGCTAACGGGGATGAATATGTGAATTTCAAGCTGCGCAATACCCATACACTTGACCGTCTTGGTATTAGAGATTGGCTAACGAATGGAACCCCCTTTACTAGCTCAAGCAATACGATTTCGATTATAGCCACCGCGCCAGGAATATCGGTATCTTCATCAAGTTTATCATGTTTAACTACACCATGGCAGCGCTCGCGACTTATTTAATCTTTATTTGCAAGTGGAGGATGCCGAAGATTTCGTTGTGGGGGAAGTAAAATGAAGACGTTTAGATCGGTGGGGGAGTGTTAGAATAGCGAAGCCCCAAATAGACGGTGGGATAGATTGGATCAGGATATAAGTTTATTTCGTTACTGCTATTTCTAACTTACGAAGCATTATTTCAATACGGAATTATAAAGGAGAATCTAGATGAACCATTTTACTGTCAGCTTTGCTCAACCAAATCGTGAATATCCATAACCCCCTTTTCTAGGATCGCTTGCTTACTAAGGTACTGTACGTACCTACGCTTACTAATATTCTGTGTTGCATACAAATAGGGGTGTGTTAGTCAGGGATAACCTTAACGCAATGTTCAGGGGAAAACTCACGATTACCTCATTCAAAATCGTAGCTTTTGCTAACGTATTTCTTCATATTAACATAAAGGTACTTCTCGGCATTATTAGTGTATGAAAATAGTCATGATCCTACTTTATTTACGAGGCGCTGTTCAAACCGCGTCAACAGTCTAGGCCCCATGACTGCCCCCAAGCATCCCCATTCTGAAATTCTGATAAAGTCCAATAATTGAAACAAGCTAAGTACGTTGGTTGATAACGCTAGCCTTTGCAATCAAGAAGCTACCATGTGCTTGGAATTACCGAAGGCAATGTGTATCTAACGATGTACTACCAACAAAGCTCAGTTTCACACCTATTACTGGAAGAATGCCAAACCTATTGCTTATGGTTCAATTAACTTGAGATTAACTTATCTTCATATGATGTAGAGCCACCTAGTTGTCGGACACATCCACATTTGAAGAACAATAGGGTTTTAGGTTGATACCAATCAGGAACCCCTATTTACATTGATTTGCACATGGTGTGTCACAGACCAGACAAAACCGATCAGTGGTAGCTAGTTATGTCTACTGGCAATGACGCTAAAAGCCATTAAACGAAAATAGAATTTCCAGACGCTCATCAATTTCTTCATTATGTGCAGCACGGGGTGTTCGGCGCTCCTGGAGATCGACTCCATCACAAATCGGCTCTTGCTTCTTCTCCAGCCCATGCTCTTCGGATCAATTCTCTTATTGGGTCTCTTTCAATAGGGCGAGGATTCCAGTACGGATTGCCCACGGCGATGTCGGCTGCCTTGTCGATGTCGCTTTCCTGCATACCCAAGGCCTTCAGCCCCCTTTCGACTTTCAGCTTCTGCAAGAGAATATTCAACCCTTTAGTTGCGTCTCCTTCGCTCTCCGGCAGCGCCGCAGCTAGAGCCTTCATCGCAGCAGGGACCTTCGGGGCGTTGTACGACAGGGCATGGGGCAAGACTATCGTATGCGTTTCCGAATGCGGAAGATTAAAGCTGCCCCCTAAAGTGTGGCAGAGTTTGTGATGGATAGACATTCCCACGCTGCCGAGACAAGTTCCACAGAGCCATGCGCCGTACAGTGCAGAAGAACGTGCCGTTTGCGAGGACGGTTCGGAAATCAAGACAGGGAGGGAACTGGCTAGAGCTTTCACCCCTTCTTGAGCAAGCAGATTGATAATCGGGTTGGTGTTACGAGCATATAAAGCCTCGACAGCATGCGCAATAGCATTAACACCGCTAGTAGCCGTGAGGCTAACGGGCAGAGTCATCGTGAGGTCCACATCGTATACAACAGCGCTCGGCAAAATTTTTGGATCAGACCTTGTCGTCTTCCTCCCAGAATCTGTCTCGCCCAAGATAGGCGTGACTTCGCTACCAGCATATGTCGTCGGGATTGTCAGGTGAAAAAGACCTGTCCGGATGCTAATGGCTTTCCCTAGGCCGACGGTACTTCCACCTCCGATAGAAACGATAGAGTCGGCCCCGGAAGCTGTGACTTGTTCAAGCGCCTTCTCGGTGACCTCCACTGGCGTATGCATTGTGGCTTCGGTGAACACCCCGACAACGACATCTCCAAGGACGCTCTTGAGTAGGTCTATATGACTCACTTGCTGGGGTGTACTGAGAAGAAACGGTTTAGATACATTCGCTCGTATAAGCTCTGCCGGCACCTTTTGGATGGTGCCGCTCCCGAAGACGACACGGGCGGGACTAGAATTATACTCAAAACTGTCCATGCTGTAACAAGACTATTCTTCTCAGATATAGGAATGTCGATTATAAAGTAGTAGATATCAATAATGATATGGCAATGTTAGATTTTCATCAATATAAATCCGCAACTTCCTGAGGTGGATATAGATCTAGGTAGGTGGGCACTTATTAGATATAAGCCGTGTAAGATCATTACTTACCGACCCGGGTTATTGGGTTCCGCATATGTACGATGGCAGCTCAAATCGAGCAAATCCCCTCCGTTAGCAAGTGCCGACACTGCGTAGCGCAATGGAGTTTCGGCATCGCGGAGTCGTTAGAGGGTCGTTCCCCGCATCGGGAGGAGAGTATGATCAACCATAGTTACATCATTTTAGGGCTGAGCGTACCGAGATCTTGATTATTCGGGGAACAAATAGGAGAGTAATGAAAGAGTTGGAAAAGCTAAAAGGACTTATGTAATCAAAAAGCCTTCATAACCAGTGCTGAGTCGGACCGCATATACGGATGTATTGTCATAGAGACAAGAGCATTGAGATTTATTAGAGGAACAGCCCTTGGGGGCATTGTCTCCCTAACATCCTAAATCGTAGTTGGGTGAACGTTATATTAAGAATAGACTTATGCTTATATGAACAAACAACAAACCAGATAGAGTTAAATCACAACTCCTACCGACTTCCCGATAATTGGCATCGATATTTCTATTCTTAGAAATGAAAAAGAGAAGTTCAGACTTCGAGTGATTGCCATTTCCTAAAGACTTGAGTAGGTACCCAGGTACATTCCCAAGGTACGCAATGGCCATTGGACAATCCAATTGGTTTCACAAATTTAGCGCCGGGACCACCCAGCTACTCCACACAGTCCACCGCAACTTCAGCGCGGGCCTCAAGCTGGCCATCACTAGGGCAACTGTGGTCTTCTTATGCGGGTGCACAATGTAAACAAATGGATCCTCCCTCTTGTTGCATCAATTGATCTCTCCATCAGACCCCTGCTTATACATTCTACATCTCTCAAATCTTCACATTCCTGAGAGATTGATCCTACCACACTTCTTTTCGTGGCGGAATTGATTTCCAGTTGATTAACGATAACCTAATTTCGAGACATTCTGAATCGATCGATCGTCGAATTTTCCTACACACGCGCCAACGCCAAGTTCACCGACAATTGCAGACCAGATAGTGTCCGTCGCCTTTTTGCAACAGCATTTGGGGAGGATGCCTGCGGCCACAGATGGCCCGACAGTTGCACTGTCGTGTATGTCTTCCTGTAAAGTTTAGAATGAGATCGAGGTTGCGATGTTAGCTACTAATGCAAAATCACCAGTCGCCAATAATTTCTGGGGCAAAGATGACGCCGGCGTCGGGCCATTGCTCGATCGCATGGCCTCTGCGAAGCAGACTAGCGACGAGCTCAGATCTTTCTACGGCGGTATGCCTCCTCCAACACCCTTTCACCACTACGTTGAGCTGATAAATCTATTTAATTAGCCCGTGCCTCCATCGAAGATGAATACGCCCGAAAACTCATGTCGTTATGTCGAAAACCTCTAGGCACACACGAGATGGGGAGTCTGAAGGGCTCACTAGATACCGTGCGAGGAGAAGTTGAATCTATGGCCAAGCAGCATGCTAGCATCGCATCCCAGATGAAGAGCGAATTAGAAGAGCCTCTTGCTGCCTTCGCCGGTGGAATGAAGGAAAGACGCAAGATCATCCAAAATACGGTGGAGAAGCTTCTCAAGGTCAAGATACAACAAACGAACCAGGTCAACAAAGTTAGTGATATCCGTGGATAATAAGGTGTTGTATAGGTACCCGACTAACCTTATTAACCATATAGACCCGTGATCGTTACGAGAACGATTGTTTAAAGATCAAGGGTTATCTAGCCCAAGGACACATGGTCATGGGCCAAGAGGAGAGAAAGAATAAGGCCAGGTTGGAAAAGACACAGATCAGCCTTGCAACATCCAACACCGAATACGAAAACGCGGTCAAAGTTCTCGAAGAGACGACCGCTAGATGGAACAGGGAGTGGAAGGCAGCTGCCGACAAGTTCCAGGACCTTGAAGAGGAGAGATTGGATTTTACAAAGAGCAGCTTGTGGACGTTCGCCAATATCGCATCTACCGTCTGCGTTAGTGACGACGCGTCCTGCGAGAAGATCCGATTGTCTCTTGAAAAGATGGATGTCGAGAAGGATATAATCCACTTCATCAGCGAAAAGGGAACCGGCCAGGAAATCCCAGACCCGCCTAAGTACATCAACTTCTGTCGTGGAGACGTAGAAGATCACCATTCAGAAATCTCCGATGACGATAATTATTCGGTGGCACAGTTCCCACGAAGTATCAACCCTGCATTCCGCACCTCTTCACCTCAACCATCTACGTTCGAATCACATCACGATCCTAATTCGGCTCTCGCCCGAGACCTAGCACACGAACCCCCCGTGGCGGCCCCTGCACCCCTTGCTAGGGAGCCAGCCGCCATCGCGCCACAAAAGGCCCCAGTGACTGCATTGGCTCAGCAGGACCGCCGGCGAGGAAACGACTTACAACAATATCCGCGTGCTATTAACCCCGGATTCCGGGCTCCCTCACCCCAGCCCTCTACTTACGAGTCTCATCATGATCCTAATTCTTCGCTCGCTCGAGATCTCCAACGCCGAGATAGAGACCCCAATCCCCCTGCTCCTCGAGACCTGGTGCCTCGGGATCTAGTAGCTCGAGATACCGCCCCTCGAGATACCACCCCTCGAGATATTCCTCGAGATATTCCTCGGGATATTGCTTCTCGGGATATCGCTCCTCGTGACATTACTCCGCGGGATGTTGTTCCTCGAGATATCGTCCCTCGAGGCCTACAACGTAATGATCCTCCTCCTTCCTTCTCCCGAGATTTACAACGCAACGAGCCCACTTCCTCATATTCGCGAGATATCCAACGTCATGAACCCGAGTTATCTCTTTCTAGGGATCTACAGAGGCAAGATCTCCAGCAGCGACAAGACTTGCAACGCGAAGAGTTGCAACGCCAGGAGTTGCAACGTCAGGACCTACAGCGCCAGGACCTGCAGCGCCAAGATCTACAGCGTCAAGAATTGCAACGTCATGATCCTATTTCCCCAGTCACTCGAGATCTGCCGCGCAATGAGCCCCCACCACTCTCCAACAGAGATCCAGTCGGGCAGACACATAAAACCTCAGGATCTATCTCGGGGTCTGTTATGACGCAAGGGGGCCGAAAGGGAAGTGCTGGAATGCAACAGCAGCAGTATGATGCTTCTCAATTCGCGCCTGTCCCTCACGACCCGTATCCCCTGGACGGTATGACGATGCTTTGCCGCACAGATGGTATGAATTCGGCTACGAGCTCGAATATCTCTGCACGGCCATCAAGCCGCGATGATAATAGCGAGTACTCGAACCCGACGTCCTTCTCTAGTCAGGAACCAGCAAGTGGCAAGGTATCGCCCGCGAAACAGGAGCCGGAACCCGTGGTGGCGGCATCGCCGGAAAAGCGCATGATGAAGAAAAAGAGCGGATTTTTCCAGAACCACAGTCCCTTCCGCCGTAAGAGTGTCAAGGACGCACAGCAACCGGTACAAACATCTAACAGAAACACCTGGGGTCCTGTAGCTTCCCGAACTCCCCAGGCTTCTCCAACTAAGGTCCAAACACAAGCTCAAAGTACGCCAAGTTCCCGACGCCCTGCCTTCCAGCCTCCGCAGCCGGCCCCAGAACCTCAGAGTATAATTCCGGATAGAACGGAGAGGACAGCCAGCCCCGATCCTATCGACGCGAATGCAAGCCTAGCGTTGAACATAGGGCAGAACGTATTCAATGTTGCGAATACCGATAAGCGCAATAAGGCGAGCGATAGCGCTCCACCCGCACAAGAGGAAGATCCCATCGCCTTGGCCTTAGCAGAACTTAAGGGTGTTGCTGGCAACAAGCAAGCTGCAGGACGGATCTCGGCTGATCACTACCACGGACTTGCTACGCCTGTGCCTGATCGAACCCAGAACATGTCCCGTTCCGTACCTGCTCCTCGGGGAAGCAGTGATGTGGCCGCCGCTGTAAGAGGCACTCCACCACCGTCGTATGACCAGCAAGTCACCGCAGTGCAGCGACTGGGAGTCCCACCTCCCGCGGTTACATCTAAGGCGATGCAAGAAGCATCCCGAAAGTATGCGGAGCAGACCAGAGACATGTTCAACGCTAAGCGCCCCGGATCCGGAGCGTATACTAGTGGTACACAATCCTCCAAATTTTCACGGCCCGGGACTAGGGGCAGTGAGATGCCTCGCGCAACATCACCGGCGGCTCCGCGCGCTACTTCCCCCCGACCTGGAATGTACCAGGACACACGTCAAAGTCACCGTTCAGTATCGCCGAACCCATACAGTGGCAGTCAAACGCGAAACTCGCCGGCAGGTTCGCCCAGCTCGTACGGCGGCACTCGAAACTCGCCGCAGCCAGCGTCGCCGGTTTCGCCCATGTCGTATGGTGGTGCTCGACAGCAAGCTTCGCCACAGCCCGCCATGTCTGTCAAGCGAGGATCAGACCAAGGATACTACAGACAAAACAACTCGTCGGCTAACTCGATAAGGGCAACTTCTCCATCTCCTTACAGAGGCGATTATAGCCGCCCGACTAGTAGAGCTGGCGAGATGGCTATGCAGCTTGCACCGGTTGGCGGAGACGGATCCGTCTACGGATCGATGCGAGGACGGGGCAATGGCAGACCGGAAACCAGTTCTAGCTCAAGGGGTATGACGGGAGCCATGACTTTCTACGACGGACGAGACCCTATAGCAGAGAGCTCGAGACAGCGCAGTAAGAGTGTGGCGGATCCGAGTCGACAATACACGCCAGATGGTCGAGCTATTTTGCATTACGGTAAGTTTTTTCCGATCACGCCTCCCATTACCTCTTAAATATTTCGTACGGGAACTAACAGTTCGGTAGCTCGAGCATTGTACATGTACCAGGCGGCGATCCCCGAGGAGCTTGGCTTCGCCAAAGGCGATGTCTTGGCCGTTCTTCGACACCAGGACGACGGATGGTGGGAAGCTGAGATTCACTCTGGACAAGGTGTTGGTAGGGGTGGATTAGTGCCTAGTAATTATCTGCAACCATGTTAAAACGGCTTGAAAAGGAAAGGGGTTTGATCTTGGTTGACGGCGGTTGACGAAACAAAGGTTGATGTGCATACATATGTTAAAAGGGGAGACATGAGCACATATGTACGAACAGGACGACGGGATGGTGGATGATTTTTTTTTTGTTCTTCTTTTTCTTTTCTTGCTTGATCAAGGCTGTTTGCCATGACTTTTGCTACTTTTGCTTTAGCAAGTTTGGCTGTGCGCGTTTGGGGATGCATTCCGACAGTGTAAGTCATTATACATTGCCTATCCGGCAGTGTCATTAAAGGATTTCGGAGTTGATATGAAATTGCATTTGATACATAATTGAACTTGATAACCTTTTACGTATGGCACCAGAGATGATTCCGTGATGTTGAATATTGAGTTGTCGAAGTCCAAATTATATTTAAACATTACGATAAGATTCATCTATAACCCCAATGACAAAATTATTTCGGCAAATCAGTATCGCTGCTTCCATGTCCTTAGAGCGACGATGACGTCGAAAGCAATTGCGGTTGGTTGGGGTAACAGTTAGGGCGGGCGCGATAGCGATAGGTACAATACTATGGCGGCTTGGGGCGGCGTGTCGGCTGCCAAGAGCTCCGTCGGTAGCTTTGACGTAGCTGCTGAAGCCACCAATAACAGAAACCAAAACATCTTCACATGCCACAAGCCACGCTGGTTCGACACGGCCAGCTCTCGCTCTGCTGTGTTCCCGGCTTACAGTATTTTAACTGCTTCTCCGTCTAGACACGCAGGTTCTGGAGAATCAATAGTTTCTGCGCCGAATGGCGCTTCTGCCTCACCCGCAAATATGGTAAGTCTTATTCCAACTCATATTCTCATCTTTGTTTTGGGTATTCTTTGGCTGATAATGTGATATCCGCAGCAATACGTAAAAGGCTCTTACAGAGCCGCGACGTCTCCGGCAGCGCAGAGAACATACCTTAGCGCCGCTCTGTTCTTCGCTGCGTCCTTGGCGCTGTTGTGTGTCGCTGCTCTAGCTTATCCCGTCTTCTACTACAATTATGTGCCTAAAAAGCTCATCACTATTCCGGTGCATCTGCAGTACGAGTAAGGGCACCTTCTATTTCTCCCCTGTTCTTCTTATGGTTTTACGAATTAATGCATGGTATGGTTTAGCTCTGGTGTCAACCCCTATGGCGTCACCTCACTCTCCTCGAATCTTATGCTCGAGCAGGCCTACGACGTATCCGTGGAGCTGACGGTACCGCGGTCGCCTACTAACCTACAGAGGGGAAACTTCATGGTAGCTCTGTTCGCGATGAAATCGGTGCCAGATAATCCGGCTTTCACATTCTCCTTCTCTAAGGCAATGGAAAACCTGTACAGCCATGTGAGAGAGGACAACGTCGTCTTCATGAGCCGCCGGCCTACGCTGATACCATACACGGACCCATTCGTGAGCATGGCGTCACGCTTCTTATTTCTGTTCTATCATATATTATATCCCGACCAAGGGGAGACGACAACACTTACAGTTCCGATGGGAGAGCTCGTCGAGTTCAAGGATGTGTTGCCGTTGAGTTTCTTGCTTGATGTGCAAGCCGGCCAGACGCTTCAGGTGTATTCAGCTACTATCACCCTTGTAGCTCGACTGACAGGAATCCGATGGGCCATGTATAATCACCGTTTTATCTCGTTTGCGGTATGCACAGCTGTTTTCTGGATTGCCGAGATGCTGTCAGCAGGATTAGCATGGTTACTTCTGAGCCTTTTCATTTCCGGCCGGGATCCTGAAGCACCGGACAATAACGATGATGGTGGATTGGAAGGCGATCCTTGGATGGGCCGGCGACCTCTACCTAAAGCTTCCTTTCGTGACGAACTTGAGGAGTCTGAGGACGAAAGAAACCCGCGAGTGAAGAAAGAAGAGAGCGACGACGAGGATTATGATGCTAAGGTAAAAGAAGAGAGTCCGGAACAAGAGACATTGATGGAACAACCTGCGGATGACGAAGGAGACGCTGATGATGCTCGGAGGGAGTCAGGCGCTGGAACAAGCTTTAGTCATGGGAAGAGTGGCAGTCTACGCAGGCGGTCGTCACGAGGCAGGTCTTGATCAGGTAGTGGGTGATATTCAAGCGTGAATTACCTACCTGCTAGCATTCCTTCCTTGCTCTACATAATACCAGATACCACTTACTTTTTTATTTTCTATTCATAATCCAAATCTTCATATAATTGCAGGTTCCATATCCATATATCCAGAGATATTCGATTCCTACATAGAAGTACCTCCCTGGATGTACATATATGTGGGGGTGTGTTACATAATCAATAGTACTAAATACCCTACTATCGAACTTCGTACCTTCCTTAGGACATTCAGACAGCACATCACAGCAGCTTTGACGTGTTCAGGTGACGAGGGTGGTTCCCAGAAGCGCGGTCGGCCAATCAGCTGCTTTCACATCTCCCCCGCCATGGTCAACCACCGACTCGACTTTGGACCTTGGACCTTGGACCTTGAACCTTTCTTATTGCAACTCTCTCAACGTTGAACCTTTTGCCTCTTTACCACCAGGTGCGCCGAATGCACATGTACTAGCAACCGACGATAGGCTGCTAACATTGCCTTCACTCCTTCACTAATCAAATCATTTGCACACTTACGCCTGACCTATTTTATTCGTCGACAAGACATATTTTCACGAGTACAATAATTTACAGGACACAACAGGCACTGCACTTTCTCTCACTCGATTTGTCGATTTTCAACCGACACCTTGTGCACGACCGGGTACAGTAACTCCAGTACCTCCAGTACCTTCAGTACCTTCCTTGCACCTGGTTTGCAACGTCTAGTCATCTCACTCGCCCGCCTTCTTCGAACTGTATTTGAATCGGGCTTGAACTAGAAACGTGCAATTCGTGCCATCAAACCCCTCCAGATGCCCAAATTGAGAGAGTAAATTCTAGTTAATGCAAAGGTTTTTGTTCTACTTCTACTTCTACTTTTACTTCCACTTCACTTCTACTCTTTATACCTACATATACATACATACTCTAGCACACCGCTGAACACCGCTGAAGGGTGCAAAATACTTTCCTCTCCATCAGCCAGAGTTCCTACCTTGTCCCCCACCACTCAAATTTCTTAACCCTACAAACCTCCACCTGCGGTCCTGCCCCAAGCTCAGACCGTCAGACCGACAATTACCAACCTTCTAAAAGATCGATCGAACCAAAGTTCGCCGGTCCTTAATCGAATTGTCTTGCCTGCACAAAAATAAAAAATAAACCAACTCCAAGACTTTTGATCGAACCGAAGCCGCTCGTACGCATTGTTCACCGACTCCGGAGATTTCTTCAGTCACCGACCCAGACACGATAGAATTACCTTCACTATCGCCTGGCTAATTTCGTCTTCTCTACACCGCCCAATATCGTATCCAATATTCCGTCACGATGCCCTGCTTCAAGGGCATCGCTGTGAGCATTCACGCAAATTCTGCCCCGCTACCCGAATATGGCCTGCAGAAGCAGTCTCGTATGTCTCGCATCAGCGCTTATATACCCGTTCCACAACCTCAGTTGAACCCGGAGACTTCCAAGCATGAGGCGGCCAAGTTTGCCATCTCCATCACGCTATTGACACCCGGCCATGAAATTCCCTACACGACTCCGAAAGCCACCGCCGCCAATCCCCACCCACGACCTCTTTACGCGGGTCCCATCTCAGCATCCGACCCCTCGAAGCACGCTAATACTGTCGCACCGTACATTCCTCTGACGGGCTCCGAGAATGAGACCATTGCGGCGTACATCTACTTCGACGGACGGGCCAAGGAGGAGGTTGCTACTCTGCTACGCCCAGGTGAAGAGACGTGGGTTAACAGTCGTTGGGTCCAAGTTCCCGAGCTTGAAGGCGGAGGCCTTGCCGAGCGAGAATTCCTTTTCCGCGAGGTTGGCCTAGAGAGATGGCTTAATGGTCTAGATCTTAAGGGTCATGACGCCGCGGAGAAGGTGGAGCGTCGAAGACAGAAGTTCGAGAGACGTCATCGCCGCCACAGGTCTACCCCGAACACCGGCGACATGGATGCGGAGAAGCCCATTCGCATTCGGGATACTTTGGCCTACGGATCCGAAGACCAATCACCGCTGGCCAGCCCCTCTGACTCGGACGATGATTCTATGTCCGATGACGATGAACCTCCCGAGGCCACAGGCCAAATCAAGGTGGCTATGTTCCGCGTGCTTGCCTCTGGTGAGATCAAGAAGGGGGAGTACTCGCCTCAGTTCGATGCTCATGACGACGATGATGAGAGCGAAAATGGGACTAAGGGAGGCAGCAATGGATCTATCGATGCCGATGTGGAGCATACCACTAGTTTTGCGAAGCCCAAGAGTCTTGATCCGAAATCAATCAGCACTCAAACTGTCACCGGCATCGATGCACCGGAAAAGCCTTACGCAGTCTTCACATTCTTCTACCGTGGCACACGTAAGTACTCGGCCATCACGTTTAATATTTAGACACTAACATATCTCTAGGTCAACTTGCTAAGATGGGGCTATTGTCTAATGCGAAGGCTGACCAGAAGGCATCTGGCGCCAAGCGACGATCGACTCAACTCGACTTCTCAGGTCTTGGCCCGCTCAAATCTACTGGCACCGTGGGATTCTCTGCTTTCAGAGATCAGGAAGCCGAGGCGGCTAAGAGACGCAAAGCTCGCAAGAAGAGCAATGGCACCAATGGTCTCATGATGGACGAAGATAGCGATGACGACGATAATGACGTCAATCCTCTTACCAAGATGGAAGACAATGACGATAAGCCCGTCAAGACTCATCTGGCACCAGAGGATGCCAAAGTGGCCGGAGAGTTGCAAGCAGGTATTGATCGAATTCGCGTAAGTTATATTTATTTCTGACCATGTATTTTCTGACGGCTAACAATTCTATAGCTAAAACGCCAGCACTCTATGGAGCCTGAAGCCTCGGGAGCATCAAGTACTCGCAAGTCTCCCAGCGCCGGTCCTAGCGCCGAAGAAGCCACATCCGTAGATGCTTCAGCTAGCAACCAAGCAGTTCCTAACTCTGTAGCGAACCTTCTTTCTCAGGCTTTTGACGGAGATTCGACGGTTGGGAGCCCACTGAAGAAGCAACGTGCAGACGATGAGACACCGGATCGTTCTGCCAACTTCCCGTCGGCCTTGGGCGATGTCTTAGGCAGAGCGATGGCGGATCAGCAGAAGGAAGGAGAGAAAGTCAAAGTTGAGGTTGACGAAGACGAAGAGCTTTAGGATAGCTCTTCACCCTATCACGCTTCAAACCCCAAGAAGACTAAAACCACTCATTCGGTCTCGTCAGCTAAGGGCAGAATTCGCAGCACTCGCAAGACAGCTCCTCACGGCCCCTCCAATCTAAGACATTACGAGACCCGATCGTCTACGCGTGCGTCTACGGATCTGGACTGAGCGGGACACCCGGGCTCAGTGAAGTGATGGAAGTCACAAGCAGCCATGGCTATATCGGATCTAAGGTAGCCATGTCACACTGCGAGGTATTTTTTTCGGCGGACATGCCGATATCTTACACCATAACAAGAAAACCCTCAGCATCATACGACTAGGAAGTACATTGTGAAGGGAGGCAGGAGATTACATTTGCAGATGACCGACCCTTTCTGGAGTTGCCAGCTTGGACAGAAAGCAGTTCGGATTGTTGATCTGGGTACATGAGGAGCATTGCGTTAAGCGAAACGACTACCTCCTATTTGCCTCGGGTAGGTAGTCATGTTTGACTTGCAGACAGACTTCTCTTCTCGGAGGTTTTTTCCATAGAGAGAATACCCAGACAACTAATGAGATCAGCCCACAGACCGCGAGGTCTCAAGGCTCATAATCAACGAGAGTTACTATTGCCACGTGAATGTTCCGTAGGCCTATTCAATTGCAATGCCGTAGAGATGTGTCCTAGATATAATAGCGGATTGCTTACTGGATATTCACAAGCGGACATTTAAGTGAAGGTCCCCGTATTTTTACACATGACGGACTACTCAGATACTGTTTTCTCTTTTTTTCCTATCAATTTCAAGGGGACTAGATCTACATTCCAACTAGCTCAGTAGTATTTCAAAATGGCAAGGCGGGGGTTCCACACGCTTTATCTAGATAGCTCCCGTACGCTGGCTCAACTTTAGCCACTTATCTTCATGGCTCTCTTACGCATCTAGATTGATACGGCTTCCCCCGATTCGTACACGCCCCTAGAACTTGGCATCCATCCGGAAGCGCCTTTCCATTCACCCCTATCCTAGGTATTCAACGCAACAGGAGCAACGGCCTAGGAAATGCGATTTGCGACCCGCCACTATTCGGCGGCACTGACGACCGCGCTCGCGTTATCGGCGGCGGTTTCCGCACGGCGTTACCCGGACTCGGACGCGGGCTCGGGCCAGAAGCAGAAGGTCATGTCCGGTAGCGGGAGAGGGGATGCGGGAAGTAACCCGCTAGATGACGACTTCGCCGCTTTTGCGCGGGCGGCGCTCGACCGCTGGCATGTCCCCGGTATAGCGGTTGCGGTGGTTGACAGGGAGGAGACTTGGACTGAGGTTGGTTTTAATTTTCCCTACGATTTTGGCTCTTTTACTTCGATCTAGAGACCAAGGTACATTTGGTGGATCTAGTTAATTACCTTGCATGTGTGATTATGACAAAAGGGGGAGGACCTGGATCTACGTTCTCGTCCGCAAAAAGACAGCATGATGGTTATGGTTAGCCCTCGTTAGGCTACGATCTTCCTGCTACTCTCTAAGAGCTTCTCCATCCTAGTACCTCTCTCACAATATACGTCATCGTATCGAGACGATACCTACATCCCCAAGCTCACATTAACGTACCTACTACCACACAGGGCTACGGCATCTCCAGCTTCCCCTCAACCCCTGTAACGCCCTCAACGCTGTTCTACGGCGGCAGCACGACGAAGGCGTTCACGGCGGCCATAGTGTCATTACTCATCGCCTCGGGCGAGCACTCGGTCTCCCCCTCCGGCCCGCTTAGCTGGCGAACGCCGCTCGCGCAGCTCCTCGGCGACGACTTCGTCCTAGCCCCGGAATACGACTGGGCCGCGGCACACCTGACGCTCGAGGACGCGCTGTCGCACCGCACGGGGTTCCCACGCCACGACAAGGCGCTCGGGCGCCAGTACGGCGCCGACGCGCATGCGGCTACCGTGCGCGACGTCGCGCGCAGCTTGCGGTACCTGCCCATGGTGAGCGAGCCGCGCGTCGAGTGGCGGTACTGCAACGTCATGTACATGGTGGTATCGCACGCCGTGCAGGTCCTGACGAACGAGTGGTTGGGCGACGTGATGAGGGATCGGATATGGGCGCCCTTGGGTATGAATGATACGTTTTTGAGCGTGGAGGAGGCGATAAGGGAGGGGAGGGTGGTGGCGGATGGGTATTATTGGGATTATAAGGGGGAGAGGGAGGGGAAGGGAAAGGGGGGGTTTGTGGAGGTTCCGAAGTTGGGGTTGGGGTTGGCGAGTGGGGCTGGGGGTGTGGTGAGTAATGTTGGGGATTATGCTAGGTGGGTTCGGTGTTTGATTAGGGGTGATAGGGAGGGAGATGGGGATGGGTGTACGGTCTTGCCCAAGGAGGCACATCGCGAGTTGAAAAAGGTGAGGATTGTGCAGGGGCCGGAGAGTAAGAAGGGGTATGATGCTCCGCTGGCGTATGGGCTTGGTTGGGAGGTCGGGACGTATAAGGGGCATAGGTTGTTCAAGCATAGCGGGGGTATGGAGGCATACGGCGCTTTGGTATATTTCTTCCCGGACTTGGAGTACGGTGTCGTGACGCTTGCCAACACCGCTGTGACGAGCAATATTGTGGGACAGGAGCTCATTTGGAAATTGGTCGATGATAAATTGGGAATTCCAAAGGAGGATCGGTACGACTGGGCTGGCTTGTGAGTTGTTCCTATTTCTCGTTCTGTCAGTCTGTCTGTTGGTGCATATAGGAGTATAAGAGGTTGACTATTCATCACAGGGGAGATAAAACGATACAAAAAGCACTCAAGCAACCCGAAACCGCGGTTGAAGAGCTATATCCAGAACGTGCGAACCCGCCGCTACCTCGCACGCTTCCGCTCCAAGAGTATGTCGGGGTTTACTCCCATCCGGCGTATCAGAACATCACTATCGAGTTAGTCGATGGAACTGATACTCCAGCTGCCAAAGGCTCAGCAAAAACGGAAAGGAAGGGAGCCGAATTGAAGGCTAATCGTGGAAACATGGAGTGGCAGATGATGTTCGAGTTCATCCACGTCTCGGGCGAGTTCTGGGCCGTGGTCATCGATATGCTGAACACGCCCAACTCTCTCAACGGACAGCTGGCCCGCGCCGAGTTCGTGGTTGGCGTTAAGGGAAAAGTAGATAAGCTGGAGATGGAATTCTTGGAAGACGGGAGTGAGGGCATTGTTGTGTTTGACAGGGTTGCTTGAAATACTGCTGGTGACAGATCTATATTGTAGGAGTTGGTAGCGTTATATAAACGAATGCTTTACAGCAAAATGGAGCTACCTCTTTCAAGAGTGAACTTCAAAAACAATGTCTGATATTGTATCGTCAACTAGTGCTTATGAGGCTTATGAAATGGACCTCGACATATTAGGGCATAGTCATTCACGTGTGAATGATTTCATAAGCTAAGACACTTAGTCTTATATCCTTCTTTCATTCCTTAGAAACTATTATTCATGCTCCTTACATGGCAGGGTCGGTTCATTGGTGTCACGTTAAGTAGTAGATATTTCTGGATATTTTGGGGGGGGAGGGAGAATATTAATCGCTTGGACAATTGAACCTCCAAATGATCAAAGCAGTCAACTGAAATGTGAGCCTTCTTCACTGAAACTAACCCGACCAACAAGCAAGATTTTCTCGGAGTTTTAGTTTTCATTGATAGGCACTATCATCGCTTTTCAATAGGTGTCTGTCCTACCGGGGTGATGTCATTTCAACACGACAATCAGATGATTGAGCCATATAAATGTCCCAGGGTTTATCACGTTCGACCAAAGACAGGTTCACCTTGCACCTAACACCGCTCTGGTCCATAGTACTAAATATATATTTAAATCGAATTATGATATCTCCATCGATGAACACGACCGCAACGAAACCCATTATTTCAATGTTGACCTATTTACAGCAATGGTTCCCCAGACAACTCGACTTACTGCAAGACTCGAAACTATCAGGTCCAAGGCAGGAGAGAGACAAGAACTATCCTCTTCCATACATGGAGCAATGTGTGTGGATAGTTCCAACGGCTCTCATCGAAAAACACATACTCGAACTTATCCCAAAGACCCACGCAAGCAACCTATGCAAGTCAGCGATGTGGAACCAAACTAGACATGGCGAGAAGAAAACATTTCGAATGTGTTTAAATCAGACTGTTGAGCTTGATGGTTATTGAATCCACATGGGTGTTCAGTTGGCTGTTCTTAGAAGTGTTTGATCATCATTTAACACGGAGTTTTCTCATCGAAGAAATGAGAAATAGAAAAGAAATGTTACTTACACTGATTGCTAGGTAGCTATAGCTTCACATAGGTACCCAGATGGGTACTTCCTAAGCACGTTCTAATAGACGGGCGGCAATACGCATGATGGCCTCGGGAAAGAGCATGCGCAATAGTTTGGATGAACGTTGAAATAAAAATGTTTGCGAGTGAGAATAAATATTGGTAGGAATAGAAAGCCAAGGCCGAGGTTTTTCCCGATAGCAGTCACGTGGTATTCAAATACCCGCTTTACCTTGGTCAATGCCGCTAAGTCGCTCAACTGACTTCACTAACCAACAACTCCAGTCTCGAACCGTTTGAACCGCAAGAGACGACCCAAACTCCACTCTACCTCCGACAACCTATAACCTAACTAATCCATCTCTCTACATCGCCTCTCCTAAGGAACCTACGACCATTCCGCTATTGATCCGAGGAGGCATTTTGAGGAAAATATTTCGAGAAGGATAGGAAAAAAGAGAAAGAATCGGACAAAAGGGAACCTTGGAAAAAGCAAAGCGCCAATCGAGGAAGCATAGTCATGCCCGCCATCCGACCCAACACCGCCGTGCGGGCCTCCCGTGCCCTGCAGCAGCAGTCCAAGCAATCTTCCACCACATCAGTCAGACCTTTCTCGGCCACGGCGCGAGCGCCCTCCTCCCACGGCCCGCAGTACGACCCCCCGACCGGCTGGCTATTCGGGGTAAAGCCCGGCGAGAAGTACCAGAAGGAGGGCTGGGAGAACTCTTTCTTCTACGGCTTCTGCGGAAGCATCGCTGTTGCTGCTATCGCCTACGGCTTCAAGCCCGATACCTCGTAAGTCTTTATTTCGAGCTTCCGTCGTCATGGGATGTCGAGCGGACCAGCGATACCATTCCGTTATTATTAGGATATGCGCTCTAGAGTGGCAAATGGGTCACAGTCACATTCTTCTAATAGTACTATACTCTTTGTAAATTGCATCAGCTAACGCATTGTCCCTATAGGATACAAACATGGGCCTTGGAAGAGGCGCGACGACGGTTAGAAGCTGAGGGTATTCTCGAGGACCCGGACAAGAAGAAATGATAGATTTTCGCTGGGTTATGGATGTTATAAACGGGGGTTAAAGTTGGCACAACAACGCGGAATCGAGATTCGACTTGTACATGAAATCCCGGTTTTCCTTTTGACTCTCCGCGTCTCCGTTCTTCTGACGGAGGATCGCCTTCGATTAGAGAAGCCATCATAGACGGGTCGCCTCTAAGTTAACGAGGCGGCATAGTACATGCAACAAACTGCAATTGATCTTTTACTACACGACATGATTCACTCCTCGCCTGCTTAGGCGTTAGGCACTTATTGACTCGGAACCCCTTCAAAGAACTATGTCATGTCATCGTGCTCGAATTAAGTCTTTATTTAATTGGATATTTTCATAGGCCAGGTAAGTACGCCATCGCGCCGGATCGACACCGTCTATATGCATGCATGAAGACAGTCCCCAAATTGCCAATAATGCTCCTCTACATATCTCTTTTTTATTTCCCCTTTTCTTTGCTCTAGCACACATGACTCCATTCGTGTTCCTCATCTCCGTACTGCCTCGCCTCCATCCAATTCTTCATCTTCAGCGCGACCTCGCCGGACTCTTCCGTCTCGCTCAGGCCGCAGTCGACCAGGTTGCCCCGCCAGCTGATCTTGCGGACGGGGCTCACGATGGCGGCGGTGCCGGCGCCGAAGACCTCCATCAGCCGGCCGTCGAGCGAGGCCTCGTGCAGCTGCTTCATGGTGATCTTGCGCTCGGAGATGAGCCAGCCCTCGGGGGCCAGCTTCTCGCGGGCCAGACTCAGGATCGAGTCGCGGGTGACGCCCTCGAGGATGGTGCCGTCGAGCGGGGCCGTGATGAGCTCCTTCTGCCCCGTCTCGGCGTTCCGGATGGCCACGAACAGGTTCATGGTCCCGACCTCGGTCACGTACTCCTCGGGCCCGAACAGCCACAGGTTCTGCTGGTAGCCGCGGCCCGCGGCCTCCATCTGCGGCACGATGCACGGCGCGTAGTTGGCGCCCAGCTTCTTGTCGCCGACGCCGCCGGGCCAGGCCCGCACGGCGTAGTCCGTCGCCTCGAGCGACACGGCCTTAAAGCCGGTCGGGTAGTAGGGCCCCACGGGCGAGGCGATGACGAAGAGCAGCGCGGACCCGGGAGCGCTGATGCCGAGCGTCTTCTGCGTGCCGATCAGCGTCGGCCGCAGGTACAGCGAGTAGCCGCGCTCGTTGGGGATGAAGCGCTCCTCGAGCTTGGCGAAGCGGGCGATCAGGTCGATGAGGGCGGTCGGCTCGAAGGTGGGCAGCGCGATCCGCGCGGCGGACCTGTTGAAGCGCTCCATGTTCTTATCGGGCCGGAAGAGGCGGATGGCGCCGCGCGCGTCGCGGTACGCCTTCATGCCCTCGAAGCACTCGAAGGCGTAGTGGAAGACGCAGGTCGCCGGGTCGAGCGACAGGTTCTGGTACGGCTGGATGGCGGGCGCGAGCCAGCCGTCCGTCTTGGTCCACTCGATCGTGAGCATGTGATCTGCGGAAAATTTCACCCGGTTAGTTTCGTGTGCCCATTTGGGGCCACGCCTTTGACTGGACTAAGTAGGTATAGGCTTTGGGTGGAAGGACCTGTGAACTCCCGCCCGAAGACGAGCTGTGCCGGGTCCTTGGGCGTCTTGGGAGACTTTGTCTTGGTGATGGTGAGCTTCGCGGGGTCGATGTCTAAGGGTTTCGAGGTCGAGGCTGCCTCTGGCTTGATGCTGTACCATCGGCTTGCCGTCTGTTGGAGGGCTGGCAGCGCATGGGAGGAAGAAGAGCGCGCGGCGGGTGCTCGGAGAGCTCTACCGCATCGCGGTAGGAGCTGGCGAAGCATGGTGTATCCTAGTATGTAGGCTTATTGAGTCCAGCTAAGTATGTTGGCGTAGTACAAGAGCGTACGGAGCAGTAGAAACAGGAACTAAATAGGGAAATGTCTTGAAATGTCTTCGCCGCCAATTGAACCGAACAAAACGCCCTTTGACTCAATGATCCTCGCAAAGTGAAGGGACGGGGCCGGACAAGGGTTAATAAACGGCCCCAATTTGCCTTTGTATCGCTGATAGCAGCTAAGGCGATCGCCTAATCAGGACCCTTACTTGACCTACTTGACTCGAATTGAAGAAAAAAAAGTGCGGAATCATGCATTCTATTGGAGTCGCAAGCGATCTCGGAGGGCGCTAATGCGCATATGTAGGTACATGTCCATTGTACCCATGGAAAGGGATGCGAAGGGATGCGTCGGGACCAATCATATGCAAGCTTTTACAGTTGTTGGTAAGTTACACGCCTTTGCAGCTAAATCTGTATGAGGGGTAGGTATCTCGAATATCGTGGTAGGTGTCATCCAATCACACCAATTCAGGTACACAGGTACTTAAATTCTCCTGTGCCACATTTAGCGGGACAGGTGGGATTAATGATGAACGACTGTGGCTTCAAACATTTGCACCGCCGTTCAGGTCATGAAATTACAGGGGACCCCTGATTGTTAGACAAGAGCTTAAGCTTGGCGTTGATTTCCGACGCGCTGATACAAGATAAAATCGACTTCGAAAAGTTAACTTGTCCTCATAAGTCATAACACTTTGTACGCCATTTACGAAGCGCATCACTTGCGACTCCGGCAACAGGACCAATCCAATCGCGTGTCTTAGGTTCCCGTCGAGTCCAATACCGACCAGCCCGATCATAACCCAATTGCCTGACTGCGCCATCATCTAGGAGGATTGGATAATAAGGAGGACGGAATTGCAGACACATGCTTCTTCCTACATACTACACTGCGATATGAGGGTCGCTAGTCACCCTCTAATACACCGTCGCCGATCATGTTCTCCTCGCTGAAGGGTTTCTCCTCCAACATCAACTCCAACTATTCCGTATCGCAAACCGTAGCCTCCACAGCCGGTCCGTGGAAGATATACGATGCCAAGAAGAAATCAACAGGGAAGACGTACTCCGTCTTCGTTTTCGACAGGAAGTCGATAGAGTCGCATGGTAAGGAGCACTCGGAATATTGAGCAACATCGTAAGGCGCTAATGTGATTCTAGGGGGCTCTCTCGGTCGATCCGGCGCAGCTGCCTTTAAGCGCTCCATAGAGGAAGTGACGGAGCGCTTGAAAAAGGAAGCATCGTCTCTCGCTAAACTACGACATCCGAACGTCCTAGAACTTGTTGAGCCCGTTGAAGACACTAGAGGAGGACTTCAATTCGTTACCGAATCAGTGACTACGTCACTAGCAAGCCTGTTACAAGAGAAAGATGATCAGGAGAGATCTGGCGGAGTTGGGGGTCGGTCTAGTCGATATGTTACCGAGAGTCCGGATGGTACGAGACGTAGGCGGGAGATAGAGATCGACGAACTAGAGATACAAAAGGGTTTACTTCAAATCAGTAAGGCCCTGGAGTTCCTGCATGAAAATGCCGGCCTCGTCCACGCAAATCTCACCCCTGATGCCATATTAATCAACTCAAAAGTGAGTCTCGATACTTTTCAACAATTTCTTTAGAGAGCTTTCTCGATTTTACAAGATGACATGAGACGGTGTCCCGCTCGCGGGAAACACTGAGACACCCTTAGCTAACATGTGAATAGTCTGACTGGAAAGTTAGTGGGCTTGCATTTTGTAGCCCGCCAGAGGGCTCAACAAAACCTACTTCGGTTCAGCCCATCAGCCTCTCGGAAGTTCTTAACTTAGATCCTCGACTACCTCGATATGTTCAGATCAATCTTGACTATACTTCACCTGACTTCATCCTTGACAATAACCTCACCAGCTCCGCCGATATGTTTTCATTGGGCCTTCTATGTGTCGCGCTATACAATTCGCCTCATCGATCTCCCGTAGAAAGTAGTGGGAGCATCTCTGCTTACAAGAGAATATTCACCTCATCCTCAACTGTACCAAACTCCGGAAATGGATTCTTATCTAAGAGACCGCTGCCGAGGGACCTTTCAGCGCATGTCTTACCCCGGTTAATTACGAGGCGCCCAGCTCAGCGTATGACGGCGCGTGAGTTTCAGGAAAGCGAGTATTTCGATAACATCTTGATATCGACAATTCGATTCCTTGATGCTTTTCCGGCTAAAACGCCAAATGAGAAGGCCCAATTCATGAGAGGCCTCAACAAAGTTCTACCATCCTTCCCAAAGTCGGTCATGGAGAAGAAAGTGCTCCCGGCGCTGCTTGAAGAGCTCAAAGACAAAGATCTCCTGTCTCTTATCCTCCAGAATGTCTTCAAGATTATGGATCTGCTACCATCCTCGAGGCGAGCGTTTTCGGAGAAGATACGGCCGAGACTCAAGGAGATATTTGTTGTCAATGCCAAGCAAACGCAAGAGAAGGATCCACCTAGGGATGCTGGTTTGATGGTCGTTTTAGAGAACGCCCGCCTAATAGCCGAAAACTCTTCTGGTAAAGAATTTAAAGATGGTAAGCTCAACTTTCCGTTATATCAACTCAGTCACTCAGGGCTACGGGTTATTGTGGTAGCCACCCTTCGATAGCCTCGTGTCTATTAAAATACTGGCCAATTGCCTCACAATGATTTGTAATATGGTCTATGACGACTTGAATCATGTATTGGACCTTAAACTAATGAAGCTATCCAGACGTGTTACCAATTATTTTAGCGGCGATCGAGTCGCCAGCACCTTCACTTATCGATGCTTCTCTGCGAAGTTTACCAGTTATCTTGCCGGTTCTAGACTTCAGTACTATCAAGAATGAGCTGTTCCCTATCATCGCTGCTGTCTTCAGCAAGACCAGCAGTCTGGCTATCAAGGTCCGCGGCTGTAGAGCTTTCGTCATTCTTTGCGGCGGTTCGAATGAGTCCTCATCAGCTGATGATGGACTTGACGGCCTTGGACCCGATAAGAAAAAGAGGTCGTCGTCAAGTGCTCTAGACAAGTATACGATGCAAGAGAAGATCATTCCACTCATTAAAGCTATCAAAACCAAAGAACCTGCAGTTATGATGGCGGCACTAGATGTACTGCGAGTAGTCGGAGATAACGCAGATGCAGAATTCGTAGCCATGGACATCCTACCTATCTTATGGAATATGAGTTTGGGGCCTTTGCTAGACCTCAAGCAATTTCAATCTTTCATGGAATTGATCAAGTCTCTTTCCAGGCGAGTTGAGGAGGAGCAGATTAAGAAGTTACAAGAGCTCTCCACCGTGAACGGGGGAAGGGCGCCAACTCCTAATGATGACTTCTTAGGATTCGGCGGTGTTTCTGGAACAACGTTCGATGCAACGAACGGAGCCACAGAAGATGATTTTGAGCGACTAGTCAAGGGGAAGTCTGTCGGAACCTCTAGCGATCCAATGGACTCAGGATGGAATGCTGCTCCAGCGGCAGCATCAGCATCAGTAGGCACACCACCAGTTAAATCCCCTCAATTTTCTTGGTCCACGCCAAGTCCAAGCTCCAACGGACCTTATGGCCCTCCCAAATCTCAACCGCCCTTCCGGACGGTCACACCAGATCTGGCTTCGTTTGGAACTTTGGCCCCTTCATCTACTCAGTTTTCACAACCCCTACAACCTACCATGGGCACCGCGGCGAAGCCCGTGTCGACGGCACCGCAAAGTTCTTCGGCAGTCAATTGGTCTACTTCGGCCGCACCAACCAATGCTTGGGGTTCGAGCTCGGCTACTCCCGTGTCGCCGGCAATGTCGTCGTTCAGCAATGTAAGCACAGGAATGTCGAACCTGAGTCTCGGTCAATCGAGACCTTCTATGAACCAGTCTTCATCGTTTTCTCTGCCCCCGCCGCCGTCTAAAACGAGTGCTACGCCGACCAGTTTCAGCTTGGCCCCGCCGCCCGGGGGCGCTCAGAGACAAAATTCGACATCGTCCTTCGGCCAGCCTACTAGTAGTTTTGGTGCCACGTCTCATCAGCCCTCTGGGAGCATGGGTAGCATGATGAACTCGGGGGTGGGAGGTGTGAATAGGAGTATGAACAGCATGGGCAGTATGATGGGAAGCATGAACACGATGACACCGAGCCAACCGGTATCCCAACCGCCGGCGCCGCAGCAACAACAGCAACAGCAACAGCCTCAAAGGTCGGGATTAGATAAGTACGAGAGCTTGCTGTGAAGGCATCAAAAACGAACCGGCGAGTCGTCGGTATTTATCAATGGGAACTCGTTACATTTTGATGTCAAAGTTGGTCATCATGATCATGTTTGTAGCATTCAGATTTGAATGCCGACTCTTTCTTAGAACATGTTTGGTTGTGCGGATACCCGAGTAGTTGATGTCTAGGAGATATCTGCATTAGCCAGGGAGGGGTTTGGGGAGGTCCGGACTTTAAAAAAATGATTCTTTTAAGAATCTGGTGTCATCTACTGCAATGCACGTATCCTACTACTACTACTGCTACCCACTCCACTGGAAAGCCGAGGACGAAGAGTAAAAAGTGGTTTCCATGAGAAACCCCACGGTAGTTTAATACCCAGATAGTTTGGTTATAGCATATTATCGGAATATGAAAGGTGTTCCCCCAATCATGGAAGCTGTTTGGCTAATTAATTGCAACGTAGAAGAAGTACGTGAAGTGTGCTTCTGTGCAAGACCCTATGTGATATAGCTCGTCTCTTTCCGACAAGTTAGGTACGGAGAATAGGATAAGTCCTGTCCCGATATTCACACCTCATTTAGGTACCTATTTGTGTGTCCCCGAGCCCTACTGGGTTGCTGTCGCAGACTTTACAGCGCCATGTTTCAGCAATTCTGGACGGGTAAATTGGTGGACTCGTTTGCCCTAGTCTCTGGAATGTCCAAGGATACGTCCCAGTTATCAAGGCACAACAGCAGCGACGGCGGACGATAGTACCGAATCCGCCAACCCGCCAATTCATTTTATATATTGCGATGTATACAGTATAAATGCATAGTAAGCTTTAATTATTAATACTATATTTTGTTATTTATAAGGGCTATTACATTAAAGGGCGTTATAAATTATAAAAAGTTATAACGTTTTTTAATTTATATTATTTATAACGCGTTAAATTTAAAATTATTTTATTTAAATTTAAATGTTTTATATTTAAATTATTTTAAAATAATTTTTAAAATTAATTAATAATTATTTTAATATTATTATTATAAAATTTTATTTTAATAAAAAATTTTAAACACGAAAATTAATTATTTTATTTATTTAATAAATTATTTATATTTTATAAATTAAAACCGTAAAAAAAATATTAATATATATTAAATATTATTATTTATAAAATTATAATTAATTTTTAACGTTTAAAATTTTTAATTTTATTTATTATAATAAATAATTAAATTTTTAAATTAATAATTATTTTAAAAATAATATTTAAAATATATTATTATTATTAAATATTCCTTATATTATTTTTAAATATTAATTAAAATAAAAATAAAATAAAAATAATTTTAAATATACCGGTTATTTAAATATATTTATTTAAATTTATTATTATTAAAATAATTATTTTATCGTTAAATAAATTAATATATATTAAATTAATGCGAATATTTATTTTTATTATTATTATAATAATATTTAATATAAATATTATTAAAATAATTAAATAAAATAATATAATATTAAAAAAAACTTTAATTAATTTTATAATTTATATAAACGTGATTTAAAAATAAAATAATATTAATTATAATAACGTAAATAATTAAATTTATTAAAAAATATAAATATAATTAAAAAATATTTATTAATTTAAATTTATTTTTATAATTATTAATTAACGATTAATATTATAATAATTTTAATTTTTAATAACGGCGTTTTTAATTATAAATTTAATTATTAAATAAAAAAATCCATTTAATTTAAAATTATATTTATAATTAATTAAATTCGTTAAATTAACGAAAATTAATAAAATAAATATATACATTTAAATTTTAAATTATTAATATAATAATTTTATTAATAAATATTTTTTTAATTTTTATAAAAACTTAAATAATATAATCGGTTAAATTAATATTATTTATTATTTTCGGTTAATTATTATTATTATTAATAAACGTATTATAAATAAATAACGTAAATAAAATAAAAAAATATTTATATTTTATTAAATTTTAATTAAAAGTTTTTATTTAAAGTTAATTAAAGCTTAATTTATTATTAATAAAAACTTTTAATTTTTTTTTTAAAAAATTAATAAATTTATTATTTTATTTAATAATATTAATTTTTCGTTTTTAAAAATAAGTAATTAATATTAAGTTAATTTTCTTTTAATTTATTATTTTTAAATATAATTTAATAATAAATATAATAAAAATTTTAAATATTATTAATTATTTATATTAAAAAAATATAAAAAATATACGTAATATAACGAATTTAAAATATTTTTAATAACGGGGATAAAACATTTAACGTTAATAAATAAATAAAAAAAAAAAATAAATTATATTTATTTAAATATTTATTTATAAATATACTTAAGTATATAACTTATATATTTTAAAATTTTTTTTTAATTTAATTAAATTTTAAAATAAAATAATTTAAAAAATTTATTAAAAAAAATAATATTATAAAAAAAATTAATTTAATTTAATAATAAACATAAATAAATATAAGCGAATAAACGTAATAATAAATCCCGTAATAAATTCGTTAATAATACGTAAAAGTTTTATTTATATAACGTAAAAATAAAATTAATAAAATTTTTAAATCGTATTATATTTTATAATAATATTAATTATATATAAGTTATTTTTAAATTAAATTATATTTAAAACTTAAATATTAATATAAAATTAAAAATAAAAATATTATTTATTTATTATATATGAAATTTAATTAAGGAAATTAATTTTATAAATTAAATAATTAAAAGTTTAAAAATAATTATAAATATTATTTAATATAATAATCTTATTATAATTTTATTAAAATTTTAATTATTTATTATATATTTAATTAAAATAATATTCGCTTATTAAAAAAAATAAAAATATATATATATAAATTAAGTATATATATAAATTTATATTAAAAAATAATAACTTTAATTAAGAAAAAAAAATAAAAAAAAATAAAACATATACCTCGTTTTAATATTAAATAAGTTTTTTAATAATTATCCGTTATTATTTAAATAATATTAATATTAATTTTTTTAACTTTTTTAAAACTTTTATTACGGGCTTTCGTATTTTTTTTATAATTAAACCTTTTCGAAATTTAAACCTTTTAAAATAAAATAATATATTATTTTTATAAAATTCGATTTTTTATTTATAAATTTTTTTAATACGATTTAATATTAAACCATTATTATTTTAAATAACTTAAATATTTATAATATTTTAAATATATAACCCATATATTATAAAACATGGAAAAAACATAAAAAGCGATAATTTTTTATTAATAATATTAATATATATTATAAACTTTATTTTCGAAACGCTTGTTTAATTTATTAAAAATAACACCCTTTTCATTTAACTCGGCATAAAAATAATAACATTCCGGTTATTTTTTTTATTTACTTTTTTTAATAATATTAAATAATATTTAAATTCGTAATTAATTTTTTTTAAACTTTAATATTAAAGTAAATTATTATATATTATTTAATAATAAAGTTTTTAAATGTTTTATACCTCGTTTTTTCGTTTTATTTATTAATTATTACGGAACCACGTTTTTTTTAAAATACGTTTTTATTATTTAAACGCGTTTTTAATATTATAATTAAACTTTTTTTTAATGTTTTTAATAAAATATATTTTATAATATAATTTTATTAAATCGTTTTATAAAAAATTACCGTTATTTTTAATTTAATATAAATATATAATAAAAATAATTTAAATATTATAAAAAAGAAATTAACTATTATTTATTTGTTTTTTTTTAAACGATAATATTCGGAAAGTTTAAAATAATAAAAATAAAATCTTTTTATTTTAAGTTTTATTTAATATAAATTATATTTTTAAAATAAAATAAAAATTTATTTATTAATTTAATTTTATATTTTTAAATGGAAACCGCTTTTATATTTATTAACATTTAATAAAAATATATTAAAAAATTTTTATTTTAAAACCAATAACCGGGAAAATTTTATATTAAAAATAAAATTTAAAATAATATTAATAAATCGATATAAATAATAACCGTAATCCGGTTAAACTTAAAAAAGTAATTAATAATCATGATTTTTATATTATAAAAATAAATAAACTTAATATTCGAAGAATTAAAAAACCATTTAACCGGCGCTTATTTTAAAAATAAAATTAATTATTATTTTTTTAATAACCCGCGAATATGTTTAAATATTTTTTAAAAATAAAAACATTTTTTAAAAAAATAAAATAATTTTAAATATTATTAAATTTATGCCGCCAGTTTTTTTTTTTTATATAATATATAAGTTTAAAAAAGTTTTAATATTAATAAATCTTTTAATAAAAAATTTAACGGTACATTAACGTTAATTTTTCGTAATAATTTTTATTAATTTACGTTAAGGATTAATTTATCGTGGTATAATATAAAAAAACCATAAATTAAAACACGTAAAATAAATTAATTAATAAATAAAACCCATGTTATTAAATTAAAGAATAATTTATAATAATAATATTAATTAAATAAATAATAAAATTTAATATAAATTCGCCGTTATATTTAAACGTATAAAAAATAATATTTAAAATATTTATAATATAATAATATTAATTTAATAATTATAAATTAAAAATTATCGTTTTAAATAATAAGAAATAAATTAATTATATCCTTAAATTTAATATTATATTAAATGAAATTATAATTTAATAACGCGTTTATAAATATTAAAATATATAATTAAATAAATAAAACGGATAACCGCCGTTATTTTTTATTTAATAAAATAAGTAATAAACTTTAAAAAAAAAAAAAAAAAAAAAAATAAAATTTCCCGGTCCGGTAAATTTAAATTCCCATTTAAACTTTTTTAAATATATATATTATTAAAAAATTCGATATATTTCTTATAATATTTAAAAAGCTTTCCCGCATATTATAACGAAATAAATATTTAAAATTAAATTTATAAGTTATTTATACGTGAGTTTTTTTTATAATTATAAATTTAAAAAAATTTTAACCGTTATTATTTATTATTAAAATCGCGAAAGTTAACCCGTAATTAATATAAGAAAAGTTATAAATTATAAATTTAAATTAAATAAATTATTTATAATTATTAAACCGTACGATAATAAAATTAATAACCTTAATAAATAAAAAAAAATATTATAAATAAAAAAAAATAAATAACGAATAATTATTAAATATATTTATAAATAAATTTATTATTTAAAATATAATTAAATAAAAAAAATTTAAGTTATTTTAAATACGCGATATAAACTTAAAAAAATAAAATATTTAAATTTACCGTAAAAAGCTTTAAATATATTATTAAATTTAAATTTAATATTAATATAAATATTATTCGTTTTTATTTTAATTATTAAAAAACGATAAAAATAAATTTAATATAAATAATTCCCGGTTTAAGTTTAAATTCGTAAAATTATATTTTTATTTTTAACCCGGCTTTTATTA